AGACCGATAGCTCTCGAACACGCGGAGCAAGGAGTCAGCTTGACATTAGATATAAAACAACAAGAAATAGCAGTGGGGGGCATAGACACACCCCCCTCGAGGCGAGTCCAATTGAACTACATGAGTAGTACTAAGGAAAGCGCTAACACCACCCGCAAGCACCGACAAATACCACGCCATCAACCAATGGGGCAATGGATGAGACCGGAGTATCTGAAGGCGAAGAGCAATGGAACGGGAAGGGAAGAACGGCAAAGAGAGACGGAGCAAGCAGGAAAGGGCAAATGTGAACACGAAGTGGGGAGCAAGAAGCTCCCCTCGAGGGAAGTTAACGCGACCCCGTTGATCCTGCAAGAAACCATAATTGACCGAAATGATCCCATAGACCACGTACCAGGAATAAATGTTATCACGGACGACGAAAACAACGAGCTCCTCGGCGAACTCCCAGAACCAGCGCCAACACCACAGAACCCTTCCATCTATACAAGACAATCAAACCCGTTCAATATAGCCCGAATCTCCGCAATCAAACGCCAAATAACATTCGGAGATGATCTAACGGAAGGAGAACGAGAAGAGCTTGAAGAATTCGTCGCGAACTACGCAGATACGTTCGCCCTAACACTCAAGGAAGTGGTACCCATCCCCGGATCAGCAATCAATTTGAACGTACCGGATGACGCAGTCTTTAACCTAAGGATCCATCAACGCCCTCTAACGCCAGAACAGTCTAAGTTCTACAACGCCCGAGCAAGCGACATGTTAGAAGCCGGACTTATAGAACGCGCACCACCAGAATTGATCAAATGCGCAGCTACAACCGTCATAGCCCAAAAGGCCCACGAGGCAGGAGGACTATCACTCGATGAATTGCAACATCGAGTGAACGAGCAGTGTCAAAGTGCAGGGCTACACCCAGCATTCGAGCTGCCACCCCGCGAAGTAACACCCCCGCAAACGCACAACGACACGCTCGACAAAGGCCCGAAGAAATGGAGGATATGTCAGAATTTCGCGCAGTTGAACAAAGTCACGGAGGTCGCACCTATGCCCCAAGGCGATATTCTGGCGAAGCAACAACGTTTGAGTGGCCATCGATACATTTCGGTCTTCGACTTCGCGTCGGGGTTTTACGCCATCGAAGTTCCCGAAAAATGGCGACCATACTTAGCGTTCTACGTCGAGGGTAGAGGCTATTTCTGGTATAAGCGTATGCCCATGGGCATCACGGGAGCGCCGACCGCATTTTGCGACACCTTAGCGGAACGACTACACGACCTATTAGTACCACACTATATGGAGTTGTTCATGGACGATGGAGGCTGCGCGGCACATACCTTTAGAAGCATGATGGACAAGCTGATAACCATCTTCAAACGATTCAGGGAATGTCGGTTCTCCATAGCGCCGAGTAAAACTCGTCTCTGCGTATCAGAGACAGAGTTTGCAGGAGGGACAGTGGGGAGAGATGGCGTGAAGCCAGACCTAACGAAGTTGACCGCAATCGTAGACTGGACGCAACCAGAGGATGCGATGAACTTGGTGTCGTTCCTAGGGCTCACAGGATTCTACCGCACGCTCATTAAGGCGTACGCTAAGCGGGAGGGTCCATTAAGAGACTTACTGTTAAAAGTCCCAATGGACAACGCCCACTCGAAGGCCGCGTACAAACGAACGATGAGCAGTTTCAAACTAGCCCCCCATTGGAAACCGGAACATACCAAAGCGTTCCTAGATCTGAAGATCGCGATCACATCACGACCAGTCCTCCAAGCGCCGAAGTACGACGGATCGCACTTCGTCATCACTTCAGACGGATGCCTAGATGGTTTCGCCGCAGTATTGTCGCAACGGGTGCGAACGCAAACGCCGACGGGTAAATGGGTCGAAAATCTACACCCTATTGGATTTGCGTCAAAACGGACATCACCAACAGAGCGCAAATATAAATCTTACCTTTTAGAATTTGCAGCGCTTAAGTTTGGCCTTGATAAGTTTTCAAGCACGATATGGGGATTCCCGGTGGAAGTCGAAACCGACTGCAACGCGCTCAAGGACACCCTGCTCAAGAACAACTTAAACGTGTCGCATGCGAGATGGCGCGAGGGAATACTGTCGTACAACATAGTGGACGTTCGACACGTACCGGGGAGGCTCAACGTAGTCGCGGATGGACTAAGTCGAATGTGGGAGGGACAACCGCATGTCGAAGGAGACGGTAGTGAGTGGACGGTTAATGAAGATTGGGAAGCACGAACGGGGTTAATCAACGACATACTTTTCACGGCGACAACGGATCCAATAATCGAGGCTCTTCGGGAAAGGTTCGCAGAAGAACAAGTGTTCAGAGAGGTCGTAGACGCCATCTACGACCTCGATCATGGAGCGGAATTACGAGACAGGAAGAAGGCAAGACACCGGGCGTCACAGTATATGGTGGACCAAGGGAAGCTATGGCGAATACGAGGGAACAGCACGACCAGGGCAAGAACAAAGGTCGAATGCGTTAGCAAATCGGAAGCCCGCACGCTCGCAGCCAAGATGCACGAGGAACGGGGACATTGGGGAAGAGACGCTATCAAGATTGCGCTCCTGGACTATATCTGCAGCCCAAAGTTAGACGCCTCTATAATGGCGGCGGTCAAAGATTGCTCTAAATGTAAGAACTTCGGACCGACACACTTACATTCCCTTCTAGAGCCAATAACGAGAAGACATCCGTTTGAATTGCTAGTCGGCGATTATTTAGCGCTACCTAAAGGAACAGGAGGATACACGAACCTTGGTGTCTACCTGGATACCTTCTCACAACACGCTTGGGTCTTTAAGCATAAAGCGGCGGGAAGCGCAAAAACAACAGTCGACAGTTTAACGCATATATTCAACAGATTCGCACCTTCGGAAACCTTCATGTCGGATGGCGGCAAGCACTTTAACAACGATGCAGTTAGATCGTACTGCGAATCGAAGAAGTGCAAGCTCCACATAGTCGCTGCGTATTCTCCTTGGGTTAACGGATTGGTGGAGGGCACTAACAAACTACTTTTGCATATCCTTAAGCGCCTGTGCGCACCAAGAGTAGGGGAAGACGAGCCTCAAGAAATGTCGTGGGAGAAACTCCCAAAGACGTGGCCAGAGCACTTGGAGGAAGCGGTCCAAGCTCTGAATAACCGCCTCCTACCAGCACTGAAATTCTCCCCAAGGGAGTTGCTCTTCGGTCTCGTGGTCAACACCCAAGCAACTCCACCAGAGGAGAACACATCAGCCACGACCCATCTGGACGCCTTAACCCACATCGCGTACGTCGAACAACAGCAGTTGGACGGCTACGAGGAGACCTTGCTCCATGCGTTCAAGCGCAAGGCAACTTTCGACAGAAAAGTCAAGAAACGGAGACCGGGGGAAGTCATCTTCAGAAGAGGGCAGTTAGTACAGGTGTACAGAAACGACTTGGATTATACGTTCAAAACGGAGCGTAAACTACTGCCGAAATGGTCAATGCCAAGACGTATCAAAACAAGACTACGGAACTCGTACACCCTGGAAACTCTAGAAGGAACCGTTATACAGGGAGAATATAGCGCCAGAAGGTTGAGAGCATTCTCGCCACGGGAAGGCACGGCGCTGGCGAAGAAACAAGAAGAGTACGAAGAACGGATGAGAGAACGAGGAGAGACAGACGAAGAAGAGGAGGACGGAGAGGATAGAAACGGAGAAACTGATGAAGAGAAGGAAGAGGGAGAAGACGAAGAGAAAGAAAGAGAGGGTGAAGACAGAGAAGATGGAGGAAAGGATCACGGAGAAGCAGAGTAGAGAATCATAGGCGTCGAGGGCGGCGCCGGTTGTTTTTTGAGGGGCGCATGGACTAGGGGTTCCAAGGGCATAGGCCACGCACCAAGGGTCTCATCGGCTGTTTCCATAGCTTAGTCAGCACATAGGTCAGGTGTCAGCATGTTCGTAGTGTACATCATCATCGATCCACCTCGGTTCTAGCAGCAGCGTGGTCCTTAGCAGTCGGCACTGCTCCAACGTGACATCCGAGTGGCGTATAACAGTGCATTTGATTAATATGTTGTCAGTCGTCTACGTCCCGCACTCATCGCACCCTCTTTGGTCGCTTACCGATCGTCTTGCACCGCCGCCACTCCAAGCTTTATAGGGCAACTGAGCGGGACACTCAACCCCAACGTCGCCCTCTCAGCTTGCCTCGAAATCTAGTCTCTGGCATGCTACGCAGACGACATGGATCAGACATCCAGTTGCGAGAGCCACCGATAGTCGAAGTCCCGTGCACAGCAAGCAAGCCTGTACGTGTTTCCCTTCATCATTCTTCTTTATCGCTGACTCTTTTTCGCGCAGAGGGACTATCACGCTAGAAAGAAGCGAGCTGGCAGCTCGTTTCGATTATCCCATGCTCATACCACGCAGCAACACAGCCCAACACAGGGCACACCGTCATCGTCACAGCTACCATCTTCCACTGCCGCTGGTGCCGTGGGGACAGTGGGAACAAACTCGAATCCTCATATCACCATAAGAGATGCTGGATGGCGTGCTCGTTTCATGGTCTGGGTTTGTTGCATGTCTCTCCAGAATACAGATGGTCATCATTAAGGAAACGACATATTGGCCTCCGGGTTTCATTGTATCTTTTATTGTCTCATCCCGTTTTTCATTCCCCTATGGTGGGGGACTAACCCTATACCATGTGCGCACATGATACTAGAATTCACAGTGCCTTTCAACAATATATTATCAGTTTTGCCAACCCATGATATCATGACCCAGGTTAGTCCACAAGTGCCAACGGGATGCATCAAATATCCAAAGGATTGCTCTGGTGCTTGCTCAATTGTTGCTTGCGAACCGTCGGAGAATAAGATCCGCGTTACATTCCTCATTGTGCATCGTATGCTCGTACATGAATAGCCTTGCAGTATTGTCCCACAGCGCCAAAGTCATAGTCAGTGAATGACTTCGACGTCATCTACAGCTTCCATCTTAACCCACATACCACCCTACAAGGTAGAACCTAGTTAAATGGCTGCAAAGCACACCAGAGTGGGACTTGCCTTGGAAAAAAGTGTCAGATGGCTTTTCGGCCTGAATCGCTCGATGGCCTGCCGACCCTTTATCTCGGCCCACCACGCAGGTGGGCGCATCGTGGGCTCGGGGGCTAGTGTAATCGCGGAAAAGTTTTGCAGCAAACGAATGAGCATAAACGACATTTCGTTGTAGGCAAACTGAGAGACAATATGGTATGAGATAAGTGACGGTAACGAATGAGAAACGTACTTGTTGCCCTAGGCAGATTCTGGGTCCTGCGTTAAATGGCAGGAAAATGTAAGGATTGGGAATCAGGTATTTCTTCACTCGTTCGTCGAGCCATCTATCCGGGTCGAACTCCAATGCTAGAGAACGAGGTCTGATTGAATCCATAATTTATGTGTAAATGAATTTACCATCTGGTCCCCATAGATCAGTTCTCCGGTGCATAAGGAAAACTGAATAGTTGAGCCTAAAATTGTTCAAGTAGTCATGCGATGAATCTAAATGATGGAATAACATGCATACATCACCCCCTGTGGGATAAACAGTGGCTCCTTCCCAGGTTCGGGGGATGTCCATGTCGTGTCCCGAATGCTTTCCCTAAAATCTTGTGGCTTAAGTCTAGCATCTTTGAAGTAGCCTTAAAACGTACCTCAAATCAAAGGGGCTAGGTGGTCGTGGTACAATCATAAAATACGTCTGGAAGCAAATTAAATCACTTACACGGCAGGGAAAAGGCGCAATGTTTCTTAAATAGGTGAGTAACATCCTACGATCGGCAGGAAACGAGAATAAGCACCATTGAGGATGGCTCGGAGGTACTTCATCTCTTTGATATTATCATATGTGGGCCTGCCAGTTGGTCCAACCTTCGATATGATTTCCTCCCTGAGCCGAGTGAGGAACTCTGGATGCATTGACAGCAAATAAATAGCTGATGTTAATGTTGAAGCTGTCTAAGAAGTATGCTTCGTTACAGACCAGGATGACTCAGAAAGGTAGTTGCGAGCTTACAGTATCTCTTCCGGCCAGCAATATATTTAACGTCTCATCTTTGATGATCTTGAAGTCTGAAAATAATATTTCAACAATAGAAATCCCGTAATGACGTGCGATCACACCAGATGTCAGGTTTACGAGATGGTCCACAAGGGTTTGGTCGTCTTCATTTCTGTCTAATTCGACAGCTTTGCTATGCTTCTCCAGAGCGTCTTTGAGGATAGGATCTAAAAATGCGTTTACCACTTTCATGTGTTGTGCAGTGCTGTCAGCAAGAATCTCAACAAGTGGCCATGTCTGCCCCATGGAAACACGACGATTGATTATCTGCTGAGCTTGAGAGAAAGCGTCTGAGAAGGCGGCGGAGGCATTGTCTCCTTGAATAGTATTTGTGGATTCTGTTGCGTCACTGGGGTAAGGGAGCCTAGCGGAAAGTGAATCGATGCAGTGTCCAAATAGGAACTCTGATGCAGAGTCAAGCGTGAATCTGGAGATGAGATCCTGTGGTGGGTTTAGCAAAGATGATAAATTACTAGCTTGAAGGAGCCGTACTTGGAAGTCGATTGACAAGCCCGCCCTGAAACGTTCCTTCGCCAAATCGATAGCGTGATCCGCATGACGGTCAAAGATGTCAAAGTGACTTATCCGATCATGGGTGAAGAAAGGCCGTGTCATGGTTCGGTGACGCCTACAGACAAATCTAAGATTCCCCATCGGAGGCGTTCATCAAATCCATAGCTTACTTCCACGTTTCACCTGGTGGGACAGCCAATTGGTCAATCGGTCACGGGCTCACCGATGCACGCTTACCATCTGAATTAAATACGCCCGTTCCAAGGACGGAGTCAGCTGCTTCTCTGAACTTGGCACCTGTACCGAGTCACATTTCACATTCACATGTAAACACGCAGCATCTATGGTGCATACCCTTCACATAGTTATCGAAGTCAGTTGCAAGCATGGTCTATTGTGGTGTTGATTATAATATCTTCGGGTATACATCGGAACTTGCCTTGATGTGTTGCGGTTCCGTGGTCACGATGAGGTCCTCCCAAAAAAACCGAAGATTAATAGTGGGTCCGAGCACATCGATCTCGTCCTGAATAGGTCGTCCTATACAGAAGAAAGATGCCGTAAATCACGAGCATGGAATAGAGGAAACGGAAACTGTACCAATGTATTCATCCTCGTTCTTCAAAATCATGTTCACTACCTTGTCGAGATTTCCAGGCCATTTGCCCTGGACACGAGGGATAAGTCTGGCACCGAGCCGTTTGGCCTTTCGTTTCTGTGATCTCCCATCCGCAAGAATGTATGCCGCAAACCCGAGAGGCGCTGTACCCAAAACCACCGCAGATATAATCCATGGAGAGACTCGAACGCCTTTTAGAGAGGCCAGGCGTACTGCGATAATTATGGAAGAAGCGGCCGGAACAACGACGGAAAGCAAGCTCCGTGTGAGGTAGGCCACGCCAGGACTGACCCAAGATGGGGACATACTAGCTTGAAGTTTGTTACTAGTTGGTGACCCCGATAAAAAAACGAGAAGCCAAGGAGTTGCAAAAACCAGTACTTGCGCTGACACAGATTGTGATGGTTACTGGCTGCGGCGCCTAGCACCATGTTCAAGCTGCGGTGATCAAATTTTACAGGGGTACACCATATGTTACGTTATTGTCACCCAAAGTCAAGAGGTGGGGAAAATTTATTACTAATTACTAAGTCTTTCCCATCCATTCCCAAGCTGACACTTTCACTGGCTGCCTGCAGACCTGCAAATATGATTCGCGCGCTCCCAAAACAAAGCATTGTGGAACCGTAGGCGTGGAATTCAGCGCTCAACGTTCGAACGTTCAACTCTCACAAGTTTTACTGTTTCAGTGCTCGAATTTCTATGTGCGTACGCATTGTGATTTTAACTTATCCAATTGGACTTTTGTACTGATGAAAATGACAGTACCGCATATAGTTTCGAGTCTTTGTTCAGTTTAAATCTTCTGCTCTATCATCCCTGTGTGTTCTTGACAATCCTCGTGTCACTTGATTGTGGTGCAATAGCATGGCAGACAATGTGGAACAATGTCGAGCGGTCTTGCCGAGCTGTCCCGCCGACCATTATCGTCATTCAACTTGTCTCTTCCACCTCGCCAACAGTCTTCGACGCAGATTCGAGCAGCAGGGTGTTCCCTCTGACCTTGACGAGGCCATCGAGCTTCAACGGGCTGCACTACTCATCTGCCCCCCGGGTCACCCCCATCGACCAACGTCTCTCAACAATCTTGGCATCAGCCTTTATGACCGATTCAAGCAACGGGGCGCCCCATCTGACCTTGACGAAGCCATCGAGCTTCATCAGGCTGCACTACACCTTCGTCCCCACGGTCATTCTGATCGACCGTCGTCTCTCAACAATCTTGGACTCAGCTTGTATACCAGATTCGTGCAGCGGGGTACCCCATCTGACCTTGATGAGGCCATCGAGCTTCAACGGTCTGCACTACTCATCTGCCCTCCCGGACATTCTGATCGATCAGCATCTCTCAACAATATTGCTGCCATGCTTCATCACAGATTCAGACAGCTGGGCGCCCTGCCTGACCTCGATGAGGTCATCGAGCTTCAACGGGCTGCACTACTCATTTGCACCCCCGGTCATATTCATCGATCAGCGTCTCTCATCAACCTTTCCACCGGCCTGTATACCAGATTCGCGCAGCGGGGTACCCCATCTGACCTTGACGAGGCCATCGAGCTTCAACGGGCTGCACTACTCATCTGCCCCCCGGGTCATTCTCATCGACCAACATCTCTTAACAGTCTTGCCCTCAGCCTTTATGGTAGATTCAATCAGCGGGGCCTCCTGTCTGACCTTGATGAGACCATTGAGCTACAACGGGCTGCACTACTCCTTTGTCCCCCCGGTCATTCTAATCGATCAATGTCTCTTGGCAATCTTGGCATTAGCCTTCGAAACAGATTCAGGCAGCGGGGCATCCCATCTGATCTTGATGAAGCCATTGAGCTCCAACGGGCTGCACTATTTCTCTGCCCCCCCGGTCATTCTCATCGGCCAGCATCTCTTAACAATCTTTCTGTCAGCCTTCTTGACAGATTTGAGCGGCGGGGCGTCTCGTCTGACCTTGATGAGGCCATTGAGCTTCAACGGGCTGCACTACTCATCTACCCCCCCGGTCACCCTAATCAATCAGCATCTCTCGACAATCTTGCTATCAGCCTTCGAAGCAGATTCAAGCAGCGCGGCGTCCCGTCTGACCTTGATGAGGCCATCGAGCTACATCGGGCCGCACTACTCCTTCGTCCCCACGGTCATTCTGGTCGATCATCGTGTCTCAATAATCTTGCACTCAGCCTTCATCACAGATTCGAGCAGCAGGGCATCCCGTCTGACCTTAATGAGACCATCGAGCTCCACCGGGATGCACTACTCCTGCGTCCCCCCGGTCATTCTGATCGATCTGCGTCTCTCATCAATCTTGCTCTCGGCCTTCGAAACAGATTCGATCAGCTGGGCATCCCGTCTGACTTGGATGAAGCATTCAGGCTGTTTGCGCAACTCTCCTACCTATCTCATGCAATATCTCGTAGGGATCTTACCGCTGCCAAGTCATGGGCCACCTCTGCCGAGGAGACGAACCACGGTTCTGCATTGCTCGCCTATCAAACCGCATTGAAATTCCTAGATCAGCATGTCACTCTTTTGTCGTCTTCTTCACACCATTTTGATGTCGTGAGGACGGCCACTGCTTCGCTTGCCATGGATGCTTTCTCGTGCAGTATTCGTTATGGCGCACTGACGACTGCTGTGGAACTGGTGGAGCAAGGTCGTGCCGTATTCCTGACCCAGTTGGCACGCTTCCGCACACCCCTTAATGAACTTTTCATGTCTGGTGACACCGGCGCAACCTTGGCGGAAGAGTTCACGCAGCTCAGCTTTCGCCTTCGTACCACGTTCGACCAGTCTACTGAAGACCCGTCTCCACAAATTCGGCAATTGACATGCAATGGGAAGACGTCATCTCACGCATCCGCATGCTTCCCGACTTTTCTCGGTTTTCTCCTGCCCCCGCTGTTTTCTGACCTCCAGAAATCCGCTGAAGAAGGCCCGGTCATCGTCGTCAATGCTAGTCAGTACAGCTGCGACGCCTTGATTGTCTTGAGTGACCAAGATCCTGTCCACGTTCCACTTGATATCGTGCAGACCGAGGTCTCCGAATTGTCATCCGAGTTTCAGTCCCTTTCGGAACAATTCGGTTCTTCTAATCATCTACTCAAGCTTGCCAGCATCCTCCGGAAGCTTTGGCGTAAGGTCGTTGACTCCGTGGTCCAAGCTCTTAAAGATTCCAAAGTTCAGCCTGGCTCACGTATTTGGTGGTGTCCCACTGCTGAGTTTACGCTGCTTCCTCTACATGCAGCAGGACCCTACGAGAAGAAGAAAGACAATTTATCAGATATCTACATATCCTCTTACACCCCCACTTTGGCGACACTTGTTCGTGCGAGACAATGTGTTTCTGGAGATGCGTCCCCGCAACATTTTGTTGCAATCGGTCAAGGGGACCCGGACGGAGGGAGAGCACTCAAATGTGTTTCTCCCGAGCTAGCCGCTGTTGCTCAGCGTCTCGGGCCCGTCGTGTCGTCCTTCACATCGCTCGAGGACAGCGATGCAACCATCCAGGGTGCACTCGATGCACTAAATCATAATCAGTGGCTCCATCTCGCCTGCCACGGACTGCCGAATCGACAACAACCATTTGAGTCTTCCTTTGCCATGCGCGACGGGCCTTTAATGATCAAGGATGTCATCCGATCTAACTGGCAGAACCCGGAGTTTGCATTCTTATCTGCTTGCCACACTACCGTGGGTGATGAGAAGAGTCCCGACGAGTCGATCCATCTCGCTGCGGCGATGCAGTTCTCCGGATTTCGCAGTGTCGTAGGTTCCATGTGGTCTGTCGACGACGAGGTTGCACAACAGGTTGTGTCCGCTTTTTACCGCAACCTGGTCAATGAATCAGGGAGATTGGACTGCACACGGGCTGCGGTAGCGTTGCACAAGGCTGTGAGATCGTTGCGCAAGAAGATTCCACTTGAACAGCAAATCGTATTTGTTCACATCGGTGTCTAATTCGAGGCTTGGATCGTTTCACTATTATTGCATTTTCTGTGATCCTGATTTCTTTCCTTCCTTCGCTGTCCTACCTAGATCTCAGTCATTTGTCCCCCACTCCCACGGAGTGTGGAGGAGGGTTTTTATTGCGAGCAGCAAACACGTACATTCCCTGTGATACACATGGCGTGCCTGTGTCGGAATTTTCCGACAGCGGTTGCAATGACCCATGGGGGCCTATTTGCTGACGTAGTCTGCCAGTGCAGGACATCTCATAATTTACAGTGTTTCCTCTAACTCTGAGCTTGAGTGACACTCCATGTAGTATAGCATACATTTAAAATTACATAAATTAGATTGAATTATATTCATCAACATTGTTATAATTAAATTTTAATGTTTCTTTACGCTTAATTTTTTTAAGTACTTAATATTTATAAAATCATCAATTTAAGTTACTTGATACTTTTAGAAAATAAAACAAAGTAAAACAAAAAAGATTAAAATAAAACAAAAAAAAATAAAAATATTAATAATTATTTAGATTTGTTATCAATATAATATTGACAAATGTCATCAAAGTTTATTAAAAAGAAATCTAAGTAGTTTAAAATTAAATATCCAGCTATAATAGATAACAATAAGAAAATAATTAATAGTATAAAACCTGTTTTTTTAAATAACTTAACATTTTTAATTATAAATAATACAATTTTTTTAGGTAATATCTTCATTAAATAAAATTCAATTGAAAGCCAAAATGGACCATATCCACGAATAGCCTCGCAGTATTGTCCCACAGCACCAAAGTCATGGCTAGTTTATGACTTCGATGTCATCTACAGCCTCCATCTTAACCCACATACCACCCTATAAAGTACAGCCTAGTCAGATGGCTGTAAATTACATCAGAGTGGGACTTGCCTCGGAAAAAAGTGTCAAGTGGTTTCTCGGCCTGAATTGCTCGATGGCCTGCCGACCGTCTCTCTCGGCCCACCACGCAGGTGGGCGCATCGCGGGCTCGGGGGCTAGTGTTATCGCGGAAAAGTTTTGCAGCAAACGAATGAGCATAAACGACATTTCGTTGTAGGCAAACTGAGATACAATAGGGCATGAGATAAGTGGCGGCAACGAATGAGAAACATACTTGTTGCCCTAAGCAGATTCTGGGTCCTGCGTTAAATGGCAGGAAAATGTAAGGATTAGGAATCAGGTATTTTTTCACTCGTTCGTCGAGCCATCTATCCGGATCAAATTCCAATGCTGGAGCATGGGGTTCGCTTGAATCCATATGTAAAAGGAGTCAAAGTTACTTACCATCTGGTCCCCATAGATCAGTTCTTCGGTGCATAAGGAAAACTGAATAGCTGAGCCTAAAATTGCTCAGTAGTCATGCTATGAATCTAAATGATCGAATGGAATGCGTACATGGTCCCCCGTGGGATGAATAGTGGCTTCTTCCCAGGTTCAGGGGATGTCCATGTCGTGTCCCGAATGCTTTCCCTAAAAGCTCGTGGTTCAAGTCTAGCATCTTTGAAGTAGCCTAAAAACGTACCTCACATCAAAGGGGCTAGGTGGTCGTGGTACAATCATAAAATACGAAATTAAACTAAATCACTTACACGGCAGGGAAAAGGCGCAGTGTTTCTAAAACAGGTGAGCGAAATCCCCGCGATCGGCAGGAAACAAGCATATGCACCATTGAGGACGGCCCGGAGGTACTTCATCTCTTTTATATTATCATATGTGGGCCTGCCAGTTGGCCCGACATTCGATATGATTTCCTCCCTTAGCCGGGTGAGGAACTCTGGATGCATTGTAAGTAAATAAATAGCCGATGTTAATGTTGACGCTGTCTAAGAATTATTCTTCGTTACAGGCGAGGATGACTCAAAAAGGTGATTGCGAGCTTACAGTATCTCTTCCAGCCAGCAATATATTTAACGTCTCATCTTTGATGATTTTGAAGTCTGAAAAGAAAACTTCAATAACAGAAATCCCGTAGTAACGTGCGATTTCACCCGATGTCAGGTTTACGAGATGGTCTACAAGAGTTTGATCGTCTTCATTTTTCTCTAATTTGACAGCCGTGCTATGCTTCTCCAGAGCGTCTTTGAGGATCGGATCTAAAAATGTGTTTACCACTTTCATGTGTTGCGCGGTGCTATCAGCAAGAATCTCAACAAGTGGCCAGGTCTGTCCCATGGCGGCACGACGATTGATTATCTGCTGAGCTTGAGAGAAAGCGTCTGAGAAGGCGGCGGAGGCGTTGTCCCCTTGAATAGCATTTGTGGATTCTGGTGCGTCACTGGGGTAAGGGAGCCTAGCGGAAAGTGAATCGATGCAGTGTCCAAATAGGAACTCTGATGCAGAGTCAAGCGTGAATCTTGAGATGAGATCCTGTGGTGGGTGTCAACAAAAGATGATAAAATACTAGCTTGAAGGAGCTGTACTTGGAAGTCGATTGCCAAGCCCGCCCTGAAACGTTCCTTCGCCAAAGCAATAGCATGATCCGCATGACGGTCAAAGATCTCAAAGTGACTTATCCGATCACGGGTGAAGAAAGGCCGTGTCATGGTTCGGTGAAGCCTACAGACACGTTTAAAATTCCCCATCAAAGGCTTTCTTCAAATCCATAGCTCACTTCCATGTTTCACCTGGTAGGACAGCGGATTGGTCAATCGGTCATAAAGCTCGCCGATGCACGCTTACCATCTGAATTAAATACACCTGTTCCAAGGACGGAGTTAGCTGCTTCTCTGAACTTGGCACCTACATCGAGTCACATTTCGCGCGTACACGGGCAGCGCCTATGGGGCATACCTTTAACATAGTTATCGAAGTCAGTTGCGAGCATGGTCTATGTAGTGTTTGATTATAATATCTTCGAAAATACATTGGAACTTGCCTTGATGTGTTGCGGTTCCGTGGTCAGGATGAGGTCCTCCCAAAGAAGCCGAAAATTAATAGTTGGTCCAAGTACCTTGATCTCATCCTCGAGAGGTCGTCCTACACGTACGATACCGTAAACCACGAGCGTGGAATAGATGAAACGGAAACTGTACCAAGGTATTCATCCTCGGACTTCAAAAGCATATTCACTAGCTTGTCGAGATTTCCGGGCCATTTGCCCTGGACACGAGGGACAAGTCTGGCACCGAGTCGTTTGGCCTTTCGTTTCTGCGATCTCCCATCCGCAAGAATGTATGCCGCAAACCTGAGAGGCGCTACACCCAAAACCACCGCAGATATAATCCACGGAGAGACTCGAACGCCTTTTAGAGAGGCCAGGCCTACTACGATAATGACGGAAGAAGCGGCCGGAACAAAGATAGAAAGCAAGCCCCGTGTGAGGTAGGCCACGCCAGGACTGACCCAAGATAGGGACATAGTACTAGCTTGACGTTTGTTACCAGTTGGTGACCCACTGGCAGATTAGAAAACGAAAAGCAAGTGACGAAAACTAGTACTTGCGCTCAGCGGCACAGATCGTGATGGTTACTGGCTGAATGAAACTGCGGTGGTCACTATGCCCCCGGAAGCCCACGATACGCCCGCGCGCCCAACCAGCTGAAAACTGGTGGACGGTAGGTTACGGTTCGATTTGCCGATTTGTCAGTACGTATTCGGAAGTCCCTGTACATAATTCATGCCAACTACGTCACAACAATATTAGCCATTACGATCAACGACTCGAGAGTTGCCATGGCCAGCGGCCATGAGCGCTGAGCAATTCATCATGATCATAGCTCAGATGCCTATAGGGCCTTAATGAGTGCAGTTAGGTTTTCAAACCACAGGTCGGTTTTCTTAGCGAAGGCTCCGAACTCTGTGTCCCCGAAATCCGACAGTCCAATCAGCTCCTCAGCTACGTACACGCGGATGTCGCGCTCCGCGACTTCTGGTGGAATATCTTCGATGGATATCCGTGAAATATGCGGAGCACCATTAAGCTCAGCGTCAATGTCGCGAAGCGGACGAGAGGTAACAATAAAGCGGCAGTTGTGCGGGAGTGCCGTGATTGGGGCAACAGGCGGGTTCCGAAGTTTACCAGCACTGAGAATGCGGAGAAAATCGCGTCGCGTCTCGACTCCACCTCTCTCATCAAGTGCATCGATTACGATGGCGACCGGGCCCACATTCGACGCAGAAAGCTTCCCAAGCGGTCCCATAAGAAGTTTCTATCACTTTTGAATGATATCCGAGTCTTGGGCGCACTGGTATTCTTGACTGTATCCAACAATGCATATCTGATAACGCACGATGGTGGAGAAAATCCAAGTGCCGTCTTCCTGTGTGGACACTAGGGCAGCCTCTGACACGTCCGTTTGCTCAGTTTTGACCTTTGGCTCGGTTCTGACCTTCTTTGCAGGTGGTACATCGTATAATGAGTCAAACGATAAGGCTGCTTGTAGGTTTTCTGGAACGTGGAGACATCATTTTTTCAACAAAGAAGGTGCACGTCTGCCTTCAAGTTCGTGCAATCTACACTTACTAAGCAAGCCCTTGTTTGAGCTAAATGTTCTCAGGCTCAAGCGCTCATCCAGCTCAAAGTTGAACATGGACTTGCGGCCGCTCGCCGGCACACCGTGTCACTGCCGCATCTTTCCGCATCACCCAGGCTGCCATGTACATTGTATAGTGCCCGGCGCCCGCGGCGCTATCAGCATCTTGCAGGCTAGCGCTCGCGCTCAGGTTCAGCACGCACGAATTGATCTGCTTTCTCGACTGCAGAACAGAACTTCTTGACATTATTACTATGTTTTCATTTGTATTGCAGACAATTTGGAACTGATACATCGCCAGGGACATCTCAGACTCTGCCACAGCCATGATCAAGCTACATCGGGAGACTTTATGTCATCCCATACTCTATCATGGGTCTGAGGGCCAATGTCTGATGTTAGTTGTCAGGTGCGTCTCCCATGACTGCCTATCCGTGTTTACCGAGGATTGCCACTGGATTGACAGCGGTCCTTGAGACTCTCCTTTATTCTCAGTACCTGGGATAGCGGCGATATTGTCAACAGTCTTTCCGCACGGCAATGGTCACTCCTTTGATTGCATGTAAAGGCGGAGCCAGCCAAAAAAGTTCTTGTTCACAACAAATGCGTGTCATATCGATTTTTGTCTCACACCCATATGACACCATTCAGTATACAATGAAGTTCACAGCGAACTTGCACCCATCAAAAATCGCCTAAAATGTGAAGGTGCAGTTCTACGAGCTACGAATTTAAACATTCTGACAAAGATCCCTAGAGCACATATTAAAGCTACTGAAGGCCACTGTCAAATTCGCCTCCAACATGCTACATGTTACATCCGCAACATCGAAACACACGGATAGGATCCTTTCAGTGAGTATTATGTATCTTTGCATCCGATCCGGAGCTCGATGCACCATCGCCTACTCAGTATCTGATCTGATGGCTCTACTATCCGAGAGAAGAAAATTATCAGTTCCAGGCACATGCTACGAGACGTCCGCCAATGGTGGTCGTTGCAGCATCTAGCACATGAGGGTGTCAATCAATTGCACACACGGTCACAAGCTTCAGTTTCATCATCACCTTCCTGATGTAGGTATTAAGCCAAGAATTGATGGTTTGCAGCGAGGGCGTGGCCGATTGTGGGAGGTTGCGCCATTGCTCCGGCCGTGACCTGTAGCTCCTGAGCTAGCCATTTGTGGCCGGAGACAAATTTGCTCTTCTGCATCTGCATTTCCAGGTAATAAATGACATTATCTGTTTCGCTATTCTACCTACCTGCTCGATGGCACAACTTACAGGAAAGTCCAGCGAGGTGGCCCTACAAAGGTCCCGTCCATTTCCTAGCACTGTGGGCATGAGCAGAATAAACGCGGACCCTCCATATACGGAAGACCCTATGGTGGGGAAAATCCCGCATGACAGTATCAAGCGCCTGGATCCGCGAAGCAAATCACTCGCAACATGGATACGTCCCCACGGAGCTTGTCCTGTCAAACAAACCTTGTCCTTCGCAGGGCAGCACGGCATCCCTGCTTTCCCTGCCGCAGTGGTCTCGTGACAAGCGATCTGAACATGGGCCGAAAGTGTAAGTTTAAACGAAATCAAGTGCCAAATATTGTCAGAGAATCTAACACCACATCTGTGTCACTTATCTGATCCCCTCTGCTGCACATGTCTGTAAGTCGATATTAGAAGTCTTTGATAGACTGAGGCCTCTCCGAAACGTCGCACTTTTCGGCATCTGAAACAGCGTGTTGTTTCACTAGAATCGATATGCCGTCAAATTGGGAATCAAGAACGCAAGGTTCATCATTGCCACAATTCCAGCATGACAGCAGCAATCAACAACGATATACGACTTAAGTCAACTCTTGTGAGCACCACACGAATCACTTGAAGTCAATGCTCTCACCTCGAAAGACGAACCCCACATTGTCCAGCTTTGAAACGTCGACGAGACAAATAAACAACATTGAGGTATAATATAGCCCTTCAGTACTATTTAGAACGATATGGATGTGGGCCGATGAGGGCACTATGCTCGATCGAGATAAATGCACTGTGTTGATAGAGCGCTCCGCGGATGAGTCGCGGGAGATCCCTCACAAGTGAAACATAGAACTGAGCGTACTGTGCGGCGTGCATAGCAGCATTAAAGTATTGCTGGAAGGCATATCATCAAGGAAGTCCACCCGCTAGTGTGCTCTTCTGTGACGCAAATTCCCACTACAGCTGCCAGCAGCGTCTATGGTATGCACAATCAGTACGGCAGCAGATAAGCGGACTAACTGACAGAAGTTCGCCTAGAAATCTGACGGCAGACACGAGGATGTTCAGAACGGTCAGTTTGATGTGGGCCTATAGTGCTGAGTTGGGCGGTTGGTGCTAGCTTGACCATGTACGGATATCGATACCGACATTCGCTGGAAATGCATGTTTTTGGTACTTGACCAAGATGAATGTAGGACGTGCTGAAACTTTGACAGAGTACCCGAGATCTCCATATAAATAGAACTGCGACACATTATACCTAGAACAATCGAGCAGGCCACCAGCGCAGATATCCAGGTATGCTGCCTGTGTGCGACACAAATAGGCTCACCGACGTAACCGTGTGTTTTGTGAAGCATATATTGCATGTGGTTGTACTGCAGTACGGCATAGGAATTCAACCCACTGATGCAATGTCTCGAAAGCGCTGAGCTTTGTTTTGTAACTTGAGAGACACCTTACCTGGGGCCTGAACGTTCGAACCTCGGAAGAAAGCAGCTTAATATTGCTGCGGGGCGTAATTGATTAATTATGGCTTGAAAATGGAGAGTAAAAATAGCTGTACATACTTATGGCGTTCCAGCGTTTGAAGTCTGCAAGACATCGCGATCATCACAGATTCGGATGCTACTTACCTGACGAGCTCTCCTGTGACTCTGAGCTTGAGCGATACTCAATGCAGTATAGCGTACGTTTATAATTACAACAATAACGACAAAATTGAAAGCTAAAGTGGTCCATATACATGAACAGCTGGCAGTATTGTCCCACAGCACCAAAGTCATAGCTAGTTTATCACTTCGACGTCATCTACAGCCTCCATCTTAACCCACATACCACCCTACAAGTTAGAGCCTAGTTAGATGGCGGTAAATCAAATCAGAGTGGAACTAGCCTTGGAAAAAAGTGTCAAGTGGTTTCTTGGCCTGAATCGCTCGATAGCCTGCCGACCGTCTCTCTCGGCCCACCACGCAGGTGGGCGCATCGCGGGCTCAGGGGCTAGTGTTATCGCGGAGAAGTTTTGCAGCAAACGAATGAGCATGAACGACATTTCGTTGTAGGCAAACTGAGAGACAATAGGGTATGAGATGAGTGGCGGCAACGAATGAGAAACGTACTTGTTGCCCTAAGCAGATTCTTGGTCCTGCGTTAAATGGCAGGAAAATGTAAGGATTGGGAATCAGGTATTTCTTCACACGTTCGTCGAGCCATCTATCCGGATCGAACTCCAATGCTAGAGCACGGGATCCGAATGAATCCATCACTTATATGTAAATGAGATTAAAGTTACTTACCATCTGGTCCCCATAGATCAGTTCTTCGGTGCATAAGGAAAACTGAATAGCTGAGCCTAAAATTGTAGTAGTCATGCTATGAATCTAAATGATCGAATGACATGCGTACATGGTCCCTTGTGGGATAAACAGTGGCTTCTTCCCAGGTTCAGGGGATGTCCATGTCGTGTCATGCATGTTTTCCCTAAAAGCTTGTGGCTCAAGTCTAGCATCTTTGAAGTAGCCTAAGAACGTACCTCACATCAAAGGGGCTAGGTGGTCGTGTTACAAAGATAAAATATGACTGAAATTAAAAGTAAATCACTTACACGGCAGGAAAAAGGCGCAGTGTTTCTAAAACAGGTGAGAAAAATCCCCGCAATCGACAGGAAACGAGAATAAGCACCATTGAGGACGGCCCGGAGGTACTTCATTTCTTTGATATTATCATATGTGGGCCTTCCAGTTGGCCCAACCTTCGATATGATTTCCTCCCTGAGCCGAGCGAGGAACGCTGGATGCATTGTAAGCAAATAAATGGCCGATGTTAATGTTGAGGCTGTCTGAGAATTATTCTTCGTTACAGACCAGGATGACTTAAAAAGGTGATTGCGAGCTTACAGTATCTCTTCCCGCCAGCAATATATTTAACGTCTCATCTTTGATGATCTTGAAGTCTGAAAAGAACATTTCAACAACAGAAATCCCATAGTAACGTGCGGTCTCACCCGATGTCAGGTTTACGAGATGGTCCACAAGGGTTTGGTCATTGTCATTTCTGTCTAAGTCTACAGCCGTGCTATGCTTCTCCAGAGCGTCTTTGAGGATCGGATCTAAAAATGCGTTTACCACTTTCATGTGTTGCGCGGTGCTGTCAGCAAGAATCTCAAAAAGTGGCCAGATGTGCCCGACGGAGATACGACGATTGATTATCTGTTGAGCCTGAGAGAAAGCGTCTGAGAAGGCGGCGGAGGGGTTGTCTCCTTGAATAACATTTGCGGATTCTGTCGCGTCATTTGGGTAGGGGAGTCTAGCGGAAAGTGAATCAATACAGTGTCCAAATAGGAACTCTGATGCAGAGTCAAGCGTGAATCTTGAGATGAGATCCTGTGGTGGGTGTCAACAAAAAATGACAAGGCTAGTTTGGAAAAGCCGTACTTGGAAGTCGATTGCCAAGCCCGCTCTGAAACGTTCCTTCGCCAAAGCAATAGCATGATCCGCATGACGGTCAAAGATCTCAAAGTGACCTATCCGATCATGGGTGAAGAAAGGCCGTGTCATGGTTCGGTGAAGCCTACAGACAAGTCTAAGATTCCCCATCAAAGGCAATCTTCAAATCCATTGCTCACTTCCATGTTTCACCTGGTGGGACAGCCAATTGGTCAGTCGGTCACAGGTCTCGCCGATGCACGCTTACCATCTGAATTAAATACGCCCGTTCCAAGGACGGAGTCAGCTGCTTCTCTGAACTTGGCACCTACATTGAGTCACATTTCACGTGTAAACGGGCAGCGTCTATGGTGCATACCTTTAGCATAGTTATCGAAGTCAGTTGCGAGCATGGTCTATGTGGTGTTTCATTATAATATTTTCGAATATACATTGGAACTTGCCTTGATGTGTTGCGGTTCCGTGGTCAGGATGGAGTCCTCCCAAAAAAACCGAAAATTAACAGTCGGTCCCAGAAGCTTGATCTCGTCCTCAATAGGTCGTCCTATACGTACGATGCCGTAAATCATGAGCATGGAATGGATGAAATTGAAACTGTACCAAGGTATTCATTCTCGGACTTCAAAACCATATTCACTACCTTGTCGAGATTTCCAGGCCATTTGCCCTGGACACGAGGGACAAGTCTGGCACCGAGTCGTTTGGCCTTTCGTTTCTGCGATCTCCCATCCGCAAGAATGTATGCCGCAAACCCGAGAGGCGTTGCACCCAAAACCACCGCAGATATAATCCATGGAGAAACTCGAACGCCTTTTAGAGAGGCCAGGCGTGCTACGATAATGACGGAAGAAGCGGCCGGAACAACGACGGAAAGCAAGCCCCGTGTGAGGTAGGCCACGCCAGGACTGACCCAAGATGGGGACATACTAACTTGAAGTTTGTTACTAGTTGGTGACCCAGAGTAGCAAACGGAAAGCCAAGGAGTGGCGACAACTAGCACTCACACTAACACAGCTCGTGGTGGTCACTGGCTGTCCTAGTGTTCAAGTTGGTGAGCGTCAACTTGAAACTGCGGTGATCTAATTTTACAGGGGTACATCACGTTACGTTATCGTAACCCTAAGTTGAACCAAATTAGTCAGGCTAAGATTTATATTTGCCATGACCCTGAGCCGATGGCAGAACCAAGGTGAGTCTAAACCTTTCAAGACTGATGGCCTGGCCAGATAGCATCGCAGTAACCCATCGTCTTAGAGGTAACCTGGAGACCCTGTGACTGCTTGTAATCTGCTACAACCTTGAGCTTATGGCCTCTCCAAAACTTTCTATCCCCGAAGATGGTGCCCGAACGCCTGTCCGATCTTGAAGGCTAATTCGTCTTAGCATCAGCTCAACTGACGATGATGACAGTTCAGAGCAGACGGATCATATCTTGAGGACACGCAACCTTCCATTCCTCAGACTATGGTAATTTCCTCCATTTATGGTCATTGGTGTGGGGAATGAAATCCAACTATTTTTTCTTTCCCCTCTCCATGACGCACGTTATATCATGTCACATGAAGGTAAGGGGACGGAATCAAATGTTCATGAAACGGTTTTTATAGCCGGTAACTTTCTGCAGCAACCCACAGCTCTTGTTTATCTTCCGTCGCACTTGGGATTGAATTTGCCGTCATCACCAATCACTTGCCGTCGGCAGTAAAGCAGTATGACCACACCGGGAATCGCTTTCCTTGGTCGCACAGCCGTATTGGCAGGCTCGCTATGCTTTGGCACCATCTCCTTAGCGCGGTTCGCGACAATGTCTGGTATATCCTTGCCACCATGGATCTTCCTACTGGGTGCGACCAGTAGTTTACCAATTGGGTTTACATTACGCCTCCTGTATGTCGGTATCATTCGCCGCCGACAGGCTGCAAGGATGGGTGCTCGCCTTGCGTGTACTGTTAAGGGCAAAACAATTGGTAACCTCGATGTCATGCTCAAAATGGTCGATCGATTCAAGAACGGTTATCCTGGTATGTCTGTCTGATTTCCGCATACTAATTTCGCATGAATTATTGTGTCAGGTGATGGACTGGCAGACTTCGTCGCAGAGTTCGGAACATGCTTTAACCTCCACTTCATGTATGAAGACCTCATATTTACAGTGGAACCTAGCCACATCAAGGTATACCGATAGGCTTGCTTTTTGAAATTACGGAACTGATACTGTTGAATCGCAGACCATACTAGCGTCCGATTTTGAAAACTATATCAAAGGTGATGAGTCGATCACATTTTCAATGATCGGCTCCATTTTAAATATTCTATACAGGGAATAAGTTCAGGAAGACGATGTCAAGTGTCCTCGGGACGGGCGTTTTCAATTCTGACGGTAAACGAACTTCTATTCAGTTCCCGAATGACTAACATCATACTCATGAAAGGTGAAATGTGGAAATTCCATCGCTCAATGACAAGGCCTTTCTTCAGCCATGACCGAATCAGTCACTTCAATACCTTCGATCGTCATGCCGAAGACGCTATCACGCAGATGAAGGCGCGTTTCCGTGCTGGATATCCTGTCGACTTCCAGGTCAGCTTCATACTAAATATGTCCTGATGTTACATTACACATTAACACCAAAAGCATAGGACCTTATCTCACGGTTCACGCTCGACGCCGCCACGGAATTTTTATTTGGCCATTGCGTACACAGTCTTTCTGCAGGACTGCCTTACCCGCATAACGTCGTAACGGCCGAAGCCCTTACTGGCAGGGCAAAGACTGCTGATGACTTTGCTCGTGCGTTCGCAGATGCACAATCAATTATCGCCCAACGTCCCCGCAGAGGCTGGATCTGGCCCTTGTTTGAAATATTCAAGGACGACACCGCAGCGCCTATGCGAATCGTGAACTCGTTCATCGATCCTATATTGAAAGAAGCTATTGCCAAGACACAGTCTGCTCATGCCAGTGGAGAGAAGAATGTGGATAACGATGATACGACATTACTGGACCATCTTGTCGAGATGACGACAGGTAGGACTCCAGCATTCTTGCGTATCACGAAATTTATTTTCTGGTAATAAGATCCCGTGGTGCTGAAAGATGAGATCTTGAACATCATGATCGCCGGTAGGGATACGGTAAATCTATCGTTGCGTTCGCCTGAATATTAATTAATCATCTTGCACGTAGACCGCTGGGACGCTAACTGTTGCCCTGTATCTACTTTCCATGCACCCGCATGTGATGACCCGCCTGCGAGAGGAAATCATGGCCAAGGTCGGACCTACTGAAAGGCCGACTTACGATGACATCCGTGAAATGAAGTACCTTCGTGCTGTCATTAATGGTATAGACAAAATTTTATGACTCGTCCTACTTTGACCTCTGACTTATTTGCTTTACAGAAACTATGAGGGTTTTTTCTCCTGTGTAAGTCGCTTGAATCAGGAATTTAAAGACCTGTCTGATAGTTGTTCGCAGACCTTTCAATGTTCGGTGCGCAGTGCATCCTACATTCTTGAGAAAATGCTGACATCATGATAGTGAGAGTGTGAATGCATCTACACTACCTGCAACTAGCCACTTGGACAAACCAATATACGTCCCTCCTAAGACAAGGTACAGCTTTATTTTCCTCCGAGAGTTTTCAACCGTAACACAGATATTGGCTCTAGCGTCAGCTACTCTGTGTTTCTAATGCATCGCAGAAAAGATCTTTGGGGCCCTGATGGTACGCCTTTGCATGTTTCGAACGATCGGTCTGCACACACTGACATTTTGCCAGCTGATGAGTTCGATCCCGACCGCTTCCTCGATGAACGGCTACACAAATATCTTACACCTAAACCCTTCATATTCCTTCCCTTTAACGCCGGCCCCCGCATCTGTCTCGGACAACAGGTGACATTTCTCGCCTCCTCTTCCTCACTTAGCAAGTTTTCCTGACCCTAACCCATAGTTCGCTTACAACGAGATGTCATTCATGCTCATCCGTCTCCTTCAATCCTTCTCATCTATCACTCTCCACCCCGAAGCGCAACACCCGGACACCCTCCCGCCTGTTGATTGGGCTCATGCTACAGGCCGCAAATCACGTGAACAGTTTTGGCCGAAGGCTCATTTAACGATCTATGCTCACGTACTGTGCTCTTCTCTTCCTTCGTTTCCGTGTTAATAACCTCATTTGATAGGGCGGACTATGGATCCGCATGGCGGAAGCTGAGAACGCTAATTGAATAATATGTTGGGGAAGTGTACTAATAATAATAGCGATCGTGGACTGGTATTGAAAACTATCTGTATTATGATCAATCTATCTCTCAGACTGTAGTTTCTCGAATGATCTGCCCTGTCCACACCTTTCAATAATGTGACCTGCAACGATTCGCTGCATCAGTCGCGATGTGTTGTATCATAGAGTAATGTAAATGTCATTATTAAATAGCACGGTGTCCACGTTTCCACACCTGAAAGAAAGACTCACCGCTCTGACATCTTTCAACTCCTCATACTAGTATCTACGCCCTATTCTTCTGACGTCACCCTCCTCACTTAACAATGTTATACATAGCCAAGTCTCCTCCGTAATTGGTGACACGGCGATCCCAGCGCCCGTGCATCGGATCGTGGAATGCCTTATTAGCTCTTGCGAACAGTAATGACATCACGAGTAGGGCTGAGACGAGGAGCCAGCCTAGCCAAGCGAATGCGACCAGCGCAGAGAGGATCCTACACATGCTGTACGCCCAGCAGTAAGAAAGGTTACCCCATGTGAATAGGATGTCAGGTGGATTGCCGTTGCTCTATGCCCCAGTGTGTGAGTATGACGAACCATGAGGAGGGAGTGGGTAGAGTGACGTACTGTGGCAACAGCAGCGCCGGCGAGCCAGAGAAGGAAAAGGATAGATAATCCAACGAGCTCTGCAGTGAAGGTGTTCATGTGACGATGTTCGTGTCTGCCGTGGATGGTCCAGGCACTGATGCGAGCGAGCTTCAACTTGGAGTGAATGTAGTAGAAATCATACGTACATAAACGTCGACCAGAAAATGGTGATGATGGATGTCACGAGCAGTTCAACCACGATGTGGTCTTGACAATGACAAGCTTGAGTGGGGGGCAGGGCACGTGTATCGTGACAGCTAACGTACCATAAAATTGGATGCCTCCATTCAGAGGATCATCTAGCGACAAATGTAAGGTGTATTGCAGCCTTGCGGCGCACAGTGCCATAAGGACAACTGAGAAGATGGACTAGACGCAGAAGTCAGCGTCTTGAGAGGCATACGATTGACTCGCGACTTACAAGAAGACAGTAGAGGAAGATTCGTACGAAGTGGATCATGACGATAGTGTGCAAAGGATGACTCAACTAGGTGTGTTTGCAGATAGGCGGGGCCTTATATGCACGACAAGGGTAGACACCAGGCAGTGGTCTTCTCACCTAAACGAACGCATGCTGCATGTTTCGGGCAGCGTGATAATGGTGCGCCACTGCTGCGACTGCTGCGGTAATTGCTGCGATGTTCTGCAGTATCAGCATTACATCAGGAAAAACCTTCCATAGGGCGATTGCAAGTGGTCAACAAGCAATCAACAGGCTAGTAAATTTTAATAAACTTTGTCATCTATGTGCACGAGGGCTCCCACGATGGGCGAGAAGTTCCGCCCCCCACCGCGTTTGAATTCAAATGCTCCTAAAAACGCGAAATGGGGAACCTAGAAACCGAAGAATGGTACTGACTGTGTCTTGAGATGATGGCCGCGACTGCGCAGTGATTCGATTACGAGGGAATCATACCAGCCACAATGACAAATCGTTTGACGAGGAAATGCTGGGTCGGAAGACTTACGAACAATTTACAACTGTCATTCGTCTCAAGCCTTGAACAAGTTCGTGTCACCGATCTGGAGTGGAACGATCTTCTACGTCATGCATCATGTGCGGCAAGGTAGTTGTCGCGCTCACCATATAATTGAGCTGCTCCGCTCACTCGTTTTAACAAATCCTCACTGTCCACCAATCGACTTCAATTCTGCTCCATGGAACGATGCAGTATTGATTACGCCACGCAATGCAGTGCGGGTTGAAAACCAGCGTGAATTCTCATGGGGTGAAAATGTGGGTACGCACAGCCACAATTATGGGCTGATAAGTGACCTTGTAGTTACAAGTAACCTGTTTGGGCGCCGTTATGTGAAGCAGTAATAGATTTAAAGGTAAGCTAGTAAGTGTCTAGTATGAGTGATATAGGTGGGAGACGGTTCTGCGGGGCGCCGTTGGGCGTCGGGCGCGCTATTGAGCGCAGTGCTAGTTGCCCTATTCTTCTGACGTCACCCTCCTCACCTAACAATGTTACGCATAGACAAGTCTCCTCCGTAATTGGTGGCACGGCGATCCCAGCGCCCATGCATCGGATCGTGGAATGCCTTATTGGCAATCGCGAACAGTAATGACATCACGAATAGGGCTAAGACGAGGAGCCAGCCTAGCCAAGCGAATGCGACCAGCGCAGTGAGGATCTTACACGTGCTGTACGCCCAGCAGGAAGAAAGGTTACCCCACTTGACGTACATGTCAGGTGGATTGCCGGTGTGCTATGCCCCAGTGTGTGAGTATGATGAATCATAAGGAGGGAGTGGGTGGAGTGACGTACTGTGGCAACGGCAGCGCCGACGAGCCAGAGAAGGAAAAAGATAAATAATCCAACGAGCTCTGCAGTGAAGGTGTTCATGTGACGATGTTCGTGTCTGCCGTGGATGGTCCGGGCACTGATGCGAGCGGAGTTAAACTTGGAGTGAATGTAATAGAAATCATACGTACATAAACGTGGACCAGAAAAGGGTGATGATGGATGTCACGAGCAGTTCAACCACGATGTGGTCTTGACGAGCTTGAGTGAGGGACTGGGCACTTATATCGTAACAGCTAACGTACCATAAAACCGGATGCCTCCGTTCAGAGGATCATCTGGCGACATATGTAAGGTGTAGTGCAGCCTTACGGCGCACAGCGCCATAAGGATGACTGAGAAGATGAACTAGACGCGGAAGTCAGCGTCTTGAGAGACATACGATTGACTCGCGACTTACAAGAAAGCAGTAGAGGAAGATTCGTACGAAGTGGATCATGACGGTAGTGTGCAAAGAATGGCTCAACTAGGTGTGTTTGCAGATTGGCGGGGCTTTATATGCACGACAAGGGTAGACACGAGGCAGCGGTCTTCTCGTCTAAATGAACGCATGCCGCATGTTTCCATTCCCGCTGCCGAGAAATTACAAATAAGTAGTGGGGCCTTGTGTAATGTGCTTGAGGACGGCGATGGAAGAACAAAAACGAGACTACAGCGAACCCAGGAAGCGGTGAATACTTTGCTTGACTGCTTTTCAAATGCATGGAGAGCGGGCTATGTCTGATTAATGGACAAGCCAATCAAGGTTGAGTTGAGAACTGTGCTTCTCGGAGGTGTTTGCCACGTTTATTCGCCTCGAGGCCTGTCAATAATGGCCTCGTTGAGGTCAGGCGCCATTTCACGTGCGTTGGAAAATTACATCATTGGTGCTGTCCAACGAGCGCAATGCGGTGCTGTGGATATCAAGTCAGTTGTGAAATCGGTTGCTGAAATTCTCACTTCGTAACGAGCGACATTGGTTCGTCGCACTATCTGTTTGTTCTCCGAGATGGAAAAAACTGAAACCGAGTCAACCCGGACATCAAAGCAGCTACTACTTGCCATCGTTGACAATGGTAGTCAATTGCAAATCTAACGGGCCGGAAGAAGTTCAGTCCAATGAAGTCATCATGTGAATGGGTTCGTTGCAGAGTTGCAGTGGTTGCGCCGCTAGAGAGGACATGACATGAAATTGCACCAAGGATGAATTACACCTTTCAAATGTTGGGGCTCCTTTCTTCGAGTTCCTGCTCTCGGAGGCGTAAACGATCTTCTCGTACCTTCAGTTCCTCCTCTCGGATGTTCAGGTCCTCTTCTCGAAACCTCAAATCCTCTTTACGCAGCCTCAGACCCTCTTCTATCGTTGTCAAACCTTCCTCTCGTGCGATCACCTGATTCTCCCTGAGTCTCAACGTCTTCTCAGCTACTTTTAGCCTCTCCTTTAGTCCTTGGCTTTCGCTATCACCTTGATCCTTCCGGGTATCACATGTCGACCAAATGATATAGGCACACTGAATGAACGTACTAAATTGTCTGATTGCTTCAAAGGAGCAGGCTCTTGAGCGTAGATAGTTTCCTGATCATTGTTGGAGGACATGGTGGAATTAGTGAGCAAGCAGAATTGGGGTTGTTCCTGAACTGACCTAGCCTTATTTGTTGTCGTAATCTAAGTGGGAGATTTCGCCGCCACGTCGCTCGTTCTAAAACACGGTGGTCTATGTAACGTTCGTGCTAACTTGAAACTATCCTACAGCGAGCTACAAGTTTCTGCACCCTGCGTAAGTGTTATTCAGAATCTTTGCAAGGGGATATTAACTGATTCCATGTAATTAGCGCCGTTAACCACAACCGCAGCGTTGCACTTGCCGCAGTGTGTTGTTACACAACTCTTTCTGGTTATCATTATTCCCCACATATCCTTCACGCCAGCGCTTTCTCCCCACATACCCCTTCAGCCCTGTCATTACCGACGTCCGCATAATCATCAACATTCGTCATGCCTGCAGTCTGGCAGAGACATCCTCGATATTTCATCCTTGTATCCTTGGTTCTGACAGCAACTTTCTTCTTACTCAGTCCATACGAAGCTCCCCTCACCACCGACTCGTATGCTGCATATATCCGTGACAGTACCCTTCCAGCACGACTTGAACGAGCAGAGAGGGTCTATCAGAAAGTTGTAGCTGGCCGCAAGGACCTAATACAGAGATATGGCCCAACCTCTCGCGACATTGTCATGTACGTTTCACCGACTCACTAGTCCTGTTGTGGAGAGCTGAACATGTTCCAGGTTCCCACCAGACAAAGACCCATGGCCAGCATACACGGCTTGTAAGTTTTGTCGATGAAGATTTCCGTTTGCCAGAAGACGTTTACCAAACATTCTCAGGGAGCTTCTTTCCTCCAGCCTTCGACTGTCCGCACGAACTAGAGCGCATAGGTGCACTGGGGGATGGTGGAAAGTGGGCATGTGGGATGTCTCGACTGGAGCACAAGCCAGACTGTATCATATACACTTTCGGTGCGCCCTTTCCTTCGTCCAGTTTTGGTCTAGCACTCACTTGCACTTGCGTAGGTATGAACTATGAAACGACATTCGAGGCACAACTCCTCGAACGGACGCGGCACTGTCAAGTTTGGGGATATGACTATCGCTCTAACTCATTTGGATCCCACATCAAGAACAACTACCGCGCACACTTCTTTTCGTGGGGTCTTGCCAATTTTGATTCGCATGAGTCGCACAATAACCCTAAACTGTATACTCTCAAGACCCTGCTTGACATGAACAGTTCGTATGCCCTTCTATATGCGTTCTATCTCTTGCTAATAAAGCGCTCTGATCAGAGCACGAGCATATTGACGTACTCAAAATTGACATAGAAGGTTGGGAGTTTGACACACTCACCCAGATAATCCAACCATACATCTCGTCCGGGGAACCACTACCATTCGGACAGCTCATAGTCGAGATTCACGCCTGGGACAAGAAGTTCGAGGATTTCTTGCCTTGGTGGGAGCTGCTAGAGCAAGCTGGATTGAGACCATTTATGAATGAGGTACGTACCGAATTTATTTGTCGCATATTCCATTAACGTTTGTCTTGTTCAGATAAACCTCGTATACCAGAACTACAACCGGGGAAAAGACACGGATCTTGCGGAGGTTTGTCGAGCTTCTATGTTCCTGAATATGAACTAACCAGCCCCGCAGTACTCCTTCATCAACATCAAAGGAAACAACATCTTCATCTCGGACCCGCAAGATGCTCCTGGACATTCGGATGTTATATAAGCAATACTGCGCTGATCGCACCTTGCGGTGTACACACGGAAACTCCTGGTGGCGTGGGTATGGTGACATAGTGGACAGTCGATGGTCAATTTTGTGTGGATACACACACTATGGATATACGCATATATTAATGATTGAGTACATGTTGCAGGTCCAGTGCAAGACTGCGCTGCGCTGAAGCTGTGCTTGCTGTAGCGCTCAGCCTTAGCTATGTTTCGCCATAAAGGTACTGACCGCAACACTGCGGATTGCACGTGTGTCTTTGTACGGCTGTTACCTGAAATGACGTTCTTGCCAAGTTCTTGCTGTATTTCATGGATCGCATATCCGACTCCCCGACTCTCGGGAGATCGGTTTCTCCACCTATGGCACTACTCCGTGATTATGCATTATGCCAAGCAAGGGACGTTGACAGTCACATTTTAGAACTCAGATAAGTCTTTTCCATACCATCTAGAATAGCAGAGTTCTACTACCTATAGGCTATATAACTTCCTATAGGGCAGAACTGGCAGAACTGGCAGAACTTGGCAGAATATGGCAGATGCGGCAGAAGCCACCAGGAGTTTGTCTGTTGACCACTCGGAGCGCAGACCTACACTGAATGTTCTGGGAGTGCACTCCGCCTATAGTTTAATGAGTTTCTATGTGGCATTGCCACGTATAGAATCAGGTGGATCGTTTGATCACTCTTTGTGGGTCTCTTCTAGTCTCCGCCCCATGATCATCATACCAATCATCTGGCTGCGGTCAGACCAAAAGCACAGCCAGCCAACAATCAAGCGCTCGGGCCACGGAGGCCTCGAGGTGATCATTTTTTCCCGCCGATGAGAGGAAATGTCAAGTGTCAAGGGGTATCTTATTTTTAGTTTGACAGGTGAAAGTGGACATTGAGCGTCAATGCCAAAGTCTGGAATCTGGACCCCCGTGAAAACCGCGCCAAGGGGATTTCATTTCGATAAGCTTAGTTCATTCCTCAGGCTTTCTTCATCGTGGATACTTGTTTTGTTGGGACCTTAAAAACCCCATAACATAAATGCCTTGCTGTGTACAGCCTTTTCACAACGTTTTTTTCTCCTTTCTTCTTCTCTCTGTACGCTGATTGTTTGCTATGGCGGTGGATATTAACGATACGTTTGGTATGTGTTTTGAATGTGTTCTAGGGGCACAGTTGACCTTTTTTCAGGCGCGGGGTTCATCGGGGGTATGGTGACTGCGATGTGCGTCGAGAGTCTGTCTCCTTCGGCCAGGACTTGACAGTGCAATTGGATCATAGCTTGTATGGCATCACGACTCTGCAGGTACGCCGTGTTTCGGTTGTTGAAGGCGGCAGCACTTACTGATCTGCGAACCCCCGCAAGACATATCTGTATTATGTGTATTACCCCAGCGACACCAGCAGTCTGAAACTATTGGTACGTCGTATCTGATTATGCTCGATTTTGGCTTACAAAAGTGTTACAGGTTGCGCTCATCTGGTAATTTTCTTTGCGTTATGGATTCTGCTTTCCCTGAATTTCTGCTAGGGTCATGGACACTTTACATGTCTCCCTCAGTGAGTCATGGATTGGCGCCTAAATTGACATTCACTGAATTAATCCCGGTTCAAGTGTGTCATGCTCTATATTACTACCTTGTGCGCGTCAACGACAGGATCCTCGTGTATACGATTCTGATTCAGTATAGGTAACGAGTTTTGGTGACCCGGCTAACCTTGGCATTGGGGTCTGGTACGTGCTTCTTCCACCGCAATGATTAGGCGCTGAGTCATGCATACCAGGTCTCTTTTCGTGAGTCCCTCGCGTTGAGTAATTCAACATCTAACATATGGGAATCGAAGACATCGCTCGGTCTGAACGCAAGTTTTTTCTTTCCATGTGAGATTATTTCCGAAACTAACCTTGGAAGTAGCTGTGCATGGCCGTCCTCGTGCAAACGTATGTGGCGGTTTCACTAACTGTTTGCGGATATGTATAAGGAGCTTCTTTTTCAGATACTTTGCTTTTCGAATATGCCATCGTAAGTGTTTCTTTTCAATTGATTTACTTGCGTTGAATCTTTGTGGGGTAGTCACCCGGTCCAAGATTCGATGGTGGCTGACATGCTTTATCGTAAGCTTAAGCTCTCGGGTTCATATGGTGGTTTGGCACTGAGTGGTGTTTTGTCATTTCAAGATGTTGTTCGTCATTGCACACTTCGGTAAGACTCCATATACGACTCATGTAAGCAGCTCATTGATTAGAAATACAGCGTTTGGATTGGGTAGGCTCCATTTTTTCATCTTCCTCATACAACGCGCTGAGCCAAAGTAGAGACAGTCATCCTCATGTGAGTACTCCTCTCTTGAATCTTGGTGAAATGTAACGAATCCTTTCAGGTTCATCAAGAAGGAATTCAGCGCGCTTTCGGAGATCACTGTGCGCTGAAAACATGTTTGACTAGGCATCCTGCTGACGCTCTTGCAGCTCTACGCCGCCACGCCATTTGCCATCACTGCGGTTTTGTCTGATGTCTTCATTGCTGCGGCGCTGTGCGTGCTTTTGCATGGCAATCGCAGTCCTATTATTGAGTAGGTCTCAATCCCTCATTGCTGGCGAAGTTGAGATTGATAACGACCACCAGGACCAACGCACTCGTTAATACGTTGATCATATACGCTATCAATCGTTGTTTGCTGACTTCGTACGTCTCTTGTCTGATAGACATGGGTGATTGCACTAACCTCGCTTCTTATCTTCTAGAGTCGTTGCTGTGGCCGAAGTCATCGCTGTAAGTTCAGGTGAACGACGCAGATTTGAAACTGATGTCTGTCTGTCATGCAGTTTTCTATCAGCCCAGGCAGTTTATGGTTCATCGCGATAGATTTTGTCATCGGAAAGCGTGAGCGCCTATTTATGTTTCTCGGATGACAAGATATGTCCTCACCCTTTTATTCTGCAGTATATGCCAATTCCCTCCTTGCATCACTAAATAGTCGGAGTGCCCTACGAGGGCGCAACCACACTCACGCTGACAGTACGAATTTCCGCATCAATACCATCAATCTTGGTGCCCTACAGTCCTCAAGCGACGGGGATAGCAGCGGAGGCGTGCAGAGTAAAGCGACCACCAGCACTGTCTCCGCTCGTGCCCATGTAAAATCACTTCCAGGTGGGGATACCGACCTGTTTGAGGTGAGTTCTTCCTGTGCTTCGTTTATCTGATTTATTGATGACGGAGATGAAGATGGGGAACCCGGACAGAGGCGAAGTCTGATGCTTTTGTGGCTTCATATCCTCGTTGCCTGCCGACGTATCCCCATGCGCTACCATAGAACGCTGTTTTTTTCCTTCGCCATCATCATTATCATCGCTCATCATTATTTATCATCATCATGGAATTGTTCATTGCTGATATCCCTAGCACTTCTGCTGAATCTCAGTATCACTCTCGCGCGCCTTTCTTGTACTCTCGTATCTCGATACCCCCAAAAAATAAACTTATTTTCATTAATGACGTGTGATTGAGAATTTGAGATTCAACCGTTGTCGAGGAGCCACCGTGCCACGTCTGATGCATAGAAACGTTAGATAATCATTAGGCGAAAATGAATTAATGATGTGGGGTAGCGGCGTTGGCATAATGCCGCCATGTCTCCGCCAGCTCACGCAAACTCTCTAGGTCTCTCCATCATGATGTTCTCTGCTCGATACATTCGGATGAACCTCCTTCATTGGCGATGACCTATAGCGTATCATGCACAGATAGACTGATAGGAAAGTGGGAAAAACGCTGCTGTGCAGATTCCAGAATAAAACAGATCCGCGGTACCGGTGCGTTCTGTTCTACTTTTTCAATTTTTCAATAGGCCTCCCTCTGCGGCCTGCCGCATGGCGATGATGTCTGATAGGCACATTATGCTGTGTCACCTGTTGACCCCGTGTTTGGTCTATTCAAGGATAGCTGTGACTTACAGATAGGCCATCGGACACGACCGGGATGAATTGTATGCAATGCTGTGAGACGTGACCGACCCGAGCCACCTCGATTGCATGGCTGCAAAGATCTTGGGGTGGAGATCTGCACTGGAAGAATCGTGCTATGCGATTCTAGGAATTTGATGTCAAGGGAAGATCAATTCGAGAAATCTTTCTTCCAACAGCCTCGTAGCCTTGTGCTATCCTTACGGAAGATAAGTTCCAAGACTCCTTGCACCTCCAAGTTTCCCAGTTTTCGGAATTAAATCGCTGGTAAGGGCAAGACGCCGACTTGTTCCTAAATCTACTGAACAGGCGCACACATCGAGTTTGCGCTATATTTGCTTTTCGCCCCTCGACTGCAAGTACTTTCCCATGTCTTATTCTATGTCAAACGTCAAATTGAGACACGCAGTACAAGTTACTGAATCCGACAATGCAGGATGTAGTCTCGCAGTTAGGCAATGCTACCTATTGCCCTTCCAGACCCTCCTGCGTGCAAGAAACGAGAGGCTAACAGTGGAAGAAGTCCTCCGTACCTGTGGTGACATGGGTATTTTATGCACTACTTTGATCTCATATTGACAACAATTCAGTTTATCATACATTCGTCGCACGCATCCTCCGCGGTGTACCTTAAGTACTTTGCCAAGTTCTGCCACGTCAATAATTTGCCAACAACACTAGTTGTAATCCAACAGAAACCTCTCAACCATAGCTTGCCCGCCTGTGAGTCTCTCGCCATCTCTCGCCAATCTTTCGCCATATGCATCAGGTAGACCGTATAGGCACAAAGAATCTCTGACAGAGCAAGTGTCAACTGCCCTCATGTACACCAAATGGTTCACCTAACTACCTACTAGAGGTCATCATTACACTTCCGATCGATGTGGACGCAGATAGCTCAAGTACCAATTATCCTTCCGTACGATATCCACAGGGGAGGAACATCCTTTGTCACATGGATGTCGTTTAGTGGGTGTGAGAGCCGCTTGCAGTGAAGTTCAAGATCAAGACATCAAACTTGATGTCTATGATCACCTCACGATCTGTGTTGCCTACTGGGCTCGAGGAAAATCGGGACCCGTGCTGATCGCTGCACGTTTCGGATTGGCAATGACACGGTGAAGCTGACGTGGGTGTCTCCTTCTGTCTTTCTCTTTCGGCTTGATTTGAGCATTTAAACGGGACTCGTGTGCGATCCGCGAATGCCTTGTTGAACATCCGTTTTATTGCCGAGAAGCTTACAGCTCTCTCGTCAGATGGTGACATACATCTTTATGATACTGAGGACCCGTCAAAGGCGCCTCGGCTTCATGCAAGATTTATGCTGCCCGTCCATGGCAAGTCGGACGACTTCGATCACCCATCGATTTTTCGTAGTGCTGAAAGTTGTGGGGGCCTCGCGACACCAGTTGACCTCTGGGTTCGGACAACACAACCTGCAGATCGTGTCGTGGGCCGATCCTTGGTTGGGTTTTATTAAATTTGTCACGTCGCAGGCGGAAATGATTTGTCGTTCCATTTACATATGACCGACTTCAAGCCCTCGGCCGTGGCGCGTAGCATCTGCAAGGTAGTTCATGAACCTGCTGGAGCTGTGTATACGCGGCTGTGTGCCTGCGTATCGCAAGCAAGGTGAAGTGATGGAAAGCACTCCACGACGACAAAGCCCACCCCTCGCCTGGGGGTCCCCCACATCAGGCTGATGTAAGCCTGTGCTGCGAAAGCGACTCTGCAATCCCATCATCGGCTCCTGCATCAATACACTAGAAACAGTGTCTTCCGAGGCAGCATGCAAAGCGGCTATCCTCCTGTGTCATCTATGCATACCACTTTGGACAATTGTACGAGCACCGGTGGAACTTGACTACGCCCATCTTTCGGGGTATGACGGTCGAATTCAGAACTGGAAAAAAACATTTCGGTGGTGGGCGTGTCGATCATTTATGACGATGCAGGGTCCTCATGAACACCAAGCCAACACTCATCGCTCGCGACATGCCTACCTGCCTCATCTATGCGCGTCTGATCGCTCGTTAAGTGGTCGGTAAAGCGTGGTGGAGCATGGAGAGAAAGCTTGGAGGCGACGTAATACTTCTCGTCCTGGTTTTCAACTTTCTTTGCCGCTGTTTTTTCTTCAATGCTCTGTCAGGTTGATGAACTAGCACTCATCATCCAGGTTCTCCAACATGCCTCCCTCCTCCTGCATTGTATCAGCATTATCCATAGGGCCAGTGCCACCTCCACAGCACCAGCACCATCCTTGCACACACCCTCGTTCGACACCACATCCCTATGCAGTTCCTCACCCAGCACCACTTCCTTTTGTTTACTGAATTCATCATCCATCGCGAGCTTACCACTGACGCGCGGGGACTTGGCTGGAAGATAACGATGACGAGCATATGATGCACACTGAGGAATGTAACGCTGCCTGTCCTCGAGCCTATCTCTGCGTATGCATGCACTTTGCACCAGGACATCTTGGTTAGACGTGGGTCTACATGTGGTTCCTTCACCTTACTTTACAATTCATAGCTATCTAACAAAATAATATCATATACATCTGCATAGGACAGCACGAGCTAGGAGTGAGATACAATGCCTAAACCCACACAAGAGAGAAGAGAAAAACATGGAGTGACTTCCAGCAAATGAACTCAGGACCGATGCGAGGTGGGATGACGGCGACCAAAGAAAAATCCGCAGCAGTTGACTTCATAATACACGTCTCCCGTCCCACCACTTGGGCCCTGTGTTTCTGTTGGTTGTCCCTGAGACCCTTGTACCACCGACATAGGTTGACCTGGTTGCGTTGAACTGTCGGCCTCGTTGTCGACATTCGTACGTTGCATAGCTGCCGCAGCTTCCGCATCAGTTTCAGGGGTAATGCCGTACCTCTGCATCGTGTTTCAATGGAATGAAAGGGGAGCGACGACGAGAAAACTCACATCTTCATCACGAGCAGCGGCCACACCAACAATGCGTCTGGAAATCCCTACAGGAATCAAGTTGAAATTCCAATGTCGGGGCTCGCGCGTTGTTGATCGAGGTGAATTTGGAGGTCGAGGACGGAAACGTAGTGAACCGAACAAACTATGAGGGACAGCTGATGGGCTCGCAGGCGGAGCTGGTGCGTGATTTGTATCGTTGGCGAAGAAGTCTTTGCCCTATATCAGTGTCAGGCGAGAAAGAGCTCAGGAACGAAAAGCAACACTGACATATTTCGCCGAGCCTTTGTTACTCGCATGCTGTGTGGAGAAAATTGGGTGTGAGGAGATGTGCTGAACAAACAGATGAGCGAAGGACAAGGTTCATCACAACTGATCGGCGCACGTCTGTCGGTCGGACTGGACGCCCCTAGGAAAAGGTGAGATCGAGTGGGAAAGAGAAAAGGAGAAGGGCTGACTTGCCTTGGACTTTGCATCAGGCCTTGCATTGGCATCATCCACACTCTAAACCAGAACCGTTAAAAACGTGTTAAGGCGCCAATGCACATACGCACGCCAACTTGGTCGCCACCCCGCTGATTGAGCGCTGCCTCCATGCTCCAAAGATATATTTTTGCGTCTAATCCACCACTAGCAATGTAATGTCCATCACGGGATATGGCAAGAGTTAAGACTTCGTCGTCATGTAAGAGTGGATCTCCAGCTGGCTGATTGGTCTTCAGGTCCCAGATGCGAATTGAGTAGTCAGTCGATCCGCTAACAAGATAATTTTCATTAGGGGACAGACAGAGGGATGTGACGTGGTTCGTATGACCTCGAAGAACGACGAGCTCCTCTCCATCAATTGACTGCCATTTTCGGATGGTGTGATCATATGACGCAGAGAAGATGTGTGCACCGTCCTTGGACCAACACAATGATGTCAACGGGCGTTCATGTCCTTTGATCTCGATGAGCAACTGCCCGTCCTTGGACCACACGCAGATAAAGCCGTCCTCGCCGCAGCTCATGAATTTGTCGCATTGCGGAGAATATTTGAGAGCTTCCACCCAGCCATGACGAGTCTCTACTGGTGGTGCTGTTTGTCGGCCGGTATCCGGGTTCCAGCGTCGTATGGTGCCGTCTAGCGATCCACTTGCTATCTCCAGAGCATTGGGAGACCAGTCGAGGCACCTCACTCCATCATTGTGCCCCTCCCAGGAGTCGCCGACCATGATGCCCTTCCTTATGTTCCACAGTCGTAGTCTACCGTCCACACTTCCGCTCACAGCCATTGTTTCATCCGGAGATAATGTCATTGAGCCTATCCCCCCGCCATCGCTATCCAAAGTCTTTCCTACTGGCTCTCCGTCTCTTTTCCAGTGGCGAATCGACCAGTCATCCGACGCACTCAGTATATTACAACTGGTGCCCAAGCAGGCAAGACCCCATATGCTTTTAGAGTGACCCTCGATGATGCACTTCGGCACCAAGCTCTCTGCCGGACGCACTGGCTTTGGTTTATTCCAGGATGTGGTCCGACTGTTGTGGTTGACAAAGTAGGACCGGCCGAGTGGCGAGATGTGCCATTCGCATCCATCAATAACGAGTTGTCCAGGTTCATCTATGCTCAGCCATGAGTTTTTTGGTCCTAATGACACGTTCTTCGCTCACCTATTCGCACTCCTGGTAAAGGTCGGTTCCATGAAGACATAGTAAGCGTGTCGTCTTGATATCTTGTTGTACCACCCAACACCTGAAACTGAAACCATTGAGGGGGGAGCGCCTCATTCCCGCCTGTTTCTTGATGGGTAACTCAATGTTTATCATAATACTGTTGCTCACCTTCCCAAAGAGCATCCTGGCGGCGCTGTGCACCATATGGTGGTGGATACTTCGCTCCCGCTCGAAGAGGTGCAACACGTGCTGGCGAGTCTAACAGCGCTTCTCTCCGTCTGATTGACGTACTTGACTCGGCCTCTTTGCGGGGCATGTCAAGAAGAGACGATAAGGCCAGGCACGGAAGCGCGTAAATTAATAGTCGAGGGCAAGGAAAGATGGTGATGATGAATGGATCTGCTAGATGTTCAGATTTGCATGCTGTGGTTGGAGGCAACCTTGGTGAGAATACTTGTTAGCGGCAGTGCTTCTAATTTCAATACACTTCGGGTTGTTCCGTCTGATAATCACTTGCACTAAATCTGTCAGCGAGCGCCAAGGTACGGAGTGTGCTTGAGCCCAGGTTCGGCATATATCGAGACACCTGGACCACTGGCCAGAGTTTATTTTGAATGTAATGTAATGAACATGTAAACGCAGTCACACGCCTAGTCGGCGCCTCTGCAAAGTGTGACCAAAGTAGAGCATACATACAGTTGTAGCGACATTCGATGCCCAAGTCGAATCATCCGGCGAAACCCTTCTTCGGATGTGCAGGTGCCAGGTGATAACATATCTTATTTTCGTGGAGGTGTCCCACGACAAATTTTTCGATGGGCCTCTCTGCGGGATATCAAACTCGACGAGGCGATAATGGTGTTCACCCAACTGACAATTGAGTCTGTGAGTGCATCTCTGGCTATGAGCATTGTCACCCACGTACTATCAGTTTACTGATGCACAAATACTGCTGCCCTCCACACGCTCCATGCTGTACTACTCGACTTCTTGGTGCAGATGAAGCGTCGGGCGGAACGACATTAAGCCAAACAGAAATTCAAACAATGGGAAATTCGTTTCTGGATGATTGAGCAGTTGTTTGCCAAGAGCCTTTGATTCAAACAATACCATGAACTCGCAATCAGTGGCATTTGCAACAATTAGATGATCAAGAGACTGACCGATAGGAACGCCTGCAGAGTCGATGTATACTTCGACGTGGCCATTGATGATCTTTCCCAGATATCATCTGGCCATAATGCGGTGACGCACTGGGGGCCTCCGGAAGGATGACTCGGATTGGGTTTAGCTCAGTCAAGGTCATGTGTAGCAGATATGCAGAGCCTCTGAAGAGTCTGAACAGATTGATGTGATGATATTGGAATCCAAAATTCACACCACGGGCAGTTTGTTTCGAACGGCTTCTAAGTTCTCACGCAACTACATCACCTGATCAATATAAAAGCGTACATGCGCGTACGCAAACTCCATATGCCTCATCCCGATATGACATACTACGTCTCAAATGATCCCGCTTGGTGGCCGCTCATCACCGGTGCTCGTTTTTCAGCCTATTTTGTAGGTTCGTGGAGAGCAAGTGGGATGACGATGTTGACGTCTCACTATCATTGATTGTGGTCTCGCAGTTGCATCATCTGCTGTGGTGGTATATGATTGGAGTGAGCGAGATAATACTTTCTGAGGCGATCATTAATATGTATACGGTATTCAAGCATGCACATTCGCACAAGAGGTGAGTTGATGTCATGGCCTGTGCAGCCATTTCACTAAGAATGCTCTAACAGTTCGAGCTGATCTGGGTGAGCAAAGTCCTATTAAGAAGCAAACAGGATAATGCAGTTGAATCGGTGCAGATGCAACGCTGGTCCTTCATGTCCGTTCTTTATGTTTGTGTACGTCATGCTACGAGCGCAGTTGGCATGTTGTGCTGACTTCAACATATGCCAGGTGCGCTATATTGGAATATTATATTCTTTGTATGATTTCATGGCTAAGAAGTTGACACCCACTGTACTAATGAACCATATCTCACAATCAGCACTGCCATACTTTGTATGTATTCCCTGAATAAACTGTTCGTTTCTTCTGACTGGCAGCATGTAGGGTCTTTCCCAGTCCCGATGACAGATGTAGTGGGTATTTGGCGCCGATGCCTGACCTTCTCATCCTCACAGCTACTGACTCCACTCCTACACAGGGGTGAGTGACAATCTCGGACAGCTTGATGATTCAACGACACTGCAACAGCTGTAGGTTCATTCGAAGCGGCGAGTCTATGAATGCACAACTCTCACCGAGTTTTTCAGGCCATATCCTTTATTTCATATTGATGTGGACGCCTGTCATCGTCGATGCCATAGTGGGCGGTGAGTTCGCCTGCTGTACCCTACTGAGATTGAATTGACTAAAATATCATGCAAGTCATCATGATGACTCGGATATATGCCATGTATGGGCGGTCCAAAAAGATGCTCATCTTTCTCGCTGTACTCTTGCTGGTTTCTATCATCGCCACTGGAGTTGTGACGGTATTTGGAAACCTGGGTGTTTCGGGGGGTAAGCTTTAATCATTGATGAAATCCTTCAGCACATGGGACTCATGGACAAATACCAGGGGAAGCTGTGCTTTCTGGTTACCACATGTGTTTTTTCAAGATTGACACAGACTTAACAGATCTGAATGCTGATATGTTGATACCCACCGCAATATGGGAGATCGTCGCCTTTTTTCTTGCAGTATGGATTTTTATGAAACACCTCCGTGAACTGCGACAATCGCAGGGAGGATCGACCACTGGGGACTGTTTCACGGTGTTAATACAAAGTCACGTGTTGTACTTTCTAGCGTGAGCTCTGTAATTCAGATGTTGTTATTTTGTCTCGCTAAATTTCCTTGTGTGTTAGCTTTGTTATCGTGGCTTGCGTCACTCTGGGTACACTGTCTCTATATATCACGGTGCGCTGACTTGTAACTGATATCTGCATCTAACCGCTCCTGATCATGTCTACAGTACCCATCTACTTTGGGAGTTGCTGTGTATAACTGCATTTTCAACATCTCCCAGGACTTCCAGATGTGTGTGCTGGGACCACGTCTGATCCTCAGCATCCGTGAATATCACGCTAAGCTCGTGGCCGGGTCTGACGGGGGAACACACATGACATCCATTGCTTTCCAGTCTGGCGGAGATACATTGACTGGCGGAGATGCGTTGACTGGTGGAGATGCGGAGCACTGGAAACCATCCAAGTGATCAACTCCGGGAGCATGTACCATTTGATTTCGAGTTTTGTTGTGGTATTTAAGTACAACCCACTTATATAAATATGTACTTCTTTGATCTCATACATGGGCATAAATGGCATACAAAAGGGAGTAAGCACATATGCAACACAGGGACGACATCTTCACTTGGTTCTTGAGCTTGAAACTCGGCCCATCACTCGGGCTGGTCCATTGCCAGAAAGATGCACTCCCATGGCCTTGATAGATATTTCTATGTGATAGCCGTCGCGAATAGCATATATCAATTGACTTACGTATGAAGAGCCAAGTCTCGTGCCAAATTCATGAAATCTTCGATTTCCATTCCGAGTAGCATCATCAGCACTGCATCGTATCATCCAGTGGCAAACGTGATATTACCATCGGGTTTGAGCCAAGAAAGTCTCGATCTCGCGAAGGAAAGTCAAGATTCCATGTCGGTCACGGTAGAGGAGTCGTGTGACTTCACTGCTGGATGAAGTTACAGCAGGCTTATCTTTCCCGAAGTGTCCGAGTCAACGTTGACGCCGGGTTGCCCTATCGAGGTTTGAAGGCTGCAAGAAGGAAAAGGTAATAATACAGCCAGGTCAGACGGCTGAGGTACAGACTAGTGAAAAATGGCCTCAGCCGTTCTTGTTGTTGGTTCGTCAATGCTGACAGCTACAAGCTGATACAACTTGAGGACTCGAATTCTTGGAGAACGATGTTGATACTAGCCTGGCGGAGAATTCGGTGCACAGCATTAGTGGTACAACAATCAAGAACACACTCGAAGGCCAGGGCTAGTAGACCTCGAGAAATACTGTGCAGCGTGTCTTCAGAATGGATACAATGAACACTTTCAGAGACGATACGTACATATGCACGTTCTACGACGACTACTGCATTCCACTTTATTGCGAGCTAGACACCCGCCACGTCGCGTCAGAGAAGTATCCCAACCTGCGTATTGTACATATTAGCACCCCACGGCTGCACCTTGGAACTGTACGGATTATCGTTAGCGTAGATCGTTTCAGGGGATTGCAGATAGCGTAAGCTGCTTTATTCTTTCCTGTTCCTGGCGACCCCATGAGGAGGACATTCTACAGAATTAGTAAATGAGAGAGAAGCAAGAGTGTCATTTGAACACACACCATGCCTTGCCGGAGTTGTGCTAGCTCTGGGCCACCTCCAAGATGTCCAGTAGAGCACTACTGGACATCTTGGAGGTGGCCCAGATCCACTACGGATTGGATGAGATCCTGTAACAAACCCGTTAGCTTGCATAAAAACAATGCGAAAAGTACCACCACCCGTACCTGGGTGGGTTGGCCCTTGACCAGTTTTCTCCACGCGTCTTGATCATACTCGTCAAACACCCGAGACTCGGACAGCAAGTAACAACGCTGTCAATAGAGGCGAGGCGAGGCGACCGCTGCAGGAGTGTACGGAGACGACAATCATATATCGCGCTTCATCTGGCCGGGTAATTCCTAGTGTACTGAGATCTAGCCCTGATTCTGCGTTAAAATTCCATGAGCGTTATCGACGATGCATTAGACAGACACGTAGGCCTTCGCAGATGACATGATAGACCTATAATCAAGGTAAACATCCGAGATAGTCATTAGACTAGTGGGGGGTGTCCATATGATCTATAGATTGACTGAAACTGTCGAGTCGCGGCTTGTTCGCAGTTCCATCGGATTCGTAGACTAGTGAAAGTTCTTCGATTGGTAGGCCACATGGGCCATGGCTCAGTGGTATAGTTTGAAGGCGACCTTATAAATCCTTTTATACTACGTTCTCCGACCGCATCAAGCACCGAAACAAGGCAAGGTAGAGCAGCGTGTTGACGAAGAGTCTAGGCCACCGAGTACTGAGTGGTTGGTAAATGATGAAGTGGTGGGATTTCCTTTGTCATCAGACGCAGTTTCTTTCTGTTTTCCGATCCCACAGAACTTGCGCAGAGCCCTCTTACTCGTAGCTTACCCGCTGGTGAGCCTGTTGCCATCGGTAGGCCGCATAAACACGTGGCATTCACCCAATCTCTATGATTCACCAGCACTGAGTAAATCAAATCAGCCCAAGATGATCCTATCACCGACCAACAATTCGCCTCGGCAACGTGTGGACTCCCTGGTTTCCATTTTGTCCCGACAGGTTACCCTTAAACCAGCGATGAGCGGACAAGCGACTGCCGGCGACCGAGTCGCTGGACCGGCACAGACTGCAAGGGAAACCTAAGGCCAAACCTCTAGCGGGAGGCAACGGCTCCATCTATCGAGGACCGACTACAACATGCAGCAGCGACTACCCACAAGCCAGGACTCCGGCCACTGAGCCGGGACCCACGACACCCCATTGAGGACCTGCGCCACTACATGTGCCACCCCAACACATGCAACCGTCCGCGGTTGCACAACGGGAGGGCTCTCCAACTGACAACCCGTGCCTGACCACCTTGGTATATCGCGCCCTCGGATGTTCTGACATATTGGCATTGGCCCTCTCGCAATATGTCTCGTTATTTGTGTCACGGTCATGGTCACTCTACGTAGTCCACGGCCATTCTACCTATAACTCCTCGCTTGTTTCTCCCGCTTGAAGAGCGCCCGTTACAATTTGGTCGACGGTCGATGAGAGTTGGCATGGTCCTCTGAGGATCTAATTGTACCTCTGCACCACGCTGGTTTGGCCTTCGGCGTGTTACATTCACATCTCTTCCTAACTACGAGCTCTCCGATGGGGCACGCCTTGGAGCACCAACCACTCCATTCTGTATGCACTCTAGAGCATAATAATGCAGTACAAGTCCCCTGAAGAAGGATTCTTGGTGTACGAGTGCGTAATCTGAGTTTGGTTGCTTATTTACTTTTTCCGTAAAAATTCTATCATCAGCGTCCTATAATATTGTCTTCACGAACTTCCATCTCCTCACTTGCCCAAAACATTTGATGGTAACAAGTCCGTCACAACGCACCTCCCTCATATACTGCAACTTCTACGTATGCATTAGCAGATTCCATCCAAAGAAGACGGTCATCTCTATGTTCCTTTTTACATAGCAAGCAGAAATGGAACAATGTTCTAACTTGCATCTGTAATATTGTTTCCACTCCCGATTTCACCCCCTTCTCTGTTGCCCCGATTGTCAACGCCTGCGCTACTGCTCTCTCAGCTGCGGAATTCTCCGACTCCTGCAAAAAACCAATATCATGAGAGACCTTTTCTGCGTTATCTGGATTCACTCCCGAATCTTCGTTTGCATGCTCCTCCGACCTGCGTCTCGCGTGCACGGCAACTAACGACCAGTTATTGTTTGTGCAGCTGAATTTGAGAATTATCAATTGTAAGTGGTAAACCCGCCCAAGAGTGCGTTAATTAATTGTTTGTGCACTAAGCCAAGAATGAGCCTTTGAGACGATCTTTAGGTTGTTTGCCAGACGAAAGGGGGTGGATTGGGCGGAAACCAGTTGGTTGTTCGTTTCCACATCAAGGAATTTTAAAGACGCCTGCGCATTACACAGGATGTAGTATGTCAGGGTGGACATCTGGGCCATTTCGTGGTGCGATACTGAGATCAAGCATCCGCACTCCCCGTAAGCACTGCTTTCTGCGCTCACGCCTGCATCCGACCCTTCTCCGACCGGAGATGCAAACATGTCCAGGAACGATGCTACTGTTACTCTCGCTATTGGTGCTACACCAACGGGGTCGCGCCTCCAATGGTGAAATCACATTCTTTGAACTCAGCTCGACGGCGCGTGGTTTGGGATGGTGAATGCACAACCAAATACCAGCCAATTTCGCTCATTGTTCTTACTCCATGTTCCTCATGGCAGATATTTGCTAGACCGTCATGCCTGATGTGTTGTCACTGAGCGGGAGCACTTGCGGACCCCTCATGTCAAAGTGTGGTCCAGTGGAGAAGACCGCACGACAACACCATATGCAGAACAAGGACGTCTTCTTTGGCACGTGTATTTCAAAACTCCTTGTTAACTTAGTCTTAGTGATGCTGTTTCTCAGTTTCAAGCACCCTGAACGCTCGTCATGTTTCAAAAATAGCCATGGCATCAAGATGCCGTGGTGCGTAATAACTTGCAAGAAGCCTGACCGACTTATCTGCGTGTCACCTCGATGTCAGGGCCGCTTCCTGATGTTGCGGGTTATGCCGCAGACCATGCATCTCATGTGCAGGTCCCGATTCCTGAGGTGGGGTGCTTCACTTCCAATCTCATTCGTGGATGACGAGGATACAGAGTAAATGAATAACAACTACATAAATGACAGTTCAGACGAGTATATTTCGTCTGAGTCGTACTGGTCCCTCATGCATGCCTCGTGGGCTGTTATCTGTCGTTATTATGTACACGTTTACAATGTACAGTCTGGATCTAACATTAGTATTTGTACTTCCGCGGCTCGGAGGCGAGTGTACACCTCATGGTACGCACGACTCATTGCCCACTGCATCTAGATCTGACAAGCTTAAGAGCCCTCGCAGAGTTCGTTCACTGAAGTCTGCAGTGATTTAGTTATAAGCCTGCCCTCCGCGCTGAAACAATTCTTATTGCTCAGCCCCGTTACTACCATTTACCTTTCTTCATGGATCCTTCGAAAATAAAAGAGAAGATCGTTCGCTTTCGAATCCTCATCATAGGAACATGGAATGCAGGAAAAACAAGAGAGCACCCAGAAATATTCAACAGCGCTGAGGAAAAGGTGCGCATCGTGATGTTACTTGTAGTACGAGGCTGATATTGATGACTGTCCCTTCGACATCAGATCGATGCTGTCGTTTTGACGGCATCCAGAGAGGTAATGTGTACTATCAGTTGGCAACATCAACTGACATTTTCTCAGTGCGGAGAGCACGACATCGAGAACGAAATGGTGTTTCGAACCAACCCAGGATTCATCTTTCACGATTCGCGCGGTTTTGAAGCAGGCGGCGAATCCGAGTATGACAAGGTGAACACATTTATCAAAGCGCGTTTGAAAGAAATAAAGGATCGAATTCACACTATATGGTAATTTGTTGAGTTGGCGACATGCACTGGCTCACTCTTTGACATAGGTACTGCATACCAATGGATCAGGCAAGTAGGTATTTCACCAAAGGCGAAGTCAAATTCTCCCCTCGCTGCAACACCGGAAGCAGTAAGCTTTTGCATCTGTCCGTTGTTGATCATCGACTGATTCGTAACTTGTATCCTCAGCCGAGACGGTGGCGAGACCTACATGCTTAATTCAGCTCCCCAGTATCCGCAGTCCAATTGCAAGTTCATTAAGGTCGTGCGTACCATTCTGCTTCACAGCTTTTCTCAATTAGCATCAATCCTAAAGAAATTATCAGATTATTTGTCATTTCAGAGTTACACTATATGTAGACACGTGGATAATCCCCAACGTCAGTGACTCCAGCTGGTAGCTAGATAGGAATAGGATCTCTAGAAAGACTGTAAAGATATACCCAACCTATCTCGCCACATAAGGCGTAAGTCACATGCAATTTTATCTGGGGCCATGGGATCATCCCCCCACATGCACGACTCGGACGCCACCATGCGGACACCGCGTACCCCACTGGCGGCCCGATACATCGTACGCGTTATCCTTAAGGAGAATAACTAAATAAGCTAGTAGGCTCGAGTTCGCGCAAGTCTTCCATGCTAATATACACGCACCCTTAACCTTCGTTGACGCTGTCACTATCGGAGAATTCGGCGTATTCGATTATTGAGCTGATGTACAAGTTATTTTTTGTGTTATCTACTCGCCCTTGTATGTCTTGGTATTTTCGCATGACGAGTGTGATTATCTTTTGTATCAAGTAGAATTAAAGAACAATTATTCCTGCTCGTGAGATTCGTAAGTGGCAGCTACCCCTTGAGAAGAGGGCGATTCTTACTGAGAAACGGAGAGTTGCGCCGATGATAAATTTCGAAAGCCGTCTAAAATGGCTGCTCTGCCAAAGGTTCGGAGATCTTGACAACCAACTCATCGCGAGTTCGCAGTTCGGCGGCAAAATAGGCCTTCACCCCTCCGACGCCCCTGGATTTCACCATACGGACGACCTTGTCATACGGGTCTGCGTTTCCAGTTCGCTGAACGGTGCACATGAAATCTTTCTTTTTGTTGTATATTAGCAAGCCGCCGAATCCCATCGATGTCACAGTCGGAGAGAATGGATCAACGGGCACTTGCACCTTGACGATCATGGACTTCTGATCAAAGGACGTTGGGGTAAACGGAGCGTTCTTGGGCGGTTTGGACTTGGGACTCGAGAGGCCCAGGACTTCGCGAGTCAAATCAGCACGAGAAAAGGTAGATGAGAAGTTGTTATAGGTTGGCTTCAGCGTGACCGTGGTTGATGTGGAGAATGGCTGGCATAACGGTTTGTGGGTTTTCCAATGCGTACCTGGCATGAATCGAGGGTCAGTAAAACACTTGGGCATGTCAGGAGGGGTATCTTACGTTGGCAGTCAGACGAACAATAACGGACTGTATGGCATCGTGCACACAGCTTCAGGCCTCTCCCTTTTTTCTTGCAGTACTCACATGCCTTCTCTTCCCATAGTGCTTTCTCCCCTGATCGTTTCCTTTCCCATCGGCGAACCGCCGCAGTGACCTGGGGACCAAACACCACACATAACGCACGGGGCGAATCGCCATTTCCGTCTTTAATGTCCAGATCAGCGTTGTGCTCCATCAGCAAATCCAGGATCGGAATATCTTCTCCCTGGAATGGGAAGAAGAGAGGCACTTCGCCATAACGGTTTTGAACATCCGGGTTAGCTCCACCTTTGAGAAGTGCCCTGGCGAGTTCAAAATGTCCAAGCGGAGGAGTACAGGCATGGTGGAGGGCTGTGTGGCCGGATATATCGGGCGAGTCCGGTGGTGCACCACACTGAAGGAGATAGTTGATGACATCAAGATGCTTGAGAGAATCCAGGGGGGCTCCTCTGATTCGCTGTGCGCCGAGAACAGTAAATGAAAGAAACCCAATTTTGAAGGGCGTTTCAGTTCCTGTTAGGTCAGGAGCAACCCCTCCGCTGACCGACTTGACTTGGGAATCAGCATTTCAGCCACGACAAAGAGGTAGAGACACACAGCTTTCACGGCTTGAATCGACCCGGTCATGCATGCAAATGCGAATGGTGAAAGTTTATTAATATCCAATTCGCCGAACTCTGCACGCTCGGCGTTAGTGTCGTTCCCAGATGGACCGGAGATACGAGAGGGTATGAACTGTCAATCAAAATCCGAGGAACTCACGTGTCTGAAACATAGACCTCAGTTTCTCGCTACCCATTTTAATGCTGATATAACCTGGCTGGTTGAGGATGATCTCCATCTCCGCCGTAACCTTGAGCCCACCATGACCTGCCGTATCATATTAGTGCCAGTGAGAACACAAGTACCTGCCAAGAGGAGTATTCTTACCTTGTCCCACATTGACCACTGGCAGCTGCATTTCGTTCAGTTGAAAGTGGTGCACCGTGAGTCACCGACGCTTTGACGAAGTGGCTCGAGCGACAAAAAAAATCAACAAGTTCATGAACTGAATAGAGACATTTACGTAAAATTTGAGTCAAACGGCTGTTCGATCGCTTCAATGCACTTTGCAGCAACTGTGTTGGTTACTACGCAATCCCCGTCGTAAGTGAGCAATCAGCCTATACGGAATCGTACACCAAACGGCGAAAGTAAGTACTTAGGGTCGAAGTGCGTGGTTTTTTTTGATGGCGGCCCTTTGGCAGCCTTAGGCACAGCCGCAACAGGTAGGCACATTAAGTGCTTCTTTCAGTACAGCTTTCGTGGGTTTTGTCCTTCTCATTCTCATGAACTCTGAATGTGTCCCATGCAACAAGGCTTATGTATTTTCCTCCATCGCCGGTCGTACTTCGTCCACGCGCCCTCTTGCTCCACGCATACTCTACCTCACTCGTGACTCCCGATATGTATTCTTTGTCTCTCAATCGCCAACAAGGACACTTAGCTCGCACCTCTAATGGTTGCGCGGCACTCACATGTCATATTACTTCCCCAAGGTCATGGAATACCGGTACGTAGCACCGGCCATAACATTGTTTTCCCGCAGGAACACTCTAATCTCGAGTAGTCTATTGGCTTATCAATTTTCGTGAGCTTCGGCACCGAATTTTGTAGTTCAAACAGCCAATGGTCACTGGTTTATTCAGGCTCGACGTCATAGCGCCTTAGAACACACAACACGGACTTGTGGAGATCCTTCATAGGTGCGAATTTCTACTATTTCCGACGAGTGACTTGCGGAAGCGCGACATTCTTTTATCGTTTAATTTTGCCCAATAATGTTTTTGCCATTAAAATGGTGCACATCTTGCAATGGGAAGTTGACAACCAATCATATTGTTTCAGACGCAAAACCATCATAGCATCATCAGGGGTTCAAGGTGAGATCTCTGCAACATCATGATTGCGGCGCCCCAGCAGGCAATGATGCTTATGATTTTTTTTTCGTACAGGGTCATTCCGGACGGTGTACTTCTCTCCTTCCGACGCGGCACAAGTGAAATTTGTGAAACCCTGGGATCAAGACCAAGATGTCGCAAAACTACTCTTTGCTTGGTAACATTCAGTCTAGCACTTATCTGCGATACCATTCCAGCAAGACAAAAATGGGTCAGCTAATTTTAGATACTTAACCCACTGTTTATTTTTGCCGTGATGCATTCATTAAGCACCGTATCGCTACAAGGTGGCTCCAGTAACAATTGCAACTTCTCTTTAGGCATGCCAATTGAGTTTGATGTCCCCCTGTCCCCTGGGCCTGGGATAATCACATACTCGTGACACGTTAGAAGCGACAATATCGTATTTCCGACCGCTAGGCTCTGACAGCTGCTCGCCTAGATCCAGTTGCATCGCCGGTCGTATCATGGGTAAAGATAGACGAAGTCTGAAAGAAGATGAGTCAGTCGCATTCACCTCATTTATAAATACACCTATCCATGATCCCAGCTATCTAGGCATGCGTACGATAGAATGCTGCTGTGGGACACTTGTCATCGCGGGGATAAAATCGAATCTGTATTTGCAGACCAGCGCACAAGATGTGGTATTGCCTTTGCATGGACAAACAAGCAATAGCAGTGCCCATTTCATCGTCCTAGAGCGCTCGGAACTATTTGTTTGGAACGCTTAATTCCTCGCAGTGAACCTTGACCCGTTCTCATGTGCCTTTGTCCAAGCGCTGGTTCCGGTGCCAGGGACATTGGTCTCTCGAACCGTGTCACTCGACCGGATAAACCATGTTACCTTTCCAGGTGAATTCCTATCCATATCCTTAGGTCAACTACACATTCATCCTAAAAATTCATACCGCAATCACAGTCACGATGCGGTAAGAAGCAAACTCAGTTGCCATACCCCTGTTGCGGAAGTCTATTTCGAGTTTTCTTCGGAGCTTGAAGTGAAGAACGATCCCTTTCTGGTATGGCAAAAGCTGTTTCTCGCAAGTAATTTCCGTAGAATGTTCCAACCGCAGTCTCAATGATGACGCCCGTAATCCAGACTCGGTTTCGTGTTTCGCGCAAAAATAACCTACTAGTCACGAGGTAAGCCCAACAAATTCCCAGCTCTTGGATTCCCACGTCAACTGTTCACCATGATGATTAGCCTGCCCAATCTGTTGACCTTTCATCGCGATTCGGGTTAGCTGTGGATGAGTCTCGGCGACGGCTCTCAGTCCGGTAATTCTTTTTCAAATGATCTCACTGATTTCGCACATCACCGTAGTGCTAGCTTCTTCTAGAAATATCAATGCTCCACCAAACATGCATTGATAGCAAGTTAGGAGTCCCGTTGTTCGGTCAAGTATTTTCGCCATAAATGTTGTTCAGGGGTAAGCAGACCAAAAAAAGAACACTGTGACTACACTTGGCGTCATGTAATGACGAGGTTGACAGACAATCAAGATATTCGCTAGGCGTTCTGCCGCGATAGCCCTAATTCTCGACGTTTGACGCAAGGACCCGCCAATCAGGATGGAGACTCAATGATGTGGTCACAGCGGGAAGATGTCAATCGCGTGTCACTTTGTTGAAACTAAACCCTTCGGCATGCTTATTCAATGGGAGTCTGACACACTCTACTTTTTCGTGGGGAATTTGCGTGGATGAGTACTCAGGCTGCAACCCACTTCGTTTAGGATGCTGTGTTTGCTTGTGGGCAACATGATACTCTACTTGGCTTGCATCTTTTGCCTTCTACAGGACACAATTGACCCATGCGCTGAGTTGTTTGAATTGACGACGATGGCAAATAATATCACACGAGCTTTGCCGACCACTTGAATTTGGTATGTGAGAATGTTCGCTGATCTATCTTCTCTGCCTATTCGGACGATCGGCTGATCGGCACAGGGGTGTTTTTACGACAGGAAGAACTTTGGCGCGCGAAACGCTCTGGAGCGGGTACCTGATTGCGGGTCATTGAAACAAGGTTTGTTCGTCTCATGTCAGGATTTTGTTATCCACGTTGTTCGAGATCTCCGTTTCCGCTCAGTGTCCATGGCAAGCATGCCTGAGACTATAAAGCCCTCTCGTTTGAATGGCGGGTTTTAATCACTATCTCAGATCCCACCCAAAATGGCGCACTATTCCAATTCACCTGCTGTCCACAACGGACCTCCGACACATCCTGCATTGCGTGAGTTGTCATCTCCTCCTAGTACTTCTGTGTTTTAAGAGTTACAAAGATGTCCGGGATGCCAAAGATGCGCACGTTGTCCTCGAGGCCGTGCGCCTCAATATGTTACCGCTGATCAAGCGGCGACTTACTGCTACAGAAAGAGAGCAGTTATCCTCTGGAAACGTCTTCGTCTGGGAAGAGGCCGAGAACGATGGAGGACTCCTACGGTGGACAGACGGGCGCAGATGGTATTCAACATTGTCTTTTGTGTAGATGTTGTCATGACCTGAGTCTACTCCTAGGTCGCAAAGTCGGATGCGTGGTGACTACCTATTCTACGAGGAGAAGATGGAGACAACTCAGGAAGAGAAAGATGCTAAAGCTGCTCTAAGGTATTTGTCGCGGTTTGAATCAGCATCTTTCTTAGTGTACTCACTGCATCTTAGAGCGCTTCGTACTTCCGATCCACTCGCCGTGGCTCCTCCGACAAACAGACGGAAGGACCGCCCAAATCGTCCAAATGGTCTGACGAAACAAACTTATTCCGCATTAGTCTACCTTCCGGGCTCAAGTCTCCCGCGTAAATGGCATGTCGTTGCATACTTTACAGTGAGCTTAGTCTCCGTGATCCAAGAAGACCCATTGTTCATTATCTTAACAGGGGGATGACTATGTTCGACTTCCTGTCATCGAGAGTTACGACTACCTTCGAAATTTGAGGGTTCCGGGTGGCGTTTTTGTCTCTAGCAAAGCCAATGGATCTCGTACCGATCGTTTCTCTTACACCGCTGATGGAATGGAGCCATACAATTCGGCAGGTCATGCACGTGGTGCACCAAGTCAATATTCTGTGCTGCAAGGAACCCCCCGACGCCCTATGTCTTCCGCTTCCTCGTCATCATCAATCCCTTTATCTCCTCCACAACATCATGCAAGACCTCTGCCGTCATCAGGCGTTGCCATGCGACCTGGATATGCAGAGACATCCCTACCCAGCATTTCGATTCTGACCGGTCTACGTAATACCCCAGAATTTCGACAACCTCATTCCTCACAATCTATGCAGCTCGGTCATCCCTCTCCAACGAGCTACAGCCCCTTATCCGCAGAGGACAGACGAGTACTCAATAGCTTCAAAGTCGTGCTATAACACTTCCCCCCGTCCTGGACGTTATATATGTCTTGGATTGGTTTATTTAAACCTCAGACGTTGGAGGCGTCCTGCGTTCATTTTATTATACCTTGGTAACCGCCAGTATTTTTCTGACTTATCTTTTAATGTGTAACAAATACTCTTCCCGACCATGCAAATTTCCCGGCCGGCGTGACTGACAAGGCATCGTAAAGAACGTATCAGGTCTTATATGGCGCTCAGTCCTCGGACAAGTTCTAAATGCCAGAACAAACGTCATGGAGATTTCATTTCCGTGGGTCTCGACGCAGCGTCGAGCCCCACACTTAATAAGGAGGGTGCTCAACCCACAACGTGTATATCATGGAAGAAAAGAACAAATGGCGCTGTTCATAGCTTTTGCGCTGGTCATCGCGCGGTCCAGCTCTGGTCTATGCTCAATTGGCGTCCTCTTGACCTGATGTATGTACATAGATCGACTACAATTATTAACCGAAGTAAGTACTCGCACGATGAAGCGCTCGCGCTGACCTTCCACAATCGCGTAGATGTTTAGCATACTCGGCCATCTCCGTGGACTTCTCTTCTATATCCTCTTCTATTGAGTCTCTCCACTGGGTCTAAATCTGTACGAGTTATTTGTGACTTCAAGTATGTGGCCGCCGTGACGATAGTACGCTTCTTGTAATTTGAAGTGATACCACACGCCGTGCGCATTCGTCGGAAGCTTTCAATCTATTGGTTCTCGCACTCAATTCATGATGCGAAACTCCTAGTGTCACAGTCAATACTCGAACGAAAGTGTGACGATGGATTGTGCACCACGTTAGAGATAAGTCAAAATCTGGGCACGACGGTCATCAGTAGCCGATGTAGCTCATGGGAACTTGATGGAACCAGTAAACTACATGCCTGGACTGATCTTGGGATCTCGGTGTGTCCTGAATGAGAAGTCCGTAGCGGGAATGGGACCCCATGATATACAAGCAAATGACAAGCACGAGTCCTCGTCTATTTTCCTCGTCTTGATGTCATCACTGCGGATTGTGTCAATAAAAGCCGTGATCATGCATCATGGATTAATATTCAGGCATTAAGTTGCAGTTGAAATTGCGGCACATTAACTCTAAAGGAGGCTTCGCGCCGAGTATCATCCTACAGTCGCGCGACCGTACACACTCTATTGGGAAGAAGCATGACTCCAGGTGACTGCGCGCGAGTTCGCGTCCACGCTCAATGATCATCCGAATCGGAGGCCACCGTGGATTTGCTCTGCATCAAAGACTCCGCCAGTTTACCGCTAGTCTCTCTGTTAACTGTCCTTCGCGCAGACTCCGAGTGTGCAGAAATATCTGAAGATGATAGTGATGTGAAACGAAGGCGAGAGCCCGTGCACGTAAGTACACAGGGGAATTGTAGCCCTTGCGGCAACGTGCAGAAACACCTGTTGGGGAGCTTCGTTGCAGGGTCCAACTTGAAAGCACTCCATGCGCGAAGAGACATCGAGCCAGTGACCGGCAGGGGTTGCGAAATGAATTATTGAATCACTCATAACGTGACCTACGCACGAGTTTATTCAAGCGATTTCATGCTTAGCGCTCAACGAGAATATTTGGGCACAAAACTCACTGTCTCCGAGTTTTCAGTTTTGTAACTCCAGTCACTATACTGCGGCCACTCGCCTCTTGAAACGGTGAAACGGTAAACTCTAAGCAGCAGTGCAACAGAGTACCTGTGAGCCCATGACAGCCATACATTCCCTGACCTGGCCCTCTTTAGAAAGACCGCGGAATACCTGAACAGCTCTGTTTACTCTCAGATCAGCCGTTACAGAATGTTCAGCAGTCTATCCATAGCTGTGCAGGTGTCTGGGAATGTAGAGACTTCCCGAACTACCACGGAGATAAGTATCTTTGTACGCACATTAAGTCCCTGTTTTGTACGACATACTGATTGATCTAAAGTGTGTTTGAAGTGATTGGTTCTAGCACGTCTGCTCTGACAGCTGTGAAGTTGTCTGGCACTAATACGGAGCTGTCATCCTTGGTGCTGTGAGCGACTATGACACTGTGGTCACGGTTGGCAGGCCGCCGGCCCATATGGCTTCCTATCATATAGCTTGTGCGATGGGTGAGCACCGCGAAAGGCGGATTGAGTCTGTTGCGGGGCAAGTCGTAAGCTCTTGATATCATTCTATGCTTTGGTACTAACCGTCACCGTGACGCAGTGGATGCATCGGACGAGTGCGCGCCATACAGCTGCCGGGTGCCCGCTTAGTCATCCCGGCTAAATTTTCCGGTTGTTGATTCTGCTAGAGGTTACCACAACACGCTGCTTTGAACTTACTCTAATCCTTTGCAGCGGCCACCCTGATAAGAGCCCGCATCTCGAAAGTATGTGGACACGTGTGAGATAGCACAACCATGGGCATAATTATGTGACTGGTTATATTTTGCACCTAGGTCTTCCGATTTTCACTGTCTCAGCCTGCATGCCTTGGAGCGCGGCGCTCATCGAAATTAAATGAGAGTGCTTGTCCAGTCTCCAAGCGTTCGGTTCAGATTCGACCAATCGGTGGCGCCGTGGGCAGTCGCGGACATAGAATCAACTTATCTTCACAGACGTAAGATTGCTTGCGGTGAGTATTTTTCCATTAGCTCCCTTGTCCTCCAGGATAATCTCCACATGGCACTTCTTTCACTGCACTGCCTTCTACTGCACTATTTTATTTTATTTTTCCGCTGCTTGTCCTAAGCAATTGTGGCGGGCCGTCCGTCCCATGCTTACTTGTCGATGTGCGAATCACCCGACCGGGAATCCCTGTTCAAAACTCTATGTTCATGAACTCTGCTTTGAGTAAGTAAATATTCTCTCATCATCATGTCTCCGTGGATCTTTCGATAACATTCATGCGGATGTTTTGAAGAATGTCTGCGACAGTTAATACCATGAAGAGACCATCTGTGCCGTCCTGGCACCCTCGGAGCTTCCTTCCGCGGGCTTTTTCATAGAAACGGAAATGCTTATTTTCATTTTGCTTGACTATCACGCAGATATCAGGCACAGTTACGATTACTGCCCGTCTCCAGCATCGTTGTGGGAGACAGTAACTGTGGCATAATATTGCCTCAACTAATTGGCCACAGCCAATCAGACTGCTTGTGATTGTTGTCTTCAGGCGCACGGTGTAGATAAGGCTAACTGGCGAATAATGAATCATGTTGTGTTCTGTTACGTCGTGCGACGGTATCTAGCCAAGGACAGGAATCAAGGAATCACATAAGGCCTGGTAGACATTACAACACTTGGTTTGTATGAGATACGAAGAACAATCTCGGCTCCTCGGTAGCTTAAACTTCGCCATGCATCATCCGTTTACCCTCTTCCACTTTGTCCTCTTTGCCGCTCACCTTCCCAGCAATTATCTTTGCCTCACCTCGGATTCTATCGAGGAAACTCACCCGACGTTCCTTGGGGCTGTCTGCCACGCTCGCTGGAGGCGCAGATGTTGGCGGCACGGGAGAGCCAGACTGAACTTCAGCCTTATCCGTGCTTTCCACAGTGCGCGGCGGATGCAGCTTCGCTGGGTGGTAATCGGTATCGTAACCTGCTGTGTGCGCTCCAGCTTTATGGGTGTGTTTGATATCCTCGTCGCTAGCCGTGTCATCAGGCACCTTGCCTACGTCACCTTTCCTATTCTCATCAGCCAACTCTTTACCCCCAAATTGCTGCGACACTTTGGCTCCGTCACGGTTCGCAAGAGCTTCCTTCTTATCGTGAGCCTTATCGTCGACGCGCGCTTGGGGCGTAATTAGTTTATAGAATATGTCAAAACCGATTGTACATACCTTCCTTCGCTAACTCACTGGCGCCTACTGCACCCCCTGCCACGGCAGTTTGGGCTGCCTTACTCTCTGGTGTCTCGTCTGATGGCTTATCACGTATGTGAGCCGCTCCTGTGGCCGCCCCCCCAGCACCAGCTATCTCAGCATCATGTGAACGTTCCCCTTCAGGCACATCGTGTTTCGGGTTGTTGTCAACGGACACAGGCTTTGGCTCGGAAAGCTTTGAAGGACGCTGATCTGTTTGCTGAGTTGTACGTGATTTGTCCAATTGCTGAGACTCTGTCTGCGTCCTATACTGAGTCGACGCAGCCCGAGAGGACGGATCCTTCGAAAGATTGGAAGACTACAATGAGAACGACCGTCATCAGATTCTAGACGCAACGAGGGGGTGCTGTATAACAGAAACAGACGCGCAAGTCCAAGAAAGGATCCAACCCCGAAGTAGAAGATAGATAAGTATGTATGTCATAGCCCACGTCCCCGCATCAAGGCCCAAATGCCCCCTCGGACGTTAGAGAGTCCGGAGCATCTCGACACCTCAACAAAATGACAAACCGAAAAGTAGCCGCGGCAATTGCGATTGCAAATACATTGATTGTTATGACTGGCCATCACGGCAGAACGACTTGGTTCGATCGTGATCGAACCTGTCAGTTGTCTGGCAAGAGCCCGCGATAATGCGGCATGCTCCCGCGAAAAAGCTTCCGCGAAACCCCAACCACAACATTGGAATTAGGAAGACGCGGGAAGCCAATACGACCAACGGAGGTGGAGAGAAAGCAAAACAAACTATCCTGATCCCTCTTCCGCGGACAGCAGATGTCATCACAATCTCAGCGCCCGAGATGCAGTGCATCATGGCTTGCAAATTGCAATCAACTCGCCCAAAAATAAACATCGCGAAAGAAGGAAAAGTGTGACGGTTGGAGACAAACTTGTACTTACTTCTGGCTTCCCAGCAACCGCAGCAGTACCTGCGAGAAAGGCGGCACTCTTTACTTGATCATTGCCTCGTGTTTGAGAGTCGTCCTTTTTCAAATTGACCGGTGTTTGAGCGTACTTCTCTGCCCGCTCATCGGGTAGCAATGCAACACTTGATTCTGAAATAGTTCCTGGCAGGGAACCAACACCACCAACGTGTTCACAAGGCTGGGCGCCCTTTAACTCTGAACTTGGAAGAGAAGTAGAGAGGTGTTGGTCCGTCTGGGTCCCTTTGGGCTGAGAATCATCATCAGAGGCTGGTAGAAGTCCGTCAGGGTAACTCAAGCACGAGATAGGGGGCACACGCACACCAATAAGAAGCCACTGTGTTTTTGACGCCCTGAGGGATAGGAAGATACGCGGCTGCTGTCTGACCAGCATACTCGACGCTGCGCTCTACAGGTTCCTGGATGTACTGCTTCGCTGTTTGAACAACTGAGGCACCCGCTGGGCCCTCAGACCCATTGCCGCGGGTGTGTTGTTGCCGCTCTTGCTCTTGCTCGAGTTCCCTGGGATAGGAACCCGGAAATTCGTGACCTGGGGTATTCAGGTTCGTCGTGGTTGTGACGGGGTGTTCAGGTTGCTCAGGCTTGGGCGTCGCCATCATGGCGGGATCAGGGGTAACGACGTCGGACTGGAACATGGACTTGGTTTTGTTTGCCCACTCTGTGGGGGGCGTACCAGCTGGTACAGGAGTGATTGTCGGTGGTAGGTTGCTCGTCATTCTTGCTCTTGGTGGGCGCGTCAGAGGAGGTTTTATACTGCCACGCCGAGAGTGACGTCACTCGATGACGATCACCAGCCTGGATGTGGGGCTCTCCAACGCCCGCCAAGACCATAGTATCAACTGCTTTGTCTCATGCTCAAAGTCGTACTGTCGCAACGACATCGCTCAATAACAAAATAACATACAATGATGGGTGAATACGAGTGGTGATAGTAACAAAGTATATGCTGCAGGCCAAATCAATTATACTCACTCAATGCTCTATGTGGTCTGCAAGGATTCCAGTTTCGCCTGTGTTTCCGCCATTTCTTCCTCCCAGGCTTTCCAGGCCTTCGGCTCCCGCTCCCAATGCTCATGACACTCATGGCATCGTATGTAGTAGGCTGTACTCGTAGCACCATACCCCAACAATACACTGCAGGATCAGATAGACGTCAGACGAAGCCCATCAGTCGAACATCATACACTTACAACTCAGGCAGCACTTCCCCGACGGCATCGATCTCCCCTACAGGCATACAGTCTTCGCAGAACGCTTGCGGGCATGTTTGGCACCTACATGATCTCAGACTAAATCGTTGTTGAAGATATTCTACACACCTGAATAGCATTCCTCCTGACTCAGCAGTGGTGCGATCGCAAGTTGAGCAGTTGTGTTGGGGACAACGGATCATAGGCAGCCTGCGGAGTTGCGCTGCGGTGATACCATGACACTTGAGGTGAAATACTGGTGGTAAGGTGTCAAGAGCAAGCCAAACTACATGCTCGTTCAATCTCACCTCGGGGACACGAGGTACAGAGGACAACGTCGCCGCCATCTCGACAATAAACACACCAATCCTCTGTTTCGTGTTTTGCTTTCGACTTCTTTTTCGAGGCTGGACTTATTTCCTCTGGCTGATGAAGGTACAGGTTAGTACATCTCACATTCCGCAGAGAACACCACACGAACCGCGCTCTGGCCCATGTGATCGGCGATGACGGTGATACCATCTACCACAACCGTCCTATCTATGCGCGCCCGTTTCTGCAATTCCTGCCACTCCTGCGCAATCTGATGATTGTTTTGATTGCGTTTTACGAGCTTGCCCTCGAAGAGCCTGCTTTGAACTTGAGCGATCCCACTAAGAAGCTTTCGCTCCTCTTCCTCTGCATTGAGTAGCGTTTGTTCATTGACCTCTTCAGCAGTATCATGCGAAGATACCAGCTCTTTCTTGAGCTTGACATCCCGAACCTCTTCCCGCTCTCGCGAGTCGTCCAGAATTTCTTGGATTGGCGCTTTGAGGAATGTCCCCAAGTCCATGCCTACATCCGACCGAGACAAGGCGCTGCTCCCTTTGCGCAGAATGTCCAGGAGCTCCGTAGTCTTCAACTGGGTATTGTCCTCATTGGTAGAAGATGACGTCGAGGAAGACATGACTTTTAATGATAGGAACATCTTCCGACGAATGCGGTCGAGCATCTGATCCTCGACGCTTCCACGACAAATAAGGCGGTACACCTACAAGAACAATGTTTGTAGGGTAGGTTTCGGTACAGCTTGGGACACACCTTGACAGTTTTCGTCTGCCCAATGCGGTGCGCCCGAGCAATCGCTTGCAAATCGTTCTGTGAACATTTTAACGGACATTCAACGGATCTTGGCACAAGACGCTCACTTGAGGATTCCAATCACAGTCGCACATGATGACGGTTGATGCTTTTGTAAGATTTATACCTATACAACAGTTAAAATCGAACCTCGGCAAGCAACACGTCACGTACCAAGTCCACCAGCCTTGGTTGAAACAAGGAAGACTTGGTATGCTAGACGCTGTTCAGCCCAAGAATAATATGATTAAAAATAAGACCCTACGAGACTTCTCTTGTTGAAACTGCAGACAGTAGGCATCAGCGAGCAGCTAGTGAGACAAAAGAAAATCTCCCTACTAGTTTGATATCAAGGTTTCGTCGAGGGCGGCTTGTACCACCGTCAAGCCGAGCGTATGGTATTGACCGCAGGTCCATATAATCCTCTAGGAGATCAAGCATGCTAATGCCCTAACATCAAAGCGTAATCAGCGAGAAAGTGTGGATGCCCTTTACCTTGTCCATTGCTACGACCGCTCATCAGTCTCTGGCTAACATAGGTATTGTCGAAGAACTCACTGAAAAGATCAAGACACGTTCTCCTTTCGGCAAGGTATCGGCAAGAACCTTGTCGATGACAATGAGTTTCGAGGACGAGGCAACAACGTGTTCGCCAATGATATACGGCGAAGGGGACGCGTCTTTCAGCAGATATGGACTGTCGTCTGATCTGAGCAACGTGTATAAAAAGACCAAAATACGACTTACTGATCACAGACTTTACGCAGCTGCATCAGCAGATTCATGAGTTTCCGCCATCCTTGGTGTTGTAAGCACGTGACAAATATGGGCAAGTACAATTTGAGGCTACTCACTGTTTGTCTCTCCAGATACATTCCTATTTATCGCTGACGCAATGTGCGAAAAGACTTCCTTACGTCCCTCATTCAGCGGGCCACCCTCCTCTGTGAATATATCTTCTAGGTCCATTGTATCCATTCGTGTTAACAATCTATAAGTCCAGAACCTCTGTGCCTCCGTCATGGGTATGAATAAAGTAAGTTCTTCGCGTGGCGGTACGGCTATATCGACGTTCGCCTTGGTGCGGCGCATCATAATGACAAGTAAGAGCTCTTGCGCAGCCTTTAGGAAAGGTATCGAGTACGAGCCACGAGAAAGGTCGAAGGATTCGTGAAACAACCGCTGTGAAGGAGGGGTGAATATGGTTGGATACAGCCAATTCAAGAGGCCCCATAGCTCGACCAGATTGTTTTGTACAGGCGTGCCAGTAAGAACTAGCAGGGCACGCTAGTGAGGTGGCAAAATACATTGTAAACGAAATGCCTTACTGAGTCGGTACAGGGAACCTATGCCACGGACTTTGCTGAAGAGGTTGGTATCAGAATTCTTGATCCTGTGCCCCTCGTCGAGAACACAATAGAACCATCGTCGGCTCTTGAACCAACTGTCCTCACAAACGTACGCCTCATAAGTTGTGATGCATAGATCGAACTTTATTTCGTCGTTCCTGACACTGTTCTTGAGTCGATCCCTCTCTGACTGAGTGCCGTGGAAGCGAAACACTCGCAATGAAGGTACCCAGCGGGCAGCTTCCTAAATAGATAGCCAACGTGAGAAATGGTTGGGGATAGGGATACGAATCTTACGTTTTGCCAGGAAGACAAAACAGAAAGAGGGCAGATAATAAGATGGGGATCATGACGACCTGTCACAAATCCTCAGTGTTAAACAAAACGGAATAATTGTAGGTGTCATACCTGGCTCGTTCTCTTGAATATATGCAAAGAGGGATAGTGTCTGGCACTGTCAGATAAAGAATGCGGACCCGAAGAGAAGAAGTACCTGTAGTGTTTTTCCAAGACCCATTTCTAGGCAAAACCGTCACAACGGATAAAATAAAACGGAAGAACAACATATTTACCATCACCCAATATACAATTCATCCCTACATGCGGTCTTAGTCGTTAGGATGCATCATCAAGCAAAAAAAATTGCATACCGTTGTTATACATGTAGATAAGGAATGCAAGCCCTTGAAGCTGCAGCCAAGAAGACTTCAGTTAAGCGCTGTATAGCTAAGATGCACTATACGTACTTGATAATCCTTCATTTCACCACCCTCTACCAACAAAGGCTGTTTCATGAGGACGCGGAGTGGGACATAAGCCGTGTTTCCTCCCATTTCCTTCATCTCCCTGTGTAACGTGTCGAAGAATAAAGTCGAGGGCAATAGTGGTTGAAACAGGTCGTGATGGCGGTACAGCCACCGTCTGCGGGCAGACTCGAGCTGCACTCTTCTTCCATTTATAATTATGGTATTCTAGAGGATCATCGGGCCATCAGAATTAGCCTCAGTTCGGCATGGCAAAGTGTAGAACCTTACCGCTTTCTTATCTTGCATCTTCTGCTTTTTCTGAAAGTTCACGCCATTGTCCATGACAGAAAGTGATGTCGTTCTGACGCGCTTTCCCGTGATCTGAATGTTTTCGCCGCTTTGTAAATCATTCCGGGAAGGAGAGACACGTAATTTGATGGTGAGTTTCTCCTCTTCGACTGGGGGGGACCCGTCACCAATTAGAGTCGTACTTGACCTGGAACTGCCGATAACATCCAGTTCGTCGGGTTCTGCGTCCAGAAAATCCACTGGCCCAAAGGAATGAGACATGGCTTGTTATTAGCAGACTGCGGGACGCAGGACAGAGCTTCTCGAGAGGTTGTGAATAGCTGAGACCTACTTAGCGCCACAACTTGAACAACGCGGTTCCACATTATTAGGTTTAGGGCCGGTCATTACGCGCTTGACCGTCACACGATTTACAACACGTCGCCTTTCTTCCGCTTCAACGTTTCAACGTTGGTTCGCTATTGGTTGGCGGCCAACATGCGAACGCGTATTGAAGGAACAGCAGTCTCACTGGACTCGGATATTATCGGCGCGCTGCAAAAAATCGCAAGTACTTCGTTATATAGGCACTCGTCTGAGAATAATAACCATTGCTTCAGCTCACGCGTTCACAAGTGATCGTATGTCTATTTCAGTACACCACAACTCTATGTCTCTTGACGATGTCCAGATTCCAGACCTTGAAACCACATACTCCAGATTTCCCAATGTTGACCACTCTGCTATCAACGGCAGGGACTTCGGCATCAGTGCCATCGTCACTGAACGCCAGCTGCAGTTGGACGCGGTGTTGCACGAGATCTCAGGCCTGGAAACTATCATGGATAATGTAAAGAATCTTCACCAGCAGCTCGTCGACAAGAAGGAGAAGATTATGCAGTCCATGAATTTACACAAGGGGCTTGTATCGACTCTCTGGCGTTTTCCAACCGAGGTCCTAGCCCAAATTTTTCATTACTGTCTCCCAGAACATGTCTGGGAACACGAATATCATGCATGGGGTCGCTCGTACTCGTTGTCGTCCGACCCAAAGCGAGATGCTCCCATGCAGTTGGCCAGAGTCTGCCGCAGGTGGAGGGATGTGGTGGTGGACATGCCCAGTTTGTGGTGCAAACTGCATTTGGGAAGTCGCAGAAACTCGAAGCAATCAGCCTTTTGTTATGACGCATGGCTCAAGCGATCCAAAGGAACTCCGCTCTCTGTAACACTCTTGTGCTATAAAAATGGCGAAACCAAACTACGAAGCGTTATTCAGCCTTACATCAGTCAGATATCGTCTCTCGATGTCGAATTCTTCGACGGCGCCAATCCCGGACTTCTGTTGAAAGACATCCCAGCCCTTCAGGAGCTGACAATCAGGTCGCATAATAACGATATGCCAGCTGTGTCACAATTATCCCTCCGACTGCCATCCACTCTGCACAGTTTCAAGCTAGTGGGGTTGGACCTCACCCTCAAGCGGCTATCGTCTCTCGGCGCTATATTTGCACAACTAACAAAGATCGAGGTCGCCGTACATCACCCAAATGCATTGCTCCGCTTGCTCCAGCTCTCTCCCAACCTCTCGTCGTTGACGTTTAGCCTAGGATCCGGGTTACTCAAACGGGCCTTGGAGCCGTTCACGCACGTTAAACTTCATTCCTTGCGCATCACCCAGGCGTATGCGAGCACACTCCCCAATCTGTTAAATGCACTGTCACTCCCAAATTTACGCGTGCTTGCAGTAGCTCACAGCTTACGAGCGTACCCTCACGAGGAGTTGAAGGCATTGTTGACACGGTCAAATTGTCCTTTGGAGAGCCTGACTTTCGACAGTGGAGTAACGACAGATGAGCAGCGAGCAGAATACGTTGCGCTGATGCCCTCTCTTGAAATAGTAGTTGATCACACGTATGATGATTACCTTGCCACTATGTTGGATCTTTCGTGATTGTTTCGTGACGGTTCGACTTGCCATCATATTTTTACTATTTACTGATGCATCACTACGAGTTGCTGATTATTTACGGGCGCATCGACAGTGTCCGCTCTCGTGGCGCTCGACAGCGAATGAGTCCGTGACCATCTGCGGTTCTGCCGTGGAGGATTGTCCTTGTTTATCCGTATCGTAAGTTTGAAGGAAAGCGAAGAAGCATTGTATGACGCGGCTGTGACGCGCCAGTGAAAGTTGGATGCTTTGTGCCAACTTTGTGCTCATTCCTTCGCTACATCAGCCAATGACTATTTTTCTTTTCCTCCCTCTCTGTGAAGCACCAACGTCAATGCCGCATCACGACCGTGTTAATTTCATTTGGCCCATTGCACCTCATTGTATCGAATTAATATCAAATGATCTTGCCGTTGAACGTTGAGCTGTAGAACAAGCTGAAGGATGATGCTGACCGGGAAGAAGATGGAAGAGGGTCGTGAGAAAGTACTACTAACCTGAATCAGGCTTGTAAATATCAATGTCAACGTATTACAGTTGTATAACTATTACAGCAAACCTAGTCGTACTACAACAACATACTACGTCTTTGGCCTCCCATAGGTGCTCTCACTTCTCTGGCGACACTAAAATCCATCGGTCCACACGAATTTGAAGCCTTTGTTCCATGCGCTGCCTGCGTCAGCTCTTTCTCGTTACTTTAGGTGTCGCAGCATGGGCTCTACATGAATCTGACGTGGGTGTAGTGGATTGGAATACGAAATTAATTGGTGTACCGTTACATGGATCTCCACATACCGCACCTGCATTCCACGGTGATTATATCCTGACTGCTACGACCAACAATGTATTGGCAGCATTGAATGCCACAGATGGCTCTATAGGTGGTGTCCCGTCCTGCCTCACTGACTCTGGTTTTGCTAACGCGTTTGCAGTATGGAGGAGTATATACGATGAGGAGGATCCGATCATGGCCTTCAGCCACCATGATGATAGTAAGTCATAATGTCGATTTCATTTGTGTTAATGGGTCCAACATGGTGCTAGGCGTGTCTTCTCTATCTGGACCGGGAGGTTCAACTTTGCGCACGTACGACCTGGAAACTGGCCACCTTATATTGGAGAAACAATTACACAGCCCGGTAAATGGACGACTCCACGAACCTCAAAATTTCGGGATTTCGCTATTGCGCTCTATTGACCCCTCCCTCAACTCAACATCCTATTTTGCATTGACAAATGGAGACTCCGTCACCCGTCTGGACGAGACTGGGGACTCTCTGTGGACATGGAACTCTCCCGACCAAGGGTGCGTTTCATTTCATCGTCATCATATGGCCTCCATTGATATTGGTCCATTAGGTCATTAATATTGTATTCGCACATCATCGCCGACCCTTCAACGGTGTATGTAGTGGGACTCGCAAAGTCGTTTGCATCCTACACTCTGCACGTAACGACCCTGTCGGCGACCACGGGTGAAGTCATCGCGTCTGTCAACATTCCAGCAAATATCAAAGATGAACGATCCAAATTCGTGGCTGTTAGTTCTCAGACAGGACCTACAACAACTGCCTGCGTTAACTGGCTTGAAGACGGCGCTCTTAAAGCAGCCGTATTGACACCTGATTTGAAGGGTCAAGTTATGGCTCTTCCGGGCGTCAAGTACGACAGCATCAGTGACTTCGGCCTTTCGACCAACGGGCAATTCCTCGCGATCAAGGAAGGAGGTGCTGCGCACGTTATGCATTTTGACGCACATGCATCTTCACTTCGGCCAATCTGGGAATTCAGTGACGCGGTATGTTTCGTATGTCATGCGTACCACCATTTACTGAGGGCAACCTCAGGCCCCTTCACAGGCGCAATCAGGTTCTCATTTAGTAGGAAGCCTTAGCGAGGATGGCGAACCGCGAGTTGCGCGAGTTTATTGGTCGAACGTTCACAATGTAAGACCCTTCTGTATGTGCTAGTGCTTCTTATGCAACTAGAACATTAGAAAGCCATCCACCAAACTCTTGCCATCCAATTATCTGAGGGCAAGGCCTCGGCCTCTGGTTTCGTGTTTCCCTTCCAGACGCTTGACCACGGTGTCATCTGGCATGTGAGTCCAATCTACACTCATTCTGGGGTCAAATCTCATTTGCATGCTAGGTGGCGTTTGATGGCTCGAGCACGGGCGAGACGCACGAGAATACTCGCATGTTGCTGACCACCACGACAGGCTCAATACAGCTTTGGCAACATGACAAGATGCAGTGGGTTCGGGAAGAAGCACTGGCATCTATCCAAGTCGCGGAATTTGTCGAACTGCCCGAGAAGAAGGTTGTCATGTCACATGCTGTTGTGGATGAGGAAGGTTACTTTGAGCGGCTTCAACGCCAACTATCTGATACCAAGGTACAATTTTCACGTATATGAAGTCGCTTGCGCTAAAATAGGGTTTCAAGAACCTTCCCCAATACTTGGCAAACTTTGTTAGGCGCTTTGCGACTGGCTCATACGCCACTGTGACTGCGTCGGCCGCATCTTCCTCAGATGAAGATACGCTCACGCGTGACGCTTTCGGCTTCCGACAGATTATCGTAGCAGCTACACCATACGGCAAACTCTTCGGCATTGACTCCAGCAATGGTCGAGTCTTATGGAGTCGCGTGCTTGGCCTTGGATGGGCAGCAAAGGTTGGTGGGACCATAATTCCTACCAAAATGTTCGTCACGCGGACAGTGAGCGACCCAGAAGGACCTCAAATAGTGCTCGTCACACAACGTCGGGCTGACAATGTGAGTTGCATTTACCTTCCAGCCGAGATTTATGTTGACGCGGTTCAGTCTCTTGTCGACACCGTGTTATTCCACGTAAATGCACTTACTGGAGCTGATGTCAGAGAGGAGACCCTGCCTAATTCTAGAGCTGCATTGCAAGGCCTCGATGCCGTCATGGGTCCGTTAGTCGATGTTTTCATGCTTCCCGACGAGAACCGGACAATAGTCATGCTCGATGAATACCTCCAAGTGTGTTGTGCTCCTTTGCTTGAATCTGCGTGTCTAACAGTCAATAGGCGCGCCTTTATCCAGACACTCCATCGGCTCATGCTGAATTCGAGTCGTTCGTCCCGTCCATACATCTCGCTCTCCGCGCGGATGTTCCTGGCCAACGTCAGATCTTGGGCCATCAACTTACCCTCAATCTCGAGCTGTCCCAGTTTTATGTTGCCTACCCAACATGGACACTTTCGCTGCCGCCAAAAGAAGAAATTCGCGCCATCATTCCCAACACACGCGGTCCTGTTGCATCGATCGGAAAGGTCCTGGGAAATCGTATGACGCTGTATAAGTACCTCAGCCCCCACCTGACTCTGGTCCTCACATCTTCCCCGCCGTCCAGTACGTGTGGGATATATGTGTTGGACGTGGTCAAAGGTAGCATAATTTACCATGCCAGCGTCCCTGCTGCCGGTGGTATGTGCGACGTGCAAGCGACCCTCACTGAGAACTGGCTAGTATATCATTACTTTGATGATGAATTTTCTGGAACCGGGCAGAGCAAAGGGTATAGAGTCGTTTCTGTTGAGTTTTACGAGGGTGATGGTCCAGATGATAAAACAAGAAGGTTCGTCGCTTGCTTGTAGATTTGAAGAACGAGGTTGACGATGTTGACATAGCTCCGAGCTTTCGTCGTATTCGAACAAAACACTGCATGTCAGCGCATACGAGCAATCGTTCATCATGCCTCATGGCATCACTGCTATATCGTCAACTTCGACAAAGTTTGGAGTATCAACGAAGGATATTATAGGTATGATCCCCTAGTGACTGAGCGGCGTCATTTTAATACTGGTGATGCAGTTGCAAATCGCAAGAACAGCATTCAGTCTATTCCCCGGCGATTGCTCAATCCACGGCGGCCGAAGCGCAAGCCTACTAGCGAAGAGCAGGAGGAGATGCTTGTACAGTATGATGCTGTGCTGCCAGACGACGCCCGGCTCGTGCTTTCACACAACTATGAGGTTTGTTTTACTATCGGTCCTCGAAGCACACAATACTCACGCACTTTTCAGGTCGCAAACGTCCGCCGCATCGTTACCTCTCCATCTCTACTAGAATCCACGTCGCTCGTCTTTGTCTACGGCCTGGATCTCTTCTTCACGCGCATCGCGCCTTCTGGTACATTTGACGTTCTCAACGAGAATTTCAATAAAGTACAGCTTGTGCTGACGGTTGCTGGACTTGGCATTGCGATTATGGTGACAAAGCCTATGGTGCGACGGAAACGGCTGCGCGAGCGTTGGTACTAGTAGCTTGCCTTGAGTATTGTACTTGTTCTGAAATACAAGGTCATGTGGACATAATTTCGTGGCCATGTATATTGTGCTACGGGTGTGGGTTTAGTTTGATCATTTCGAGGTGCTTTGCACTTGCAGGGACATGTGCTATGAGGGATTTGAGGATCACGTGTTCCGAGATCCTAGATTAGTTCCAGAAATTCTGTTCTGTTCGGGGACATGTAGTATGTACACTGCGAGACTTATTTTCGCTACTGCACTGGACAAAGAAGCAGGATGTCGAGCCCAAAGAGCTATGGGTATAACTTGTTCCACAAGGATTAGTGCCATTCCCCCGCTGGTGATTGTTCACTAAGCCGCGCAACGAGCGCAGAAGGTGCAATTATTATTGTATTTTTACCAATTGGGAGCTGCAGGCCTGTGCAGCGCCTTTGCCCCTCAATTGATGGATTCACGGAGGAAGATGATGTGACTACAAGGAACTTACATAAACTATGTATCAACTCTATTGGCATCTGACATCACGAATGAACTGCTAGAAAAAAATCATAGTTGACAAGGCCTAGAAGTATTGATTTCAGTAATTGCGACATATGAGGCTAAAAGATAGGAGCTTACTCATCTCGGCAATTCCACCAGAGCCGCCCATGTGCCATGCGGCTCAAATTAAGCTCAACAATTCCTCTGGGCGTCACCAATGCAGTCTTAGGATTATAAAATGTGTCTCGGGAAGCGGGTGGTACCCAGAATAGGAGTCGATGATTGGGTCCCACCATCCATCCGTCAGCTCCAAGTAAAAAGGAGGTTGAACTGTGGTCGTCACGGAAGGTGCCCTCAAGTAGCTCAGCGGTGTTGCACAGTGCATGAGTTGAACTGGATGAGAAGCAAATGGAGTGATTGTTCCAAGTGTTGGTTGACACGGTAGTGCTGCCCTCCGTCTGACGCATGGTCGGACTTGTATCCAGTAAGACAGTTGAACACTCCTGCAATGACAGCCTAGCTGCATACCAGAGCCTGACATTGTGGTCCACTGAACCAGATGCAATGCAGGTCCCATCCGGCGAGAATGAGACTGACCTAACCCCACCAGTGTGTCCATGGAAGGACTCACCGAATGGCCGCCCTGTCGCTGCGTCCCACAGCCGGATAGTCTTGTCATGCGAACAAGAGGCGATGCGAGTCCCATCCGGCGAGAATGAGATTGAGTTAACCACGCCAGTGTGCCCCTGCATGGGGCCACCAATCGGCTGCCCCGTCGCCGCATCCCACAGCCGGACAGTGTTATCCGATGAAGCAGACACAATATGAATCCCATCCGGCGAAAACGAGACTGAGTTAACAGTACTAGTGTGTTCCCGCAAGGGGCCGCCGACTGGCTCCCCCGTTGCTACATCCCACAGCTGGACAGTGTTATCTGATGAGCCAGAGACGATGCGAGCCCCATCCGGCGAGAATGAAATTGAGTTAACCGCACCAGTGTGCCCCCGCATGGGGCCACCGATCGGCTGCCCCGTCGCTGCATCCCACAGCAGTACAGTGTTGTCTGATGAACCCGATGCAATGCGAGTTCCATCCGGCGAGAATGAGATTGAGTTAACCGCACCAGTGTGCTCCCGCAAGGGGCCACCGACTGGCTGCCCCGTTGCTGCATCCCACAACCGGACAGTGTTATCCGACGAGCCAGACACGATGCGAATCCCATCCGGCGAGAATGAGACCGAGTTAACCGCACCAGTGTGCCCCCGTAGGGGCTCACCGAGTGGCTGCCCCGTCACTGCATCTCAAAGCCTGACGGTCATATCCGCCGAACCAGTCACGATGCAAGTCATATCCGGCGAGAACGACAGTGTCAGCACATCATCTGTATGACCTCTGAGCAGGCTCTGAGCGGTCGGCCAGTTCAAATCACGCCCAGATGCAAGGCAAAGAGTATTTGGAAACCTTGCAGCGAATTTTGTGAATATCGCAGAGTTGACAGGCGAGAAAGGTAGCGCTGATACATATAGATGTGGTGTGCTGTGTAAGATGATGCCGCCAAATGTTTGAATGAATATCTGCATGTCCATTGCAGTGGACAAGACATCTTCGTATCCGGAATGGCACTGTGGGTGTAAATGAGATTAGTTTATACGCGGTAACAATATGCTTACCTTCAGCCACTGGGCAATGAGCGACAGCGCAGGCACTGCAGAACTGACTGCTTTGATAAGGCTGACGGCTTCGAGCCAAAAGAGTAGTCGCTCGTGCTCGAGGAACCGTTTGACTTCCTCCCCGAGCTCCACGTCAAACTCCGTCCTTCCCACATGTGCAGCCCAAAATCGACATGAATACGATAGATGCGGAGGAATGCATGTTTCAACTCGTTCTGGCAGCTCCGAGTCTTCGCAATTAGCGAGATATGAAGACTTTAAGTCGCAGATGTTGAAGCGAAGTCCGTGTTCCATCACTCGAAGTGATGCAAAAGCAAGGTCGCATTGCACCTTCGCTGTGTCGACGAAAAACTCTCCGCTGGCTGTTTGGTCTGTGAGGAATTCGCGGAATGATGCGTGAAGGAGTCGGATGGGGGTATATGAGTTGGTGGTGCCGCTGAGGACGCTTCCCATGTGTGCTACCACATTGTCCACATCGTAGTGGTCCCTTTCGTCTGGAAAATGGCGGCGCATGGCATTCATGGAATTCATAGGGAGGGGTTCAGCTGCGCCAAGGATTTGTCCCATCACAGAACGAAACCTGGCTAGCTGCATTTGCTGAAGCTCGGCATCTGCATATGCATCCGTTCGCATGATCTCTGCCAAAATGAAGCGATACATATTTGACAACAAATGTGCCCGCTTGGCAGGATCGCGAGACACCGCAGCATTGAAGGAATCCCTTGAAGATAAACCAAAAGGCGTTGCTCTGATGGAAGTGCAAGCAAGACGCGCCCATTCGAAAAGCCCATCAGCTTTCTCAGCGAGGGTTCCGACCTCTGTGTCCCCGAAATCCGACAGTCCATTCAGCTCCTCGGCTATGTACACGCGGATGTCGCGCTCCGCGACTTCTGGTGGAACATCGTCGATGGATATCCGTAAAATATGCGGAGCACCATCAATCTCAGCGTCAATGTCGCGAAGCGGACGAGAGGTAACAATAAAGCGGACGTTGTGCGGGAGTGCCATTATCGGGAGAACATCCGGGTTCCGAAGTTTACCAGCAAGAATGCGAAGAAGATCACGTCGTGTCTCGGCTCCACCGCTCTCATCCAGTGCGTCGATCACGATCACGACCGGGCCCACAAGTGACGGAGAGAGCTTCCCAAGCGGTCCCATAAGAAGTTTCTGCCACTGCTGAATGATATCCCCTGTATTCTTGAGCGCATTGGCATTCTTGACTGCATCCGCCAATGCTCGTCTGACCTTCGGATCAAGATCAGCTAGGTCACGCGCGATGGTGGAGAAGATCTTTTCATGGCGACGGTCTGATTTGTTGTACCGGTTGAAGCAGAAACATGATCCAAGAATCTCCAATTGATCCGACCACTCAGCAATGGTGTGGGCGATGGCTGATTTACCCGTCCCAGCAGAACCAGATAGCCATAGGATGCGCGGAGCATCATATGGACTGCTGTGAATCCATTCCTTGATCTGGTCGAGAATCTCCATGCGAGTTCCTGGTAGGCATAATTTTCTGGTATCTAGTCCCGCGCCCGCCGTATAAGTCATACCGTTGAGGTCCAGTGTTTCACCTGAAATGGTGTTAACGGATGTCAAGTCAGAAACACATCCCAAATCTGACCTGTTCGGTGGATGTGGACAGCTACGTCGCGAGTGGCCCTGTCCCTGAAGTTTTGCATGAGAGCATCCAACGCATCACTGTACTGATCAATCATGTTATCTGTTTCCGAGGCGACGTTCTTCCCAAGTCTCCCCCCTATGATGACGGTATGATAATGAGGATGTGCAAAGCTCATTTGCTTCTTGGATACTTACAAAAGTTCTTCCGCTCCTGATAATCTCTGATGAAATGTGCACATTCAAGGGTCTGAAGAGAGATCTGTTGAACGATGCCATCCATCGACGAAATCTGGTGAAGTATATCGTCTTGTGTCATGAAGCTGTAAACTTGATTCAACTTGTTGAGAAGACGAGATACCGCTTCGTTGCGATCGCTTTGAGTGAGAATAATCTGCACAAATTGACTGCTGAGCAGGAGATGGGAATGAGAGCAAAACCAATCATACTTTTGATGCAGAAGAGAACACGCTTAGTGCCGCCCTTGCAAATGGATTTATCTATGTAACGGGATTAGTTTGGTTCTGAATGAGAACAAGGGCACATGCATCCGCAAACGTCCCGATAACACTATCGAATGTCCTGATGGCTTGGATGTTGGCTGAGAGATCTTCCGCGGTATTAAGATCCGCATGAGCAATTTGTGGAGGTCCTGAAGATATATTAATATGTGCTGCAGTTTCACTGGCACCCGGAACAGCCAATTGGGGACCAGCACCATGTTCTACAGCGTCAGGGGCATCCTGAACCTGTGTGACCATGAGAGTTTAGAGATCATAGAAACTGAATAGCGAGTGTGAGGGCCAACCTCAGTCTTCGGATCACCTGCACGATCGACGTTCTGGAGAACAGGGGTGCGAGAAGTCTTTGAGCGCTTTTGTGCAACCTCAGCCTAATTTCTGTACGACTCAGCACTCGTATACACTCACAGAGATTTGTTTAGTTACTCCATTCTGGACCTTCCCCAGAAACCGACGGATGTTGCAACGACGTTGAATCTGTACGCAAGATGCGTCAGAGTCGGCATTTCAGGTTCAACGAATTTCACGAGTAAGTGATTCAGACGCTGATGAGCACGTACCGAGCTTTCACCAGCATTTGGTTTGCGGGATCTAAGGGCTTCTGGATCTGGCTCCGTCGTACGGGACCGGTATACATTCGCTTCGCTCATCGCGAATACAACGAAGGTATGAGAATTCGGGTATGATCGATATATCTGGCTCTAAGTTACATACGACTGGAAATATACTTCTTTCTCACGACCTCCTCCATCCACTTCCTCGGTGCCGGTGAGCACCTAAACCTCCTGCACGACCTTTCAGCTTGTTCTACAGCTCAAATATCGACTCAATCACGACAATAAATCAGCTTTAATATTTCCTTATCATCCCCATGCCCTCCTATAATCCAGACAGGTGGATAGACCAACTCATGGAATGTCGCCACCTCCCAGAACCCGATATGAAAGTCCTTTGCGACCGTGTTCGCGCCATACTCATGGAAGAGTCCAATATTCAACCTGTTTCGAGTCCAGTCACCATCTGCGGCGACATCCACGGCCAGTTCTGGGATTTGCTCGAGTTACTACGAAAGGGTGGAGAGGTCCCAGAGACGAGTTATATTTTTATGGCACGTATGTGTGCTTGTGATTTGAGGGTTGAACATGCTTAATGTCGATCAGGGTGACTTTGTCGACCGAGGGCATTATAGTTTGGAGACCGTGTCCTTGCTGCTGGCTCTGAAAGCTCGGTAATGTCACCGATAGCCAATCGCTGTATCTGTATTGAATTTTTTTAGATACCCAGATAAAGTCACCCTCCTTCGCGGAAACCATGAAAGTAGACAAATCACCCAGGTGTATGGATTTTATGGTGATAGTCATCAGCTTAGTACTGCTTGTCCGATAGTGCTGATATTTTGTTACATAGATGAGTGCCAACAAAAGTACGGTAGCGCTGCAGTTTGGAAGGCATGTTGTAGTGTATTCGATTTCCTCAATCTTGCTGCAGTAAGTTCTCTTTCCATCTGTTCTGTAGGCGCTAAATTTTGTATAGATAATAGACGGAGAGACTTTGTGCGTGCATGGTGGCCTATCACCAGACATCCGAACTCTAGATCAAATTCGTGTCCTCTCGCGCGCTCAAGAAATTCCTCATGAAGGTGCCTTCTGTGGTCAGAATATATTACTGTTCACTCGACTTCTCCTAATGCACTTTCGCAGATCTCATGTGGTCTGATCCGGAAGACATCGACACTTGGGCTGTTAGCCCACGCGGAGCTGGTTGGCTATTTGGTAGAACTGTGACGCGAGAGGTTCGTCCATTTATCCACATTATCTAAATGTCGCCCTGACCTTTCTTAGTTCAATCACGTGAACTCCTTGAGCCTCATTGCGCGCGCACATCAGCTCGTGCAGGAAGGTTACAAGTACATGTTTGACGACCAGCTCGTTACCGTGTGGTCGGCACCAAATTACTGCTACCGATGTGGTAATATGGCGTCAATATTAACAATAAGGGAGGATGGAAGTAGAGATTTTACCGTTTATAACGCCGCTCCGGAGAATGAGAGAGATAAGGGGATGCAAACAAAAAAGATGGTGAGTAGATACTCAGTTCCAAGGAAGCTATCAGAATGCATGCTAACGGCTTTACCTACAGAATACAATGCCCTATTTCGTATGACATGGTATATTACGACATGTATGTGTACAGCGCTATTCATTTCTTTGATATCGCCATTTCAGTTGTTCGTCTTGTTGCACAACGGTAATATCACCGGATGGTGTACGAAATTTGTTGTGTCGACCATATTGCACCCAACATGTCAGTCGCTTCAATTTTTTTTATCGGAGCCGATTTCAGAGTATCAATGACCTAACCGGGCCTCTCCACTGGCCGTTTCATTCCTTGTCTAGCAAATGTCGTGAATGCGAATGGACCATACAGGTGGACAATGTTATTTCAAGTACTGTCCTCAGCGGAAAGAAAGAAATGCCTCGTGTGTACTCGTCTCGGCGTCGAAACTTTTGACCAGACCGTACTGTAGTAATTCTGAAGCGCAAAGTAGCGTGCCATGGAAGTTACAAAACGTTTGTACAAACTGATTAGCATTACTGCCTTTCCCGGGCCATGCATCCCAGTATGATCCAGTGCAGGAAACAAATTCTAGTAGTGCATTTAGTCCCACTGTCAGTGTGACAGACACGGACTATCTGTCGAAACCCCCCTCCGGAAAAAACATCGCAGCGCACTTTCCGAATTACAAACCAAGAACACAAGCAACCATACAACCAAAAACCAACTCTAGATCCTCCGAGTCTGCGATATCATTTGTTCCCAGTCCCGATCCTCTCCATTAGACTAGACATCGAATCAGAGCTCTAGTCTTGCAGAACATCGAGGATGAAACGCACTCGCCTCTACATGCCACACATACTAGCATCAACCTGAGTGGCTTCAGCATAAACTGCATCCACTTTGCAGGAAGCGTGAGTCAAGTTGCCGTACGCCTGCTGGGAGATATCGTATATGGTAATGTTAGCATCGACGCTTTGGACAGCGTTGATGAGGTCATTGGAATTGTCACCAACAACGGTGAAGTAGAGGGTGGTTAGGCTGCTGCAGGGTGGGGCGGGTGTGAGGCTCCAGCAGGAGCCGCACAAGGTGGGGTTCGCATTGACGCCTGGGATTCCTCCAATGTTGGGGAAAGCAGGCAGGGAGGAAAAGTTGGTGTAATCCTGTGCCAAAACTGAGCAGGTGACGGTAGAAAGGGACGTATTGGGGTTGCTGTAATTAGCGTTTTGTACGACAAATACGGACTCTGCGAACGCTGGGAGGGCGAAGGCAGAGAGAAGAGTGACAACTGAAGTGAACTTCATTGCGCAGGAGCCGTTTGATGTTGGTTTGATGTGAATATTATGGAGTAACTTGAGATGATGTGAGTCTCGAAGATTGTCTGCTCACTCTTATAGGACAAAGCGAGGCGTTGGACACCAAAGTAAGCCTATGAGCAGACAGAAGGAATGGCACCATCTGTCTTCACTGTGAAGTCTGGTTGACCAAGTTAGAGCCAAGTTAGACCATGTCATCTGACAAGGACAGGTGAACAGGCTATCCTGGACTTCTTTCATCATCGTTTACTGTTCTGAAGCCAACAGCAAACGATAGTGACAGAAGTCCTAACTTCTGCCCAGGTTCAAATTGTACGGTACCAGCTCATTCTATCCGAAGGCAAGATTAAATAATTTAAGTTGGCCGGGGTGAGTTCTTTTGACTTCGGCGCAAAACGGCACCACCATATTAGTACCCTCATAACAAGCATAACCAAAGAAAGGCCCACCATAACACTTTCAGATAGAGCCAACAGGTGGAAAGGCGTCAGATCGTACGTCTGACATCAAGCAGATATGTCACGGTGTATCGGCCCAGAGTTAAACTGACCGGTTCCGTGAGTGTTCGGTGACGAACATTGGGAAAAAATAAAATGAAAATGACAATCATTTTGGCCTCTCCCGAGCAGAGGCAAAGAAAAGTTGTAGCTTCCTATATGGCAGCATATTGTTCACTATAGAGAATCGTCTCAGACAGTTGGATGAGGTGGATTATTAAGCACATGCGAAAACGAGACTCGGGCCGTATCTGCACAGCCCGAGCTGCGAAGCGAACAGTGGAATCTCGGATACAGCATGGAAGACGGTGACATACTTGTACAGGACTTAGTACTGAGATGCTAGATAGCAACCTCCCTCCCGACTCAACACTGGATCGAACAAACGTTCACTCCGTTACAGCACTCAAAAATATAAGTTCATAAGTTCCGCATACGTTCGTTCAAAACAAGTCCTCTCAGTAAGTGGTAGCATTCGTTTGTGTAAGAGCTGAAATTATCTCGTGGCCGTTAGGTAAAGTCCCCGAGTAAAGCCTACACGGCTTCCCCAGCCCCTGCAAAGCAGGTAAAATCTGCGACAAAGCCTCTCCGAGAGATGAAAGGACATGCTGGATCGGTGAATGGCGTTATAGGCCTGCCTGGGGGACGGCGCATCATTACCTGTCCAGAGGATGGTTCACTTCGAGTCTGGGACTTAAAAAGCGGTACGCAGGTCGGGGAGGCCTGGAAGGATAAAGGCAGTGGAGTCATGCGTGCCATAGCATTGTCACCGTCCGGCAAGAAAGTGGCAAGCGGGAGTGAGGATGGCGTAGTGAGATTGTGGGACATTGATACAGGCGAGGTCGTCAAAAAATGCACGGGGAACACAAAGGCAGTGTGCCAGAATGTGTGCTGGAGTCCAGACGGAGGGCGAATGGCGAGCGGATCCAACGATCACGCATTCAGAGTGTGGGACGTCGAGAGTGGAGAGATAATTCTCGGAGCAATCGAGACAGGGATTGCCGTGTTCGCGGTGTGCTACTCACCAGATGGCACGATGATTATCACGGGCGGAGGCAAGGTGAATATCTGGGATGCCAACACAGGCGAACTGCTCAAAACATTGGAGATGGGTCCCTCCGGAGTTTTGCGCCTGGTATGGACCTTAGATGGAGAGACCCTTATCGCGGCAGGGCCACTCAAGATCAGGAAGTTCGATACCGCTACCTGGACTGAAATTGCTATTATCGATGGACACAAAGAACTTATCCAGGCCATTTCACTGTCTCCGAATGAGCGCATACTAGCGGGCGCATCTAAAGACAAGACACAGTGCGACTATGGAACCTTGAAAACAATCAGCCCATTGGACCACCCCTCCGCCATATAACTATAGGTGAAAGCGTTCAAGGAAAGACAAGTGAGCACAAACGGTAGATGCGAGCGTTGAGAAAGGCTCACCACGACACAGTCCTGAGATGGAGTTATGTTAGCGCAATAGGCTGAAGGGCGTCAGATTGTGTGACATGTGCATATGTCGGTGTATAACGCACCGGCCCAGATTCAGGCCTAGTCAGGAGCTGACCGGTTCCGTCAGTGTTCGGTGACCATGTTACTAGTGAAAAGGTTAAATGTCAATATCAATGATTTTGCGAAAACAAACATCGATCATGTGCCACAAGTTGAGTGAGGAACAGACTCATTAGAAGCGGCACCAGTTAGCTCCACTGAACACGCATGCAACGGCAGCCAGCGCTCTGTGCTGTTGTCAATTGAGTACTACGTACCCAAGGGCCAATACTAATACTAATATCAAGCCCAATCACTCATTCTATGAATTTCTATCATAATGACTGTTGCCGTTTCGAAAATAGGCCATCAGCTGAATCCCCCCAACTCTGATTCATCGGATATTGTCTTTGCAAAACGAACATCTATCATGCCTGCGCGGCGCAGGTTTGCCTCTGTCGGATTCTCCACATCATCCATTGCTTCATTGACAGGGGCTGAGTGACGACCCAACCACAAGAGTTGCAGTACACCTGTATTCGGGATGGCAGCTTGGCTGTCGCTGGATGCATCAAATGCTCTTGTCATGGATAGAGCCAATATCATCATGATCACCGACGCAGATGTTGCAAACAACAGCTAGAGTGACTCAGTAAACCGCCATGGTGTAGATACACGAACTCACAGGAAGAAGATTGATCTACAAGATGGATGATGGTTTCAGCAATGGAAATAAGTTCAGTACAGTTCACACTGACATTGAGGCGTAGGGCAATGATCTGCTCATTAACAGAAGCTGTTCCACCCCCGTATTGAAATCCTCCGTTTGTTGTCCCGATTCGCCCCGCTGATGATGCAACACAATGAGTAAAATGCTTGCGAAAGTCACGGCCTCATAGTATGACCATTTACCTGTCCAAACGAGTTGTGCAGTTACCTGCGCAATGGCAGCCTCCAGTTTATCCGGGCTCAACACGAAAGTAGGAAAAGGACTAATCCCATCTCCCCTTCCCAAAGCCTGGACGGCGAGATTTAAGCCTACCAATGACATGATATGCCTAGAAATCAAATATTAGGTGAGACATTGTAGCATACCAGCGAAGGGAAGGTTTTAACTCGTCCGAAATCGAGGGTTCGTTGGGGGGATTTCCAGAGGGGGGTCCAGCTAAGTCTGAAAATGAATACCCGCTACCAACCTGGTTAGCCAAAGCCGAATTAATCTTGTATAAACAGTGATAATTGAATGTTCGTAACCCCTCAAGATGAACTTCGACACACCCATGCTTGCCAGGAATCAGATGCCCACTGGGACCACTCCTTGATTTCCCACTGTGTGGATGGTTGCGACATGGGCACGGGATTCTGCAGACTGTTGGCCTGCATGTCAAGCACCGCTTCTGCAGTGACGGCCGAAAGCGAGCATTGCACAAAATATACTTCAAGGACATATGGCACCCCTGCAAAGTATTTGTTAACATCACGGTACTGCAAAGAAGCTGACTCACAAGAATTATTATAAACAAATTCCACAGATATCGGCACGGCGACCTCCTTTTGTATGGAAGGCTCGATGTCTAATAATGTAGAGACCATAAGGATGACACCGGGGTTAGTATCCGGTGGTGTGACCTATTTAAAGGCGGCTGTCAGTTAGCTTTCCCAGTTCCCAAAATTATCTTGAAGCATTACGTTGCCACTTGGATAAACCCAGTTGTATGAAAGCACTTGTACTTGGTCTGGCCCTATAAACATTCCTAATTAACGATGAAAACAATCAATCAGAACTATGACGACGTACAGGGGTAGCTGGCGCCCATAGATATGAAAGTTCCGTATCCATCACCAATCGTAGAATTTACACTTAGCATACCGGCGTCCGCAGAGTATGTGAGATTGGGAAGCAACCCGCAACGTGAGCTTATTGTCGTTGCATCCACAGTTGCGTTTCCTGCCACAGAGTTTGTGTATGGGGTATCGTAGACTGTAGCGTTGGATAACCCTACAGAGACCAGTCCGGACAATTGACTGACAACTGGTAAGGATGCGGTGATGGATGCCCAGTTCGTCTCATAGGTGCCAAAAATCGATGAATCATATGGCCATGCTAACATTGTTGGCACAGAAGTCGTCATAGAAGTATTGAATGTTTGAATTTGTAGGAGAGTGGAAGAGGTGATATGCAGCACGGAAATGCACACAAGGTAGGCTGTCACAGTAGATATCATCCACCATGAGGCAGGGATATCAGTTTGTTGCCAGACACTGCTGAGTGCGGAGCCGAGGCCAGACCATGCACCCGAGATATCGTGGATGGTAGTCAATTTCAGACGATGTACTAGCGATCTTGACATCGCAAGCCGTTGGGTAAAGAAGAGTAGAACAGCCGTGTAAACCTAGATGAAACATTTATCAGCGGTGCGATTAAAAAAAATGTGCACTGGCGCATACAGTGTAAAATGCTTGTAGTGAAGCACTCAGCACCACAGACCAGAAATCATTGTTCATTTGCGTGAATGGCAGAGTCGCACGGTGTTCCCAGTGGGCGATATAAACGATAACAAGGACGACATATATCATGACCAGTATGGCATGCAGCATGTAACATGTACCAGCAGAGGATGATCCATCTGTTACATTTGCAAATAAATTTCTTGAGAGAGCCTTCCAGGGCACTGGGGCAGCAAGATGCAACTGTGGGTATGCGGCATGAAATAACTTGCTGAACCAAGTCCTTTGCGGCTGGATACTAGCGGGAGGCTTATTGTTTGTGGCTGACATGAACCACTCGTCGACGGAACCTAGTAATGTGATCAGAGGCGAAGTCAGTGTGGTATGGTACTGTGGATGAACGATCGGCTTCTATATATCTAAAAAGACACTGCTCAGCCTCACCTTTTTACAGAGAGTCTACATGCCAGTGAGAACTACTTATTGTGCGACTCGGAATAACTTGGGCTGGTGGGAATGAGTGCTGTGTCAAGTGCGGCTGATGGGTCTTCCAGTACTGATCATCTTCGGAACTGTGGCGGACCACCCAACTGGGTGAGTCGTGACTCAAGACTGCGCTGGTATAACAAAAACCTGTTCGCATGCGCGATAACAACACATGTGAGTGGTGGCGACGCCCAGCAACCTGCTCGTTTATGGGTTTACTTTCAAGATGGCTGCCCAGAACCTACGAAAATAGTCACTGACATCAGTGTCGTCCAAATTTCCCCGGGCCCCACAAAGATAGTTACAGCACATGATCAGCTCGAACGCCATGATGCACATGGCGGCATTCTCTCCAATGGCCTCGATACAAGTTGAACTCTGTTCAGGTCAAAAATCCCGCCTAATTATAACCCACCGAACCTATATATGCGCCGATCAGCAAAATCCCAAGTTAGTAATGGGGTGGTGTGGCACTGCACAGTGCCGTACAGTGACTGGGCCTTGACGTTCACAGACAAGCCACAGCGCGCCATAAATGATAAAGGTATTAGTGCTCTGGATGGGTGTCATGCTGTGTAGTTGGACCTAGTCACCGCTGGTTACCACCTCAGGCAGCAGTTTCGGCGCCAATAAAGGATTTTTAGGACCTGGTTTCTATATATGTCTATGGGAAATGTTCCGGGCCGAGAAAACCTAGAGTCATCCTAGTAGTACGTATAAATACTACGACTTCCTACGAGCATCCTCGTTGCTACAAATTGAATCTAAAATTATACCCTCCCCTGGCTGGCGCGTTCGTCCCATGATATGAATTTTTTACATGGCTGTTCAGTACACAGACGGTCAACATTAGGAGGCCCCATGACGGCTTCCGAGCACATCTGATATTTAGTATCATCAGTATTTTGTGAAAAACTGGAGGGGGCGCTTGGCCATTCAGCTCTGACATACATCCATGCTTTCCAAGTTCGAGTATAGCTAATCTACTAGTACAACAATCGCTTGATTCAATCTTCTGAGGGCTGTACTTTTTCATGTCCCACCTAATATTGTCCTCAGCAGCAAATCCACCGCTAGTTGAAGACGCAATATCAAAATCGAATAAAAGAAAGGGCGTTTTCTTGAGAAGTATAGCACTTAGACATTGAATGGGGCTGCACAGAGAGGATGGAGGTGAGTGAACGGAGTGTGGTCTGTGATGCCCGGAAGAGCGAAAATGCGCTGTAGTATGTGTCGAAGGAAGTGACAACACCCAGGGCACCATCTGCGTTGCCAGATGCAGGTTGCCTGCATATTGGACGTGGGGTAAAAATAAAAATAAAACTAGACAGGTGAAAACGCACCGGTGAAATCGTTTTAAGGAAAGACAAGTGAGCGCACAAAGATGATGCTAGCATTACAACAATAGGGTAGTCGTTCCACGTGCACCAAGGCTATAAATATTGTTAGAGATATGTTTACACAATATATTATCGCCTCAGACTCACCGGGAAAGCAATGCAAAAAATGGGAAAAATACCCAAGGAACATTTCCGCCTACGATCGTCGCTACCGGAGCTGGAAACGACTACGTCAAAATCAGTACCATTTGTGAATATTGAAAACTCACAAGACTATGGCCAAGCAGGGTGAGCCAACACTCTAAGCGTCAATATCGACAAGCACATGAAATTGAAAACGTTACCAAAGGACACCGTGAGCAAAGCATGGAAGACGTACGGGGTTTCCGAACATCCTCTGGTAGGGCCGGGGAGTCCATGTTGACAGTGTGGATGCAGTAGTTGTTCTTTGAGCCCTCATTTTCGACAATAGAGTTCGCCGACATGACAAGATGACTGGTGGTAAGTGTGATGAGGGATACACATGTTTGCGGATGTGATGAATGAAGTTCTAGATTACCCTCTGAGTCGTCAACATTTGACGTATGATAATTATCAACTGACAAGTAAACAACATGCTCACCGTCGAGCAAAATTTAACTGCGCTTGCACGGGTTCTTCGTGAGACCTTCCTATGGGAAATCGGACAGAAGCGTGTGAGCAATGATTCAGACGGTAGAGTTTACTTGGTTTTGCAGAATTCGTCAGAGATCAGGGTGATTAGTGTCTAATCATGGAGCAGGATATCCAGGAATTTCATGTTGCAAGTGGGACAACCATGATGAAGAACTAAAATAGGATGTTAAAACCAAGGGTAGGGGAGAGTATGATGGATCTGGCCATCCCGTTCGACTCTGAGCGGAAATGTAGCGCGGAGGCAGAGAATCGTATTGAGCCAACTATAAAACATGAGAATGTGTGTTTACTTGATGGCACTGTAGGATTCCACAAGATGAGATGCTAAGATGTCGATGAAGACAAGATGAAGAACCTGCGCATATCGTGAGAAGACTTGGGCGCTTGATCTGCACATGCCGTGCTCAAGCTGTGAGAAAGCAAGACCCGACCTCCTGATTCAACTCTGCGTCGAAAAAAAGTTCACTTAAGTTCGTTGCACCTTTTATTCAACGCACGTTCGTTATCAAGCACCTTCGAGTAAGTGATATCATTCATGTGATGGGAGCTGAAATTGACCCACATCCATTAGGTGAAGTGCCGGAGCCAAAATCATGTCCTCGTCAGCCATCGCGAAACGAAAGAAACCAGCGGTGAAGCCTCGCCAAAAGATGCAACTTGAAGGAAACACCCAATCCGTGAATGGTGTCGTAGGCCTACTCGATAAACAATGGATCATCACTTGTTCAATGGAATCTAGCTCGCTTCGAGTCTGGGACTTGGAGAGCGGCATGCGGATTGGGGAGTGGAAGGACGAAGGAAGTCCTGAAGGGGTGCTTGCCATAGAATTGTCACCAGACGGAAAGACAGTCGCAAGCGGATGTGTGGATGGCACAGTGAGATTGTGGGGCGTTAACAGCAACAAGGTCATCAACAAATGGACGGTGTACACAGCTGCTGATTATCCGCACCCAGCGATATCTGTATGCTGGAGTCCAGGCGGAGAGAGAGTGGTGAGCGGATACCAGGATGGGATGTTCAGAGTGTGGAATGTCAAGAGCGGAAAGGTTATTCTCGGACCAATCAATATTGGGGAGATGGTGTACGGTGTTCGCTGCTCAACTGATGGCAAGATGATTGCAACGGGAGGAAACATGGTGAGAGTCTGGGATGCCAGCACAGGAGAACTGCTCAAAACACTCGAGTCCGGCATGGTTGCAAATATGGCGTGGACCTCGGATGGAACTACGCTCATCGCCGGGAGCAGGAGGTTCGACACCGCCACCTGGACTGAAATCAACGGCGAATGGCTTGCTCGCTCAGACACTCTATTGTCTCCGAATGAGCGCATCCTTGCAAGCGTACCGAACGCTGATAAGTATACAGTGCAACTGTGGAACCTCAAACAACATCAGCCTATCGGGCCACCCCTTTATCATGATGAAGATGGAGACGAGGTGTCCAGCGCTGTCTTTTCTGCAGATGGAAAGTTCCTCGTGACTGGTTGCGACTCCGGCCGCATATATGCATGGGACGTCTCTGCTATTGTCATTGAGGCTGGGCTGAACGACCTCCTAGCAACTGTAAGTTTGCACAGTACATTTTATCCTCAATCACACTAATCATATGTCTACCTTCCTTTCAGGCGGTTTGTTTCATCAGGTCTCTTCTTCACCAGCCTCACTCACTGATCTTTGCTCATCACAGAAGGCCGTCAACAAGCCATTAATAGATGTACGTTGTGTGTTTCTTAACATTTTGCATGACTTTGAGTATCTATATCCTAGACCGATGCTACACGACGACGAGCACCGAAAATTGAAGGTGTTCGTCGAATACCCCCAGGATTTTTCGATGATGTACCACGTCGTGTTAATGTACGTGACCCACGTCTATAGTTGAGCAGTGCTATTAATCAATATCATGTCGACAAGTCGTCGACATCACGCGATCAATCCACCCATATCGGTCGCTTACCCTCCCACAACCCTCTGAGCTTGGTTCAAAATTTCGTCTCTGGTATGCTACGCAGACGAGATGGATCGACCATCCAATTGCCGCCAGTAGTTGAGGTCCCGTTAACAGCGGGAAAGCCGGTACTTTTTCTCCCGTATAGATTCCTTATCACTCACATAGTTTTGACACAGAGGGATTATCATGCGAGAAAGAAGCGCTCTGCGAGCTCCTCTCAACCTCCCAAACCCCATACCACGCAGCAACAAAACGGCGGAGCGACCCAAAGCAATCTGTCATCACAGCAACCACCCGCTACTGCCACCGCATCTACGACACCTCCTGCAGTCACTGGTACTGCAGGGGCAGCCGGTACAAATCCTGATATCACCATACGACAGGCTGGATGGCGGGCTCGTTTCCTGCTCTGGGTTTGTTGTGTGCCCATTCAGAATGCAGACAGTCGACCATAGGGAAGCAATATTCCACTCATCTAATTCTCTGTAGTTCCTGTTGTTGTATAGTATGTCTTGATGATTAGTTCATCAGTGTGTTACAATATGGATTCGCGTTGTATATTATATGCGCACGCCTCAAAGAAAGATACGATCATACGAGGATGTGTATAGTCCGGAGTAGAACAATGAGATCAAACAGACGGTCAACGTTAGGGAAGCAACATTTAGCTTCCGTATCTCATTCACATTCTGTCGTCTCACCTAGTTCTCTGTAGTACTTCTGCTGTCATTTTTGATTAGCATCAGCATGTAGTATTCTGGGAGACCAATGGTTCAATGTCCATCTGGTTTGAGTAAAATATATTGTATGTGCACGTTCTACTGAAGAAGACGAAGGTTGGTTGTAAACTCTTGACACTGTAGCTAACAACCACAAACTAGGTATGTCGACAGCAGCTTCCCTCCATCGTCGGCATACAGCAGTCAACAGCAGGGGAGCTTTAAGCGCTGATGGGTAGTTGGATTCTGGGAGACAATGATGAAAGATATGAATTATGATTTCGGTAGGTAAGTGCCCGAGACCCGATACGAGTCCCTGGTGCAAGCACATCGACTGCGTGATCATGCCCTGGAACATGGGTGGTTTCAAGGTCTGGAGTAGAGGTCTGTTAATAACGCATCGGATACAGTATATGGAACGTCGGTACTCACAATGATCTGCACTGCGGCAATGACACCCGAGGCCGGGGAGAGATTTGCGTTTGAGTTGACTGTCTGCATGTTATTTGCTAGCACCTGAGGGGGTCGACGTCAGGAGACGTGTACATTTAAGTTTGATAGAAGCGCGATCGGAAGTATCCAAGTAGATAGGCTTTAGAGACGTTTGGACAGCTGCGAGTGAAGCGGAATCAAATTGACGATATTCGAGGTGTTACATGCGGGTTTTTATATGACGAGGAATGCCAAAGTGGCTCAAGTAAGTATGATGAAAGGGAGTGGTTCTAAGGCCGATGCATGAAAGGGAGCAAATCAATGCCGTCGGAAGTGACGTTGAGCGCTGCGTAAACGTGGGCAAATGTGATGACGTGAAATGTCAAATGTGAAATCAACAATGGGAACAAAGGATCATAGAATCATGATTGCGTAGGAATGAAAAGCAGGCCCAGTACGAAGCTCTCGCGTTTCGGACTATCTGAGTGTTGATTATGTGCGACGTGTTTGGCGGGGCGCGTGGAGGCGGACATTGTTTGGTCCTGTTGAATTCTAAAGCCTTTCGCTCCGACACACGCCCCCTCACAAGCGTTTGAAGCTCATGAAGAAAATCGACGTATGATGCCGATTATAGCCGCGATGATGGAGCGCGGTCGCTAGATCTGACTTGATAAAGTATGAGTTGATTGTCCCCCCTACAGTCATATACCCAAACCTAGACTCGATCATTTCGACCTGGACTTTGAGAAGACATACTCCCGATCAACTCCAGAACACTCTACTTAACTTGACATCGTGCTGCCCGCCCCTCACGTAATTCTATTCCTCTTGAGAAACCACGAGCGCACCCAACACTTGACCCGACCCTCCATTTCTTCTTCCCATTAGTCCTTCGTTCGGATAAGGAATACGTTAACGCATATTCTCCCTCTTTGAGAGAATAGGCAGAGCGTAACCAAACTACGTGGGAGGCCCAAAGGTGGAATTGAAAGTGGAGGAGAGGGATGGAGGAGTGCGTGGGCTTGGTCGAGGACCGATGGCAGTGTCAAATACATGAGCATGGCGTCTCCAACGTGAGTCCGAGAAGAACCCAGCAACGGAATTTGACGCACCAGCCGACCATTTTGCTCCGTTCTTCCCTTGAACCTAACATTCCCTATTTTCAAGTGGCTCCAACGCTTTTGTAAAGGTGATGAAATTCTGCACTAATGATTAGAAAGTGAAAGACGCCATTGAAAACCCAAACCTGCGTGGTCTCTTCGGTTCACTGAAATGCTGCAGCCACGCGATATCATGTATTCAACAGAGTCCTTGACATGCACGAGCGTGGTCATATTCTGTAAGAAAAGACGCGTGCATGTAGGAGCGCACCACCTCGTGCAGGTGTTGCAGTCATTACATCACAAATGTAGGCGCACTCAAGGTAATTGAATTTCCATGGGCTTGTTGTATACAGATGATGGCGAACGAATGCTTGCCACGCAAGCTAATAAAGATAAAGGCTGAACGGTTGCCCGGACACGAGCGGTCAGCGTACGCGTCGAAGGAGCGCCCAACATCGAAATCATACCGTGCTCACCTGATTAACTACTGAAGGTCAGTGACGATATGGCTAGACACAATATTGGGGCGCCAAGAGGCTGTGGGTTTTATGGTAAGCAGAAAAACACTACAGAAAATAGGCACCTGCACTTGTCACGGTGTTCCCGCTGTGCGAACAAGCGTATCATAGTTCAACTCGTGTCCCATCCTTAGGATTGTCAGAACAAAACCTTGATTGACGGTCACAAGGCAGATTGCAAGGCGCTTGTCAGACTCTGTATGTAGTTTGACGACAAACTAGAGACAATTCTACTCTGGTTTGGTTGCTGATGTTTTGTTCTGATGAAGTGTTGATTTTGCGAATATCCTGTTGTCCTATGAGTCCGACTTGATTGTACAGCTGTAGCAACTCTATTTGGTTGAACCCTCCCCGACTCCAGCCAGCACTTATAATTTCTCGCGAGGCGCAAACGTACATACATAAATGGTACAGTAACACAATCAAATGCGCTGTCATGATATACGCAACAACTACTAGATATATATATATATATGTATATGAATAGTGCCAGACCCAATGTCTCCGAAATATATAACATCTGATCAAATAGTACTGGGGTCCACTACTTGGATTTCGAGGGAAGGAATCAGCGCAATGTATTCTGCTTCCTCCACATCTGTCACCGTCGGCGTCTTCCAACCGCTAAATATCAAGGTCTCCAGGGGACACTTTGACCGTGCCAAAAATGCCTTCCATTGCTTATGAGGGCGCCGGCACGGTGGGCCGCCAATATCAATGAGGTGATCTTCAAGCACCCGCAAACTGGGGAACGATAGAGCCTCGACCAGCGCAGATAAATTCTGTGCGTCGAAAGAGCCATGTGAAATGTGGAACATTTGGATTTTGGGGTGTGTGAATGGCCGGAACACTAAAGGTTCACCGTAATAGAATGTTACGGTAATCTTTAACGAGGCGAGGCTGGGGCATAGATGGAGCAGCTGCAGGACTGCACTGGGGTACCGTAGTGTGCTGATATCGAGATATGTGAGGTGTGCCGCCACAGGACCGAAAGAAGTCAAGGGTACGGTGTGGAAAAACCTATCAACGATCTTCAGGCTGCGCACAGTGGATGGCACCCGCGGGATAGAATGCCCAATAGCGAGAACCTCAACGTTTGAGTCATGTGCCCCTTGTAGTATGGCTAGCTCCTGAAGTGCAGGGAGGTTATCTAGCAAAAGTTCGGGTAGGGTTGTTCCTTCGTAAAATGTGAGACGGAGAGACAAGATTTGATTGACGTAGGGCCGAAGAAGGCGTTGCATCTTGATCGCGTCACGGTTGTTGCAGAACAGAGCCAACGAGAGCGGGTATCCTCGTGATCGCTTGAGCCATAAGTCATAGCCAGAGGCTTGCGGCCTCCAGCTGGATGACAAGGCGACCATCACAGACAACCTGCACCACAAACTAGGCATGTTGACAGCAACTTCCCTCCATCGCCGGCATACACCAGTCAACAGGAGGGGAGCTTGAAGCGCTGATGGGTATGTGAATTCTGAAAGACAATTCTGAAAGATATGAATTATGATTTCGGTAGGTAAGCGCATCTCAATTGACTGCATTTTGTTTAATGCGAAGAATAAGGTGAGGCGAATGAAGACAGTCAACGGTTCCTTCTGAATTAGTGAACGAGGTTATGATCTCAACGAGGACAATGAAGCCGAACTTCGATGATCATCCGGATTTGGATGTGGATGTGGATGTGGATGCCGCTACGCGGCCGATATCTCTCAAAATTTATTGTTGTGTGTGGGAACAAAAAAATCAGGTCACGCACAAATTAAGGCCAGCAGTCCTACTACGAACGATCAAGTATGTGGGTATTGCACAGCTACACAACAAGTTGTGAGGAGTGTCATCCCACAGGCGCTGATTCAATTGTATGGTTGGCATTGTGTGACGTCTGGTGGACTCGGTATGCGCTGTGTCCACCGTATCACGATCAAATCCATCCAGTGATGCGTGGGCATCGACTTTCGAGATCATAACACAATGGACTAAAAGGCAGGAGAGTGGAAAGTGGAATCTATGATCTGCAGAAGAAATATCAACGTATAGATGAGTCCAGAAAAATATAACAACAGACTGTGAATGCACCGTGCGCACTGATCGGGAGCATTGACTCAGACAACGTGCAACGCCAGCTCAGGTTCCAGTGTGACCAAGGCTTCCCAATAGTCCGGACTTCGCGCGTTCCGCACACGCTTGATATTCCACGGTAGTAGCGGTACACCATGCAGGACATGGACGGCAGTCCTAGCATGATTCGAAGTTGGCAAGTGGATTTCCATGCACATCAACAGGAACGTCCCGAGAAACCGGCTTAAGGTTCGATCTCGAGTTTTCTTTCTTTCTGTCAACGGTTAGTTGCAACTTGCAGTGTATCCAAAAGTACACAGCACTCCAGCAGTCATCTTAGGCAGTTAGGCGATATAAGCGTCCCAGACATATACTGGTTGCAGGTTCATCGTTTGCGAGGGAGGCTTCAACAACATTCGGTCTTGGGGTTTGTATAGAGACATAGAGGTATGGATTACATGTCAATTACGTTCGGCGTCCATTAACACTCCTACTATCAGAGACAATTAACTTCATTAGCTCTACAGGTGGAATTATACTCACAGTCTCAGGTTTTGATATGCTCGTCCACTATGATATCCGAAATTTAGGTATCAAAAACAGGGTTGTTGTCGTGCCCTCTCACACCTCCAGCATACATTTCAACCGAAGATGGTTGCAAATATACGGAAACGGCTTGCCAATATATCCTCTGGAATGCACAATGGTGAACGTCCGAGATACTTATTTTCGCTCGTGATGGAGAGAAACAACGGTTGGAGAAGAGTGTGTGATGCGGTCGTGTCGTCCTGTTAGACTCTGAACCTCTGAACAGAAACGCGGCAGGGTGGGATAGATACTAAGACTGGAGAATTATATTAAGCCAAACACAGGAAGGCGGACATGCTTGAAAGCAGGACTGCTAGATGCGATACCAAGATGTCGATAAAGAAACCTTGCAAGAAGTCTTGAGCACATCGTGGGAACAACTAGGTCACTTAGGCGCGCTTCCTTTGCACAGCCTGCGCTCAAACTGTAAACACTTACAGCATGATAAAAGATACACCTGTAGATGACTTGAATGGCGAACTCCTCCGCCTCGAGTCTACATCAAACAAACGCCCACTTTGTCGCAACTTTCATTCCTCACTCATCTATTCTTTGTTCAAGTCAATTACCTCTGAGTAAGTGACCATCGGGTATGTACGGCTTTCAAAGGCAGTAAGAGCTGAAATTGACCCGCGCCTATTAGGTGATCTCTCTGGACCAAATCATGTCTTCGTCGGCCCTTGCGAACAAAGAGAAATCAGCGACGAAGCCCCACCACAAGATGCAAGGACACACCGGTACCATCTATGACATCATAGGCCTGCCCGATAAACGGCGGAAAATGACGTGTTCGGGTGATGGCTCACTTCGAGTCTGGGACTTGGAGAGTGGAAAGCAGGTCGGGGGTGCCTGGAAGGACGAAGGAAGTGAATTCGACTCAGCGTTAGCCATAGCACTGTCGCCAGATGGCAAGACAGTAGCAAGCGGCAGTCAGAGCGGCACAGTGAGATTGTGGAACATCGACACTGGCAAGGTTATGAAAAAATGGACGGCGGACACAGACTTAGTGCAGTCTGTCGGTTGGAGTCCAGATGGTCGTCGAGTGGTGGGCGGATCATATGGTGGGGGAGTAAGAGTGTGGGACGTCAGAAGCGGAGAAACCATCATCGGATCAATCGAGACAGGGCAGGGGAACATTGTGTGGGCGGTTTGCTACTCACCCGATGGCAAAACGATTGTCACGGGCGCGGACGGACTGCAGGTCTGGGATGCTAACACGGGCGAACTACTTAAAACACTTGGGATTACGGTTTCGTGTCTGACATGGGCCTCGGGCGGAAGCATACTTATCGCTGGGTCACAGAAAAAAATCAGGATATTCGATGCCACCGCCTGGACTGAAATTGCTGTTCTGGATGGGCACGAAAAACTTGTCAATGGGATTTCATTATCTCCGAACGAATGCATCCTCGCGAGCGTATCGGACGATAACACGGCGCGACTATGGAACCTCAAAAGCAATCTGCCGATCGGCCCACCCATCCACCATGAATACGAGGTAAGATCCGTGTCCTTGGATGGAAAGTTCCTTGCCACTGGTTGCTACTACGACCACCACATATACATCTGGGATGCATCTGTTATCGTTGAAAAAGCTGGCTTCGATAACCTGCTGTCAGATAATGTAGCTTGGTTATATTCTATCATTACTACCGCTGACAATGGGTCTGCTCATGTCCTTTCAGGTGGTATGTTGCATCAGGTCTCTTCGGCAGCATTACTCAGTACTGCTCATCACAGAATGTTGTCGACAAATCAGTGTTGAATGTATGTCATGTTTTTTAAAAGTTCGTTGCTTTTGAGCATTGACACCCTAGGCTGGTGCTACACGACGACGAGCCCCACAAATCGAAGGCGCTCGCCGAATACCCCAAGGTTTCTTTGATGATGTACGTGATCTCAACTGTAATTTATCGGTTTATTCGACAAATCTGTCAACAGTCCTCGACATTACGCGGTCACCAAACTGCAGCACCACGTCAACCCAACACCCCTCTCAGCTGGGCTCAGAATTTCGTATCTGGTATGCTACGCAGACGAGATGGATCGGGTGTCCGGTTGCCACCGATAGTTGAGGTCCCGTTAACAGCGGGCAAGCCTGTGGGTTATCCTGGTTCTACGTTCTTTTTTATATCAATGTCTCACGTCGATGCAGAGAGACTACTATGCAAGAAAGAAGCGCTCTGCGAACTCCTCTCAACTTCCCAAACCTCATACCGCACAGCAACCAAGCGGTGGAGCGACCCAAAGCAATCTGTCATCATCACAGCAACCACCTGCCACTGCCGCTTCGTCCACGACGCCTCCCGCAGTTGCTGGTACTGCAGGGGCAGCCGGTACAAATCTTGATATCACCATACGACAGGCTGGATGGCGGGCTCGTTTTCTGCTCTGGGTTTGCTGCGTGCCCATTCAGAATGCAGGCAGTCAACCATAGGGAAGAAATATTTCCCTCATCTAATCCTGCGTGGTTCCTGTTATTCGATTGGTTCATCAGTGTGTACAAACATAGATTCACGTTAGATAGTACATGCACATCTCAAAGAAGGACACAAAATTCCAGAGTAGAACAATCACATCTCCTTATACAGAATGAAAGTCAAACTTGGCCGATCATGTGAAATGTAGTCCCTTGTTGCCCGGATGAAACTACGATGCGTGCATCACAACCACGCAGCCGCGGACAGCCATTGCCAACATGACTGTCCTCACAACTAGACCATCCTGCGACTCAATGACATGTCACACTTATGTTCGGCGCCGCAAAGAAATGCATGCAAGTTGGTCAATCAGCTCCAGGATATCTTGTGCGAAGTTCATTAGCAACAGAGTCTCGCATTCAAAAAGATCGGGATGGTGATTGATTACCCGCTGAGTCCCACTGTTACTGATCCCTCGCTTATTTCAGGAGCCCGACTCGATCGAACTGATGCCTCGTGTAGCGTTCGTACTGCATCCTAGACATCCTTGGCCAGATGGACGATGATGCCACGGAAGATGCTGGAAGATGATGCCACGGACATCTCAGAGATATCTCTCGCTTGATTTGAAAGAGAAGCTTCCAGATCTTTGTGTTTGTCACGCCTTTCTGCGAGCATGCAAACCTAGAGCTGAGGAGCGACTGGCTGTACGAACACTGGGAAGGTGTGTCAGGATTGAGATGCAGCTGGTAGAATGACAAAAACAACGGTCAGAGAGGATGGCATGATGAATCTCGCCATCCTATTGGACTCTAGGCAGAAATATAGCGAGAGACCAATATGTTCATGTTGGAGTGAAAATACAGGCCCTGTGTGATTACTAAATGCGATGTTGAGATGTCGTCATGTCGACGAAGGAACTGTGAGAAACCAGACTTTGGGCGCTTGATCTGCACAGCATGCACAAGCATACTTACACGGAGAAACACCATGCAAGACGTACATGAGAGGACTGAAATAATTACCTCCCTTCTGATTCGATTCTGTGTCAAACGAAACTTTCACTCCGCTGCAGCTCTCACTCTGCACGTGTTCATCCCGTGTACAATTATTTGAGTAAGTGATGGTGTTCGTTTGATGGGAAAGAGGCTGAGCTGAAAATGTCCTGCGCCCATCAGGTGAAATCCCCTGAGCCAAGATCATGTCTTCAACGACCGCGAAGCAAGACATACCAGTGATCAAGCCTCGCGGAAAAATCCAAGGACACACCGCAAGGGTCACTGGCGTCCTACGACTGCCCGGTCTGCGACGGCGCATCATCACCTGTTCAGACGATGGCTCGATTCGAGTCTGGGACTTGGATAGCGGCATGCAGGTCGGAGATGCCTGGAAGGACGAAGGAAGTGGAGTAGTGGCTGCCATAGCATTGTCGCCGGATGACACAATGGTAGCGAGCGGGAGTAATGATGGTGCAGTGAGATTGTGGGACATTGGCACGGGTGAGGTCGTCAAAAAATGGACAGGGCACAAAAAGCTTGTGTGGTCTGTGTGCTGGAGTCCAGACGGAAGGCGAGTGGTGAGTGGATCCATGGATCATACATTCAGAGTGTGGGATGTCAAGAGTGGATACACAATCCTCGGACCAATCCAGGCAACATCAAACATGCCTGTGTTGGCTTGTTACTCTCCAGATGGCACGATGATTGCGACGAGCGGGCACCAGCTGAAAATCTGGGATGCCAACACGGGCGAACTACTCAAAACACTCGAGGGAAAAGTTTGGCGCATGTTATGGACCACCGATGGAAAAACGCTTATAACCTACGACATTGGAATCAGGAAGCTTGACACTGCTACCTGGACCCAAACCGCTTCTATTGAGGGGTACAAAAGACTCAGTGAGATTTCGTTATCTCCGAATGAGCGCATCCTCGCAAGTGTATCGAAAGAGAAAACAGCACAACTATTGAATCTCGAAAACGATCAGTTCATTGGACCGCCCCTCTATCATGAAGATATGGTGAGAGGCGTGGCCTTTTCTGCAGATGGAAAGTACCTCACCACTGGCTGCGACGATGGCCGCATCTACAAATGGGACATCTCTACTATCATCAAAGAAGCTGGCCTCGATAATCTGCTGTCGGACAATGTAAGATTGGATGCATCTCATTCTTAACGACTCTGACAACAGATCTGCTCATCCTTCCAGGTGGTATGCTATGTCGAGTCTCTTCATCAGCCTTTAGTACTCACTATTCTTTGTTCATCACAGAATACTGTCAACAAATCAGTGTTAGATGTACGTGATGTTTTTCTTTATCTTCTACATGACTTTGAAAACCTGCATCCTAGGCTGATGCTACACCACGACGAGCCCCGAAAATTGAAGCCGCTCGTCGGATACCGCAAGGGTTTTTCGATGACGTATGTGATCCCATCTATAATTTATGCCACGGTTCCTTTGACCAATCTGTCGACAGTCCTCGACATCACGCAGTCGCCACACCGCCACACCACGTCAACCTCTTACCCCTCTCAGCTGGGCTCAAAAATTCGTGTCTCGTACGCTACGCAGACGAGATGGATCAGGCATTCGGTTGCCACCAGTAGTCGAAGTCCCGTTAACGGCAGGCAAGCCTGTGGGTTATTTTCAATGCTTCTTATCAATGTCTCATGTCGACACAGAGGGATTATTATGCAAGAAAGAAGCGCTCTGCAAGCTCCTCTCAACTTCCCAAACCTCATACCACACAGCAACCAAGCGGCGGAGCGACCCAAAGCAATCTGTCATCATCACAGCAACCACCCGCTACTGCCACCACATCCACGACGCCTCCCGCAGTCGCTGGTACTGCAGGGGCAGCCGGTACAAATCCTGATATCACCATACGACAGGCTGGATGGCGGGCTCGTTTCCTGCTCTGGGTTTGTTGCGTGCCCATTCAGAACACAAACGGCCAACCTTAGGGAAGCAACTTTTCGTCGATGCTTGCTACTTTTTGGTGCTCTGTGGCCTTTCCTGCCGTTGTTGTATAGTATGTCCTGACTAGTCTACGTATGTGTAGTATTATTCGGACCAATATTCATCAGATCTCACTTCGAAATTGGACAAAGTAGTTGGCAGTGCTCGCTAGACAGGAGAGATGGATAAAATGTTGCCTAGCTTGAAATGAACTGTAAGGTACGAGTCGAGACGAGACACCGTGACGGATGCTCGTCGACACCATCCAGCTCACGGCAAACATAGGCGCAGACTGCTGGGGGCGCCCGCTCAACCAGCCCATCACCGTCTACCTCCATCTCAAACCCTCCATCCTTGACATATCCAGTCAATCTGACTATGTCGTAGACTCCATTGCCAATATTCATAATTGCCCGTGATGACCTCGTCAAGGATTCCGTTTCAACTAGGAGCACATCCACCTCATCCAAAATTGACTGTTTGAACGTTTAGTGACAATCGAGCTCAAAGATCTACCATGATATCATGGCATGGAGTGGTCCTTGATTTCCTGAAAGCAGTCTATCCGAGCAGGGCACTATTACTCCAAGTGAACCAACTCAACGCACATAGGTCAACTAGACTGTAGTCTTCGACAGGAAGAACGTTTCAGATCGCAACATCCTTCACATCGAAGACTACTGACTAATAATACATAAAACCTTGAAGGTTGCATAGTTAGAAATCTGCACTAAACGAGAATCACATACGAAGACATTATTCGAGGTCGGTCACAAAATCAGACAAAGCCCACTTACGGATATTGGAATGACTGCTACTGGTCATGCCCTTGGAACCACGGCGAAAGTTATCTGGGTAAAATGGTGATATTGATGAGCTTGGCATGATAGTGTTAATTGAAAAATCCGTTCTGCCGCAAGTACTCCTGGTGTTCCTCGCGATGTGCGAGCACTTGCTTGTAAGTCAAGCGTCTCCACAATGGCATCCCGATCTGGAGGTATCAACAATGAACACAAGGATGTAGGATATATGGACATACCAAGGCAATCAAGTCTAACACGAAATCAAGAGCAGCGTTGCTGCGGGGAGCTGAACCACGCGTAGAAGCTCGTAAAAAGCTTGTGAGAAGATCGGCAGTGATGTGTACGTGACCATTTTCGACACCTAGTGAGGTCGATGGTTGAGGTTATGTCCGATAGCTCTTAATTGGCGACATACCTGCAAGAAGTGCGGCAGCAGCCTGTTCTGCTGTCATACCTTTGTCCGTCGACTCTATCATTCTCGTGATACTTGGCTTCGTTTTTCTTTCTTCGTCAAAGCCAGGGGTATACACTGTAGGAGGGAAGAAGATGTGAGTATTGATGCCATAGAGCAGTAGCTCTGAATGCAAAGAGTCGGCAAGTCCTACCAAACAGAATAATCAGTATCACGAAAAAAAAAAAACATGGAGTGCACAGTCATTACCGCGCAGAGCATGCTTTGCAGGGGAATAAGAAGAATATCCAACGAAAGACATATATCCAAGAATCGATGACACCAGTATGATTTTTCCCGACTTATTTTCGCGGACCATTTGTTTAGCAGCGGCCTGTTGGCTGCGATGTCATTGTCCGTAACCTTAAACAAGGCAAGACAGTCGACTCACGAACGCGGTCCACGCCTGCACCCAGTAGCCGTTCATCATTCCCCGCGTTAGGTCCTCTGCCTGCATGTCAAGAAAGTACATTGGTTTTGAGGCGCCGGCGCATGCAAAGACAGCATCTGGGACATGTCCACCATGACCGTCACTAGCGGCTCTAAGGGCAGCAGCAGATTCCCCCGCGGTGTCGAGGGAGTAGGAAAAGGCTTTAAATATTTGGCCTGGACTTTGGCGAACAGCCTGTGAATAGTAATTCAGAACGAACGGAGGGTTTTATTATGAACACGAACCTCTAGCTCTTTTAGCGCGTCGTCAAGCTTGCTTTGCGTCCTCGCTACTATAGAAACATGAGCACCCTTCCGTGCAACGAGCTTTGCGAGTGCAAGTCCGAGACCCTGGCTGCCGCCTGTAATATAGATGTGCTGGAAGAATCGAAGCAAGGTGCGTCAATGACCAAATTATTGAGGAAACACTTTTTGGGTTCTCACCAATCCCTTGGGTGTCCATTTTCTCGATGAGAACATGAAGGGCGATGAGTAAATAAGAGTGAGGAACAGTAGATCCTTAAAAGTCAAACTTGAAGACAGCCAGTCGAACACGTATAACATATGAATGCGAGATATCTAGGTCAAGTAGTTGCGCCATACGGGTTATATAGACCGCCACGTACCGAAGTGAAAGTAAGGACTCATCAGCTGAGCGCTGAACTGCTGCGACAGCGGTTATATCCGGGCCAGGTGAGGTGCATTTCAGCAGACTCGTAACCGGTCTGGCCCGGGACTCTGGAATACGTCCGAGTCTTTCAGGGATGGGGGTATTGACGTGGCTATGCCACTCGACTTGTCCGTGGTAGTAATTATACGAGTGTTGGCACAAGCCTACACTCCTAGGTCTGTACGCAGGTGCACGTTCAGGCCAACAATAACTTTGAGCACACCAAATTATTTCAATTTTGTTAACATACTAGTAGGAGCGCTCGCCCTAATGATGTGAGGTAAGAACGTGAGCCTTTTTTTGCGGGTGAGGGCGAGGGTGCCGGTGAGCTCCAAGACCCGCAGGTCCTTCTCTCAGCTCTGGGATATCGGTAATAATATCAGGTGCGTAGCCAAGGCAGGTCAACGTTAAAACGTTAACCCCAGGCTACCTGGCATGGGAATATTGCAAGCGAACGGCACGTGCTGATCCTTTTCTTAGGAGCAGTGCCGTTTTAAATTTCAAAATTATCACCTTCTCCGCACTATGAGAGAGATCATCTACATCCAAGCAGGCTCATTCGCAAACTACACTGGAACTCACTTCTGGAACACCCAGGAGAGCTATTTTACCTACGACGATGACGATGAACCTATCGTAAACCACGACCTTTCATTCGAAGAAGGACGGAGTCCTCAGGTATGTGTCCCACTTCTAAGTGAGATCCTAAAATTGATGTATGCGCCATCGTGCTTTGCCAGAATCAGCCAACGCTTTGTCCACGCCTGCTGGCGTTTGACCAGAAGTGTATGCCTTCGCCGGCGCATTGATATCCTCTTGTCTGAGCTGCTTCTGAGCAGCAAACTTCGGGACACTCGCGAAAACGAAAGAAGCAGATACAGCTACCGATGTTTCTCTTGATACGACCTGGTGAGTGTGGATTTGAAAGCTGTTCACCGTACAAACTGATACTTTGCAGGCGAGGCAGGGTAGTTCGAGAGACACAAGATCCGATCCCTCAAAGCGAATACCACGCTCGTCTTGAAGGCGAAATGGACGAAGAAGGCAATCTGGAATATACAGACCCAAATATCAGATACTGGTCAGATTACAGTCGCGTTTTCCTCGATCGAAAATCTATACAGGCCATCCCTGATGCACTGGAAAGTACCGAGGCTGGGTGGAGTGTTGGTCAAGAGCTCTTCCGGCGATACAATGAGGTATACACCTTTCACCCTCGTATTGGGCATCTGTAATGCTTTTCCAGGATGCAGAGCTCATGGAGGGGGCGTTTCGTCTCCTCGTCGAGAACTGCGATAACTTCCAGGTAGACTCTGTTTCACATCATCTCCAGTCATTTGCTGAATCTCTACCGCTGCAGGGATTGCAAATGATGAATGATACAGCTACCTTTGGGGGTTTCTCGCATGCTTTCCTGACTTCCTTCCGCGACGAGTTTCTCAAGGCTTCTACACTGAACTTTAGCTTCCTTTCGGGTGCAGACCCCAATCACGCCGGCATTGACAATGTGAGTGAGCGCACTTGCATGTAGATGGCAGCTAAACATTTGAAAGTAGTTTCTCGACACGAAAAGAATTATCAACGACGCATTGTGTTTGCAAAGTCTCCATCAGCTCTCGGATATCACTTTCCCGATATTAAATCCATCCCGATGGTCCACGTTGGAAAGTACCCTATCGCAGGGACTTGCCTATGATGTTCGTCTGCTGAAAAACTCTACATTCAGTTTCCTGACGGAACATTACAGAAAAGGAGCCTGTATCATTCGTCTGCAATCATCTCGTCGCTCGTAGAGACCGCTACGCTGCCCTTGAGGTATGTCATTATCTTTGACAGGCAACAAGCATCCATCGAATGATTCTTCGTCACAGGCTGAAAGGTAGTCGGGATGACATCGCAATAATCGCTGACCATTTGAACTGGCGGAAATGTTCTCGATTTGGACAACTGGGAGGCATAGTTTCACTACCATTTCCTGCGCCAGAGTCGACGTTCACCGATCTGCACTGCAACTTCTCGACCGGTTTGCCAAATCAGGTGAGTATCATTTTTAACGCCTTAATCACACGAACCATGATTAAGCTAAAGTAATTACAGGTCGAGCATGATGTTTTTGCGAGGCGAAACGTAACTCGAGGGTTACTGGATCAAGACCTGGCAGCGTTTGATGCATGGTGTGACTTGTCATCGCTCCAGGAACCTCTGATCTCCAGGTATGTAGCAGGCTTGCTCAATCGTATGACAACTCATTTCTGACTTGGCTTAGCATTCATGCACCTGCTTATCCCGTGCCGACATCTTTTCCGTCCATATTCCGGCACACTAAGCCAACGTCAATGAGGATGATGTCGTCGCTTGTCACAGCACCTTCTACATCGATCCCGCTCACGTTGTACGCGAGGTTTGTGGAACAAACTGCAAGGACGCGGAGGAGTGATGGTGTGCTTATGAGCATGGGACTAGAGAGCGACGACGTGAAAGAGCTTGCTAGTGCGTTGTGGGAGATTGTCGATGGGTACGGGAGCGACAGGATGGCTGAAGGCAATGACTAAGAAACATTATCCAATTCTGAGATAAGAGGCCTCGACAAGCGGTATAAGATCATGGGGATATAGTATGCGTTGAACAAACATTCGGATCAATCGAGCATTCGATCCCCACCCCACGTCAGGTTAATGTCCGATTCATCCAGAGAAACAAAAGTTAAATTAGGATACTTTACCATAAGGTCCCGTTTGCAATTTGCAAGACGGGTATCTGTCCCGAGTACAATGCGCGGCACAGCCGAATGCGAGGAGAGTCGTAAACGCTGAATTGTGGAGGGAAGGGGGAGGGTCAACAGGGCGTCCATTATCATCTAGAATACAAATTAGCCTGAAAAAAGAGCAAGGCACGATTCGGGACGTACCTCGGGGTTCCACGCTTGTGTGGCAGCATCAGCAAAAAAGCCTCTTCCCACATACACATATAAAGATTGCAATATTGGGAAGCGGGCGCAAATAGCATTGAGCACTAGGGCATTGACATGCGTAACGCTCAACTCTAGCTTCTGTACAGTCCTGAGGACCTCCGGATCGCACACATCCACGAGTTCATCACCTCCCACAAGTGCTCCATGCAGTTCACTGGGATTCATTGAACCATCAGTGGACACGGGGCGTGTACTCCACAAGGTAAGATGTTCCAGCGCACCAGGGCGAACAAAGTGGGGCAAAAGTTGACGAGGACCTTGGTATTTCGAGAGGGGTTTGAGTGGACGGGAATACGTAGATAGGGAGAACGTTTCGTCTTTGGGAAGGCTGTGCTGGATTTGAGAGGGGCGGGCGAACTTGAGTTCGGCCAGCTCTGGGATAAGATGAAGCAACGAGCGGAAAGCGCGCACAACTTCTAAATTACAAGGTAATGCGAGGCATCGGAGTTGCGTCAGGCTTTGTGATGTGTTTCCTAGGACATTGTTTAGGAATTGTGAGGCTGCGACTGGGTTAATTATGGAAACGGAACGGAGGTGGTCGGGTGAGAAAACAGATAGTCCGTAATCGTTATGGTCGTTCTCAAACATGCTAGGTTTGTTATCGCAGATGATGGTCAAGTCAGAGACCTGCAATTTGGAAGGTGGAAGGGACTGGACATGTTCCACTCTGCAGTTTCCCAAGAAAAGGGTCCCAAGGCTTCGTAGTGCGCACAGTTTCAATAACTGAGACTGACTGAGGTCTACGAACATGAACGATAGTGATTGGAGATTGATGAGAAGCGGTAGGGTGTCGAGCAGCATATCCAGAAGCACATTATATGCAATCTCCGTGTTGAGCACGGCACCAACAATATACCGGGGGTAAAATTTGCATTCCCGAACAGCGTGAGCGATGCGTGCTGAGGAACAAAATTGTATGCGTTGCTTTGTACGCTCTACAGTTTCGATGCGGGCAATGTAGCGCTGGTTATCGGTGTCCAGAGAGTAGGGACAGAATGTCAGGGAGCGAAATAAGAGAGGTTGCGCGAGATGACGAAATAACTGGCAAGTGAGGGCAACGTCGTGAAGCGTTCTGATAGGAAGATGTTCGAAGATTGCCAGCCAAAGTTCGTGTGCGAGGCTGACTTGAGGTGTATTCAGCATGCTGGGGGCTCCGGAAGGTCTGTTGATTACCTGGCCCATGACTTCAACATGGTACACTTTATCAATATACGATGGATGATTAACTGCAGGCGATTGTTACTTACTTGAAAGTCCGTAACCAAAGGCAAGGTAGTGTCCGAGTCAGTCCGAGTTTGTAGTAACTGGCTACTCATCATCGCACTTGTTAACAAGACCTTGTAGTCTAGGCTCACTGCCATAGTGTGGCAGTGCCGCCTTGATAGCGATGAACATGTAATAATACCCTGGGGTTTGAACTTTGCAGGGCCGAACTTCCATTAAAGGGGGAATATTCCCTTTGAGCTTGCCAAGACCCCATGGCACCATTAGCTACCAACGCTCAATTTGAATTGGCACTCTCAAAGGTCGTCCAAGACAATTTGGCCGTCACCTCAATGTCTAATCGATCCTATTCAGCGTGCAAATGACTCTCTGCCCGGTGAGCGTCCGCCAGCTGGTCCACGGTCTGTTCGTCGATGAGATTGATGCAGAAGTGGTGGCACAATGTCAAGGATCCGAACAGGCAACATGTGTAACCTCGACGAACGTATCAACGGGGATAGAGTGCTGAATTGCAGGTTCTTGGTGGGTTGCCATCATCGTGCTAGTACTAGTAATACACCCTCCGTCGCGCCTACCGCCAGTCGACAGTATCTGACATCTCTCATCAACAGAGAGACTTCGAATGCACCTGCCCAACGCAAAAACGGAAATCTGTTCTATCTCGCATCTGCCACGATCTTTCTCTGCTTCTGGTCTCACCCGAGGCCCCCCCTGTCCCCTCAGTTGTCAGGGTGCTGTTACTCTCTCACCCTGCAGTGTTCTGAGCTTTCACACCTCCTACAAACACTCAATATTGAGGGTCACACCGCGCTGTATCGGGCAATCGTGAATATCCGGCGAGAAGCATTTCGGCATTTGCTGTATTCATTCCTCGATTTTCGTTTGTTTGTTGTTCCGACTTTCATCTCTCATGCATAACGACTTTGGTCTGAAACATGCTCACTATCACATTCGAACATACTATATTCACTACGTGGTACCGTCACACCTGTTCGACCGTCTACGTTTCGAACGACAAAGAGACAAATCAAATGACAGGAAGCCGAATACGGCGGGAAGGCGGGCGCGAATAAGTGAGAATAAGTGAAATTCGTAATTTACTGATAGTGACCCTCAGTCGTCCCCGAACCCACAAACTCTAACACCTTCCTTCCAACTCGCGAGTAATGCATGGAGAAAATTAGTCAAGGGCCAACACACCCAGATACGGGTGGTAGTACTTCTGACATCGTTTTCTTGCAAGATCCAAGATCGCGGGTTTGTTGCAGGATCTCATCCATTCCATAGTGTATTCCATCGGGTGTTCTGTAGGCAATCCACAGACAACACGCTTTCGGTACGGCATGGTGTGTTTTCAAATGTCACTCTTTCTTCTGCCCCGTTTACCATTCTGTAGAATGACCTCCTTAAGGGCTCGCCAGGAGCAGGAAAGAAGACAGCAGCTTATTCTGTCTGTAATCTCTTCAAACGACCTATGCTTAGTATATATGCTAATGACTTTCCGTGCGTTTGCGATGTGCTCAAGCTGCCGTGGTCTGTTAAGCTTGCATCAGTATGTACAATCCACAGGTTGTAATACTTCTTTGACACGATATGGTGGTTGTCGTAGAATGCACGTATGCGCGTATCGTCTCTGAAAACGCCTGTTGTATCCCTTCTGAAGACATGTCGCACACCCTAGCGATCCAGCCCTTCGAGTATGTTATTGATTGCTGTATTGTTAATGCTGTATACCTAATTCTTCACCAGGCACGTATCAACATCGTGCTCTCGAGTCCCCTATTTGTATCTGTTTATGGCTGTCGGTAATAGGTATTGAGAAACAAGGAACTTGAAAAACGGCCGAGGCCGCTTTTTCTGGTGCGTACTTCAGCCGTCTGATCCAACTGTGGGACCAACTTTTTTCTGTCATGTGGACGGAGCAGCGGACCATCTTCATCTTCGTCATCTCGACAACTTCTTGCGGCTTCGTTGTTATACTGCCACCATCTTGGTGTCTCTGATATATCCTGATTGTCCATTCCGAACGCACCTCTCCTTCGTCATTCAAGCCGTCCTTTGCCCCAATGACCGCCAGCATACTAAAGAAGATTACACCACATCCGCAATGGAGTGGTTGATGAAGACTTTGACCAAGTTATGCTATCTGGGCAGCCTGTACTCGAGTTGATGCCCACCATGGTGCAAAAATTAAACGTGAACCGTGCCTCGTTATGCCAAAATTTCCGAGCCATGTTCAAGGCATATTTCGATCTGGAAGGCAATCCAATACTCGAAGACAGCGCACTAGGTATGGCAAAGCGTTGGTTGGGTTCTCCCGGGGCGATGCACGCACGTGTGTGAAGTCTGCTTCGTGGGGGTAGAGAGGTGTGAAATCTCTTGAAATTGTGGCGCAATTTAAATCTTCGCTGGCACTGGAACACTTCATGACTCATTCCGCCGGATGACTGAGGGTGGACATGCGAATCTACGACACCAGGCAGACACGCGTACTGCTCTGCATATGACATATGACCTGGCTGCTGGCGTGGCTAATACGTATGATGAAGTATCAATTTAGTATGGTACATTCGAACTGGAACTCAATCTCCAGGAAGTTGGCTGGCTTGTGACCTGCGCAGCGCAGTTCCTCGCCGCCCGAGATTTCGACGGACCAGGATATGCTCTCTGCTCGCTCGGTAGCGTCCTGTAGAAAATTCAAGTCACCAACGTTACCTCTCGAGAGAAGCGACCCACCGTGAGTTCCTACATCACGTCTGGACACTATGTTCTGATTGACTCAGCAGATAACGAGGTACAGATTGACGCGGAAAATATCACTCAAACCTCTGTTGGTCGAGGATATCATGTGGTAAAGTGGACTGTCCACTCTTTTCCCTACTGCTCAGAGACCACGGAATCTCTTGTCTTTGATGTTGCAGGAGAGCTGACAGGGCAAATAGCAGTTGACTCGGGATGATATTAGTACTGAGTAAGTGCTCATCTGTAGGAAATCGTGACTCGAGGCAGAATTATAATATACAAGGGATACGCCACGCACTGCAATGAGAACGAACACGGTGTGTTCGAGGGGTATCTGTTCAACTTCCGCATTGCCATATGTTGCTTCTGTCAACATTGTTCGGACATTATGTAGAACGTTTGAACATCCAGTTGTGGGCGCCGGACAAATATTTCTGTCGTATTAGGAAGAATTGAATACAAGGCCCCTGGGACGGGCTGTAGTCTCATCCTTCAGGCATCACGCGTATAGGAACCCCTTCGGAATGTTTTCTTTCCAGATCCGCACTGTTGTGTATAGAAGAATATGAATTATCCCATTGATCAGTGAATCTCGAGGCCTTGTGATTCTGTGGGCCACGTATGCGTTGACAACTACCTACTTTTTTGACGAATGCCATTGAGATATTTCGTTTCATTATATTTGTCCTGTCATATGTTTGAAATGAAGCCCAAAACATGACTTTACGCCCTCTGTCGTGGAGTATAAAAACCGAGCATTATTACAGGTCAGGCAGCAGGTTGCAACACCTCTCTAGTTGACACAAGCGAGATCAACTCACCATCATGTTCGCCCGCCTCTCTACTGCTTTTGTTGTTGTTCTCGGCTTGATGACCCTTGTCAACGCTGGAACAGTACCAGTAAGCCTTGCCTCGCGTCGGGTCTTCTCATATCGACGTATAATGTCCGCAGGTCGCTCGCGCAGTTTATGACCTTGACAAGCGTAACTATGTCGCGAGAGGGGTAAGCCTTGCTTCGTATCAAATCCCACCGTGTTGACCTCACCTTAAAATACGCGTAGGCCAACTATGAGGTACTTCAACAAGTTGCACGCGTAAGCCTTGTTTTGCGCTAGGTCTCATCATATTGACTTCACCGTGTGATGTATGCAGGAAGAGACTCCAGAACCAGACCCTGGTAAACCAGAACCAGACCCAGGCAAACCAGAACCAGACCCAGGCAAGCCAACACCAGACACAACCAAGGAGTAGTAAGCCTTGTTTCGCAACAAATATCCTCGTGTTGACCTCACCGCGGTACTTTGTACGCAGGGCGACTACAATGCAGGATCAGATATTTGTGCAGAAGTAGTCACAAGGGATATGGAGTAGGACATCAGTAGTGCTCACAAGGATAGAAGATAAATCGAGATGCCAGCCTGGCGTGTTGCCGATTATTTGTCTGCGTCTACGTGTCTATCGAACTGGTGGGAAGCTTTGAAGTCCAACAGCGACAACCCACCTATATAAAAAACAAATGCTCAAGTGCTGCCAACAGGCAGGATCTCTGAGTAGAAGCGGAATTGACTGGAACGTGCCCGAATTCATCTCACTCACCCGAATCTCCCTCCAATTTCTGCACTTTATCCCTCTGCGCACGCCTGACACGCTGAGTTCCTCGTTTAGATCGGGTGTCCGACCGCTGTGAAGCCTTGGAAATTGCCTCCGCATTCAGCTACCCCTTCAAGTTAAACGTGGACTCTGGGCTGACTTTGCCCGAAATCGTGGCGGTTATGCTTGACCTCAACACCCTGTATCACTGACTATCGCCACGTTCCATATGTAGTATCCACGTGGAAAGGCCACAGTGTCTCCGCATTAAGTGATGCAGATTTCCGCAACATGGGGCATGTGTGGCCAGACTTGGAGTCCCTATCGTTAAAGAGCGTGGGTTCAGAGAGACAACAGGAGCCCACCTTCGCTGGTCTTTTTAACCTCGTCAAGTTTTGCCACCTGCAAGACTTCCATTTACGCCAACAAGGAACCTGCGCAATAGAAGGATTAGACTCAATCGTGTCAAGCCTCCATCGGTAACAATATTTATGCTGGGCTACCTCGGATTCTCAGAATTGACTAGCGTTTAAAGCACGCCGTGCTATATGAATGCCCCCCAAATATGTCAATGCCATTCGTACGCGACGCGCAAATTTATGCACTTACACATGAAACGAATGAGTACGTTAGAGTAACGAGCATACTTCCGAGGATCGTCAAATTTCGGTACCGGAAAGCAAGGAGTACCAGACGCTGAATGTCGAAGAGCGGAGAGCCTGTTAGATATTGATCTTGAAGACAGTCAACGTGGTTGAGGTTGAGCAGCCATTGGGTTAGTATTAGAGACATAGAAGCGCACAGGAAACGCTGGATGGTATTACAATTCCATTTAGAACGTAGACTGATGAATCGGAGTAAACTGATCAACACGAACGTTGTAGTCGCAACGGTTGCGGGTTGTTCTGCTCCCGGACTGCGTCGACAGAGCCTTTCCAATGGACACGTTCATCACAAGGGCTGTCTCCATTCTCGACTGTCACAAGCTCGGTCGGGGAAGCAGACTCACGGTGGGTCGCGGGTACCATGGAATGTCTTCAGCTAGCATATTTAAATACTAGATCACAATAGAGATCCTGTGGTCTCCGCTGTCACGGTAAATGTGAGATGGAAGTGGCAATGAGGTCGCCGTGAACAGGACATGCAATTGGGGCCAGAATTCGAGAATGTGGTGAGAAGAGAGTGAGAACGTGGCCTTCCTCACGCGCTGCTTGAGCCTGAGGCTGCTACGTAGCCTGGTGCAGATTCAACGATGTAAAATCGCCACTGAAAGGTAATTTGCAATATTTGACATACATACCAAATAAGGTAAATCGTTGGGCACGGCGAATTCAGAGCGGCTAGGGAAGACTAGAATGAAACTCTCATCCTTGGGTCGAGTGACGAGCTTTGACGCAAGAGCTTCACTCAATCCCTCTCAGGTACGAATGCAAATCAAGTCTTAATGTTTACTAATACTTCTCATGAATCACCGATTTTTTGTTATACATCATGTAAGCCTATTCAAGTTAGTTTTTGCCGGAGCCTCACACAAGTTCTAGACACAGACGAAAGCAAGCAAACAACTGGCAATACGCCTGGCATCTCGATTGGTCTTGTATCTACTCGAGATTCCTTGCAACTGGTTCTGCATATATATCTGATTCTGCATAGTGGTTGCGTTGCGGTACATTGAATTGCCCTGCATACAGTGTACTGTGAGGTCCCGGTCAACTGATGCGAAACAAGGCTTACTAATCCCAGTTGTCTGGGTCTGGTTCGGGAGCCTCTTCCTGCGTACATTATATGCGGTGAGGTTAACGCGATAGGATTTGGTGCAAAAAGGCTTACGCGTGCAAGTACCACATAATTGATCTATGGGCATTGTATGGTGAGGAACACGGTGAGAGTTGATGCGAATCAAGGCTTACCTCTCTCGCGGCATTGTCGCGCCTTTCAAGGTTACCAACTGCAGGAGCAGCCTGCGGGCATCATATGTCAATATGAGGAGATTTGACTCGAGGCGAGGCTTACTGGTACTGCGCTGACAAGGGCCGTCAAGCCGAGGAGAATAGCGAAAGCAGTAGAGAGACGGGCAAACATGATGGTGAGTTGGTTTTACTTGTGTAAACTAGACAGAGGTTGTAGCTAACTTGATTATCGGTACTGTCTGTTTTTATACTCCACAGAAGAGAGTGTAACATCGCATGGGTTCGATTTTCTCTATGGGGATGTAAAAGTGTTGGCTATCAACGCGTACGTGGCTTCAGTCGATCTGACCGAATACTGTTCAAATTACGGCATGCCCCGTAAGATTCGTGGCAGAGCCAGATACCAAGTACATATTGTGGTCCGTGTACTTTCATTTCAATCATCGTCTCCCACACTTAATTCTTTAACCTCTCTAGATTATTTCTCCGTATCCAAGTCGCTCACCCAGGGCGGGCCGCTCCTCATCTTGGCACCAACACGAGCACACAATGGTGGAACCTGACGAGGATGGTATGGCATGTCGCCGGCCACGCCTTGATCAGTACTATCCCCCTTCAAGATAAGTACTGCCACAATTTTGATTCCGACGTTCTGGATGATGACATCGATATTCTTGAAGTCTACAAAGACACATGCTACAATATACTTCGAGGAGCGAGCTCTAATTCCTTTGTGATGGGTTGAGCGGCAATGTAAATACTAGGTTGATATGGCAAACAGCGGATGAGAGCATTTTATCTACAGTGAGAGGTAGTAGATCTTAGACTCGACGCAGAAGCCTTTCGTGAGTGCTTCGGACTTCCTCAAACCGCGGGCAGTGACCTCCCTCAGTATGTACAGAGACTTATCCAAGATATACAATCTTTAACTCCATCTGTTCCTACCTCTCGCGCCACCCACTGCATCATCAAAATGTGCTGTGCGGTTCAATGGCTCAAATGCCTGGCCCTAGTAGGTATCTTGTGTGTGAAGTTCGAATTCTTACAACTTACGTGTCCTCGCTGTTGATCACTAGTAGCAGTCACCAGGTACTGGTGTGTGGATGCGCATGAGTGAGTGATGATCAATGTCCAATTGTATAACATTGCTGATTGTTCTTTGCTGTTAATGGAGGCTTCACACAAGTTCGACAGACACGTAGACGCGATGGAGACAAAAATTGGCAATACGTCTTGCATCTCGATTTGTCTTGCATCCTTGTGAGCACTACTTGAAATTCTTTGCAACTAGTTCTGCATACAGGTCTGATTCGGCATAGTAGTTGCCCTGCGTGCAATGTACCATGATGCCAACTTGATTATATTTGATGCGGAATAAGACTTACCCGCGCAAGTGCTACATCCGCCAGGCCTACACACGTTGTAAACTGAGTTTATCACGGTGAGATTTGAGGCGAAGCAAGGCTTACCCGGGCCGTCTTTCTCGCGACATTGTCACTTTCACCAACCGCACGAGAAGCCTGCGGACATCATATTTCAGTATGACGCAAGGTGAGACTTACTGGTACTATGCCAGCGTTGACAAGGGCCATCAAGTCGAGGTGAGTAACGAAAGCAGTAGATAGGCGGGTGAATAGTTTATCTTACTTGCGTACACGTTAACTTGATTAATGACATTCGTCAAAAGAAAGAGTTAGCAGTCAGTGCATACGTGGCCCGAGTCGAATGGTGATTGAGTTTCTACGGGGCCGCAATATACGCACAAGATTCGTGGCAGAGGTGGAAACCTAAGTACTTATTGTGTGTGCTTTGATTCGATCAATCCCCGACTCTCAGAGGACCTTGTGGCAAACAATCATGTTCACATCTGTCCTTCCCTGACCCACTTTCCGCAGATCGGATAACAGAAGTCATCGATGACCACCGTTTCCAGCCGTTTCCCCAGTAGTCAAGCTAGCAATAATTCGCACACGGTGTGTTTTGTGGGCGGTATCACTAGGTGCGCCGGCGGGTAGAAGTCATCTTGTATATATGCAACTTGGTAATGTGTCATCAACGTTCCTTCTGTGATTAATTATTTGCCACGATGAAACCAGAGGAGGTTGTCATCACCACCTGCTCCAGTGCACCTGCTGCATTGGTGGCTAGTACGCTTGACAAGCTGGCCGAACAAATCCGTGAGTCGCAGGTGAAACTCACAGGGTCTTAGCCCTTGCGTTCATAGTGTGAAGCGTTTCCTTGCGCTATTGTATTCTGACTAGTGTTCCGTGAAAAACTCCAGAGTTTTTGACACTACTAGTTTTTGACATGTTTTTAACGTGTTCATGACGTGTCGAAAACTCGAGGGCGTTTTGAGGGTGTCAAAAACTGTCAAAAACTCTAAATATATCATAGCGTTAATAGAACATTAATATTGTTGAGCGTCGGAGTTGACTATACAGAGACAAGAGAAGAGCCGAATAGTCTCTAGAACAACGGTCCTGCTACCTCTCCTCGACTATGGACTTCTTTGAGACACAACAGCGCGCCTTCAGATACATTTATAGTTGCATTTTTCTTGATACCTCGTACGTGTAATCCATCCAAACCTATGGTGTCATTGTTTGCTCACTCAGACGGTGGCAATAAAGGTTATCGAGATGCGGCCATTCTCAAGAACATCAACCCCCTCGCTCTTGCACCTATTCGCATTCATCGTTCTGATCTATCAGCTTCTGTTGCTCAAGATGACAACGTCATTCTGCAGCGCATCGGCAATTTTCTCGTATCACAGCTACAGGTCGAATACAAATCAAAGGAGGATACCATCCATGGCCTAGATGGTAACATTGCTCTCGCGAAGCTCAATGAGCAAATTCTTGCATATTCAAAAGGAGCCTGGCCTTTCAACCGTCCGCTTACCGACGATACAAACATTCTCAAGTATTGGACAAGCTTCCTGGATCACGACAACGCTGATATTCTCGCGGTACGTGATTTGCAAGTGTAAGCGCGGGGGTGTTTTGACTCGTCTCGCGTCTTGTCAAGTTCTTTGCGGTCAAGGTTTTCTCAATCACAGTCAACTCGATGGCTGATGAACGAACAGCATCGACTATGACCTGGTTGAACTCTGCTCTCCGCAATCGTCAGAAGAGCACTACACTTATCAATCAAGTCCAAATACGACAGTGGCATTTCATGAATGCTGAAAACGTGCGTCAGACTCAATCTTTTTCACGCAGAGTGTTTTTCTAATTGTGGACACTGGCAGAACAAGAGCCCGCGGCCGAAACCAACCGTCAAGTTTCGTGACCTCGATGAAACCATTTTCGGCCAGGAAGTTGATGAAAATGAGAGCTCGGATGCAGGTGACGCTTACGAGGATTCAGATGCATGGCTTGATGGTAGCGTGAATCTCGTTGATGAGGATGACCCCGGATATCTGCGCTGCAGTAACCGGGTGTTCGTCGGTAGTGAAGATGCTCGTTTAGACGGTCCCGAGCTCCTGGACCTTCTCTCCGACAAGCCGATTGAGACGGAGGCTCAAGATCGGTCACAAACACCTGGGCCATCTTCACAAACAGCTGGTGGTGGTCCTGTAGCCTGGAAGTTCAATTTTTCTCAAATTCTGTAGCACAAAAATTACAATATAGCCGGTGTCAATAACTCGTCAAAAACTAGTTAAAAACACGCGTCAATAACTGGCCTGGGGATGCCCAATGTTATAAACATGTCCAAAACTCGGCGTGGAGTTTTTCACGGAACACTAGTGGATACAGCAAAGACAACTTCCAGTTCACATTTGGTTCACCTTCGACTGTTCAACGTTCAACTTCAACGAGTGCCTTCGATTCAATATCTAACAGCCCCCTCGCTCTTCCCTAGCGATATGGTCTCCTTTGCCAGCGGGGGGCCACGAGAACGACCGCACCACTCCCGACCAATTTTCCTAGCAGCCGAGCTTGGCAGGACCCTATTTTCTCGCTTGGCTCTGCATTGTATCGTTTTGCCTCCCTTTCCCTCCACGATGGCTACTTCGATGAAAGCATCTCAGTGATTGACACACCTCCCTCTTACGACAACATTGCATTTCTTCATTTCGATCACCGACAGGTTCTGTCCCAATGCATTATCAGACACCCGTCACGATCTGTATCTTCCTTTCTACGAGACGAGCAGAAAAGGCTATCCGCGCTGTCTCGCATCCGTGATATTGTCTCAGCTCCCGATTACGCCCCTTCCTCCGTCGCATCAATAGTCTATACATGTGCTGTTACTTTCCCGGCTGCAGAGTTCTCCCATCTCCTAATACTGAGGGTCACACGGTGATGTAAGTAGTCGCCGAATCGCCAAAGACGCATCATTGTATTTCTGCTGGTCCGCAGCCAGCCCTCTTTGGGTCATTGTTAAGATGCTAGCGCCGGTCATTCTTTTTTCTCTGATAACTGATCATTATGGCCAACTTTGTACCTTATATTCACACTTGTCCTTGTTTTACATCTCACTGGGTGTTTGTGGAGGCGCTCAGTTTGTATATTGCGGCGATAATCGGTTCCGGTTATCATCCATAGTCAATTGCATACTACCATGTCTTCATCAGAGGTTAGACTACTTATCACATCATAACTAGTGCACTGCGCAAAGTTGACGCGAGTGTGATTCACAGGTGCGGATCCAGTTCATGGGAACATCATAGAGAGATCCCGAACTCGACGTCGGTTGTAAGGGAAGCTGCACGGGCTCTATCTGATTGTCAAGCTTAGTCGGAGAAGTTCTCCGCTCAGTTGCCGTGAGCACTGAATGCGAGTGGAACCCGAAATAGAAGTAACCGGGAATTGTCGGTTTGGTTGCACGTTCGTTGTCATTACGCCGTGAGGAAAATGGCTAGGATCGATGGAGCTTGATGACGATTTCGGATGTAAATATCAGAGCAGAATGCTGCGGCTAGCCAGCTCTCATCACCAACTACCATGAGCTCACTGCGAAATCACCGGGTCATCATCGCTTCCCTTTTCTTGCCCACAACCGCAGTTATAGGTGAAAGCAACCCACCAACTCCAGACATCTACGCTCGTGAAGTCGGGACAAATGCTACACAGGATTTGGGCGGTCGTCCTCCAGCATTCAGACACGCATCATCACGATCCATTGGTAGCACGCCAGCCCCGCTGAAGAGCATAGTCGATGACTTAAAAGTGAGCTCTTTTTAAAATAACTAGGCACGATGAATTGACCCCTGCTAGTCTCGTGCCATCACGCCAATCAGTACTCCTCCCTCTGAATTAAATCCTTTCTCCAAATTCGCTTCTCTAGCTCCATCCCCTGCACGCAATGGCGCCATTTCACCCCCTTCCATCCAAAGCATCGACGCATCCCTCGCAAAGTTCCAGCCCGATCCAGTCCATGCAGTCCGTCTCCAACGCAGGTCATCTTCAAAACCCCCTAAGTATCCCTCCCTCACCCGCTCCTACTCCTATTCAAATCCGAACTCCGAACCCTACCACTTGGCTCCAAACATCCACTGCAACGGCGGTCTCAAGAATGCAGTCGACAGTGTCAAAGACCGCATGACCAGAAAGCTCTGGGTCGGAACTCTCGGCAGCAGCACAGACGCATACAGCACAGAACTCAAAGCCAGCGTCGATCGCAGGATGAAGGAATTGCATTCTAGTTTGCCTGTTTGGATCCCAGATGCAGAGCTTGAGAGTTGTTATGATGAGTTTTGTCATCAGGTGTGCCTTCGTCTTTTCTTGTTCCGCGCGTTTCTATTCCTTATTAATGCTTCCCAGGTCCTTTGGCCGTGTCTTCATTATGCAGTCCCTGATGCACCAAAAACGAAACTCTTCTTCGAGAGCGCGGCGTTCAAGCAGTATGTCGCTGTCAATAAGCGGTTTGCAGAGGCTATTGAGAGCGTGTGGACGGAGGGCGATGTCGGTGCGTCATTCGTTGTCGAGGGCTTAGTTCATATTTGACGTGAGATTCACCCGACGCTTACTCGCCATCCACACCACAGTCTGGATTAACGACTACCACCTCATGCTCCTCCCCCTCCTCCTCCGCCAAAGCACACGCGTACCCGCTCTTGCACGCGCTCCTATCGGGTTCTTCATGCACGTCGCTTTCCCGAGCAGTGAGATATTTAGGTGGGTTGTGTTTCTATTTGGGTTTAGGTGTTGTGTTTTGGACGTGGATGCCAAGTCTTTTAGTCACCAAGCCTCTTATGCCGCACCCCTTCCACCCTATGCTACACCCCTCCACCCTCCTCTCTACTCATATCATCTTCTGAACCACAATACTAACCACAAACCCCACAGATGCCTAAGCGTACGAGAACACCTCCTCCGAGGTATGCTCGGCGCGGACCTTGTAGGGTTTCAGACTGCCAGTTATGCGAGGCACTTTAGGTATGTTTTTGGTTTGGTTTTGGGATTGAGGTTTGCGTTGTCGTGGGACGGGTTGAGGGATGGATTTAGTTCTATTCCCTAGTTTCGTTGCCACTCCTTGCGTTCGTCTGCGTACCACTCCCTGCATTCATCCACCACCCCCTACGTTCATTCACCACTCCCACTCCCGTCACTCTTCTCATTTTGCATTCTCAACTTTCACGACGCGATGGAGCTAACACGGATATATCCACAGACAAACCGTCTCCCGTATTCTTGCCGTTGAAGCGTTGCCCAAGGGGATTCAGGTGAGTTTCGTTTGTTCGTTCGTTCGTTGAGTGTCCTTTTGGTTCTGTTTGTTTTGTGCCTATGCTACTCCCTTCGCTACTCCCTTCGCTTCCTCCTTCCTTTCCCTCCCCTTCTCCCCCCTCCCCCACACCCAAATCCAAACCTAATCCCTCCCCAGGTCGAATACGGTATCCCAGGCGGCGCCCGCGAAGGCCACGGCCGCTTCGTAGATGTCGGCGTCTTCCCCATGGGCATAGACGTAGGCGCTCTCCGCGAACGAAGACGCGAACCCGACGTCTCTTATTGGGTCCAAACATTGAGGCAGCGGTACGCAGGGATGATGATTGTCGTTGGGAGAGATAAGTTGGATGAGATCCAGGGCGTCCGGCATAAACTCGAAGCGTTTGAACTCTTTTTGAAAAAGTATCCAGAGTATCAAGGAAAAGTATGTTTCTTCCTTCCCTTCCCCCTTCTACACCCCACATCCACGCCCACAGACCCAACACAACCCACTAACACAACTCACAGGTCCTCCTTCTCCAAGTAGCCCTCCAAACAACCGAATCCAACGAACTAGCAGCAGGCGGCGTCTCAGATGTCGTATCCCGCATTAACAGTGCATTCAGCACGCTCACCTATCAACCAGTTGTGTTTTTACATACGCAGGAAGTCACGTTTAGTCAGTATTTGGCGCTTTTGACTGTGGCGGACGCGTTTTTGGTTACTAGTTTGAGGGAGGGGATGGCGTTGAGGTGAGTTTCCGTCTCGGCTGTGTCGTGTTTATATTCGGTTGGATGGAGGGGCTGGACTGATGGCTGCGTTAACAGGACACACGAGTTTGTTGAGTGTCAAGATGGGAGACATAGGCCATTGATTCTGAGTGAGGTTCGTCCATTCAAACATCCCTTTGCATCACACCTTCTCACTTACTGACCTCGTCTGTAGTTCACCGGATCATATAGTTACAGCGGGTTCAGGTCCTGCATCGCTGTGAACCCGTATGATACACATGGAACTGCCAAGGCAATTTATCAGGTGCGTTTTTCTGGTGGTGGTCTTTGGTGTTGTGAATATTTGACTGATGTGGGGTAGGCGTTGACTATGAGTGATGAGGAGGCGTTGTCGAGGTGGGAGGTGAGGAGTCTTTAATGTCTTACTTTGGACGGGCGCTGATTGAACACGCGCCCATCTCTTGTTATGCACCCGCTGATCATTAAATACGCGCCCATCTCCTCAACACGCGCCCATCATCCCTTAAACATGCGCCAATAATTAAATACGCGCCCATCTTCTCTCATATCAACACGCGCCCATTATCCTTTCACACACACTAATCATTAAACACGCGCCCATCCTACCCCAAACAGGACCTCCACAACCATGTCGTGACACAAACAGCCCAAACCTTCGTAACCTCCTTCCTCACGCGCTGCCTTCGCGCCAACACCGAACACACCACCCAACTGGACCTCAATGCCGTCCCTGCGCTCAACACCACGCTGCTCCTCCCACGATACAAACACTCTTCTCGCCGTATCATCCTGCTCGATTTCGAAGGCACGGTCTGGCGCCGAGACTTGTCGCGCGCTGGACTCCTCGCGCCGTTCGTGCCCCCCGAAGGAGTAGTGGAGCTCCTAAATAAGTTTTCTGCGAATAAGCGGAACGAGGTGTGGTTGCTCAGTGGGTTACCTGTCAAGAGCCTCGAGCAAGTCGCTGCGAAAGCGCCTGGGGTGGGTATAGTAGCAGAGAACGGATGCTTTGCGAAGATCCCCGTGCAGAATGGGAAAGGAGGGGTGTGGATAAGTATGGTTGCGAATTTGAACTTGACGTGGAAAGGTCTTTGTGTGGAGATTTTGAATTATGTGCGTGTTTTTTGTCCTGGTGATGGGTTGATGCTGATACTTGTGTGGGACGTAGTTCACGGAACGAACGCCTGGTTCGTTTGTAGAGGAGCGCGAGGCGTCTGTGGTGTGGCGCTTCTGGACTGGTCCGACGGATGATTGCTCGGATCGTCAGTGGGCGAGACGTCAGGCTGCTGAAGCGCAGAATCATATATTTGATAGGTGCGTGCTTCTCATCTTCGCTCCCACCTCGTCCTCATCCTCACTAATTTACTTTTACTTCAGCCTCGGCGAGCGTTACGGCCTCCGCATAATCCCAGGCTCAAATTCCTTCCTAGTCCTTCCAAACAACATCTCCCGCTCCACAGCAGTAGGCGCGATCCTGCACCCCGGCGGACCAGCCCACTCCCCCCGCTCCTCCTCGATGCCTGATCTGGACGTACCAGTGAACGGAGGAGGAGGTGAAGCGGGGTTCGTGTTCGCTGTAGGAGGTGACGAGAAGTTATTGAGGAGGTTGAATGAGTTGGATAATGCCGAGACGGTGTCGACGAGTGGGAAGGGGACAGATGCAAAGTGGAAAGTGGATGCTGGGGATGTGGGGGATGTGATGTGGTTGTTTGCGAATTGTCCGTAAGGGGCGGTGGAGGTGTATCTTGGTAATGAGTTTGAATATGTATGATGTGCTGCTAGATATTGGTTATGGTTCGTGCGTGTCAGTCATTTGTAGATTTCGGCGTCGTGTGCATTCTAGCTAATGTTTTATAGATGTAAAACACATATTCATATTTGACATACGTATATGATATATGATATCTTGTGCCTTTACTTTCGGGTTCGCTCTTGCCCGCGGCACATACCTGCTGTCGAGGTGGGTTCCGTCTGGGCAAGTTCATCCATTCCCCCTGTCCTATACCTTTCAAATTTAGTGAACGATCAATTGGTTAGTTAAATGCTCTGTCACGCGAACATCGAGCGCTTGAGATTAATGATACATCCCAAATTGAGCTGCACAAACGATGCGTGGTTGCTAGTCGCCATGCACGCGAGACGCAAGTCAGAAGAGCAAGCAGACGAGAATTTGGAAACGAATTCAACAAAGGCCGAAAAAAATTATGGCAGAAGAATGGTCCGGATGGTTTCGTAGGAAGGATAATACAAGGAGATGGCTCATGAGAACCGTGATGATTATTCCAACGTTATTTATAGCTGTGCGTGCACATCGCAGTAATTCCTACAGCAGCACAGTGAGTTGAAGTCGCTGACGAAGCTATGTTTGGTTGGTAAAATCGCCGCTCTGAATGACAGGTCAGGAGAAAGTGTGAGGGAGAAGACTCACTCACACCACACCTTACACCTTTGGCAAGGATTTGTGCGTGCCCTGACCCCCCGGGGTGTCTGCACTTGCGTCACTCGGGCCATCTGCATTTGCACCGACGGGTCCTACGGAGATGTGGGGAGGTGCGAAGAGAATACATGCCGAACCAAAGTGGCACATTGCACTGAGGCCGATGCCGATGGATTGGACTTGTTGTGATGAGGAAGGGGCGAGGACGATGGAGGTGGGCATTGGGAGTTGGGCGTCCTGGTCGGTGTCCACTTGGGCGTGCTGATGGTTCACGGTTCGTATGATGAATAGAAACAAAGGGGAAACTTGCCTCATCCTCTTAGTCCCATCTTTATCTTGCTCGTGGTCTGTCAGTTTCTTTGAGGTGGAACTCGAGCAGAAAGGCCATAAAACGCGTTCGTGCATGGCATTGAGAATTGCGCGATGTGCTTGGTACAAGAGTAGGCTCGTCGGCAGCGGTGTCGGAGTCTGAGCGACTTCAATCTTCATGAATTCTTCGTGCTCGTTCCCTGCACTTCCTTCATTGTCGTCGTTGTATCTTCCTCGTTATCAGTTCCTTGCCATCCTCCACAGTTGCCTCACTTATAATCACCTCCTGAACCTCTTTCTCTGCCTCTTCTTACTCGCGCGCCATGACGGCGCGATGTACACTGCGAATCAGTACGGCAGTGTAACGAGGGTCGATTTCGTCTGTTCGGCGTCTTGTACAGATTAGCACTTAGTCCTAGCCTTCGGAGGTGGCGTGGAGGCGTTGGGACATCGACACTCTCCAAGATTACAGGGTTCTTCTCCTCCTGTACAACATGTTGAGTCGTTGGAGGCCACAAGCGCGATGCATTCTTCTATTTCGTCTGGTTCTGGGACTTGGGAGTTCTTCAGTGCCGAAGGCTTGAGTGGGAATGGCACGAGCGTGGACTCTGGAGGATACAGAGGTTTGAGAGGGGATCTGAAGAGGGTTTTCTGCGAGGTGTGAGTACTTGAGCGCTCTGGATCATGCTAATTCGTGTCCGCCTCCCGCATTTCAGGTTTGACTGGTGAATCGATGTTGTAGAGTGGAAAACGGAGCTCCTTGGGCGGGTAGGAGAATACGAAATGATTCTTGTGAATTTAGATCCCGCAATAGTTAGAGACGGAGATTGTAATTTGTTGTGTGGAGGGAGGCGTTGGTAGATGATGGGAGCAAAGGGCAGCCATTGACTACAAAAGTATGAAAATAAGAAAACTACAAGTGCGGCACAAAACTAATCCAAGACACCGTCGTGTATGCGTCAAGAGGAAGATGGCGTAATGTCGTGAACATAAGTACCAAGAGCATACCACGAGATACAATGTAGAACAGGCCAAATATGCACATAGCAACAAGAGACATAATGTCATCGATACCTATGATACCTAATATAAAACGTGCCAAGGTGATACGATCAGTGACTGGAAAGTAGATACGCATTAGACTTGCGAGATCAGTGACTGCAAAGTACGAAAGAATTTCAAGGCAGGGTGTGCAAGTTATAGCGACGGCACTGATGCGCCACAGGACCTGTTCATGATTTGTAGGAAAGGCAAAAAACCAAGCCGTACAATGAATGCCGCCAAAGATGGTTGCCATCAGAATTCCGGCAAACACAAGAATCCACTTGTCCCATCCATTTGAATCCAGTTCAAGGCTGCCATCGAATGTAGGAACTCGGAGCTTGCGCGTGCGATCGCTGAAGCCCATCAGTTGCCTAAATGGACCGAGGGTCATCGCAAAAATCACAGCGTCTTCATTATTAGGCCTATGGGCGCTGAGATAGACAATAAATAACGGCATAATCGATCTTAGACGCAGACATACAAACGAATGCGCACGTGATCCTCTGGCTTTAACTCGGTCGACTTCCAATACACCGGAAATGGACATTGCACCCACCACAGCGCATAGGTCAGGAAATTGAGAACCGCAAAAGCGAGCGTCCCTGTTTCCAGCTGGGTGGTTTCGAGGTGATAGATGGCGCGGGACATGAGCTGCAGAATGAACCAGGCCACCTGAAGGATGATCAATCCTTTCGATATCACATTGCCTTTGCTCTTGTCGCAGATCCGCTTTGCCGTTAGGGTAGGGGCAATGGGGCATCAATACACCCATCACATATCAGCCTGAGAACGTCATCAGGTTGTAGTGTGTGGTAGGGTTCCCCGTCCACATAAAGCATGAAACCACCCATCAGCACAAAGAAACTGTGCGTCTGAGTCCACGCGTAATCTAAGGATACATATGAGTCAAACGTTTGGGAGAGCGCGAATCGGGCTTACCCTCAGATTGATCTGAAAAGTAAGCGTGAAACAACTTTTTAAATGGCTTCGCAAGAGTATGAGTTCCATATCTTGAAGTGGACACTGAAGTACTATGAACTGCCGAAGAAACACCAGTACAGATGGTTCACCTTTAGTAGGCGTTACGAGAAGCCGGGCTTTATCGTGATCTTCAGAAGCAGGCGAGCCATGAGGAAGTATGGTCAGGATACAAGATAGAATGTCGAGCTCACCTTCAAGTTGCTGAGCAGGCACTTCAGCCGATTCATGATCTAAGGACGTGCATGGTGAGTTGTTTGAGGAACATGTCCAGTCTCAAAAAGCACGACTTACTTTCAGATTGCTTCTGCGGCCGAGGAACATTGAAATACCCTGATCTCTTGAACCGTTTCGTAACATTACGAGCACTGATCCACTGGCGCATAGCCCATACCACGACCAGTTCAGGAGCAATTAGTGCCGCCATCATGATGCCAAGTCGTCGCCGTAGGATACAAAATGGGCTGTCCTTAGGACTCGGGATATTTGGATGGACGGCGCTGTATATACACGCGAAAAGAGTGAGAACGGAGCTCGAGATGATGTTCGACAGGGTTCTATTCGTGAATGACGGTGCTTCAAAATAATCACTGGTAGTAGTTGCATTGGTAGTAGGTGCGGCTTGGATTACTCCAGCGAGGTAGAGGATCGTGCATAGCAGTAAGCGCATGTTTGGATGTCACTTTGGGGTGGGGGTATTGCGGTTTGTATGTCCTGCTCTATGGGTATTTGACCTGCTGGCGGGCGTCAATGAGGCCCTAACAGCAAGCTTGCCTGGTGTTTGCAGCATGACAAGAGCAAGGGATGTATCGTGCACTAGTAGCATTGCAATTTGCTGCGCGACTGAATGACACATACGATACAGTCAGATCAGCACGATCGATGATCGACCGGCCGCCTATGACACTGCATGCAGTCTCTACACGTTCCTGACCCATCTTCGAGTGGCACAGTTGTAGTGGAGCATCCAGAGTCGTCTGTGGCTGATCTTCTGATGTACCATAAATACTGACGCCGACGACCTCGCAGCTCGTAAGAAGCTGTGGACATCATGTGACTTGTGCGAGGGCAAGTAGCATGTTGCCCGGTCATCAAGAAAGAGGAGCAGCACTATATGCCAACGATCAACACACGGTCAGAGAGTAGTAGGAATGTAAACCCACATTGAGCATTAATGATACCTGTTCGTGAGGTGTCTTTCTCATCAGCGTTTGCGTTGTACCCAGAGCTTGATCACAACTTGAATCACAGTGAATCTGAAGGTCATTTCATACCCGTCGACAGGGAAAAGGTGTCTAGAATGATCTGGTCGTACCATGATACGAGACACCCCATGTAGATAGCCAAGCGCCAAAGTATCTCCGTGCTACGCCAGGGTTCAGTTCCTGTTCAAAAATGGATCAAGAACATGCTGGAGCTGACCGCAACACATACCTGTGATAGAAGCAGAAGAGACGTGTAATAAAGCGCCCAGAATCGTTCTGCGGTAGTCGAAGCATGGTCTCCCTCGTTGCTGGCGAGAAGCTTCTTGATCTTGCATGACTAAATGTTCTGATGCCTTCGTAATACCCAGCGTCCTGCATTAGCTACGAAGTACTTGATATGAACTTTGTGGGTAATGCAGAACGCCAGGTATGGTGGCTAGTCAGAGGACGCGTGGCGAACCAGACAACGAATGGACTGAAAGAGAAAGTGAGGGCCCGTGAAGTCGTGGTACCGGCTGTAACTTGGACCCGGATTCCCCGACGCTCCAGAGGCCTACATAGGTAGGATTTCATTCGCGTGCACATCACAGTAATTCCTACAGCAGCACAGTGAGTTGAAGTCGCTGACGAAGCTATGTTTAGTTGGTAAAATCGCCGCTCCGAATGACAGGTCAGGAGAAAGGAGACCTAGTTGTCCATCACAAAATCGCCCAATAGTCTAGATGTCGTGTTTGTGGGTCTTGGAGCTCCGGGTGCAAGGAACAGTGACATTGGAATCGTCAAAACCATTTTAGGAGGCGTGTTCGAAATTGCTATATATGGATTAATTAAGTTGGTTTGTTTGACAACAGCTTCTGATCCAAACAACGCCTCGGCGAGCCGGACTTCTCAAGCTTACAGCAGAGACCACAGAATCTCTTTCTACATTCTGAACGGAATTGTAACATCATCCAGCGTTTCCTGCGCGCTTCTACGTCTCTAATACCAACCCATTCGACTGCTCAACCTCAACCACGGTGACTGTCTTCAATATCAATATTTCATCGGCTCTCTGCTCTTCGACATTCAGCGTCTGGTACTCCTTGCTTTTCCGGTACCGAAACTTGACGATGATCCTGCGAGGCATACTCGTTACTGCAACGCACTCATTCGTTTCATGTGTAAGTACATAAATTTGCACGTTGCGTACGAATGACATTGACATATTTCGGGGGCGTTGATACAGCACGGTGCGCTAAACGCTAGTGAAATCTGAGAATCCGAGGTAGCCCAGCATCAATATTGTTGATGATGGAGGCTTGACTGGCAATGATCGAGATTATCCGCCCATTGCACAGGCTTCTTGTTGGCGTAAATGGAAGTTCTTGCAGGTAGCAAAACTTGACGAGGTTCAAAATGCCAGCGAAGGTGGACTCCTATTGTCTCTCTGAACCCACACTCTTCAACGATTGGGACTCCAAGCTGGCCGCACATGCCTGATGTTGCCGAAACCCATCACGACACTGTGACCCTTCCACGTGGACAACACATAGGGAACGTAGCGATAGTAATACGGCCGAATAGCAAGGTTCACAGAATGTCTTCTCCTGATGTCGTATCTGTGTTGTGACAACTAGCAGAAGACATTCTGTGGACCCTCAGGCCTCAAGTTGTTCCGAAATATTCAGTCGTGTATAGACTACCTAGAGGTAAATGAAAAGTTTATTTGCTGTTGCAGGAGAGTCAACAAGACTTTTGCAAATTATGTATCATCTGTCGGAATAATATTGGTACTGAGTAAGTTTGGAGTAAGTGCCCATCTGTCTATGAAGTTGTGACTCGATATAGATATACAATATGTCCTGACCTCAACCCCACCACCTCACCCTTCGCACCTCTCACGGGAAAATCAAGACTCTTGTCCGGTCATGGCTAAAGCCGACTCGAGTCTACGACGTACCTCACCCACCAAACCTTCCATTGCAGTTTTTTTTTCCGTGTCTGGCCGAAACCAAACATCGTCCAAATCCTTCAGGAGGGATCGGAGCTCACTCTTTGAGATATCGTGTGGCATGTATGTCTCTGTACCCGCGGCAAGCGCTTCAAGGATCTCGCAAAAATCAGCCTGAAAATCGTCACTGTAATAACGATATTCGGAGGAATGCCATGCAATCCTAATGAGGTTCCACCACTGATTGCTTGTGATGGTGACAAGCTGACGGGCGGCATGCCCTGGGTGAGCATGTTGGATGCGGAGGAAGATTCTAGCAAGGTAGAACAAGGGGGAATCATGAGGCTGGTCCCAAGAATCAGGAATGATTCTGATGCACCTCCCGATATGGCCATCTTTGTCTAAGTGAGGGAGCCAGCCGGAAGTGTTTGCAAGAGTGAACATGAGATGGAGATAGTAGACATCATGGTCGGCGTCGAAGGTATCTGGAGGAACCACAGTGAGGAGAGCTGGGGAGAGTTCGGAGAGCACCATGTCTTGTAATGGCGTATCCACTCCGCCAGCAGCGACCATAGCCAGATCATTTCTGAGATCATAGGCTCTATGTAAGGCAAGAAGTCTGGAATTATTGCATTTATCCGGACCCATGTAACCAATGAGTGCACGGCAGTAAGGAATATACTGTGCGGGATTGTCGAGTGACGGTGCCGGCAACGCAAAGAGTACCAAGCGCTGAATGCTAGGTATCGGGGAGCCTGCTAGATGACTGTCATTTGGCCACTCAGCAAATTTGAGCAGCTGAATAGCATTGGTGAACATGAGGTGGTCGTATGTTGTATGTTCGGTGGGATAAACAGCCATCAGGACAGCCTCCCGGAAATTTTGCTTGACGGATATATGGTATTTGCATTCGAAAACAGCGCAAGCAGCACGGAGTGCGCTATGACACAATTGACGTGACTGATGGCTGCGTTCCAAAAATGAAGTGAGGTCGCCTGGATCAATTACATTAGGTCTACGGGCGCCGCTGAGTAACGTGAGAGCATATCCTGCTGCCTCAAAATCTTCGGCACGGCAGAAATGTTTTGCGATGTCATTAAGCGAGCTAACTTCCTCCGAACTGAGTTCCAGGTTGAATTCACCATCCCAAGTCCATCCACCATCGTTAGGTACAACCATACGCAGGGCAGTGCGTATGTCTGCTTGGTGACGCGACCGTGACTCTGCATTACGAGTCCCCTTTATTTGGGAATATGAAGTGAAACACTGTTCCATTGCCCGATAAAGATACAGGGTGTGCCACGATTTCCAAAAATCCCATCCCTGCGTGCGGTCGCAAAGCATATCCCTCAGATGCGTGTCGTTCCAGGACAACTGGATCAACGCTTTCCCATATGCCAGTGCGTCTTCGAGCATTGGATGGCCTTTCAGATCGAAACAAGCCCTGAACATGCGTAACACGTTCTCGTATAGCAACGCGAGGTTGACGTTGGGTTTGCACGACATGATGGGCAACAACTCAAGTGCCGCCCTCACGACATCAGGGTAGGTCGAGGTATTCAGCACCCACTCCATTGCAGATGCAGTGGAATCTTCTTTTTCCTGGAGATTGGGGTGAAGAACAGCCCGAATGGCTGAGGAGAGGCGCGTCTGGAACGGACAATCGGGATATTTTGCGGATAGTAAGATGGTGATGGCATAACAAAGGAAGCCGAAAGCAGTCGTAGAGACGATGAGGATGGAGATGGTTCGCTGCTGGGTCCACATCCAGGCTGCTAGGGAGACGCCGAACAGAAACAAAGAGGCCTTGAGAAGGTCTGAGAATGACTGCAGCACGCCTTCAAACCACCATGCTTCTAGCCCTTGGAACTTTTCGTGTCTCTGCTTGCATCGCTCTTCAAGTGATCCACCGCCATAACGGTGCGTCTTGTAGTAATTCAGCCATTGCTTGCCTAGGACAGCACCGAAGGCAGCGAGAAGACTGAGGGAGAGGCTCGTGTACGCAAGCGCTTGGGTCCAGAAGTTGGAAGAGTAGTCAGTGGAAGGAGAAAGGATCGTTTGCTGGGCCGCAGAGGGACCGTGGAGGCTGATTTGAATAAGCTGGAGCAGAAGAGCGTTGGTGGTATCGACAGGATTCGGCTGCATCGCAATGATGAACGCAGTATTGGCGGCAGAGAACAGACCAGCCTGGTAGATAATGTTGGATAAGTGTCATAAAATGAGATATTGCGACCTACAAATATCAAGATTATATCCATATTGCTATTGCACATTTCTAGCATGTTGTCATCATATTCGCCGGAAACTCTTTTGTATGCGGCCCAAAATTTAGACCGGACATCCTTTCCTCTTTCCTCGGCAATTGTCGAGGTCTGGAGAATTTCGACAATCTGCTGGAGAAGACCGGCCATACTTGAAGTTCAACCAAAACATTGAATTCCTGTAGTACCCGCAATCACGGCATAATGAGGACTCACGTAGACCAGCTTTCTGTTTTTTTATCGGCCATGTTGAAGAGCTAAAAGGCGACAAGGTAGCAGTGGCGAACCAGGCAACGAACGTACTGAAGGAGAAAGTGAGCGCCCGCGAAGTCGTGGTACGGGCTGTAACTCGGACCCGGATACCCCAACTCCCCCCTAGGTGGGATTTCATTTGTTCTATGAAACAATAATGTTTGTTAGATCTCTGCATATTCTGCCGATATGGCGGTCGTTCACGATGTAGAACATGTCATTTGTCACTTGGAATCGTCGACGTCAAAACCACCTCGCATGTACCAGGTGTGTTCGAAATTGCCTCTGATATATGGATTACATAAGTTTGTTTGTTTGACAACAGCTTCTGATCCAAACAACGCCTCGGACTGATTTCCTTCTTACTAGCCCATTTTTATAAGTACATGCTACATGGCAGAGGATATCAGGTTTGCTCGAACCTTCACCAAGGAAGGGACAAGCCTTTTTTTGAATTAGGTGCAAGACTCTCTTACCAGCTGCACCTAATTCAAAGCTATGCAGTCCGGTTTGAAATCCGCTCAGGCTGAAACTCGGATCGTCAACTGAGTCAAGAGGCTGGCATACTAACCATGTCAGCCTTCCAGGTATAAAAACCCCCACCCCATACCTGAAACTCCAGTGGTCATCTTTCTTGTTCACTCCCATCGTCCTCTGCATATTCGCATATCCGCATATACACAGACGATTTTACTTGCTTCTATCTATCTCTATCGATATGTCTTCCATCAAGAATAATGTTTGCCTCTCTTCCGCGTTCTCCATGCTCGTCTCCATGCTCGGTGTCCTCAAGCCTCTTGCTCAGGTCGTCTTTTACGTTGTCGTCATCATGGCTGGACTAGCCTTCGATATTTTCATCTGCCAGCTCGACCCTACGGCAATCCAGGATCCCGCTCCAGCTATCGACTCCCCCAGGCCTCAGCAAGCCGAGAAAGTGGCCCGCCCTTCCAAAGTCGCTTCTTCATCAGCGACAGGCACAAGTACATCCGACTTCCCTTCCTCATCATCGTCCCCAGCCATTTTGGAATCGTCTCTCGACAGCCCTCGTCTAGTCCCCGAGGCTCGCCTGCAGTGGAGCATCAGCTGCTCCGACATAAGCCCACAGCTACACAGCGCTCCAATCGGCCCTCGCCACCACATGCACGCGCTCTTCTCCGACGCCTGGAACGAGAACGCCATTCTCCAAAGGCAGCTCACGCGTGTCCAGGGCCATCTTGACGCAGCAAACGCCGATATTGACGATCTAGTGGTCGAGAACGCAACCATATGCCACCAGATGGACCGTCTCACCCGCGACCTGGAGATCGAACAGCTCCGCCGCGACGAGGCTGACTCCATGTGCCGCGATGCGACAGCAAAGATGTCCTCCCAAAGGTCGATGCTCTCTTCCCTCCAATCGGCTAACGCCGCGCTTCGATTTGAGCTCGCAAACCTCAAGGCCGAACGCGACGAACTGGTAGCCGAGAGGAAAGAACCATCCGACCTGCAGCAGGAACACGATGAAGAGGTCGAAGCGTTACAAGGCACGCTTGTTCGGACGAAGAAGGAACTCGAAGGAGCTAAGAGAGAGCTGAGGAAGTTGAAGAGAGCGGCTGCAGGTGAGACATTTTTTCTTCATCCTCCTCGCCGTCTTCTAACTCTCGCGAACAGGAATTCCTGAGCTGCATGTCATATCTCCAGATGGGAAAGTCATACCTCATGGTAATGCTTCGAGCTGTACGTATTCCCGTGTCTCGCCACAACTGACCTTGGCTGACGACCTCCTAGCTACAGATTCATTGACAGAGGATCAGAGCATCGCGATGAGGGAACGCCTCACGCTTGCGTACACCGAGGTCGTCAGCCTCAGAGACCAGTGCGAATCTTTGCGTCGTCGCGCTGACGAAAACGCAGAGCTGCAAGAAGATATCAAGCTCCTTCTTGCTCAGCGTTCGGATCTCTGGAATCAGGTCGACTCATCCAAGAGCGCCTGCCACAAACTGGAAGAAGAAAACAAGAAGTACTTCCACCAGTACGTGGAGCTCAGAGCTGCGCTCACCAAGGTGGAGAAGCGAACCGGTCAGTTGATTTGTCTCTTTTGCTGTGGTTGGCGCTAACACCATGTTCGTCAAGGAATCGCGATTTCCGTTATCGAAGAGGAGGAAGAAGAGCCCGAAGTCGCAGCTCAAGCCGTATCTCAAGTTTCGCTGGCTGCCCAGGTTTGCCGTTCGGCATTCGATGACGACTCTGACGACGAGTCCATCGGCTCTTCAACCTCTTCCTACTCGATGGCGTCAACAGATGATTTCGATAGTAAGGTTTTATCAGCTTCTGGCGTATTTGGTGGCTCATTATCTTTTCTTTATAGCGTCTTTGTCGTCTGAGGTTTACACACCTCATACATCAGTTCCATCCTCACCCCATTCTCGTTCACTCTCCCCACCCCCTTCTCCTTTGTTTACGATGCCCTCATGGGTCCCGCGTTTCGACTCCGATTGCACGGATTTCGCATTCGAAGTCGTTCCGGACTCACCCCTCGCGGATGCCATTTCCGCATATGCCAGTACCCACCAGCCCATCGAAGCCAATCATCGACCATTCGTTGCGCGTCGTGGTCTCGGCATTCCCATCGTTCGTCCTTCTTGGCCCTCCATTAGCTCCGTCGATGCCCCTCTCGATGAAGCGTCCATAAAGCGGAAGGCTATTCTGGATCTGGACGATGCGACGCCCAAGACTCGTCGTAAGCGCGGAGACAGTTGATGTGTCTTGTTTGCAGTGCGTTTTTGTTTGCAGAGTTTTTTTTTTCCAGGATTTTTTTGCGTCCATTGCATCCCTTGCATCCATTGCCCCATTTCCATGCATTTACCCCACTCCGTCCATTTCCTTTCTTGATTGTAGTATCCGCGACTCGGTCGCCGTCTCTTCTTCTCATCAACAGGCCATTCCTCTATTTCACAGTATCCCGGCTCCGGCTCCACCATCCATCCAACCCACTCTCCCTCGGGGGTTTCCAGAACGAGGAAAAAAGTACTTTCTCTCGAGGTCTCATCGCCGCTTATACCTGTTCTTCCACGTCTGCCCTTTAAAGTGGCACGGGAAACCATCTATTCGCGGTTCTGTTTTCTCTTGGATTTGCGGATCTTCTTGGACTGGATTTCGCCTTGGGATTTGTGGTTAGGTTGATTTTGTAGTTTTGTTTCGAGGTGCTGTAATTTATTGGGGTTGTCTGAAATTTTGATGCATTCTTGTGACAAATGAATCGGGCGAGCTTGTCTGAGCACGTTCAGCACTGGCGCAATTGAGCATCAGTTATGTGTTTACGCCAGCGCATCGATGGGAATTCTGACAACTGATTTTGTTCGCAACATGCAGCAGTGACAAGGCGTGATACCATAATGATCCCCGTCCCAACAATCCAAGTGTAGACCACAATCAAGTTGGCGGAGGCTATGGGCTGTGTCCAAAGGCAAGTTCCCATTTTTTCACCGAACCCTAGTCGCGAGACGATGTGTACTACGAGGTCGTGGTTTTGAAATAACAGATGCGTGTTTATGATTGGACTTTTGCAAGACCGTTCGATATGGGCTGGTTAGAGAACATGCTTCGGACGTGGTGATCGGTCGTGACTGCTTCGCATGTGAGCCCCGGAAAAACACCAGTCTTACCACTCCACGCCGTGCGTACTCAGTAGAATGAGTGCGCCATTAACAAACACAGCAAGCAGAATGAACTCCCCGACGGTTTAGCAAGTACCACGAGCATTGGTCTCGGTCAGGACACTTGTTGTGATTCACTCTCTGCGCGCTACAACTCAGATCACACATCAAGAAATCAAGATGCACACAGTGCATATATCCAGAGAGGGTGTCGCAGCCTACGTACGTATATGTAAGTAATGGAAAATCAAGGAAAGTGTGACCGGGTCGGTGATATGCAAATATACAAGTGTTCCAGTGTCGAGATCCTGGCAGACGGGATAAGTACGGGGAGGAGCCGTCTATCGAGATATAAATAATACAATATATACAATATCCCGTCAACTGTGACAGAATGAATGAGGCGAACGAAGAGAGGGGTTGGATGACCTGCGCATCGTGGTTATGTACGGGGGGAGAATGATGATGTACAGTGGAAATGACGGGGGTGCGGCAGATGATGATGCTGCGATCAAAGACGTATGATTTTCTAGCGATAGACTCAGTCGTGGACAGCAAGGGGGGGAGAAAAAACATACGGGGCGCGATGCTGATCATGCGATGACGCAGTAGCAGTTGGCATTGCCACCATAGTGCTCCTCGTCAACTGGTACTTGTGCTTGTGCTTGCGTCTCTTCAGAAGAGACGGGTGCCAATGCAGCGAGCGTGAAGAATGAGTCCATTGCCGTGAAGGAAGAATTCGAAGAATAGGTCAAAGTTGAAGATACTTTGTAGAGCTCGGGAAGCTCTGATAGTTTTCAAGGGGATTCGTATTGATGGGGGACCTACTTCTCAGCTGTCGAGTATTTATCCGTTGCCAAGAGGCATGATTTAAAGGAATGGGGAAACTGACAATGTTTACACGATGCGACGTTCCTCGCCAAACATAGATTGGGCCACGGATATGAAGCGGGAGGAAGGATCATACTATTGTCCGTGAAACATGATAGGCCTGTTGCTGTGAGCAGAGCAAGTCATAATCAACGCGCCTCGCTGGTTTGCACAAGATTCATCCGGGGAAGACAAAAAGACCGTCCATTTACGTAATCTATAAAGTCGTTAGCCAATCAAATTCGTTCATCATTTATCCATTCTTATTGTTTGGGTAGCTCCGGGTTCCCTTGGAATCGACGAGCAGTCGGCGAAGTTCGTTAGGACAGCGGTTAACAATAAAACAAGTGGGTTGAATTGGGAATGGTCCTGAGAGGAATCAAAGTTGCGAGGAACAGGGAATTAATGAAGTAATTGTGATATGCGGCGGTTCTTTTGTCTCTTGTTGTTAGGACTCGAAGTTGTAATTGTTCCGGGGCCAAGTCGGCGAGTGTAATCGCCGGAAACACGTTTTATGACATATGGTGATTAAGTAACTCGAGTACCCTCTTAAGTCCTGGATGAAACCAGCGCAGCAGTCCAATACGATGTCGTCATCCGGGAAAAAGGCTACCACAGGTCTGGACTCTGGAAACAATAAAGCGCATTAGGTAGTATCACGTATCCAGGAGCACAATGCACCATCGCCAGTCACTGGCCTACGTTGGCAAAATGGACCATCTGCTCAGAATGAATCAGCGAAATGAAAGTTAGAGTTAACAATCACCTTGAGACTAGTGAATTCGTCCTCAGTCGGAGACCCATTGGGATTTTAACATCGCCCTTGTATCTTCAGTGCATCATTAAGAGCAGACAATAGTCCTATAAGAATCCTACAACGTGGCGTCAGTACACCATGACTGTGGATGAGTTAAAATAGATGTAAACATACGCATCAGGTACAAATGCGTTCGAGTTTTGGGAGTTGCAGCTCTTGATGTGAGGCACAGCCAGAACTCTCTTGGTGAGTCTTGATCGCGTCTGCACACGTTGGAAGGTTAGAGTGAGAAAGACCAGCTTCACAAAAAATTGCGATAACCATAATAGCGTGAGAAAAATGCAAGGAGCAATTCACCTGGAGCCAACGCCATCATTTCGGACCTGCCAAATTTCTCCGAGATCGACCAGCCTGGCGAGCCTAGTACCCAATATCAACTTGCCTGCATGCAACACACTTCATCGCCCTTGTTTGTCGCCCGCTTCTTTTCCATCTTGCCAACACAACTCCACAACGCTTAAGTAGCCATTCCGCTGCAGTATCCACGTCTTGTTTTCCGCCCAACTAGAGGGTTTGGAATGGAACAAACCCTTCAAGCGCAAATCACGAGCGGACCCCCCTTCTCCTTCTCCTCCTTCCCCCAAGGTCACACCTACACACGAACTCACATCACCGCTCCCATCATCTCACACCCACCATCCACGCACCCATACCTCCGCTCCCCATCCATAGACCCCCATTTCCGCTCCGGCGTACACCTAGACCTCGGCAAGTCCCACCTCGTGCTCAGTATGATACCTGGAACGCTCCTCCCGCTGGTGGAGCTGTTTAGGTTAGAGTTGTTGGAGAGGGCTGGGGGGTGGGGTGCAAATGGGCGGGTAGTCGAGAGAGGTGAGTGGTCGTGTTTTGTATTATGGTTCTTCAAATCACGTTTTCAAATTGTCAGATGGAGCCCATAACTTGCACGGTTTTTGGAGGGCATGTTTTGGCGGTTTGTGGCGTATTCGGTGCGTTTTTGTTGGGCTTTTTCCGTTGGGATTATCGCGTTCGGTCGGGCGTTTGGCTCTTTATCGCTCTGAGAAGTCCTGATGATCTCGACGATCGTTTTTGTGATGGGTAACAAGCTCCCCCCCATCATCTCGTCTTTCAGCAACTCTCCACACCCATTAATTACTCTCACTGACGCGTGTCCATCTAGGACCCAGACGCTGAACTAGAGCCTGACGAAAAATCTCGTTCTTACCAGAGGACGCGCGCGCGTAGTCGGAAGGTGTGTTCCGTACTGTCTTTGAGCATGGACCTAACATCGAGTTGGACCACTATATCGTGTATTTTGCAGAACGCACTTCACATAAGGACACATACAGCGCTAGAAGCATTAGATCAGAACTGCCCGCGTGCTTACAAGGGCTGAACGATGAGGAAAACCTCAGGGAAGAATATTCTTGTTGAGGTGCGTTTTTCGTGTTTTCATGACTTCGGGCGACGCTGGTACTATCCCAATATTTCCCGGATGGCATCCGTTTATGATCACAACTCGCACCTTGCGAAGCCCACGCATTGGGTCCATCATATGTCGGTAGAGAAGCAGCAACACAAACCCGTATTCGTTGAATGATTGCGAGACGTCGGTAGGCTCCGTGCATGCATAAGTTGACAGGTAGTTCCAGTAGTAATGTAACATGACATTTCCCAGACATAATTTTATCCTCCGGAACACGAAATAAATACGAGCACGAAGTTCCTACATATATCCTCCAAATCACCTCTCCTTAAATACCACAATGAAACTGAAACCAAATATATACATGTCCCCTGCCCACTATCCGGGGTTGATCACTTGGATGGCTTCCAGTGTTACACATCTCCGCCAGTCAACGCATCTGCACCAGCCTGGAAAGCAATGGACGTCATGTGTGTTCCCCCGTCGGACCTGGCCATGAGCTTGGCATGATATTCACGAACACTGAGGATCAGACGTGGTCCCAGCACACACATCTGGAACCCCTGGAAAATGTAGAGAATGCCATAATACACCTCAACTCCCAAACCATATGACGACTGTAGACATGATCAGGAGTGGTCAGATGGAGATGCCAGTCGCAGGTCAGCGCACCGTTATATATGGAGACAGTGAACCGAGATCCAAGCAAGCCATGACAGCAAAGCTAGCATATGCGGAACTTCAGCGAATCGAGATAACGACATACAAATTACCGAGCTCACGCTAGAAAGTACAACATGTGACTTTGCATTAGCACCGTGAAACAGTCTCCAATGGTCGATCCACTCTGCGATTGTCGCAGTTCACGGAGGTGTTTTATAGCAATCCAGACTGCAAGAAAAAAGGCGAGGATCTCCCATATGATGGTGGGTATGATCCTGACATAATCCGGATTTAATCCATTTGTGTCAATACTGTAAAGATAGACATGGTAACCACACAATATGGCCTCCCCTGGTATTTTTACATGAGTCCCGTGTACTCAAGTCTGTCATCAATAACGAAAGCTTACCCCTTGAATAACCCAGGCCAATTATCGCCACAACTCCAGTGGAAATCGTGGAAACCAGCAAGAGTGCAGCAAGAAAAATGAGCATCTTGCTGGATCGCCCATACATGGCGTGTATCCGAGCCATCATGATGGCTTGCAACATATTTCAGTCAAGTCAGTATCAGTAAGGTGCGGCAGGTGAGCTCACCGCCCAGCATGGCATTGACGACAACAGGCGCGAATATCCATATGAAATAACTGAAGTTGCCTGAAAAACCCAGTGTCAGGCATTGATGGACTCAATGCTTTGAATGAACTTACAGCTGTTGCGGTCATGTTGAACCATCAAGCTGACAGAAATTGTCACTCACCCCTGTGTAGGAATGCAGTTAGTGGTTGAATGAGAATGAGAATGTCAGGCGTTGGTGCCGAATACCCACTATATCTGTCATTGGGACTGGGAGATTCACTACATGCTTCCAGTCAGAAGGAATGAACAAAGTGTATTTTGGGATACATACATAGTAGGTAGATGCTGATTAATATAGTTTATCAGTGCAGTGCGGTGTAAAAGCGTTAGCCTTGCATACATACAGAGAAAATAGTATTCCAATGTAGCGGACCTAGCATATGTTGAAGTCAGTACAGGATGGCGACTACGCTCATGAAATAACGTACACAAATATAAATAACGGTCATGAAGGACCAGCGTTGCCTCTGCCCCGAGTCAGCCACATTGTCCTGTTTGCTTCTGATATGGGACTCTGCTCACCCAGATGAGTTCGAACTGTTAGAGCATTCTTAGAGATGTGAGATTGCTGCGCAGGTTATGACATCAACATACCTCTTGTGCGAATGTTAATGCTTGAGTACCACATACTTATATATCAACGATCCCCTCATAAAGTATTATCTCGCTCACCCCAATCGTACACCACCACAGCGAAAGATACAACTGTGAAACCATGGTCAATGATAGCGAGACGTCAACATCGTCATGCCACTTGCTCTCTACGAACCTTGAAAATAGCCAGAAAACTGAACAGCACTGAGGAATGGCCACAAAGTAGGATCATTTGAGACGTAGAAGGTCATATCAGGATGAGGCGTATGGAGTTTGTACAGACCTACCACCGTCCAGCGCTTTTATAGTGATGAGGCTGGACAATGGCCGCGTCTCGAATAGCAATCTTCATTGATCACAGAACGTAGAAAAGGAATAGTAGTGAGAAGCCGTCGTTCGAATAACTTTGATGTAACTTGCGTCTGAAATCCGCGGAATATTTGAACACCGGAAAATCTGTTTGTGATGAAGCTTGCTGTGTGGGTGATTCTGCATCAGTTTCATCAGTAATCACAAATCGTTAGCGATCGATGAACATAGACCAAACGCAGGACTTCATTATATCTGAGCCGTGTAGTGACAGAGAACGGACCACTATGATGATGGATGTGCAAGGGTCAGCGTGACATTTACAGCATCAGACAATGAAGAGACAGACTGGTAGGGAATGCCCATGTTAATGTCTACTTCGGCGTGGCCATGAGTGATCTTTCCAAAACATGATCATAATGCGGTGACCTGCCGCGGTGGTTATGTACCGGGCGCGGGTGAGGTAAGTATCAAGGTTACTTAGGGAATGCTCACACCGAGGCTACATCAGTAAACCGATGAGACCTTGATATTGTACCCGTGCGAATTATAGAAGGGCAGAATTCTGCTCCTGCTAAATATCGCCATTTATACTATAAGAAATTTGATTTGTAGATACATCGCCTGCAAAGCTACAGTAACATGAGCGGTTCACGACAAGGTTATGATGTTCCTCATTTGCAGCCGACGAGGGATAGTAGCTTACATATGCCAAATATTTTGCGCATTGTCATTTTACCTTAATTACACTTTGCACCACAAGCTCATCCAAGGCAATCTCGTGGGAGGTACCTTTGGCACTCGTCAACGAATGTATAATGACGTGAGATTTCATAACAAAGTCTTGATTTGCGGCCATGAAGACCAACGATGCACGACAGCGCAAAACTCTTCACCTATTTAACGGCTCTCATTTTTTACTGTTTATGCATTGAACTGAACTACTATCCAAGATCTTCTCATGAGAAGACCGTTTGGCACTTGTTAACGAATCTGGAATAGCACTACAATTCCTAACAAAATCGCCACCTGTCGCCATCGCAGTACGCAAGGGACAATAGCGCACTCCTCCCAATTTATTCGACGATTCTCGTTTTTTGTTGTTTATGCATTAAATTGTAATGTTATTCAAGATCTTCCCGTTTAGGAGCAGCCTTTGGCACTCATAAGAAAATTAGAATATCATAAGAGTTCGCAACAAACCGATACTGTGTGCACAAGGCAACTGTGAGAGCCGTCGCGCGCCCTTTCAAGTTCCATCCCGCACGTTCAAGTCATTCATATTGATCTTTGGCACCTCAACTTTAAAGTACTTATTCCATGGCAGATTATCGATTAGGGTCAATAGCGTCCTGAACACATGTGGCGTAGGTCCAAGTCCGCGCAACATTCTTCATTGTAATGATATGATCCCCTCCGAGTCCAAGAAGGATGAGCGGGACGTTCAACCGTACGCAGTGAGCATGTCATTTCAAGTTGAAGCATTCGAGTTTGTCCCCTGCAAGACAGTCCGCTCCACATTGTAGGACGACCCGCACCAGGTCGATACACTTCGTGACGATCTTATTTATAATCTGACGAAGTGTTAGGTGAAGTAGGTGCATACTTGAGTAGGAACTGACCTAGATACATGCCATCAGCGTATTATAGCGAGTAAGGGATAGGCCCGGGTGCTCACCAGTCATGCAGTGAGCTGCGAAGCCACAGGCAGAAGCTCGTTCTGGAAGCGGTCGACCATAGTTTTCATGCTGTGATTGAGGATATCGAGGTCTGTCTCATGGGAAAGCTTGAGAAGATCTGAAACAACCACCATCGAAATCAATGAGGGTGTCAGTGGGTTTGGACACGAGACACACCTTGCACGACCTTGCCGTCTTGCGGAGAGACAGCATCCCTGACTATAAAATAAAACTTAGTTTGAATATTAATATGAGCGGCAGTTGTCGACGGACCAGAGTCGTGGATGACAACCAATTCGGTGATAGCCAGTACGGCCTGCACGCGAACGGGGAGTTCGCGATCATCCAGGGCCAACACCACAGCACGGGAGTGATTGTTGAAGTTCTAAGCAGAATGTATCAGCACACCAACGCTTGCAGAAATGCCCACCTCTTCACTAGCCCATGTGATACTGGCCTTGTTCACTACACCTAGTAGCACCTCACATGCTTGAATCGCGTCAGCTGAAGGGAATGAAGACAGAGGGAAGCAAAATAGACTTACGACACTCCGCAAGTACGGCTCCTGCGACGTGAAGTCGGGCAGGACGTACTGTACCACGAATTGTTTGATGCTTCCCTTGACATCAAGATGGTGAACGATGAACAGGCCGAGGACTGACATCATTGTAAATGTGCCGAAGCGCTGGGCCGGTGTGGAAGTTCTATATGGTATTCCTGTGAGTTGCAGGATGTAAACTGGAGCATCGGGAGGAAGGACTTTTTCGTGCGGTTGCTTGCATGGGAGAGGAGGAACGAGGTTGCGCCACTGACAGGGATGAAAAGTTTTCATACTCGTCTGGCATGTGTATAAGATATGGAAATGTGAAACAGAAACTAGATAAACATACCGACACTAGCACGGACGTACTCTACAGGATCGGCCTCCCACATGGCTTGTTTGGACGCGTCAAAAGTAAGTTGGGGGAATGCAAAGTTAGCCACAAGGCTGTCGACATGGGGCTTCAAAAGTATTCGACGTGGGGCTTCAAAAGTATTCGACGTGGGGCTTCAAAAGTATCCACATAGACTTCGGCTTGATGCTGCACAGAAACACATCAGCTCAACACGAAAACGTAGGAACTGAGAGATCGATGATTAGCCTGAGTATGCGCACCACTGTTCAGTAAAAAAACTGGAAGATCTGGTATTGACATTTCTTGCCCAGCCATCCTAGGTATGTGCATAGTAAGCCAAAAGGTACCCGCTCGGGAAAAATGTACATGAGGCCACCTTACGTCGTTAAGGCCCTCGCAGACCCTTCCCCCCCGTGTGAATTTCCCACACTCTAGGGGTGTGCCAAATATGGTAATTTCTGCGGTACTAACAATAAATGTTAAAGAACTTGTCAAAGTCTTGCAGAACATCCTCTCACAACTTGAAACATCCATCTCAGAATCTCCCCATTGCATCGACTAGTATAGAATGGACCAGCTTTTCTGTCATTTTCAACGGTTTGTATTGTTAGAGTTTGGCATTCCACCCTTTGTCATTGTTTCATTGTCCACATAGTTCCAACTACGTATATATACCTACATCATTTATTATCCTATCTTTGTCTTCTCCCGCCATGTTGTAGATTTTCCAGCCTCAATAGGTTATGAGCCCTGGCACGCACCTATAGCTAGAGTTTTAAAGTCCGGTTGCGCAACCGGAAAAAGACCACAGACTTAACCAGACCGCAACTTTTCTAGACCGGACTTCGGTCTCGGTTGCCCCTTAATATCACCCCAATCGGTTGCCAGTTGCCTCGTTTGATCTGTGTCATCGGACCGGTGAAAAGTTGACTACAACCGGTCTAAGGTAGGACCGGTTGCCCAAAAATATGAAAATTTTACTATGAAATACTGTGTACTAGAGACTTCTACATAGTATGGACTTCACCAGCTTCATTCTCCCAGTCAGCCATGTCCTCATCTACAAGAAGGAGATCTTTGTACTCATTCAGCAAGACCTCCTCGACAATACCTGAGTTTGCTTGAGCGGAATTGACGAGAGACTTATGCCACGAAAATTTAAGCATTTGTAGTTGTTCGAAACGTTCAGCACCTAGACAAGAGCGTTTGTTGGTGGCTGTCTCTGCGCCACCTGAAAAAAGTCGTTCACATGGAACTGATGACACAGGAATTGCGCAGACGTCCATGGCAATCCTTGCAAGTGTAGGATATATTGAAGCATGTTTCTGACAAAAGAATTAGTTGAATATATAATACAAATGCCCGCGCACGTACTGACCACCAGTGAACAATGTCCATATCCTTTGAGATGTCAGGTATGACCTTGAGGTATCTCCGCAGTTCCTCAGCCCAGCCAGCGTTGTGGTCGAGTGTTGCCTTTATAAGGAGCATACGACAATGCTGGTCAAACTCAGATTCCATAGTAGCGGTGTCACTGCGAGAGCCTTCGAGTCCTGGTACTGCGACAATGGCAGTGCTTGATGGGGTGAAAGCTGATAGATGTGTGGCGGTGGGGGAGTTGCGAGTCTTCCAATAGTCTTCCATAGTCCTCTCCATGATCTTTAGGGCCTTGTCATGCCAATTCCTGGCACTGGGGTTTCCAGCTGTGTGCTCTTGTTCTTGTTCCTCCGGTCCTCCCCAAGCGATCTTGATGTATTCGAGTTTGTAGTATGGATGAAGAACTGTAAATACATCAGTAATATCAAAGTGAATTGAAAAAAAATTAGAACGCACCCAGCGCAAGCACATAGACCGGTTTGTCGTCCATCTTTCTATAGTACTTACCAACCTTGTCGAGTGCCTTCTCGATGGCAGCCTTGTAGAGTACATACTTTGGCATGTCCCACTTCCGCTCCCATGCCGTCAGTAGTTCCTCGAATGCGGGTATTGCACGCCATAGAGTCGGTTGATGTTCAGAAGAAAAGTATTGCTGGATTTCGTTAGCATCCTACAGAGATAAATTAGAGTAAGATATAACTATGAGACAAGGAATGGGAACGTACCGAAATGATGACACATGTATCTTCAACTCGCTCCCAATCAGCACTTGTGAAGGAGAAGGCCGTCCAGGGAATATGTTTCGTTCCAAGCACAGGACATTGGATAGTAGTGATGGGGCCAAAAAGTTCGTCTGCAGTATTGATAAACATAGTTATAGACTATGTAAATGGATTAGCGATGCAGCACTACCATCAATCATGTTTCCACTTACCTGTCGCAACAGGTGTGCACACCCGAGCATGCCGTCAGCAGTTCCCCAGCGAATATTGCTATGAAGAGGGATCTTGAGTGGAGTCGTGATTCCGCACTTCAGTTGAAGCGCCTGAAAGTATTCAATTCGTTGATTTGAGCATTGTATCTGTTAGATCATTAGCAGTACTATGTATCTCAATATCAGCAACATACCTTAATTGCAAGAGTGTGCACAGCTGCAACAACATCCAGTGATCCTCCCAAGACGCGGCTGTTTGTTAGCAAAGGATCGAATTCCCAGATCGCAGTAGTAGTTTCCACAGCAGTGATGCGAGAGATGATGGACATGATAGCAATGATAGAAAGATTCAGAATGTGAGCAAGGCAGGGGAGGCGGTGTTCGTCAGATTTGAAGGAGTAAATGTGCCGGCGATGCAAAACACGTTCTATCTTGTCACATGTTGTGTCGTTATTGCTGGTATTATCAGCCGTCACAACAAAAAGCTAAATTCAATGCGATCATCTGAGTCAGTACTAGTATTCAGAGGTGAGATAGGGCAAGAAATACCTTTGTAGATTGGCTAGAAATGATACCCACTTGCTCGCATAGGCTGACTATGTATCTTCCAAGATTATCTCCACTGTGTGCACCAGGGATCCCTAGCTCCTTACATTTGGCCTTGTAGAACTCATAGTGGCCGCATACGTGTTGGCGACATGAAGAGTTACTACCTAGATGAAACACCTTCCACTTCCCATTCTCCTTCAAAAAATTTTCATTGCCCCTTGGAAATTATGGTGAGTTGACTGCCCATCGCAAGCTATTTTATACTAACTCACTTGCAAATGATACACCAGCATCCTTTCTTTGTATCCACTACACCATCAATGCCAACAAACTTCACTGTGCACTTCTCCGTGAAAACAGTGAGTAGATCAGTAGCCCACTGTTTCTTTATTATCAATTGATCTGGGAGATCTGCCTTGTGTTGCATCCCCAGATCATTTGTCTGCTATTGTGCATACCGGTGAGCTAACACTGAATTTATACAGTGTCCTTTTACTTGCCTCGTCTTCATCATTATCACTGTCTTCGGTGCAAGAGTCATGCTCTACGATTTCAGGCTCGCTTCCCGTGCTAGCAAGATCATGGACTTCCTCAACATCAACTGGCAGGGCTGGAGCTTTGCCTTTCTGGACACGTTTGGATGTTTTCTTCTTAGAGGTGCGTTGACGTCCCGGAGGGCTCGAGTCATTGCTGCTATCAGACTCTTCATCACTGACTGCGGGTCTTTTTCATTTAGAATTCTTTGGCAACTTGGGGGGTCTTTGACAAGAGCCTTTCTGAGTCGCATTCCATGTCTCAGAGCCAGCGAGAGCTTTTGCAGTTGCTGTCTGCTTGCGTGAAGACTTCTGTGGATTCAACATCGTGAATTGGAGGGTTGGTGGAGTAAGAGAAGAGAACAAGTCTGATTTTTTCCTTTCAATTTGAGACAGTATGCTAAGTATGCCTGGTGGCAAACACGTTGTAGTATTATGCCGATTTCCCCTGTGCTATACTAGTAATACATTTCCGTCATTTTATGAGTAGATTTTATCAGTCTTACCAGTCCTGACCAGTCTTACACAGTTGCCAACCGGTTGTGTCTGCAACCGGTTGCCAACCGACTGCAAACCATGTTGCAGTTCCACACAACCAGTCTCGGAGGGTTTGGTCCGAGTTGTAGTATGAGACTGAGTTTAGATGGACCGGTCTGGGTCTGGTCTTGCCAAAATTAGCAAAAAGACTGGACCCAACTGGACTTTTAAACTCTAGTCACGAAGCACATTCCATGGACTGTGTTTGCACTCAAGACATCGGACTGGGAGCACGTGAACAATACATGAATCATAATCTCAGTAAGTCATGACTAGTCTCTCATCAGCAATTTTGACTGACATTTTTAGGATGCTAATGATATTCAACAATACTTCTCCTCCGAACAACAACCAACACTTTGGCGCGCAATACCTGCTATGGAGGAGCTACAGATGGCTTGGGAATCAAAGAGGGAAAATTTGCAGTTCACGCTGTACAAGGAGGCTATCAAGCGGGGTCTTGCAAAGATTGGAAAGTATTATGGCAAATTTGACGACAAACCAGTCTACATTCTTGCGCTTGGTATGTCTATCATATTTCATTGTATTTTTGACTAATTAAATGTGCAGTACTACACCCATACTACAAACTCGCATATATCACTATGGCATGGGGCGGTCCTGAAGAACAGGCGAAGGAACAAGCTGCCGGCAATCCAAACACCAAGAATTGGCACGACGAAGCACTCAAGGTAGTCAAAACAACTATGGAGGAGTATTGGACCGCGCATAAAGCACTTGTAGACTCAGGATGCGCCACTGCCAACACCATCGATGACGACTCAACAGTGTCGACTGTCAAAACCATGGAGTCTGAATATGATCACCATCGCTGCATGTTAGTTCAGCAGGCGGTCTACAAGCACAATGCTGGATGGGCAGCCGAGCTTCGTTGTTACCTCAAGGATATGCTGGACAATGTTAGTAAAGAGACACATTATTCAGTGGTGGGCGGTGAGTCTATCTAATATGTTCCAACATACTTTTTATCTCATATCACACAGAGACATTCATCTATCTATCCTACCCTTGCGAGAATTGTGATGGACATTTGTGCCATACCGGCATCTTCAGTCCCGTGTGAATGATTGTTTTCAGCGGGCGCAGAGATTGCCACAGATTGCTGCTCAAGACTTGGTGCAGACAAATTTGAGCAACTCCAGATCCTCAAGCATACGTGGCGAGTTTCCATTGTGGATAGGGCTGCTTCTGACTCTTTAGCTACACGAGAAGTCTCACTGGAGGGATTCGAAGAGCTGCTGACCCTCGACAAGGATTTTATTGAGTGGGATCAATCTGAGGACGAGAATCGCGAGATGGTCACTATGTAGTTTGCTTTCCTTACATGTCTTAGAATTAGAAGTTCATTGTATCATCATGCAACTGGTTTCACTTGTGACCAGTCACAACCGATTTTTATCGGTCTTGAATTTCTGATCAATGTCAGGCAACCGAGACCGATGTTTAGTAAAATATAAGGCAACCACAACCTTGGTCCGGTTCAGTTGCCAGTTTTTTTCGGTCTGACAACCGGACTTTAAAACACTAATAAGCAAAGCAAGAGGTGTGGGAAATTACATTTCAGAACACGAAGCTGGCGTAACTTCGACTACGCCCCCCCTCCTGTAACAGCGTGACTGTCACACTAATTAAACCAAATTAGGTAGCTTAGTAATACATAGAACTTCAAACTCATTGATTGCAAAACATACGGAAAGGTGTGAAAATGAAAGCGTGCAAAGAGCAGAACATGATAGCGTAGCAAGGCAATGACAAGGGAAGCAAAAGCAAGGTCTGAACTACGGAAACAACCATTGAAAGTGTGAATTTCCATACAATTACAAAGTATATGAGGGAATCTGTGTGAAGAGAATCTGCGTGAACTTATCGATCAACGGATCAAGTGAAGGTGATGAAATGAACAGGATGATTAAACTACCAATGTGTGTGCGGAATGAAGAGGTTGAACGGCCATACGAGCTTGTTTGGCAGGCATCGAACTTGCGGAATTCAAGGCAGGGCGTTTGGAGGGACGTGATATAGACGCCGGGACATTCTCCTTCTCCGTGTGGTCATATGGTGTCGGCCAGTGCTCCTTTGGAATATGCGCGGCCTTCTGCTCCAGCTCTGAAAATGTCATAGCCGCCAAGACACCGGATGGTAAAGGAACCCCGGTCTCCCAATGTCCAGGGATGACATACTCCTCGTGTGCAGTTACAAGGTGCTCGGCCATATTATAGTGCCAAACAGCATCGACAGATACTGCCTGCACCTTTCGCGAGGTCCTTCCGGGTTGGGGAGGCAGTGTAGGGTGACATAGCTCACATTTCATGGGGACGTTGCGAGATGGTGTGTTCTTCGACCCCACAATTGTGGACCCATACCTGAAAATGTGCTTATAGATGCACTTTGTTTCCCAGGTGGGCGCTGCATCCCCTTTCACGAGGATCGTGACCGCGCATTGAGGCATTCCAGAACGACCACAGAAGCCGCATGGGAGTACAGCACCGACCTTAAATTGATTAACATGATATCATCACTATAAGTTTTTAAAAAAAACATACCGGTTCCTTTAGACTAGTCTTCTCGGGTGTCTTAGTCAAAGCTCGCAAGATGTGCATGCCGACGTGACAGCGCATGTCAGAGACGCTCACTTCACAGAGTGGGCACACAGTGATGCGGGCACCCTCAGAAGCTGCTAGTCAAGCACTTGCTTCGACGGATATAATAGCTGGAGTACCTGAGAAGCAACTCGATCAATGAAATTCATCGAGATTGAAATTAAAACATACTGTGGGCCAATCGATAAGGAAAGTTCTTGGAATCAGAAGGAGAGACGGATGAGAATGAGTTCAAGGGAAACTTCATGTCGACAGCCTTGGCCCACAGAAGATCACAAGCGGCCTGTAGTGTATCAGCCGCCACCTGCCAAGTACTCTGTCCGCCTTTGATCTCGGAGAAGTCGTCGGTGTCAATGTCATTGCGAAGACAAATGAATGTCAGTTCTGGATTGATCAGTTCAATCATTGATCCGATCACGCTGATACTAACAACCCGTTCCATTGAATCTGTCGTACCTTGAATAGCAGAGTGCACCTTGACATAACCTCCGTTCCACAGGAACGAAAGTTGGAGTGACTCGGGGGAAGGGTGTGTTGGCAGGATAGTTAGGAGTTGTCCGGTTACCTTTGCTGTGGTTCGAGTAGATTTCATTATAGTTGCGTTGATCGATGCACAGGAGACGTTGTTGAGCAAGATTGATGTCGAATGGAGCACGGTGATAGATAGAGTTTGATCGGATCGAAGAAGCGTGACAAAAATGTCCCCGACAAGGAATGAATTGAAGTCAGTGATGCAGCCCATGGACATGTCAATCTGGCGATTGACTTTGGTATATCCTGCCCGAACACGCTCAAGTCAGTTGTGAGACTTCGAGACAAAATCTTTGTTAATTACCAACCGGCAGATCGTCTGCTTGTGGATCCAGCGACCCTTAAAGAGAAGGTAATCGGCTGGACGTATTCCAGGGCCCTCAGGCAATGGAGGAGCTGATGGATCAATGAAGGGGGCGGGGTGATCTGAGAGTGCGTCAGAGGTCTCAGAAGCCAGTGCTTCTTCGAACGTGAGCATAAGTTCTTCTTCTTCCTTGGAATGGACCTCGTCTATTGTGCCGGTGTCGGTGTGAGTGAATGGGAAGGGGGCGATTGCGCTATGCGCAGGAGCAGCAGGCACAACGGGTACAAGGTCTTCATCTGCAGAGGTCGAGATCCTGAAGTACTTATTCTCTCCGAAGGGGCGTAACATATCAATCCCCGGATCACGAAAGAGGTCGAGGAAGGAGAAGTTGATGGGATCGATCTGACTCACACTAAGAATAGCAAGTGCCATCTCGCGACCAGTAGCCCATGCTGATGGGAGATCACATCGGCCAGATATGATGTCGCCTTTCCACATATCACAGTTGATGTGGTCGACGTTCTCTTGACGCGTGCCCAGGTGGAGACGATGGTGGCCAGGATCCATATCAGGGTGCCGCTTGAAGACACCATCAACATCCTTCGCGGCACCCAAGCGATCTACAACCTGTGAGAATGTGCACCCTGAATTGTGGCCACCTATCATTCAAGTGCGCCCAAAATGAAGTTCCAGGCAATCGTCACCAGAGTCGCCGAGGAAAAAAGAAGCACTTGGATCAAGAAGCTGTTGCTTCGCGATGCTGAACATAACATTTTTGGACATGGTATGGGAGTCGTAGTAGAGTTGATATCCCATGAAGGATCATCAATGAGAGCGGAAGAGTGCAAATGAAAGGTGGGTGTAGCGACTGAGATATTGTACCTGTTCTGTGAGCGAGAGATCGACATTGATGAAGGGAATGAGAATTGATTCAATCACACTGCTGAGAAGCGTGATCGAGGCAAGGTCTGCACATGTATCGATATCTGAGGAAAAGGAGTTGTTGAGAATGGTGTGCTGTGATTTTGACAAGTCGATGATGGCTGACATGAGCTCAATGGCTCGGGGAACATCCTGCGGATCATCCAGGTGAAGAAGTTTGACGACGCTCGCCTCATCATATGCTGGCAACCAAACAAGGTAGCGTGCAAGCATGACCGCATTGATGAGACGGCCATTATTCAGAGTAATGCCGGCAGGGGAGCGAATGAGCGTGCAGAAGCCTAAATCATTTGAATAGTCAGTAGAAGATCTAGAGATCATTTATTAAAAAAAGAAACTCATGTTTGAATATATGTTTGAAATCGAAATCAAGCGTGATCTCGTCATCGCCAGTGAACGTGTTCAACCCGGCCATGTTGGAAAGTATGCCATACAATGGTGAGTGCATGGAGAGGGGGTTCTTAAGGAACAGTCGGTGACCTCCAGCACATCAGGTAGCATCACCATCTGTAGCGAATGACCACACAGGCCCGACGATCTGATCTGCGCCAGTTGCGCTCCAGCGCTGGATCGCGCGAGCAAGCACGATCTTGGTGTCTTTTGAATCTTCGGTCTTGCAGGTGGGCACAACTAGGATCGGATAAAGTTCTTCTTCGCCAAAGCACGCAGCTCCTATGACCGTTACCTCCTTCCCAAGGTGTACCTCCCCATCATGAATCTTCTGTGCAATCCTGACCACAGAGTCATACGTGCGGAGCACAGGGTCAATGAGACTGGAGTGCTTCCAGCACAGACCCCCAATCTTGTTGTACCTGGGGTAGTGGATGGCCATTTCTTCAATGGCCATTTCGTCGACCATAAGACTGATGCCGCGGGGTGATGTCACGCCGACGTGGGTGTTGAGAACGATTGATCGGATATTGTTGTCGAAGTTCTGATCGACGATGGGACCAATTGTCGGAGTGATCGAGTTGAAGACAGAACAAGTCTGGAGAGTACGAAGGGATGGGAGACCAAGGGTCTTGTTGAGGGCAAAAAGGAGTTGGCGTCCCCCGAGTCTGTAAACTAAAGTAGCTATATCTAAATCATCTGCACCGTAGCCTCGTGGACAATAAACTCCCTCCAGGGCATCTTCTAACTTGTTGACAATTTCGCGAATACTGGTGCCGTCATGTTAATGACTTGCTGGAGTTGGTGAATGTCGTTCTCTGATATGGCCATGAGAAGCCGATGGTAGTCATCCAGCTGGGTGAGGGCCCTCATATTTTTGCAGGAGTCAGTGAGTCCCTGATCAGAGTCAGATAGAACACATATAAGTACTTAAAAAAATACCTGAAGTTTGAGGATGTTGGCTTGCTCTGTGTAGCTCCTGGCAGTGTCCTGCATGTGTGCAAGCCCTAAGAATTTATAGTTAGTGCATGGTTTGGGATCCCTCGCGAGTTGCGCAAGGTGTGCAATGTGTACTGAGACGTCAGTACACTGATCGCAGGGAAGATCTGATGTAGCCGATCCCACACAGAGTTTTGATTGGGCACAAGGCATGGAGAAGTTGGTGATGTCGATTGTATAAGGGAGTGAGTCTGGGCCGTCGTGGTAACGCTCCCAAGGGAAGAGCATCGCGAATGGTCGAAGGTCCTCTGGCCAGTGAATAGGAACACCAGCGCAGGTCTGGGTAGTGCTAGGATGAGTAGCTGACCAGACACGAAGTCTGATGGGAAAATTTGATCAGTGATGTAATAAAATAGAGCCGAAATGAGACGTACCTATCAACATTTGATGCAGCCAGGGAACGAGGTATTGGCGCATCAGGCGTGTTCCCAGTTTTCTTTTTCTTTTTAGCTGTGGCCTCACATTTCTTACTTCCTCGGTGGTTGCTGAATGACCTGAACTGCCCAGGTATCCAAAGAGAGATCCTGCTGTGGATACCAGTCTGGCACCATTCTTCGCACTCGGGACATAGAAGCTCCCACCGCTGCATTGAGTTAATCTGAACTTGGATCTTATCCTTGAGAAATAATTGGAAGAGCACCTCAGGAGTATTTAATATCAGTAAGTCTTCGTCGTCGAATTCTGATCCTGATTCCGGGGATTCGGGAGTCGTATCCGAGTCGTAAGGATTTATCCGCCCTACTGGGTCCGTCCTACGTGCTTCTGGTGGCAGTACAGAGTCAAGGAACACGTCCAGGGGGGTTTGAGAAGGCCCAGACGATTCGGTGGAGTCAATAGAACCAGAATGACAGTGATATCAGAAATCTGAGTCCGTTTGATATGAGTCTTTAGAACTTGCGCTGTCCAAGTCCCAGTCGCTGTCATCATCTGAAATCTCGAAGCTTGATGATCTGAAAGTCTGTAAATGCCAGTGCAGTGAATCCATAGCAATAATGATATGAAAATGAGTATGAGACGCGTCAATACCGACGACACGCGCATATATCGAGACGCGCTGTGGGAGAAATTGTAGAAGTCCGCTGTAGTGATAGTGTACCGGTCCTGCTGGGTGCGAGAATAGTAGTCGACCCAAGGGGATAGCTCTGAGAGCAGTTCCTCAAGTATGAGCAAGGGGAACAGTGAGGAGGGAAGTGATGCGCTGAAGACAGAATGGCTGCTTGTGGGAGGATGCGTAGGGGTGCGCGGAAGCGCGGAGATGCGGAGTATGCGGATGCGAAGTCTAGTGAGTGCCAGGTATGCGAGACAGGGAAGGTACCAGGTATCAGGACAGGTAAACAGGTAAAACGGGTAAGGTACCAGGTATATGCAGGACGCGACGGGACTGTCTTGCGAGTGAACTCAACTGGATCTAGCAATAGCCAAGTGTCGATGACGATGCGAGCGTTCGCGCGGGATGAGAAGGCAAATGGATGATTGCTCAAGCAAGGAAAGACAAGGTAAGACTAAGCTAGTGACTCCGCAACACACAACCAGAGATGGAATGTAGGAAAGTGTCGTCCGTACGAGTCTGCGATGTAGTATATAACAGAGTCCGTAAGAAACCGGAACCGTATAAGCGGGCGCATATGCAAGCGAAGTCGGAAGGGGCTACATGTAAGTAATGGTACGCGGCCTCGTGTATGGGAACTGATATGTAACTGGCCCTGCGAACGGTTAAGAATGACTAACTAAGGATGAGAACGCACCAGTGAGGACGGATGGATGCAGACAAGACATGGACGGATGGTGCGTTGCGATGCGATGCATCGCATAGGGCGCGCGGAATCCGCAACCTCGTCTGATGGTCCGCAACGGCCTGTGGAAGGCAGGCGTGACTTCGTCCAGTAAGGGGAAATGGTGCTGTACGGGGCTGCAGCCAGGGCGTCTCCTACAGCGCATATATTGATATTGGTCACATGATATCACTCATGACATCAAACATACTGAATTTAGCGAGCAGCGCCCTTTAACGCGTGTTTTTCATTTATTCAACTATCTAGATGTATTCTACAGTATTAAAAACCCCCCACTTTCAGTCTTCGACGAACGATTCTATGAACATCTGACACCGCAATCGAAGAACTCAGAACAGCGTGCTGGTAAGTTCAAATGGCTGTGTATTAAGGTTTACTGGCTTATATAATGGTACACTACATATCCGGAATTCTTATTTTGCACACCTCCTGAAGCAAAGGGTTGGTATTTTGGCTTTCTCCATTGCATGCCTCTTGGATAGCAGTGTGTGTCATGTCATGTGATTGTGCAGAATGGCACAGTACAAGTAGACATGTTGTGGGTCTTTTTTATTTTATTTTATTTCCTTAATCACTTGAATTGCTCATCAACCATTCTGCAAATAGCTGTAAGATTTGTTGAAATTTTAGGTGTCATTAATTTGTCGGTGTGTCAAATTGAACAAATTACTTTAGAAATCCGGATTATCTAGCCTAAAAAATCAGTGACCCGATAAATAATTAAATGTTATATCTATTTCAAATCACCTGCCAGATGGGAAATTTCCGACATGGTTTTAAACACCGTTTCTCCGATCAAAAATATCATATAATAATTAAATTGTTTGAACCCTTGTACCTCGTTCCACTTGAACTTGCTGGTACTACCTACGCACAAACAGAATATCATCATTAATGTCACCCTCATCACCTCACGTTATGGATTCTCTTCATTCCGGCGAAGGCAGCTTTGAATGTGTGCCCCCAGCGTCTTCAATGATTTCAAGCATAGAAGGCATGGGGCGGAAACGAGAGTTACAAACATATATGGTATGACAGATGATCTCATTTCCCTTTGTAGCGAATACTGAATATTTCTATAAGATGTCGCTTGATGGCATCGACATGGAAGACGATGATCAGGATGCGCTATTCGCCAAATACAGTGTCGACACGGTATATTGTAGCTACCTGGCAGCGCGAAATCGAGTCCGCCAATACACTCAACTCTTGTCACTCCTGAAGCGTGAGGAAGATGCATGGCTACAGAGAGTTGAGAAGGCCAAGTATGCGGTACCGGGTTACAAGCCCTCACCTGATGGGGCGATTATCTTGCTTCAAGTTTGAAGATGATTTGTTTGTGTTCTCTAGGAAGTCCAACTTGGTCATCGTCACGCACGTATCTTATTTAACAACTCCTCGCTCGTCTTGTAAATTGCGTCCCAACAATTTGTATTCAATTTAACTTGAGTACTATTCGTCTTATTGATATCACGCTGTCACCTACATACTACTGGATTTGAAATAAATCTATCTCTGCAGCTTAGCGCTTAACGTTCACTGGCAATGACTAGTGACTCGGCTTGTCTCATCGTACTAGTAAGTACTACGACTAGTGTGAGTTCAAATGATTGCCAGTGCATGTCGCGGTCATGATCGAAACAGGCAATGCTTAAAGCGGATGCAACTGACTCAGCTACTAGTACTAGTACGTACGTGAACTTGAACGTTGAAAACGTCAGCCTGTCTGACTTCAATACCGGTGACCGTGACTACTACTAGTACATGATTGGCATGATCTGCCAGTGAATTTCAGTGGAAGTCACTCACTCGGGCTAGCATGCATCCGAGTCCTTCTCGACCACTTTGGATTCTGTTTCTTATTTTCATCCTTTCAATCATGGTCACATCCTGCGGCGCGTTACGTTGTTCCTGGGAGAGGGACACAGATTTTCGCGGACTTGACAGACATCGCTCTACGTGCAAGTACTTTCAGCGGGAAAGCACATTAGCTGCGCAGAAAAGGCGAGACCGGGCAAGAGATTCAATTCAAACATTGCAAAAGTCGACCCAACAACGGAATCCGAGTCAGGCTATCATCACTGCGGCTACTATTGCTAGTAGTAGTAGTAGTACTCACAACGGCGTAAGTCAATGCTCATGATGATGATTGCTTGATGATGATTCTCAATGGAATTCAACTAACCTACTCTTCCAATTCATCATTAGCTCGGACCCATCCGGTTCGCAAAAAATCGTGGCGTGAAACCTATAGCTCGATGCGAATCTAGGGCGTCACGGTTCTGTGCGCGACGGCCAGTCGGGCCTAGTACTAACAACCCAGTCGATACCGTTTCTGCCAGTGGTACATCGACCTTTGACAGTGCGCCGGTATTCCATGGCTCGGATACTGTAGATATTGAAATGGAGCATGACTTGGATGACTCTGACGGTACCCAGATTGAACAGGATCGTATTATTGCAGGTGCGTACCTTCGTAGTATTTACTATATCTGTTCAAATGGTATTCGCTAATAATAGACCCAGTTCAACGCCTTTCGCGACGCACGATTAGGCTAGCCCCAAGATATTTCGAGGATCTTTTACCTGCCAATGAAGACATCAACCCTTCAGATTCACCTGGGAATGCTCCGTCTCCTGTAGCCGAATATCAGAACCCACCGCAGCGCAGAATTCAAAGGGTCCTTTTGACCTTGCGCGACTCTCTCCAAACAGCGTTTACTGCGATCGGACTCTGTCGACAATATCCCAGGCGGCCCACGTTCGAGCCTGACAAATTCATTACATCTACCCAACTAGCTACATCCTGTCCAACAGCCGCTGATGCAAGGCCTGATACTTCGTTTCCCGGGGTTTCCGCGCCGCCTTTTCCCTTCCAAAATATGACCATATATCATCTAATGACTTGGATGAATACCGGCAGTCATCAGAAATCGGAGATCGAGGTGACGCGCCTTGTAAAAGATGTGCTTCAGGCGAAGGACTTCAACCCAAGGGACCTCGATGGGTTTTCTGTGAGGAAGAACTTACGCGCGTTAGACAATCACGGAGACACGGAGACCGTCACTTTTCCGGATGAATGGCTGGAGACGAATGTAACCCTTGACATCCCGACAAAGTCAAAAGACGACCCGTCCACGTCATTCAGCGTTCCTGGATTCCATTATCGGCCGCTTGTTGCGGTGATTCGCTCCGCGTTCGCTGACATTCAGGCTAACGCATTTCATCTTCTCCCGTTCAAGCGGCTGTGGAAAGATCCTCTGGACAACCATCAAGAGCGCGTATTCGACGAGCTATATACATCAGACTCCTGGCTAGAAGCTCAGGACGAACTGCACAGGCAGCCAAGAGAACCTGGCTGTTCACTCGAACGCGTTATTGCCGGTCTTATGTTTTTTTCAGATGCGACTCATCTCGCAACGTTCGGAACGGCCAAGGCTTGGCCTCTTTATTTGTACTTTGGAAATCTAACTAAGTATGCACGTTCTGCACCTAAATCCGGTGCATGCCATCTCGTCGGATTTCTACCTTCGGTGGGTCCATTGTCTTCCGTTGACTTGTATATCTCACACTTAATTCTTTAGCTTCCGGATAATGTTAAGGACATCCTCAGCAGCCTACCTCGGATATCGAAAAGTGGTATAGTGGCCCTCCATACACATTGTCGGCGGGACTTGTTTCACGCATGCTGGAAACATTTACTGGACGCTGACTTCCTTCAAGCATACCGCCATGGAATTGTACTCCGTTGTCCAGATGGCATACTGAGACGGGTATTTCCCCGCATCTTCACTTACTCGGCGGATTACCCAGAAAAGTGCGCTCTTTCTCTTCTTTTCCGTACAAGGCCTAGGCTAATGAACAAATATTCCAGGGTTCTAATAGCAACAATTAAAGATATGGGCACCTGCCCGTGTCCACGATGTTTCATCCCGAAATCCTCGTTCGATCGCCTGGGCCTATTTAGAGACATGCGGGACCGCATAGCTACCCTCAGGGCTTATTGTCTGGGGAGGGTGACTCAGGCCCGCGAGCTCATCTATGCGTCGGGAAATACTGTTAATGGGTCGAAGGTTCAGGGAATCCTTGGAGAGGGGTCATGGGTGCCAACCGTGGTAAGTTACTTCGGATTCATTCCCTTCTAATTCATTCCTGATTTTAGACTAGAACGCCTTTGTAGAGAAACTTGAACCTCTGGGATTTGACGCTTTTCGCATGCTTGTGGTAGACTTTATGCACGAATGCGAGTTAGGTACGTGGAAAGCGTTGTTTACGCACCTCATCCGTCTACTTTATGCGCTTCCTGGGGGCGATCGCCTGGTCGCAAAACTTGACGAAAGGTATGTCGCACACCGTTCTTCCCGATTTGAATGTGACCATGTTATAATAGGTTTCGCCTCATCCCGTCATATGGCAATGGTGCCATTCGTACATTTGCCAACAACACATCGGAAATGAAAAGACTTGCAGCACGCGATTTCGAAGACATCTTGCAGGTACGTCTTGCTGTAGTAGGTGTCTGAAGTGCGTCGCTGATTCATCCATCTCAGTGTGCCTTGCCGGTCTTCGAGGGTCTCTTCCCAAAAGAGCACGACGCAATTGTACAGTCACTTCTGTATAAATTTGCTCATTGGCACGCCCTCGCCAAACTCAGAATGCATTCTGAAACCACCTTGTCACTTTTGGACGAGATATTCAAGAAGCTCTCCTACCAGCTGCGCAAGTTCCAGAATGTCACATGTGCTTCATTCACGACGTTGGAGTTACCAAAGGAAAAGGCTGCGCGCGATCGTAAGGCTGCGCGCGAACGCTCAGGCTGTAATAATCCAGATGCAGGAAGTGGCGGCCGAAATGTCAAGAAATTCAACTTGAATACCTACAAATTCCATGCCATGGGGGATTATCTACGGTCAATCCGACTCTTTGGGACACTTGACTCTTTTACATCGCAAATCGTACGTGAATCTGCTGGTTTTATTATTTTATTTCAATTGATCTCGGTCTAGGGAGAGTTGGCGCATAGAGCGGTGAAAGCCTTCTATCCGTTAACGAGCAAACTAAATACCCCAGCACAACTCGCCAAGCATGAGCGTCGTCGTCGTGTTCTTCGGCGAGTAGCGCAGACAGGTCATTGTTCACACCCTAGCGAGCAACCGGTTGACTTGCCCGCAGTGATCAGAGATCACCATTACATACCAAAGCTTAGCCGCAACAATCCTTTGCATATCTTCAGGTTTCTTCAAGAGCATGGTGACGATCCAGCTGTAGCAGTAGGTCTTGTCATCCTCGTTGTTCATCTTGCTTACGATAACTTGAATTCGCAGGGGTTCTTACCAAAACTTAAGGACCATATCTTGTATCGCCTTCGAAAGTTAGATGTCACATACTGTGACCACACCTTCACCGATGATGAGCGCAATTCAGTTATTATATCAGAAAATAGACTATACTCTGTCCAAACAATGCAGGTATGTCATACCTCTCGTGAGTTTCGCTAGCGCATGATCTTTCAATTTAACAGGTCCACTACACGACTTACGACCTTCGGAGAGAGTATGATGTCATCAACCCTCGGACGCACTCTGACGTCATGGTTTTATCTGGGGAAACGAACCCAAAACATCCGTACTGGTATGCCCGCGTTTTGGGCATCTATCACATGGATGCATGGCTCAATGTCGAGGACTCACCCAAAAGGCACGAAATCGAAGTTCTTTTTGTCCGATGGCTGGCACCCTTGACCGACCACTGGTCAGGAATGAACCGCGCTCGACTTCCGAAGATCGCATTCGTCGAAGAGTCCGACCATGACGCATTTGGATTTCTTGATCCTGGCCAGGTCATACGAGGTGCGCATTTGATTCCAGCTTTTGCGGCTGGGCGCGGAACCAGCTCCCTTCGCGAAGGAAAGTCATTCGCACGTCATGGTGGCGATATAAACGACTGGGAGGCTTATTATGTCGGCGTGTGAGTGCAATCTTTCATTCTGCTGCCCTTCAGGACTCGAGCTGACGACGGACTGGCCAGATTCGTCGACAGAGATATGTTTATGCGTTATACGCACCACGGAATCGGACATCCTACCGCCCTGCGGGAGGTAACGCGAGATTGCATCAGCACGGACCTTGCGGATAGCCAAAACGACGATGCGAACGATGACAGCGAGGAGAGTAGAGATGATGAAGATGGTGATGGCGATGGCGATGGCGACGGTGATGGAGATGGAGGAGATGAAGACGAAGATGACGAAGACGAAGACGAAGACGAAGACGAAGACGAAGACGAAGGCGAAGACGGCGAAGACGATGTGGAAGACGCGAACATACTGGAGCGCGACGACGACGACGAATCGGGTACCAATCATCCAGATGAATTGGAGATGGACGACTTTGGTGAGGATGAGGAAGAGGAGTGCATGTCTTTTTGATGCGGACTACTTACGCCTTGCAAGCCTGCGCTTATCGGGGCTTCTCATAGCAACACGCATGACTTGTACCGTCCATTATAGATAAATTAAACTGCACCGTATAGTAATGATGCTTGTATCATATATTTTGGACCCAGACCGGGGTACACAACTGGAATACACTGATTTCCCATTGACCGTCCAATGAATTTCTAAGCCTACCTACATTCACCGGAAATTCGGTGGATTTCGTACTTTCTACAGTGACTCGGAGGAGTGGTGATGGGAGTCATCAGATTGAGGTCAGACAAACAACGCAATGTGGTGCAGTAATGACAGTAGTAGAATATTTGAACGCGATAGTGACAAATGATGGATTGGCCCGGGTATGTGAGGTACTATGTGATAATATGTGAGGCCTCGGTATCGGCGAGGGCACTGCTAATACTACTAAGCCATCAGTGCAATCATACGAAAGACCAGACGTCGCCTGTGTCCCCATCATCCTCGGGCCGTTCATCATTGTCACCGGTTAGTACTTCCCACTCCGACTCGGATGACACGGAAGGTGATAACGCGGGTAACGACTCGGAATCGTATGGGCCTAGGGGTGGTAAGGAGGATGACAGTAGGAACGGCGATACAGGGTGGAGGAGTGGTGATGGGGGACATGGGGATGGCAAAAAGAGTGGCGATTGGGGAAATAGGGATGGTGGAAAGAGCGGCGATGAAAGAGATGAATACGGCACAAAGAACGGCGACGGGGGAGATGGGGGCGGGAGTAAGAGTGGTGACGGCAGGGATGGGGGTAGTGAACTAGGCGGTGGCGGGTTCGGAGGGTGTGACTGTGGCTGGGAGGAACTGGTACGAGGGACAGTGACAGCCTGAGTGCCAGTGGGCGGCTTGTAGTGTCGAAAAGTGCTCGTGTCGTTCACATTTGACATCAAGACCTCGGTCCTGTAGTCCTGCCTTTTTGAACGCAGTACTTTGTTCTGAAGTACGACCGACGCGGAATAGTCGACGTTAACGAACGTATAGCTCTCACGTGGTCCAGTTTTGCGGCGACTGCCGCTGCGGTCTAGTAGTAGTAGTAAGTACCGTATCATTAGCCTCCAATTAAAGGGGGGGATCTCACCTGCTGGCATTCAAACCGAACGGCGACTTCAATGGTCAGCATAGAGTACGGTAGTACACTCCGAGTACATTGTTAACATCAGTCCAGTGTATTTAAACTTACTGCGACTGTAGGATGATGGGCATTACGCAAAGTCTGACCGTACTACGGTCACTCACCTACGACTTGTAGTAGCACCGAATTATGTCAGAGATCCATCGATTAAATTCAATGACGTACCCAGAACTCCCTGATGCCTGCTGAGTGGAATTCTTCAACCCCGAATAGCCTCTCGGCTCGAGCATCGAACGGCGAAAATGTGGCCACATAGCCTACGATAGACGCGGTCACGGTAGGGTCGAGGGTGCGTTGAACTTTGAACTTTGAAGAATCTCGATCTGCAATCCCGGGATTCGTACTACGTTCTCAATCAAAACTCACGCGTAAAGGGCGCTGCTAGGGCCTGGGTCGAATTAATCCTGGAGTTTCGATCCCGCAAGGCTCGTGCGAGGCTGCCAGTACGCGAAACGCGTGTAAAAGCCCTCTTCTTTTCGAAAACGAGTGTAAACACATCCGCCGAAAGTAAAAGTGGCGTCAAGATATCGTCATCTTGCTCTTATCATGATGATTGCCATCTTCCCGCCTGAGGAATCTCGAAGTTGCAACGTTCCAAGTTAAGTTGATGATCGAATTTTGCATGAGTTTGAACTAGTACTACTAAGCGCACCTCTTCGGTTCTCAGGCTACTCCTCTGAACGCGTGTCACGATGCTGACTCGGATGTTCATCGCAGCCATGGTAAGTCAGATCCTCACCATGACTGGCACTGCAGTTGAAATTATCATTCGATGATCATCACGATGAACTGACCGTGACCGTTTGAAACGGCACTTGCCGATTCCGGCGCCCGAGAAGATCGTTATCATTTGTAATCTTGATTATCTCTTTTGGAGTTTAGTTCTGACTGAGTCACCACTACACCTGTGACGTGCAACTCATCATCGAACACAGCACATTCGGATGCCTGCTGCCATAGTAGCCCGCTCTGACATCAAGGATTGCACCTCTTTCTCGCCAAAGCTCCCCCAAAAACGCAGATGGCATGATACTAGAAGTTTCCATCGTCTACACAAGCCTGCCAGTGAGGCTGGCACCACTCAGGCTGGCAGTGCTAGCCCGAGTGTGCCCACGAACAAAGATCACAAGCCTACTAATCAGATGAAATCTGATTCTGTATCCACAGATTTGTCGCCGAAAAACATAACAGCGGCAGCACGACAAAACATCAAAACATCCGAGTCCCTGCCAGTGGGCCTCAGGCTGCCACTGGCCCGTGCCATGCCAGTAGAAGAGGAGGTGCAACTTCAAGTTGAAGAGCCTGAGAACACAGTTGAACTCTCTCGGGCTACTACCATGGCTACCCAACTTGAAGTTGCTGCAGATGACTGTGACTATGATGTTCCTTTGTATAATCCGGACTCGGACTCAGAGTCGGACTCGGACTCGGATGTGCAGCAGTTTTACAATTCTGAACAGTTTACCCCCAGTATGTTTCAATGGAAGTTGACTTTATTTCATTCTAATTGGGTTGAAGTTGTACGGGAGGTATGGAAATATTTAACTGGGCCTACTCCAGCTAAAAGTTACATGGTATGTCTTCTACCGCCGTAGTCACGAACAACTCGCTTACCAAATATCACAGGAATTTCCGGGCGTGGGACCACGAGAATTCGAGCTATTGGAACACGCGGTAAGGGAAACGGGCCGAGTAGCCACGAAGCCAAGGTCGAGTCCATCACACTAATCTATATTGAGCAATGCTAAATTGGGCGCTTCAGGCTGACATACGACTATAACCAACATCTCCTTACCATCGATATGCCTACCATCTTGCATGAAGCATTTTTCGATGACTTGAAGCAATCGTTTACGCTCGCGATAAACAATATTCCTTACAATCGCAGGACGATACGCCCCCAAATCCACATGAACTACCCGCTTCAGGTCGCGGACAAGTCTATGACACCTGATATGGCGATCTCGCTAACCGCGACCCAAGGACCCACAGAAGTCGTCCTCATTCCGTTCGTAGGAGAGACTGCTTTGACGGAAGAGTGGGACCATGTGTTTGAGAAAGTAGAGTCCATGATCGCGGAATATCCTGAGACCATCTTAGCCTCAATCGTCCTCGTACGCGAAGCCAAACGTTATGTGTGTCCTGCCGACTCGTCTACCGCGTCGAAGACGCTGCATAACCGTGGGGGCAACGATCTCCGCGGCAAACCTGCACCCCTTCCTCTCAAGACGTTTATCAACAAACGTTCTACACCACGCAACTTCGAGCAGCCCGTCAGGATCGCTAATCATACATGGTGCCATGTCCAATCAGTGGAATACTTTATGTGGTTGAAAGGGGATAAGAAGAAACCAATCGACATGCGCAATGGAAAGGCGGAGCACAGGGCCCATGGGGTCAGTTATTATATTTTAATGCGAGGTGTTCTGACTCTATTCAATCCAGACCTTGGTGCCCGGATTGCATATGGAACCGGTCACACAGATCCTCGACAAGGCAATGGAGAAATTTAGAGATTTATTCCTCGAATTCCAGAAAAAATCTGACCCCACGTCTGCCATCGATCATTCTGTGCTGAAAAACTTCGTCAACCCACCATTTCCCATCGACTGGGAGCTTAGCGCTCTTGGCATCATGTCTGCGGTGGATCTTACAGCGCACCTGCGCTACGTCAACTGGCACGCTGGACGTTTCCGAGGCAAACGCAACCGTGACTCGTCGTACGAGCCTTCAGAATCAGAGCAAGATGGTAACGCGAAGTCTCGTTCCAGGCGTTCTCGGCGCGCCTTAAAACCCCCTCCACCTCATATGTTTCAAATCATGTCAATGGGTCCCATCGCGTCCAGTTCCAATCTGGTGGCGGATGCTAGTACTAGTACTAGTAGTACCAGTAAACCCAAGAAGAATACGGCTGACAAGCCTAAATCCTCCAAGGGTGCCAACAAGTCTAGGGCTGGTCGCAGTGACAAGAGTCGGTACAAACGTCGAAAGCTTTAGCGTGTCACGGTTGTGCGGATTAGTTTTGTAGGAAATGGGCATGGTATGATTTTTCAAGGACTTTCATCTCTCATGTCTTCAGTTTTGCGCTTCTCGTTGACAATTTGTTCGTCGCCGTAATATTCTACTAGTCTCATTTTGGTATCGGCAGAAACTGTAGTTACATAGTACCAAGTTTGATCGGATGCAACCTGTGTAGTAATTAGATGCAATCACGTGACAGCGGGTGTGTGGCACTCAGACGGAGTACTACTATTTGAACCTACTAGTAAAGTCTTCTAGACTCCACTGTTCAAATCATCAACGCTTGCAGAATTGAGAAGGTCCCCATCTTCAGATCTGAAGTGTTGTGCCAAGTTTTGCGAGTCACCAGTGGTACGTTCCAATTCACGTTTTAAAGACCTTGGTTGAGTCTCATCATATGATAATATTCAAGTTGTATAGGGCTTGTGTCGCGTTGAATTTCCCGGCCTTGTTTTCCTCGATGACCCTCGTCGATCTGATGATTGTTACGTTCATCGGATTTCCATGGGAGCATACACTACACGTGGTTGGCCTTCAACCTTGGTAACTTGAAAGCTGATTACTCGAACGTTCTTCCGACGATGACCCAGACTAACCAACCACATGGGAGCCATGATGGCCCGGGCCTGCCTCGAGGTGAGCAACTTTGGTCATATGCCATCTGCTTTCAAGTTCAATGCAAATACTTAGACTAACTGATACGCCAGATATAGCCAACCCAGCCTCATCATCACCGCCTTCAGAATCAGAGGACTCGCATCAGTTTCCTCCTTCACCACCTGCCAGTGGAATACACGATCACGAACAATCTCCCCCTCCTGCCTTTGCAGCCTGGTGATATGATTACCCTTTCGCCCCAACCTCCTGCTATTACCCAGGCAGAAAACACTCCTGCCCTTCCGCAGCGTTCTCCTGATGATAACGTGGACCCACTGGCACGCCTTACGATCCTGCGCGCCTGTTCCCCGATTTCGATGATTCTCTACTGTGTGTAGACAGTGGATAGCCTCATTAATTACCGCCATGAAGATTCTTTTCTATGCGAACTCTGGGGCGAAGGGTTGGCGAGCTTCAAGTTGTATCTGTCCTGTAAAGTGCGCCCCTTTGTTCCTTCAAGTTCAAGTTGTACCGTGACCATCATGAGCTCGTTCCTAGTTGACGATGTCACGGTTATCTCCAGCCCACTGTGATTTCTGAAGAAAAAGACAATGCGGCGGGTACGGTAGACGGGGAGTACTAGTACGTTTTCTGGAGGCTTCTCTAACTTAACACCATCATGATCTGCCCTACTAGTGTTAGTAGTACTTCGGCGGCGTACTATCATGATGCCCCGATTCTCCGCAAGTTGTCCCATCCTCTCCAACGGCTCTCCACTCACTCGTCTCAGACCCTACCGTAGTCACGGTGACGTCCGAGTCAACTTCCCTAACGTGAGACATTCTTGCAAGCTCGCGACGGACAATTTTTTATTGAGCCATTTATCAATACTGACTCGGATGACTTGCCAGTGAATGGCGACTCGGATGATACTCAGGCTAACTTGAACTTAATCCACACAGGCTGGCAGCGCTAATTTCCCCCACTATGTTTTTAATGTGGTATACACTCAGGCTGGCCTTGGTAAGTTAGATCTCATTTTGATCATTTAAATGCAGAATCTAACATAACCTGTCGCGAAAGTCAACTACACCTCTGACAGTGGGCAACAACTTGAACAATCCGGTGCAAGTGGGCACGAATCTCATTCGGTTCATCATCGGGTCTTCAACTCCGACATTGTACCCAGATCGCTTAGGTTCGCGCCCCCGCCCATATCCTCATTTAGAATTCCCCGTTATATCTCGACATTTTATATATAACTGGTCTGGCAGGCGAGTTTTCTTACTACTTACTCCTGCATCAGTTCTCTTCTTCGATCGTTCTTCACCGTCGCTCTTTACTTTTGGATACTTACTACTGCTCTTTAATCTTCATTACTCGTCACCCCCTTTTGTTCACTTCACCTCACCTCCGATTGAGATCCGTCACTTTACCATGTCCGCCGAGTATGTATTAGAGCCCGACAACGGGGCACACGCGGCCCCCGCTATTCCAGGCCTCTCTGGCGCAGTCCCTACCTCCACAGAGGCAAGGGCCAAGCGACGCATCGCTGCGCTAGAAGATGAACTGCAAACTATGAAGGAAGAGAGAGGGACGAAGCAAAGGTTCGTTACTTATCTACCATCTTCCTTACTGCCTCCGAGTTATCCTCATTGATCCTCAAAGAAAGACGAGTTATTACGTCGCTCAAGGCAGGGCGATTCGGCGCGCAGTCGTTCTTTATACCAGTTTGGAAAGTTTGGTCTTGGAGAACGATCGCAGGTACGATGAACTTCAAGGCTCGGTGGACGGCTTATTGGTGGACACCACCACACAGTAAGCCGCTGTCTCTCTCTTCACAACATATTTAATTATATTATTCAGACAGGATCGTCTGCAGCGTGGCTACATCGCATTCACTCAGACTCTGCCCTGGCTACATGGTAAGCTTACAAGCCTTGACACCGAGGACTGTCAAGATATGATGAAAAAGGTCCGTACTCTTCTTATACATCTCACGCTGCATGCTCATGAGGTTTTAGCTCAAGAAAGGAGCCGATGCGGCGCGTGGTGATGATACGTCCACTCTCAAGGACCTCATCGCCACATGGATCAATCAGGATTTTCGTCCGTCTGCTCTACTGAGGCCCGACGACAAGCAGTTGCGCGGATTCGTACACGACGTTTGCGGGAAGCTACTATGTCCTGCCGAGTGGGACTGGAACAATGACCGGTGAGTATCAATGCACGTGGAATATTTACATGACGCTGAAGCCTGAGCAGCGTGAAGGCGGGCATTCGCGATAGAACTTCAGAGTTCATTGTGTCGGAAAATTCCTGGCCGCTCTTCCTCTACGAGAACTACTCATTCGACGATAGCAACCTAGAGAAGGGTCTCTTCCAGTCCAAGATTTTGATCCAGGTTAGTACACCAGGTTGTCGCCGCGAATATTTACTCAAAGTTGTAACTGTGCCAGGCATTTAAAGCTATATATACCTCACCGTCTTCTGCAAAAGAAGTCGATGGTGATGGCAATGGTGCCGACATCCTGGAAAGTAACAGGCGCGCTCGGCGGGCATTAAATCAGGTAAAGGTCAAGACTTGCGTGGCCTCGATCATCAATATGAAGAAGGTTACCTCGCGCTCCATCGCTTATGTGGTCTGTCAAGTGAGTGGATATGACTACCCACCATCGATGTCTGGCTTATGATCTTCTGGCAGGTCCGTTTTGCACTATCGAGCGTCTCGTCCTGGCGTACCATCGATGGTGACTTCGATTACGAAGTGTTCTGGAACAACATCGTCGACTTCTTCGAGGACGTCCCTGGCCCTGCCGCGCGACGTAGGGTGGCCCAACTTCTCGAATGGTGGACTAGGTATTTGTTACGGCCTCCTGCATATCGTATATCTAATGTAATTTTCAGGAAGATTTTTGGCAAAAATCATCGTCAGGATCTAACACCAGAAGTCGTGTCGAAGATGTCTGTTACAGCGTTGGCCGAGCAAAGAAGGGCACAAGAAGATGCCGCTTTCGATTCCGAGTAGCTCAGTTCCTCTTATACAGTATATACACGTTACATTCAATGTTTACAAACCGCCACAATCTTTGTTACTAGTATATATCGAGTACCAACTCAGAAGTAATGATTTTCAGTGATGATAGAACCACATACTCTTCAGCATGCCATTTACTGCAAATTTGATTGCACTTTATAATCCTACCAAGTCCAGAGTTGCCCAGGTAGAATGCCGCCAGTAAAATAAGCCATTCACAGTCTCCGACACAAGATTATCAATCGAGAGTCGCGATCATTATATGCGTACTGAGTAGTTAACGGGACCAAAGCAGACAGTGACATATTAAAGTACATCGGAGCGGGTCGCAGAGAAAGATCAATCAGTTGCTGAATGAAACAGCCGGCATACCTCGCCATTGCCCCGCAATCACATCACCCTTCTCTTCAGTCTACATGTAGCAATACCTTGCCATTGCCCCGCAATTACATCACCCTTCTCTTCAGTCTACATGCAGCAAACTACCCCGCCACACCTGATTTGCTGTATCCAGAGAGCTAATGCCACAGAGCAGTAATTGTTAATGCCATTATATGTGTTTGCCGATACTGACCAAAACAAAAGAACTCGCTCGGCGAAGGCAATCCCAGAACCACGCCCCTTGATGTGGATTGCTGCCAGGCTTCGTGGTAGAACAATTTTGCGGTCATGTTTAAAACTTGCGCCGACATGGTAGTGAGTAGCAAAGTATCTCAAAAAGTCGTAGTATCACACTACTAATGTATGCTCTGTCGTTGCTCAGACATATAGCACGATATGTATTTGGTCCAGTCGCGTACTTTCGTGGGTGAATGTCCTATCGACTGGAATATATTTTAATGTGCTTATACGTATCACAATTCCGCCACTTATCAAATGTACCTCTTGTGCCAGAGCTTGCAGATTCCCGATCTCACGAAGGACATTTGACTTTCGTAATTGTTAGTGGGGGACCGAGCAGCATCGCAATATCTGGTTCGATGCGGCAGTATGGCAATATGCGACTATGAATATCGATCTACCCCATGACGGTGAAACCCGGACATCACATGCGCGATTTTTCAGACCCCACAGTGTCATATGTTGACCGTACCCCCGTAACCGTCATCGCAAAGGCGGTGCAGACGAAATACTTCCATGACGGACAGGATTTGAACTAGTTACGGGACTCGGTGTAAAGCCTATAATGGATTTTTCAGTCGGCATAGGCAAGTGTCTGCTATGTAGGGATCAAGTCTCATACATTAATTATTTTACCGATTATTGCGTGATGCAACTTCTGCGCTCGTTCTGGCACTGATGGACCCGCAGCTCACTTAGTTGGCTTGAGCTCATCTTTCATTCACAAGATAATTCAAGTATAAAATAGTACATCGAGCACACGACAACTTGCTTGGCTCCCTTGATAACACATCGTTCCCACGTAAGGTCAAACAGTTGCATGTAATCGCCATGACCACATTTATGGCAATTGTTGTGATTGTTAGCCATAGAAAGTTAAGTATGGTATTTTAATTTGTTCACCGGTTCACTGATGTATGCGTAGCATATAAGGGACCGTACTGGACAAATTGTTTTTTCGCTTTTGACTTTGCGAAACTTGACTTGAGCTTCCGCGTTACTATGGTGATGTTTTGATTTTTGATTTTGATGTGTTGAGCTTGACTCACCAGACTTTGACGCACAGGACTTGTATCCACCCGGGCTTCCCGCTTCCGATAAACGTCACGAGCGCTTCCGTGCGCAGATTGCAAGAAGTTGACAATACCCCCGTCACCTACCGAGGACGACCGTGGCAGACGCCATCCGCCACGCCCTATGGTGCTGGTCCATCCGAGACACCGCTACGCACGCCACGCGGGGAGCCAGTGACGAAACGCCCGCGGTATGATATCGACTCAAGTCTAGACGACTTCCAGGCGCGGTATACCTCGGAAGACAACGCTAGCTTTACACAGAATATGGATGAGGAGAATCGGAAGCACAAGGAGAGGTAGGGCTGGGCATGGGAGGCACAGAGGAGAGTTGAGGAGCAGCGGGATAGGATGATTGAGGCGAGGGCGAGGATCTTGCCGACAAAAAATCGGTGCAGCTGATGCTGTAGTCGCCCTTGCCAGGGCGGGTGCTACCAAGGCCCTCGAACCCACTTTCATCGACTCTGGTCTCTACGCAGCTCCCATTCTTCTGCTCATCCGAGAATATTAGAAGGTTATCCCTCCTGGCTCTCAAAGAGGCCGCCTGCACCGGCATCCTCTGTAGGAGTGTTCGAGCCCCCCTCACCCGAGGCATTCTGCCCAGGCTAGCGCTAATCCGCTCATGGCCTTCTACCACATTCTTGAACAAACATTCTACGACTTCAATGCTGTATCTATATCTATAATCTTGCAGTATGTTTCCATCTCTTTAAGAATTATTAAGTGCTGTCTGATTTTATTATTCTGCAGGATCACCAGGTTTTCCAATCCTTGCGCACCAGGCGTGCCAGGTTCGGGCTAGAATTGGGCACTCGGTGCTGCAGCGTACATAGCTTGCCGGTTGGCTTGGATTACCATGGTTTTTGTGCTCTACGACTTCGAGCTCTTATCCAATCACAATCTAATCACGGACGAAGAATGCTTGGGCGCATGCTCCATGGCCAACTTTGCATTTGTTCCTCAGCTATTCTCATCCGGGATCGTTCACCGTTCGCTGAGTAGAAAGGAGTTCACATGGGTCTGCGAAGACACTGTCGTTTACATCGCGTCACATCTAGATGACGAGCAATGCCTGCAGCCTCCATCTCGCGCCTGATCACTACAATCCTGGAGCACAAGGACGTTCCTGGTGATTACTTTGGAGTCGCATTCTCCATTTACCATTGTGCACTCGTGAAAGTTGTGAAAGATAGAGACACGACAACTTTCAGTCATATGGTGGCTCTCCAATTTTTACGGGCCTTCTCTTCAGACTCTCGTTCTACGCCGGGCATCACTGCTCTTGCCCGTATTGGTCATCGCATCGACCCTGCACTCTTTGTGCGTGCCATGGAGGTTTGCCGTTGGCCCGGGTCAACGATGGACAAGGAGAACTCTCTCGAGCTTTGGCAAGAGATCGCTCTTCATCTCGATCTCACAGACGTCCTCGCCCTCGGGATGGTTTCAGAACTGTGCCGTCAAGCACCCTCGATGGTACTCCATTATCCTCACGTCAGCGCTCATCGCCTTGTCGGCTGTCGCCCTTCTGCTACCTCGAGTGGGTCTCTCACTAGCTTTGCAACTCGCATTTACATCCTCTTCTCCTAATTATGTTGCTATGCTCGAAGCTGGCTTCAATAGTAATGAAACTTACTTCCGTGCATCAGATGGTATATTAACGGATCACACCCGTGGCGTTCTTATTGCCAATGCCGCTTGGACGGCGTGGCGTGTCCTTGTCCTACTCCTCAGTTGGCGAGTGATCAAATGCTAACATATTTCGTCCTCTTCTGATTTTTTTATGACGCAACAGAATCGGTCTGTGGATTATGAGTGACCAGGGCTGCGCCGGAGTATGTGGGCCGCCCACCGTTTGAAGTTGAGCAGGTGCTTGCGGCTGTCGGTTTCCCTTCCACCCCACCCAACGACACTCTATGCTCACCCCCAGAACGCGCCGCTGTTGATAACCCATGTTCCTGCCCACACATGAATGGCGTGCACAAGGCAAGACTGCCTCCACTGGCATAAAGTCTGACGGATGGTCAGATAAGTACTAGTAGCTGCTATTTGTTGACTGGATCTTAGACTGCCTAATATGATTATGATTCACCCACAAGTCTATCGCGTTGTCTCGACAAGTGTAACATCGGCATACTCCGCTTTCCACCTTGTGTCCGAATCGTTGTCATCCATGCAGAGTTCTCATCGCCTGCATTCACAAATTCCTTAGATATACCATGCCTCGAGTGGCACGATGATTAACGGAATGTGAGCACCGTTCTCCTCCTACTAACCTGGGTCTCGAGACTCGCTCGACGCGTCGTCAAACTCCTACCGTCTTTGGGATTTACAGCTCACTTTCTCATACAGGATCGCAGATCGGGATCCGAAGGTGCTGCGCGCCCTCGCCGAGTCGCCCAAATAGCTACAATGTCCCACATCAGTATCTAGAGATCTCATCATCATGTCTTAGAATAGTTATAATAAACTTTCAGTTTATTCACTGCTTGAAAGAGCATCTCAGTGATTCGCAAAGACGAGATCCCCAGCATACCGGATAAGTACTACTGTCTGTCGAGATATAAATAATAAAATATATACAATATCCGTCAACTGTGACAAAATGAATGAGGCGAATTGTCGCGAACGGAGAGAGGGGGGTTGGATGACCAGCACAACGTGGTTATTTACGGGAGGAGAATGATGATGTACAGCGAAAATGACGTGGGTGCGGCAGATGAGATGCTGCGATCAAAGACGTATGGTTTTCTAGCGATGGACTCAGTCGTGGACAGCAAGGAAGGGGAGAAAAAGACATACGGGGCGCGATGCTAATCATGCGATGACGCAGAAGCCGCTGGTAGTGTTGCCATTGTACTCCTCGTCAACTGGTACTTGTGCTTGTGCTTGGGTCTCTTCAGAAGAGACGGGTGCAAAGGCAGCGAGGGTGAAGAATGAGTCCATGCTTTGAAGGAAGAATTTGAAGAATAGTTCAAAGATGAAGATACTTTGTAGAGCTCGGGAAGCTCTGATAGTTTTCAAGGGGATTCGTTTTGTGGATGACCTACTTCTCAGCTGTCGAGTATTTATCCGCTGCCAAGAGGCATGATTTGAAGGAATGGGGAAACCTGACAATGTTTACACGATGCGATGTTCCTCGCCAAACATAGATTGAGCCACGGTGAAGCGGGAGGAAGGATCATACTATTTTCCATGAAACGCGACAGGGCTGTTGCCGTGAGCAGAGCAAGTCATAATCAACGCGCCTCGCTGAATCAAATTCGTTCATCATTTACCGTGGTACTTTGCATTCTTATTGTTTTGTAGCTCCGCGTTCCCTTGGAATCGACGAGCAGTCGGCGAAGTTCGCTGAGAAAGCGGTTAACAATTAAAGAACTGGGGTTGAATTGGGAATGGTCCTGAGAGGAATCAAAGTCGCGAGGAACAGGCAATTAATGAAGCAATTGTGACATGCGGCGGTTCTTTTGTCTCTTGTTGTCAGGACTCGACGCTGTAACTGTTCAACGTTCCGGGGCCAAGTCGGCGAGCGCAATCCCGGAAACACGTTCTATCGCATATGGTGATTAAGTAACTCGAGCACCCTCTTAAGTCCTGGATGAAACCAGCGTAGCAGTCCTGTCGTCATCCGGGAAAAAGGCTACCAAGGAGCACAATACACCATCACAAGTCACTGGCCTACGTTGGCAAAATGGACCATCTGCTCAGAATGAATCAGCGAAATGAAGGTTAGAGTTAACAATCACCTTGGGACTAGTGAATTCGTCCTCAGTCGGAGACCCATTGGGATTTCAACATCGCCCTTGTATCTTCGGTGCATCATTAAGAGCAGACAATAGTCCTATAAGAATCTTACAACGTGGCATCAGTACACCATGACTGTGAATGAGTTAAAATAGATGTCAACATACACATTAGGTACAAATGCGCACGAGTTTTGGGAGTTGCAGCTCTTGATGCAAGCCAGAACTCTCTTGGTGAGTCTTGATCGCGTCTGCACACGTTGGAACGCTAGAGTGAGAAAGACCAGCTCCACAAAAAATTGCGATAACCATAAAAGCGTGAGAAAAATGCAAGGAGTAATTCACCTGCAGAGTGAAACGCATGGGGCATGGAAAGGGCCAACGCCATCATTTCGGACCTGCCAAATTTCTCCGAGATCGACCAGCCTGGCGAACCTACTACGCAATATGAACTTGCCTTGCAACTCACTTTATCCCGCTTCTTTGGAGCCCGCTTCTTTTCCATCTTGCCAACACAACTCCACAACGCTTAAGTAGCCATTCAGCTGGAGTATCCACGTCTTGTGTTCCGCCCAACTAGAGGGTTTGGAATGGAACAGACCCTCGGGAACCGACCACGAGCGGACCCCGTAGGTATACATTAAGGCTGAATGATTACGTGTCAGGTCAGCCCGTGGTTATTGTGCGCCCAAGGATTTGTGCCTTCTCCTTTCTGCTCCGTCCACATCTTCCAGGGGATCCAACCCTCTATCACTATGAACTGTTCCACCACCATCACCTCTTCTGCTCTCAATTCTCCTGGGACCATGTTGGTTACATAGTCCCGTAGTATTGTGAGCAGTGTCGCTAGCCGTGGGGTCAGAAGCACGCTCGCCGAGACTTTGTAGTGATCACCGAACTCCAAACCCTCGGCGAGCGTGCAACCGGTACTGCGACGCGCCTCGCCAGATTGCAGCTCCGAGCTCTACCTGAGCTGTTTGGCCGTGTTCTCCGTCCTCACATTGAACTCTCCGGGTATAGTTCCATAGAAACCGTGATAGAATGGGCTTTCTTTTTCGATGTCATGCTCGTTTGCGAAAAGGTAAGTTGACTATCTCGGGTTCTTACCATCCGCACTAATTGGCATACAGGTGCTCGCAATTCAGCGTTAATAGGCCATCCGGAGCCCCCAGCGTGCCGAGTATCCCAAACTTAAGCTGGCAATCTTCGAACATATTCCTTCACGACGTTGACCTCAATTGCCAGTCCTTTCGTCGTCTCGCGCAACCTCTCTTATCTCGCTCCCTGTCCCTACTCTCTGAACATTGACAACGAGTGCTTCATTCTTCTTCTTCCACTTTCATACCCTTACTCGTGGCATGTAGCCCTCAGGTTCACCCGGCGTAAAACCCAACAAACGAAAAACAGACGATTGTCTGAAAACATCATAGCTACATGCCTGCATCTGATTTGCACCCGATACTGGATCTCCCCGACTTACCTTCTCGCATCACTTGGCTTGGTTGTGGTCCAGTTACGATCAAGGCCGTGCAAGGCCGTGGGGATAACTGCGAGGTTATACTTATGCTTATGCTGGCCAAGTTCTTTCACCCTCGTACGCGGCAGGTTCGTCCATCATGAGCAGTGACCTCTCGTGGTCCGCACTGAGTTTTTTTTTGGCAAGTAAACTTATGATTGACGCTGATTATTTTCATTTTCAAGAATCGTTCTGCAGCAGATCAATACGAACTGCACTCTGCGGACACCAGGGACACCGTTCACGGGAGACGTTGTCTTTTAAACGACCAGCTCTAGTCTGACGCCCTACCTACCATACGTGATTTTATGACACATCTCTATCCGACTGCCCCCGCCGCCCCTCGAGAATTTCCGTTGACGTGTTCGGGGCTTCTCCATGGCAAGCAGGCCCCGCATTTCAGCTAACAGACACATCATACATGTATTCACGTGGTCCATGCGGGCAGTCATATTGTTTATATGGGATTCCTTTCATATGTAGGCTGTGCTATATCGATCGTTAATTAATAATGTTGCATTAATTCCATATTTTTCAATGCACCACATAGAACCGAAAATGAGGAAATGACATTACGAAGTTTTGTTCTAGAGTCAAGCCAAGAAAGTTAACGTACCCGTGATGCACACGGAGCTGTAAGTGAGGAGTGTGAACAGACGACCATCTGTGATGAATATAAAAAAGTCGACACGCTGCGGGTGCTAATCACACTCAAAGCAGAAAGAGCCTGTTACACACTAAGCGTGAGTCGGCCTGAGTCGGCTCTTACAATGTACTCAAGTAAAAGGATAAGGCGGCAAACGACTAGGGTACACACAAACTCGGGTGAATATTCCAGGGACAATAACACAAGAGGATATGAAAGTGAGATAACACGAGCGCAGGGTTATTTCCACAAAACAAAAAAAAAACAGAATGAAGGAGGATCGCAGATAAACAACTCGCGAAGACGAAGCAATACGATATAGTAGAACTACACACCAATATGTATGAAAACCATCCTCTGCTCGAGCGGCACCTTCGTCTTCACGGCATGAGTAGCACGGTTCAGCGCCCAAGCCGCCTTCGTACAGTCCATGAACTCGCCATCCCCCAACTTCTTGACCATATTCTCATAAAAAGCCTCAACGACGTGTTTCGCGACAGCATCGTCAACCTCCCACAGCGTGCCAATGACGCTCTTGAACCCCGAAAACTGAAGTCCAGCAGCAAGATGGATGACTTCGTCAGGCGTCTCCTTATCGCCGACGGCAGTATGACACGCTGATAAGAACGCGAATTCACCATGCGGGATGTCTTTCTCCATGATGTCGAGCAGCGTGAGAGGTGCGTCCTTCATGACGAAATGGGAATTGTACGGCTGGTCGTGGTCCTGCTTGCCGTGACATGCGAGGTGCACCCAGGTGTTCTGTTCCAGGGCTTTGAGTGCACCTGCTCGTGTGGCTGCGTCACCAGAAACAGTGGAACGATTGGCCGTTGCAGGGACGAGCTTATGGACAAGCTCGAGCTCGCTATCGACAGCTAAGAGCGCCTTGCCATTCCCTCCGCTCGGTTGACCTTGCCCAACCGCCACAAAGGATGGAGGCACACATCGTTTCTTCTTCATCTGCCTAGATCTGATCAGCGCCGAAAGGGTAGGCGTGTAAGAACAGACGTAGAGATCCTCGAGGCAAGGCTCCTTCCCAGAGCGATCCGCCTTCATTTGGAAGGGGTGAGCTGCGTGGAGAGGAATAGAAGTGAAAGCTGCAGTTGGACACAGCCAGATTCGGGAACCGCGCTTCAATTCGAGGACATGCTCGAGTACGTTGACGATGGGTAGCATGATATTGTCCCATACTATGCGCAAGAGGACTATTAGGTCTGTTCTTGATTCTGTTAGGCTCATACGAGATGCTTCATGTATCGCTCTGGCGAAGCGACTCTTGAGATTCTCCAGATCTAAGAGAGTGACAGACGACAAGGGAATATGGTGGGGCTCTCCTGACGTCGGGACAACAATGGCGCTGCACGAGTATTTGCTGGCAATGAGGATGATGACCGGGCCATTGCGAGCTGCCACTTGCAAGTCTTCGTACGAAGGTGGAAGTAGGAACCGCGAGAAACCTCGAAGATCACGTATCTCAGCTACCGCAGCTTCCCATTGCGTCGTAATTTTCCTGTAGTTTGTTTCTGCTACTTCGGCTGCAGCTCTGTCGGTGATGGCTGCAGAACCCTGAGCGGCGTTGGAAACGCGCTTGCTCAGCCCCGAAAATTTGCGGGCTAGATGTGGATGTCTTGACTCGAGGTCTTCAACTGGAGTTTTGAGTCGAGAGGCCAATGACCATTGCTGTCCACGGCCCTGCTCCGCAAGTTCAACTGCACGCCGGAGATTATCACTGCGGATAGCACACGATGCTGCGTCTACAGGTAGTGATCTGGCATGGTGGAAGGCAGAGCCAGCTTCGCGCCGCGAAGTGGTTGATGATCGTGTTCCCAAATGAGCATCCAGAAGCTCAAAAAATGTTGAGTAAGCCTCCAGTGCGGATCCATCACCATGCTGCTCCGCTTTGACAATCCAATCACATGCCTCCATGAGACGGTGCGGAAATCCTTGAGTAGGGTGTCGTGATGCGAGTATGAAGTTCTCTACAACAAGCGACAAATCAGCGGGGTTGTGCTCCATTTCATAACGAGATACATAGGCATCCTTCAGGCGTATGTAGCTGAAAAACCGGTCCGGGTGCAGTGAGGGTAAGGCCTCCAATGACTCTTGGCAGAGTCGAATGGCCTCCTCGACATTTTCATGCTGCCGAGTTCCCGTGAAACGAGAGCAGAGCGCCGAGCTCAAATTGTAAAGAGTTCTATGGCGCTCTGGATGGTCAAGCCGTGTTACCTGAATGGATTCGCGAAACAGATCAATCGCTTCGTTAAGATCCTCGGTGGCGTCCAATTTGTCATATCTCTCTTTGAGCGCGAGGGCAAGGTTGTTAAGCGTGGTGTCACGACCTGGATGCCCAGGTGGGCGCAATGTCAGTGCCTCGCGAAAGAGGCTGACAGCTCGGTTGATGTCATCAACGTCACCGCGTTTGTTGAAACGGGTGCGGAGGGCGCCCCCTAGGTTGTCCAATGAGCAATCACAAAATTCGTGCCCAACAGGCCTCAGGCGCAGGGCTTCTTCGTGCATGGAGATGACCTCGTCTAGGTCATGAGATTTGCCTTGGTGATCAACGCGGGATTGGAGTGAGAAGGCCAAGTTGTTCAGGTAGGCACCACGGTCAGAATGTCCCTCGGGGCACAGAGAAACGGCTTCACGACGAAGTTGTATGCTCTCTTCTAGATCATCAATGCTGCCGCGCTGGTCAAAGCGTGTCACGAGAGCCCATGAAAGATTGTCAAGTGCGCTTGAACGATATTTCTGGCCCAGTGGGCAGAGCTCGAGCACGACTCGTCGAAAGCGGATGCCTTCGTCCGATGCATCAATCGGAAGACTGTCGCATTCCTCAATCGCATAATCGACCACATCATCTACGCCGATGCTACGAAGGTAAGTGCCCTCTGAACAGAGCGGCAGTAGCTTGCAGCACAGCTGCAGGGATTCGTGAATGAAGACGGCGGTAGGCTCCTTGCTGTAGCGCCAGTTTAATGCTGTAATGAGATAATACAGAGATAATGCGTGATCTGGGTGGCCCTGCGGACGCAATGCAAGGGCTTCGCGGAAGAGGGAAGTGGTTGTATCAATGTCTTGAAAATCGTTTCGAATGTAGCCTCGAAGGCTGGCCCACGCGAGGTTGGTGAGAGCCGCTGCGTGGTCAGGATGGTCGACCGGACAGCGGTCCAGAACCAACTGAAACCGCTCTACAGCACCGTTCAGGTGAGAGACCCTGTAGTGTCTCATGTATCTGGAGAATCGTACGTGGCCCGCATCTGTTTCACGAGCAATCTCGCAGTCTACGAGGGACTACAGTTGATGTTCTGTGAGCACAACTAACAGGACAAAGTCTGGGGTCACTCACGTCAAGTAGTGCGCCGTCCTGATTATCGCTAGCATGTACAACAGTGACCTTCAGCGTGAGCGAAGGAGTGACACCGCGAACGGGTGGGAAGGATAGTTCTATGGGATGTGAGTAGATGTGCAGGAATGAGAAGTAGGTTGCTCACCAAATGGTTCATCTCCATGATCGAGCAACTCATACCACGATGTTTGAAGTCTTCCGATGATTTCACCATTGCCCAGCGTTCGATCGAGCTCAAAGGACGCTCTAATCTCCATTGATAATGCAAGTGACTCGTGAGATGATCTATAAACCGAAGATTAGTGTTGAACAGCGTCCGAAAGTTTGTATGGACTTTACAGGGTCATGGTATCTCCCCACGCTACGGATTCGTCGGATGATAAGACACGGATGGCTGATGTCCAGCGTCTCCTTAAGCCGACATTGATGGACACGTAAATGCCTGCAGGCATGCGCCAGGAGGGGACTTGAAGATTTTCTCCGCCAATGACTGTAGATAAAGCGAGAGGATCACAAAAGAGATACGAAAGTGATACGGAGTGACCTACTTTCAAGTTTAATAGATTGGCTTTCTGCGCTATCGGACATGATGGAACGATGAAGCCAAAGGATGGGCTTAGTAATGGGTAGAATGAGTGGTAGGAGAAGACGGAGTAGGGATATGTGGACCGTGAACGGAGATCAGCCGAGAGAAGAGGTTCGGGTTCGGGTGATGGTTACATGCATGTGTATTTGCATCATGTTGTTAGGGCCGTTCGGCACGATAGACGCTGGTATGATTAGACTAAGCGCTGAGACCAAAGATGACTGAGTAGAATTAGCGGAACCCAGACACATCAGCGAAAGTGGCATGACGTGCCATGGGGGGGGAAGCTTAAGGATGATTGAGCGGATCATTACAGTGAGAGTGAATGCGCAACAAGAGAAAGGAAAAGAAGCACAGCCACCCGTTGATACTTACTATACTTCTCCTCTTCTTCCACTTTCATACCCTTAAGTACTCGTGGCGTGTAACCCTCAGTTCCACCCGTCATCCGGCGCAAAACCCAACAAACCAAAAAAAGACGGTTGACTGAAGTATTATAGCTCCATGCCAAACCACGCCTGCATCTGATTTGCACCCTTTAGGGACGACACTGGATCTCCCCGACTTACCTTCTCACATCACTTTGTTAACTTGGCTTGGTTGAGCAGATCACTACGAACAGCACTCTGCGGACACCAGGAACAACATCATGGACACTGTTCACGGGAGACGTTGTCTTCCAAACGACCAGCTCCAGTCTGACGCCCTACCATACGTGATTTCATGACACATCTCTATCCGACTGCCCCTGCCATCCAATACCACCCCTCGAGAATTTCCGTTGACGTGTTCGGGGCTGCTGAAAGGGCTCCTCCATGGCAAGTGGACCCCGCACTTCAGCTGCCAGACACATCATATATGTATTCACGTGCTCTACGCAGGCGGTCATATTGTTTATATGGCATTCATACGTGGGCTGTGCTACTCATGTCCGAGTCAGGTACTCCATGCTGCTCGTCTCAGCATTGCCCTATACAAAAGACGAGTGCGATTCCACTAACACAACCAACTGATCCTAACCAGAACGACCAGTCATCGTACTCTTTAGACCGAGAGCCCCAGTCGGATATCCACCGTCCGATCTGTGACTCAAGCCGGGATGTTCCACGCCGAATAACCTACCCCAAACAAGAAGGCGACGGTAGCGAGTGGCAGAGGGAATCGAACACAAGCCATTCCCATTTACCTTGGCTTTGAAGGACGTGGTCAGTGACTCCTTCCTGAGCTCTTGAACTTTGGTGCTAGACGTCATATTCTGTGTTGAGATACTTTTTTGTTCCAAACACAAGCGGACAAAAAAAAATCACTTGAACTTCGTTAATGATCCACTTCCCTCGCCTTTGGTGTATCTCCAAAGTTAAACTTGCACCTACACCTACTGCCTTGAATATATCTATTCAGTACACTCCCTCTAGCTGCAATTTCTGCGCACGCAACAACCGCGAGATGCGCTTGAAAACCTGACGGCTGTGATATGTGTCAGTGAATGCGTCCCTCGTATATAAAATTTGCGTGCATACTAACGTCAAGGGGAAGTAGGCTTGAGGATGACTTGAGGAAACACTGGGAGAGCGTTGAACCCTTGTGCTTTGGCACGAGTACGAGTAATTGGTATTAAATTACGAGTGCCTCACCATAGGAGATGAATGCATGCTTTGTCCGCCAAATAATTGCACAGCTCCTTGACAGATTAGCACTTGGTATCGTAGTGGGTGTTAAAAAGAAAAGACCCCAGGATTGATGGAACTAAAGACGTGCGCATGTTAGTCAAGGTTTCATGGTGCAGAAGGATTTGAAAGCTTGAAGCTTGAAGTCTGACGAATGGTGTAACTGGAAAGCGTGAGTCGGCTCGTACAATGTACTCAAGTAAAAGACAAGGCGGCAAACGACTAGGGTACACACAAACTCGGGTGAATATTCCAGGGGACAACTTCCCAGAGCGATCCGGCTTCATTTGAAATGGGTGAGCTGCGTGGAGAGGAATAGAAGTGAAAGCTGCAGTTGGACACAGCCAAATTCAAAATCCGCACTTCAATTCGAGGACATGCTCAAGTACGTTGACGATGGGTAGCATGATATTGTCCCATACTATGCGCAAGAGGACTATTAGGTCTGTCCTTGATTCTGTTAGGCTCATCCGAGATGCTTCATGTATCGCTCTGGCGAAGCGACCCTTGAGATTCTCCAGATCTGTGAGAGTGACAGACGACAAGGGAATATGGTGGGGCTCTCCTGACGTTGGGACAACGATGGCGCTGCACGAGTATCGGCTGGCAATGAGGATGATGACCGGGCCATTGCGAGCTGCCACTTGCAAGTCTGGAAGAGGGAAGTGATGGTATCAATGTCTTGGTGATCGTTTTGAATGTAGCCTTGAAAGCGGGCCCCCGCGAGGTTGGTGAGAGCCGCTGCGTGGTCAGGATGGTCGATCGAACAGCGGCCCAGAACCGACTGGAAATGCTGTAAAGCATCGTTCAGGTGAGAGACTGTCTTGCTGGTCATGTATTCGGCATATCGTGCGTGGCCCGCATCTGTCTCTCGAGCAATCTCGCAGTCTACGAGGGACTACAGTTGACATTCCGTCAGCAAAAACTAACCACAGAGGCTAGCGTCACCCACGTCGAATAGTACACTGTCCTGATTATCACAAGTATGTACAACAGCGGCCTTCAGCGTGAGCGAAGGAGTGACACCGCGGATGGGTGGGAAGGACAGTTCTACGGGATGTGAGTAGATACGCATGAATGAGAAGTAGGTTACTCACCGAACGGTTCATCTCCATGATCGAGCAGGTCATCCCACGACGTTTGAAGTTTTCCGATGATTTCACCATTGCCAAGCATTCGGTCGACCTCGTAAGATGCTCTGATCTCCACTGATAATGCAGGTGAGTCGTGTGATGATCTATAAACTGAAAATCAGTCTTGAATCGCGCCCAAAAGTTTCTATGGACTTTTACAGGGTCATGGTATCTCCCCACACTACGGATTCGTTGGATGATAAGACACGGGTGGCTGATTTCCAACGTCTCCTTGAGTCGAAATTGATGGACACGTAAATGCCTGCAGGCATGCGCCAGGAGGGGACTTTGATATTTTTTCCGCAAATGACTGTAGATAGAGGGGGAGGATCACAAAAGAGATACGAAGGTGATAGAGGGTGACCTACCTTCAAGTCTTATAGATGGGATTTCTGCGCTACCGGGCATGATGCATTGATGGAACGATGAAGCAAAACGATGAGGATGGAGGCTGTGCTTGGTGGTGGATGGAATGAGCGGTAGGAGAAGACGGGGGTAGGGATGTGTGGACTGTAGATGGAGTTCAACCGAGAGGAGGAGGAGAAGTTTGGAGTTCGGTATTGTCCCTGGGTCAAGTTGGCGAGCGCGATCGCCGGAAACACGTTCTATGCCCACCCGCTACCACGGGTCTGGACTCTGGAAACAATAAAGCGCTTTAGGTCGTATCACGTATGCAGGAGCACAATGCACCATCACCGGTCACTGACCTACGTTGGCATAACGGACCATCTTACATACACATTAGGTAGAAATGCGTACGAGTTTTGGGAGTTGCAGCTCTTGATGTGGGGCTGCACAACACATCCAGAACTATCTTGGTGAGTCTTGATCAGAAATAAGGCCCATCTAGTGCACACGTTAAAAGGCTAGAGTGAGAAAGACCAAACTCCCATCAGGCTTTACAAAAAATTGCGATATACGTCCAGCGGCATCATTAGCGTGAGAAAAATGCAAGGAGTAATTCACTGGAGAGCGAAGGAAGAGAAATGGATTTAACATGCAATGTGCATGGCGCAGAACTAGATGCTGCTGACACATAGAAACTCTCTTCGACTGTCGACATACATGTCAATCATCGTTGGAAGAGGGCCAACGCCATAATTTCGGAACATACGAGGGCATATCAGCGCTTGGATGTCGGATGGACGTCGGCAGACGGTGGCTCATCACTGGTGCATAGAAAGTCTAGTGTCGCATCAAATATCATTGTGTTGACCTCACGGTACGTTGTATGAGGGACAACTGCTAGGAGAATTAGGTCTAAGAATAGTGCTCACAAGGATACAAGACAAATAGCGACACCGGCCTGGCGTATTGGCGACTGATTATTTGTCTGCGTCCAAGTGTCTATCAAACCACCCAGAACACCCCCAGGATCTGGGAGAGACACTTCGGTGGAGTGCAACAAGTCGTCATTACTGGTTTGTGATATCTATTTCTAGTCGGCATGCATTGACGACCCCCAAAGCCCATTCGCGCAACCTGAACTCACTCTTGGTCTCCGACGGATCCCTCATGGCTTCCATGCGGTAGTAATGACTGACGGTGTCAAATTCCAAACAAGCAACAAACTTGTACACGTAGACCAGGGTGTCGTCGAATGGAACGAACGGATACTTTTGTAAGTTATCCTTGATCTCGTCACGGTATTCTGCAGGCATTGAGAAGGACTCCAGGCCCTGCGAGCCATCTTCTCAAGTTCGGGTCAGCATGTATGCCTCATTTGAACTGGATCCCATGCTCTGTCATGGAGAGGTCCTCCACACATTCGAGATATCTATTGGAGAATTACTGGATCGCAGTGAAAAGTCGCGCCGTCAGTAACGTCTGTTGTAAATCACGCCTGATAGGGGTTGACGGGTGCCACAGCTATAATCTTACAGCCCAAGCAGGAGGAAGTCGTATCCTCGCGCACTTTGCTATTCATGATAGTGGAGCAACGACGTTCTGATGAAAACGACGCTACAATTCTTCGCCCACTTACTACCGTGAGTGATCAATGCAGTCCGATGTTCTGATGCTGAGTGCTTGTAATGCTTAGCTTGCGTCCGACGACATGCGTGCGTTAGTACTAAGGACGGATGCCGGACGTGTTCTTCTCGCACGATACCGAAGGACACAGAACATCAGGGATCTCGACAAATCCATAACGCACTTTGAACGCGCGTCTGATTTCTGTGCCATGGGTCACCCCTGCCGCCCTGCAGCACTGTTCAATCTAGCTTCTGCGAAGTTTGTTAATTGCCAAGTCAACGGAACATACTTCGACCTCGACATCTCCATCTCTCTTTTTCAAGACGCCTTTGACTTGCGTCCGATTGATCATCCTGACCGACCGGTCTCGTTTCGCGAAACGGGGATTTCAAACGGACGCTGATGCAGCCGAAGAGTTACTGAGCAAAGTCCTTGATGTTTGTCACGCCAACAGGACATTGCGAGTAGAAAGATGATCCTTAGAATAATTGAGACAGAGATCACCATATTCGTAATGTGCTACTCGCTAGTAAGAAGTATTGAGGACCATAAATATATAAATTAATTGCGTCTGAAGTAGTGGCAAACAATCATGAATATGACATAAAACATGGGTACGAGTGCAACAACCGTGAAAATAACCCGAAATGCAAGTCCAGCAGGGTTGTAATGAAGCCAGAAAGCCATCACTACTGAAGTTATCGATGATATCATCGACCCAACTGCGGCGAGCAATGGTAGTGAGTGCACCCATAAGTAGTACCACATATGGTGGGTGGCATCTTGTCCCTGCAAGAATAAAATATAACAATAAAAATTATTAATCTAATAAATACTTACCTGCTCAACATTACATGCATAATATATCCCAACATAGAAGCCGGTTTGTAAAGAAAACAAGGTGGCGAATGCGAGTGCACGGGTTAAATGGTCTCCCGACCACTTGGAAAGAGGCACACCACTAGCGGCAAACAAGGCAGAGGCGAGGATGAGGTTGAATCCTGCGAGTGTGCATAAGAAGCCGTCCCGCTTGAAGGTCCATTTTTTGTGTGCCTGCCAGTGAGATGGATTCTGGGATAATTCGTCCAATGCAGACCAAGAGCCGATGCCGGAGGTGTACATCAACGCTAAATCGACAGGGGTAAGTTTGTTGATTATTAATATGTAATGATCAAGCAACTCACCTCGTAACATTACACGTCCTATCAAGGACTCGGGCCTTCTCAAAGTTCCTTCTTCGTTGGCAGTTTCTTGGGGATTCGAGCCCACCTGATGGTGGGGGATGGATGTATCCTTTTGGCCTATAGGCCTAAAATAGGGATACATCCCCCAATCTAATTGTCCACTCACCAGTGATACATCCATGTAGTCTGAGAATCCATGTATCTAATATAGCAAGCAGAAATCCTAAACATACATTATGACTGCAATTTTGGCTCCTCAAAGCGAAAATTCATGATATATATTCCATTTTGGTAACCTCCTCATGTCAGGCCTCCCCACATTGGATGACTTTCCATAGGCAAAATATTCCAGAATAGAATATTTCGGAGCCTGAAATACATTTGCAATCACGACGAAAATTTAATCTACGCAACAATAATCCCCCATAGGCTCAGTCAATAGAATTTAGTCCAGTCCTCGATGGACAATCTTGCAATCCAGTACCTGCTTCTCAACGAAGATGAGGCAGACCTTTTTGATGATGACGAAGGGGCTCAAGTCCTAGCTGCAGCCCTCATTGGTGGGATCGAGGTATCACGACAAGACCGCATTGACACCCGGAACCCCCATCGTTTGTACCTATGCCGAGCCCAACTTCTTCCCAATCCTCGCATCAACACCCCTTGGCAGATTTTATATAATAGCCAGAACGATCGAGCCTTTATCACCACCATGGGTATCGACGTAACTACCTTTGCCTCGCTCCTTACTACGGGTTTTGCCCAACGCTGGTACGAGACTCCAATCCCTCGTGATGACTCAAACGTGTTGGGAAATCCACGCATTGAGCGGCGCTCGCTCGATGCTGCGGGGGCACTCGGACTTGTGTTGCATTACCTGAGTTCCACGATGCATGCTATCAGTCTTCAGCAGATTTTCGCTATAATTCCCAGTACTGTCACGCGTTACCTTAAATTCGCTCTTCGGCTTCTTCTCCTCTCCCTCCGCACCATACGGGATGCCACAATTCGCTGGCTCGAAGGCCCAGAATTCGAACGTTGTAGTGCACTCGTCGTTGCACGTCACGGGAGACTTGGAGGGGCGTTCGGCAGCATTGACGGACTTAAATTACCCGTGCAAACATCAGATGATGTTGACATCGAGAACGCGACATATAACGGTTGGCTCTCCGAGCACTTTATTAGCTCGGTGTTGACATTTTCAGCTGAAGGTGAGTTTTATGCAGAATTCGCACTTCGCTCGTTAACTATATGTTGCAGGGGTCATCATTGCTGCAAGGATGAATGCCCCTGGTAGCTGGCATGACTCACGTCTTGCTCACCAAATTTATGCCTCCCTTCGAGACCATACTCCCCCAGGTTACTACGTCGTGGCTGATACAGCCTTCCCACGTGGGACCAACGACATCCAAGGCCGGATCCGCGCACCACTCAAACAAGGCCAACGTGTTCAAGGGTCAGTTGCTGAGATTGATGAACGCATGGCATTCAATCGAGAGCTCCTTTCTTACCGGCAGACTGCTGAATGGGGGATGCGCAGTCTTCAAGGTGCTTTTGGAAGATTGCGTGTACCACTCGAAATTGCTAACAAAGATTCGCGCGGTGATCTCATTGAGATCTGTGTTCGATTGCACAATCTGCGCGCAATCCGAGTTGGCATCAACCAAATCCGCACAGTGTACCTTACTAATTGGCAGGAGACAGTTGATGATGCTTCCGTCTGGCACGACTTCGAGAATATGTTATTTTCCGAGCAAAGGCAGAAAGATCGGGTTTCACGTTTCCACGTCACACTGGAGTACTTAGGGTAGATTAACTTGCTTCTTCATTGTAATGCATTCTCTTCAATTGAGGTCTTTGAACATCTACGACGGGGCCGTCATCACATATAGCGATCTCCGGTGGTTCGAAAGACATGAAGAATCCTCACAGGAGGATCGAAATCTTCGAGCGGCTTCAAAACCACACGAACCCAAGGCTCTTGCGATCTCCGGTGGTTCGAAAGACATGAAGAATCCTCGCAGGAGGATCGAAATCTTCGAGCGGCTTCAAAATCACACGAACCCGAGGCTCTTCACACCACGCTGCGTGTACGACGGAGCCGTCATCATGTACTCGTCATGCAAGCTTCCATAGACCAAGCAGACTACTCAGGTCCTGACTGCTATCAAAAATCTACAGCACCAAACTCGTGTATTGTGGCACATCTATCATTATTGAGTAAGTCACTATCCGAACGATACAAAGGAAGAGATAACAGGCATCGAACTTGTGCGTCGCACTTTTATCATTATCGGGTAAGTATCAGATCAATATAAAGGTCACACCTCTGTGCTCTGTGGCTCACGGTCCTCCTCACTTCTGGGGACTGTAGGCTCTTGGGTGCCTTGCCTACGAGAATGACTCGGACGAACCACAGAATTGAATTTGCGTGGAGGTCCACCACGGGGACCCCAGTGGAACGGCTCTTGTCTGTGAGACGAACGTGCACGAGGAGATGGAGTAGTACCGAAATCAGTAGGGGTAACAGCAGTGAACTGAGGAGAAGTTGGAGGATGATCAGACATGTTGGCGAGGGTCTCTGTATCACTGTGCCAGATGACACTTTGGCCTCCATCAGGGTAATAGGTATAACTCGGCTGTTTGGGTTTGTACCGGTGACGAGCGTTACGAGTGTTACGAGAAACTGGGTTGGGATGGACATTGTGAGGAGCTTGGATCGGAGCCGACGCATGCATCTGCATCATCTCCGCACGAAGCTTTCCAAGGTCACGTTCACGTTCGACATCGTAGAGTCTGGTGCGTAAGTCATACAGTTGAGTACGTAGCTGCTCGGTGACTGCATTCGCATCTCGCAGCTGCTGTGCTTGGGTAAGCAGCTGCGTGTTTGCAAGGGATCGGTTGGCACGCTCCTCGTCCCGAGCTTGCTGGACAGCAGGGTCAAAGGCCCCGCTGATGCGAGTGAGCAACTCTGAGGCAGCTGCACCTCGGCGGCGTGGCACAGGAGCATCTGTGCGAGTGGCTCGAGTGATGGCAGTGTGCTCGATGGGGGGAGTAATGTTTCGCGAGTCATCATGACTGTCATCGGCATCGAAATCCGAGTCGTTGAGATCACGAGTACCGGCACGCTCATTGATGAGTGCATCGATCTCGTGGGCGCGGGTTACATCAGGTGGACAAACACCGTTTCCTGTGGGCTTCGTGGTTTTCACCAACTGAGGTAGTTATGTGAGATGCGGGTGGAAATACTCGAATGTAAGACTTACTTGTTTAAATTTTGTTTCGAGTGACATGGCTTTACGAGGAGGTCGGCCGTGGCTCGTTGCCCACTCGCTGTACTTCAAATGGATGGCCTGCCAACCTTTCTGGCCCAGAGGGCGCTCGTCTTCGACCAAGTCCAGGAGGACTTGAACATCAGCTGCACTGTAATTGTTGGACCCACAGGGCCGGCCGCGTTTGGCCACAGCCCTTGGATCATCTTCATCGTCGTCAGGAGCACGTGTGCGCTTCAGAGTGTAGTCAGTATTCTCTTTTTCTTTACCCTTGCTTTTGTTGGCTTTGGCCACAGTTTTGCGACGTGCGCCAGCAGTTCTGACAGCTGGTGCATACCCACGAGCCTCAGCAATCGCCACGGGGTCACGAAGGTCTCTATCTGGTGAGTCGGGGAGTCGAATATGAGCAGGGTTCTGTGTCGAACCCAGAACAAGACGGGACCCAGACGGTAAGGGTGGTTGTTCGGATGCCTCACGAGGTCGGGAGAAGTCAGCAGGACTGGTGAGTCCGTACATCAAGGGCGTAGTCGCACGTTGCTGCACAGTGGTAAGCTCATTTTGCAAAGCTTTGAGAACAATGAATTGACTTACCGCATAGGCCTGGGACATGCGAGCTTCAGGCCACTCTGCTCGAGCTACAGCGTGAGCGATCCCAGGATGGGACAGCCAGTTACCCGTACAATCACGCACAAACGCATTCCCTGCGCCGTCGTAACGCAACTCGGGATTTGATGGGCTCCTATCAGGGACAAACATAGATTGGGAAGGGGGAATGTCAGACATTTGAAGGACTGGTTGTACGAATACACTTACCTTGTGACTGAAAATGAGTGGAATCTATATAGTCCGTGACTTTGTTGAACCGTCCGAAGGAAGGGGTGAGTATTTTCATATGAAAATTGCAAAGTACAAGGACCCTGCACTAGTAGTAACAGTGCGACACGAGCGCGCCAGCCCATGCAGCGATCGAGAGGGAGCCGACCCTAAATACAGGGATGATAAGCAAATTTTCGTCGACGGAGGGCTGAGGATTGGTTGGTGGTAGTAGGCGCTAGGACAGATGCAGTGAAATTGGAGGGACCAGCGGAGACAGCGTTGCCAGGTCGTAGTTTGGCACAGAGCACCTAGAATTAAAGTCTAAAAAGGAGGGAGAAAGAGGTGTCAACGTACTTGGCAAAACGTTGACGGCGCACCTTTGTGTGACTGCGAGAGGTGCCACGCACGTTGAGCAAGGCTCATTACGTCAGCGAATATCACTGGCGTAGTGGCCTAAAACGGACGAAAGTCGGATATTCAAGTCTGCAGGGGGGGGGTACCCCCCCCCTACAGATCAAAATAAATTAAGGTTTGAAAATGGGGGGCAAAGAAAATACTTTTGCAAATTGAGCTCAAATGAACAGCGGCATCGCGGCACACCTTCCTAATGTAGTCAAATTTATGATATGATAATCTAATAAACATTTTTCGAGCCTATGGAAAGTCATCCATTATCCCCACACATCATATGTTCGCATTTTTCAGCCCCACAGTGTGGGAATTACTCCACAACACCAAAAACATCGCCCAATTTGGGAATCTCCACAATATCAATTATTCCCACACCCTTCCCACCTCACTGCAGCTTCACCACCACCCCACAATAGGTCCCCCTTCATATATAAGTGGTAGTTTGGTATATATATGTATATTATAATATAATAGTCCGCTTTTTTTGTTTATTTGTGTACCTTCTCCTCCTCCAGGACCCTTTCAACATAGCCTAGGGTACAGAACACTTTCGCATTTTTGCCCCTATGATAGGGAAGTGTTCTAAGGCATTCAGAACATGTTCAGGAGTATATATGAATGTATTCCCATCTTTATTTTACCCCCTGAAGCGCCCTACATCAATAGCTATAGCATATATACATAGAAATACAAAATATGTTCCCATGTGTGCATTTCCAAGTGAACAGACTTGAAAATTGTATCCCCACAATCCATCAAGCAGTAGGAATGATGTATCAGGAGATCAGGACCACAGAACAACACCCTGTTGAATGGTATACCCCTCTTCTTCTGGTGGTTTACCCCCTGTGAAAATTTTTCCTGGAAGGCTAGACCTTAGATATGGCAGGGAGTCTATTCCTATACATATCTGGAGTATATCTATCACATAGCTACCACAGGAAGCCTTTAGGGTCCTTCAATAGGAATAAAAACATAAAACATCACATATTTCACTTTTTTGATGTTTTGTACTACCTTACCCTTTCACAAATAATACAACATGATCATATATCATTAGTATGGCATGTATACATGTTTCCTATGCTAAGGATCAGCTGGATATAGGCTGGAAACATTAGATCTGAGGTAAAGGGGGTATTTCCACTGATTAGAAGGCCACATGGACATAAAGGGTTTTATGAGTGATCAGACACCTGGGATGTATCTCATATATATCCCTAATGATAGTTTTAAATCTATAGAAAGATCCATCAAGGTTTGAATGAATGGCAAGGAAAATGACATATGTGTGAAAAGTGACAATTGACATTTTTTCACAGAAAGTCATATTTATATATGAGACAGGTCGAAGATTTTATTAAAAATGTGTAGGATACATAATAGACTACCTAAGAAACCTATACTACATACTGCCCTGAGGGTAGAGTGTTGGTGGAAGGGATGTAGTGTGAAAGTGAGTTGATTCAGCATTAAAGTCCAATAACCACTCAACCTCCAACTACCCATTTTCGATGTTTTGGGCATTTGAATTTTCCCACACTCAATTTTTGATCTATTTCACTTCCCAGCTCTGAGATCTGGGTGGATGTTTCTGTACATTTAGACTTATGATGCTGAATATATGTGAAATGTACTCCAGGTGTCTGATTATAAGATTTCGATGTTTTTAAGGTATGGGAACCTAATCAGTAGATTTAGAAAGTATATACACTATTCCACAACTATGGCCTATTTTGAACTGATTTTTGGTATATAAAGCATGTATATATGCCCTACTAATGATATATGATCATGTTGTATTATTTGTGAAAGGGTAAGGTAGTACAAAACATCAAAAAAGTGAAATATGTGATGTTTTATGTTTTTATTCCTATTGAAGGACCCTAAAGGCTTCCTGTGGTAGCTATGTGATAGATATACTCCAGATATGTATAGGAATAGACTCCCTGCCATATCTAAGGTCTAGCCTTCCAGGAAAAATTTTCACAGGGGGTAAACCACCAGAAGAAGAGGGGTATACCATTCAACAGGGTGTTGTTCTGTGGTCCTGATCTCCTGATACATCATTCCTACTGCTTGATGGATTGTGGGGATACAATTTTCAAGTCTGTTCACTTGGAAATGCACACATGGGAACATATTTTGTATTTCTATGTATATATGCTATAGCTATTGATGTAGGGCGCTTCAGGGGGTAAAATAAAGATGGGAATACATTCATATATACTCCTGAACATGTTCTGAATGCCTTAGAACACTTCCCTATCATAGGGGCAAAAATGCGAAAGTGTTCTGTACCCTAGGCTATGTTGAAAGGGTCCTGGAGGAGGAGAAGGTACACAAATAAACAAAAAAAGCGGACTATTATATTATAATATACATATATATACCAAACTACCACTTATATATGAAGGGGGACCTATTGTGGGGTGGTGGTGAAGCTGCAGTGAGGTGGGAAGGGTGTGGGAATAATTGATATTGTGGAGATTCCCAAATTGGGCGATGTTTTTGGTGTTGTGGAGTAATTCCCACACTGTGGGGCTGAAAAATGCGAACATATGATGTGTGGGAATAATGTGGGGAGGCCTGACATGAAGAGGTTACCAAAATGGAATATATATCATGAATTTTCGCTTTGGGGAGCCAAAATTGCAGCCTAAAACTGCTTATTGTGATTCACCATTGGATATATCATTGTGGACAGTGGACAAGTAGACTGGAAAATGTATCCCTATTTTAGGGCTATAGTAGTATATTGATGTATCTATATAGCATTATGGGCTCTCGAGCCCAAGTTTCCACCACCCTGAACTGCTGTATTACTACTACCATCTGTTGTTTCTCCTGCCAGTGGGTCCGTCACGGTGTTGGTTGGTTCTGTGGGATTGGAAGCGGTGTTGCTAGTAGCTGCCGGGTCTGCATGTGGCACGCCGGGCGTCTGTAATGGGATCCTCTCATTGGTGCCTCCAGATCCAGATCTAGTTCTCGGGCGACGCGCATTTGGAAACAGTGATAGAATGTGCGATATCATGCTGGTTTGTGAAAGGTAAGTTGAGTATCTCGGGTTCTTACTATCTGGACTAATTGGCATTCAGGTGCTGGGATGCCAATCACATCTAGAGTCCCCAGCGTGCCGTGTAGCCATTCGAAGGCCTCGTCGTCGTCTCCTACCACCCTCCTGCCTCTGCCACCATCCTACGTCGCCCGTCCAGCTTCGATCCAGACCCCTGCCATATTTCGTCATCTCAGGTAATCTCTCTTATTTCGCTCCCTGACATTCTGTCCCTACTCTCTGGACATCGACAACGAATGCTTCATTTCCCGTGTCAAAACTGTAGAGCGTATAAAGCAACGCATACAATTTTGTTCCTCATCACCCATCGCTCACGCTGGCCGGGAATGCAAATTTTACCACCCGATATATTGTTGGTGCCGTGCTCAACACGGAGATTGCATATAATGTGCTTCTGGATATGCTACTCGACACCCTACCGCTTCTCATCAATCTCCAATCACTGTCATTCATGTTCATAGACCTCACTCAGGCTCAGAGTGGAACGTGTCCAGTTGCTTCCGCCTTCCAAATTGCAGGTCGCTGACTTGACCATCATCTGCGATAACAAACCTAGCGTGTTTGGGAATGGCCATAACGAACACGGACTATCTGTTTTCTCACCCGACCACCTCCATTCCGTTTCCATAGTCAATCTAGTCGCAGCCTCACAGTTCCTGAACGATATCCTAGGAAACGCACCACAAAGCCTGCTGCAACTCCGATGCCTCATGTCACCATGCGATTTAGAACTTGTGCGCGCTTTCCGCTCGTTGCTTCATCCTATCCCAGAGCTAGCCGAACTCAAGTCCGCCCGCCCCTCTCAAATCCAGCACAGCCTTCCCAAAGATGAAACATTCTTCCTATCTACGTATTCTCGTCCACTCAAACCCCTCTCAAAATACCAAGGTCCTCCTCAGGACTGTAGGGGTGCTGCAGTTGAGCGTCACGCACGTCAATGCCTTAGTACTCAATGCTATTTGCACCCGCTTCTCAATATTGCGATCGTCATACATGTGTGTGGGAAGAGGCTTCTTTGCTGATGTTGCCACACAAGCGTGGAACCCCGAGGTATGTCCCGAATCGCTGCTTCTCTTTTATCAGGCTAATTTGTGTGTTCTAGATGATAATGGACGCCCTTTCGACCCTCCACCTTTCCCTTCGGCCATCCCGCTGTTCCTGTACCCATCGACGATCTCCCACAACAGCACGCGTTCTGGCGCACTTATCCTTGTCAATGTCCCACAATCTCACTATGCCATCCCCACTCCCACCTGCTACTTTCATCCTCATGACGTGAACATCATGTCTTTAACACTGGGACTTTGACAAAGCGATTGAGTAGTTTTTAATCATACACGATATATTGACCAAGAAAAATCGTCACTGGCAACTTGTTCCATTCAAGAAGTATCATCAGCTACCGACCTGCAAAGGCTAATTCAATCTCATCGTCATCTTTACATGCAGGCTGCCATCGCAGTCAACATATTTAGTATGGCTACAACCACGAAGTCAGTTCAAAGGGTACTTTATTAGCATGATATGTCGAATGGTAAAATCACCGACAACCCATGACGCGGATCGAGCCGAGGAAACGAAAAGGGAAGACTTACTCGTCCATCGGCCAGTCAGTCATCGACCAAAATACTAGGACTTTCACATCGCCCTTGCTCTTGTGCATGTTGTGTCTTCGGCACATCCTTAAGGATCGTACAACTATCAATAAAAATAGAAACTTACCCAGGAGGTGCAAGCACAACTGATTTTGAGGGACCGAATTGTAGCCCTTCATATGGGGCTGCACAGCCAGGATCCCCTCGGTGAGCCTCAATCAGAATTGAGGCAACTGGACGCGCTGGATGGCTAGGATCTGAAATTCCAAACCCAATACGCCACTTCCCATCAAGATCCATATAAAATCGCAAAAACCATATACGTCCTGCAAATTTTGGCGTCATCATCAGTGTGAGGGAAAAAATGAATCACAAACCTGCTGCAACAAATTCTACATCCACACTCTGTGTAGTGCGCAAACGTTTCTGAAACTTCCTGATGAGGAAATGAGCAACGAATTGGTTCTGGTCCAGTCCGTCCCCCGAGTCCACCTGAACGTCGTCGGCCGGACAACCTAAACAGCGTTTGATCGGCTCATCCTTGACTGATTAGTGCATGACACATTAGTTAATGAACTTTCGAGTGCGCATCACCACTTACAATTCATATATCCCAAATTCAGCTGTACAAACAATGCCTGGTCACTAGCTGTCGTGCACGCGAGACGCAGGTCGGAAGAGCAGGCAGAGGAAAATTTGGGGGTAAATCCTGATAATGCCGAAAAGGCTTCTCGCCTGTCATTCACAACTGCCCAATAGAGCGCTGTGTGACCCTCAATGTTAGGTTTTTGCAGGAGTTCGGAGAAATCAGCAGCTGAGAGCGCAGCAGCGCAGGCGTTAATAATAGGGGCGACAGAGGAGGGCGTAAAATCGGGAGCGGTAACTATATCACGGATGCAAGTTAGAGCGGTGTTCCGTTTCTGCTTGCTTTGTAGAAAGGGAAATACAGACGATCGTCCGTGATGGAGGGAATCTGCTAATGCAGATGTGGAAATCGTGGTATATGATGGAGGTGCTTTGGTGACGGACTTGCTATCGTCGAACGTTGGCGCCATGATGGAGGGGTAAGTGTGAAGGAGATGACCAAGTTCCAGGTATATAACAGGCAACTATTAGGGGCCTGATAAATCGGGTTTATAAAAACACATAGCAGCCTGCAGAGAAAAGGTAGACGCTGGCATTGTACGACACAATTTCTACGTCTGCTTCACTGTCAGTTTGATTGAGAGTGACGGCGAAAGTGGGTACATATAAACAGGACTTGTCCCCCGGAATTTTTTCGAGCATTCGAGTTCCACATTCTCGACATGGCGTGCAAAAATTGTTTCTTCCGGTTGAACATCACCCCTAGCGCTTGTAGCATTCGGACGTCAAGTGCTAGTGCAGGACAAAAAACTTTTACCTCAAACTATCACTGCAAGACGCACAACGTCAGCAACCAGGTGAGTTTTACAACAGGCTTCCATTGCAATTTGGTACGCATCAAAAAAACATTATGAACAGCGAATACCGAGACCGGGGTAGTACTTATCGGGTTATACATAGATCGTGGGACGTGGAACAAACAAAAGGAAGGTGGTGCAGAGACAAACCGACGAACGAAGCTGATCAAGTCCAAAAACCACGATGAGACCGACAAAACATCATGATGACGGTTTGGTCTTGAATCTCAGGAGAGGGGCAAGACCAGATGGCAAACATGCCTTCTTCAAGAACTCGTGCTGCGTAGAAATATATCAGGAATAGAACCAATATCGGGAACAATAATTGACGTACCTGTAGGAGTTCGCTCGAATTGGCGCGACTTTTGACATCGACACATAAGCATACGCTCAAGAAGTTCTTCAGCTCCTTGCTGAGCGCCTCGGGCTTCTTAAGCGTCGGTGTCCCGTTCGTCGCAATCAGGTACAGTGCTTTTAACGGCTCTTCATCAAGATAAGGAGGTTCGTTCTCGATCATCTCGATTGCCATGATGCCGAGTGACCAAATATCAACTTTAGCACCGTATTCCTTCTGCTTCACGACCTCCGGTGCCATCCAGTACGGAGTACCGACCATTGTTGCACGCTTGGACTTCTGATCGGTGAGTTTAGCGCAGAAACCAAAGTCGGCTGTGCAACACATCAGAGACCAGTGCAGGATTGCAAAAAAGAAGATCCGCACTAATTTTAACACGGCCCTGTGCATCGAGGAGGACGTTATCGGACTTGATATCGCGGTGAATGATGGATTGGCTGTGTAAATGACACAGACCCTTGCATGTCTAGTAGTGTGTGAGTATCACCCACGGATCATGGCCAATCAAAAAGGTACGCACTTCTAAACTTATGCTCGAAATCTGATCTTCTTCCAGCGTATTATTCTCTATGATATCAGTGAGGGCACCGCCCTCCATGTACTCCATGACGACCCAGAGTTCATTGTTCTTCACAAGGTATGACTCGAGGAAGTTGACAATGTTGGGGTGCTGGGATTCCTTCATCACGAGGATCTCGTTCACGATGAGTTCCTTGCGTGGTTGGTGTGAGAGGTCCATTTCTTTGATAGCAACCTTCTTGCTCGTGGCAAGCGTTTTCGCGACATACACATGTCCAGAAGCGCTGTGAATAGCTTATCAGTCTTCGCCAGCGGCTAATGTAATGGAAGCCTCACCCCTGTCCAACTTTCTTAATCTTACTATACAATGTCTTCGGGTCATCATCAGACACAACACTCCGGAGCTTCTCCATGATCTGTGCCTCCGTCATCGCGCTAATCCGCTTTTCCTTATCTTTCTCCTTATCCTTGGGTTTCTTCTGTAGTGCCTCTGCTGCGGCTGCAACACCTGGGTCCTCACCCTCGGGCGCAGTGACAGTAAGATCAGGTGCCGATGGCTCCTTCTTCTTCAACGTCTGAAGGGGCTTTACAGGTGGAGGGCCAACAACTCCGGCGGCACCTACCACAAGCTCAGTCGCAGATTCAGAAATAGCCGGGGCAGACTTGGAAGGCGTCAAGGGAGGCCGCTCAGAGGCAGCAGCAGTAGCAGCCTGCTGCTCCTTCATTTGCTGGCGCTCACGTTCACGTTCACGATCTTCGCGCCGCTGACGTTCCCTTTCCCGCTGCTCCCTTTCCTTCCGCTCCCGGTCTTGCTGTCCAATAGCATCCATACCCTCATTCCGCCTCGGCGCTTGATCCAGCGAAGGTTTCCCACCCACTTGTTCACGAGCCTGCGCTCGCGCACGAAGGTCTGCAGTCGAGGGTGTATGGTCTGGTACAGGGGGTTTGGGAGCGGCAGGTGCGGGCCGTGTGGCTGCCAACAATGGTCGTGGTGGGGCGGGACGGGAAGGTTGCAGAGAGGTTGAAGCTTGCAACATTGGGGGGATTGCGGGTCGCGGAGGGGCGGACGACGAGGCGGTGGAAATGGTGTTGGCGTGCTGGGCGTGTGAGCCATTGACGAGCTCAGCAACACGCGCAGCAGCGAGGGCAGTTGTGGAGAACCCATTTGTCCCTGTCTCTGCTGGAGCGGAGTCCTGTCGCTTGCGGGCTGTGTCGAGCGGAGATGTGATCTTAGGGAGATTGGATCCGCCGAGACCTGTGCCGCCGAATCGAGCGGGCGCATCTACACCAAATGGCGAGAGAGTACTGCTGGTCATGGTAGAGCCCACTAGGGTGGAAGCTGCAGATGTCCCGGAGACAGACCGTGATATCGAACTCATACCCATCTCTTCCAACTCACGCTTCTGGTGATCAGTGAAAAATTCTAGAGCGTCGATGACGGCTTGAGGATCTTTAGCGTAATCTTCGCGAGTAATTGCAGACTTTGTCAGAAGCTTGCTCCATTGTTCGGGCATTCCCTGGGACATAGACGTGAGCGAGACAAAACATATGGAAACCCGAATTTAGTATGGACGCACAGTGAAAGCACCTGATATAGGGTCAAATCCAACGTGGACCTTGTGCACAAAGTTGGTCGGGTTGCTGAAGCCCATCAACGGACTGCGAGAGTATACATCATCTTGCCATCCGTAAAGCTCTTCGTCGTTTTTGAGGGCGAGATGATATCGTTTGTCCTTGGTCTCGAGGAGCAGACAATAAGGTTTGAGATCGACACGTTCGATATTCGTGATATCCTTGAGAGGGATAACGCTCTGCTGTGGTGACGTCTATGGATGATATGTCAGTACGCATGGCCTACCGAGTACGAAAGGAAGGATACGAAGAAGAAAAAGAATGGAGAGTTCATGCATGTGGTGGGACGCTAAGGCAGTGCCTCGTTCCTCGAAGTAAAATGTAATCAGCCAATCTGCCGTGGGCTCACCTCGGTCTTGTGTATGGAAAGCGTTTGCTCCTTCAACACGAGCCATTTTCGGAGAAAGATAAAACTCGCAAACCCCTCTTCCTTCATGCTAACCATCCCAGTTCTTACGACATGCGTATTGAAGACTGCCTGGGAGCTGCGATTGGGCGATCCGCCTATCCCAGTGTAATCAGTCGAGTATGACGAGCCAGAGGAAAAGGATGTGTTGTAGCCTGAGGTTTGCAGAGTATTATGAGGAAATATTGGACCCTCCGTTCCTCTTCGGAGAGGTGCTTGGGGTGCAGGTCGAGAAGGCGTCAGATTCGTTGCTGTTACTTGGTTGAAGGCCATGGCGGGTCGGAAGAGACGAAGTGAAACAAGGAAGAAAGTGGGTGTTCCTCGCTGGCGGGAACAGTGAGATTGAGAATTTCGTAGTTGTTCGTGATGATGGCGGGAGTATACACGGCGTCGAGCAAGAGCTAACCTTCTGATTGAATGGAGGCTTTCCAACTTTGATACCCCCAAAATGGCGAAACTTAGACAACAACGCTGCCCGGATCTGTCCGCCAGGGGGACATATCACCACGGTAACACTGCATTGATGATCTTCTTCAAGGGTATAAACACTATGCTACAGTCTATAGCTAGCTAACGTTCAAACGGCAGGATAAATATCATCTATAATCCTGCTCAAGGGCTCCTTTCTGCCCTTCAATGTCCACCCGCATCCACTTATTTAATAGACACTCAGAAAATGATCCGTGCAATCTCCTGCAGTGAGCGGACAGAGTGAACTTAACAGAATAAACCAGTGCAACCAGCTACTTGTTCTTTGTCATCCTGTGGAAAATGTAAATTTAGTTCTCTACATGAGAAACGTCTAAAACTTACTTGTAAGTAAAGCGCCTTTTGGTGTGTGCGAATTCACCGAGCTTATGGCCAACCATATCCTGCGTTATCATGACAGGGACATAGTCTTTACCATTATGCACCATGAAACGGATACTAAACATCTCAATCAGCATAATCTACAACGTAAAACAGAGGAAGTCTCACCCGACGAAATTTGGGAGGATAGTGCATGCGCGAGCCTGTGTTCTTATAGCAACATTGTTGATGAGTGCTTCCTTCAGGTTTGGAAAGGCTACAAAGTACGGGCCTGGACAATGTCACGCGTAAATGTGAGATCGACCTCGCAGTAGATACAAGACAAACCTTTCCAAGCAGACCGCCCCGACCGCAGAATGAGCGAAGGCTGCATGACCAGTAAAAGAAGAAGAATTGAAAGTCAGAACTGTCTGCTTAGGTAACGCGTCAAATGTTACGCAATAATTATGTAAGCCGTCGTCATTATTAATTCTTCCTTGTCCCTCGATCATCAAGTTTTAGACGAAGACTGGTGCACCGTCTAGTCAGGCTCGAGACTCTCCTGAGATGAGTAAGACCAAATCATTTTAATTCAATCTTGGTGTTTCTCAGCTTCGCACGTCTGTTGTCTCTACAACCACTCGGACACCCATGACTAGATGCTGCCCCCTACTTTGACACATTTTGGTGTTCGTTGTTCGTGGTGTTTTGATCAGTACAACATTGCAAAGGAAACCTGTTGTATACTGTCTCTCACTGACGTTGTGCAATTGTACGATCGACATAACCGTAACGTCCACGTATAGTCGTGTTGCCACAAAGCGGCGTATGTACACCAACTGGAAGGTTAGAATCACATTTTCCATAGGTGCGTACGCGGGCGCTTCGCTGATGTACTCCTCGTTGACCTAGCTCCGACACATACCAGCCTTGGCGAGCGCTACGGCCTACGCGTAATTTCAATCCCCAGCACCTTCCTGGTCCTCTCAAACAACATCTCCCACATCACAGCAGTAGGCGTGGCCCTACACCCAGCCTGACATTTCCCCTCGTATGTCCAATCTAGAGGTTCTGAGTTAGATAATGCGATGACAGCGTCGACGAGTGCAGTCAGACTGAATCCATTTTAGAGTCAGACTTATCCACGGAGCCCTGTATCATCGCAGCGTGTCGGGCAGGAGGAAAACAGCGGAGTCTACAGTCTCTTTTGCTATGCTTATTATCGCATAGACTCTCCACACTTCTACATTCTACACTTTGACACTTCCGCACTTACTTGGCTTTCTCATATTTCACCTTCATATGTACTCTGATACCGACATCAAATCTTCGCCATCTGCCTAATCACCCATGCTCAAGTTCATTCCCCCCTCCTTTCAAAGCCGCCTTTGGGAAACATGGAGGCTCTCGCAGCACACCGTCTGTCCTGGATTGCAGGAATTCCATTGAAAAACATGTAAGTAAGCTGCACATATCTTACCGATCTTCTAGCTGACCATGGTGTTCAGGACTGGGCCACCTTCCCGGGTTTGGAATCAAATAATTCCGAGTATGATGAAGACGTGTGGAGAAAATTTGTCAAGGACCAACACACCAAGGTACGGACGGTGGTACTTCTGACGTCGGTTTCTTGCAAGCTAACGGGTTTCTTGCGGGATCTCATCCAGTCCATAGTGGATACCACTGGATGTTCTAGGGGCAATCCGCACCCAGCACAAGTTCGGTATGTTTTTAAATATCACTCTTGCTTCTCTCTCGTTTACCATTCTGTAGAATGTTCTCTCAAGGGGTCACGAGGAACAGGACAGAAGACGGCATCTTATGCTGTCTGGAATCTCTTCAAGCGACATATGCCCAGGACATACGCTGACGAAACACCGTACATTTACGATGTGCAGCCGTGGGTCGTTAAGCTCACATCGGTAGGTACAATCCGCAGAATGTGATACTTCTTTGACACGACGTGGTGGTTATCTAGCTTGCAGTCAAGCGGAATGCAGAGATTGTCGTGGAACGCACGTATGTACGTATCGTCTCTGAATATGGTCCATTATATCCTGTCTGAAGACGCGTCGCACGCACAGAAGTTCTTGACTGCCGCACCGTCAATGCCCTGTACCTGGTTCTTCTCCAGGCTCGCATCAACATCGTTCTCCAGTAATTCAAGTCCCTTGGTCGTATATGTTTCCCGTCAGTACTGCGAAACAAGGAACAAAAACGCTCGAGGCCATTTTTCGCTGGTGCGTACCTCAGCGATCTGACCCTGCTGTATTATTAACTCTCCCTCGTTGCAGCGTTCAATTTGCCACACCTCGATAGGGCAATCCGATGCCAACGTTGGCTCCAATACTTCGGGCAAGATGAGCCCGCTGCAACTTTATTCGGCAGTTGAGGACACCCTCGGCTTCTTTATCGCGGAAAACATCGAGTCCTCCACTTTACTTCGCAAGATCGAGAAACTCTCTTGGTACATGCTCGATGGTAATATGATGTCTGATACTGAAGGCCATGGGAGGGCGCCTTTCTTTACGGCGCAAGTAAGCCCGGTTTGTAGCCCTTCGGAGGCAAAGTTTTCAAGAACAAAAGTGAAGATGTTGTGCCTATTCGTATGTATGTAACTGCTCTCTTGTAATCCCCATATCTGTGTGCTGTTTATGCCCCCACGAGCTCGAAAGATGTACATATTTATCATTGTGCATATGGAATACCCATGTCACCTAAGGGACGGAGGAATTCACCATTGTTGTTAGCCTATTGCTTCTTGCCTGCGAGAGAGCCTGCAAGGGCAACAGGTGCTTAAATGCGAGACCACATCCTGCGTTGTCGGATTCGGAATGGACTGTGGTACTACCGCCCAGGACAGTACCAAGGGCCGCACGAAGACTGGGTGCGATGCTCATGTACGCAAGTGCCTGTCGCGACCAGGGGTTGTAAGAAGAGTGGCAGGTTAAAGGAGAAATGATTGTCGGCCAGGCGCTAGAGGGACATCTGAACCAAAAGAGCGTTGGTTATTCGGCGGGGTTCGGCTGCATCGCAATGATGAACGCAGTATTTCACGACAGAGGACAGACCAGCCTGGTTTCTCGTTAAAATGGAGTATCAACAGAAGAACGCTCAAAACTTCACATACGAAGATCAGCACTATGATGTCCATATTACCGTGACGCCTTTCTAGCACGTCGTCGTCATATTCGCCGGCGACCAGACACTTCGGTATTCATCCATCTTTCCTCGGATTGCGCAATTGGTGAAGTCCGGAGGATGTTGACAATATGATGGAGAAGACCTGAGCCAACACAACCAGTTCCTATGCCCGATGACGCCAAAGTTGAATGAAGACTCGTTTTTGGTTGGTGTCGTTTTGTTTGCATCGGTGTCGGGAGCCTGAAGGCGGTGGCAACTTGAAAGCGTACAACGAACAGTCACATCAGTCTAGCAGCGTAACCCATGGGTCATGAAAAGTGACTTAGCGTGCCACTGGACAAAACTTCAATGTCGAAACGTCGTATAGGTGTACTGATAGTACTCGAGAGCAGTTAATCAGGCAAAGTACTAGTGCAGAATCTCAGGCTTGAACGGGTGTTATGCAGCCTAGTACTAGTAGTAGTGTCCGCCGCGTGACTTCGCTGTGACGTGTCAATGTGTCAATGACCGAGTCAGGCGATTGCACTAAAACTTTTAGTCGTGCCTTCAAGTTTCTTATCCATGATGGACTCATGCTCGACACCATCTCAGCGAGTCGTGGTGACATAGAAGTCAGCATCTAGTAAGCATGTAGCTGATCTGCGCTCAGTCACGGTCAATACCCTCATAACAAAAAGTAATTGACCGCTGTTATTTGATATGCAACTAGAACAGAAACTAGGAGCAGACAGCCTTCGGTTATAACTCATCGCTCAAGTGATTCCTTCTCCCATTAGCACTCAAGTGTCATGACAATGACCCCGCGACGCGTCCGGCCTCGGGACATTGAAAATCGTGGCGGTAATCGTTGTCTGGGTCTAGTAAGTGCAAATAACCAAGGATTGATAAGTATGCTCTGAATTTTAACCCTTGACACTCACCCTTAGTGCTGGAGCTGTACCTATGCTCCATTATTTCCTTCTCAGTGGCGTACCGGTACGTCCACGACTTTTCCCCCATCATCCAGCTATCCACGTGGACGTCGTGGTTCAACACTAGAGTTCGGGGTGAATAATAGTGTGCTCCCATCGAGGACCGACTTACTACTCATCGAATCTCCGTCAAAATCACGTTTTGCGAGCTGTAAAATTTAGTTAGTTGCTTATTCCATTCGTAGGAGAAATTAGCTCACCTCCATCTCTTGGACTCTTTTACATCTGTCCTTGTGCCTGTTCCATAGAAAATCATGGTAAACCCAACGCTTGTCGAGTTGGAGGAGCTCGCCGCATGCGCGGCACCTGATTGATTCAGGTGTCACCTCACACGCATATTCGTCATTCTCGAGCTCCTGTTTCCGCTCATCCCCATTTCTTCTCAGCTTGCTACTATCGCCAACGATGAATTGGTCGTGGTTGTGGCCACCAACACCAAGGCTCTCCACTGAGAGCCTTGAGGGACTCGGGGTGGTTGCTGCGGTTGGTGAGATGCTGCGCGGACAGATGGCCCAGTGTTTATTAACAAGGGCGTTGACCGTGGGCCAGTCAAGGCCATCACATTTCAAAACGGCAGAACACCTCGCGCACGGAATGCGGTTAGTGGGTGTTTTGGTAGTGGGTTTTTTGGTAGTGGCGCGGACCATGTCTGTCTGGTGCACGGTGGTTGAGGTACTGGTTCTTGATGATTGCAATTTTTTTTGTACACGGAAAAATGCCCTTTTAAATGTCGCTGTGGACCTTGTCGCAGTGGCCCGGAGTTTGGGTCTGCCTCGGAGTCCCATTGTCCACCCTTTACAGGTTCTAGAATACGCGTGGGTATTCCAAGGCAGGCAATCGCTCTCATAAAAAAATCATTCACCGCAGGCCAATGTGCTCTCTAAGGCTCTTGTGTATTGGAGTATGATCTTCATATTCTCCATACAAGGCCCGTCGAGGTTCTCGACCTTGATTATAGGTATGTCGACACCAATCAAAACATTGGGAGTGTCCGCCGTGTTCACCATACATACCAACGTTTCAGAAGTGCGCCAAACCTCGGGCCCCAAATTTACGTCAACAACTAGACGGCTGGACAGGTGGTAGTATGTATGTTACAGGTCTTCGTGAGCTATCTTTCTCCTATGGATGTTTTCAGGACTGTGCGGGAGTCCACGCTCGCTATTCCACAAGCGGTACACAATGGTGCACATGGACGTTGATGACAGGCTTGTTTCGGAGTTTGGAGGTTTTTCATGGCCCGGTGATCGTTTGATCGCTTGCACAACACTCTTTCTCAGACCCCGTGTAGCCACGATTTCTAGCAATCATCTTGAGCCGTCTAGACACCAGAGCTAAAGAAATACGCGTCCAAAAAAAATTAGAGATCACCGAATTCATTTGTTTCGTCCATGTATATTAGCCGCTAGCGTATTCTCTTCGATTCCTCCAGTTCAAGCCTCTACCCGCCCCCCGAGACAATCCCAGTTTCTTCTTTCAAGTCCTTTCCTCGGTGATGTGAAGACTCAGAAGTTGTTTCCGCAGGCAGATAAAATGAAATAAACTGTGTGCAGTTAAGAGGCATACGTACCTACAGTGGCGAAGCTCTCACACTGAACAAATGATTAGAATAAATAAAACCCTGTCGACAAGGCGAGCCGCGCAGCGGCATTGCTAGTCACCGCAATTACAACCTATTGACTGTGCCGCCTAACCCTTGACAGAGGAATTCGAGCTCACTCCTCCATGCATATTGTGGCATGTGCGTCTGTCTTCGTAGCCATGCCAAGAGTTTCAAGAATCTCGATATAATCATCTAGAACATCAGAATCGTATTTACGGCAGTATTGGTCGTAATGATGGCTGTACTGATCTGAAGGGGGTAGTTCTGATCAGAGGTGTGGCTGGCAACATGCCATGCCATCCTCGTCAGGTCCCACCACTGTTTTCTCGTGATGTTGGCAAGCTGAGGAGCGGTCCGCTCTGGGTGAGCGGTCTGAATGAGGAGAGAGTGTGTGCGTAGATGTAAAAAAAAAGTAAGAAGGAATTTGGTATTGGTCCCAAATACCAGGGATCTCTCCAATGCCACCGCTCAGTAAGTCCACATGTTTCAAAGCTTCATACACCGCATATCATTGTGCTTCGATGGTGGCGCACTAGAATCAGTACTTTTCTCTGATTGCGCCTTCTAACCGCAGCTCGGGTATGGGAACACCCCGATTAACCACATCATTACTTTCCATATCACATTTCCTTTTGAAACTTTCCTGTTCGAATCGCAGGGTTTCCCCTCTTGTTGAGCGTTGCCCATTTTCAGATGGTAAATGTTTTACCAGTAATGCGGACCAGCCCACCACACGCAATTTTTGATGCGCTGTATATCTGACCTGGTCGACCCTGTCCTTTATCTGCCTAGTCATGGTTGTCGAGGGGCCTATAGCAATTTATGTTGTGTTGTTTGAAGCCTATCTGGACGAAATGATGGACATAAATTTATGCCGGTGAACTATCTGTCTCGAGGAGTCAACTCCATGTCAGTCGCTGGTAACACTGACGATGTACACAGCTACCTACGCCGTCAAATAAGACAATTTTGTGATGTTTGTGGTGTCTGCGGAGTGGTAGGTGGTTCAATGTACATCATCTTATACCATGATATAACCAACCATAATAGTTGAATACATGCTGAACGTTCACCGTGTAATTTGGAGAACGATTACTCACTGCCGTCAGGCAGTAACTTCTGACCCCAGCACGCTCAAATCCCGATGGTTATCCACTCATCCGTGGCCCCCACAGAACTCGACACCTATAGATGTTAATAGATCAAGGCCAACCAAAAGCATCTCCCGCCCACGCGAGAAATACATTCCCATCAGTTAAGCGCCTCCCAAACCCACCCAGACCAGTCATCCTGTTCAGTCCAAATCTCACTCCACAAACAGCGCCGAATAAGCCACAGGTTCCGCTGGAACCATATCAGACAAACAAGTCATCTCGATGGCATCAGAGCCGCGTGCATCCCGGTCGATATGCCAAAGATGGAGATGCATGCGTGTGGCGAGGATGGCAAGGATCAAGACCTCGAAACTGTACACGTGTGTTTTAGGGTGTTGTTAGCAGGAACTCGCAGCATAATTCAGAGGCACATACTCTTCAAAGAGGGAGTGATATGCGGACTGGGTATGCAGAACATTAATGACTCTATCACACAGGGTATTTGGGGGTTCACGCACACCGTCAAACAACATTAGTATGAGGACGTTGACAGCCGAGAGAACTTTCGGAACAAGAATCATCACCTATGAGCACGGAAATATGAGTATGTCCTGACTCACACAAACCGGATGCATAGTAGGATATGTTATGCTTCACCAGGTTGGCGTACAGAGGGCCGTTATTCGTCCGCCAGCTCAGTATAGCACGTATGAGGGTGAGGGTGATTAGTCCTGAAAGAACACCAATCAACATAATATCTGTAAAAGGATGCTTCCAGTTTCCGGCTACAAACCTAGTTGAAATGCAAACAAGAGAAGAAATTGCATGAAGCTGGTCGAGGTCCTGAAGCAGGCTGGGAGGCCTGGAATTGCACTGGTTGTAACTGCGAAAGCGGAGTGAGTATATGCGAATAGTGATGGGGGGAGGTGAGAGTACAAACCTTGTGATGCGGCAACGGTGATGAAACCAACGACGATGGATGCAACCACAGTGCCCTGGCCATTGCATTCACCCCGAGCTTTGGGTGTGGAAAGAGTGAGAGGACTCACGAGAAATGCGGACAACACGGCCGCGAGTATGGTTCTATTGTTGCTCCAGAGCGCATATGTCCTGAGGACAAAAAATACTAGATTAATCAGATCAGGAGCACGTGAAATTGGAGGGGAAGGAGAGATACATTCAGAGCAACCGATTGATATTATGCCGAAACCTGTGTGAGGAAAAAATGGCGCTCGGCAAAGATGTGCATGCTGCATGTGCCATAGACATACATGAGTGAACATTGAGCGACATCCGGCATGTCTGTGAAGTCGTGCGGTAAGCATCATTCATCAGTAGGTACTAAGTCCACTGCATATTCACATACGTTGGTGTTTTCGTTCGGGGTGAAGTACTCTGGAGCACAATAAGTGAATTCACCATCGGCAAGATATGTGCTGGAGCCGAACGCACGATATAGCTCAGTGACGATGAAGACAAAGGGGGCATGTCGTGTAATGATATAAAGGCCCTTTATCTTGGTCCAGCGCGACCGAAGGAGGAATGTCCACTTTGAACAGTATATATAAATACTGAGGCGTATTCCGAACAAATACATTACCTCTTCGTGCAGTAAACAAGCATAATCATAGGTCTGGATTCACAAGTTTAATGACGGACAGGAATAGGTCCGGACAAGCCTACCCAGAACGCTGCCATCGACGCTGAGCTACCATGTTAGCACCAGGAAGAAGTGGTTCAGAAAACCACACGCACTGCACAAGTACTGGTGGCACATGGTATATCTGTCAATATTTTGACCTCGCATCAACAAAGAACGCACCGCTAAGAACTGCAGACTCCTGGCTGCTGTGATATTGTCAGCTGAATACTCTGTCTGCATTCATGTAAGAGGTAGTAAGAAAATGAAAAGGGATTTCGCGCACACCTCACGCACCTTCTTATCTCTTGTGAACATGGGCTGTGAACTCAACAAGGGGCATAGCTAAATCGATGGGAAACCCTTCAGATCACGGGCTTAACGAGGAAATTGGTTGAACTGTTGATCACTGGCGCATAATTGATCTCGTAACACTGCCCACTGGGGTGTCACATGTCACAGGGCGCCCAAATTCCATCATCGCCTCGTTTCTGAAGTGTGTTTCTGAATCATTCTCCATCCCTAGCACCCTCCGGATCTCCAGCCGGCTTCCCTCCCACTCTCAGCGCCTTGGAGCCTTAGCGGTGCAGCCTCTGGAATGAGGCGACCCACCGTGACTTCATGTTCCCTGTCAACTTCTCTGACTACGTGGATGACAAAGAGAACAAATTGAAGAAGACGAAGTGTCTGAACCTTATCTGGCGGACAAGGCAAACAAAAAGCGTTTCAAAGACTCGTCCTTGGTTGAAGTGCAAAATAAATTAGTCGAGGCACTCTTGGGTGGGCATTAGCGATGCACTTACAATGAATGATACGTAAATACAGCTGTATGAACAATGCGTGGTCACTAGTTAACATACACGCGAGACGCAAGTCCAAAAGCAAGCAGACGAGAATCGTGAAATGAATGCAGCAAACGATCAGAAGGCTGCTTGCTGGTTATTCACAATTGCCTAGACATCGCCGTGTGACCCTTGGTAATGGGTATTTGCAGGATACGGGAGAACTCTGCAGCTGGGAGAGTAGCAGCACATGCGTTGACTATTGAGGCGACAGAGGAAGGGGCAGGATTGTGAGCGAAGACAATATGACGGGTGCGAGATAGCGCGATTGTCCTCTTCTGCTTGAAATGGAATACAGATCGTAATGGTTGTCTGTCAATACATTGGACGGAACCTGCTGGTGATTCAAATGAAGAAGTGTTGTCGTAAGAGGGAGGTGTGTCAGTCACGGAGCATGCTTTCATCGAAGACTTCAGACTTAATAGCCATTGTGGGGGAACAGGGAAGCAAAAAGATGGAATGCAAAGCCAAGTGAGAAAAAACGGTCCTGCCAAGCTCTGCCGCTAGGAAAATTGATCGGATTATAATGCTAGTGGGTGCGGTAGCTCTCGTGGTTCCCCAGTGGAGACCATGTCGTCAGGGAAGAGCGGGGAGGCTGTAAGATATTGATCCTGAAGGCACTGAACGTTCAACGGTCGAAGGCAAGCTGGAAGTTGTCTTTCTTGTATCAACAAAGAACAGAGAGCTCGGCAAGCGGCCCGAAGTGCGCTATGGCGCAATATATGCAATTGCTGGCTGCCATTTGAAGACTTGACTGAGGACAGACACTTTGTATGCGATTGGTGAAGTCCAGAGGGTGTTGACAATCTTGTAGACTCGGAGTTGCCTAAAGGCGTGGAAAGGAAGCGGTGGCAAAGCGCGAACAATGAATCAGTCGCGTGACCGGCTTTTGCTGTGACGTGTCAATGTGTCAATGACTCGGATGAGGCGACAATATCAATGTCAACACTAAAGCTTTCACTGAGTCGTGTCTTTCTTATCCATGATGGACTCAGGCTCAACACCACCTCAGCGAGTCAGGGTGACATAGAATCCATGTCAGCATCTAAGCAGAGTCTAACTGATCTGCGCTCAGTCAACGTCCTCTTCAATTCACCACAATAAAGAAGAAATGATCGCAGTGTTATTGGATATCATACAAGCACAGGAATTGGGAGCAGAAAGCCTTCTGGTATACGATTGTTGCTCAAGCAATCTCCCGTCGGCACTCGGGCGTCACGAAAATGACGCGTCCGAGCTAGAGACCCACGATCATCTAAACAACTTCATTGTTGCACTAGTAACAAAGGGTTGATAAGTATGTTCTGAATTTTGGCCTTTGAAACTCACCTATGGTAGCAATCAATAGCGCTGAACGTCAATGGCGTCCCGATGACCCCTCTCCACCCTACCAGGAGTCGTACACGCTAGAGTTCGTGGTGAGTGATAGTGTATCCTCCCATCGAGGACTGACTTACCGCTCATCAATTCTCCGTCATCAGACGGACGTAAAGCTTCTGCAGCTTTGGCCAGCTGTAAAATTCAGTTGGTTGGTCATTCCATTCTCAGGAGAAATGAACTCACCTTCATCTTCTTCACGTCTTCACACTTGTCCCTGTGCTTATTCCAGAGGAGAGGGAAGTAATCCGACCTTTGGTCGAGTTTGTAGAGGCCATGGCACCCGCGGCACATGACGGTTTTTGCAGTTACGTCGTAGGCATACGGGTCGGCTTCGAGCCCACGCCGCCTCTCCTCCAGGGTTTTGTTCTTCCGCGTTTTTCTCCTTCCCTGGTCCAGGGTTTTTTTCTTGGCCTTGCGACGAATACCTAAGCTCTTAGTAGAGATCCTTGGGGGACTTTGTGGGTTTGGGGTTGGTGCAATGGTCATTTGCGCAGGGGCGTCGTGGCAGGTAAGCCTAGCAAGGCTGCCTGCACAAACCTCCCAGTGCTGCACAACTATCCTGTAGAGCGTGGGCCAGTCACCCGTAGGGCTCTCCAACACAATCGGGCACTTGATGCACTTCTGCCTGTAAGTGCAGGTTGTGGATTTTGCGGCGGTGGTGTTCATATCTGTCTAGTGTGTGGCAGTTGAGGTACTGGTTCTTGATGGTTACAATTTTTTTGTACTCGGAAAAATCCCCTTCCAGAAGTAGATGTGGACCTTGTCGCAGTGGCCCGGAGTTTGGGTCTGTAGGAATCCTATTGTCCACCCTTTGCCGGTCCTCGAATTTGCGTGGGTATTCCAAGGCAGGCAATCGCTTCTCATGAAAATTCACTCACAGCAGGCTGATGTGTTCTCTAAGGCCCTTGTAAACTACAGTATGATCTTCGCTTTATATTCAGTTTAGTGGTCGCTTGCATTACAGACGAACTATCAGACACGCTGTCCAGAGTTCGTGCATGTTGACAGTGTCTCTGAAAAAAACCAGACGGACTCCTGACACGCATGAAGCCTTTACGGACTAAGCATACGTCCTGTGTATAACTCCGCTTCCGCTCCACAAATATAATTCCAAGTGGCGAGTAATTCTGTTTACCTTTTTATTTAACAAAATTAAAATAAGAGAGCTGATAAGTCCAATCTGTCCACATTTCGGGTAAGATGCAGCCGTCCATTGTTCTCTATACGAGGCTCGTCGAGGTTCTCGACTGTGATTATTGGTATGTCGATACCAATCAAGTCGACAATTTACGCCATGTTCACCATATCTACCGAACTTTCCAGAAGTAAAAAAAATATCGGACCCTGAGCGCAGATCAAGAACTTGACGGATGCGCAGGTGTTAGCATGTACGCTCCAGGTTTTCGTGAAACATATTTCTCCTATGGCTGAACCCTTCCACAGTGTCGAAGTGTTTACGAATGCATTTGCTCACCTTTGAATATATAGATGAAATTCAACCTTGCAGTACGGGATCATGAAGCGTGAGATAGAAAGGACCGAGGCAGAGACTAGCTAGTACTCCGATATAAATTAAGTTCGAGAAGCTTGCAGTAAGTGTATTATACAGCCTACCACTTATGCCAGGCTGATTCTCCAACTCCAATATAGTGGGTATGAGCGTCCCGACACCAGCTTCGCCTACTCCCTTCAGTCCCAGTCCAGCTGCCAACCTGCCAACCCATAAACCTCCCCTGCCCCAACGTTCCTCCAATTTGGTTTCACAGATATCATTTCCAGCACAACTGGCGAAACAGAAACTGCTATCACCCCGGTCAGCAGGCCATGGAGCCAGGCAATGGACTACGCATTTCCTCCCTGTGGATGGACCTTCTTCGACACCAGGTGGATCTGCACTATTCGACATCAAGTCTGTGGCAACATCAATAGCAGGCGTCGACGAATTACATAGAGGTGGGATGCTTTTTGATTATTGTGCATTGGTTAATGCGATAGGTCATGGACGGAAGATTCACGTCTTTTGGTCACTGGTAGCATCTATTAGGAACGGAGCCCTTCGCCGGACGCGTTCAATGGTCATCCGTGGAGTGAGCTACTGTCTCGTCCAGAAGACACGCACGCTGGAACTAAATAGAGAATGGTAGAGTTTTTTTGGCTAAACGCGGCCCAGTGCGCAGTCGTCATAATCTGCCTTTGGGTGCAGACAAGGTTCCCCAAATGCACGAGCATAAATACTAACTATTGGCAGGGGTAAACATACGTGCTCCACAGCACACCCTCTACTACACTCTAGTACTCTTGCTCCAAGATGGCTGCAGTTCAACCGACTCCTCATTGCAACGAACGCGATGCCCTGTCCCCCTCCTGCCGACCGCGCTCCTTCACGGTACCTGGAGCTCGTCAGCCGCAGTTGCAGCCCCAAGACATGCCACGAAGGACAACCATACCAAGTACCACATGTTGTACAACGACGTTCAGTGGCATAAGTGCGTGTGCATTTCAATCAATCCCCATCTCAGTTTGTTGATTCACGTGTCAATGAAGCCATATCAAATATCATGCGCTGGGACTGCATGTCTTAGGCGCCAGCGGGATCCTATAAACAATACAGCGCCATCCAGCGCCCAGCCGTCGAGGCTCCCGAGACGACCACGCACTGTTTACGCAGTTGAATTTGGAACGTGTTATCAATCGTCAGTGCATGGAACTGATAGTACGCTGACCTAACTTAATTTTCTCTGACAAGCCAAGGACGAGTCTGTGAGACACTTTGCGTTGTCCGCCAAATGAAGTTCAGGTCCAGGATACCGGGGATAGACTGTACAAGAGCCAGCTCGTTGCTTGTTTCCGCAACAGGAGGTCCCAAAAATGCCTGCGCATGACACACGAGTTTATGATGCGGCGACATGCAAGATTATAAGCTCGCGCCCATCGATGTTATCATATTGATAGAATTAGTTACTACCCAATACAAAGGAATGAAATACATTCTACAGTTAATATTATTCTACCCGCCCCAAATCAACTTCGCACCGAAAGCAAAAGAATCACGGAGAGCTTGCTTGCCGTCCCAGACAAGGCTCCGAGCGCGAGTGGGTCGCACTCAGATATCGCACCGTGTCATCCTGATGTTCCATTGACAAATGACACGTCGCAAGTGGTCTGACAAGGTTCAAGTTGCGCGCGTAGTTTAGCAATGACAAGTCACTCTACGTTGCCAAACTGCGTACGCAACCTCGAGATATTGTAAAGTAGTCGGCTGCCGCGCCTCATGACCGTTACACCAAAAGGTAGAAATACTGAAGACTTAGTCTTCAGTACCCGCGACAGTATATGTATTGATTATGAGAACTCAAGTAAGCCAGCGTGCTTACAGATATGTCCAAGAGCCAAAGTACTGTAGTAGAGGCCCTGTTGATGCCCGTGTGCGAGCATACCGCTATGAGGGAGGGATTCAGCAAGCAAATTAAAGAGATAAAACGCGTCGACGGTAAACCAGATGTTCTGCGCATACTCTATGAAGGAACAAAGAATGACTAAGGCAGTGAGGTGCTTCGTGTGCATCATGATTGAAATGGGCGATGTAGCGGAGCTTGAATCATTCGAAGCCTCGGCCTTGAATATGTGGCGCAGGATGTGATCTCCCGCGGGCCTTACTGAAAACTTTCCCCTACATCGGGATTCGGCAAGTCATGAATCTCATAATGGCAATATCCATACTACATATTGTACAGTGATAAAACACTTCGACACCGTGGTGATCTTGGCCAATCAAATTCAAGTATTTTACAAGTTGACTCATCCAAGCATGCTGCATCAGACCGAATCTTTGTGAGTCGCCAGCCATCCACTCTGTCAAAAACCAGACTCAGCGAATTGCCAAAATTAAGAGCGATACGCTTACGTTGAAAACAGCTTCATGGTGCTGCCAATCGCATAGGTAAACAGGTCGATCCTCGTCCTCTACGTGCTCAGCAACAGCAGCCGACACCAGAGAAATTTCCACGGGAGTAACTCTGCGAGAGGTGGCACGGTGTTGTGGAACCTGGGGTGCCTCCAGCCCTCCCTCAGCCCCAGCAAGCTCTGAGCCACTAGCATCCACAAGCTTTCCGACGAACTCCCTCTTGATGTGAGCAAGGGTCTGGCTGAATGTAGTCCCTGAGTCGCTGCCCCCGTTTGATTTGATGATACTTCCGATCAATTCTGGAGGGATGGGAATCATCCCGCGAATAATAGATCCCGCCTCACGACGCACGGCACATGCTTTACAAGGAGAGTGGTCTGGCCGTGTAAAGACCGTGACGGTACCTACAACTTGCGGACTCGAATGAGCATTCCCTTTATGGTGGAGCTGGAATGAGTAAGAGCGGTTGTACGCATGTTCCAGAAGTTTCACGTGCACAACAAATGTGCGGTAGTGAGGAATAACGTTATGGTCACTTGGCACGGCAGGATCTTCCTTGTTCGGAACCGGCAAATGATTCCAACTGCGCAACGCCACCTGTTTCGCCTTGGTTTGCGGATCAAAATCGTAGAAGGTTTGCACCCTCTTGCGCGCTAAGGCACGCTCTTGGGATGTTACGGCAGCTTGATCGACCTTAATGCCTTCAAACTCGGGAAACGAGTAATCTGCTCGAAGTAAGCTTATGTCATCCAATAGACATTCCTACGTACACTTGGGGTATGCCTTTTTATCCAAAGATCGAGCCTGAGAAGAGGTCCAGTAGTCTCCGTGTTCTGTTCGGAATGGTTGGAGTGGTCCGTCTGGAAGGAGTTGTTCGTTATAAACTTGCGCGTATGTGCCTCGCGCCTATGAGACTACTGTTGAGTACCTGTGCGGGAACATCGTCCAACATGAACGCATACCTGTGTCCAAGGGTATTGTTCCCCATCGTGTTCATACCCGTCTCCCATCCAGTACTCGGTATAGCACCACTCCCACAGAGCCACTTTGGGAATTCAGTAACAGGACAACGCCCTCGAACAAAATCATACATACAGAGTCTGTCCACATTCGAATGGTGAACTGAAGGGAACGACGTAAGTAATGCATAACAGTAAGATGGAACTGTTCACGCACGGAAAAAAATAGGGTCGAAACCAGCCTATGTGAAGATGAGAGTCAACATTATTGCACAAAGACAGAGAGCGAGTTGCTCACGTAGTCTGGGTAACTCTGCAAATTTGGTCAATATAGATCAACAGCATCATTCGTACACAAGCATCTGCAACTGACCATTTGTCCATTTCCACCCTGACTCGTCGCTGGAGTAAGCACGCGTCAAAGTTGGAACAAATGTATTCCACCCACAAGCAAGTTATGAACAGTGTCGTGCACGCCTTCAAGCGACCCACGGTTGACGAAGTCTATATCTCTCTTCGATTCTGCGGTGTGGTTAGAAAAGTCGTCCCAGCTATCATCATCTCAGTCAACATATAAACATTGCTGGCAGAAGCTAGGACGCACGCTATCGCGGAATTCTCGTCATCATTGAACGTAAAGAGATGAGCGACTCTGCGTCTCAGATCATTTGCTCCGGCTTTGAACGCCCTTACAAAATGCAAAATCAGCGCCAGCTTCATGCGATTTGTCTCCGTCGATACTTACTTTTGCAACAAGTCTATCTGGCTGCCTTCAGGGTCCGTGGTACTAGGAGGGTAGCGGTACGTCCTGTTCCACTTGGAGAAATACGCCACTTGTCCTGTCTACAGACCACATTGAGCAAGTTCAATGATCTGAAAAGGGAAAGGCAACATACCGAGCTATCCGTCTCGTCGCTGAAGTCGGATGGCACTCCGCCAACGTACGAGAAATATGAGAGCGGATTAACAACACTTTGTTTTTTACCTCCAGGAAGTACGATTTCCACCTTTTCTTCGTACAGAACAGGAGGAAGGCCGTTCTCGGCTACATCCTTGTCGGCCCAGTCCCAGTATCTGCGTGCAATGTAAATGTCTTTATCAAGGTGCTGGGAATGACTTAGCACGTACGGAAAGCGCAGTTCATTGGCAGCCTTGACCCACTGTCCTCTTTCTCCCGGGTTCTTAGTTTCAATGTCGTGGGCCAATTGTTCAGCGATGTTTCCGATGGATTGCTGTAATACGATAGAGCCGAATTGAGCAGCTGGTAAGGCGTGATCATCTGTTAAACATACCTCAATAAGCATGACGTATGGGCGATGCCAGGTAGGAAAAACAACGGCGCCATGGCTGAAGAAATGTTTCAAATCAACAAAGCGAGAGGGTATACACCAGCTTACTTGCAATAACCTGTCGCACAACATTGTCAGGCTGCGGGGAACAACGATGGAAACGATAGGCATACCTCCGAATCTGGAAGGAACAGGGTTGGTATCTTTCTTGTCAGTGGCGCTATAGTCAGCTGAGATGTCCTTGTTGCGGTCGCCAGCCCATTCAACATAAGGCTTGCCGTGAATTGACGCAATTTCCATGAAGGTGGCCGCAGGCTCTTCGACAACCTCGAAACCATCTGAACGCTGCTGGATCGCATTGAACGCAAGGATGAACAATGTAAATTGGTGGGGATGGTCTTTCTGCAGCGTCTGGATGGGCAAGCGATCGAATACTCCTCGAGTACCCTTGCGGCCAATCACGGGATAGTGGTATTCAGCAGAGCTCATTGTTGGACTAGGTTAGAGAGCGGTAAGAGATTAGGTGTGACCTGGTGTTGCGCCATGTCTTTAGTGCTGCATTTATATGCACACTACAGACGCCCAGACAGAGCCCCCCCGCGCACAGCGATGACACATTGCAGCGGTGATCGGTGATTGTAACAGGTGACCGACCAAAGTTGATGCGGAGACTTGCGATGGCACTGGAAATGTATGCAAAAGCAGAAATTCCGTAAAGAACGACGTGGTCCAGTTGTGATTGATAGGGAATGAAATGGAATATACCGGTTGCCGAGTTCTGCTGCGTAGCGCCTATAGAAATGAATTTGAAGGACTATTATACCAGCAAGAAATTTCAATTGTCATGGGTAGACCTCCGACAAAAGAAAACGACCAATCATACCGTGAAATGTAGGAATGACTGTCTCCTATATTGGGTAGTCTGCATACTGACCAAAATTGTGATACACTTGCATGTAAGCACTGACATCAAGGCGATGATGGGCGCGTTATTCATCTGTCCTTGATCTCGGGCGTAACATCGGAAGGGCATTAAACACCGTGGCAGATGAGGCACCTCAATAGCCACCTGTCGGAGCCATCACACTGCCGAGATTTCGTCCATGTAAGTTTGTCTGCGTGCGCCCAGTACGCGTTAGTGTGCATGTATATGCAAACTCGAAGACACGGATTCGGAACATCAGATTACACGTGAACGAACTATATCCGAAAGATAAGATCCTTTCAATTAATTGATGCGACTGATTCGAATGATAATAATGGTGCCACCGGTAATAGGGGTGTGCTATTGGGAACTCGGGAAACGCCGTATTGTGACGGCAGAACTTTGAGAGTTGAGCCTGGTTTAAGCAACGTATCAGGAACTTGTAAAAACGGTGGTCGAGGGCAAGACTCAGTAGACTCGAGCGGGAGGCGAAGATATCTACCTTGAAGCCTTGTCCCATCAATTTTCTTTCGACTGATTGGCAGCTTGTCACTAGCATCAACGTTGTGGCTGCCAGGCGCCCGCTCCACTCTTAACCCCCCGGCCACCCCAAGAGTAGGCTACTTAGTGAGGAGGAAGCATTTTGGGTGCTTCGAGAGCAGAAGCTTGAGAGTGGAGTCGGCCGTTTGACGTCATCCCTACAAAGTAAACAATAAGTAGTGGCTCTGTTGGGAGCTGCTTTAATGGTGATTTTGGGGTACACTACCTCGTGGTGCACAAGGAAGAAATTTGCAAAACACTGAAATCGAGATGTGCAAGCTGTTCAAGAGGCCGGGCGGCTCCGAACAAGATCTCAATCAGACGAGCGCATCAGAACCCTCGGCAAGCGAGGACATGCAATACCACCCTTGATTTCTTGCAAAAATCGTGCTGCCCCTTGTTGATTAAAGTGTGTCAGTATTGTGTACCTGAAGAACGTTGAACATAACGGTTGAAGAATGATGATGTAACACTCGCTGGTGAGGTGCTGCATATAGCTCTAAAAACCTCATCAAGATAGCTCATCAGCTGAGTGCAGATGTAGCAGATTGCGATGAAATACAAATGATACTCAGGTCTGTGGAGATGGATGAACTAGATGACTTAGTAGGTAGATGACATAAACATACGCTGAGCTTCGGGAGACGTGAATTGACGGAGTGCTTGTATGTCCCTATACGTGCACTGCCAAACAATGTGCCATGTGGAGATTCTTGGTAGCAAACACAGTATTGATTGCTGATCATTGTATCATTGGGGTGACAGTGCCAAGGTAATGCCGGATGCCCGCATAGGCTAAGTCAAAGCGTCGGTCACCGACGAATAAGCGCCATTCGGTATGTAGACGCAAATCCGTCGTTGAGTCGCTGAGTCGAAGATGAACGGTTTTGATTATACTACAGATGAGTAACTGCTTGCAGCGGGCGCTCTCAGCCAAGTACTATATATACATAGTGAGGACCTCGACAGCTCATTGAGGAAAGAAAATGGTAACTTACTGCAAGTTCAATTTGGGCGTTTACCGGACTAGCAACTATCTGCTGAGCACTGGGCCACCGGTGGTACAGTACTATAAGATGAAGTTTGAACCGATCATGATGAATTGATGAACATGATGATTGACGAGAAACGCCCACGCGGCTTATGTCAGCTCTTGCTGCAAACTCGCAGAGCCAATTAAATTTGGCTAAAAAGGGCTGAAGCTGTCACGGTTTTACGCATCTTTTGGATTTCCTCGCAGTCATCGTTGTTTTGTATCTTTTTTTTCACCTGTGTGTCAGAGCGCCTCTTTCAAGTCGGGGTTGTAGTCGTCCCCATGCAGCTCAACGAGCAGGTTCGGGAGAAACATTCGACGTGACGACGTCGACTATTTCCCTAGAGGAAACTGGTCCTTTTGTGTGGGGTTCGCTTGGCATTGGACTCAGCATAGATCTGAGTGTGCTCGTGGCAGAATGGTACGGTTTCTAGCGCGTTTAGTCATTCTGTAGAACTCACTGCTCTGAAGCATCCATATTAATATTAGGTGGAGGTGCAAGGACGCCGAGAATTAGCGCCAATAAATTAGCAAGAGTTTGCTTCGGTGCGTACTTTCCTCTACCTACGTGGTACCTGGAAGTGGCTGAAGATTCTTCGCTAGCCAGCGTCGTCTTTTGCGAGGTGGTTGCAATTAGGCTAAGGAGTTGTATGCACCCCTCCTGTATTCCTGCATTCATCGTCATCTTATGACGGTAGATCACGGGCATCGTGCACTCTGCCAAACTCTAGAGCGCTCAAGAAGTATAGTTCTACACAAGGGGCAAATGCTTCACCGGTAAGCTGCCCCCTCCGCCATCGTTATACCTTCCTAACATTCACAGGCTATGTGCTATTCTTCGGAGGTCTCGCGGTTCTGCAACCGTCTCTGTGGGATTTGCGTTGGGCGTGCAGGCAGCAGTGCTGCGCCTGCCGATGCATCAGTTTCGCGAAGATGCTTGTAGTAGAAGTATTTAGAAATGCGCCCGGGTTCATTTTATTGACCAGTGAGTAAGCAAACCAAATGTCATGTAACTTGCTCACTCGATGGAAGTTGGTCCTCTGATGATTGCAAACGCAAATGAGTTCATTTCCAGGGCCAACTACAGTGTCCATGGCTTAACTTCATGTATAATAGTCAATCACTTAAGTATTACGCCCCAAGTGTGGGGCGCATGTTCAATGACCTGTCTGTCAATCTCTCTTGACACTTTCAGCAGTGATTGAATTGCCTAAACCTACCCACTATTATCTACTTTTCTTCAAATACGCAGGTGTATGATGCAGCAACTGATGAGATCGCATATTTTCCAGGCCGATGCAACAAACTTACCGCTATAGGCAATGAGAGAGTTACCAGGTCTTGGAATGTCCGGTTAGCTTGGCTCGGGGCACACCGATGAAAGTGCCATGCCTCACTGTTCTGCACATGTTTTCTCCTGCCGTTGTGAAATGGAACTTTTGGGTATGTCCTCGCTCAGCTCTCCGTCTCTTTGTCCAACCCATCAACTTCAGACGCCAATCAGGTATGGTGCTGATCCGCACTCGCTTTTAACTTATCATGTCCAATTTCTATCTAAGTTGTTCTCTAGCATAGGCAAATGGGCGTGCACACAGAAATCGCGTGTCGATGTGGTGGAGCTCGTGCCGTCAAGAGATCCCTGGGCACCAAAGTACGGGATATTGCAGTTACCCAGGAGGAAATTTTGAACACGTGACTACAGGTTATAAACGCAAGTGTCACGCGCCTTCCGTGATAGTAATACTTGAGGTTTGCTCGATTTAGATGCACCAATAGCACCTCGGTGCTCCTGGCATTATGAACGAGAAGGGTAAGACTGACACTTTTGCAGCCGCGGGACTCGTGGTCCCCAGAAGCTTTAAATACGCATGGTTATTCACACTCCCTCGACCTGCGTCCTTATCGTCAATCAGTCAACTCCCAACAAGACAATGACAATGAACGGAAGGGTTTACGACGAGAAAACAGAAAGACTCTTCCCGGCGCCTTCCCCTCCGCCGACGGCACTCTGTCCCCAGAGGTTCCCAGGATGCAACCTCGAATCATTGACTGCGGTGCGGCACGCATTGATGGATAACTACACCCGATATCATATCTTCTGGAACGATATCAAGTTCCACAAGTGAGTGTATGGAAAAAGCACACTGATCGATAACTTACGGAATATCTGCCTAGCCACGTTACCCATCGAGCGCTTGCGATATACGCGTTAGGAGGGAGCGGCCCCGTAATTGAAGCGTTCTACAAGCAGGACGTCAAGGTTCAGAGAGCTGCTTTTGTATCGCCCCACCCCATCACAGCGCAGAATTTCGTTGATCATCTCAGTGACGCAAAGTGAGCAAATGCTTACCTTACATGCACCGACCTTGATATCGTTTTGTTCGGAATCGACAGCTACTACGAAGCATATACCACCTTCTTTGCCAATGCCATCGAAGAGAAGGGCGCCTCCGCAACCTTGGATGAATTCATCTTTTCCGAGAAGTACAACTTTCGGCCTGGCAGGGACGCGGATAGCCAGCCGGAAATGTTGTGCCGATTTGTGGATGCAGTCATGCATCCTTTGATTCAATGTGGACATGGCGTCGAGTTTGGCTTGCCAGGCATGCTTGCTGAGGGTAAGTCGCACGCTGGTGTAAAAGAGGAAGGGACACCACTTACTTCCGGTGAACCGGGTTAGGGCTTTCGTTGACGGCGATGCACGGTGTTCATGCCCCGGGATTCCTTCCACCATCAATGTTTGCCGCCCAGCCTAGTGACGACATAGGCGCCATGATGAACGGTTTTGCGTCGTTGGTGCTTGATGGCCAGTCCTCTGCGACACATCTCAAGGCACCAAGTGGACAGAATACCCACGCTTTCTCAATTCTTGCCCGAGTTCTCAAGGACCCCAGCCTTGCCTCGAAAGGTCCACGCCACTTCACCGGGCAATATCCTGACACCCTTAAGGCTCGCGGATACAGAATTAGCGAGCACGTTCAGAAATGGACGGTAGATCTCTCCAAACCTGGAGAGATCGAACGCAAGATGGAAGAGTGTGTTTGGACCTCCACCGTGATTTATGCTCTCGCAGGATGGAGAAATGGTTTTACTGCCGATTTCTTCCTGTGAGCACTGATTGTCATTCAGAGATATTCGGTACTTACAGATACTAGGATGCATATGGTCACTTCAAGTATCTTCCTCCCTTCGCTCATCGCATACTTGAATCCTCGAGCACAAGCCATGCTTCTCCGCGCATACCTCACAAGTGCTGTCACTTGGTTTGTGGCACGCGGCCGCCCCTCCCTGAACTTCAAGTCCTTCTTTGAGTCGACGCCTACGGTGCCGAACCCCCCGAATAGCCCCACTGTCCCACCAGTGGAAGGTATCCCAGCACAGGATGCGCAGACACCCAACCCCTTCCTTTCTCTCATCCAATCATCTATAGTGCACCCCAGTGACCATTACCCAAAGACCCAACGAGCTTTGGCACACTTCTCCACCATCTACGGGGCCCGGCCCAAAGGATACTTTGCTGGCACTGAACTAGATGGGGCAGAGGAACTTGACGGCTCGTTGTTCGTGCGAGCAGCCGTGCTGACTGCGGATTACATGGGATGGGCCAGAGAAGGGGAAGAGGCGAGAAATTGGGGTCTCGACGGGTTCTATGTGTAAGTGAGGAGATTGAAGCGCGACGGCTAATAGCTATTATATCTGGAGCAATGATGTGGACTAGTTCAAGATGAACCTCACTTTCCTTCATGTGTAATGTTCGAGGGAAATGACCAAGGTTCTTGACAGAAATAATCGGTGATGTATCACAACCCGCAGGATCGTATTAGAAAAAACGTAAATGACACCTGGTGGTAAAGTATACTACAGCGTATCCAAAGTCTGTGCAACGTCCAAAGTAATGTAACGATTACAAATCATAACATTAGCTATGTGCCTGTAGATATTCGTGGCGCGGAGCAGACGGAGCGGAATCAACCCCATCAGAGCGATCCGTCCCAACGGAAGCCAGGTTTTGATCTTCCACAACAGGAATGGCTTCAGTGCTTGCCACAACTGCGTTGTCGCGTGGGTGATTCTCAGCGGGTGGAATATATCCTTGAGCGGCCACTCCACTGAAGTCGTACTTGGGAGGGCGATCAAATTTATTGTAAGCAGGAAGGATATCTTTCCCATCCCAATCTGGATCATCAGGTCCTCCAAATCTGCGCCCGGCAGAATCAGTATCCGCAGCATTTACTCTGCGATTAGGACGATGAACCGATGGGAGAGGGGCGAGAGGCATCAGACGAGAGGGTTGGTATGAAGAACTGAATGTATCGTTTCCAGGAGCCTCAGAGTGGTAAGAATTTGACGGCCCGATAGAGAAGAATTCTTTGGCAGATCGGTTCCTCCTTCGCAAGAAATATAATCTTGATAAAGATTAATAAATATCTTCATGGCGCCTCACGTGAAATCCCAAGGCGCACCTGGAAGCCACCAGGAGGAGCGCTATAATGACAGCGATGATGAAGTAGAGGTGTTGAAGAATGGACTATCCAAACCAAATTCGAAGATTTATGGTCAGCTCGCCGGAAAGTGATAAGTCGATGATAGCTGACCTTGTTACTCTGATTCTCAGTAGAGTTGTCGGTTACCAAAATTTCCGAGCGACCCAAGAGCGCCATGGAAGCACTCAAGGGGATGAGAGTCATTCGAAGAGGCTGCTAGTCGACTTCACACTCGTTTACGCAGCATTTTACACCTGCCATGTGAACGACGTTGTATTTTGGTCGAGTGACCCGAGAATAAGTCTAAGTTGTAGTGTATTATTAAACACGCGCCACAGAAACCAAAGATACCACAATGCCACGCACGTGAGTGCTTGTACCGGCGATGGGAAACCCAACGGGTATAACCTAGTGAGCATGGACAATAATGACTTGGATGAGCTCGTCGTTGCCACTCACGTCGACCTCCAGGGCCAGTCCAGCCATTACGATGGCTGGCTCGCGTTTCTTCCCGAAATCTTCCACACCCTCTCAAACTTTTACCACTCAGAAAGGTTCAGGGGATCCAACTCGGGCGTCTGTTGTTCACCTCTTGGCTAGAGCTCATTCTCTTCCATGTTCGGCGGCTTCCCAGGCTTTCATGCAGCTTGTGCAGCCTACCGCAAGATTTCAGTTAGCTCTTGATTTGCTATTGCCTCTCCTTACTTCATCCGCTGATGTCAGTTGAGTTCTGTCGACAATAATCAAAGTTCTTGCCACTGACCTCTGACTATTTCTGCTGCGATGTGCCAGCTCGCGCAACGCATTCCAGTTTCATTCCTTCTTTATTCCATGTATGCCCCTTATCCGATCTCTCTCAATCCCTTCAAGTCTGTCTTGTACGCCACTTTCGTTAAGGAGAGAGGACTCGCCATAGAAATTTCAGCCGAGGGCGGGTTCAGCGAGAGGGAGCAGTTGGTTTGGGTTCTCTGGAAGATCCTAAAGGGGGATGGTAATGATGTAAATCTAGTCTTAACCTACCTTTTACCTCGCTCACAATCACCCAGATTGGTCCCTATTCTCCTAGTACCTTGACAAAATCACCCCTGCCTCCGGAGTTGAGGGCCTCATGCTTGTTTTTGGATGAAGAAACTTTCATGGAAAATAACCTGTAAGCAGCAACTTGCAACTTCTCTCCTGTCGATCGTTCTATATCCGAATTCGTCAGCGATGATTCTGTTGCCAAATCCATGATCACGGCAGGAGAATCGAAGCAATTTGCCGAGCAAGGTGCTTCGAAGAATTTGCCACCATCACTCCCACCGTCCACGCAGATCAAGGTTACGCGAGAAGCAGATCAAGAGAATGAACGCATCGCCCAAGCAATGAATCTTGTACTGGCAGCTCGTGATCGAGCACTCACACTCACAGAACAACGGGTAAGCTTTATGAATGAATGTATCTGATATCCGCTCTGATGATCCATCGCGCAGACCTTGACGCCTTTAATACCCCGCCTGACCTCTCCCACGATGATAACTTCCGTGGACCTACCGCCCATCGTCTCGTATAATCCTAACCTAGCTTACCAGCTTGTTGCCGCTTTACTGATGGCACTTCCTAATAACGTTGCACAAGATATCTTTGTATATTTGGACGCCTTGACATTCCTCCCCCCGACGCTCCCATCGTTCGACCTCCTTGGGCGCCTTCTTCGTGATACGTCAGCTATTCCAGATCCTTCAACTGGAGGAAAAACTACGATAGCAGACATCGTACGCTCCGAAGTTTTGGGACGCTTTATCCATGAGAGTATCAAGTGGCTTGACAATGCTGAAAGAGAAGAACACGAAGGGCTTGTCAGTGACGACAGATTTGCAAAGGGAGTTCAAAATGTTAGTTTCACATATCCCTCGAAGCACACGGCCTTACTTTTTTGCAGCTCTGTCGTTTCTACTCCGCATTGCTCAAGCTCTCGATCGTGGACGCCGCTTCTGATGCAGACTCCACCGAAATGTCACATTTCACCTTGCGCCACTCTCGCTTCGAGGAGGCAAACGCTCTGTATTGCATTCTTGCATCTGGTAGATTTGACCCTTTCTACGCCGCCGCCATGATATAGCAATTTTTGTCTTACCCTACGCATGTTTTCATCTCGTTTTATGGTCGTACGTCATTACTTACCACATGCCTCTACGACTAGCTATATGTCCTGCACTCATATGATCCCAGTATATGTCATGTCTCATTCAGCTGTTTGCATAGTATTGTAACTCAGATACAGGTATGATTAGACACTTAGGAAGATAAAATTCAACGGTTCAACCTGATGCTATGGAATATCATACAATTAAGTGTTCGGTCAATGATGCAGCGTGATTCATGCAATCGCGGTAGAAAATCTCTGGAAGAAGACGAGTGCAGTGGTACCATCGCGTTCTCCACAAACTTATAACTCTTAATCTGCAGGAAATATTTTTATTCTGATGTGATTCAGGAGCCCTTGTTTATTCTCCCACCCGGCTATCACTCCCATGTCCTTAAATTTTAAGTACTAATACTTAGTAGTACTGCAACGTGCTTTTCATTTACATAATAAGCACTGGTGTTTGAAACAAGGTTTTCTTCTCACCCTCCTGGGACTTCACTGTTGCTTTCTCACACCAGCCACTGAACGCGCTGCGAATAGAGACGTTACATTCGCAATCCGAGGCAGTTCAACCTGTTGGAAGGTTCTACCCCATAACAGCTCGACCATCCGGAGTTTGCGGGCACTCAGAATGCGCCTAGCAGTACGGATCAGTGCCGTTCTAGGACATCCCCGCAGTACGGAACAAGCTGCTATTTGTTGTGATTTCCCAAACATGGCGATAACTGCTCATCCAGGGGTTTCCATTCCCATCTCTTTGAGATAACTACCAACAATCAGTGACCCAACTTCCAAATGTCACATCCGATGGATCTGACAGCCAATATCAAGACGAAAGTCATCCTCGTTGGTGTTGGGTAAGTTCCGGTTTGACTTGAACTTCCAAATACTGGCTGATCGACACTGAAGAGGCGCCACGTGTTCAGGTAAGACAACGCTGGCTAAGCACATGAAGGATATTCTTCCGAATAGTGTTATTATTCACCAAGATGTGCGTATCGATATTTATGTGTGACGTTTATGAATTGATCTATCGCGAATACCAGGATTTCTTTCTGGTAGGACAGACATGATAGTGCCTGATCCGACGTGCTTACCCGGGGATCCGTAGCCGGAAGAGATGCTTCCCACTCACCAAGGTCTCAACACCAAAAATTGGGACGGGCCGAGCGCTGTTGACTGGCCTCAAATGCGGAAGTTTCTCCGGGATGTTAAGTGCACCGGTAGCATCCCACTCGACCATATAGGCTACGATACCCTGGATGATGGAAGAGATATACCTATCGACGGGAATAAGGCAGAGGCCTGGAAAGCACGATTTCAAGATCTGGAGCAACGCTATTTGGTTGTTGCCAACACCAAGGTAATTTGGGTGTTAGTTGACGGATTCATGTTATACTGGGATCAGGTTTGTAACCTCCCTTGATCGGGAATCTCATTGCGGGGTTCATTCGGGACTATTCATATTCAGGATATCATTCGTCAGCTGGATGTTTGCATCTTCTTGCGCGTACAAGAGCACATACTGAAAGAGCGACGTTACACGCGATTTCGGCTACAACCTGGAGGTACGCAAGCCTCTGTAAATGAGTTGAGCGCATCTTACTTATGGTGCCGTGGTGCTCAAATAGTCAGTGAATTTTTACCTTGGACTGATCCAGAAGGTTATTGGGATATTATCTGCTATCCTGAGTATATTATGACACATAAGAGCCTATTCAAGGATGGAGAAGTTGAAGACGGCGAACCAAGTGAGGGCCAGGTGAAAGGGTTGCTTGTGATCGAGCCTGAAGCCAAGGAGAAAATGGCAATGATAGATATTGTAGGGGTTTGTTTGGAGAAGCTTGCTTGTGTGGTGAGCGATCTCCACGATGGGATATTGATTGTGTAGAATATTCAGTCAAGTTTTCAACACCTCCGTATATATATTGGAAGCGGTCACGTTTGATTCTGAGGCAACAGGCTGGAGAATACAAAGCCGAGATTATCGGTGTACATATCGGGGATCCGGGAGGTACTTATACAGTCCCAAGGTCTGAAATAGCGTAAAAAAGAGTATCTTGCTGCAACAAGGCTACGGGTAGCCACGGCCGGATGCTACAAGGGAAGTCGTCAAATTTTCTAAAAAATGCTTGAATAAATAAGGTGGGAGGACGCACGAAATCGATCATATGCCAATATGCATGAAAACTATGCGCTGGTCCAAGGGCATGTCCTTGTCACCAGCCAATGACTGGACTGCTCGGTGTAGCGCTCGGGCAGCTCGTTTGGAATTCATTGTGCCATCCCTGCACAGGTGTCTGTAGAATGCCTCCACTAAGCGCTGCACAGTACTATCGTTGACGCTCCATAATGTCCCAACTACACTCTGTACCCCAGCAAATTGTAGGCTAGCCGCAAGGTGTATGACTTCGTAAGGCATATTGGCATCACCGACTGCGGTTTCACAGGCGGAAATTGATGCCGAGACAGATCCATTTGTGAGATGTCGAGGAGTGAAAGTGGTTGGTCGCGCATGAGAAAGGCCGAATTGAAGGGTTCTGTACAATTCTGTGTCCCGTGACACGAAAAATGCAGCCAAGTATTGTCACGCAATGCACTCAATGCTCTCGATCTCGTTGCATCGACACTCGTTATCTTGGTGAAGGAAACAGTTGGGGTAGGGGGCAAAAGACTCTGCGCCAATTCGAGCTCAGGCTCCACACAATCCAAAGTGATTGAATGACCGGCTGGGTGATTCTGACCGATGGCAGCAAAGGGCACCGACAGGGGTCTGTCATGACTTCCGCGAGCCCTGATCAGCGCGGTAAGCGATGGCGTGTATGAAGAGATATAGAGCTTCGAAAGGAGCTGTCCGCCTTGCCTGTACACGCCAGCAGCGTGCAACGGCAAGAAATTGAAGGCACCCGTCGGGCACCACCATATCCGGGAACCTTGTGGTACAAATCCGCCCAGATTGTCAACCACCGGGCGGACGATGTCGTCCCACAACTCCATCAAAGCTTTAATCAGCGCTGATTGGGCCCTTTTGGAAGCGGCCTGTGGCTGACTTACCCGTTGGAGTTTGAGCACCAAATGTTGGAGTTTCTCCAAATTGGTATGAAGTTTAGTGCTGACCGGAGGTTGGTTGTGTGGGATAATGATGGCATCGCAAGACAACTTGCTTGCAACGAGCACGACAATAGGCCATCACGAGCTGCATCTTGAAGATCGGAGAACAAGGGGGGAAGTAGGAAGCGAGATAAACCCTCCAACTTCCGAATCTCTTCTACAGCTCTATTCCAGTCCTCCACCAGACGTCGGTACTGGGCTGCTTCTGCTTCTACATTGACTCTTGCGGTCTCTTTTGGATGATTCGCAGGAGGTTTATCAAGGAGGGAGCTGAGGTCTCTGAATTTCTTCATCAGCGCCACCGCATGATCGCCGCGATGTTGGAGGTCATCAAGAGGCGTGCGGAGTATGAAGCATGACAGCTTCATTCAAGTCTTGGTCAGTGCCTCGGTGTTTGAAGCGGATGGAGAGCGTAGTCGCAAGGTTATGCAATGTCATGGACCGATCTGCGTGACCGACTGGGCATAATGCCAGTGCATCCCTGTAAAGCATGATGGCCTCATCCAAGTCTTGGCCATTGTATTGGTGCTTGAAGCGGGTGGAGAGCGCATTCGCAAGATTATTTAATGACAGGGGCCGATCTGCGTGACCAACTGGACGTAAAGCCAGCGCTTCCCTGTGAAGCATGATAGCCTCATCCAAGTCTTGGTAATTGCCTCGGTGCCGGAAGCGGGCACGGAGCACATTCGCAAGGATAAATAATGACATGGGCCGAAATGCGCGACACGACGCTTCCCTGAGCAGCGTGATGGCCTCATCCAGGCCTTGGCTATTGTCTCGACGCTGCGAGCGAGTGAGCAACAATGCACCCAGATTACAAAGCAATTGCCCTCGGCAAGCATGCATAGTGTCGTAGTATTGCAGTGCATCATAATGCAGGGAGATCACTTCATCTAGGTCATGGGAATCATCTCTCTGACAACACCGCTCTGCAAGACGAGCAAGTTGATTTGGCGATAAAGGAAGCATTAATGCAGCGGGCTGCGTCTGCTCCAGATCGTGTCCTTCCATGCCTCCTGCTCGGGAGTCGGTGCAGAGCAAATGTTTCGATTACAAGCAAAGCTGCTCTGTAAATGTGACTGTTGGCGTGGCAAACATCGAGAACTTTGCTCAGTAATTCTTCGGCTGCATCAGCATCCGTTTGAAATCCCCGTTTCGCGAAACGAGACAGCATAGCAATAGCAAGATGGAGCTGGGTGATCGGTCGGTCAGGATGATCAGTCGGACGCAAGTCAAAGGCATCTTGAAAAAGAGAGATGGAGATATCGAGGTCGAGGTATGTTCCATTGACTTGGCAATTAACAAACTTCGCGGAAGCTAGATTGAACAGTGCTGCAGGGCGGCAGGGGTGACCCATGGCACAGAGATCAGAGGCACGTTCAAAGTGCGTTATGGATTCGTCGAGATCCCTAGTGTTCTGTGTCCTTCGGTATCGTGCGAGAAGACCATGTCCGGCGTCCGTCCTTAGTACTAATGCATGCATGTCGTCGGACGTAAGCTAAGCATTACGAGGATTCAGCATCAGAACATCGGACTGCATTGATCGCTCACGGTAGTAAGTGGGCGAAGAGTTGTAGCGTCATTTTTATCAGAACGTCGTTGCTCCACTGTCATAAACAGTGAAGTGCACGGGGATACAACTTCCTCCTGCTTGGGCTGTAAAATTATAGCTGTGACACTCGTCAAGACCCAGGCGTGATTTACAACAGATGTCACTGACGATGTGACTTTTCACTGCGATCCAGTAATTCTCCAACGGATATCTCGAATGTGCGGAGTACCTCTCCATGACAAAGCATCGGATCCAGTTCAAATGAAGCATACACGCTGACCCGAACTTGAGAAGATAGTTCGCAGGGCTTAGAGTCCTTCTCAATGCCTGCATAATATACGGGATCAACGACAACTTACAGAAGCATCCGTTCGTTCCATTCGACAACACCCTGGTCTACGTGTACAGGTTTGTTGCTGCTTTGGAATTCGACACCGCCAGTCATTACTACCACATGGAAGCCAGCAGGGATCCGTCGGAGACCAAGAGTGAGTTCAGTTGCGCGAATGGCTTGGGGGGTCGTCAATGCATGCCGACTAGAAATAGACATCACAAACCAGTAATGACGACTTGTTGCGCTCCACCGAAGTGTGTCTCTCCCGGGTCCTGTGGGTGTTCCGGGTGGCGGCTTGCCTCCTCACCTAAGGCTGGGAGGGTATCATCGAGTGGCTCTGGCACAGAGTCTGTTATCACAAGATTTGTCTCGGGGTCCTGAGGGCGTTCTGGGTAGCTCGGCTCCTCCAATGATGAAGGACAATTATCAAGAGGATGAGGAACGAAGTTTTGACATATGACCGAAGGATACAAACTAGCACTTGAGAGTAAGATGTGTACTATAAGACACGAAATGCCTGCAAAGTCCTGGCAGATTATGACTGGGGAAACCACGATGCACGTGGTGCCCAGACCGAGAAGGTTCGCTGTTCTGGGCACGACTGTCATAGATAGGCTCAGCGCTTATGATGGAATGGGATATATTTCTGCTCGGGTCCTGCAGGCCTGGTGAGTCCAGCGCTACCTGGGTTCCACTTGCTCGAGTAACGGGATATTTGACTATGTCTGTACATGTGGTTATCACAGTTCGCATTGCTGGAGTGAGGTTAGTGTTGGTTGCAAAGAATCTTCGGATCACAGATCGCGTGAGAAACACGGAGTCTGAACCTTCCTCGAATTGTCGATGGAAGCCTTCTCCATGGGTGCACAGCCACATCGACTCACTCTCAGAGAGTCTGTCCGTGGTATTGGTGAGCCATTGACAGGCTGGTCACGAGCCTAGATATATCGCCAAACATGCGTTTGACAAGACGACTGAGAACGATAAGTGCTCTAAGAGTATCACATACGTATACAGTAAATAGGCTGTAACTGCACCAATTTATAATAGACCACCTGTTTCTCTCCGAGTTAGTATACTACAGTCCGGGACAGCATGTTTAGATGTGATTCTGAACATAGCCGAAATGGACAATGCCTGCCTATTATTTGTTACTCCGACTTTCCAAATTTAGACAATTCGCAATCCTCACATCCACAATCAACAATGGGCGTCATGAGCGGAGATCATTGTGGACGTGCGGCGTGTTATAAAAGAGGGACAAAGGGATCGCCATGACTCACAAGTTCACCCCTTTGTCTCAACATCGTTGCGCATATCAGCATAGTATACATTGCATCCAACGCGAAACACCCTCTTCTGCAAACACTAGCTGCAGAAACCATAGCAATTGTGCAGACATATCATCGCATAACATTCAACTTATCTGCTTGCTCAGAATTGGGAGACCGTCCCACTGCCACATTACATGGATTCCTTTTTCCATCTGAAAGATATGGAGTTGTCTCCCCCAACTCATCACGGCCAGGATGGCGAACAAACATCGCCTTCAATGCCCCTGGACGAAGACAGCCCGTACTGGCGACCAGGGACATACTGTGTCATCTCGTAAAGTCTGTAAGTAGTTTCGCCTCGCAGTCGTCCTTTCGCCCAACTAATTTTGATAGATTCAGATTACTCGGCTTGCTCCATTCCTTGTGTCTTAAGCTGTTTTGCCCTTTCCAAACGTTATTGTGACTTTATTACGATACTTCTGTTCTGGAACATGTCATTAAACTCCTTTCTCCAGGCATTTCCTTCGTACTCAATACACCCAGATCACGTCCTATCTTCCATTTTCGATGTACAATTTTATTCATCCCTTTCATGGATCGTTATGCGGTTGAATCATTGCTGCATGCATATAGCCTCACGAGAACTTACCAGTACTAGCTGCTCATTCTTCAACGTTGCAACCATCTCCCCTTTCGTCTTCTCATTTTTAATGTTGTTTTGTTTTCTTGCTTTCTGTTCTTTTTGAGTCGGCGTATACCTATGTTTATATATGTTAGGCATCGTTTCCTGTCGTCATTACTAGCCAACGCCCTACATATGAGGTACATGTAGATGTACAATTGCAACATGAATTCAGCGACAGCACGAATGAACGACCGGCAAACGCGGAAGCAAGTAGTGGGCTGAACTCAGCTATGAGGGTCATCGCATGGGGCCGTAGGTGAACACCAGTCTCCACCACGTCAGCACTTCGAACATGAAGATGGAAGAGTTGATGACCTTCCAAGTTTACCTAGAGTTCATTCGTTTACTTGGAGCGAGAGGAGAACAAACATGCAAATATCCCACGAACATCAATTTATGCGCAAGATACATGTCATTAGCCGAGAAGGTCGTCAAGAAAATTTTCCATCTTTACTTTGGGCGCCTTCCTCGATGTGTCAACAGGAAGAGCTGGTGCCTCAGTGTATTTATCATCTAGCCGATGTGCGAAACAAGATGTCAGTGGGATCATTCGCGCAGGTGAAAGGACTCTACCTTATTTTCTATCGCGTGTAAACAGAGGTTTGGCTTTGAGCTTCTCCGACTTTGCACGGAACCGAGCCTTCAGATCTATGAAACATGATCAGTCTTCTATACAACTGCTATCGTTAGTTGCAAATCACCCCGACTTGCATCTGCGGAAGCCTTCTCGCGTTTCAACAGGTCTCAACAAACTGCTAGTGGCGTGTATGTTGCTTTAAAGTACCAGTACGAGTCTGTGGTTGAAATTTTGCAGTTTCAGGGCCCCTGGTGTACATTGCAGTGTGGGTACTGGATGTATTGATTGTTCTGCGACACGCCGTTGTCGCGTGTATTCCAATACAATGAGCAAAGCGTAGAGGCTCAATCGCTCATTAATAGTTATTGGCGCGATACACGCGAAATGTTCACATATTGATCAGATCTGGACGAGCTTTGAACCGTTTGAAACTTGTCGCCCGTCTCGTCTAAGGTCACACTAAGTAGCACTCTCATGCGGCTAGAACCACAATCTTCGGGAAGGCAAAAGTTTAATAAGCTCGAGTATGTACACGAATATCGAAAATATAGATGGGTAGCATGCGGCATAGTAACATAGTCAAACATGCGTGAAACCAAAGGAACAGGGCAGAACATGAGTCATTCGACAACAGTGCGGAGCCAATAACGACGGCGATGCAAGTGAGAAATAATGATAGATAGAACCACAATATTCAGAAAAGGAAAAGTTCAAGACAAAAAGTAGCTGGATTGCACGAATGTCGAAAATGAGTGATGTTGTACAAGCAGTGAGTCCATCGCATCTACCAAAAGATGAGTCGTATGACGGACAAGAGGGGATTAGATACTACCAAACAGAGGCTGTAGAAAGACGAGAGTTTACATAGGAGCCACCACACATCCCCAGAGATGCAGACGGCAAGATGAACGAAGTGGTGAAGTAAAGGATGGTACAAGAAGATCGATGAATAGACAACACCGTACGAGCAGCGAGCGCACTGTACTCATTCCAAAAGATGAGTCGTGTCGCGGGCAGGGGGGGAAGTTGGGTCATGCCAGGGGGGCAGTAGAAGGCCAGCAGTGCCAACAATGATAGTATGTCAAGCCTCGTCTGGAGAAAGCGTTATTCGAGGAGGGTGGATATGAAGCATGATAGGATTCACGTGAAAAGGATTATGATATGGTGCAAAACGCGACTTGGCCAGAACCAGAATAATGTTCCTCGTCAATAGGGCAGGATGTGTCGTCTGTGGACTCATGCAAGTCCGGTGGTGACTGCAAAAATATTTCCAAATATGTTGATAACGAGTCCATCAGGGTAGCTGGATGGCGCGGTACAGAAGTTGCAAGTGTTGCAAGTTGGGTTCAATGCAAGGTATACTGTGCTGCTATGCGCAACGATGTTAAGACAAAGGGGAGAACTTGGGAGTCATGGCGATCCCTTTGTCCCTCTTTTATAACACGCCGCAGGTCCACACTGATTCTCCGCTCACGACACCCATTGTTGATTGTGGATGTGGATTGCGAATTGTCTAATTTTGGACAGTCGGAGTCACAAATAATGGGCATTGTCCATTTCGGCTATGCACAAAATCACATCTAATTATCTAAACGTGCTGGCCCGGACTGTGGTATACTGAGAAAAACGGGTGATCAATAATAAATGGGTGCAGTTGCAGCCTATCTATTGTATACGTATGTGATACTCTTAGAGTACTTAGGTTCTCAGCAGTCTTGTCAAACGGCTGATCCGAGCTCAACTGTCCGAATTTAGAATTACCATATTTGGCCATATATCGTGTTCAACCCCTCCTACGCCATTGTTCGACAGCAATATGGCGGAATCAAATTGCGCGTCGTGGCTCATCTACGTCTTTGTGTCTTCTTTAGTGAGCAAATGTTATCGTACCTTTTACTGAATCATGCACCGTGAATTCCACCAGTGGCGAGCCATCATGCCAGTGATTGCCTTGCTTTCATTGAAGTTGTCCTCACTTTTGTGTATACTATATCGTAACGACGCCATTGCTTGTGGGTAACAACATGAAACATCGACATTCTAGTGTGGTGTAACTCATAGGTGCGTTCAATCGTGATAATGAAGTGACCTTGCTGATACATTTTGAGCTGGCAAAACCATCATAGGATCTCCACCGCCTGCTTGTTGCACTTGCATCCACCTTGAGTGTGTCGGTTTGTTACGACTCCGATCACTCCACAGCACCAGCCGTTCGAGTTATTAATGTGTTTTGGACCATAGTTTTCATGAAACCTTGTATGAGCATTCTTATGAAGCGTTGTACATCCGTGTTGACTTCATTTTCGGTCTTCTCACTATCGCTAGTACAGTCCTATACATTCGTTGTCCCTCATACATCCTTCGACCAGCGATCTTCTTGTACATTTCCATGTCGTGTCAGCCATCGATACTGTTCATTTTCTTGAACGAGAATGGCGGGCTGAGGGGTGCTGCCCATGAGCAACAAAGTAAGCAGCACGCATGATTCCATGCTGGCGATTGAGAGTAGAATTTGGCCGCCTCAAATGAGCAACATTTTGGCACTGCGGGTTAAATCATTAACCTGCATGTATAGCGCAGCAGGAAATCTTTTTATCGTGGTTTGTGGTGGCAGGATATCACAAGTACGTACTTACGCTTAGCGCAATGCCACAATCACTGCGTGAAGATCCAGACTAGCGGTACTTGAAGTACGTGTGTTTAGGCAAGATAAGCTCAGGTAGCTAGACATGAAAATAGATTTGTTAGTCAGCGTTGAAGTAGCCTCGCGTACGTGTAAGGACATGACATACTTGGGGGCTGGCTCGACGACTTATGTTAATAACAATTAGCGTATATCATGTTGTCTACTCGAGATACAATTAGATGACACTAGACTATATACCTATTGCTTCAGCTTCATTCAAATATCTTCCTAATATAATAAGAGTAGATCACCCAATGTAGGGCTGAAATAATGAATATATTCATATTGATGAATACACCACGTGCTCGATAAACTATTGTGCCTGCTTCGCGTCCTGCTTCAATTCCCCCTGTGCGCCCTGTGCGCTCGTATCCCCTTCTGCCCCTGCCATCCTATTATCATCACAGAAACATGCTGAGACGCCCCCCTGCGATAGCACCTGAAGTGTGGGATAGCTGGCCAGACAGCTTGAAGAGAACGATCGCAGAAACCCCAGAAGTATATATGGCCCCAGCTAACTCGAATATCGATCCAGCACTTCTCAGTAGCTCGAACGGTTCCTTGGCCCCAAGGCGTGCTATTCACGATGCAAATAGAGATGGTCCACATGAGCCGATGCCGTTTGCGAACCCATCTGCTGCAAATAATGGTGCACGAAGGCTTACAAATAGCAGGTGAGTGAATATATGCACTGAATATATGCAGTCAAACTCACCAATTTTTCCCTATGAAAGTGATACACGTCTACCTGAGCATCGTCGACATAGGAGAGGTGCTGCGTCCAGCTCTCGACGATCACGGGGAAGGCATCAGCGTTCATCTTCACCCAGTGACAACAATCGTGAGCGGGAGGGAAGGCATAGGGCAAGAAGTCCTGTGCATAATCGCTGGAGGAACCCATCGTCTCCATCCACCAGCCGTTCATCATCCCGAAACAACCGTCACTCTCGTCGTGCATCGTCGCCAGCCACAAGGCACTCGACTCCAGCAAACATGGAAGATCTTGCTGCCATCCTGTGTGAGATGCGTGAAAATCAGGATGAGCACTATAAGCAAACGGATGAACGACTTGCACAGCTTGAAGGGAATGTACCTTCACACCAGACCTCCACTCGTGGCCGCATAGTCCAAAGTCGGGGGGCGTCATCGGTTGCTCGGAGGCGCAGGCGAAGAGGTGCCGGTGCTGAGGTTGATGGTGTGGAATCACGGGCAGGTGAATTCGATCATGATGCGGAAGACGTCACAGGGGCTCGTGGTAGCCTCTCTACCGCTGCCCGGGAAGCACGAGGGCACCTAAAGGTAAGCACATTCTCACTCTTCAAATACAAATGAATTCACGTACCATAGCACTTGGTTACCGCCAAGTTCCGCCGTGCATGTGATGTATCCGACGGGAAAAAATGGCCAAGTCTCGAGGTTGAACGAAAGAATGACATGACAGGCGAGGTGTACCTAACACCAAATTTTGAGGCGACCGTGAACGACGACCATAATCGAGTGATCTTCAACAAGATCGCGCATCTTGTCTGGGAGGAACTTAGAGTGAGTTGTGAGCCTTTCGACTTCACAATCCCCTCACCTTTTGAACAGAGCACGGCCCTTAGCGATTCCCTGAGCAACCGCAAGGTCAAATGGAATAAGCAATCGTTGTTCACGTTTGCTAAAGACACGTACCGTGGATTCAAGGAGGAGTGGAAAGCGCAGAATGACCGCGAGAAGGCCGCAGCTAAAAACAACAACCAGCAAAAGAATCGCTGGAGTCAGCGTCGTAAAGAGGTTAGTCGTTAATGTCTGCTTTTAAATAAGAACAAAAACACTTACGGACTTGAAAAAGAAAGCCAACCGGTTGACAACAGCATGTCCGAAGTACCTCGAACTTCATGGCGCGGATCCCATCAACATCATCCACGCGGATCATATGTCAGACGAGGCATCTGGACCTGAAGACGATGGTGAATCAGTCGACGAGTGGAGGATCAAGATGGGAAAGGAAAAGGGCTTTCCAGCGGATACAGACATGGACGGTATGGTGTTCATGGAAGTCGTGAAAAATCCTTGGAGATCACAGGAGGTAAGTTGATGCGCCATAGCTAAAAACAGTCTTGCTTACCTAGAATCACAGCTCGCTGACATATATCACAGACTCTTCCAGCTGTGGAAAGAATCCCTCAATACCAAGCAACGTAAACGATTCCGCACGTTGCGGGTTGAAGGAACTGACCGAACGCTGCTTCGTATCCCCGATTACACGCCCTACAACTTCGGAATAGATGCGGAGTGGCTCGAAGAGAACAAGAACCACCCAGAGTATCAGGTGCAACTGAAGGAGTGGGGTGATTGGGCGGATCCACCTGGATTTGGATCCGCAAAGAACGATACAGACATTGCGGAAGGTAGCGGGCAAGATCATGAGGAAGTTTAGCCGGAGAACGTGGGACTTGCACAATAGACATACCTGTAGACATACAAGGACTCATGCACACGGATGCTGTAGATGCGTTGTTAGAATAGAAACTTGTGCGGAAAATCGCTAACGTACCTTATCCAATGAAGTTGTGATCCACATTTGTGGATTTGTTGTCGTCACAACTCCTCGAGCGATCTGACAAGTGATGCAATCAAACGGCAGAACGCAGGGTGGCGAGCCTGCTTCTTGCGGTCCCCAGAACTCGTTGAGTGCAAAACACGTTACATTGAGTTCAGGACTGTAATGCACATGAGTTCCTTTGAAAAATAACAAGATCAGGTACTCACAATTCGCTCCATGGGTCATCCTGCACAGGAGACAAAGCAAGTTCCTTCATCCACCTGAATTCAGCCTGAAGCTGTGAACCATCTGAGGCGTTCGGTTGAACATGAGAAAAAATACTAATAATCTCGCCATAGTAAAAGTTGGGGCCAACTCTTGCCTTTATTAATGAAGATCCAAAGGATTCGCGAGTACTTTTTGAAGCGGGCGTGATTCGGCGGCCATCTAAAAGCGCGAAGTCGTAAAACACCGCAAAATCGTTGAGTGGTAAGGATTGAGGAGGCGGATTCAACGCTAGAGCATAATGAACGCTGTGAGGATGTCGTGCATTGTATTGCGAATGTAACGCTGCTCGGGCGCTGTCGTTGAGTCGCTGTGGGTGCATGGATGCGGGGCCAGGCTGGACATGCAGGTAGCTTCGTAATTCTGTCTCGAGTGTAAGTAGCCAAACAATGAATGAGAGCACACGACATACCATCTAGTTCAATATCCCCTGCTGCATCTTGGACGGTTCCAAGGGCCTCCTGACCTTCACCGAGCATCCGTTTCAAAACCGACTCGATGATGGGACTTTGGGTTGTTTGAAGTGCGCCACGAGCCTGTGAAAGTTAGCTTGAGTGATTAGCATGTGAAACCGCTGACCATGGAATCAATTTGTCCTGCACGCATGAACTCCCTCATCATCGAGATTTCGACCTGCCCACCTGTCCAGTTGTTTGAGTTAGAACTTTTCAGAACCTTGTTGAGTCGCTCGGACAGGAACACCCAGAAGTTGTATACAGGCCCATAGTCTCTGATTTGCTGGGCGAGGTGAACGGCCCAGTGAAAATTGGGTTTCATGGATCCTTCGCCATACATCTAAGGGCACACAGTTAGCCAGAGTATCAAATGAGAAATAGCTTACCCATTTGAATTCAAGAAGATACTCTTGAAGTAGGACTTCAGCTCGGGGTAGTAGCTCAAGCTGCACGGAGCTTCCACAAAATATCTTAAGCGCAGTTGATAGACGTAGTAGGTTAGTCGGCTCGTCACGCTGCATGCGGACATTAGGTTGCTTCGGAGGTTTAGGCTCAGCGTCCTCCTTGCTTCGATTACCTCTCTTTCCCGTGTTCGCACTTCCCTGTGGAAGTTCTTGATGCGATTTCCACGCCATAAAGTCCTTGTTGAATTTTTCTTGGGCCTTGAGATGGCGCTTCCGTGCAGATTCGAAGTCTTTGTCCGACTCCTTGATGAAGGTTTGCCAAACAATCGGGATCTAAGGACAGAAATGAGTGATCGACAAAGCAAAATGATTGGGTATCCTACGATGATGGGCCATGCAGTTAGCGCTGCAAATTTGTACTCGTCCTGTCAGCGAGCCTCCCGCAGGTTCTCCAACACGGAGTGGCAGTTTGCCAGCCCATAATGGTGCTTCGAACTATGTGAATGTTCAGTATGGTTGATACATGCCTCACCAAAGGATCCACTCACGGAGGCAAGGAACTTGTGTATCATGTCGAGTTCACGAGCTCGGGCATCGGTTGAAGCACGAAGCGCTGAGTTTTGGATCCATCGATTGTACCACTGTGTCTTAACGATCCCTGCAGAAACATTAGAGTATAACACCTGATGTGGATTTCAAACGTACCTAGAAGAAGATTGTGCATGGGGTCTATGATAGTTTGTCGTACAAGGTCAAAATATGGGAGGCGGGCGAGTTCAGTCCATCGGGCACCATGTTCTTTGAAGAACGTCGTATGTGCGTCGTCGTCCGTCAGCTTGTTATCTTCGTAACATCGTTGGCGATGTGCTTCACCATTGCGAGCTGCAAACTCTACAAGACATATTAATTAAAAAGGTCCCATGATTAATTGAGGCACATACCGTTACGAAGGGATTCGTCAGAAAATAAATTATCTTGCGAAACGTGGCATTTAGAGCACGGTGCGTTGTTATGACTGTGGTCAGCGAATCCGCTAAGTTTGCACATAGCGGGGTGATCACAGACAACGCCAAGCAGAACAACTCGTACTCTTCGTCCTGCAGATTGATTCAATACATAAACAACTAGCATACAAATGAAACTTACCTTGAGGATATGCAGGGGTATGATATATAATGCCCTCGTCATAAAGCTGGAGGAGGTCGTCAACAACGAGTCGCATGTAATTCTGAAGCTGCGATCCTGTTGGTTCCTTCGGCCCTGGAGTCATAAAGGAGACTAATAAATTTTCTGCTCGATACCTGGAATAACCATCGTTCAGATATGCACAAACAACCAAACAATAACTCACCTTAGCGCTCGCGGTAAGTTGGAAACGCACAAGGACAGAACACCTGATGAATAACTCGGTCCATAGACACTTGTCTTACGACCGAACCTGGGAAGAGAAAGGGTATGAATATTTTGATCGAGATAGAATTAAGTAAGCGCACCAGTCAAGACTCATTGTAACACCTATACGCAGTTCACCGTCGTCTTGAGGGTCCAAAAAGAAGGGTCTCGTGTCAGGGCCGTTAATAGTTTTCCATATGTCACCATCTGATATATCTTTGAGCTCGCCAGGCACCGTGGAACGGGATTTCCAGGAACTACAGCTTTCTTCATTGTCACCCCGTGTTAGAAAATCGGCAAGGAGCGACGACGGGAGTTGAATTGGTGCTGCGCAAATGGGTGGTGGACGTTGAGACTGGCGCCCTGTTAACCTTCGAAAAAGTCTGTCAGAAATAGGTTTGAAAAGACGGCTGTCGCAATCGGAACATAATGTATCAATGGGTGCATCTATAGGAAAGATCCGATGACAGCTACCACAGATCGGATAGATGGTGAAGCGATCCTGGAGATCGAAGCGATTGATGATCGTGTGTAGTGTTATGGGAAGGGGGTTAGTTGGTTGGAGTACATTGAGTGCGATGAGGATGGTGTTGAGCGTGAAAAGGATCAGCGCACATGCACGAAATGATACCCGGTGTTTGGCATGTAGGACCGCAACCAAGAGCAGGACAAGACGTCCAAACCATTCAGTATGGCTATCACGATAAAGTTGAGCCGCACTGGGTGGAGCCTCGTATTCTAAGGGTGTGGGCACTTGGAATTGACGGTGCTGAGAGTTTGCAGATGTCCGTAGCACCCTCGCTCGATGAGTGTCGTTGTCTGATTCTGAGTCTCCGTTGAGTTCCGTCGCGGTATGGAGAAGTGGATCATTATGGAGGTTGTCTCCGGCATCCGGATCATCATACAAGCCGACAGTCGTTCGAGCTACAGTATGTTGAGCGTTTTCGTTTTGGGTTTCGGCATCCAAGTCCGCCCGTTGAATCTGGCGAGGTACTAGTGCCGGTATTGAATGGGCAACTGGGATCGGGCTGCCAAACGGAACTGGACTCGTGCGCATGACGGAGATAGGGCGAGGACGAGGAGAAGAGATGACACGAAGATAAGGAGAGCTGGGTGATGGCATGGCAGCCATAGGAGATAATGGTGCATGCGGCAAGGGGTCTGGTGGCGGCGGGGTGGCTGATAGAGGATGCTCGTGTTCCTGCGGTTCCGGATGAGTGTTGTCCACATCCATGTATGAAAATCTTGAAAACATTGGTGAGCCAAGCACAAATACAAAGAAAAACATACGAAGGAGATGATGCGCGTGAAAGAACCATGGGTTCTGGTTGAGATGGGGATGGTGGTCGAGACGGAACAGGAACCTCATGCGGAATTGTTGGCTGGGTCGCTGAAGACCGAGAACCTGACACTCCAGAATTTGCAGATCGCGGAGCAGAACCCCGAGGTTGAGGAGGAGCACCTCGAGGGGGGGCTGACCCACGCGCTCGAGAGGGGACATGGAGGCCTCCACGGTCACGTTGCAAAGAACTTGAAGCGCCTCGTCCTCGTTGCGCTATTGCAGATAAGCTGAGGTTTTGAGTGCGACGATGGTTTTCACGTTGATATGCGGGGATGTTCTGGCCGCCTTTGGTGGGAGCTGCAAATTTGCAAACATCGCAGTCGCACCATACGAGACGTCGATTCGACCTCGTCGTGTGGCCAACAGTTTGCTGTGAGCAGGATATTCATTTAGTAAAGCAAATGAGAACGAGAAACTAGTGGACTCACCTGGTCGTCGTTCATGGTGGTGGTAGGAAGATAAGATGAGGATCAGATAAGACTTAGATGAAAAAAATGTCACGACGTGTATGCACCGTCTAGACGCTAGATACATACCTGAGCTAAATGAGACTTATTTTAACTTACAAGTATCGCACCAATGGGAAAGCGAACGAGGCCGTCTATTAAAAGCTATTAGTATTTACAAACAATCTGAATGAGACGGCGTAGTTGATGGCATCAAGTATATATGGTTCGAAGATCTGGTAGTGCGTAGTGGAGGATGAAGGCAGCTGTCCTAATGGATGTCGATGACTAAGTCATATTACTTGTAATTACGGCTTCTACCGTGACCTATTCAACTTGCGAGTAACCTACGGCTCAACGCAGTGAATAATACTACCAAACAAGACCTAATTTGGACTGTTGTGGCAGGCGGCATCTGTAAATGTGGACCAATGTGGATCATCCGATCCTAATGTATATAACAAGAGACAAAGGCCCTTTGTTCCCAAAATTTGTACCAATTATCATTATCCGCCCACGCAGACAGCCTTAAAACCTACAACGCTTTATCCATCACCAACCTGTTGCTATATGGATACCTTCATTACCCTCCCTTTCGAGTCACCGTCCTTCGTTGGATCTTCCCAAGACCGGGATGATCTACCACCGCAATTTGTCGAATCTTCCGATTCACTGCCGGTTGACCAAGACAAGCTCGTAGGCTACTTTGGTAGCTACTGCGTCATTATATGACCAGCACCGTGACTCTTTTTGCAGTTCCAATGTGAGGTGTGTATTTCAACATGTCTTTTGATGGACTTTTTTGACCAAGTCTTGTGAATAGGGTGCTATGCCTCGTATGCACTGACTCGGCGTCAAATCAGGGGCTAGCCTCGCATGATTTACTTCACTGGCACTGGCAGGGCTGTCGCGCTGTTGCATGTTTAACTGCGACGTATTCATTCATAGCACAGTGCTTAATCTTGTGGCTGCACCCCCTTATACCTCTGCTTCGACACCTGCTTTCGTTCTCGCTTTCTTCGTTCTGTTTTCGTGCATGTTTTATTCTCTTGCTATACCGCATGCTACTCGACTTGGTGGATTCGGCGGACTCGTTTCTTGTGCAACATTATATATTTTTGACATTCGCGTACATACTCGAACTACTGTCCTAGTAACACTTATTTCATCGTCTTTCTTGAATCCTTGCTTCTCTGAACATCGTTGTTCTAACTACCAGTATTCTTGTTTGCATTGTAACTGTCGCTCTCGGTTTCATATTATTCTCAATTGATTCATGTTCTACCCCACGCCTCATGTTTGTCAACGTATGTCTACCACTTCTCGGTGCAGAACGTACACCGTCACCTAAATCAACTTCAAGCTGGGGGGCTCAAAAGTGACCCTACATATGATTACGAAGTGGGGGTAGTTACGATAGGTCTCGATGGGTATGGATCGATCAATGTATACCAATCCAATACATCCACGAATTTACATCGTGCAACTGTGGCGCACCACAACGTTGACGCCCATATGTAGAGACCACCCTCGGGGTACAGCGGGGTCATCAAAGCTTTCCGAGGACATGTCCTGAGACAATTGACCAAGGACGTCAGATTTCATGGATCAAATTTGCCAAGTGCCAGGCAGGTTCTCATTATCTTCGAATATCATTTGCTGACATCCCTCCAGACATCGTCGTCCAAATATTGCAATTCTCCCCTCGTTGGGTCTTGCTGACGATGAGAAGCCGTTCAACGAGGGCTCCTCATCACGCTCTATGACAATTTCGTTCACACCTAACAAGAAGTGCAACAGTGTCACTTTCCCGAACGCGCTTGATAGTATTCCTCCCCACAAGTACAATCCCGACATTGAAGCTGGCCTTTCAGACGATTCTCATCCGGACCCAATATCGGACTCTTCTATGCCCTCGGATCATTCATTCCATCAGTCATCTCGGCGGACATCACCGTCATATGATTATCCTCATACATGCGCATTCACTACGTCAATCGTTGTTGGCGCTGGTTGTACACCTGTACATCCTTATCCCAGGCCTTGGAGCCCGCGGACTGTATTGCCTGTTCGCAATGGATATGCAGCATGACCGCAATGGCGCTGAGGTCGCCGATCGGCCAGAGTCTACTATTAAAATGGGGATGCCCCCATAGGCATTTCGTCTTCGTTAATATCATGTCATCTTCTCCCGCCATCAATTGGCGTTTTCCAGGAACATTTCGCATTCATGTCTATATTTCATACTTGCGTTAAGCAACGTATCAACAACATTTATCATACCACGGCAAATCTCTCCGATCATTTGTATTCCTAAACGTTTAACGTTTAACGTTTATGTCACGCACGCTCACTGCTAGTATCACATTGAATATTGGGAGCACTCACGCAACTTCTAGCCTCAGTCCCCGCTGCCCTAAATGACCCAGCACAGAGCCTCTGGAGCCCACAAAGAAAAGGGCTACATTCGCACGAGAAGACAACCTTGCTAAACAATTTCGAAATCATGAGCGGTTTTATTATTCTTATTTCCCTCGATTCTGTTTGATCGTGGGATGTCTTCAGTTTTCAGAACGTTCAAGGACTAGTAATAGTATAGTACACTTGCCGGGGGATATTCGAGTTCGATATTGGAACTAAAATGATGGGCGTCAACTCATAACCGTGATCGCCAGCGTTGTCGTCTGCGTCTGACAGCGGAGCTTGTGCATGGAATAGACTGCAAACCACTATTAACGTGTCTAATTAGCAAAATCAAACAAGACCCTCCGCCTGGCTAATAGGTCAAAAGGACACATGGCGCCGCCAGCACTTGGAGAATCATCACCCCTCGTTAATCCTCGTAGGCGCTACATAATGTTTTGGCTGGGAGGTCATTAGCCTAGAAGATCGTCCAGAAAATCTTCCATCTCCACTTTGGGTGCCTTCAGCGCATCGGTGGGAAGCGCTGGGGCCTCAGAGTGGTTGTCATCTGGCCGATGCGTGAAACAAAATGTCAGCGAGATAATGATAATGTGCGTTAACGAGAATACTCTACCTTGTTTTCTATCGCGTGCAAACAGAGGTTTAGCTTTGAGCTTCTCCGACTTTGAACGGAACCGAGCCTTCAGATCTATGAACTATGATCAGTCTTCTATACACCTGCTATCGTTAGTCGCAAATCACCCCGACTTGCATCTGCGGCAGCCTTCTCGCGACTCATCTCCTCCAGTTCGGCATCCCACTCAATCGCCCTTACAAGTCCCTTCTGAGACGTCGGAGGTGGAATACGATAAGACGAGATATGTGCGAGTTCATGGTCGATATCATCATCATCATCGACTTGAGGCAGTGCCACTACAGTTGTCTCTGACACGTCCGATAACCGTTGTCTCGCCAGAAACGACGAAAGGTCAATCTCAGGCTCAGAGATCACCTCTCCTACTTAGTGTCTCAAAAAACACGCTGAAAACATCTTCCACTTCATCACTCACCGTCAGAATCCAACTCGGGCTCGAGCTCCGTATAACGATCGGCATTAGATCCAAGTTGTCGTCGTGCGTACTTCTTCTGCAGCTCTTTCGCCTCTTCCGAATCAGGGTCGAGATCGACCACTTCTTCGTCCTCCAGTACGAGGCGCTTGTGAAATTCCGCTGGACGGCCACCTCGACCACGACCTCGTGCACGGAGGTATTTGCCTAATCCACCTCGAGACTTTCCACGACCTCTGCCACGAGGATGCGATGGTTCGGAGGTTGATGTAGATGGAGAATTCGATTCTGACATGTTACATGTGCAGGTTGATGGGGATGGTCATGATGGAGATCGTGGTGACTAAATCGAAATTCTATAAATCGGAAAAGGAAGGTAGCGTCTTGTGATTTCAACAGGTCTAAACAAATTGCCAGTGGCGTGTGTATGTTGCTTTAAAGTACCAGTACGCGTCTGTGGTTGAAATTTTGCAGTTTCAGGGCCCCTGGTGTACATCGCAGTGTGGGTACTGGATGTATTGATTGTTCTGCGACACGCCGTTGTCGTGTGTATTCCAATACAATGAGCAAAGCGTTGAGGCTCAATCGCTCATTAATTATTATTGGCGCGATACACGCGAAGCTTGGACGTATTGATCAGATCTGGACGAGTTTTGAACCGTTTGAAACTTTTCGCCTCCACATTTTACTGTTAGGCCGTCTCGTCTAAGATCACACTAAGTAGCACTCTGATGCGGCTGAAACCACAATCTTCGGGAAGGCAAGGATTTAATAAGCTCGAGTATGTACACGAATATCGAAAATATAGATGAGTAGCATGTGGCATAGTGACATAGTCAAATATGCTTGAAACCAAAGGAACAGGGCAGAACATGAGTCATTCGACAACAATGCGAAAGAGATAACGATAGCGACGATGCAAGTAAGAAATAATGATAGATAGAACCACAATCTTGAGAAAAGCAAGAGTTCAAGACGAAAAGTAGCTGGAGTGCACGAATGTCGAAAATGAGTAATGAGTCCATCGCGTCTACCAAAAGATGAGTCGTATGACGGACAAGAGGGAATCATATCGTACCAAACAGAGGTTGTAGAAAGCCGGGAGTTTACATAGGAGCCACCACACATCCCCAGAGATGCAGACGACAAGATGAACGAAGTGGTGAAGTAAAGGATGGTACAAGAAGATCGATGAATAGACAATACTGCACGAGCAGCGAGCGCACTGTATATATACCAAAAGATGAGTCGTATCACGGACAAAGAGTGTATTGAATCATACCAAAAAGGCAGTAGAAAGCCAGCAGTGCTAACAATGATAGTATGTCAAGACTCGTCTGGAGAAAGCGTTATTCGAGGGGGGTGGATATCAAGCATGATAAGACTCGCATAAAAAGGATTATGATATAGTGCAAAACCCGCCTTGCCCAAACACGGTTTGCCCAGAAGTATAATGTTCCTCGTCAATAGGGCAGGGTGCGTCGTCTGTGGACTCATGCAAGTCCGGTGGTGACTGCAAAAATATTTCCAAATATGTTGATAACGAGTCCATCAGGGTAGCTGGATGGCGCGGTACAGAAGTTGCAAGTGTTGCAAGTTGGGTTGGATGCAATGTATACTATGCTGCTATGCGCAACGATTTTAAGACAAAGGGGAGAACTTAGGAGCCATGGCGATCCCTTTGTCCCTCTTTTATAACACGCCGCAGGTCCACAATGATTCTCCGCTCGCCACGCCCATTGTAGATTGTGGATGTGGATTGCGAGATGTCTAATTTGGGACAGTCGGAGTCACAAATAATGTGGATCATCCGATCCTAACGTCACGGTATATAACATGAGACAAAGGCCCTTTATTCCCAAAATTTGTACCAATTATCCGCCCACACAGACAGCCTTGAGATCTACAACGCTTTATCCATCACCAACCTGTTGCTATATGGATACCTTCATTACCCTCCCTTTCGAGTCACCGTCCATTGTTGGATCATCATCCCAGCCTTGGGATGATCTACCACCGCAATTTGTCGAATCTTCCGACTCACTGCCAGTTGACCAAGACAAGCTCGTAGGCTACTTTGGTAGCTACTGCGTCATTATGTGACCAGCACCGTGATTCTTCTTGCATTTCTGAGTCCTGGACCAGTGTGAGGACCTTGTGTAGTTCAACATCTCTTTTTATGGACGTCTCCTTGACCAGTCTTGTGAATAGGATGCTATGCCTCGTACGCGCTGACTTGGCGTCAAATCAGAGGCTAGCCTCGCATGATTTACTTCACTGGCACTTGCAGGACAGTCGTGCTGTCGCATGTTTAACTGCAACGTATTTGTTTACAGCATAGTGCATAATTCTGTGGCTATACTCCCCCCATACCCCTGCTTCGACACTTGCTTTCGTTCTCGCTTTCTTCGTTCTGTTTTCGTGCATGTTTTATTTTGTTACTATACCGCATGCTACTCGACTTGGTAGATTCGGTGGACTCGTTTCTTGTGCAGCATTATATATTTTTGACATTTGCGTACATACTCGAACCACTGTCCCAGTTACACTTAGGCGGCCCGCCTATTTGTTAGTCTTTCTTGAATTCTTGCTTCTCTGAACATCGTGGTTCTAACTTGTGATTTCAACAGGTCTAAACAAACTACTAGTGGCGTGTGTAGGTTGCATTAAAGTACCACTACGCGTCTGTCATACATTGCAGTGTGGGTACTGGATGTATTTATTGTTCTGCGACACGCCGTTGCCGTGTGTATTGGAATACAATGAGCAAAGCGTTGAGGCTCAATCGCTCATTAATTATTATTGGCGCGATACACGCGAAGCTTGGACATATTGATCAGATCTGGACGAGCTTTCAATGCACCATTTGAAACTTTTCGCTTCCACATTTTATTGTTAGGCCGTCTCGTCTAAGATCACACTAAGTAGCACTCTTATGCGGCTAGAACCACAATCTTCGGGAAGGCAAGGATTTAATAAGCTCGGGTATGTACACGAATATTGAAGATATAATACCATCTGCCAAGTTGAGTAGCATACGGCATAGAAACATAGTCAAACATGCGCGAAACCAAAGGAACAGGGCAGAACATGAGTCATTCGCTAAAAATGCGAAAGCGATAACGATAGCGACGATGCAAGTAAGAAATGATGATAGATAGAACAATCTTGAGAAAAACGAGAGTTCAAGACAAAAAGTAGCTGGGGTGCACGAATGTCGAAAATGAGTGATGTTGTACAAGCAGTGAGTCCATCGCATCTACCAAAAGATGAGTCGTATGACGGACAAGAGGGGATTATAGTACCAAACAGAGGCTGTGGAAAGACGGGAGTTTACATAGGAGCCACCACACATCCCCAAAAATGCAGACGGCAAGATGAACGAAGTGGTGAAGTAAAGGATGGTACAAGAAGATCGATGAATAGACAACACCGTACGAGCAGCGAGCGCACTGTACTCATTCCAAAAGATGAGTCGTGTCGCGGGCAGGGGGGGAAGTTGGGTCATGCCAGGGGGGCAGTAGAAGGCCAGCAGTGCCAACAATGATAGTATGTCAAGCCTCGTCTGGAGAAAGCGTTATTCGAGGAGGGTGGATATGAAGCATGATAGGATTCACGTGAAAAGGATTATGATATGGTGCAAAACGCGACTTGGCCAGAACCAGAATAATGTTCCTCGTCAATAGGGCAGGATGTGTCGTCTGTGGACTCATGCAAGTCCGGTGGTGACTGCAAAAATATTTCCAAATATGTTGATAACGAGTCCATCAGGGTAGCTGGATGGCGCGGTACAGAAGTTGCAAGTGTTGCAAGTTGGGTTCAATGCAAGGTATACTGTGCTGCTATGCGCAACGATGTTAAGACAAAGGGGAGAACTTGGGAGTCATGGCGATCCCTTTGTCTCTCTTTATAACACGCCGCAGGTCCACAACGATTCTCCGCTCACGACGCCCATTGGTATATTGTGGATGTGGATTGCGAATTGTCTAATTTTGGACGGTTGGAGTAACAAATAACGGACATTGTCCATTTCGGCTAGCATTGCACAGAATCACATCTAAACGTGCTGGCCCGGACTGTAGTATACTGAGAGAAACGAGTGATCAATAATAAATTGATGCAGTTGCAGCCTATCTACTGTATACGTATGTAATACTCTTAGAGTACTTATCGTTCTCAGTAGTCTTGTCAAACGGCTGATCCGAGATCGTCATTTGCTCGGCGCTTCGCCATTTTTCGACAGCAATATGGCGGAATTAAATTGCGCGTCGTGGCTCATCTACGTCGCCTCGTGGCATATCCACTAGTGGCGAGCCCTCATGGCATATGTTCATTCTATTTCAGTCACGGTAGGGCTCTCCACTCAGTCATGCCCGTACTTGACACTCACACTGAGGTGTATACACGACCAATTATTCATGCGAGTTGATACCCCTTGGGCCATTTTTGTTTTTTGTCCAGCTTAGGTACTCACCATCTTGATCGCTCTCGAGCCGGAACTTTCGGAGCACATCACTGGTCGCCGTGTCGGGCGTGTGTTAGATGTACTTTGCTATATAGTATATAACAATGTTGTCCATGCTGTCAATATGTAATGGGCTGCATTAAAACCCACCTCCCATACTTTATGACATGTACATTCACTAGATATTTACCAGACATGCTACGCCACGCGCATATTAAGTATGCTAAAGCTCAGATGTCCCATAACCATGTTAACATGTAGTGATTAACTTTGGGTGGGTATGAGCATCCAATTTTGAGCCCCCCGGATAAAGGCCACGGCGGACGTAAGCCACTGAGTGGTAAACATAGATTGATAATCATCAGGTGCAGGTAGAACAAGAGTCCATTAACAACGATGCGAAAGCGATAACCACAATGCAAGTAAGAACGATGTTAGCTGCCCACCCCCACTCGGTACATACTTATCAGGTATTGATTTGATGGTACATCGCAATATAAAATTGCTAAGCGCTACTAGTACATAGTAAACTTCTCGTTATCGTGAATAATGCTATAGGTGCTGCTACTCGTCATCGTCCAGATAAACACCAGTAAAGTAACAATAGATGCCCAGAATATAAATGCACATGTGAATCGTGAGTCCAATACATAGCGTAATAAACATCTCGATGATATCGCGTGCAATCTCCTGACGCCAATTAAGAATGACCGGAGCAGGGTCCGGAACGAGAGGACGAGGTGGCACTATCACAATAACTGGAGGTGCCTCGACTGGACGCTCAGTGATCTCCCGGCTGGGCCAGCGTAAAGTCATCGGATGGTCGTAGACGACCTTCCTCAAGCCTTCGGCCTCCTGTCGCGCTTTCCTCTCTGCTTCCATACGAAAACAGTGGGATACGTAGTCTTGTCGATCCATCTTCGTGCAACCAAATTCAGTGAGCTGCCAAGCAGGAGTGCGAGACTCTTCAATTTGAATCCGCTTGAGATATTCGCGCTCGACAAGATCCTCCATGTCTTGGACAAAGCCAGGGTAGTAATTCCGGCAGTCTTCATATGCGGAGACGTCGTCATCGTCATCCGAAAGAAGCTCCATGAAGGGGTCGGTGTTCTGAAAGCCATTACGCTGATTAGAGCGAGAAGCGATATCGAATAACATACACATACATTTATGATAAGACAAGATCGCAACGCCCCCTTATGAGTGGGGGATTTGGGAGATTTAATTCGTCGCTTGCCACCAAAGTAAGTTGGCGAGTCATCAAAACGGACCATCTACTCAGAACGAATCAACGAAACATCAGTAATAAACTAAGAGTGACAAATACCTTCGGACTAATCAGTTTCTCCTCCATCGGAGACCCGACAAGTGTCTCAGACGAAGATGAGGAAATATCTCCGGTGGGGGCTTCGGCATCTTGGAAAGACTTGTTCTTTCGTGAACGGCGAACCAATCGTTTCCACGAAAACGCGGAGCTGGAGGACCGCAATAATAGTGCTACGGAGCGCCAGCGAGGTGTGTTTTTAGATGCCGGAGTAGTGATTTTGAGTATGGGGCGGGGGGATGCCTTCAGTGATGTGAGGGATTTCATGGTGATACCAAAACTCCAAGATAAAATGATCGTTGGAAAGTGAGCTGAGGGCAAGCGGAAGATGTATCAGTGGTCAAGTAGAGGCGACGGGAAGGATTGCTTTACCTAGAGAAGACGAGGTGCTTGAATGTACTAGTAAATGATGGTTTTAAAGATACAAGGTAGGATCAACGAGTGGAAGTGGGGAGGTTGTGGAAACGCCCACATATCATCCCCTCTTCATTTATCCCGCCTCCTCTCAGCTGTGCATCTCTGTGGACACAATTCCTTCTGCATTGTGTGGGGATTAAGACTCCGGCCTCGCCCGCTTGAGAGTCTGTACGGATCACATACCGTATACGACATCAAGTGTGACACTGTGGAGGGACACCGGGGTTTCCCTGAAGCACGTTTTTGATGGGGACAATGCAAGAAGCGACTTCCGACTTCCGAGTGGCACTTGAAGCTTGAGAGTTTGTCGAGATGCTGCAATGTAGAGTTCCTGTAGTAGAAGCATTAAGTGTCGTCAGTTGCAATCAAACAACTTGACAGTGAGTACGATTTCGGATTCAGATAGAAAGTAGTTTGACACCACGCTACGCTCACTTTTATGTCGTTCCTTCTATATGCTCTGATTACTTAGGACGCGGTGAGTAAACTTTCTACAGTGTCGAAGGAGTGTTTACAAATGTACTTGCTCACCTTTGAACACACAGATGAAACTTGGAGTGCGGGCAAGGTCAATCATTGCTATATAGGCGTTGAATCAGTTACTTGAAGCTGCATTCTCAAGCACTACGTCTTCCCCAAGCCAGACTATAAATATCCTGCCAATCATGAAGCGTGAGATAGAAAAGATTGACTCGGAGGCAGAGATTCTTGAATATGATGGATCAAGTTCGTTAGGCAGCTCCACTACGTATGCCAAGCTGATCCTCTGACTCCAGTATGAGCATTACGACAGGTCCCGACTCCAGATTCACCCACTCCCTTCCGTCCTAGCCTAGTTGCCACGGCCCCGACCTCCCAACCTCCCTGTCCCACCAATTGCACATTCTAGCCCAGAAACACTCGTTGACCTGCCGCGCACACCTCTATTCCCTTGATGTTTTAGCAATGCTATCGTATATATATCGATTCATGCAATACGTCATGGACGAAAAATTCACGTGTTTTGTCCACGCAGTCAGATACGACGTTTAGGTGCAGAAAAGTTTCCCAAATGCACGAGCATTAGTAACTATGGGGCAGGGATAATAATGCTCATGAGATGCATCCACAGCGAACCTTCTACACTCTAGAACTCTCGCTCTAACATGCTGTGCCTATAGAAATGAATTTGAATGCCACGTCGCCTCATGTGGATTAGATCAGTGATATAATCTAGACGAAGGACTATCATACCAGCAATGAATATTAATTGTCGTGGGCAGACCTATTGAGGCGATCGAGGAAGGGGTATAATTGGGAGCTGAGACAATATGATGGATGCGAGACAGCGCGGTTGTCCTTTTCTGCTTGTTGCGTAGAGACTCGTAGAAAGTAAGATACAGAGCGTGACGGTTGTCTGCCAATACATTGGACGGAACCTGCTGGTGATCCAAATGAAGCAACTTTGTTGTGAGAGGGAGTGTGTCGATCACGGGCATGCTTTCAAATCGAAGGATTTCAGACTTAGTACCCACATCGTGGAGGGAAAGGGAGGCAAAAAGATGGAATGCAAAGCCAAGAGGGTCCCGCCAAGCTCGCAATACTAGTGGGTGCGGTCGCTCTCGTGGTCCCCCAGTGGAGACCATATCGCAAGGGGAAAAAAAGCGGGGAGGCTGATAGATATTGATGTTGATAATTGAAGGAACTCCTTGAGAATTCAAAAGTCGAAGGTGAACTGGACGTTGTCTCTGTTGTATCCACTGAGGACAGATGGCCATCAGGACAGCTGGAGAGAGCTGGAGATTTGCGAGTTCTTATCAAGAACTTGGAAGCGGCCGGAAGCGCGCTCTGGCGCAATTGCTGGCTGTGCATGCGAAAAATTGACTGAGTATGAATATATGAATGTCAACACTAGAGCTTTCAGCGCCTTTCTTATCCATGATGGGCTCGGGCTCAACATCTCAGCAAGTCAGGGTGACATAGAATCCATGTCAGCATCTAAGCAGAGTCTAACTGATCTGCGCTCAGTTAACATCTTCTTCAATTCGCCACAATAAAGAAGACACGACCACTGTTATTGGATATTATACAAGCACAGGAATTGGGAGCAGAAAGCCTTCTGGTATACAATCGTTGCTCAAGCGATCTCCCGTCGGCACTCGGGCGTCACGAAAACGACGCGTCCGAGCTAGAGACCCACGGGCATCTAAACAACTTCATTGTCCGGCACTAGTAACAAAGGGTTGATAAGTATGTTCTGAATTTTGGCCTCTGAAACTCACCCATAGTAACCATCCACAGCGCTGAACGTCAGTGGCGTCCCTATGACCCCTCTCCGCCCTCACAGGGGTCGTACACGCTAGAGTTTGTGGTGAGTGATAGTGTGTGCTCCCGTCGAGGACTGACTTACCGCTCATCAAATCTCCGTCATCAGACGGACGTAAAGCTTCTGCAGCTTTGGCCAGCTGTAAAATTCAGTTAGTTGCTCATTCCATTCTCAGGAGAAATGAACTCGCCTTCATCTTCTCGACGTTTTGACATTTATCCCTGTGCTTTTCCCATAGCCCAGGATAGTAGTCTGAGCGTTTGTCGAGTTTTAGGACTTGATGGCACGCTCAGCACCTGACGGATTTTGCAGTTACTTCGCAAGCGTACTTGTCGGCTTCGAGACGGCGCCGCCAAATATGCATGCGAAGTTTGACCAAGCGTTTGAACCCTTGTGTAGACAAACCTGGGACTTCAGCGGCGCAATACCAACATCGACACCCTGGTTGGTTTGTTACAGTTCTACTGACAGGTCACCAGCCCAGACGCCACCGGTCCACCTCCCAATACCTCCAAGTTCTTAGGCTCAGTCATCTCCCGCTTCTCGACCCCGATACACTCTTCAACCATTTCATCAATCGAAATATCTTCCAGTGAGCGACTCAACGACGTTGTTGCTTTGTGTTCCGTGCGGTAGCTGGGGTTCAACATACTCAAGTTTTCTAATCTATGCTCCACGTCAATTAGCCTGACATCGATTCTGTGATGGCAAGTGTCCCGCTGGCGAGCGCTGGGCATCAGCGAAGGGCTTTTGCTTTAAGGAGGGTAGATGCAAGTGTTTTGAGATCGACGAGAGGCTTGATACCTGTACCTGATTCATCAGCGTGGAAGCCATGATTTTATTAGCCAGGCAGCCGGGTTATACAAATCATTTTAAAAAATACTGGGCTTAACTTCTGAAAAATATTCATAGACACTTGATGACACGGACTACATGTTAATTACCTGACGTCTGTTAAATCATCTTATTTAGACAGACTATTAACATTAACTCGTCGGCAAGAAAACACCCAGTGATATACCATTTCGTGTTTACTTCTCCATATGCGAGCAAAATTCAGTGGTGTGAAGACTACCTAGGCGTGAGCGAAAAGTTTCTTTGATATTTCAGGAGAGTCAACAGGACACTTTGCAAATCGTGTATCATTAGCAGATCAGTCCGAATGATATTAGCACCGAGTAAGTGCTCATATATGTATAGGAAAGCGTGACGCGAGGTAGAATAATAATATATAAGGAAAGCACCGCAGTGAGAACGAACACAATGAGTTTGAGGGGTATTGCATACTGCAGTACTAGGCAGTAGCATATATTCATCTTCCGCATTGACGTATGTTGCTTTCGTCGACATTGTTCGGCCGCATCCAGCGGATTTACAGTTGTGACGAACACCAGTATTCCGTGCCGCATTGAGAAGTGCCGAGCATAAGACCCTTGGGGGATGCTATAATCCGTCACTGTTCATGCAGAAAATTGAATAGGGACCCCTTCGGAATATCGTCTTTCTATATCGGCGTTGTTGTTGAAGCATCAGTTATCCAATTGATCCGTCTGCCACGAATCTTGTGGTCCTGCGATTCGGGCCACATATGCGTTGACAGGTAACTTCTTCATTTGATGGATGCCGAAACGCCTCGCCCCAACCCTGCCAGCGTCCAAGTGTCTATCAAATTTGTGTGAAGCTTCGAAGTCCCACAGGGACAGGGGATATAGAAAAACAAATGCTCAAATGTTGCAGGCGGGATCGCCGAGTAGGAGCAGAGTTGTACATGCAGTGAAACTCACCATGTCCATCTAATTCATGGTAATCCACATGTGCTTGTGTACTCGGGCGCAAAAACCGCACTGGCAGAACGGTTGCGAATCGCGATGGTTGACGGAGTGAGTCGAAGTGGCTGTGCACCGATGAGGAAGGTTCAGACTCCGTTTTTCTCACACGATAGCTGTGATCCGAAGATTCTTTGTGACCAACTCTTATACTAACCTTACTCCAGCAATACGAACTGTGATAACCAACCACAGGTACAGACATGGTCAATCAAATATCCCGTTGCTCGAGCAAGTGGAACCCAGCTAGCGCTGGACTCACCAGGCCTGCAGGACCCGAGCAGAAACATGTCCTATTCCGTCATAAGTGCTGAGCCTATCTATGACGATGCCCAGAACAGCGAACCTTGTCTGTCTGGGCAGTGGTTCCCCCAGTCATAATCTGCCAGGACTTTGCAGGTATTTCGTGTCTTCTAGTACACATCTTACTCTCAAGTGCTAGTTTGTATCCCTCAGTCATATGTCGAACTTCGTTCCTCATCCTCTTGATGATTGTCCGCCAGCATTGGAGTCAAGCACCGAGGCAACGACCAAGACTTGGATGAGGCTATCATGCTTCACAGGGACGCGCTGGCTTTACGTCCAATCGGTCATGCATATCGGTCCCAGTCATTAAATAGCCTTGCACCTACGCTCTCTACCCACTTCCGGCACCGAGGCAAGATCAAATGTTAACGTGATTATCAGACAGCTGATATTTGGCCTACTTAATACACGCGTAACGGCGTCAGCATGTCTAGATGAAAATCCAGGAAATATTCATGACATGAAGCATGGGAGGTGGGCTGCAAATACAATCCCGCAGCCATCTGCTGCTAGGGCCCGTGTCATGTACATAGAAAAGAAGATAGATACGGAATGATAACTCGAAGTCTAGTCATATCTGTACATATTTTATATAATAGACATACGCACGACACAAATTGATAGTCAGACTTGTGATCGAAAATGATAGGTGCGGTGATCCCAGAAAAATAAGTACGGAAGAAGCTCGAAATTTGGGCCGATTAGAGGCCAGAAAGCAGAGCAAAGCAGACGAACAACGAATAAAGCAACGGTAGCACAAGCAAAGCAACGTGAATGGATCGTCTTTCGCGGACGTATAGATCTAAGCAACGCTGTGTATCTAACTCATCAGCCTCACGAACGGAGGAGCGCAAGAGAAGACGAACGTACATCACAAATCGTTTCCGAAACTACGACGCTACCCACAGCAGATGTCTTATGAAATGATACAAAAGCCGCAGATGCCCATGCTGCCGTTGGGGTGTTCAAACTCCATGGGAATCGATTCGTTGGCATTACTAGAATCGAGGAGCGATGTTTCGCAGGGCATAGTAGATTCGGGAAGGTATGACGGGAATAAGGACTCGAGAACAACGAATGAGTCTGTCATATTGGGTAATACGAGACGTGATAGAGATTGTTTGTGAGTGCAGGAATAGGTAACGCTGGATGGTGCGCTACAGGGGTTGCAAGCGTTGTTAGGTTGAACGCGATGTATACTATGCTGCTATGCGCAACGATGTTAAGACAAAGGGGAGAAAATTGGGAGTCATGGCGATCCCTTTGTCCCTCTTTTATAACACGCCGCACGTCCACAATGATTCTCCGCTCGCCACGCCCATTGTGGATTGTGGATGTGGATTGTGAATTGTCTAATTTTGGACAGTCGGAGTAACAAATCATGGGCATTGTCCATTTCGGCTATGCACAGAATCACATCTAAACGTGCTGGCCCGGACTGTAGTATACTGAGAGAAACGGGTGATCTATAATAAATTGGTACAGTTGCAGCCTATCTATTGTATACATATGTGATACTCTTAGAGTACTTATCGTTCTCAGTAGTCTTGTCAAAGTTTCGGCTGATCCGAGATCGTCATTTTAAGCTCAACGGTCCGATTTTAGAATTACCATGTTTGGCCATGTTTGAACCTCCTTCCGAAGCCATTGTTCGACAGCAATATGGCGGAATCAAATTGCGCGTTGTGGCTCATCTATCTTGCCTCAACCAGTTCATCAACTCCATCGTTTGGCATAACAATACTATCAACTGGGCACCTATTTGGTGTGACACCTGTAAGTGATGTTGCACTGTGTTTCCGCTGCCTGTTTCCTGAAACTTGGTGTAGCCATTCCATCAGCAAATTCCGTATGAAATTGTCGTCAATTACCGTAGGATTGCGACTGTTCTATAATCATCACAATCGCCTACAACCACCATAATCGACGACATTTGGGTCATAACTGGTTATATTCGCGAGAAGCCAAAATTGCTTGTTGGTTGTAACTAGTGTTGCCGCAGCTCTGGCTTGAGGTCGGCTTTAGCCGAGAGCGGAGCTACAATTAGGCTAGCTGTGTACAAAATTAAGCTTACATAATATATGGCTCAGTCCGGTCATTTGAGCCTAGTGTTGTCGTGGCTCCGGCTTATTGCCGGTTTAAGCCGGGGCCATACATGTGACTTCGGGCTTATTTTAAGCTTTGACTCAGCTCAAGCCAAGTCAATTTGGGGGCTTAGATATTTATTTTAAACTATAGATTAAAAATAGATTTTAATTTAGAACTATCGAAGATCAAACTACCTACGCACGATCGATAAGCACACGAGCGCTAATGGCCCCCCAAGATCCAGTGAGTTGTTATTTCATTAGCGTTTGATCTAAAACTAAGGTAAATAAGGAATTATACTGTGTTTATCCCCCACGGCAGCTACACGAGCCATCCGTGATGAAGAAATGCTGCAAAAAAGTGCGGGTCCCATGGAGATTGAGGTGGCGGCGTTGGGTGTTGAAGATGCGTGGTCGGGAAGGGCGGGTGTAGCGCTGTCGAGCCGCGTGAGCATCATCTACAACATCCCCTTCCATGAAACTCATAAGCCGCTCCACATCCTCTCCCCGATCCTCCGCTTCAGCCTGTGTGCACAGCACCTCTGCAAGTTTCTGTTGTCGTTCTAGCCGTGGACACGCTGGAGGTGGCGGGTGAAAATGACCGTTTGAAGGGAGCGCCAGCCTTCTTGGTGAAAAAGTGGAGATGATGGAGGTAGCTTGGAAGTTGGGGAGTAAGAGGGTGCGGCGGCGGCGTAGAAAGGATTAATGGTTGCTGGGCGCGAGGTTGTTGACAATGAACAAAATTTTGTCAGATATCTCCTCTGGGGGCTCGACGATCTCGGCATCAAACTTGTCGGGGTGGATGGAGGTAAACACAGGCGCAGGGTCAGCCGTAAGACCAGCAGAGATTCCGCGCATATCAACATTACTGCGTGATCCGTCGCCACCAACAGCGATGGCATGGTGAATGACGGCTGCCAGATCGGGCCGAACCTCCATAAGATGGGGGATTCTGAGAAGAGCCTGACACAGAGGCTGCCATTCAGCAAGGCGGGATTCAAAGCGAGAGAGGGCTTGGAGACCAAACTTAAAAAGATTGGTGTCGGGGGGACAGTTGAGGGCGTCGACAACGTAACGGATGGCAATTCCGAGAGGAACTGAATCCACGAGATCATGATGAATGATGGAGCCAAATAGATATCCGGTCATGGCAAGCTCGCAAGCGGGGTAGTATGATTGGAAGAACTTGTATTCGCCGAAGAGGAAGTGAAGCATGCAGGAGAAAATATCGTGGTCACAAGTATCAGACGAAACTTCGCTGCGTTGGAGAAGGGTGATGACTTCGTCGATAGATGTCTGTTCATCATACATGTGCTTGTAAATGGCGTCGACCTCACTCTCAATCTCCGCTGAGTAATTGACGACTGTTAATCCAGGATCGATATCGTTGCTGGGGATGAGACTCATGAGACGAGGGTGAACCTGCAAACAGGAGTTGCGCCATCGCCGCTCTCAGCAGCTGTAAAAGTTGATGTTCAGCGTCTGGTGGAAGTAAAATGTTGTATTGCTCACGCAATTCATTGTGAGTTAATATTAGGCCGCGAAATACCTTGATGGTTCATCAGCAAACGATACTGGCAATCAAAAACATAACTTACCCCCATGAGAACCTTGCTTGTACCATCGCTCGCATGCCAAGCTTTGGCCTGAAAACAGCACTAGCGCAATATGAAGTCCCCAGAGATGGCCGGAGAACAAAAACAAAACCCACAAGAACGCTGGCAATAAACAACATCTAGTTGACAAGTCATTCACTGCAGATCAAGAGTTGGTGAACTGTTGAGACTTACACCAGGTTAACGGTGACGATGATAGCCATGGAGTCGCGAACTCCCAGGGAATAAAATCCAGGTCCAGTAGTGCCAGCGCTGAATCTGCAGGTGTTGGATATTCAGGGGATGGCGTGAGGACCAAGATAAAAGTGAAGACGCACGCCAAGATATTCATGCAAGGGGAGAACCAAACGAAAAACAACTGGTACCATCGAGTCTCGAGACGTCCCTCTGCTGGCACCGGCGCGTTTCGCACGGTCAAGTAAAAGGATGAAACTGCTGAGAGAAGGGGAAATTTAGTTGAGGACGTACGTGCGTGTATTTAAATTCCACTGGCAGCTGACGCATCGTCTATCCTGGAAGAACTTCAGGCGCTGATCATGCAGCAGCACCCTGGTCATAACCAAGATTTCAGCCAGGGACTCATGCCCCAACTGCCATCTGAAGGCACAACTAAGGGGGGCTCAGTGTGGCGCACCAAGCGCAAGGCGATGAATGCCAATGGGGCAGCACAAAAGAAGACAACGAGACCGGACAACATGATGATATATCCAATGCCACCATAGATCAGGCTGAGTATGGTGAGGGACTTACACTCGTATCAGCCGTTCCACTCTAATAACAATGGTTTAGCAATCATAAAGATGGGAGAAAAAAAGGCGCACCTAGTACTGAGAGGATTATAGCGCAGAAGATGCATGGTAGATACCGTCACCTTCACGATGTCATAAATCATCAGAGCGAGGTGACACTCAGCAAATGAAAGCGGTGAAAGAAAGACAGTCAAGCAAAGAGAGAATATATAGTTGAAAATTGAAATCATAATACCACGCGAGAGACATTGGGAAGTAGCGCAAAGAAGAAACGAAGAGTAAAAGCAAACATCACATGTCGTAGGTGATAGGAGTATCATCAATATCATCACACTCCTCCTCTGCAATAGCTCTGAGGAGGGTGTCATAAACATCACCTGTCATTCCGCTGCTGGAAAATGTCAAAAGAGTGTTAGTCTCCTCTCCCTCACCCAACGCCTGATACTCCATAGCCTTTTGCGATGCTGCCCAACCTTTCGTAAAGTTAAGTCGTTCTTTTTTCACGAGAAACTTTACCACCTGCAGGGCCTCCATCAGGACCGGGCTCATGCGATTACATTTCTTCGTGTCCGTCTCACTACTGGACGAAAATACTCGCTCGCATGGAACGGCAGATGCCTGTATAGGGAGGTAGTCCATCGCGATGCCATAAAGCGTCGGAAATAAGGTCTCCGAGACCTGGTGAACACCTCATGGTCAATAAATATTTTAATTGTAGAGATATGGGACGCTTACCATCCAGAACCCAAGTATGTCTGTTCCCTTGGGGCTGAGATTAGCCGTAGAGTAGGCCTCGAATTCTTGCTCGACTGTTTGGGCGCCACTGTTGTGACATGGCAGGACGCCAATGTCAGGAAGATTATAAAGACGGGAGCCTAGCGAGGGCAGTTGTCGCTGAGGTCTTACTTCATTAGCTGGAGGCGCGACGGGTGCTGAGCTGTTCGTGGTTCGTTTTTGATGCATCTGTGTGTGCTAATATTAGATCAAAGTTGCGTTGATATTGGTTTGACAGACGTACCAGATCGATGATATGTTTCTCTACATCTTTAACCAGTTGTTCCGCCCAATGACTCCGAACCCATGACATTCGGACCGCAGGATCAACAACTATAAATGCAATCGTGAGCAACCAAATATTTAAAAAATATACCAGACTCACGCATAGCGACTGCATAGGCATTTGTGGCGCCCAGCCTGTCGTCATACTTATCTGCCCAAATCAAACCTATCTCAACAAGAGGGCCGCAGTGTGGGACGTGTTTGGCCAAAGAAATCCACCGCTCAATCAACGTTTCGAATGCCGGGTATGTACCACTTAGCATGGGGAGTGCGTTCGCCCGACATGGATTGTTGGGCAGCGTGGGGCGCCTAGTATAGAATGATCAGATGGACCGGAAGTTTCGAAGATACTAAAACTAACCTCTAGGATTACTTCGACATCCTGTAGGAACTGCCACTCCATCGGACTCAACTTGAACTTGCTGATGGAGCTGCTGAGTGGGAGAGTCGAAAAATAAATCTACTGCCTGGGTAAAATATTAGCTTATGACAAATATTTCATGCGTGATGCCTTACCTGCGTGAATGGCTCGTAAACGGTTGAGCATGATGTAGACTGGAATCCCAACGGGTTGCCTCATCAAGCAGGAGTTCGACAACAGGGAGGCGTAGTGTCTTGCCCGCGTCATCTTGGAACCACTCCTTCTCGTTACCTGTGATGATCGTGTCCCTGAAAGAATTACGTCGCTGGTTGGACGCGCGAACCGTGCGCACAAGGTCCCTAGCTCTGCTGATAGCTTTCCCTGTCACCGCTTCTAGGTACTCCGCCTTGATGATCGTGCGATCGCCGACTACCCAACGTTCGTTCACGAGCGAAAAGTCGGCATTGTGGTAATCATCAATAATATGCTTGACACATATATTGATGATATGCGGGAAGCATGGGATTCTGTGCTCAATGGGGTGAAAATCAACACCACGGCACTCCAGTTTCTCCGAAAGCGCTCGCATGGAAACCTGGTTGCATGCGGCGTTGTCTAAGGTAAAATGACCAGTCTAAACAAAGTCAGAGCGTGTTATACGGTACAATTAAACACTGACCTTTTTAGTCACAGCGGCGCGATCAAGAAGATGCAAGAGGACTCCTGCCAGGAATTCGCCAGTGTGACTGCCTGGAATGTGATGGAATCCAATAAGCGCAGCCCTCAGAACGAGCATGGAACTGTGGTCGGCCTTAGCAATCCAATGAGCAGTAAGTGCCATGAATGGGCGAATGTTAGAATCCGACCAGAGGTCAGATGTGAATGCGACCTTTCCCTGGGCGGCCTAAAAAATATAAGGCGCTTTGTAGGGTCTTGACAGCTGTAGACTTACCGCAAGATCCCTCTTCAACGCATTGAAGTATTCGTGAAAAGCGTCGATAACTAACTCGCGAACTTTGGTACGGTGAAATATGTCGCTCTCGGTCACCGATGGCCGCAGAAGACGGATCAGACGACGAAATTCCGGACATTCGATAATATTTATCGCCTGAGGACAATTATTAAACATTGTGTGTAGAAAGTATACATTGACTCACCTGGTCGTCCGCAATGATAAATTTGACAATCTGTTTGTGCATTTCGTCCAGACTAAATGCAGGCAATGCGTCGTCTGGGACTGACAGGCTAGTTCCGGGGAGTGGGCCAGGAGTAGGGGGAGTACCGAGTGAGTCTAGTGTGTAAGCCGGATCCTTCAGCCTTTGACGCATGGTCGCGACCGTCCAGCCTTCATCCAAAAAAGTATTCAAACGTGATGACTTATGGAGGACATGCCAGTGCTGACGCTCTGCCTCCTCCAGGTAAGTCTCAGTATGGTCGTTGAAGGCGTGTGCACGACGAGCTGAAGTGCCTGTACTATGAAGGTATGACATGACGTGGTGAGTGTTGTCGTTCGCATGGATTTTTCTGGTGAAGGATGTCAGAAAAAATGATAGACTCCAGACACGATACTCACTCGCAGGCTATGCATATATTCGACCGAGTGTCAGGGTCCTGTCTGAAGAAGAAGTGGACATCGGCAGATGATTTAGGCAGTTTGACTCGGCCACCAGTGGCCAGAGGGTCGGTTAGAATGGTACTCATCGCGGTCTGCAGTGGACTATGGCCTGCAGCAGGCCCAACTGCAGGCGCAGGTGGGTTGACCACTTCGTCCTCCTCATCCCCAGAGACGTTCTCAAGGTGGAAGGATTCCCCGTCATCTGAGGCATTTTCACGAAATCTAACGGGACGCTGACGATGCCTTTGAGGGTTACGAAGTATATTTGCATTCACTGCAGCAGCGATTGGAGCGGGAGCAGCTGTGGGAGTAACGGTAACAGCAATGGGAGTTGGAGTGATAGGAGCGGGAGGAATTGGATCAACGGTGGGGACAGCGACAGCGACTCTGGCAGTAAGCTGGGTAGTGTTCTTCCGTCGAGGAGGCATGTTGGTGGCGGTGGTGGTGATGATGATCCAACTAACAGCAGAATTACCGGTCTAGATATATCATGACATCTGGGGAAACCCCAGAACATGCCGATGTGCAGTGATCTTGAGTCCCTGATGGAAAAGCCCAGAGAACAATTGTCACGAGGTATGAGTCCGCAACTTATACATGCCTCATGCAAGTCAAATCTAATTCAGCGGTGAGTGGGGGGTGAAAAAAAACTCCCGCAATTGTGCATACCTGCAGAGAATCAACTCCAGCTTGAAACTCCAGACTCCAGAGGGTCCAAAGGCTTGAAATCGAGCATGTACGTCTTCATCCTCAGGTGTAGTTGAATGATCGATATGATCAGAACAAGATTTCCATCGATAAGCACTCACTGAGTCGTCGTTATTATGTGGTATGGCTGTATTGCCAATTGTGATGATTCAGGAAGTCACGATGAGTCCCTCGCGAGTTACGAAGGCCATCTCCAGGCAAGCCTGCAGCCTGCAGGATGTTGAAAGATAAGAGGCGCTGCGTGGGAGTGGAAGTTTTTCAGATATCAATATATCTGGTTCGGTGGTTATTGCATCCGCCACGTCATATGTATGCTGCAAAGCTCGTTGTAAGAAATTGTATACGAATCCTACTATATCACAAAGTACGCGTACAGTACTTGCTTGTACAAACTACTCCATACAGGTGTCCAATAGCATCATGATCTAAGTCTTTTCCGGTGTGGAGTTGAAGATGTTGCACGTAATGGGGAGTCATTTCGTGGGCGCAAACTTGCAAATTGCAATCACATTAGTTCGTAAGTACTAAGATAAATGGACTACTCACACACGAGTCGATCTGCGAAGCGGCGGGCATGGAGGCACTGCCTCAATTACACAGGGTCCGAAGAGTAGAGGGGAATGTGTGATAGGTACATCAGGCTGGTTTATATCCAGCAAGCACGCAGCTGGTGCAGGTGGTGTAGAACGAAGTACGTGAAGCAATGAGCGAAGGTGGTTATAGTCGGGATCCTCTGAGAACGCGAGTGAGCGCGTGTAAATGAGAATTGTTGCGAACTCGACAGGAATTCCATGACATAAATCTTCGATGGTGGTGTTCACTTTGCGCTCGAGTATGGAAGCGCTGGAAAGTTTCTCTTGGTCACTAATTAACCATGGAAGGGAGCCCTGCAAGAAGTATATCAACATGTACGTAAGTGACTCGAGATCGTCACGACGGCCTGGTTCGACTCCCAAGTGATTGTTGATTGACGCAAATGCAGGAGTGCCAGTGAGACGTTGACCTTGGCGAAATGGAATATGGACACTGGTTGACATATTCCAGAATTCCTTCGCGATGCCGAAATCAATAATAAAGGCAGTGTGCCTCAAATCGCCAAGACCCAGAACAACATTCTGTGGTTTGATGTCACCGTGAATATAACTGTGCGAGTGAATGTATTCGAGACGTGAGAGCTGGGGAAAGGGGTTAGTGATCTGTACATGCATGATGCAACCCGCACACCGACTGACCAGCTGATCTCCTAGATTTATGACAGTGTCAAGGCTGAATTTTCGGCTGTGGGAAAGGAAGAGACTGTGGAGGGATGGCCCAAGGAGATCGAGAACGAGAGCATGATATGTCGACTCCCTACCGAACCAGAGGGCGCGGGGAATACCAACACCACCTTCAAGGTGTTTCAAAATCTTGTATTCGCGCTGCACGGAAGATGAGCGGGTGATGGGTTCGAGTTTGACGGCAACTGCATCATCCTTTATGATGTTCCACGCATGATACACGACAGCTAATGGGGTTTCAATGTCAAATTCAACATGTAGTCAGTAATCATGATATGAAAATAACATACCATACGAGCCGGATCCCAATACATCTCCTAACCTAAATCTTCCATCAACTCGAACGGGGACCTTATCCATAGTGTATACAAGTAACAATAGCCCACGAGTAGAGAAATCCAGTGAATCCGACCAACAACACTGGAGGCAACAAAAAAGCTATTCTTACACACAACCACGTAGCTTGAGCTGGCTTAAAGTGGTTCAAGCCGCGGTTCATAAATTTTTGGCTTGTGAAAGTTGTAGCTGGTTCACATGGCTAATGAATCGGACCAAGTCAGTGATCAGTGGCTTGGCTAACGGGTATCGCCGAACTTCTGGCAAACCGGTAAATACCGAACCGGAGCCAGCCATAGCCGAGCCGTGGCACTACTATCTGTACGCTCAGCTGATCGTAAAAAAAAAGTGGAACACCGTCACAGCGACGGCGAACACTAGACAGACAAACGGTACGAGGAAAAGCGTATGATTGACGGGACGGTGAGGAGCTAAAGTATAGTAGCGTAAACTATGGCGTATATATAGGAAAAGCAACCTATAGCCAAATAGCCGATAATACAGTAAGGTGTCCAATCATCGAGCAGTGAGTAGGACGCCAGACAGAACACCTACGTCATGAGCGATGTCTACGTCATGTGGTAAGCGTGAGCTTACACCGGAATGGGGAAATTAACATCGATTAAGTATGAAACTTCAAGTTGGGTAGGTAGTCAAGAAGAATGCCGGTGGCTCTCTCCGGCACCTCCAACATGTTGGACCAGGGCCATCCAGTGTTTGTTGAAGGATCTGATCTTGGCAGGTGCGAGGAATTCTTGCAACGTCCAGCCCCTAGCCATTCATTAATATTCATTCGTCATCCATTATATCCTCGATCCGGACTCGCTTTGTGCCAGATAGAGAGTTGCAATACCACCGAAACATGGAAGGAATCGACTCGTCAAGCTCAGTTCTGCTTTTCTCGATGTCAGCAGGTATTTAACCACGCGAATCACTGGCCTTCTTGTAGGACCTTTGGAGTTTTCAAATCCTGGAGCTCTAACTTGGGGACTTCCTCATCTCTTCTCAAAGGTACCATAGATAGGCTCCCATGATAACTACTAACCGAAACACGAATTTGTGTGAAAAAGCCTCGAGGAGCGCACAGCTCAGCTCACCTGCGTTGGACGTCAAAGGATGTTCCGCCGATATCGATGTGATGTTTACACAAAGGATTCAAAGGCATTACAAAAGATCCCCGTGCTCAAACTCGATCAAATTGCAGCGTTTTGATGGCTGCCAAATCCGCACTCACCTCAAGTGAGTAGTAAGACAAAGCAGTACCTTTGTTCGCTAATTTAGTTCCTCAAATAAAGCGACATATTCGAAACATCACCTCGAGCGCCCTGAAGAGATGTGTTCCGTGATGCTGTGAAGATGCTGCATACACGAGGAATATTGAAACCAGATATTTTTATATTCATCAGAAGAAGGATGATCTCACCTCTGTGAAGACCCTGTACAGCGGCGGCTCCGGCCAACTTGATGTATGAGAGCACTCCCGTGATTACTGATTCAGTATTGATTCAGACATGCGAGCAATGGAACATCTTTGACGTAATGGCCTGGATACTTGACCAGTTGATGCATTCGGTGCCAAAGCCGGAGAAGATCTGATTCGGTCCCGGCGTGCCACAACCGGCTTGTGCGATTTTCACTGGGCATGAATGCTGTAAACGACACCACGATATATATGCTCACGCATAATCTATAGCTATATGCTGCTGTTAGTTTTGCGAGAAAATGTGGTCTGGAATGACAGTAACTTATTAGTGGCCCACAATTGATACCGCTCAACAACATGATGGAAAGAAGCAACCCGAGTACAACAAACAGCAAGCGTAAACACATGTGGTAACATTAAGTCGTGATATAAGTAGTGACCAGCACAAGGCATCGGCACGATCTGCATGGAAGGAAGGACTGCGTTCCTTCTTACGAGTCTGTCCGGGGAAGGCCCTATCTTTCCCCTTCCGCACGAAGTCTATCCCGTACGCGCACCAAGGCCTTCCCAAGTTCGTTGGCACCATCACCTGAAGGGCCATGACCCCAGTACGTGTCATTAATATCAGCATACACAATATCAGCCAGGCCCGTGCGCAAAAGCAAGGTCCGAAGATTGGGATGTTGCTTGAATTTGATATACAGAACATCTTCCATCTGCAAACGCAAAAAGAAAAGAAAAAACAGTCAGAGGAAGTCGGTCCATCAGAAGGTTAATGAAAACAGCCTCACAATCCTCAAGAATACCTGACCCCAATCTGGTCGCACGTGCTCCTGGAAACTAGCTGATAACGGGTACATGTCACCGACATCTGTGCACGTTCGTATGCGCTCCTGGAGTTTGGGGTGTTCCGTAAACTTCATCGCCTCGAGGAGGTGCATCGCAGTAGGATACATTTTGTTTCTGTATAGCACGCGGTGTTGTGAGTGATTTACAAACCCGCTTAGTTCACCGGTATGGTCAAACATAACGGGTGGCCCGCGATCGGGAACTGGCATAGCTTGTAATGGGGCTCCATTTCCAGTGTACGCGTTTGTCACGTGGGGCATGGCTGCAGTTGGTGGTATAATGAACGATGTCACGGTATTGGAACGATGATGATGACCGCTAGGTTCGCTATCGCTGCCCGATGTGCTGAAAGCGCGGAAGAGTCCCTTTCGCGATTTACCCTTGCGTTTACTACTAGAGCCAAATAGGTTTCCTAGACGTGATGCCGGACCTGCTGGCTGAGCCAGCATGTTTTCCATCTCTTCCATGTGTTCGACGTTCAAAGAGAGGGTTATGTCCTTTGGGAGTTCCTGTAGAACTTGACGATAAGGGGTGGTGTTCCATATATCTCTAGGAGGAGAGGGAAGGGGATTTCTCCGCGTTGCCATTCGGATAGGAGGGACGGTTGGTGGCCTAAATGGCACATCACTCAAATCAGGCTCAGGCATGGAAACGGAGTGATCTGCTGGCCGGTAGAAGTCGGTGAATCTTGGACGAGATGATGAGTTGGCCGCATGCTGTGCGTCAGCTATAATGGGGGGAGGAGGAACAACTGGATCTCCTCGTCGACCAGTCATATCGGGGAAGACTGGGCCTGGAGTCGCCCGATTGTCTACATGTGGCTCGGGCATGTGTGCAGTGGGTTGTGAGTGAGCTGGGTAATTTAGGATGGGAGGAGGAGGAAAAACTGTGTCTGCTTGGGGTTGCACGTTAGTCATAACAGGGGGAGGAGGAACAACTGGATTTTGTTGAGTAGTCGCATCGGGCATTACGGGGCCAGGCTCTGGCATGCGTACTTGCGCCCCTGCAGATGGAATCACTGGTGCAGCTGCGTTTTGAAAAGCAGCAACCGGAACATATGGTTGCGGCATACCCAGAGGCTGCTGCATAGGAATCATGGCCACTGGGTAATACCCGCTCATTTGTGGATAAGCGGCTTGTACCTGTGGGTCTTCATCCGCAACCATCAGGAATCGGCTACTCTCCTGAGACTGTCACGCACAATACTGAAATCCGTAGGCTGCAGTTGGAAATCCATTGGAGTACTGCTGATACGGCATCGGGTGTGCTTTCTCCTTGCCCTTCTTTGACCTGACCGAGGTCCAGCTTGTTTGCATTCCGCTTGAGTTGACGTTTGGAACCGGAAAGGGATAGTTTCTGGGCTTTGAGGGACCAGCGCCCATGATGGTGGCGATGTCGTTGATATATGTGATTATATGTAAAACACGAGTTCGAAGGAATACCAGAAGCAAACCAGAAGCACCAACGCAAGGCAGATGCAGGCAGATGGGTCCAGTGTTAGGCCGTGGGCACGAGGGAGATACGAGGACGTGCGATTACTGGTGCGAAATAACACACGAGTTCAGGTTGCGGACTTGCCAGTGGTCAGGGTATAATTGAAAGCTTCTATGTACGTATAAGGTTGAAAAGCTGATCAAGTTCTTGTCATCGTATCATCTCTGCCGTAACATGAACTTTGTCTTTTTGCACACAAAAAGTTTGAATTGGTAGCTAGTGAGTGAGTAAGAGCTACAGCCTGAAATGTACAAGTAAGCGCCATCAGTCGTAGCGAGATCCTCTGCGTCGCGGTGGGCTCCTTGATCGTGAACCCGACGGCGACCGTTTCCCGCCTCTGCCGCCCCTGCCTCCTCGATGAGGTGGTGAATCACGCCTTGGGGGCGGACGTCTGTCTGATTCTCTGTTTCGGTCAAAGTCACGATCTCTTCCAGCAAAGTCTCCGCCCCTTCCACCACCACCTCCCCCTCTTCCTCGTGGACCACTGGGGGGAGCAGGGTTGGAGTCCCCTCGCCAATGTCCCCCACCTCGGCCAACCGGGGCTGCTGTTCCCCATCCTGCATCACTCTGTCGTGCTGCTGGTGCGGATCTCCAGCCGTTTTGAACTGGAGCTTTGACAGCGGTCTCTGCCTGGGTAGCTGCAGCTACTGCAGCCGCAGCGGCTTTTGGAAGGATTATAGAGACGCAAAGGTAGTCCCCTGGCACAAATCGAAGTTCATCGAGCGTCCTCTCCTCTTTCTCCCGTTCTGTCTGCTCTCTGGATTCGCCATCCGTGTCGTTGAGTAGGCGTGCCGCAGGGTTGTCAACAGTACCTGGCTCGCCCAGAATGTCACGAGAATAGACTATACCAAGCTCTTTTTGTGCAAATCGTCCTCTGTTTGCTGCGTCTGCGTATATAGCGCGGAAAGAATACCGAGCGAGAGGGTGGCGAAACTCTGGTATTTGTGGTGCAGCATTTCGGAGAGTCGTCAGTACTTCACGCAAGGTGGCGTCTTTCCTAGTCACGGGGTCAGAACAAAGTCAAAATAAATACACCTGCATGCATACCAGGTGTAAATTTGTTGTTCATCCGTGGTTGGCAGAGTATTTTCCTCGAACAATGACAGTTTGTGGAATGATCCAACCTTTACAAAAGTTCGGATGAGGAATGGAGCCGTCTAGTAAAAAAAAACAACGATTAGATGCAAAAGGTACAAAAATGTTGAAATTACCTTCTCTCTTGAGACAATAGGCTGTCCCGCTGGGGTCGTTGTCTCCATGTCGGCCATTGTGAACTGCTACGTGCACGGGGTAGTAGACCTTCGCTGCTTGCTTACATAACAGTTACCATTTGGAGCCTAACCACCCTCGCACCCACCAATTACACCTCTTTAGCATGGAATTTGCACCTTGAACGCCATGGATACAACAAGACTTGCATGAATTCCTGTGATCTTTCAAATTTCAGGTCAGTACAAGGTCAATGACTACATGGGACTTTGTTTATCCAACTTGTCACATCCTAGCACGAGTTAGACCCAAAACTTATCAAAAACATGCGCCTACTTGTTTATGTCCGGGTCTAGTCCTGAGATTGATATATATATGTATAGCGGGGCGTAATCTCGTGGTAATTCCTTGTCCATGAGATAACGAATTGAAGTTGTCATGCGTATGCCTGCCAGCAGCCACTCGGATCTGCGGACTCGTGACATTTATGGGGAGACTAGTGTTGCTAATCGGCTCACAAAGTTCTGCCTAGGAAGTTCAGGTGACCCCACAGAACAAACTCGCGGCATTAGAAGACGGGGGTGAAACAGACGCTTGTCTTTCACACCCTTCCACTATCACCATGGCTGGTGGTTATGAAATTCTGAAGAGTGGAGATGATAGTGAAGTCCAGTCACCGAAGTCGTATCGCACTACTCGTCGTGTCGTCATTGGTCTTGTCGCGTGTCTGGCGTTGGTAACACTTTCTTTTCTGCGTGTTCATCCTCCCTTATCAGTAGATCTGGGAGCACAAGATACTCATGACGGGGACTCCGTGAAGGCCTGTGCTTCACCTGCACCCCCTGTTGCCCGTCCCCCAGCCCCGATCAACCCATGGGCTTCTCTCACCATCGAGCAGACCGTTCAGATCCAGAGGTGGTTGGAGGAGCCTGCCCGGGCCCTTAACCTGACGCGCGGGGTTATATCGAAGCCTTCGGACAACCACATTTTCCTGATAGAAGCATACTACCCGCCTAAGGCCAGCGTCCTTAGTTACTTCTCGTCGTTGTCCTCGTCGGACATCCCCGAAAAGTATGCACGGGTCACAATTCACCACGGTTCTGCACTGGAGCCTGTCGTAAAGGATTATCTTGTTGGCCCGCTTCCTATTGGGCCGTCCACTCGTATGCGGCATTTGACGGAGATATACCATCTTGACGCCATTCCGCACAATGCACGTGGCTTCGATACCCGTGACTGGACTACCCCAGAAATTTTTGAGAAGATGGCGGCTCCCTTGATGGAAGCATATGAGGTCACTTGTGTCATCTTACTTCATACTTGCTGCTTACAAGAGTTCGTCCTCAGGAACTTCTGGGAGGCACGCCCCAGGATACTCTTACGACGGCCGGCAGTGGACCCTTCAGCTTTGACGGTTCATTCAGACGTCTGTGGCTTACCTGGCGGCGCAACACTCCCGGCTTCTTCTTACACCCGCTCAACTTATATCAGTACATTGACCTTAGTGGTACTGATCCCTCGCAATGGGACCAGCTGAAGGTATGTTCTTATGACCTCATTTTACTTTTGTGCTCAAATTGGTCTTAGATCGTGTACAATCACCAAGTCTTTAACTCCCCGGAATCCTTCATGGAAGCATTCCATAATGGCAGCCTCAAACGCGTCCCCGTTGTCGACCCTGACACCGATTTGTCGTACAGTACTCGTAAGCGTATCGGAGCCCAACGCGATCTCGACCACCTTCCTGGACCCCGTTCGGTGTCATTTGCAGGTCTGAGATTCAGAGTGGATCGTGATCTTCAGTATGTTAGCTGGATGGGCTGGGGCATGTACCTTGGTTTCGACAGAGACATGGGCTTGAGCTTGTGGGACATTAGGTTCCGCGGGGAGCGGATTGTTTATGAGGTAAGCTGTTCTCGATGTAACCATCCACTTATGCAGTATTCTGATCCTTTCACAGCTCAAGCCCCAGGAAGCCCTTGCACAGTATGGTGGGTGATCTAACACTGGCTTCCGCATTTCAGTTGGCCTGATTTTGTTCTCCAGCGGGTAACGATCCATTTCAGGCAACGACTGCTTGGCTCGATCGCTACTTCGGCATGGGACAATCCGTCCGTGACATGTTGCCGGGTTATGACTGTCCACATGAAGCTGTATATTTGCCGGCGACCACGTACTCAGTGAACGGAATAAGCACACAACAGCGTGCAATTTGTATCTTCGAGCATGATAGCGGTCGACCTCTTACGAGACATCTTGGTTTCGAAGAAAATGAGTTCGGCGCAGTGAAGGGCTATGAGCTCGTGATTAGAAGTATCGCTACGGTTGGAAAGTACGTGATTTTGTCTTTAGTCTGCATGATGCTGAAACTCTCACCCTAGTTATGATTACTGTAAGTGCAGCAATTTGTCATCTTTGTGATGTTGACTGAATCCTGCGTTGCCTTGCTGTAGTGGTGAGTGGCGATTCAAGTGGTTTTTTCGTTATTGACCTAATCATTTGCGCAGTTTGACTATATCTTCCATCTTGACGGGACTATCGAGGTCCGTGTCTCTGCCTCCGGGTATTTGCAGGCTGGTTTCTACGATGAAACACAAGGGCAATACGGCAACCGAATCTGGGAGACCAGCAGTTTGTGTTTTCACCCATCTCTTATGCCAATTTAACATATCGTTATTAGTGGGTAGTCTGCACGACCACGTTATCAACTACAAGGTGAACACTTTTCCTATGGTATATTCATAACGATGACAAACCATGACAGGTCGACCTTGATGTGGCGGGAACAGCAAACTCGTTGTTGAAGACCACCTTGAGTCAAGAAGTTATCACCCAGCCTTGGTACGAGGATGACTGGGGAGATGAAGTTATCCAGCAGGTGGTCACACGAGAGTATATCGAGGACGAGAACGATGCCTTGTTGAAATTCCCGACGAATTTCCAGGGCGGCTATTCAATAGTCAATCAAGAGGAGACAAACAAGTGGGGAACCTCGAGAGGATACTCTATCCATCCAGGTTATTCTCCTATTCACAACGTGCGTATGTTATTGAGGATGTCGCGATGAAGTCTGAACTCTGGATTACAGACAGTCGTTGGTTCTAAGCGGCTCATGAAGAACGTGAACTGGGCGCGATACAATCTGGCTGTCTCCCGTCGCAAAGAGACAGAGCCGTCCTCGAGTAGCATGTGGAACTTTAACTTGCCAGGAGGCCCTCCTGTCGACTTCCACAAGTTCTTTGATGGAGAGAATATCACACAAGAAGATCTGGTTGCCTGGGTCAACCTTGGCATGCATCATCTTGTAAGTGGCTTGCTTGATGAAGTGCATCGTGAAGCCTCATTGCTTTCATTCTGCAGCCCCAATCGGAAGACGCGCCTAACACGCGAACGAACACGGCGACGTCAAGGTTGGCTTCGCTGACTTCTGTCATATAGGATAAGAGCTAATCAACAGTCGAACAGCTTCTTCCTGACGCCCCTCAACTACTTCGATCACGATGTATCTATTGAGTCCACCAATGCTGTCCTCCTGAAGAACCCAGAAAAGCCTGGCGACCCATTCACATATGATGACTATGGCGTTCAGCCCGCCCACTGCCTACCGGAACACCCGTCGCCCTTCGAGTACCATCCAGCGAAGATGTTCGACCTGGATGGGAAGCCTGCACCTGCTTCTTCGATTGAAGACATGCGCAAGGCCTCAGAGTTATACCACCGGATCAAGCTTGAGTTGTAAAGCGATAAAGCCTTATCAGAGATAGGAGGGTGGTGTAGTGACAGGTGCTAACTATGTGACTCCTTTGCAACATGTGTATCATTTTATCCACGGAGCTATTAACAGAAGGAGGTTGAACTCAGTTCCTGATCCGTCTTTCGTCTTAAGCTAATCCCGTGTTTAGTCTACGCCAGGCGTGTGATAGTGCACATGAGACTTGTGTATTTATGGTTTAGCGTCCTGTTCAGCCACATGTGTATCTCTATCTGTCCACCACCATGGTCAAAAGATACGAGCAGCTGAAAGCTGCATCCTTGGATGAACCCAAGCATGGGTTAACGCGAACGCCGAACAGGATCACTACTCATCGTCTCGGCCTTGCATTCATCATTATCCTTGTACTGGCTTCGCTGACCGTTATCCAGGTCAGACCATTTACCCCTAGCTCCAAAATTGTTTTCGGAGATACCAGCTACGATGAGGATATCAAGATCTGTGTATCCAATATTCCACCTCCTGCTCGCCCGCCAGCTCCGATCAACCCATGGGCTTCTCTTACCATTGATGAAACGGTAGAAATCCAGAATTGGCTCCTGAGTCCTCAGATGAACCTAAACCTCACGCGGGGAGATGCAGCTCGGCCATCTGATAACTCCATCTACATGATACAGACATACTATCCTCCCAAGGCTGACGTTCTCAAATATTTCTCATCTTTGGATCCTCATGATGCACCTTCAAGGTTCGCTCGGGTTACGATTCACCATGGCGGGACCATGGAACCTGTGATTAGAGATTACCTCGTCGGGCCGCTCCCGGTCACGCCAGCTACGGAGATGACGCATTTAACGGAGATTTATCATACCAAAACTCTTCCCTACAACGCACGGGGATATGACGCCCTTGACTGGAACCTGCCGGAAATCACCACCAAGATAGCAGCCCCGCTGATGGATGCATATAAGGCGAGTCGTTTACATCGACTGTCCTTCCTGGTCTTTCTTAAACTTTCTCAGGAACTTCTAGGTAGTTTGCCCAATGATACCATTGTTGCTGGAGGCGCCGGGCCGTTCGGTTTCGACGGATCGTTTAGGCGCTTCTGGTTGAATTGGCAGAGAGATACGCCCGGATTTTGGCTGCACCCGCTGAATCTTTGGCAATATATCGACGTCAGTGGTACCGATCCTTCGAAATGGGACCAGCTGAAGGTAAACCCTATTTTGGTTTTAGTGGACGTTCTCGTTTTAAACTCATCCATAGATCGTTTACAATCATCAAGTATTTGATACAGCGGAATCATTCATGGATGCGTTTCATAACGGTACGCTCAAGCGCGTGCCTCCGGTGACGAAGCAAGAAGAGGACCTCTCTTGGAGTACACGAGAACGTATCGGCACCTTACGTGACCTCGACGACCTTCCAGGACCTCGTTCCGTATCTTTTGCTGGGTTGCGGTTTAGGATTGACCATGACCTACAATACGTCAGTTGGATGGGCTGGGGACTTTATCTGGGTTTTGATCGCGATATGGGATTAAACCTGTGGGATATACGCTTCCGGGGTGAACGGATCATCTACGAGGTGATTATATATTGTTTCCTGCACTACTTTAGCTATCCGACTAATATTCAAACTAGCTCAAGCCTCAAGAGGCATTGGCGCAATACAGTGAGTTGTCGCTGAATTTAGATTGAAGGGAATATATCTGACTTGTGTGGCACAGCCGGGAATGATCCTTATAAGTCGAGCACTGCACTTTTGGACTCGTACTTTGGCATGGGGCAGTCGGTCCGCGATCTTCTTCCAGGTTATGATTGCCCAGACGAGGCCATTTATCTCCCAACTACAACTTTTTCAGCAACAGGGATGATGACCAGGAAGCGAGCAATATGTATCTTTGAACAGGACAGCGGACGTCCTATATCAAGACATCTTGGTTTTGAGCGAAGTGAATTTGGTGCGGTCAAAGGTTACCAGCTGGTTATTAGGAGTGTTGCCACCGTTGGAAAGTAAGTAGCATCATATGGCTGTTCTCTGGAACATCTGTACTCAGTATATTGCATTTAGCTATGACTACTGTGAGTGTTATGATCAGCTTCCGTCTTCCAAGATTCGACAGCGTTGACCTTTCTTTAGTGGTAAGTGCTTGTCGCTTGGTATAGTGATCATATACTTACATACTTGACCCTCTCTCAAGTTTGAATATATTTTCCACATCGATGGAACCATCGAGGTTCGTGTATCAGCATCCGGATACCTTTTATCAGGGTTCTGGGATGAGGAGCAAGGAGCTTACGGGAGCAAAATCTGGAACACCACTCGTGCGCCGTCCCCCGATACTTTTAGCGTATATCGCTGACGCATGTGACCAGTTGGAAGTCTTCACGACCATGTCATCAACTTCAAGGTTTTTGGAAACCATATGACACTTTTCATGGTCTAAGCTCTTTTGCAGGTCGACCTTGACGTAGGAGGAACACAAAATTCGTTGTTGAAAACAAGTCTTAGCCAGGAAGTCACTAACCAACCGTGGTTCGACGACGATTGGGGTGAGGAGGTGATCCAACAAAGGATCACCCGTGAATACATCGATAACGAAGACGAAGCTCTGCTGAGATTCCCCACCAACTTCCAAGGAGGTTATACTATTGTGAACACTGACGAAACCAATAAATGGGGAATTCCTAGAGGATATGCAATCCATCCCGGTTACTCGCCGGTTTATAATGTGCGCAACACACATTGAATGTGCTTGCATTATCTTGACAGGTGCTCTTCCAAGACCGTTGTAGGATCCAAGCGTCTGCTCAAAAATGCAAACTGGGCGCGTTATAATTTGGCGGTGTCTCGTCGCAAGGATACAGAGCCGTCTTCCAGCAGCATGTGGAACTTTAACCTTCCAGGGGCTCCCCCTGTTGACTTCCACAAATTCTTTGACGGTGAAAATATTACTCAAGAGGATTTGGTGACCTGGATTAACGTTGGGATGCACCACCTTGTGAGTTCGCCTTCTTAAGTGTTGATGCAGAGCTGACCTGCTCGGTACCAGCCCGCGTCAGAGGATGTTCCGAATACAAGGACTAATACAGCCGCTTCAAGGTGACATTCTAGCTACGCGTTGGTACGACATGCTGACTCGCTGCATTATTTAGTTTCTTCTTGACGCCTTTCAATTATTTCGACTATGACGTCTCCATCGAGTCTGCCAATGCCATACTGCTTCAACCTCCCAAAAATCCGGGAGACCCGTTTTCTTACAATGATTATAATGTTCGTCCAGCCCACTGCGTCCCGGAACCCCCTGCCGCATTCGAGTACTATCCGGAGCAGGTGTACGACTTGGATGGGAAACCTGCCCCTCCCTCGACGGTGGAAGAGATGAGGAAGGCTTCTGAGCTCTACCTTCGTATCAAACTTGAGCTTTAACAGGAATATCACTAAGGAACTGGTTAGCTTTGTCTATGTATCAATTTTACTTCATGCAATTATGATATCGGGAGTAATTCGGCGCTGGTAATCGGGAAAAAATTTCTCACAGTACTTGAACTTGGAAAACCACCTCGATATGCATCATGACACTTGCAAGGGAGTTGCCCCATGCTGTATTTTATTCTCGATGCGCGTGGCCTCCTTCCAATGGTCGCCTTCGTAAACTGCAAAAACGTCAGCTCTTGCTTTTATGCTCCTTCACGAGTAACAGGCCCTGTGGAGTCTGAAGTCTGGACCATGGCATGCCAGTGGTAGCTCTTCAAATCCGTCAAAGCCTCACCCCCGTGTCCTCTAAGTTCTTCAAGCACTACTTCACCCTCTCAAAAGCGGCTAGAGAACACTAGGAAAATCTTACCGAGTGGATATTCGAGTCTCGAGAGGTTCTCTTGCATGGAACATCCCGACAACATTTGCGCAAATCTTCGGTGTAACGCATACTGGTATCTGGATTTATCATCTTGGCCTGCCAATGTAGAGACTTACCTATCAGAATAGTTAGTCTCTTTTGAGCACCAGCCCCGCATCACGCACAAAGATCATGTGGATTATCATTAATCAAGACTCATCTCAGCTTATTGGTCAAATGCGATGCAGCCAATTAACGGCGTGATGAGCGCAGCACGTCATGCCCTCTTGCCCTCTTGCATCAAAGTGATGAGAATATATTGAGGCAGTGTGTATCTTGGGAGGATTGCAACATTGGCGGAAGGGGATATTGGCGCGCCGTTGGAGAGGCAAGTGGTCTATTTGAGATTTTTCTGCTGTCCAACTGGTAGATGTGACCTCGTTCAGAGACCCTGGGTGAGCTGTTATCATCTCTTGGGCCCTGGCGAGCGAGGCGGAGAGAGTGCGGCAAATGTTGGACGATACGATACCGGTACAAGTGCTACCTATTCCGAAAGATTTAGTCTTTGGGACTGCTTTTGCCTTTTTTACTCTTTATCGCGTCTTGTCACCTTCGACCACCATATGCCATTATATTCAACAGTGGCTTTTTTCCTTCTCGCGCTTCTCAACACTGAATACTTAACATTCTGCTCGCGCATAGTCCTACCTCAGCGTTGTCTATCACATCCGCTAAGGTACGTATAGTATAGTCACTCGTACTTATGGGACGCAGGCATCATTTTCAAATCGTCGATGGTTGCATCACTAGACCTGTGTTAGATCATAACTGTAAGATCACGCTAATATCGGAACTCGATGCGAGTGTGATAGGAACCTCTCCAGGAACAATACCTTCCATGCCGGCGACTCGGCGAACAGGCGTTATGGTATATGAACCTAGCACGACCATCATCGTCATACATCTGCCTACTCTCTGCCACTCTGGTACTATTCCCTTCCATATGACTTTAGTCTCGGATGATCCTAAGTGGTGGCCGCTAATCAATGTTTACCGACTTTACAGCTATTTTGTAGGTTCGTGAGCAGGAAGCCAGTGATGTCGATGATGTTTCACTCAGATCTGTCTTTACTATCACTTTGCAGTTGCATCCTCTACTGTGGTGTTATACGATTGGGGTGAGCAATATATGCTTATCGAAAGACTTGTTGATGTTCATGTGGTATTCAGCACTGACATTTGGACAAGAGGTAAGCCGATGACATTACCAGAAGCAGCCATCTCACTGGGTTCTTTAGTACGAACTGGTCTTGGTGAGCAGAGTCCCCGGACAACATAATAATACAACTAATTCCGAGCGGCAGAAGCAACGCTGGTCCCGCATGACTGTCCTATATGTCAGCGTATGTAGCTTATTTTATAACTGCGATTGCCAAATTGTACTAACTTATAGCATATTCTAGGTGCGTTACGTCGGAATGCTTTCATTTGGGTATGTTTGCTGCGCTAATTTAGCAAGCATTAATTGTGCTAATAAGACATCATCTTACGATCAGCATCATCATGTTGTGTATGTTTCCTTATATTAAATATTGTGATTGTGTCTTCTCACTGGCGACATGTAGTAGGTCTTCCGTCAGTTTCGGTGACAGATATAGTGAGAATTCTGCACTGATTCCTGTCGTTCTATTCTAACTCATTGTTCTCCCGTGTAGGGGTGAGTGAGATCTTCAGCCAGTTTGTCGGTTCAATATAATTGACTGCTACAGTTGTGAGTTCGTTTGGAGCATCGAGAATTCCGAAGCTCATCAGTAACTGGGTCTTTCAGGCACTATTCTCGGCATCGCACAATGGTGGACGACTTTCGTCGTAAATGTTATGCTGGGTTGTAAGCTACTTGGCTGTAGTACCTCATTGACTTGACTGAAACACCGCGCCAGACATTTTAGTTACTCGGTTACGTGCGATGTATCAGCGATCTAGAAAGGTGTCAATCTTTCTCGCCGGAATCTCTCTGGCTGTCACGGTTGCCTGCGGAGTGATTGTCGCAATAGCAAGCAGCGATGTTTCAGGGGGTGAGCTTCGATTATTATTAAAAAAAACGTAAGCGCATTAGGCTCATGGATACCAGAGGAGCTTATCATCTCTGGCACCTATCAGTGTGTTCTTGATGGAACTCCTGGCTTATCACTTCTGTCGTCTGAGACTTGGATACTCGGTATTGTATGGGAGGTCCTCGCACTATGTCTTGCAGTCTGGATTGCTATAAAACACTCTCATGAACTGCAACTCCCATTCCCAGGGAGGGACTGTTTCGCGATGTTAATAAAAACTCATGTCTTTTACTTTGCAGTGTGAGTTTGAATGTACCGTGTCTTTTTTAGCTGAACTTCCACACCAGACACGCTGCCGTTTCTTGCTTGGTCACTGTCGGCCTTCTCTCTCCACAGATATCGGTACGCCAACTTGTGACTGCCACGTACCATCTGACCATCTCATCATTTCTATAGGATTCTTCCATGGGAGCTGAGATTTATCTTGGCATTCTTGAAATTTCCCTGCTTGTGCAGATGTTTGTGCTGGGACCACGCCTCATCCTCAGTATTCGAGAATATCACGCTGAGCTCGTGGCCAACTCCGAGACAGAAACTAGGATGACTACAATTGCTTTCCAAGAGGGCACACACGTGTCAACTGGAGACAGTGTGTAGCACGGGAAACGGATTCAAGTGAGCAACACTCGTCGGGTATTCACTACAGAGTCTCAACGTTTGGGTTTGGGTTTTTCGTTGTCAATTTGTCGTGGTACATACTCATATGGTGTTCTGGAATACAAGAAGATGAAGTTGAGCTGAAATCGTGAGTGCTGACAGCATTGTATGCAAGTCGAGAATTCGTATTCCACTACCTGCAACAAGGAGGCCTGTCTCCCAAGGCATGATTCGACATGTGAGAACAGCTTGAGCAGATGGAATCCATCAAGCTCCACCATTCTAGCTTTTAGATTTGAAATTCGGTTGTGCGGCAGTTAGAGTTGAAAAGTAAGACCGTGGAAATGTGTCACGCTGAGAGCTCGTGACGTTTTGGGACTTTTGGTGATGAGGATTGTTACCTTAAGTTAGATCTACGACCATGCTCATCAAAGTAAAGGTGAGGACGCAGACATATTGCCAGCGAACGTTCCGCTAACCTGATGACTACCGCAAGACACTCACTGGCAAGGAGGTGCCCAATCTAATCCTCACAATCTGATAATAACTAACGAAAATTCATGTGCAGATCGAGTTGGACATAGATCTCGATGACAAGGTATCTGCGACCCAGGATACTGTTTAACATTTCACGAACTCCTACCGCAACAGATCACTCGAATCAAGGAGAAGGTCGAAGAGCAGTCCGGTGTGCCACCACAACAGCAGAGACTGATCTTCGGAGGAAGACAAATGTGCGTCGTCTTAGCTTTTACAGGATCTCGTAAAGTCATTATCCTTGATTAAGGCCGGATGATAAGACCGCTAAGGAGTTCAATATCACCGCTGGATCAGTTCTCCATCTTGTTCTTGCTCTACGTGGCGGCTTTTGAGATCGGACCCTTGGAGATGTGTATCAGAGATGTCCTCTAGCAAAGGAGTTTAATCATGAGGTGTAGGATTTCGTGCGTTGTTAGATATCATTTGATTTTCACTTGCTGTCGCATTGCTTGTCTTCTATCGCCCGTCATGACTTACTCGACATGGTAAATATTTACTCTCTACACGTGCAGCTGATAATTTTCAGGTGGCGCCACGTCCTTATCACGGATCTGGTCCTCCAACGATATCTGCGCCTGGTAACAGCCACCTGAATGTAATACTCAATCTCGTCCCCCTCTCAATCCATTCAGGTTCTCCTTGCCCATCTATTCCTCCACTGACAAAGTCCTCCGGTCTCCCATCAATCCCATGAGTCCAGTTATAGCGAGCATCCTCCGATAGGATCAAGACACTGCGTTCTTCCAGATAGAGGTCCCATCGGTTCCTATCCAGCGGTCGGTCCTCGCCGTCCTCTCCAAACAGCATCGCCTCTTGACTCTTAACCCGCTCAAAGCTCATCACGCATCCGCTTCCAAAGCTCACACCTATGATTCCATCATCGAATCGTTTCAGTAGATCGACATGAGGCGAGATGCCCTCTCCAGGATGATACAGGTTCAGAATTGCCTGTCGGGCGCGCTGCGGCGCATCCTTGGGAGGAAATAACATTCCGTGCACTTGCTCGGGTAGATGATCACGCAGCAAATCAGCTAGGCGGTGCAGGAGTGTGATCAAGAACGTTGGTAAGCCACTTCCCATGTTCTCACCATGCTCGGATGATGTGCGTCCAAAGAGCATGATCTGATTTATGCCTCGCCCATCGAAGTAGAGGCTCATGCACTGCTGAACGATGTCGTTCGCCAATTCGAGAGGCAATCTGATGGATGGAACGAAAAGCCCAGGAATCGGTGGCACAGTGCGCATGGCAATTTGAGGCTCATCAAAGAGCGAGTCGACTTCAGAGTTACTGCCTTCTGAGAATGGGCTAGTTGCACGAGTGCCATGTCCTGCTCTGTTGAATTCATTATGTCATACTTAATTGAAAGTTGGAAAGCGCACCTGCGTCATTTACTGCATACATTGGTAATAGATGCCTCAGTGCTGGCAGTGGCGAGAAGGGAGATGGTATCACACGTGGAAGCTCGCACCAGACCATTTAAATATACACGTAATGCTGTGGACAGTGCGGACTTTATCCATTTCAGATCAAACAAGACATTTTGAAAGCGAGCCCGAATACGACTCAGAAACTTCCACCACTCCTTCATTGACATCTTTCTCGAGATATTGCGCCAAGACTTCCTGGAGCAAAATCCTAAGATATAGATGACTTAACAATCACCGGTAAAACCCCTGCCTCAGAAATAAGCGCGCGCTCTCAAATTAGGTTCGAACACGAACCTCCAGTGGGTAACACGTATAGTTTGTGCTTTGTGACCCGCAGCACTGAGCCAACGATACCCCCATGGCCAGTGAACGAGATGACTAGCCGAGCGGTCAATCTACATCAATGAACAGGTGGGGTATGGTACTCACATTGTTCCTCGTCCCTGTCAAAGATCATGTCGAGTACACGCTTCATTCGGATATCGATATCTCCGTGAGTCTCCCTCTTTTCAGAGTTCCAGTATATATCTTCCTCTACGAACCCTTCTTCGATGTCATAGTCAGGGAATTTTTTTGCGATATAAGTGCGCGTTCTTCGCTTGTCACAGGTATGAACGCCGTTTACTTCTCTAAGGTCCTATAGCGCAGTGAGTAAACCTAACGAAATTTTCGTGCCCTCATACCTCGACAATCATGGTTCGCTGCGATTTAGGTATAATAGAGTCGAATGTTATCTGGTGTGTATGGATAGCTCGCGTCAGAGGACTGGAGTAGAGCTTCCCCGGAAGGGGAATGTCGAATTTAAGTTCTTGTTTCCATGCGTCATGCGCCGATTTCGCCTGATCCTTGCCAACCTCCGTCAATTCCGGATCCGCTAGCACGACTTGGTTGTAAGGCAGCGCAATTCAGTGAATGGGTGATAACACTGACGTCCCCAGATCAATTCTCCATCGCCGTACTCTCTCGCCCAATAGCTTGATGGATGCACTTGGTTCAGGGGACTTCATCGAAGGAAGAGAGTAGAGGAAGTGTACCTTTCCCATTTCTTCGGATGTGGAGCAGAATGTTAGGATGGAATGGGCCTAATGATGCACATAGTAGGTCGCACCTCGGTGCCGTATTTCCCCTCGGCTACGTTATCTGTGGGGAAAGGTTATCGTATCATAATTTTTTTGATCAATCCCTGAAATGTTATCTTCAACAAGATGAAACCTCACGAAAGCCTTGACCGTGTCTCCCCACGAATATGACCTTGTACTGCGTGTTGGCAGGAGAGGACGTATTGAGCCGATCTATCTCTTGCCTGAACGTCTTCCATCGATCATCGGAACTGTCTATCAGCCCGAATCGAGGAGGAAGCTGTCCAAAACTTTGGGTTTAAGCTTTCACATTCGACGAAACACAGGACTTACAGCCTTCAGAATAAAAGGACGCGATCACCGATTATGTATATATGTCAGCCAAGCGCAATTATCATGGTCAAACACTATTACCTCGCCTTGACCGCGGAGAGCGCCACTTTCCTGCACGAAAAATCCTTTGACCGCCTGCCATCAGATTCGTTTAGTCCACGACATCACACGCAGGCTGTGACAAGGTGATCTCAACAATCATAAATCATAAAAACTGACCTCATAAGTCCGCTGGGACATGGTAAACCGGAACTCTATTAGACTCCAGGAGAGATCTTTCGTGGGGAATCACTATAACAAGCAACCACCCGAGTTATCTTCCTTCTTGTATGATCTATTCTCAGGGTCGAATACTGAGCGCTAAACAATCATATGCACTTTGGGGCAAACTTGTGGGTGCCGCCTTGTTGTTGGTCGGCCGCAGCCTCAGGCAAACTAGGGGTCGGCGACTCGGCGTTGCCGACGCTCCGGTCGTGATGCTGCAGATCGCAATTTTATTCTGGAGTCAAACACAAGATACTATCGACTATGAGCTCGAGCCATTAGGAAACATCCAGTGCGCCAGAGATGATTGAAGATACAAGCGCAATACGCATAAATGCCACTCTACCTATTTTTATGCTTTCCGCGATAAATCATTTTGTTATCCGGTCTGTCATTCACATGTGGGCGTTTGTAGTCAGTGTTGTAGTGCACTGTGCCGAGTCTCAGTATGCTTAAGTTCCCCGCGGTCGCTTGGAAGCTATCATGATCTTATATTTTTCGGTGACGGACGGTGGGCTCTATCTCACCGATGGGAGCCGTTGAGTGCGGTATTAGTATCATAAGTGTCGATGGGGTGGACTAGGTTGCCTTCGGAGGAGACAAGAAGTGGTGCAGCTTGGAAGTTGTATTTGATACTGTCGAAGTGAAGCGCAAATTCGTCGGGGATCATCGGGTCAGTTTGCTGTTTCATGATCCATCTGTGGGGCATTCGCGACTGCTTGTCCGTGTCAAGTACCTTACTGCGTCTTCCTATCGTGGTTTAGGTTCGATAGATGTGGGTGAGAGTGTACACAGGTACCATCTTTCCTGTAGTGTCGTCGACGATCATATGGCTGAGGACTCTGGAGTCTGCAGCGAGGATTAGGACGAGCCCCATATGTTCAGACAGCGTGATGTCATGTGACTTAGGTTGAACTGTGTACTTTGATTTCGGTATGGCTTACGTTAGCACATCTGAACTAACATATGATCATGAACTCTTGCAACGTAGCAGGGTAAATTCACACCCGAACGTAATTTGACCTTTTCCCTCCAATGAAGCCAGCAAGCAATACCGATACCTCCCGAGTCGAAGGGAATGCTCCACCAGAAGTCAAACATTCTTTGCTCGGCTTTCTGGTGCAGTCGAGCCGTGTTTCGCGATCGATTGCTAAGCCTTTCAGAGGTTTCGAGGCCGAGTTCGGGTCACGGTTGCAACTAACAGAGGCATCTGTATTGTTGAAGGCAGAGGAGCCAGGGAAATCCGAAGGACGTGTCGTTGTCGAGGTGGTCGTGGATGAAGGTACCTTTTGTTTCTCATACATGGCAGTACATCCTGTGCTTATCAACAAATTCTTAGATATGCTCAATGGTGGTGGAAGCGTGCACGGTGGATGTATAGCCATGATGATTGATATGCATGTTTCTCAGTTACCTCCTGTTTGACTGGAGCTAATATAGATGCGTAGCTGCTCGACAATGCCTATTTACGTCCTTGGGGCCTCGACAAGCGGTTATGGCGTATTCGGCGTATCGCAGTCTTTGAATATTGTCTACCATTCACCAGGATTGCTGTACGTTCAAATAACACGCTAGTTCTCTTTTACTGAATTATTGTGTCAGGGGAGACAAGTTACGCCTTGTGAGCACAACACTCGCTGTTGGTAGCCGGGCACTCTCAAGCCGTTGTGAGGTGAGATTCTGGCGATCTCCATCCCTTGCTCCATCAGCTCATGTCTAGCTTCAAAGGTATGGAATGTTACGCGACACCGGTTAGTAGCATCAGCTGTACACATCAAGATGGTTCCATCTGAACCGAAGGCATCTGAATCTGCCAAACTCTAACCTACATCGGCGCAGTCGCGAGTCTGGGAGCCATGTTGATTTACACATGCCGCAATTTTGCTCATGCTATAATTTGGCTACTCCGAAAGTTGTCCTCTGGCCTGTTCCATCATTCATGAGTTTTCTAGCACTCTGTTCATCGACAAACTAATGTTGCGTAACAACCAATTACCTACCATTCCTAAATGGGTGATTAGCTAATTGGTCCAGTGATGTAAGCTTGGATGATAATCGATTGTCATTTTCGGATAATGAAAATCGTTTATCGTTCAGGCTTTCAAGCTGAAGCTGAAGCCCAGATGCATTTACTTTCGGTCACTACTCATTCAATTAACCACTCACTCGTCCAAGTAAGTGGTGTAGTTGTGCCGGGAGCTCTATCCCTGACGCTGACTGTTCTCCGCCCAAGTGGCGCTCGGAGTCCAAGTTTAGCCAACTTCGTGCAATCTGGCTTGACGAGAACGCACCGGGTCACCCCCGGACTTGGCCAAGTATGACATTTTGACATACATTCTTGTCAAACTTTGATAATGCCAGAGAAACTTATTGTTTCACCCCGTCATTTGTCTCCGAATATATTGTCTTCGAAGATCATATCTACGCGCCATGTTTTACCACTCCTCGATGACCGGCTGGTGTTATCTTCAAAGTCCACTTCACACTTGTGCACAGATCAGGAAATTAAAGACGTCGGTCTTCAATCAGAATCCATACTATGCTATGGGAGCTCGTAGTATTGCGCAACCAGAAAACTGAGGTATGCCATTTAACAAAAGTCAACCGGTCTTTCGTACATCGAGCTTTTGGCATTGCGGTACCCCACAGTGAGTACTTTGTGAGTTTCATATTTTCCGGAACTGGTTCTGTCTGATGGAAATTACGCAAAATAAAGACGAGAGTGGACGTAACCTGCCTTCTTGTCTGACGGACATTTTATGCAATTGTGATAACAGACTGGTAAACAAGGTTAGGCCAGCCAGCGCCGCTGCTCGGCCCGTCTCCCCAGTACATTCAGCTGATATACCATAGGGTTTACAGCGGCAACGCTCCGCGCTGGAAGCAGGCAAAATTCATGCCCGTTTCAAACGTGAAGATCCTCCTTCCATGTGATTCTTTGTCAATGAAGCAGACATCAAGCTCACTTAAGGACACGATTTCGAGAATCGTCGCCTCATTCCCCTTCTTCTATGCGTTCATCCCCTTTTGCGCATCGCTCACCAAATTTTTGTTCATTCCTCCAGATGAAGCCAGAAAGCAATGTGGACACCTCCCAAGTGAAAGGAAATGTTTCTCCGGAGGTAAAACATGCTCTGCTCAGCTCTCTGGTGCAGCCAAGCCACGCCTTGCGGTCGACTGGCAAGCCCTTTAGAGGTTTCAAAGCCGAGTTTGTGTCCCGGATGCAATTGGCAGAAGCATCTGTATTGTCAAAGGCAGAGGAGCCGGAGCAACTCGAAGGACGCACCGTCTTTGAAGTGATTGTGGATGAAGGTGCCCTTGGTTTCTGATATACGCTATGCTCATCGATGCATCATGGGGTGCCTTTAGACATGTTTAATGATTTTGGAACCATGCACGGGGGTTGTTTGGCCATGATAATTGACATGTATGTTTCTTCTACTCATGTTTGTTTGCGTATGGAGCTAATACGATCGCGCAGCTGCTCGTCAATGCCCGTTTATGTTCTTGGGGCCTCGACAAGCGCTTATGGCGTATTCGGTATACAACAGTCTCTGAATATTGTCTACCACTCACCAGCAGTGCAGTATGTTCAAATGGCGCATCAATAAATTACTTTCTGCTGAATCATCGTGTCAGGGGCGACAAGCTACGGATCGTAAGCACGACACTTACCCTTGGTAGCCGGGCATGCCCAGGTCGTTGTGAAGTGAGATTCTGGCTAGCTCTCCTTGCTTCATCGGCTTATTTATGGTTTCAAAAGGTATGGAATGTTACGCGGCACCGGTTAGTCGCATCAGCTGTACACACTAACATGGTTCCATCTAAACCGAAGGTATCTGAATCTGCCAAACTCTGACCTACGTAGACAAGTTAAACATATTACGATCCTCATCGTACTTGGCTGTTTGGAAATTTGACTTCTGGCCTATTCCACGTAGTGTAGTTTCGTAGATATATTCGACGGGTATCCAGATTATTCTAGTGCTACACTCTGTTCATTGACAAGTTATGTATACCGTGCTGAGCCTTGACTCGTCCAAGCCCCTGTACTAAAATTAGCGTGGATGGCCAAAAATAGCCATTCCAGAATTTGAATGATTTGTCCACCTTGAATTCAACCATGCGAACTAGTTCGAACTTCGACGAACGTTATCTTTACACGCTTCACGACTGTCCAGGTACCATTGGATTGTCCGTTGACGGAGCTCGAGCTTGTTCAAATGAATTAATCAACTCTCGTCCTCTCGAATCCAGGAAACACCCAAAGAATTTCAAGGTGCTCGAAGCTCCTATCTTTCGGACTCTGGGCCTCATCGAGTGTCGAGGTACCATGGTACACAGCCCTTGGTGGTGCCGATTTCAAAGCACATGCTCTTTCACACTCATGCGACAGATCCTTCTACCTGGCAGTTATATCTCAGCACCGTCACGGTATACTTGTGAGAGCTTGCAGTACTAGCGAGAGAAACTGAATTGATGTATGCCATTTAACACAACGACCTATCTTTCGTGCATCAAGCCTCTAGCATTGTAGCCCTAGTGAGCAATTCACGATTTTCATAAATCATGGACAATGAGGACGAGAACGAAGGAAGGAATACTAATTCGCCCTCCTGGTCTGACGAATAATCTATGCAGTGATTATGGCTACTGGATCCTCGGACTTGCGAACATGTTCCTGCCGGCGAAACTCGGCCCTTCGCTCAGGTACTAACAACTAGACATACGTGGCTCGGCGGGGTTGCTGTGTCTGAATCATACTCGGTTCCAAAACTGTTATCACCAGCATGCATCTTTAGTACCCAAACTGTGGCTTGGCTTTCCTCCAGATCATGATGCCAGAAAGCGATGTTGACATCTCCCAAGTGAAAGGGAATGCTTCTCCGGAAGTAAAACGTGCATTGCTCAGCTCTCTGCAATCGATGCAGCCGAACAACGTCTCGCGGTCGACTGGCAAGCCCTTCAGAGGCTTCGGAGCCCAATTCGTGTCCCGCATGCAAATAACAGAGGCATCCGTGTTGCCAATGACAGAGGAGCCGGAGAAATTCGAAGGACGTGTTGTCTTCGAGATGATTGTGGATGAAGGTGAATGTTGTTTCCCACATTCGCTTTGCTTGTTGACACTGATCATCATGGTGGGGTGTTCTTAGACATGCTTAATGGTGCTGGAAATATGCACGGTGGATGCTTGGCCATGATGATTGACACGCATGTTTCTTCTGCTCATTTTTTGCCTGAAGCTAATAAGGATGCTCAGCTGCTCGACGGCGCCTTTTTATGTCCTTGGAGCCGCGACAAGGGGGCAAGGAGTGTTTGGCGTCTCACAATCTTTGAACATTGTCTACCATTCACCAGCATTGCCGTACGTTCAAATAGCGCACTAACTCCCTTCTGCTGAATTATCTCGGCAGGGGCGACAAGTTACGTATCGTGAACACGACCCTTGCCCTCGGTAGCCGGGCACTGTCAAGTCGTTGTGAAGTGAGATTCTGGCGAGCTCTCTCCCACGTTTCATCAACTTATGTCTGACTTCAAAGGTTTGGAGTGTCACGCGACACCGATTAGTCGCATCAGCTGTACACATCAACATGGTTCCATCTGAGTCATCCAAACTCTGATGCAAGTACGCTGGCTTGCTTGAGTTCTCTAGGCTTTCAGTATTCTACCTTTTGGTTTACAGCAGTTTGCGAAACTAATGGCACTGGCGTGTTGTGGGAAAATCATAATTGAGGATTTGGGACTTTGAAAATTTTCACCGTTTTGAGACTTAGAGAAAAATTTGAACAATTGCACCACGTCGGACAACAATATTTATATATACCTACATACCACTAGTATGGTCAACCGAAAGATCTCATCCGACGTCAAACTTGCTGCCATTCGCCTGTACGAGCAAGATATCCTTAGTCTTCGTGAAAATCAATTATTGGGACGCGACACGGCATTATGTAACACAGAATAGTAAAAAAAAATCTAAGTCCCAAATCTCAATTGTGATTTTCCCACAACGCGCCAGTGCCATTAGTGCCATTAGTTTCGCAAACTGCTGTAACGATTATGAGGCGCGGCAGCTAACTACTTTACATCTGACCTGTGTTCATAGTTTCTTACATGCCACAATACTAATCATACCTGACTGCTAGGAAAGTTGACATATTTCATGTACATAATGTAGTTTTATTTCGCAGGATGTGATAAGTATTCGACGGGTATCCAGAGAAAAAACCCAACCGTATACGAGGGTTATCATGATATATGTAGCGCAAATGAATGATGGAGGTCGAGTCCGCGATCTCGAATGATATCCAGTCCAAATGAATTTACCTCTTCCAAGTATTTAAAGCGGGGGCCATGAAGGGACCAGCCTGAATTGTCCCCGCACCAATAGATCTCAATATGTCCACCCGCCTGTCCTCCCATGCCTTGAGTGCTTTGAGAAGCTGTACTATCTTATCGCGTTTCCCTTGTCGGACATCGTTGATGCTTACGCTGCCCATTTTTACATCGTTGTCGAGGAGGAAGTCAAACAGGCGGAATAGCCCATCCAGCTTATCATCGTTGGGGCCAGACGGGAACGCTGAGTCTGCCACGGGCGGTGAGGGCGATTTCCCTAAAACTGATTCCGAGAGACGAAGAAGCGCAAGACCGCTATAAAGATGCCCAGTGGTATCATAATTTTGTAACGCCGCAGGTAAGTGTGAATTAGCCCATTCGATCAGACCTGCGTCAGAAGGTTTTAACTGTCCAAAGTTCATAAGATCAGTACCACACCGCGCGGAGAAGGCAGTGGACAAACCGCGGTAGTTGGCGAAGGGCGCGCCTCTCTAGTCGGGCGGGGAGGAGCTTCATTCATCAAAGATGATGCTTTGGACTCGTCTTCAGGCTGGGTTGAGACTGACTGCTGAGTAAAGAACGAATCGAGACGCGCTCGTTCGCTATCTTGTGCGTCACTAGCATCCGGCGATGGTAGACCCATCAGGACACGGGCATCACGAGTAGATAGCTGATTTGGATTCTCGCGGCGCAAAGCTTTTTGTGTCGCATCGCGAACGGTAGGAGACGGCGGTCGAGGCGCAGGGTTCATCGCTTGGGCAACTGTTAGAGGGATGGTGGGAATGTTGACAGAAGAAACAACAGGTTCTGTTCAATAGATTGTCAGGTAAGCGCCCGAAGATGACCGCTCAGACTCACTCGAATAGTCTCTGCCAATGGTAGCCTTCATGATTGCTTTCATCCACTCACGGACCACGGTTTGCTCATCAGAGCTAAAGAAATGCGTCTTGTCTGTGTCGTGCACTATCCTGAAGCCATAACGTCCTGGATCGACGTTCTCGTCCGCAATAACCTTGTATCCGACAATATTTATGTAGCCCTTGATTTTCACCTCCTGAGCAACTTGCATCAGTGCATGTCTTCATGATCAAGTAGCCTGCAACCCCCACCGTTTTGTTGTCGCTCCGTAGGATGTATAGATGTGGGCCCTTGATAACGAAGTACCGCACCTTCCAGGCATTGTAATGGTCGCCTTTCTTGCGCATCCATCCTTGGTGGTCAGGGGTGCCGATTTGGTCAATAATACTCTTTCCTGGCTTGAACGTACTAGGACCTCGAGACTGGCTCTCGGGACCATCGGCATGTTTTTTCGATGCCGCCGATGATTCCTTCTCTTTCAGCGTTTGACTATCCACGTCCTTGTCTCTTAACTTCTCAGACGTCTTCTCCTTCTCTCTCAGCTTCTTCTTCTCATCAAGAGAATCGCTGCGTGAGGGATTGCGAAGAGTGCTGGAAAGCGATCCGTCCGACGTGGATGGGCGAGCTGGGGGCTTCTTGCTACTGTACAGCCGGGAAAGATTGAGAGTCGAAGATTTCTCCATTGGACTTTCGTCAGTCAATGACCTGTTTAGAGTGAGTGATCAAGTAAATAATATAAAAAACTCAGTGCGTACGGACTGGTCCTTGGTGGAGGTTTCCTGCCCTTCCCGAGGGAGGTCGTGAAAGTGCCTCCGAACAAACTATGCCGTTCGGTGCCTCTCGTCGTACCATCCCGTTTGTTCCGGCTATGCTTACTACTAATGCTGGAGTCGTCCAGCAGCTCCCGCTTCCGCGATGAAGCCACCGTCACCGCCAAGGGTGCTGAAGCTGAGAGCGCAGTTGTAGAATTATTGTTGGAGGATGTGTCACCCTTCTCCTTCGCGGTAGTTGTGGATTCTGTGGAACGCCCAAAGAGGCGCCGGCGTTGCTTGGCGGCAGAAGGTACATTTTCTCCCTGCCGAAAAGGTTTAACTGATGCTACCTATAGAAAGAAGATACGAAATCACCTCGCTCAGGGCGCCGCGATCATCGTCTTGCAACTCTTCAGGCTCACGTGCATCTTCTTGAGATCGTTTGTTTAAGGCACCATCACTAGGCGAAGGCAGAAGTTGGCCTGACCCCGTACGCTAATAATGCGTGAGTGATGGAAACAACAGTAGAAGATAAAACGCCAACTTTGTGTTCGTTGCCGTTCGGCGGGACCCCAAGGCCGAGTCCCACCACGCCAGGCGAGACATTATTTTCTAGCGAGCCTCCAACAATACTGGCACCTGTGCTTGACAGACTAGATACTCTTTTTACGAACTGGCTCATGTCTGCAGCTGGACTCTCGGGACTGCGCATCGAACCAAATGTTGCTGAGTTCGGCGCAGTAATAGCTGAACTCATGGTGGTCGCGAACATGGGGCTGTTCAGCGACTGATGAGTCGAGCCAGAACGCGAGTGTGTGTAGGAATAGGAATGAGAGTGCGACAAGGACTGAGGATGTTGGGGCTGGACGTCTGGGAAGATGATTGATGGAGGACGGCGTAGTTCGGCGATAGCGTTGGCAATGCGCATGCGCTTTCCAAATGCGACGATACCAATTTCAGCCTTCAGGAGGTTGATGTCAAGCTCAAGTAGGACATCGCCTGTGATCTCTTGTTCTACGTGGTACAAAATTAGTTCAAATTGTACGACAAAAAAAGAAGAAATTTACCTATGAACTTGTCGCAGACATCCTGACCAAAGCCCTTGGACTTCAGCCAGTCAACAACCTCTTCGACACTCCACTCCGATGGAGGAACAGACTTCATCGGACTACAGGTTTCCCGTGTGGGTTCAGACGATGTCTGTGGTATGGAAGTGGTAGAAGCTTGACCGCTGGATGCAACACTGTTGTGCTTGGACGTCGGTGGTGGGCTGACTACACGTGGGGAGGGGGAGGAAACAGCATTGGAAACCTGGCGAATCTCGCGAACCACAGGCGTGGGTGTAGCGTGGGTGGTGGGTTCTGGGGAAGCAGGTAACTGTATGGAAGAGGGTTCGACGGCAAGAACAGGAACAGGTGCGAATATATTGACCATAGGAGATACGGGAGCGGACCGAGATTGAGATCCATTGCGTTCATGACCAGTGGGCGCGGGGGAGATAGCGCGAGAGGTTGAGGTAACAGAAAACGACGTCCTATCGACTTTGGCTGTTTGTTCACCATCATTGGGTGCAAGGGATGGTAAATCTTCCAAGGGGAGTGTCATAGGTGAAATCATGCTCGAGTTCTTCCTGCTGTGGCTCAGAGTTACTGCACCATCGTTGTCATTATCTTCCTCATCTTCCTCGGGGATATGGGGATGATCGCGTGCGAACCGATGTATATTCTGAAATGTGTCGTCCACTTCTTCTGCTTCACTCTCATCACTCAATTCGATGTCTATCGGAGGAGCGAGAGAGCGAATCTCCACATCCGTAGCGGCCTTCGCTTCCACAACTTTACGCGCCTGTTCTGCAAGCTTGTCTCGGGCACTACGGTGCCAGTCCTCTCCGTCCTCCCGTAAGCTAGTACCTCCGTCGGTTTCTGTATCCGTTTCACGGTCCGTGTCTCCGTGTCGAGTGCTGGCGAAGCTGAAGCTGCGGCTTCCATCTCGATCATCTCGGCCAAGCTGCTCAATGGCCTTCTGGACGTCCGTCATAGTAGCCTGCATGACTTCCTCCTGACGTCCTGAAGGCGGTTCGCCGAGGGCGACACCAATGTTGGACTCGGCGTCGCTACCAATGATTGAAGCTGCCTCTTCATCTTGTGACTGTAAAATTTCAGGAGCCTCGTGAATGGAAGGGCCAGTGGTGGATTCTGGGGAAGCTGCACGAGCAGGGGCAGGGGCAGCCGGTGTAGTATAACTTTTGGGAAACAGGCCAATTTTACCCGCAAGATTGCGTCCCTGATAATAAAGTATGTGCATAAGTTAACATCCTGGAGCAAAACAGCAAACGCATTTAAATTTGGCTAAAAGTGCGGGGCACTGTGGAGTTTACGTGGGCTGAAATTGGGCAGCAGAGTTGTGCATGCCTACATGCAGACCGTGTGCCGGGTTAAAGCATCAAACAGTACTCACCTGCCACCAGCCATCGCTGTATTGATCATCCTTCTCTATGACCTCGATGGGCTCACCCGCACGGAAGGAGACTTCGTCCTCATGTTCGGGTTGAAAGTCGTGAAGTGCATACACATACTCGAGCATTGTACCGATATAGCTCGTCACAGACGAACGATCTGCTGTTGAAAATGACAGTCAAAAGGCTCCTGAAGAAATGCATGTTAGAACACGTAGCAGGGGACAGCGGAAAGAGAACACCTGTTAATTGGAAAGGTCAGTAGGTAGTGGTATAGATGTGATGATAGTGGTCAGTTGTTCCGAGTGACCCGATGGTGTGAGGGTCCAGTTCGTTGAAATTCCACGAACCCGTCGACGTTAACCTCGATGAGAACAACTACTAGTAGTACTCGCGAACACGACCCGAACCGGCTCAGATCCACCTGGCTAATGATGACTCAGCAGATCGGTTAGATTATCAGCGTCGCTTGATCTTCCATTCAGGCGCCCGAAGGATGAGATCTCGACTCCACTTCTTCTGCTGCTGCAATGACCTCCAAGTGTCTGAGTACGTCGTGGTTGTTTCTGCCACGTCGAATATGTTCTGACAACATTTCATCAGCATTTGTAACCGGAAATCTCAATAAATTGAAGGAGACCAAGTACATTTTAGCTCAGGGAACACCAATAGAAATAGACTCGCAGGACTTAGATAGCAAGTTCTTCTGATCAATTATTATTCGCCAGCTGATCAAACATTCTAGTACCCGAACTGCAGGGCACGACTCAAGAGGTCGCCATTGCGAAATGCCGTCGCGCATCTGAGCTGGTCAGTCTCTTGGATCTGAATTTACGGATCCGCCTCCCCCCCTCGATGCTTATGCGTTCTTTCAGCTAGGGAAGTCGTGTATAACGGAGGATACCGCATTGTGCTTCGTAGCATATAACGGGCTACCTGGTCCATACATCAAGCACTTTATGAAGACACTCGGCCATGAAGGTTGGTGGGTGGAGGGACATTCCGCCAAACGAGACTTTCTGAACGCGTCTGAGTAGGCTTGAACAATATGCTCGTAGGATTCCCAACAAAAGACGCCTATGCGCTCTGTACTTTTGCGTACAGTGCGGGTCCGGGCACTGAGCCGATCCTCTTTGAGGGCCGCACAGAAGGAACGATCGTCCCTGCCAGGGGACCTGGCGATTTTGGCTGGGACCCCATCTTCCAGCCCAAAGGTTTTGACAAAACGTGAGTCTCTCGCGAATTTTTGCTCAGTCCTCCATAATTGAAACTGCAACAAAGCTTCGCCGAAATGACCAAGGAACAGAAAAACATCATTTCCCACCGATACTGTGCACTAGATAAGCTCAGGGTATATCTGGCGACCCTTGACACTGAGAATAGCTAGAGCTGCTTCTTTGTAGGATAGCCACAATCCAATATACAATTGGCTGTGCGACAACATAAATTTGAAGTTTCGTGAATTCGATTCTGACTTGCAGTAAAACGATTTGCACCTACCTTCAAGGACCACTTCACGAAAGCAATCAAGGCCCGTGCCATTACAGGTCAGCATGTTATTAGCGTCACATCTCCTAGCGGGGTTTGTGGACACATGCTCCGCGATTGCATTCAGTTTCTTCTATCCCTTCTCATTCATCCCAGAGTAAGCTGAGACGAGCTGGAGTCAACTTCATCTCCGTGAGATCAACATGTCTGTCTTGAAGAGAAATTCCAATGGACGCAACCTAATTGTGGTGAACGGGATGTACCATGTACCTGCTCAGTGCTCGAGATGACAGGCGAAGGGTGGTCGTTTATATTATACTGAGTTTCTGTTGCTGTGATACTGATATTACACGTTGGCCGAGGTTGGCCGACGGCTACGCAAATAGAGTTTCTCTGATCCGGTGAAGATTCGGATTCCCGCCTCCCGATTTCCGACACAACTTTTTCAAGTGGTGTTGAAGGCACCCAGCGCACACGCTTCACACTACCAGGCCCCTAGCGCTAGCGGACACCCGCGTTCTGACACCACGGGGAGGAACCCATCTTTTACTTCCAGATCATTTCAGACAGTAGCTCCCATCTAATAGCAACGTGAGCAAGCCTGGCGGCTATTCCAAATCTATGTCAATCCATACTCCAAGAAAGAAGGCCAGAATTCGTCTAGATGACGACGTAACCTCTGTGAAAACGCGGCCAGTGAACTCCCTCCAAAAACAACGCGAGCAGCTTCCAATAGCACGAGGTAAGTAGCCCATCCATCCATCATCCGATTTTCTGCTCAGCGTCTTCACTAGGACGGGAAGCTCTCATCCGCGAAATACAGGAAAATGACACAACAATTTTACTGGGAGAGACAGGATCAGGAAAAACCACTCGTGCGTCTGCTAGCAATCATATCATTGCTATTTCACCTCACGACTCCATCTTAAGTACAGAAGTCCCTCAATACATCCTCGAATCGGGTATTGCAGGCAAGGGCATGATTGCTGTCACCCAACCACGTCGAGTAGCGGCAACGTCGCTCGCCGCTCGCGTAGCTGCAGAGAAAAACGTGTCCGTTGGTGGACTTGTCGGATACTCCGTGAGATTCGATGAGGCTTCCAGTTCTGATACCCGGATAAAATACGTCAGTGACGGTATGCTCGTGCGAGAGCTGCTTTCGGATCAGTTGCTGTCGAGATACAGCGTCATAGTTATTGACGAAGCGCACGAACGAACTCTTCGGACGGATTTCCTAATAGCAAACCTGAAAACGATACAGACCGCCAGAAATAGTGGGAGTGATGTCAGTGGGAAGGGAAAGGGTCCCGCATCAGCCCTTAATCCGTTGAAGCTCATCGTCATGAGTGCAACGCTCGATGCCGAGAAATTTAGCAAGTTCTATAACAAGTAAGTGCACTACTTGCACGAACGATGTACATGCTAATGACTACCGCAGTGCTCGGATACTCTATGTCAAGGGCCGACAACACCCTGTTCAAATATTCCATACATCCGTCAGCCAGACGGACTACGTCGATGCTGCTCTACGGACGTTCTTCCAAATACATACTGATAGACCTCCAGGAGATGTCCTTATATTTCTTCCAGGTAAGTGTGTATTTCTGCTGGCATCATCCATGCTAATGTCTGATTTCGTGCAGGTCAAGAGGATATCGAAAGTCTGGACAAATCGATAAAAATGTATGCTCGCAGACTCCCTGAGGAGCGTATGAGTGTACGACATTCTTACGTTTTGATGACTCTCGTTCTCACTGTGATCCTCACCTAGGTCCTAACATGCCCAATGTATGCTGCCTTGCCGCCCGCGCAGCAGGCTAGAATATTTTCGTCCGCCCCTTCAAACACCCGGAAATGTATTCTTGCTACCAACATCGCCGAGACGTCCATCACGATACCCGGAATAAAATACGTAATCGATACCGGCAAGTGTAAAGAAAAAAGATATTTGTCGAAGGATACTGGTGGAGGTAATGAGGGTGATTGTCCATTTGGGTTCACAGCTGACCGTTTCGGTAGGTTTCGATACCCTGTTGACTCGAGATATCACAAAGTCGTCTGCTATGCAGCGGGCTGGTCGCGCCGGTCGCGAAGTATGCCCTGAACCTTGTCTCTCTTGACACGTCTGACGTGAAGTAGGGTCCAGGTTTTTGTTTCCGCTTGTACACAGAAGACGCATTCAATGCAATGGCGCTTTCCGCAGAGCCGGAGATTCGCCGATGCAGCTTAACCCAGAGCGTCTTACAATTGAAATGCCTTGGTCAAGACTTTGAAGCAGTAGATTTTATGGATCCTCCCGAGATTGGGTCAGGTACGACCCCCTGACATATCTCCATACCAATCCTGATATTCTTTCAGTCATTTCCGCACTCAAGACTCTCTGGCTTCTTGGTGCGCTGGACAACTCCAAGACACTAACCGCATTGGGGCGTCAAATGGCGTCCTTTCCCGTGGAGCCGTACTTCGCGCGCATCATCCTCGCATCCAAAACCCACGGCTGCACCTCTGAGGTAATAGACATCGTGTCCCTTCTCTCGTCCTCTTCTACGCTCTTCCTCGATATCTCCGACCAGCGCGATGCCGTCGCAGAAGCTCGGGGCAAATTCCGCCATGCGAGCGGGGACCATATGACGATGCTCAACACCCTCCGATCGTACCAAGAAATAGCCGCATCTGAGAGCAAGGGTGCGAGAAAAGAATGGTGTCGCCAGCATTTCGTGAACGAAAGAACGTTCGTGGAGGCGATGAAGATTCGAGATCAGCTAAGGCAGACGTGTCAACGAGTTGGCATTGACTGGCATGCTTCCACGGCGAATAGCGAGGAGCCAGTACTGAGATGCTTTGTCACTGGTCTTGTTCAACAGTCGGCATTTTTACAACCGGATGGAACATACAAGCAAACGATGGGTCATTCTGTGAGTTTCACCCACTCGTTCTCCTAACACAGAAGACTGAACGTGTACGAGGTCATTAAAATTCATCCGGGTTCCACGCTCTGCGACAAAAAAGTACCTGCTATCATCTACGATGAGCTTGTGAGTGATCATTTTTCCCCCGTTGTTCATTGTTTAAGCATTTGTGGCACAGGTCTACACAAGCCAGATTTACGCGAGGGGCGTGTCCTCCGTTCCAAAGAGCTTCTTTAGCAACGTCACACCAGTAGCGAAGGAAGCATAACGTACGCGCGTATTTTCTCGTGCACTCACAGGATCTAGCACGGGATCTAGCATACCGTAAGCTTGGATTAGCCATTTTTATACATCTCAGAGAAGCACGTATACGCTTCCTATTCCCAGACTCACGCATCTCGTTGATCATCGAGGCGGCAAGCTTTGTTTACAAGAGACTTTATCAACTGGCTCTTGGTCAGCCAGCCTCAGCGTTGTGGATACATACACGTGCCACCATCAACCATGAATTTATAGCGTGAGGGTGTGATGCATGAGACAAGTACGGGTGTAGTGTCGTGTACCAGGGTTGGCCTGGTGGTGGGGAAGGTGGGCCCAACAGCTGTCTGAAATCGATCCAATTAAGATCAGGGCAAAGGCCTCGAGGCTAGTCGTGTAGGTACTGCCCGGCATGCTCAAATTCGCTAAGGTTGAAGTCCTCATGGCTCAAACCCTCTGATGGGGGGAATTGGCCTGATGCGCTGAAGCTTTTCATTAATGATTGAAACTCACCAATACGAAAATAATTGGAGATAGTCCGGGATCCTCGAATCTGGTAACGACTTAGAGATGATGTGGCCTCCACACTATGATACTAGTAGTTATAGAACTATTAGAAGCTTCGCAAGGGGAAAATATTAAGTAATCTCACCGTTGGTAGCCACATGGACTTCGACGATCAATCGCGGGCAACACCGAACTTGGTAATCTGTGGTAATCGATTTCAAATACAATCATGATCTTCTTCTTCATCTCTTCATCTCTCTCATCGTACGGTGGTTCAACTGAAATATCATGGATCCTCTTGAAAATTCTCTGCTAACTGGACATTGGGATTCCAAGCTCACAGAGCTGGAGTCGCGTCCTGGAACTGCAACACTTGCAAAAGACGTCATTGATGGTAAATTTCGGGAAGTGCTAACCTCACCTTGGGGCCGAGCTCTTTTTAGGGCATCTGGGCTGCAGGAGAAAGGCTATGAAGAATCTTTCTCATGGCAGTTACCATCTGTAACAGATGAGGCAGAAAAAGAGATCATCCAGATCATTCTAGCCGTCGCATGTTTACATGCTTTCATCCAGGCAAACTGGACTGGTCCGGACCTCAATATCAAACCATCGGAAGTGATCGTGGACGTGATGAACCCAACCTTGGTTTCTGATGAGGTCCTTGATATGAAGGCGGTGACTGAGCTTGCTTACGGCGGCGAGCCTGCTTACCACCTCGCACAACACGCAACCTTTTTGCGTCTCGCCCAACTCATTTTCGCCTTGCCATATCATCATTGCATATCCGTTCCCTGGTGGAGATTACGTACAACAATCATTCATGAACAGTTACTGGACGAGACAGTGCCGCTTCCAACGGACGCCCGTGATTCCTTAGTGTCCCTGTTGCCGACCCTTACGGGAGATACGGGAGATCGCGATTTGGCTGGTCGTCTGCAGCTAGAGCAGGGTCGACTCGAACACATCTTTGGTCATGATAAAGTCGCTTCCGATCTATTTGTTCGAGCGGCACGTGCTACGGGATTACAGTATGAACTCTCGGGAGCGCTCGGGAGACGAACGAAGTTTCAACAAAAAGATCTTAGCCAACTGGTTCTACTTGCAGAGAGTCGGAAAGGGGATAACTTCCCCGCCGAAGATGTACCCGACGATCTTGCCGATCAGTCACGTACGCCTGTCAACGTGTCTATCTCAATAGATTCCAATCTCCCTGTTACCTTGGAGTTGAATGACGACACGCTTCTCGAACAAACTGTATTCACATCATCTGCCCCCTCATCGGCAACCAGTCTGCTGAGCCATCTGGATCCCGTTTCACAACCCCCTTTACACCCACTCGATCAGTGTATACTTCTGTCCCTTTGCCTCAATGTACGGAATACGTCCCCTTCACACGGCCTCACAAGCGAACAGATGTCCCCTTACGTCGCACGCGTCATATCCCATCCAAAGAATTGGTCAGTCCACACTATGGCTCTGCTTCTACGGTCCCGGCTCGAGTCTACACGCACGCGGACTGTTGAGCGCTCAGTACTCCAGCTCCAAGCCCTCGTAGACCAGATGCCGACTGCTGATTCCCCCCTGCCGGAACGGCTGCTTTACTTCCATTCAATACCGCTTCCAAGCAAATGGGAGATGGAACGCGAACTAGCATTACGTTTCCTCACCCTTGGGGTGGTAAAATCAGCCTTAGAGATCTTCGAACGCCTTGAGATGTGGGAGGAGGTTGTGAAGTGCTGGCAGTCTATGGAGATGACAGACAGAGCGGTTGCCATTGTACGTGACTTACTTGAGGGCCGCAAAGAGGAAGCAGAGAGTGTGATTTTGCGGGGTAAAGATTTACCTTCGCCGCGGCGCGGAAAACTAGATTCAGCGCGACAGGCGAAGTTGTGGTGTCTTCTCGGAGATTTAGAACCTGATAATGCAGTTGAGCATTATGAGCGTGCATGGGCGCTGTCAAAGGAGACTTCCGGCCGTGCAATGCGGTCTCTTGGAGGCTACTACTTCGCACGCGGAGAATTCGAGAAGGCCATTCCCTGCCTGCAGCGTGCGGTGAAGATCAATCCGTTATTGTCCCGTTCTTGGTTTATCCTAGGGTGTGCCTATATTCGTCTCGAAAATTGGGAGGGGGCCCGAGATTCATTTAGTCGATGTGTTTCTATCGACGATGAAGACGGAGAGAGTTGGAACAATTTGGCTAGTATGTACCTCCGTTTGGACCCCTCCCAGAATATCTCCGGATCGAATGTGAATGGGGTAAGTGGGGATGAATCTTCGTCACCCTGTACGAACTCAAGTTTATGTTTAGGAAGACCAGCCTAGCAAGGCAAAATCTTTCTCAAACAGGATGTTGGCATTCCGTGCTTTAAAACAGGGCTTGAAATACAGCTATGACAATTGGCGCATGTGGACAAATTATATGATCGTCGCCATGGATGTTGGGGAGCTGTCAGAGGCATGCCGTGCATTGACGCGTATCGTTGAAGAACGGAGTGCAAAAACCGGTGCAGAATCTGTCGATGAAGAAGTCCTGGAGCGCTTGGTAAATGCCGTTACCAGGGTCCCAGTTGACCTCGATCAGGCAGCTGGGGATGACGATAGGAGGCGGGATGCTGTAACCAATCCCAACGAGGGTCACGGGCTGCTCAGGAGAGTACTGGAACTTTTTGACCGGACCATTCTTCCACGCGTGTCATCTCCTCGCATCTTCCGCGCCTATGCACGTCTTCTGACTTGGCAATCACGGTGGGAAGATGTGCTGAAAGCCTACCTGGACGGGTATCGCTGTGGCGTGGCGGGAACGTTTGAGAAGGGAGAGACTGACATTGAAAAGTGGCGAGAAGCTGTAAATGAAGTCGAGGACGTGATGGATGTTTTAAGAAATTTCGGGCCGCGGGTGCAAGGCATCAATTGGAGACACCAGGGGCGCAGTATCGTGCGCACGTTTATGGGGCGCTCAAAAGACTTCGAAGACGAGGCAGAATGGTCACGCTTGTTAGAGTTGCAAAGCGAGCTGCGCAGCGAAGAGTAGGGATGATATAATGATTTTTTTAATCGAAAACATGAGAAAGCAGATGCTAATGAATATGAGATGATGTGTGTGTAAGCTAAACGGCAGTACGGAGTGTGTGTTGAATACACGTATTGTGAAGTATGTTGTGGTGTGAGAGTAGTAGAACAAAGTGGCATGTGGGTGCGAGTCCCAAGACGGGAAATGAGGATGTATTATATCACATAGAAGACGAATGGTGAGGAAGAAAAACTGTTACAGCTTCCACTCTAAATCCAGAGCCATGCGGTTCAGACACAAAGTAGTTAAAATTTCAGTGACCATAGAAAGGCCGGAATGCTTGATGGTCAGACGAGCGCTGAAGACATCTTCCGGCTGGCTGAGCTCCCACGTAGCGATCGTAGAGCGTCCGTCTATGCACTGAAATTCTATGAGCAAAATACAAGGCACGAAAGCTAGCAAACATCCCACCTCCATCTTCTGAGGAAAAACTTTCCACTTCAGCTCCTTACCATTCTGCGCCGTGAAATAGCGCGATCTGCGATTATTTAGTATTTCAATTCAACGACATCTCATTTGCAACACCTACGTGCTGGCATCTTTCTTGTGGCGTAGATGATTGGCCATAGTGACCTCCGGCCCATTACCGTACACAAGGTATCCTGGTGCTCTGGATGGGCCGAAATACAAGTAAGAATTGCTGGGACCCATAATTTCTGGGTGCTGCTGGCTCCAAGCCGCTTCGCGAGCGATGTGGACAATTACATTCACTTGTTGGTCAACCTTTGGAATGACATGTCAGAGGATGCTGAACACTGAGCCCCGGACATTGTTACCGTTTTCCTAATATTCGGCCGTCACGGATTAAATTTAAGCCTCGGGCGTTCAAAGAGGTACTTACACCGTGAACGCTGGTCTGCTCTCGAGATCCTCAAATCTATGACTGAAGAGATTTGATCCGAACTGAAGGAGGACGTATGAGCCAGACATGACGGGAGAGGTGGAAGAAAGACGGGGGGGTTCTGGGTCGTTGCATCCCGGTCGCTCATATGTAGCTTACCTTTTCACGCACAAGAACATGCTAGATTGGGAATAAGAGATTGTAGGCACGGCCACAAAGAAGCCCACGTAAAGAAGCCCACGTGGCTCCTCGTGGCTCCCAGTTCATTTTAGCAGCCGAAACCGGTCATTTCATTGATCCCCTTGCCTCAGGGCTTCTGCCTGTCTTCCACACTTTTCAAGTGCGATGGGCAAACACCTCTTATTCTAGGTTATCAAGTGAAATTATTAAATTATGCCAAAGAAAGCTGATCATGCGCGCGACCTTCGTGTGTGTATGCAGGTGTATGCAAACTACAATAGTGCTCATGAGAAGAAACCCAGTAAACAGGTCAAGCTTTACCGATGAGATGACTAGCGAGCTCCACTTCTACGTATTGGAATCGATAAGCTCATTCCCAAAATGACAAGGAACAACACACGTGGATAAAGGTCTGAACCAGACGGAAGTGAATTGTCCGTTCAGTCGTACACTGGTAATAAAATCAGGATTATCACCACCGATCCGTCTGTCCGAGGATTCTAGCATTTCTTACCATGTATAATCCCTGGTGAGTCAAGCTTGCGTAAATAAGTGTAGAGCGGCCAAAAGCCTTAAGTGCGCACCGTAAAACAGTGTCCATACAAGAATAAATGTGAAGATGTTGTCTTGGCCAGGGTTGACCAGCTCCCCAAGTCCGCCAGGCAAGTACTTGGCAGGTTTCCCTCTGCAGTTTATGGCGTAGATGATAAATGAGGTTGAAACGATGGATGCTATAAACAGTGCGAATCCTAGCCAGTTCTCTAGTCCGAGGATTCCTGAAACAGCGCCAGCGAAGCAAGAAGACAGGAATTTGACAGATGTCAGCGCTTGATTGTGCAGGACATTCGGTGCAAATATAAGCTGAGCTGCATTATCTGTAGTTGTCGCCATCGACGATGATGTTGATGTTGAGTGTGGGCGCAGAATAAGCGTTGAGTGTACGACTCGGACACCGGAAAGATCTCCCACGGTTGCATTTCCGATACTGAACGAGATGATCTATCGTGACTTCGCGCCTTTACAAGGTCGAATCAACAGCAGAAAGTTGTCCAACAACTAATATTTCCATCTCTCAGGAGAAATAAGGGTAAAGTCGTCATGTCCAACAATCCAGGCAAGCAGATCAAAGTCGGGATTCTTGGTGCGACGGGTACTGTGGGGCAGCGTTTCATCACTCTGCTCTCAAAACACCCATGGTTCGCCATCCATGCACTTGGAGCATCTTCAAGATCGGCTGGGAAGCCATATTCACAGGCTGTTATGTGGAAGCAGACGACTCCCATACCAACTGTCGTCCGCGATATGATAGTGCGCCAGTGCTACCCAGAGCACTTTGCGGAGTGTGCTATCATCTTCTCTGGTCTTGACGCCGATGCAGCTGGAGAAATAGGTACGTCCCAAGGCGTATAACCCATCTTTTCGCGCCTTATATTTACGAATATCAGAATCTGCGTTCAGAAGCGCCGATCTCGCCATTTTCTCTAACGCCAAAAATTACCGCAGAGACCCCTCCGTACCTCTGATCGTCCCCCTCGTAAACGACTCTCATTTATCCATCATTCCCCAGCAGCAAGCGCTGCAAGATCCCCCACTCAAGAAGGGATTTATCGTTACCAATGCCAATTGCTCCACGACGGGCTACGTTATACCCCTTCGCGCCCTGGAGAAGGCATTTGGACCCATCGAATCATGTCTGGTTACTACTATGCAAGCCATCTCTGGTGCTGGATACCCAGGTGTTTCTAGTCTTGATATCATTGATAACGTCGTGCCCTACATCGGAGGCGAAGAAGAGAAAATGGAGTGGGAAACGCTGAAAATTTTGGGAGGGATCGCTGATGGAGATGATGGAATGAAGACATTTGATATGCACGCACGTCATCCATTACGCGTATCCGCATCGTGTAATCGAGTCCCGGTCGTTGACGGGCATACGATGTGCGTCTCTGTACGGTTTCAGCAGAGACCGCCTCCCAGCCCGCAGCAAGTCCGCGAGGCGCTGGTGGCTTATACTCCGGAGGCACAGTCCATTGGGTGCCCTTCTGTTCCTGTCCATGCCATTTTTGTGCATGAAGAACCGGATCGCCCTCAGCCTCGGCTGGACCGATATTACCAAGACGGTGCTGGCGTGTCAGTGGGAAGAGTGCGCCAATGTCCCGTTCTCGACATAAAGTTCGTTGTCCTCGCGAACAACGTCTCTATCGGAGCAGCCACGAGCAGCATCATTAACGCGGAGCTCGCGGTGTTGAAAGGGGTTGTAAAGGTGGAGTAACGGGGGCGCGCCCATGCCGCGTAGCCTGAACAATGTGCCAGATCTAGAAGTTCGGCGGTCTTGCACGATAGTAGAAAGATCAAATAATAGCTTTATGTTACTGCGAGTATATTATGGGCGAAAGCATTGGTGACTGGTACAATTGTATACTGCAGGTTAGTGCGATGATGACGTTGATACAGTATTGTAACAAAAATGTGAGCAAAACATCTTGATCAACCAGCTCGGGAGGAACGATCGCGATTCAGCTGTACAAAGGTCTCTATCATGCGATTCATATTACCCAGTCCTGGCGTTTCGGGAAGCCATTCTCCGTTGTTGACACAAAGAATCTTCATGCGCTCGTGATAGTCTAGGTCAGGAAGCAGCTTAGGGGTGATCAAGAAGTATTGTGCGCTGTCAGGCTTGCATGTGACCTCGACCAAGGAATTGTGTACCGCGCGCTCGGCGCGTTGATCCATGCCCTTCGGAAAACGTTGTCAGCACTTGACGTATAAACAGGGTCAATGAGGGTACCTGGTTAATCTCGTCAACAAGAGAGAACGGCGTTCGGGCTTCTTCAGTCAAACTCATCAGGTATAAGATAGTGGTGAGTGACCGTTCCTGGAACCCAATGTAAATATCATGCGCGGAGTAAGTTTAATCCCTACTTACGCCGCCTGACTGCCTCTGTCCCGTAAGAAGTTGCAACTTCTCGTTATCACGGAATTTAACGAGAATGTCGATCGCCCACTTGTCATAATCGTCATGGGGGCTGATGCGGATTTCACCTGCACAACCAATGCCTGCAAAAGTCGATAAACGTAAATTCATGACGCCCAGCAGGGTTTGGTGACTGACGATCAAATGCAGCGGAGAATTTTTTTCCGATGCTCGCGACCAGTTGTTCGAGAGCAGGTTGCCAACGATCCTGACGGAAAACTCAGAAATGAAATGAAGCAAGCAAGAACACCGCCCACTCTGGCATTCTTGATATCTCGTTCCACTCTGCGGGTAGCCTTCTCTCTTTCTTCTAGAGTTTTCGTCAGGGCTTCGATCTGTTTGTCATCGTTGTCAATGAAGACCCTCATATCAGAGGTGGAGCAAGCAAACCTCATCCTTTCGCCGCTCATACTGCTCCACAACGCCAGGGTTCGTTAACGAGATCATATCAAGATTGGCGCGTTGAACATCTAGCTCCGTCCGCAGGTCATTCACGCTCCGGTCGTGAACCGAACCATCCTGTATGGGTGTAAGCTATCTCTGCCTTCTATTGACATCACATCAGGGTCGCTCACCATTTCCATCTTGGCGAATTGTTGCTGGAATTCTTGGTCCATGCCCCGAACAAGATCTAGACTGATGTCGCGTTTATTCTTCGCGTCAGCCTTTGTCGTGACGAATAGTTGATCAGCTATTGTTGATGATTACTTCATATCCGCGGATGTTGCAGGAAAGTCTGATGACCAACCTTCTTCGAACTCGGCAAGAGCCCGTTGGTACTTTTCATCCTTCTCTTGACACAGGGCTTCAAGCGCGTTCTTGTTTGCACCGACCTGTAGAAATTCAAGTCCACTGCGAGTTGCTTCAACTTGATCAGCTATTGCAGCGCGAATCAGTTGCTGTGGATTGTCAATTTCGCTCACGCATTTGCGACAGAGGAAAACCAACCGTGTATTCCTTCACAATCCTAACGCGCTTCTTCGATATTTCAAAAAGCCTCTTCTTGAGCTTCGCTCGTTCATCCTCCACGGAGGGTGCGTTCTCAAGATCCCTCAGCTTGTTCTTGTTGGTTTCTGTGGTGCGGTTAGATATGAAAACGGCCGATCGGCATCAATATGCACCGATTTTAGCCGCGAGCGTAGCCAAATGCTTCTTCTGGTTATTGACAACCTTCTTGCGCGCCTCGAGTGCGTCCTGCAGACATGATAAGTGACATTCGCTTTCCGACACACAAAAATGACATACAAATGTCTTCTTGAACAGAGCTTCCTCGGCCCTAATCTCACGCTCCTCTGCCGCAAGGTTGTTCGCATCTTCGTTGATGGCTTCAAGAGCCTGCCTTGCATCCTGAATAGTCTGATCGAGTTTATTCTTGATCTCAGGGTCGACTGCAGCCCTGTAAATATACTCCACAAGACGGCGCGATGATGAATTACTTACTCGTGCTGCTGACAAGATTGCGGGCTGGACGGAGATCCTTTGTCATGTTCGCAGCTGCTCGCTTTCCATATCGAGATCGTGAAACCGTGTTCATCACTCTTCCCGCGATGAACTTCGCCCCGCTACCGTCTCGGGAAACAGCTTCCATAGCAGCATTTACATCAACCTTAGAAGCGTCCAAGCCAATAGCCTGACACCACAAGTCTAGTTAGCGTGTGTTACTAGAACAAGACCGGTTCACTGACGGTGCGGTGTAAGTTGACTTCTCGCGTGAGGAACCACAGAAGGCCGTCGGGGCACTCAAGCTTGTTAATTGCGTAGTCATCAAAACCAAGTGCCTTCAACTACAGCAGGGCGTTAGATCATTCAGCAGAGATGACACTAACGCACCTCTGCCTCATTCATGGGAGGAGGGCTCAGGTCCACCTTAGGCCTGAACCAGATGTTGATACGCGCACCCTTTCGGAGCCCGGCCTGCTCACTGTCATTTAAGTGAAAATTGAGGGCAGCATAATCTTCTTCGCATTGCGTGACAAGAATCTGCAAGTCAATCAGCCACCTGATTTAGAGTGATGAACAGGATGTGGTGCAAACTTTGAGCTGATCCTGATTAAAGCATGCCTCTATGGCATCGGTATAGCGTCGATCCGGAACAGTGCAACATATCATGGGGGGCTCAAACACCTCCATCTTGAACTTGTCCTGGTGATTACGAAGCCACACAACTGCATCGGCCATATCTCGATCCCAGCCTCGCAATTTCTCGAGTTTACGATGGCGCTCGTCTTCAAGGTTTTTCAGCCTGTGATGAATGCGTTATGCTCGTACCGAATCGTTAACTGGCATTGCTTACTGGTCAAATGCACCACTGATATTTGCCTGTTGGGAGGCTGAGGAGTCAACATTCTTCCTTTGTCGCTCCTGTAAGTCCTCCATCCGTGTCGTAGTTTGGTTGTGCTCTCGGTTGACTTTCCTCTAGAAAATGGCTGTTAGCACGGATTGCGTCGCCCACTCATGCGGTGCACGAACCATCTCAGCATTGATGGCCTCTACGTCTTCTAGTTTAGGCGGGTTGTCAAGCTCATTCTGCCATTTCTCATTGTGCCCTTGGATTTCTTTGATCTTCTTAATGCGCTCCTTCTCGGCCCGTTTGAGACCATCAAGTCTGTTCGTAACGTCTTCGGCGTCACGTTCCTGAACGGCTAATGATTAGACAAGAAACGAAGATGAACCATCAAACGAACAAGCTTGTCGTTCTCGGTCCATTTACTCTTCATCTGCTGAAACTTCTGGCGAGATGCAGCCTTCTTTTTCTCACGTGCTTTCTCATATTCCTTGTGCTGAGCTGCGAGCTGCCTTGAAGTATATGAGTGAATCGGCAGTGAATTACGAAGAAGAGCATACTCTAGCTTGGCATGCGCAGGTGCGTTCCTATCTTTCAATTTCCGTACCCGGGCATGCAACTCCCGCTGGCGATCTTTTGCTTTCTGATAGCGCTCCTTAGCTTCATGGTACTCGTTAACAGGAATCAACACTTCTAAGACAGCTATCTATAACAGTTGTCAACAGCGCGTATCGACACCATGAATCAAATTACTCACATCCTTCTCGATACGCTTGCGCTCTTGATAACGTTGAACGTCTCGCTCAAGTTGACCATTACGCTCTTGCATCGTCTTCAACCGCTCTTGCTCATCATTGGATTTCTGCGAGGCACCCGTAAATTAAACACAATATTAAAGCAGAGAATTCACAAACATCTTGAAGGTTCTTAAGCTCCTTGCCGGCGGTAATCAATGTGTCATGCCAATTTGACAAATTAACATCCCCCGCGGCACGTTGCGTCTCTCTAAGCAACTGTTGCGGAGTCATTTGCGCAAACTCGGAGACTTTATCCTGAGGCAAGAATGAACTGAAAAGCGCGCATACATGCAATCAGAATCAGCGCTCAGCACAGAAAGGGCAATGTACCATAAGTTTCCGACTTGAACATTGAGTTTCGCCATGCGGTTAGTAATCTCTTTCCCAGTACAAGATTGCCCGTTGAGAGTCAGAGTCGACCCTTTGGACTTGGCGCTCAAGTTGCGTCGGATCACGAGGTTCTTTTGACCCTTTGCACCCTTAAGTTCAATTTCGATATAGCCACTGTCTTTGCCATGCTTGACAAAGCTAGAAATCTCATTTGCGCGACCAAGAATCTGGTGAAGGGAGATTTCAGGCACAAACACGGGAATAACAAAAAAGACTCACACTCGGAGACCAGTTGAGTCCGAGACAAATTGCGCAAGCAATGCTGCTTTTACCAGTGCCGTTGGGTCCGAGTATCATGTTGAGGTAAGGACCGGGTCGGAACTCCACCCAATCATACGTAAGGAAGTTGTGCAACTGAATGCGCACGATAGAGCCGGGGATGAAGCTAAGAGACAATAGTGAGAAACAATAACAATTGGCAAGGGCCTTCCGGCGCCTCACCCATCGTCATCGCGAGGAAGAGTCGCTACTTGCTCCCTCTTCGGGGTGGAGGGAACAAAGTCGCCTTCTGCATTGACACGAGTGCGCTTGCGGCTTCTGGGAGATCCGTCCATGTTCTCAGGATCACCGTCAGCATCGCCGTCAGCGTCGGCATCGGCATCGTCACCAGCCTGAGTCTGATCTAGTTCTTCGTCCGTAGGTTCAGGCTCGACACGCTTTGCCTTGCCTTTCCCTTTCTCATCCTTTACTTTCTCCTTTTTGACGGATTCGTCCTTGACGCCATTCGGAAGAGCAGAGTTCTCCTTGAGAGAGTCTGTATCGACCTCTACCAGTTCTGCTCTTGTTCGACGAGGCATGTGTTGTCGCACAGGAACGCGTAAGTTTTGGAGGAAGCTGTACAGTACTTTGTAATTGACGCGTTTTGAATGTTTGGGATTGTTTGACATGGTAGGCGCGACGCGTTTAGGGCCGGGTCTATGGGACTACGAAGAGACTAATCTGACTAGGACTGCCTTGTAGACCATCCTTGAATATCATTAACACTTCTTAACACTTCTTAGGTCTCATTTGCGTTGGGCGGTTGCCTGCACAGGTTACAGCTTTAACACCCGGAAACCAGCTCGGGAGTTTTCTCTAACGCATTACGTAGTCCGTCATCCCGATCCGAGATTCGACTCCCATGAGCATCAGACGGAAAAGCACCACACATGATCTGGCAACCCTACGCCTTCACCCAGATGGCTCGCGAGTCCAACAATCATCTATCAACAGAAGCACACGCACAGCTCCATCAACAGTTCCAGACACCAGAGGAAACTGGATCGCCCGGGATGCAGGGGGTAAAGCTGTCGTGCGTAAAACTAGAAATGCGAGTGCTAAGGCGGATGATGAGGATGGAGAGTTTATTGATATTCGTCTTTCGGATGAGTTGGGCGAGGATGAATTCACGGTAGGGACAGGTAAGAAAGGCAAAGAAAAGGTGATTGAGAGCGATGAGGAGGACAGTACCAGAGACCGTACCGGCAAGAATTTCAGGGCGAGGAAACGACGCAGTTTCACAGAGGACTTTTCATTCTTGGAACCCACACCCCCGCATCTTGCCTTTCCACGATCAGAATCAACCTCCGAAGGCGACTCCTCCTCTTCGTCTTCGTCCTCGTCCGAAACTGATTCGGAATCGGAAGAGATCAAAATCACGCTCCCGGACCCACCACCCGTAAGAGTCAATCTTCATCCAATGATGTTCGCTTATCATTAGTAGGAGCTGTTAAAATGCATTCACCACTTCGCCAGCCGTTACTATCAGGAAAGGGGCGTTTTGTCCGACAGAAGCAAGGGTTACCGAGACGAGAGGAAAGCCCAGCGCTCCAAAAAGAGTGTGTCTAATATTCACGATCAGACAACAAGCCATCCGGCACTGTGGACGAGGGATTCTTCCCTCGAGGCAGATGACGACGACGATCAATTGGAAGATGAGAAAGATGAGCCGGGGGATGAGGAAGATGAATGGGAAGACGAGGAAGATGGCGAAAACGCTTCCCGCAACGAAGAACATAAAGACATGTACAAGGCTCTTGACGGCTCAGCTTTGGTTGCAATAGGTAGTCAAAATCATTGCTCCTCACCGACACGCTAACCAGTGTCCAGGAATCATTCTCCAGGAGCAAATTGCGCACGCAATGATCACTGGCTTCTCCGGTACTCATGCAAACCGAGTGCGACAGCGGGACTATTCGACAGAACGAAGCTCTTACTCACCTTCACTCGAATCCGATTGTTAGCACCCTGTTCGTGTGCGCGCAGTAGTATATTATATTCCAGCGTAATAAATGAATTAGATGACAAGCAAAAAGATGAGGAGAAATACTACTTCGCCTTCGCCTTCATCCTATTCTTTGGATCTAGCTTCAGAATATAATCCTCCGTCAGCGTCCCATCCTCCCACCGCTTCAAAATATTCCCTCTATATATCCCCATATTCGACCCTCCGAATACTTTAAGTCGTTCCAATCGACGTTCCCGAAGCTTGTTTTTGGGTAACATACCGGACACTGCGTGCCGTATGATCTACATTCGCACAGAGCGGGGTAAGCATACGGTCTTTTTCGTCGAACCACGAAACGAACCTCATAAGGCTTTTTCTCCATCATATCCTTATACTCAGTTTCTTTCAACCCACCGGGGAACATCGTGTGCTTGCGGTATACCAGCTGTTCATCTTTACGACCAGTCACCTTGATGTGTTTTGCGTTTGTAACTACGACGTAGTCCCCACAGTCCACTAGAATGTGCATGAGCGAGAGAGCGTGAATTATGATCAGGGAATGAGAACATACAGCTCTTGTCGTATATCGGTTTGTGCTTGCCCATGAGCACGAGAGCTATTCGTTCCGCCAATTTTCCAAGAACGCGGTCAGAAGCATTGACATGATGCCATACTCGCGCGTAGGCAAGAGCAGTCTATGATAAGCCTCGAGTTAAATGTTCGCCCTTGCATACCAAAAAAATGGCGTACGTTGCCTACTGCTTGAGACATGAAAGTGCTGGTTGATGAAGGCAATTGCGTTTGCAAAGTGAAGAAGTACAAGCACGTGACATCATGGCTACTAGTTTTGTCTACCTTACCGCACGCACTACTTAGTGCTGGCCTCCCCATGGCAAATCTAAATCTCGGCTCATATCTGCTGTACGAGTCGGTCGATAAATAGCATATTGTAGCGTCGCGCTTGCACTGTACGCACTCTTCAGAATGGCATTCCTGACATGATACGACAGGGTTCGATAGTTGTCAAAATGTCTTTTAAGTCGACCGAAGTAGACATCGTCTAGCAACCACTGTTCAATGCCCTGTAGCACAAATCAATATCAATGTGACCAACAGCACGGAGTTGATTTATTGATACGGCTGTTGAAATATTGATATAATGACCAGGATTGGTCACTTAGCCGCAGCAGTACGCCGTAGGCACGTCAGGAATAGATCCCGCTGCATCAATAGTACGCTGAATCACTGATAGGAAACTGACTCGGTCACTTCACTGAAAACGAACTCTATCCAGCGCTAGCATGCATGACAACTTCCTCGAGTTCTTGATACCTGGCATTGAGATACGACTCGCAGTGTTACCTGAAATGAGATCAATCTTGCACTAATACAGCCTAATACAGCATGTCCTGTTCCATCACATTGTCAGAAGATTTCACAAATGGAAAACGAATACATACGATGAGGGCTTGCCAATACTGGCATCCGCACCGGTGCACCCAAACAGAATACGATGCTGCACAATTGTCATCAAGACTCGAATAAATGACCAGCAGCATACTTAAGTTATAAAGTACAGCGACTGTCACCACTGCATGAGAGCGCACTGATAGAGTTCGGCTTCCCAGAACTCCATCAAACAGCATTTCCGTAGATAGGGTGACGTGTCGATGACATTATATTCCAACTTTGGACCTCTGGTCTAACTGTACCACGAGCGCGATGATGCACTGGAATATGGCTATGGCAGGGAACTGAAAAGCAAGTACATCAGGTACTAGTGGGTAAAAATAAACGCTGTGGAATGTCAGGCGCCATGCTGTGGTGAGAAGAACATACAAAAAGGGGTTGCCGGGCACGCACATTCAATCAAGTGAATCGCCCGTTCTTCCCCAACCTAAATTGCTAGCGAGGCTCTAGGTAACGTCAAGAATAGTCTGAACTTCCAGCGCTGACGAACTGAAGATCAGCTTGAGCGTGCCAGCTGGCAGTAGGTTGCGCAGCCATCGAAATCACTATCAACGTCAGGCCACAGCAGACGTCAAGTCCTCACCGACGGTGCTTCGAATACTCCCAAATGGTGATTGCCAACTCTCTGGTGGAGACACTGGTCACGGGTTCCAGATCAAGACAGCTTGCAGTAATGGCAGCAAATGAATCGATGTTGACACCCGTTTTGACCTTGTGGGGTTACCCAACGACCGGTTCATCCATTGCCTATTTTCCGGACGGCAAGCAAATTATCAGTGGTTCATGCGATGGGACTACTCGGCGATGGGACCTAGAAGCGGGCAAGGAGATTGAGGAGGTGTGGGATGATGTTATGCGGGAAGTACATGCGGTAGCTGTATCAAAGGATGGTCGATGGGTTGTCATGGGTGGTGGACCTTTCTTGACCGGGGAGCTCAGGGTCTGTGAGGTTGAGACGGGGATCGTCAGCAGATTTGAAGGCTACTCATGGAGGATCACCTGCATCGACATCTCGGCGGACAGCACGCTGGCGGGTCATACGATTCGGAAGTGCGGATATGGAACCTGGATACGGGCAAACCCGTGGCTGCATTCAAGATTGATGCTTGGGTGGGCGCAGTTCGACTCTCGCAAGACTCGAGGAAGATTGCAGTCATTTCGAATGCGAGGTGCCTTGAGATTTGGAATGTCCAAACAGGAGAATTGGATGTCAGACTGGGGAAATCTCATTTCGTGACACATCGATCTCCGGCCGCGGTGTTCTGGACTACTAAAGACAAGACCGTTGTAGCCGCGTTTGACTTCAGGGACTCTGGCTCCCCGAACAGTATTTACGAGTTTGACGCGTCTACACTGGAAACGGTCGGAACTCCCTTCAAAGGGCATACCAATACCATTGAATGTCTGGCACTTTCATTTGATTGCGCTCTCCTCGCTAGTTGTTCTAATGACAATACCATCAAACTCTGGGCCTTCGAGTCCCGCCAGCTCCTCGCCTCATTCGATGTTCAGAATCCCCACCTCATTATCTTCTCACCCAACTTGTGCCAATTGGCTTATACGGCCGGGAACGATAGCAATATCTACTTGTGCAACACCCCACCTGAGATCCTTGCTAGCATTCAGCCTGCACACCGAATGCCTACAGTGCGTAGTCACCCCCGCACATATGTTGTTCATGTGCTGACATTTTCTTGCAGACAAGTGCTCCCATAAATACACCGGTATATACTGTCCCTAGTTTGGATTCCCGTCCCCAACGAACGGTACGTCGTAGAGCTTCGGGCACGGAAAGCGTGACCTCTACAAGGACGTCAGAAGTAGAGCTGTCGAGTCCACCAGAACACCCCCTCACTCATCTACCCAACGTACGCGATCCCTTTCATTTGTTCATGTGCACCACTCTATTAATGTTAAAATTGCAGTCTGACGCAGCTCGCCGTCGTAACACAACGATCGACTGGGTAAGGACACAGACACGAGGGGAACCCCCCGGTTGGACGGCAAGGCAACCCTCGAGAGGCGGCAGATGGACCGAATCCTCGACTATCACACACGCCGGAACCTCTCGCATACAGCCTGCCGACATGCGGCCGCCTTCTGACACGCAGAGGCAACACTACGACCCAGGACTTCAGTCGTTGCCTCAGGACTCCCTGTACGCCCACGGAGGACCAGCGCCAGATCTCCCCGGTCCACCAACACTGCCTGTCGTGGCTCTTCCCCCTCCATCTCGGATACCTTCTCCTGTATTAGGCTCACGGCTACCCGAGTCTCCCCCACACCCCTACGAAGTCCTTACCCCGTCTTTCGACACGGACATAGTTCTCCCCATTCGCAACCATGAATCTGGTGATTTCCCCCCTGAAGCGAGGCTCCAAAACCTTACGGAATACATCACCAAGGATGGAGACTATCCTGTTGCTCGTGGCGGGTTCGGTGAGATCTGGAAATGTACCTATCACAATGATCAGACATCGATCAAAGTTCGTTTACCGCGTTATGGCTGTCCATCTGTCTAAAATTGATACTGTGCAGGTCGCAGTGAAAGCGTTGCAGGTGTACGCTGCTGATCACCTTGGCGCAGCAAAGACAAAAAAAATCAAGGTCAGTATCTTGACGAAGGGTTTTATTTAATATTACTTACGCCAGAGGTCGCTACTTCTTAGAGGATAAAGCGTGAACTCAGAATATGCGCCAACCTCAAGCACAGAAATATTCTTCCCGTTTATGGTTATACTTATGGCTTCGGTCCATTCATAGCGATAGTCATTCCTTGGGCGGAGAATGGAAATTTGACGGCCTATTTGGAGCGTGAGGGTGCGGCTCTTGCTCTCGTTAGACGATTCCAGATCGTAAGCCGTCCCTTGTATTTTGTGGAGACTACACGCTGATGACACTCTCAGCTCAGGGATATCATAGCTGGTCTGCGATATCGTACGTACTAATTAGTTTAATTCTGGATCTGGAGTCATACCTGTCCTTTGCAGTTCACGCCAACAGCGTTATCCACGGTGACTTCAATGGTGTAAGTTCGAACATTCTCGTTAGAATCAGCTTGACTTAGTCATGACCTCCAGCCTAATGTACTTATCCATGGCGATGGTAGTGCGTGTGTCGCCGACTTCGGTCTGTCCTTGATGTATTCGGAGGTTATAAGCGCCTCTCAGGCTTCCTGGACGTCCACGCTCAAAGGAAACATGCGATGGATGGCTCCTGAGCTGCTTGTAGATCGGGAGGATGGATCGCAAGTGCGGCCAAGCGAGCACAGCGATATGTATTCATTCGGCGGTGTCATACTGCAGGTACGTCTGGGTTATTTAGATGTCCCGATGGTATCACGAGCTCCACTTGCAGGTCCTGACCAACAAGATTCCCTATTATCACCTCTCGAATGATGCGGCCATCGTCTTATGCATAGCCAAGTCGGAAACACCTTCCCGATCTCGCTATCCTGTGCTCCCCGACAAATACTGGGAGTTTATCGAGCAATGTTGGTCTACTGATCCTCGGGACCGTCCCTCGACACAGGGAGCCAACAGAATGATCAGGAATGAATATCATGCGCTGTCCAGATCTCCTTGATTCTTGAAACGTCTCACATACAACAAATCTACAGGACAACCAAATAGACACCATGAGGCTATTCACGGAAAGTACATTAATGTAGGCTCACTTCCAGACTTCGAACTGCATTATAACAATACTACTAGTACTGTGCACACTGGTACTGGCCTCCCCACGCCATATTTCATGCAATATATTTACCTTTAAGAGTTGGTCGATATAGTAGTGCTGCACCATACGCACTCTTCGACACGGAATTCCTGGCACAAGGTGCGAAGGTAGCTGCAGACCACGATTAGCTGATATCGAATAAGTTTGTCTGGACTGGCAATGGCGAGACGGATAAATTGGTGGGCTATGAGTAATATTGGGACCTAGTATACCTGACGCTTAATCAAGCGAGCAACACTCGAGTCGTCCGCCCATGTGAACACGCTTGAACCGGCGCCTGGACTCACTAGTAGTTGCAGAACAATATGAAACAGGCGATACACAACTCACAGGAGGCTGTCTAGACATGTTCAATCACTGTTCGAGATGAGGACTGCGATGAGCTCGGGAAACTCTGTCATGGAAGCGAAGACAGCCGCACTTTCTAAAGGGCATCAACTAGCGCGTCAGGCGCCAGCTAAGGATTTTTCATTGTACAACCTACAAGATGGAAATACATTATGACAATACATAAGTTCTCCAATAGTGCATGGGTATATTGCTTCCGATCACTTCTTTCCCTTCCTTTTAGTAGACCCCTTCCGAGGCGTATTCGTCGCATTCGACGACGCAACAACGGGTTCTGGGGCAGGGGATGCAGACACAGGCTCGGGTGCAGGCTTCACTGCAGGCTTAGAAGCACTCTGAGGAGGCGAAGGCTTATGCAAAAAGTTAATGAGGAAGGTCGCAAGACCTCCACTCATCGTGTACATGAGCCATTTCGGCACACGAACAAGAGTTTGGTAGAGCATGGACAGCAATTGTGCCAGGTAATCTAAAATATATTCGCTGCAAAATGGCGGTAAGCACCTGTACGATGGGTTAAATCTGACGCGTCCTACCGTTCGCCGCCTGGGCCATAGATGGATTTCCATGGCTCCTTCATGCTCCACGCCTCCTCCTTGAGAAATTGGTGCAGAATTTCGTCGGTCAACCTTATCTGACCGGCCTTGTAAAACCGCAAGGTCTGCCCTCGGTCTTTCAATACAACAAGGTAAGGCGCGCTGATAGAAGGTCAAGGAAGCGAACAGGCTGCAAAATGCTGAAAACTCACGACCAGACAGACCATTTAGTGGTGATGGTCGTAACATTGAGATAGTCGATCCGACCAAAGCGCACATGAGGGAGCTCTCCTTTCTCCAGGGTATAATTATACGTGGCATCGAAAACATTATCGACGAACTTCGAGACACCTTCTGGTTGACCCGCGGTGACTGTTCTGATAAGGATGAGTTAATTGCTGGACTATCGAAACGATATACTCACATTATAAGGAACCAAACCCGTTCTTTCTCCTCCTCCGAAGTCAGTGTCTCATTCACGATAATTTCTGCGTAGTTCTCATCCGTGATGAGTGGTATGCGCTCATCCGAAGTCACAGCTGGAGTTCCAGTAATGTTGAAACCAATGAGAGAGGATATAGCGCCCACAGGTCCTGCTGTCACAAGGCTGTCCAGGAACGACGATATCTTCCCTGGCCGACTTTGCGTGGCAGGAGTGGATGGGGGATGTGAGGCGTGTGCTGGGGAGGGAGTTTGGCTTGGGACGGGTTGTCCTGGTGTCCATCCAGCCGAAAAGTATTGAGCATTGACTAGCCCTGTGAGGGATAGAAAACTGGCAGCGTATGCCAACAGCCTCATCTCTCAAAATAAGTATGGTCGGGGTAATGGAACGAAAAGAAGTGGCTTGAGTTACCTAAGGTTGACGAACATTTGACCGAATTTGGGCCCGGGTCGTCAATTAGCCTGATAAAGCCATTCACATGAACTGTCACTAGTTTGCTCCTTGGCTCTCATACTTATCGCAGGCAAAACTCTCAGTGTCCTGAGACGCACGCGTTGGATCTGCGTAGATCTGCGTCCGCCCCAGTTTATTTAAAAAACAATCACCTCTATCAGCTAGCTGCTAAGCTGGTTCATGTTCGTGCACAAAATCTGAATACCAAAATGTAGATGTTTGCCACGCAGTCATGCTGCAATATGCTCGTGTGGGCTCTTCTTTTGCAGTCCGATCCACGCCTCCAACAACGTAAGTCTCTTGAGCTCAGAATGAAGATGGTCGTTCCTCTGGTTTATCGAGTCTCGAAGTAAACTTGCGTCTTGCGGCTTGCCGCCGCTAGTGAAACTCAGATTCACCTCCAAGTATCTGGTGACCTCGTTGTACACAGGTACAGACCTGACCGCTTGATATTACCCTCGAATCCTCCAGCACGTCCGATGCATTAACCCTCTCCTCAATCCCACAGCTTAAATGCACCGACTGCTCAACGCTCCAGTGTTTCGAATGCATAATGTTCATAGCCGCAGTCTACGCTGAAATATGCGTGCAGACCACAGGATGGAGAGGGAGACGTCATCGTTACGTTGGCTCATGCGGATAATAATTGCTCACACAAGAGTCACCGCAAGCTCCCTCGTAGACCAAACAAAGGACTAGTGCGGTGCGGGCCGACGACGGACAAGGTAAAATCCACAGCATCCTATCAGATATGATGATTCCTCTATGTTGGGAGCGGAACTTTGCCCCTGAGCAGTTTGTATTGGTCGTCCCCCTGCAACTTGTCCTTGGGGTGTTGAGCCCGCGCCTATGTTGCTGCTCGTACGTCGCATAGCTGCTTCCGCTTCTGCGTCAGTCTCAGGGGTTATACCATATCTCTGCAAATATATCAAAGAAAACATGTATTGATGATGATGAACCACTTACGTCTTCATCACGGCAAGGAGCAACTTGATCAACGGGGCGCCTGGGGATTCTAACAGAAAATGGGCTGAAATGCAATCGCCGAGGCTGAAGCTGAATTGGTTGAGGAGCATTTGGAGGTCGAGTGCTGGAGCGCAGGAAGCCGAATAAGTTGTGGAGACCAAGCGGAGATGACCTGTCTGCTGAACGAGGAGGCTTGCGGTTTGTGTGATCGCCGAAGAAGTCGTTGCCCTGAACAGGCGTCAGGATAGATAGAGATCGGAAATGATTGCACCGGACTCACATATCTTGCCAAGCCTCTATTGTTGGTTTGCGGTCTAGGCGCAATAGAGATCTTATGAGACAAATGAGCGAATGATTAGGGTATTTATAACAAGCTCACGTCTCTAGGTCGAGTTGCACGTCCCTGATAAAGAAGTGAGATGAGGCATGAAAGAGAAGACAGGTGACTCGCGTTGAACTTCACGTTAGGACCCGTATTGTGCTGACCGACACACAAGATCGCTTGGGGGAGAGCCTGACGAAAGCGATGTATACACGTACGTCAACACCACGAGCACACTTGAGTGCTGCTTCCAGATTCCATACATAGATTTTTCCATTCGGCGCCCTGATAGCACTGGCAAAGTACTGTCCATCAGAGGACATGGCAATAATCGAGACCTGATCGTCGTGCCAGAGTGGGTCTCCAAGTTGCTGATTTGTTTCGAGGTCCCAGATGCGAACTGAGTAGTCCAATGATGCACTGACAAGATGGCATCCATCGGGAGACAGACAAATGGATTCAACAAAGTTGGTATGACCCTGAAAAACGACGAGTTCTTCCCCGTCAATCGATTGCCATTTTCGGATGGTGTGATCAAATGAGGCAGAGAAGATGTATGCCCCATCCTTGGACAAACACAACGATGACACCCCACCGTTATGTCCTTTTATCTCGATCAGCAGCTTGCTGTCCTTTGGCCACACGCGGATCATTTTGTCCTCACCGCCGCTCGCGAAGTTGTCGCCTTGTGGAGAGTATTTGACTGTCCGCACAACTTTATTGCTTCTCTTTATCGGTGGTGCAATTTGTCTGCCAGTGGCCGGGTTCCATCGTCGTATAGTGCCGTCCTCCGATGCAACTGCTACCTCCACCCCATTCGGAGACCAATCAAGGCACCACACATAACCGTCATTATTCCCCTCCCACAGGTTACCGACCACGCTCCCCTCCTTTACATTCCACAGCTGTACTCTGCCATCTGAACTTCCACATACGATCATTGTTTCATCCAGAGACATCGCCATTGCGGTTATGTTGTATCCATTACCATCACAAGGCTTTCCTACAGGCTTTCCATCTCGTGTCCACTGGTGAATTGAACCATCGTCCGAGGTACTCATTATATTGTCACTGGTGCCCAACCAGGCAAGGGTGTTGTTGAGCCAGTTGTCGCATTTGATCATGCCCTCTGGCATCAAACTCCCTGCTGTACGTTCTGGCGTTGGCTTCTTCCACGATGTGCTCCGAGTCCTGTGGTTGACGAAGTAGGATCGACCTAGTGGCGAGATGTGCCATTCGCATCCAGGAACGAGCTCCTCCCAGGTATCTATTCTCAATCCTGAGTTCCTCGCTCTCATCGTACTTTCGTTGCTCACCTAGTCGCACTCCTGGTAATGGTCTATGCACTGCAAACATGAGGAGTGCGTCGTCGCGATAAAGTGGTCTGTCATCCTTATGGGACTCTGTCCACATAGGAGGGAGCGCCTCATTCCCTCCTGCTCTATGTTGAGTTGGTTAATTGGTTTCACAATGTGCTCGCTCACCTTGCCAAAGTGCATCCTGGCGGTGCTGTGCACCATAAGCCGGCGGATTCTCAGAGCTCTTCAGGGGAGCAATAGGCGCTGATGGGTCTGACAGCAGTCCTTGGTCCGCCTCTCTCAGTTTCGCTGGCGTGCTTGACTTGGCCGTTTTGTTCAGCATGACGACAATTGGGGATGTTGGTGATAGTGGAGTTAGTGAGTAGACCTTCTAGATATGCTGTTTTGCATGCTTACAGGCGCCTTGCTTAGGTGATAACCTGTGCTTCTGATGTGTCAGTTCTAAAATAGATCAATCGCTCCCCGACCTCTACTACTGATCCCTGTGCTCTCGAGTACGGTGATATTGATATACAGAGCAATAACAACACCGGTATTTTGACGCAACAGGGTCAGGGTGTATCGGGGACTCACGATTCTCATGCCGTTTTGCAAGGACTACGAACGCATCGTGTGTTTGCTGAGCAACGAGGCGTGCGGTTGGTGTCATCGCCGAAGATGTCATTGTCCTGAACAAGTGTCAGGATATAAAGAGCTCAGGAATATGTGATCGCATTGGACTTGCATATATTGTCTAACCTCTATTGTTGTTTTTGTTAGCAATTAAGTAGCTCACGTCTCTAGACCGAGCTGCAAGTTCCTGGTAAAGAAGTCTAGGTGAGGTATGAAAGAAGAAAGATGACTCTCGTCGAGGGTTGGCATCGGAAAGGTCTTTCCCACCGGACGGCTGTAGATTGACCAGCAAGTGAGAGACACGAGATGCAGGCTGAACAAAGTGAAAACTCGAGAGAAGGAAACATTTGAGACGATCTCCTGTCTATGACGTCGAACGCGCACGACTGGCAAACCGCAGGGGATGACTTCATATTGATGTTGGTTGATAGTACAGCTTGATATGGATTAGCGTGCACATGCAAGGTAAAGCGGGTCCGACGTATAACTGCATCAATACATTGACAGACAATTTGTGTAATCAGGACAGTACACCACCTTGGTTGCAACCCTCACGACTCGCACTCAGCCTGCATACCCACAGGCTCAGCTCACCCACCATCGGGACGACGTTAAATGGAATGATCCCGATCTGAACACACTAAGCACCGAGAACAAGAACAGTGTCAACTTGAATGCTCATGATTTCCTCGTCAGTGAGCTCGTCGTCATAAGCACCATCGTATAGTGACAGTGATCCAATGTGGAGGGGTTGAGCTACCCTTTGAATTGAAACAATGTTTGCGTGCCAAAGTGATTAAGCCCGACCAACCCATAATGAGGTCGTATGCTCGACCCCGGCATATTAATGCTCTCGTAGTGTCTGGCACTTCGATCGGGCAACAACTCCGGTGTTGCTCCGCAAAATGGATAGGCAATCATGAGAGACTTGATATCCGTGGTACTGAATGTACATGAGGCAACCTTTACGGACGGACAAGTTTGAAGGGCCATTGTCCTCCATCGTCCAGTGTAAACATCAGGTTGTTGAGAGTTGTCGAGGCGTCACGATCTTGCGCGTATTTAAATGAAGCCGTTAGAAGAAAAATCAAGGATAGAAGAAATCTACTACTACCTGTAGTACTTGCTTCAAACGACTTTGATAAGTACCTGAATCCACCAACCAGGTGGTAGATCCACACACAAGTTCTCTGATACAGCGTAATTGCAAACTTTGCGTAGTCACTAGAGTCAAAAGAATGCATCCGTTCCCATAGTAGAACTTCGGGTTGGCGTCTGAGTTGATCTTGTGCCCCCGACGGATGTCGTGTAGCCGCTCATGTTATAATCCGTACATGGGGATTTGTGTTCTTGAAGAAAGTCCCCTAGGTCATGCCGTCCTGGTGGGCCTGAAGTATTATGTATGGTTGTGTACATGTCAACAACTTGACAAGTATCACCGCGCAGGCACCACGCCATAACCCCGAATTCGAATTCGACTGACACTCGAGTACACTGCACTGCCCACATATTACCCTGCAGACTCTTCTCAACGAACGACCATCAAGGCTTACAGAGTCAAAAATGAGAATGCGGAGGTCTCTGCGAAGCACGCTGACCTGGACCACGTCGTTTCTTGCTCTCGTGAGCCAACCAGTGAGGGCTGCTCCAGCTGAAGGTATAACACAGACCAATCAAGACTTTTGACGATTCTAATACACAAGACACACAGTTCCCTCAGCAGCCTCTTTCTATGTTCCTTACCTCCCAAGCTTGCATCAGGATACAGCACACCCTTTACACATATACGCTGGACACATTCTTTCCGACCCCGATGCAGAATCAGCAGGCAGCACAGACGTTCTCGCCCATTTGTTCTTCGTGATGGTGAAGGCTCGTAGGGCAGCCGATAAGGAGAGGCTGATGTTCTGGTTTAACGTGCGTTTCATGTGCTACAGTGGTATGGCAGGAACTGAATGCAATAGGGCGGACCTGGATGTTCCTCATTTGACGGTCTGATGATGGAAGTTGGACCTTGGAGAATTGATGGGGAGGGTGGCCTGAAGACAGTACAAGGAGGCTGGGAAGAGTACACCACTATGGTATATGGTAAGTCTATCAAGTCTGCTGCATTGTCCGCGTCCAACCAAGCGAAAATTTCTCCTTTCTCAGTGGATCAACCTGCTGGAACAGGTCTCTCGTATACTAGCACGAACCACTACGTGCACGGTCTACAACAGGTACGTTTTGAGAGCGCTACTGGCCAATTTAGTGACCATGCCATCTCAGACAACTGACCAACTCATGGAATTTCTGCGCACATTCTACAAAGTGTTTCCTGAATACGAAACTGTAGACGTACGTGGCTTTTTTTTTATTCCCGGAGCTCACCTAACGGCGGCTTGCAGACCTATCTGGGCGGCGAGAGCTATGCTGGACAATACATTCCCTACTTCGGTATAGTGACTCCGAGTTACTTGCTGCTGCGTGACGCTGACCCCTTTAAATAGCGGATGCTATTCTCTCATCAGACCTCAGAATGCCCTTACGGGGAGCTGCAATCGGTAATGGCTGGATAGATGCTCGCAGCCAATACCCTGCATACCTAGACTACGCCGTCACGCACGGACTTGTCGACGAGAGCTCACAGGTACGCAATTTGATCATCTCAAGACTCCTGCTCTCACCGAGCCTGTCATGACCAACAGCACTATAAAGACAGCAAAGATGCGACTAATAGATGCATGACAGAATTCAGGGGTCTTACTTCAGAACCCGTTCATATTGATCAATGCGAGGGGCTGCTGACGTTTGTCCTCAAAAGCAAGTCGAGAACGTGAGTAATACTACTGCAAATGTGCCTAATCTTGGCTTCACAATCACAACAGTGTCGACGGACAGCAGAAATGCGTGAACATCTATGATGTCCGGTTGGAAGATGATGCACCTTTCTGCGGCATGCAATGGCCTCCAGACTTGAAGAACATCAGTTCTTACCTTGCTGTCTGTCCTCCTCTCGACATGCCATCCTTACCATTTAATGAGTTATTTTCCAGCGCAGAGATGTCATCAGGGCGCTCCACGCAGAGGCCAAATCCGAGAACTGGGTCGAATGTCTCGGAAGGGTCAGCACTGAGATGAATGACTATCTGTCTCCATCATCTGTCACGCTTCTTCCTGCGGTGCTAGAAAAAATCCCCGTTCTATTGTTCGCTGGTGATCAAGATTTCATCTGCAATTACATGGGTATCGAGACCATGATCAAGTCTTTGACATGGAACGGAGCGAAAGGACTAGGGGTGGGTGTTTTCTCATGTCCAGAATTGCGGAACTGACAATCACTTCAGAAAGTACAAACCAAATCATGGACGGTCAACGACATCCCAGCGGGGACCTGGGTTTCCTCACGAAACCTCACGTATGCCAAGGTACGTTGCATCCACAACACAAGTCACTCTACTCACGACGCCACAGATATTTAACGCATCACACATGGTGCCATACGACGTCCCTGAAATCGCGCATGACATGATTTTGCGATTCATGGGGATGAATTTCTCCGCCATCGTCGACGGGTCCGCGCGCATACCAAGCGCAGTCGGAGATGATGCCAAACCTATATTTTTGGACAGCGGCGATGTGCCGTTATCATCGCCGTTGCCCGGCAAGACGCCCGAGCAGACCAAGGCCCAGTGGGATGGTGATCATCTTTTTTTTCTGGCATTGCGGCAAGAAGTGCTAACTCAGTGTTATTGTCAGCCTACTACAATGCAGGCTCAGTAGTCCTGATCTTTCTCGTTCTGGCGATTGCCATCGGCCTTTGCATATGGTGCCGTTTACGTCGTCGACCTGTGCGGTTGTCGAGGGATCTTCAATCTGAAGAAAATATTCCGTTGAACGGATATGACGACGAGCGGTTGCAACGAAAACGGAAAGGGAAGGAACGGGCTATTGACGATGAGAGCGGGACAGCTATCTTCGATGTTGGAGAGGACGAAGAGGAGTATGTTAATGGTGATGATGTGCGGAAAGAGAGAATAGATTAGGTTATTTATTGTAGTTTGTCGCTTGACATGTCTGACCCCGGGTCAGAACAATCATTCCGTCGAACGCGGCGTTCCCACACTCGGACTCAGGAAGTGGTCCTGATCATCCGCGTCATCGGCTAAACAGCAACTTTAAATCTATCAGTGAAATATTCAACCTGTATGAATGACGACCTGCTTGACAGCCCAAACTCCAAATAGTTTTTTGTTACAGAGGAATAACCTCTACTTTTGATATCGCGCTTGCTTGTGACCCTATCAGTATATAAATTCACTCAGAATGCGAGAAGGCTCACATTGTAGGGGACTCTGAGCTTGCATTACAATGTGCACGAGACAACGCCACAAACGACGACTACTTAGACTTGATAGGCTTGTTGGTCTAGAGTCTTCAGGACCCCCAGGCAAGGCTGATGACCACGACAGGGAGCCAACAAGCAAGCGTGGTTAAAACGAAATGCTGTGCAAATTGACACAGGACTGAGGGGGTGTTAGGAAGTATATAAATGAAGTCGTTCCCAAACGCACGTACATGCAATCAGGAAAATCGCCTGCCCATCCCAAAAGTTGCTAGCCTCTAGGTAACGTCAAAAACAGTCTCAACTTTCAGCGCTGACGAACAGGCAGGCGATCGGCTTCAGCAGGCAAAAAAATCGAACCAGCTGCCTGTAGTTGGGTATCCATCGAAATAATTATCAACGTCAGGTCACAGCAGACGACAAGACCTCAACGACGGTGCTCCGAATACTCTCAAATAGTACTTGCTGGTGGAGACACTGGTCATGGCTTCCGGATCGAGACGGCCTGCTGCAGCAGCAAAGAGATCGATTTTGACACCCGTGTTGACCTTGAAGGGTCACGAAAAGATCGTTTCATCCATATCCTACGTTTCGGACGGCAAGCGAATGATCAGCGGGTCAAGGGATGGGACCACTCGGCGATGGGACCTTGAGGTGGGGAAGGAGATTAAGGAGGCACGGGATGTTTGTGAGCAGGAAGTAGATGCAGTGGCTGTATCAAGGGATGGTCAGTGGGTTGTCACGGGTGGTGGAGGTCTCAGAGTCTGTGAGGTTAAGACGGGGATTGTGAAAAGATTTGAAGGCCACTCAAGAAATATCACCTGCATCGACATCTCCGCGGACAGCACGTTGCTTGCGAGTGGGTCAAGCGGGTCGACAGTGCGGATATGGAGCTTGGACACTGGCAAACTGGTGTCTGGTCCATTCCAGATTGATGAAAAAGTGGCCGCAGTTCGATTCTCCCAATCGCAAAAGAAGATTGCAGTCATTTCAAATGTGGGAAGTCTTGAAGTGTGGAACATCCGAACACAAAAATTGGATGTTAGACTGGAGAAATCTCATTTCTTAATACATCGATCTCCTGTGTTCTGGACTACCAAAGACAAGACCATTGTAGCTGCATTCGACTTCGCAGGCACTGACTCCCCAAACACGATCCACGAGTTTGACGCGTCTACACTGCAGTCGGTCGGAGCTCCCTTCAAAGGGCACACCAATACCATCGATGGTCTAGCACTTTCATTTGATTGTGCTCTCCTCGCTAGTTGTTCTGATGACCTCACCATCAAACTATGGGCCTTCAAGTCCCGCCAGCTCCTCGTCTCATTCCACGCTCCTAGTCCTCGCCTCATTATCTTCTCACCCGACTCGCACCAACTGGCTTATACGACCTGGCACAACACCGATATCTACGTATGCAACACCCCACCGGAGATCCTTGCTAGCATTCATCCTGCACACCAAGTGCCTAGAGTGCGCAGTCATTCCCGTACATGTGTTGTCCATGGGCTGACATTTGCTTGCAGACCAGTTCTCCCATAAATACACCCCTCGCTCATCTACCCAACGTACGCGATCCCTTTCTTGTGCTCATGTGTATCGCTCCATTAATGACATCATTGTAGTCTGACGCAGCTCGCCGTCATAACCCAACAATCGACTGGGCAAGGGCCCAGACACCAGGGGAACCCAGTTGGACGGCAAGCCCAACCTCGAGAGGCGGTAGATGGACCGAATCCTCGGCTGTCAGACACGCCGGAACCTCTCGCATACAGCCTTCCGACATGCAGTTGACGTCTATTGATACGTCGTGGTCGCCTACTGACATGCAGAGGCAACACTACTACCCAGAGCTTCAGTCATTGCCTCAAGACCTCCTGTACACCCACGTAGGACCTGCGTTAGATCTCCCCAGTACAGCAATATCTCCTGTCATAACTCTTCCCTCTCCACCTCAAAGATCTCCTGCAATAGGCTCGCGGCTACCCCAGTCATATCCCTATCCCCGCGAACTCCTTCCCCCCTTCTCCCACACGGACACAGTTCTCCCCGTTCGTAACCATGGATCTGATGATTTCCCCCCTGAAGCGATGCTCCAAAATCTCACGAGATACAATCCTGCTGCTCGTGGCGGGTTCGGGGAGATCTGGAAATGTACCTATTCCATAGATCGCAGACTAATCAAAGTTCGTTGGCATTATTCTGTTTCTCCATCTGTATGACGTTAACAATCGGGCAGGTTGCAGTGAAATCATTGCAGGTGTACACTGCTGATCAACTTGGTCCAGCGAAGACGAAGAAAATCAAGGTCAGTATCTTGACGAAAGATTGCGTCTAATATTACTTACCAAAGATGTCGCTGCTCCCAGAGGATAATGCGTGAATTCAGGATATGCGCCAACCTCAAGCACCAAAATATTCTCCCCGTTTATGGTTATACTAATGGCTTCGGCCCATATATAGCGCTGGTCAGTCCTTGGGCGGAGAATGGAAACTTGACTGCCTATTTGGAGCGCATGGGTGCGGATCTTACTGTCCTTAGACGATTCGAGATCGTAAGTCCTCACTTGTATTACATGAAGACTACGGACTAATGGGAATCTCAGCTCAGGGATATCATAGCTGGTCTCCAATATCGTGTGTGCTAGTTAGTTTAGTGCTGGACCAGTAGTCCTAACTACTCCTCACAGTTCACGCCAACGGTGTGATCCACGGCGACTTCAATGGTGTAAGTTTGAACATTTTGGTCAGTTTCAGCTTGATTGAGACATGCCCTCCAGCCTAATGTGCTCATCCATGGTGATGGTACTGCGTGTGTTGCCGACTTCGGTCTTTCCTTGATGTATTCGGAGGTTATAAGCGCCTCTCAGGCTTCCTGGACATCCACGCTCAAGGGAAACATGCGATGGATGGCTCCTGAGCTGCTTGAAGATCGGGAGGATGGATCGCAAGTGCGGCCTAGCGAGCAGAGCGACATGTATTCATTCGGCGGTATCATGTTGCAGGTACGTCTGGGTAATTTTGACGTCTCGATGGTATCATGAATTCCACTTGTAGGTCCTCACTAACAAGGTTCCCTATTATCACCTCTCGAATGATGCGGCCATCGTCTTATGCATAGCCAAGTCGCAAACACCTTCCCGATCTCGTTATCCTCCGCTCCCTGACAAATACTGGGAGTTAATCGAGCAATGTTGGTCTACTGATCCCCGGGACCGTCCATCGACGGAGGGTGCCGACGGAGTGATCAGGAATGAATTTTATACACTATCGACTCTCGAACTGTTTCGCACACAACCACCTGTTTACGGTACGACTGAATAGACAGCATGGTGCTTGGTATGCTCCTGTATAGTAAACGTAGGTTCTCACCCCGTACTTCTCTTGTACCGTAATAGTACTGCAGTTGAACAAGAATCATGGTACGCACGTACTACACCGCGATGCATAACCATTCACTAGTACTAATCAACTAGCTGTTCAAATTCTAATACTACTGCAAATGTGCCTAATCTTGGCTTCACTATCACAACAGTGTCGACGGACAGCAAAAATGCGTGAACATTTATGATATCCGGTTGGAAGATGATGCGCCTTTCTGCGGCATGCAGTGGCCTCCAGACTTGAAGAACATCAGTTCCTACCTTGCTGTCTGTCCCCCTCTCGACATGCCGTCCTTACCGTCTAACCGGCCTTTGAATATGGTGCCGTTTACGTCGTCGACCTGTGCGGTTGGCGAGGGATCTTCAATCTGAAGAAAATATTCCGTTGAACGGATATGACAACGAGCGGTTGCAACGAAAACGGAAAGGGAAGGAACGGGCTATTGACGATGAGAGCGGGACAGCTAGCTTTGATGTTGGAGAGGACGAAGAGGAGTATGTTAATGGTGATGATGTGCGGAAGAGAATATAGGTTATTTATTGTAGCATTCACTTCAGAGCTCATTTGTCGCTTGACATGTCCGACCGCGGGTCAGAACAATCATTCCCTCGAACGCGGTGCTCCCATACTCGGACTCAGGAAGTGTGGTATTTGCTCGTACTATGCTCATATCGGAAAACGCAACATTCCTAGAAGATATTTTGCTAGAAGTCCAGCGATGTTTGTGCAGAAAACATTATATTGTTGTATTGTACATCTGACAGTTCTTGGGTGACCCTGATCATCCGCATCATTGGCTTAACAGCAACTTTAAATCAATCAGTGAAATGTTCGACCTGTATGAATGACGACCTGCTGGACAGCCCAAACTCCAAATAGTCTTTTGTTACAGAGGAATAACCTCCACTTTTGATATTGCGCTTGCTGTGACCCTCTCAGTATATAAATTCACTCAGAATGCGAGAAGGCTCACATTGTAGGGGTTTCACTTTATTGTACCACATCGCCTCAGAGGACGTGAGCGGGACTGGTTCTGGGAGTGGATTTGAGCTTGCATGCCAACGTCCACGAGACACGCCGCAAACAACGACTGCTTAGACTTGATAGGCTTGTTGGTCTAGAGTCTTCAGGACCCCCAGGAAAGGCTGATGACCATGACAGGCGTGGTTAAAATGGAATGCTGTGCAGATTGACACAAGAAGTGGGTGTTATAAACGAAGCGGTTCCCAGACGCACGTACATGCAATCAGGAAAATCGCCTGCCCATCCCAAAAGTTGCTACTAGACCTCTAGGTAAGGTCAAAAACAGTCTGAATTTCCAGCGCTGACGAACTGGCGATCGGCTTCAGCAGGCAACAAATTGAACCAGCTGCCGGTAGTTGGGTATCCATCAAAATCATTGTCAACTTCAGGCTACGACAGACGATAAGACCTCACCGACGGTGCTTCGAATAGTACTTGCTGGTTGAGACACTGGTCATGGCTTCCGGATCGAGACAGCCTGAAGCAGCAGCAAAGGAATTGACGTTGACACCCGTGTTGACCTTGAAGGGTCACGCAAAGCCCGGTTCATCTATAGCCTATTTTCCGGACGGCAAGCGAATGATCAGCGGTTCATGGGATGGGACCACTCGGCGATGGGACCTTGAGGTGGGGAAGGAGATTGAGGAGGCACGGGACTTTTGTAAGCAGGAAGTAGGTGCAGTGGCTGTATCAAGGGATGGTCGATGGGTTGCCATGGGTGGCGAAGATTGCAAAACTGGGGGGCTCAGAGTTTGTGAGGTTAAGACTCGGACGGGGACCATGAGAAGGTTTAAAGGCCACTCAAAAAAGATCAATTGCATCGACATCTCCGCGGACAGCAGGCTGCTCGCGAGCGGGTCAGCGGATGAGACGGTGCTGATATGGAGCTTGGACACTGGCAAAATCGTGGGTGGCCCATTCCAGATTGATGATCGGGTGGCTGCAGTTCGATTTTCGCAAGACTCAAAGAAGATTGCGGTTAAGTCGTACTACCTTGAGATTTGGGACGTCAAAACACAGAACTTGGATGTCAGACTGGGGAAACAGCTCTTAATACATCGATCTCCGGTGTTTTGGACTATCGAAGACAAGACCATTGTAGCCGCTGTATTCGCCGTCGACTCGAGCGGGATCTACGAGTTTGACGCGTCTACACTGGAAACGGTCGGAACTCCCTTCAAAGGGCACACCAGTATCATTGATGGTCTAGCACTTTCATTCGATTGTGCTCTCCTTGCTAGTACTAGTTCGGATGACAATACCATTAAACTCTGGGCCTTCAAGTCCCGCCAGCTCCTCGCATCAGTCCACGTTCAGGATCCCTACTACCTTATCTTCTCGCCCTCGCCCAATTCGCACCAACTGGCTTATACGACCTGGCACAACACCAATATCTACGTATGCAACACCCCACCGGAGATCTTTGCTAGCATTCAGCCTGCACACCAAGTGCCTAGAGTGCGCAATCATTCCCGTACATATGTTGTCCATGGGCTGACATTTGCTTGCAGACAAGTTCTCCCATAAATACACCCCTCGCTCATCCACCCAACGTACGCGATCCCTTTCTTGTGCTCATGTGTACCGCTCCATCATGACATTATTGTAGTCTGACGCAGCTCGCCGTCATAACCCAACAATTGACCAGGCAGGGGCCCAGACACCAGGGGAACCCAGTTGGACGGCAAGCCCAACCTCGAGAGGCGGTAGATGGGCCAAATCCTGGGCTGTCAGACACGCCGGAACCTCTCACATACAGCCTGCCGACATGCGGTTGCCATCCATTGACACTTGGTGGTCGCCTACTGACACGCAGAGGCACCCAGAACTTCAGTCATTGCCTCAAGACCTCCTGTATGCCCACGTAGGACCTGCGTTAGATCTCCCCAGCACAGCAATATCTCTGCCCCCGAAATCACCCGCGGTGTCGCAGAAGAAGAATAATGCTCAAGCTATGTTGATGGAGCATACTGCTACGCCCTTTTTTGTGTTGCAGAAGAAAGAAAAAGCTGCTCAAGCTGTGTTGATGGAGCCTACTGCTACGCCCTTTGTTGCATTGCAGAAGAAAAATAAAGCTGCTCAAGCTGTGTTGATGGAGCCTACTGCTACGCCCTTTTTCGTGTTGCAGAAGAAAAAAAAAGCTGCTCAAGCTGTGTTGATGGAGCCTACTGCTACGCCCTTTTTTGTGTTGCAGCAGAATAGGAGTAAGGTGTCGTTGGTTGGGGAGAGTTCGAGTCAGATCCCAAGTGCTCGAAGATCTTCTCCTGAAATAGGCTCACGGATACCCCAGTCATACCCCCATCCCCGTGAAGTCCTTCCCTCCTCTGCCCATACAGACACAGTTCTTCCCGTTCGTAACCATGAATCTGGTGAATCAGACCATAACCCAATGCTCCAAAACCTCACGGAATACATCACCAAGGACGGAGACTGGCCTGTTACTCGTGGTGGGTTCGGGGAGATCTGGAAATGTACCTATTCCATAGATCGGAGATTGATCAAAGTTCGTTTGTCAAATTGTGGCTGTCCATCTGCCTAAAATTGATGATTGTGCAGGTCGCAGTGAAATCATTGCAGGTGTACGCTGCTGATCAACTTGGTCCAGCGAAGTCGAAGAAAACCAAGGTAAGTGTCTTGACGAAAGATTGCATTTAATGTTACTTACACCAAATGTGGCTATTTCACAGAGAATAACGCGTGAACTCAGAATATGCGCCAACCTCAAGCACGAAAATATTCTCCCCGTTTATGGTTATACTTATGGCTTCGGCCCATATATTGCAATAGTCAGCCCTTGGGCAGAGAATGGAAGCCTGACGGCCTATTTGGAGCGCGTGGGTGCGGATCTTACTCTCGTTAGACGATTCCAGATTGTAAGTCCTCATTTGTATTTCATATTTCATACAGTCTACGGACTAATGACAATCTCAGCTCAGGGATATCATAGCTGGTCTCCAATATCGTACGTGCCAGTTAGTTTAATCCTGGACCGGGAGTCATAACTATTCTCCGTAGTTCACGTCAACAGTGTCATCCATGGTGATTTCAGTGGGGTAAGTTCACCTTCTTGATGGTTTCAATCTGATTGAGATGTGATCTCCAGCCTAATGTGCTGATCCATGGCGATGGTACTGCGTGTGTTGCCGACTTCGGTCTCTCCTTGATGTATTCGGAGGATAAAAGCGCCTCCCAGGCTTCCTGGACGTCTACGCTCAAAGGAAACATGCGATGGATGGCCCCTGAGCTGCTTGAAGATCGGGAGGATGGATCGCAAGTGCGGCCTAGCGAGCAGAGCGACATGTATTCATTCGGCGGTATCATGCATCAGCAAACTGTTGATTTCGCGACAATTCTCACACTTTTGACAAATCCGCACAACTCCGCACAAGGCATCACAGATCTCACAGACATCACAAACAAATGACCACAAATCTGGACACAAGCAGACAGTAGCACAAGCGCGTACAGGCCCACAAGTCCACAAACTGTACAAGCGACACAAACTGTTACACATTGTAGCATTTGTGAAATAAATAATATACTAGTGTTTTACTAAGCAGCGAATTTATATACATACTAGCTATGCACAGTGAGAAAACGTCTAATAGATTAAGTACTTGGTGTCATGTTTGTATAGTAGTCAACATTGTGATACCGTTTTTCCTCCGGCGCTCTGAGTGCACGCGTCCAACATTGAGGTCAGCCAGCAATAGACGCATGTTTGCAGCTTCTGCCCGGCGGCGGGAGATACAGGTAAGTATTTGGTCGTGTTCCAAAACACAGTCGGCCAAGTGTTTTTGGGCTTGACACACTTTACGTTTGGCCTGGGCTGCCTTGAGCACGAGGTCGGAGTCTTCCTCCAGCAGCTGATCAAATGAGTGGTAGGACTCGGCTGAGTCTTGTTCCTGCAGGTAGCGGGATATGAGTGACAAAGCAACACATGAGCGGGTGCAACTCACAAAATGCATTGCTACAGGTAAGCTCTCCTCCTCTTCTTCATCCTTGACAGGATGCGATCGCGGAGACTGTGAAGGGTATGGATATCCAGCATCAGGCCAGGGGAATGATGGGCCTCGAGGAATTGAAGAGGCATCAGAATTGCGAGAGTCAAAGGAAGAATGGTAGGAGTGGTGGGAGGGAGGAGAATAGGTGGTTTGGGGAGAGGAGCGAGAGAATATGTCAGAATTAGAGAACATATGGATGTATACACGGCTACACTGAATGAAAGAAGCGTGGGAACTTGTACTTGTCAATGTCAACGCCTACATGTCCAAAGTGCGGAAAAGTATTCACCAAGGACTCCAGCGTCACTCGCCACCTAAGTCAGCCTCGGACATCTTGTCACAGTTCTGTTCGTGACATTGTCGACATCTTGGAATTCACGGATGTATTTCCGCCGCAACGATCCCTCAATCCACCTCAGAATTTGAATGGTATGGGTCAGAGATTCGACGTCGGGGATGACTCGCAATTCGATCTTCAGGTCGGGGATACCAACTCAGACGAAGACCTTTTCGATCCGGGGGGAAGCTCACACCCAAGTAATGAAGACTGGTATGAGGGTGCAGCCAAGTGCTATTCTCGGGACGGCATCACATTTCTAGATCTTTTCGACGCCGACGAGCATGCAGAGTATAGGAAGGAGAACCTATTTTACCCATTCGCATCAAGGGAAGAGTGGGAGGTCGCTGACTTCCTCCTGCGTTCTGCCCTTAGCATGGCAGCAATTGACAACTTTTTGCAGCTCGCTATGGTATGTATCTTTCTTGTTGCTTTCACGCTTCGATCTTGACATTACCTCGCAGATAAAGCGATTAAAACTGTCATTTGGCAACGCTAAAGATTTGCGAAGTCGGGCTGAAATGCTGCCAAAGGGACCGAGCTGGAAATGCCAAATCATTCCTTCACTTCATCGCACAAAAAGCCCGATTCGACTATTTTGGAGGGATCCGGTTGAGTGTTTGGAGAGTCTCTTCAGTAACCCCCTCTTTCATGACCGGCTCGACTTTATCCCTCGTCGTGTTTACAAGACTGCAGCGCGGCTCCTGCGTGTATATTCAGAATGGTTGACGGGCGACGCTGCTTGGAGTATTCAGGTACGTGCTATTGATGGACTCACACCATGCACGATCTCACGAGTTTGTAGGATCAACTGCCCCGAGGCGCGACAGTCCTTGGCACCGTGCTTTCGTCTGATAAAACCAATATCACAACGATGACAGGTGCCAGGGTCGCACACCCGCTTCTGCTAGGCCTTGCTAATATTCGCATGCGCACTCGTACGAAGCTCTCGTCCAAGGCGTTCATGCTCACGGCTCTCCTCCCTATCCCGCAGTACTTACACCCCACTCAACGAATGCGGGGTATGCTCGAGGATCGTCTCATCCACGAATGTCTTGCAATCATTTTACAGCCCCTGATGAAAGCCGCCGAACTTGGAATCATGATGTCCGACCCAGTGGGAAACATCCGCCACTGCTTTACCCCCCTTGCGGCATACATCGTCGATACTCCCGAGGCGTGCATGCTTGCATGCGTGCGCGGCAAAACTTCTCCATTTACACTGGCATCTTATCTCCAGTTCGGGGACAATTTTCGTCACCCTGCACGTACACGTGCCATCATGCTCGAGCAGCTCGCCAGCATCAATGTTGACCCCAACGACCTGGAAGGATATTTTGCCGCATGCGCGGAATTCCGGCTAAATGGTGTCTTTGCACCTTTCTGGAAGGGATGGCGGTTTAGCGATCCTGCGATCTTCCTTACACCTGAAGCTCTGCATCACTGGCACAAACAGTTCTATGACCACGACGTGCAATGGTGTCTTGCAGTTCTTGGAGTGCAGGAATTCGATTTCCGAATCTCAATACTGCAACCCGTCACTGGCTATCGCCACTTCCCCAATGGAATCTCCAAACTGAAGCAGGTCACAGGCAGAGTCCACCGCGATATACAGCGCTATATTGTTGGATTGATCGCTGGTGCAGCCCCTCGTCGATTTGTGGTCGCAATTCGCGCTTTAATGGATGTCCGATACTTAGCGCAGTCTCCCGCACCTGATGACAACTTACTGGCGGCTATTGACAGATCACTTGCAATCTTTCACGACAACAAAGATGTCATCATGACACTAGGCGCTCGGATGGGTGCGAAGAGAGTCATCGATAATTGGCACATACCCAAGCTAGAGCTCATGCAGAGCATCACCACTAGCTCGCGCCAAGTCGGTGCCCTCATCCAGTGGTCCGCAGACGCAACTGAACATGCGCACGTCTCTGAAATCAAGGACCCAGCACGGCGTACTAACAACAACGACTACGATCCCCAGATCTGTCGTCACTTAGATCGAGCAGAGAAACTGCATCGTTTTGCAATTGCTACAACTCTCAAGAGTCTTCCCACAGATCCCGATCTCCGTGAGGATGAAGAGGACAGGGACGAGGACGAGGAAGGGGAAGGGAATGAGGAAGAAAATGACGAACTGATGGATCCACGAACTGCACTCTTAGAAGAACTAAATCACACGCGCACCACTTCCAACTACTTCAACAAACTGAGAACGTTGGGGACTGCAAGGCGCGATGAAATTCCTCAGGCTCATCCTCCTCGTACGTTCCTTGCTGGCAGTACCGCCGTTCATCTTAACTGTTACCCCACCCGCACTGGCTTGAAAATTGACGAGGTCGCCGATCAATTTAACATCCCAGATCTGCGGCATGCTCTCTCGGACTTCCTTCAACGTGATGCGAGGAACAGAGATGTAGTTTTTGGGGTGGGGGTGCCAAGAAGATCGCTGATCGACCGGCCCTTGAATATACCTTTCGAGCGCCTTCAAATATGGCATACTGTTCGCTTGCAGCAAGTCTGTCTCCATGATCCCAGTATCGTTTTACCCGCACAAACTTTGCATGCCTCTCCTGCACACGCTGGGTGGCCAAAAGGCCGACAGGATGTTGCCATTCTCAATGTCAATAGCGCGTATGATTGGCCCAAGTCAGGGTTAACGGGTGAGCTCTTTAGTACTCACATACACTTTGATTGTCCCTGACACCTTCCGTCTCTTTTGAAGGTCACACTGTCTGTGAACTGCAGCTCATCATGCGTCCAATGCCACGACGAGGCTCACGTATTACATGGCATGATCGATATCTTTGTTATGTGCGGAGCTTTAAGGTTGGCGCGGTTGATCCTGTCACCGAGATGCACACATTGACACGCACAAAACATGCCAACGGTACTCTAGTGGGAGATATAGTTCCCCTGACACAACTTCGAGCGTTCATCAATATCATCCCGAGACTAGGTGCTGCAGCAGATCCTCGGTTGACCAAGTCTACTTCCACGCACTATCATTCCTCGTTTTACTTGAACAAGTACTTTGACAAGCAAATTTATGATACCTTGTACTATGCATCGCAAGGATAGATACGATACGATACCATGACAGATTTTTTTGTGTAGTACTCAATGTGGTATCAGAATTTGAATTTGATGTTATCTAGTATGCCTATCTATGCCCACGCCGCAGCCCGCAACCCGCAGCCCACTGCACTGTAACCAGAGGGAGTGCTCAACAAACTCGCCGACTATTCAGACAGACAGGCAAGTTGTTGTTGTAGAACACATTGGTCTGCAGTACTCATTACTCCATAGCGTTGACCGGTCTTGACTCTGAACGCCATGGCAGACGACCCGCTCACTGACCAGACTCCACCAACAACATGCGCCACCACATCATTCGACCTCTATCTTTGTCGACCTTCACTCAGCTCGACGGGTTTCCAGCCTGAGGGTGGTCGCACCTTCGATCTTGTCAAAGAACTACTCAAATCAGAACTCGAAGGCCACGTCATTATCGAAGCCGACCTGAAGATCGAATACAATGCTAGTGTTTTCCACCAACTCGTTCCCAAATCCTCGTTGGAGACCAGGCATATCGCACAAATCAATTACTATGGTCGGGATAATGGACCACCGATATATTTCCAGGGCGCATGGAACTTCGATCGCCACAAAAAGCCCAGATTGAACAATCGGAACAACGACTCTGGCGATTCGGATGATAAATCTGATGCTAGCACAGATATCGTTAACACAGATGTCGAGGCCTTGGATTCTCAAGGTTCAGGGATGGTCTCAGATGGCACCTGGAGTCACGATGAATACGATGGGACCGCACAACCAGGATCGAAGAGGGGACGTAAACCTTCATCGACTGAGAAAGACTTGCAGTGTCTTTTCGAGACTGTTCAGTATGCCCTGCGCCGTAAACAGCAAATTCGCGCCAAAATTCCCTTCCCGATATCGAAAATCGAACGATACTGGTCTGCAGAGTTTGCTGACTCACCAATACCAGACCCTTATAACGCACAAAAGCCTGATGTTGCTCTGTTTTATTACAAGAGTAAAACTAGCGAGAAAACGTGGACAGACGTCCTGAGCTTTGTTGAGCATACAACTTCTGATTTCAACAAGAGGCGTGACCTAGGAGTGTACTGGGGGTCCGCCACTAAAGCATATCTCATCATGCGAGAACAGCCCTGGCGTCGCTTCGTCCTCTCATTTTTCATCTCTGCCGACCATCTTTACGCCCATTATTGCGATCGCTCTGGCCTCATCATCACTCTCCCAATTCCCATCCAATCGTCACCCGCTCGTGTCGCTGATGCGATAGCTACTCTCTCATTAGCGGATCCCAGCCTCTTGGGTCTCGACCCCACAACGCATATGTGCATCACTTTTTGCCAGGGTACTCACACCGACCTAGCAGTGGGGGCGATCGGTTGGGTAACCGACAATGCTGAAAAAAAGTACTCGATCATGGCTGTTTTGTGGAAGAGCCAGGGTCTATTTTGTCGCGGAACGGTTTGTTACCGTGTTCGAGATCCTGTAGATGGAAAGGAATATGCGATGAAAGATTGTTGGGTGACTGAGGCGAAGAGATACCACGAAGTGGACGTCCTTGGGAGGGTCAAGGGCATCCCTAATGTGGTCCAACTCGTAGACCACTGGGATGTCCTATCCAATGGGGAGCCTGACTGCACAGCCCGCATTCGGGATGGATATGGTGTCCTGCTCGAGAACAGGCCAGACACGAGGTTCTTTAACAGGTATCACCGGCGCCTTCTCTTGACCCCCTGTGGAGATCCATTATGGGATTTCAGCTCCAGAAAGGAACTGATTTGCGCCTTCCGCGACTTCGTGGTTGGTCAGTTCAGTTTGTGTTTGATTTGTTGTATCATCTAACACTCTATCTATAGCTCATGAAACAATGATCCAACGACGAGTTCTACACGGAGACCTTAGCCCAAACAATTTTATTATCCATGAAGGTATTGGGTATTTCATTGATTTTGACCACGTGTCAATCATAAAGGAGGGCGAGACATTTACAGTTTCGTTTGGTACTGTAAGTTTGAACATGAAGTTCGAGATTCTCGCTATTGACCACGCTATTTCAGGGAACTGTGCCATATATCTCTATGCGCATTTTGAAAAAAATGTCGAAGAACGTTGACATCCTCAAGAAGGCAAAGACGATCAACGCAAAAAAGAACGACAACACCAACAGCATCGCTCAGCCGGAACTGGTTGAGCACAATTCCAGTGATGACCTCGAGTCCCTGTTCTATATTTTTTTCGAATTCGTTTCCAAGTACGGGGGTGCACATGGTACACTGGCTCCGACCTGGGATAAGATGAGTATGCCATGGGCGGATGCCTATGAGAATTTGGGCGCTACAAGCGGCTTGCTTGCCACCTTTTTGGCGAAGAAGGGAGCCATGTCTGAGGGTGATATCCTGACAGACAGGGTATCAGACTACTTTTCAGAATTCAAGCCCATTGTTGACGAATGGCGCACTCGAATTTATCGCATGGAGTCTAATCTCGAAGGAGCCATTGTTCATGACCACATCTTCCAAATGCTCGCTACATTCATTACGAAACTTGGCGATGAACTGCCAACTCCACTACCCTCTCCAGTAGCTCCCCCGAGTGCCTCAAGTACTCATCGTACTGGAGCTCCCCCCATCGTTCAACCCACAGCAGGGTCTTCGCTCCGTCGTTCATTGCGGCTCAAGCAGGCGGCCGGACCTAACGATGCTGGCAGAGACTAACGCAATTCTGATGCCTCTTATTACTATCCTTCATCTGAGCTTTCTTATGCGTCTTCCTATAGTTCCTTCTTTCTTCTATGTTACCTCCCTCAGGCTTAGAATGCCAACCACGGACGTCGCTATGTACCAAATCATGATTATGTAACATGGATTATGTCAGTCATTGGTACGCATAACTAGCTAACTTCGTACATGTTATTCAAGCCACCTGATACATGCCTCCGAAGAAGAAGCTCAGACGTTCTTCTCCAGATTTAGGGGTGACTGCTTGGCGAAGCTCGAGATCTAATCGTGGTGTTGGCGGCCATGCAGCGCAGCTGCAAAGAGTTGGAGAAACGCTTGCTGCCCCAGCAAGGAGAAGACCAAAGGGTGACGATCTTCAAATCAGCAGCTCAGAAGAAAACCCTATGGCTCCTTCGCAGCTTCAGCAAGGAAAGAGAATTTTTTTTTTTTTTTTGTGACTATGTTCAAGCTAATTTTTTTTCAGCCTCCTGCAAAACCTCGCAGCTCTCCAAAAACAAATCAGAACGAACGCAGAATAACGGGAAGCGACCAACATCCTCAAACTCCTACTACCCGTCTGGATATACATGTGGCTCGCTCTTCCGAAAGGTTCGGATTCAAGGAACCCCATTCCAATGGTCGCGAGAAGTCCAATGGCCGCGAGAAGTCCAGGGAGGGACAGCCTATGCGGAAGGAAACACGGTCCGGTGGTCGCAAAACGGTTGGACAGAATGTGGGTCAGCGAGACACAGGTCATGAGAGGGAGTCTGCGGGACGTGATAGTGGTCACGAACGTGATGAGTCTGATGTCGATGTTGACCGCGATGATTATTTTGACAGTTATACGCAGATGTAAGTGTTCTTCTTTTGCATGTGTTCTTCCTGATATTATGTTCTCATTGCAGGGATAGAGGCACCGACCAGGACACACACCAGCAAACGAACGATACGGGCAACACAATGGATCTCGACGACAATATTGATCCGCTTTTTCCTGACAATGAAGCTCAAGGAGATGATGAAGTAGATTTAGATGGCGAGCCCACAAATAAGGAGCCGGTATTTGATTTTTCCTCTCTCCATTCCTGCATTAATTATCTGTACTCAAGGCTTACGATGTTCTCGAGCGTCATCATGCAAAGAATGGGCAGCGCAAAGCTCCTTCACCAACCCATTTGTCAAAGGGAAAGGGAAAGGAGCGCGCACATACTCTCGACTGCCCAGAATACCCTCCACAACACCCATCCCAACATGTTCATTCTAGATCTCCTCGCCCATGCTCTCCTCAACACACCAGGCGCTCGAGGTCCCCTCGTCGATATCCATCATCTGGAGGAGCTACTGCTGTTTGAGCGGTTCGTAGACACTCACCTGCACTTCACTCACGTCGTTTCTCTCATTCAAAGTCTCCACGCCAACAATCATCTCAGCAAGTCAGATATGAACGCACTTCATCCTCACGCATGCAGTCTCCTCTTCGGGGTCCATCTCGGCCAATTACTTCCTCAAGTCGCAGTCACACAAAGCCCACCTCTCGTGGATGCTCTCCATCATACACTCCATCTGACCATATCCCGCCTGCGAGCCGTGAACACTCTTGTAGCTCACCCGAAGTTAGTCGCCGATCTGGCAATGGTAAACAAAAGGTGAAGACAAACCAGGAGAACCCCTCGAAGCTAGGATTCTATCCACCTACTTGGCAAGTATTCCTGCAGACGGCGAAATTAGAGATGCGGTTGCAGGCCGTTCTAGCCCACCCAATCCCAGAATCCCAGAACGCCCTCAACCTTGCACGAGAAGTCTTGGATACCGTGCTATGGACATACCACGAGAAGAAGATTAAACTCGAGAGAGGTATATTCTCCCTACGCCGCCGTCTACTGTTCTCATAGCTGTTTACAAGGTTACTTTCCGGAGTACGACTCACGGATGTGCCGTCTGGTAGGTCCTTCGTTTCTTGATGGCGAATATGTTCGTTGACGCTGTTGATGAGCTGTGCGATGATCTCTTCACGTTCCGCACAGAGCTCAAAAAGGTCGTCATGTCTGTCGCAAAAAGGGTGTACGACATCTTCCCACAGGGCTCGACAATGTGAAAGGGGGAGGCCCAAAAGAAGGTCACCGCTGCTGCTAATAAACTCCTCAAGAGCGGTGATTACCTCCGGCTTCCTGACTCGTCTGGCATATGTTGCGACTCCCGGTAATAGTGTCACTTACATTTGACTTTCGCAGGGAAAATTTGAGAATTTCTCGGCGCAGGCTCTCAAGGATGCTTGTCTCGAATTTTACTACAGCAACGGCAAGAAAGCGCTGAAGAACACGGATGAATTCCAATGAACAATACCCATCAACGCGATGCTGCTTGTAGCAGCGGTGGTGTGTTTTTCGTTATTTTATTTTATTTACCCTTTCATCACTGATTATACAACAGTTGAAGGGTGTTCTCTCCGGCTTTCGGGAGACCGGTACTGACAAGGTCCCCGATCTTACCGCTGAACAGTGCAGGACCCACTTCGCCAATCTACAGAAATCGGTTGACAAACTGCTCGACATTCCGGAGCGCCGCGAAGAGCTCGAAGACATGTTGGAGCAATGGGCTAGGATAGGCATGGGTGACTATGACGAGTATGCGGATGGGAGTGTGGCAGACAGCGACGCGGAGGACGTCAACATAATTCTTTAGTAGTACTGCTCAGATCAATGCACCATGTTTTTGTTTCACAATTCATACAGTTTATGCCAGCATGTCTACTGTGTGAAGCCCTGTCATTAAATATATCCTTGGTACAGCATGTCTCAAGTGGACAGACTGTACAGCATGTCCCAGACTGTACAGACTGTCCTCTCGAGACATGCTGTACAGTCTGTCACAACGCAGACGGTCTGTACCGTGTGTACCGTGTGTCCGTCTCATCACAATGCAGACAGTCTGTACAGACTGTCTGCATTGTGATGAGATGTACAGATTGTAGGAGTATGTAACAGTATTGTAAAGGGGGGACTTCCTTGTGTAAGTGTAATGTCTGTACAATACTGTACAAGATTGTACAGTATTGTACAGGTACCCCATAGTTTGCTGATGAAAGCGTTTGGAGGAATTTGCGGAGTAGATAGAGCTGAGGATAGGGAATGTTTGATGGCATGGTAGATGTCAGTGGAGCTGGTTGGGGGAATTTGCGGAGTGGATAGGACTGTTGAACGAGGGTGTTTGATGGTGTGGTATATGTCAGTGGAGCTGGTTGGGGGAATTTGCGGAGTGGATAGAGCTAAGGATGGAAAGAAAGAAGGGAGAACAGAGGATAGTACTGAGGCTGTTAATGCGAGAGAGGGATGGGGCCAAGGACGAGGAGAAGTTTTGACGGTGCGAGTATTGCTGGGATCCCGTGGGTCGTGAACTGCAACGTGAACGTCATCAGTATCCTCAGTTTTGGAGAGACGAACCAAGCGTTGCCAAGGTCGTCCTAAGAGAAGACGGTAGGGGGCTTCTGGTACTACATATGCGTGAGCCCAGGTCTTGATACCTTCCACGTCTATCTCCAACATCTCTAGGCATCCAGCCATCTCCTGTGATCCTCCGTTAGCGGTCTGCATACGCATCCGTACGTCTTGGTTGATGGGGGCGTTCGTCTTTCGCCAGACATCTTCACGAATCACCACGATTTCGGAACCTTCATCGAGTAATCTGAGCTCGGAGTGGATGCCGTTGAGCGTGACGCGAATCTCTTGTAGGGGAGTCGCATGTTCCACTAGTCGTGGGGAGATTCTGTTGGAGGCGAGAGCGCTTGTCGACAGGGCTGTGGCAGGTGTAGGAACTCTGTGCGTGCGGCAGTGGTCAACGGCTTCCTTTCGTAGTTCTGGGCTAATGGCAAGGAGGTCTGCCACAGTGATGTGGGGGACCGTTATGTCCAGGATACCTTTGAAGACGCGCTGAACAGCGTCGGGGGCTGCAGCTTTGGACTCGTACGTGAAGGCGGGGGGCTTTTTCGCTTCGACTGTGGGAGCTTGGGAAGGGAGTTCGTTCGAACGGGATGATGCAGGTGGTATCGAGTCGGGTTTTAGCTCGGGTTCGGGGGTAACGATTTCCTTTGCCTTGGATCGAGTAACCGCGTTGACATCTGATTGATAGTCTTCATCAGAGTCGTCATCCACGACGACCACAATAGCGTGATTCTCGACGATTGCTTCGCATTGGAGGAAGTAAGAGTCGGATATGAATGCGGTGGACGGAATTTCGGTGGGTATATGTGGGGTAGGTTCAGCGCGACTCGTGTTGATAGGAATGGAGTTAGCTCCTGTTGCCGGAGTTGTAGGCGGGGTGGCTTGAGCTGAGTACCTGGCGTCGATTGCTTGTTTGAACGTTTGATTACCGATGCGTCGAAGGCGTGATCTATCTGGGAAGGCAAAGTATGGTCCGTCTCTAATAATACGCCCTGCTCGTAGATACTCTCCTGCGACTGAACAAGTTCGCATAACGTGAGATCCCCCACAGAAGAAGCATGTGGTGTTAGCTTGATAATTGGATGGAGGTAGGGGCAGATAGGGTAATGGAGCGTGAGTGGAAACCGTACTAACGAGTTGGTGCGTTTTCGGGGTAGGCCACGCTTGAGCAGCACTTGGCGCGAGGTATGCTAGGCGCGTGTAGCACATGGAATAGGCAGCGTCAGCGATATCCAATCCATGCATTTTGCTTGCTAGTTCGTCTAGATCGTCCATCTTCGATTTGGCAGGTGCTGATGGAGGGGGGGTGAATGCGACTCTTCTCGTATGTACCTCTCGTCGAGCGTCTTTCCGTTCGTCTTCTTCATCCGAGTCCCATGTTTGATGCGAGGGTCTGGCTTTTGGAACACGGGCCTCTCTGATCGACTTCATGCGGTCTGCGATAGGTTCATTGAGATCCGCATCGAACGCGTCATCTGACAGCACAAAACGACCTGCTTGAACGACTTTTTCAAAGTTAGTTGCTTCGTTACGTGAATAGTTAGTCTCCGTGTGCTGCAGGCGCTGGGATATGGCGAGTCGTACGGACTGAGGAAGACCTTGCCAAAAGTATCGGTCTCGTTCACGTTCCGAGATCTTCGAATTGGCTACTAGCCATACGGCTATGGGACGGAACTGGCGATAATACTGTACTAACTCCGTTTCCGTAGAGACGTCGGACTCGACGGTATTGAGGATGACGCGTTCAAGATCGCGAATGGTGTATCTTGCCCCTTTTGCTGCTCCGGGGTATTGTCCGATGATATTCGTTTTGAAGAGACCGAAATCTTTGCTCTCGTATCCGGTGAGCGTGACCCAGAACCTTTTTGTCTCGAGGTTGACGTATCGGACTATCATCTTGCATTTGTCGGAGTCGGTGAGTCTGCAAGACGAGGCTAGGTCCTCAAACAGCTCCAGGAATTCCAGAAGCTCTGACGTTTCGCCGCTGAAAGTCGGAGCTTTACTAGACCCGGGACCGGGCATGGCAGATATCCCTTTGTTGGCTGACGACATGATGGGGGCGGGTATAGATGGTGGTGGGTTTTGTGTGAGTTGAGGAGGGATAGGCTGGATGGTTGCGGGTTTTGGATGTGTGACTTCGGGACGTTGAGTCTGTGAAGGTGCGTTTTGGGAAACGAATTGCGGTTTGGGGATTGGAGGGAAGGTCGTTTGGAAGCGAGACGTTTCGATATTATCGGATTGGGGAAGTATGGATGGGTATGTTGGCGTCTCGGGGTTGAATACTGCGGGCCTAAGAGGAAACGTTTGCGAGGAAGGAAGGAGTGGGAATAGCGAGTTGAGACGAGGTAATTGATTTATGGTATCGTCCTCAGAGATAGAAGATTCGGATGGAACGTCGGATACGTCTATGTACTGCTTTGGGTTTGCACGAGTTGGGGTTCGATAAGCGTTGCTCTGCTTTGGGGAAGGCTGGTTGGTTTGTGTTTCGGGGAAGTGGGATAGGGAGGATGCCGTGAAGGTGCTTGCACGGTTTCTGAAATTCTTTGGAGTAGGGACTGGGGCGTTCTTCAAAGGTGCCAGCGCAGTTGGCTGTTCCTGTTGGAGACGTATCTGCGCGTTTGGATGATAGTATTTAGTAATCGCGAAAGAATTAAAAGGGTTTTTGACAGAGTTTGACGGATCAAACTCAGAATACAGGGGTAGCTCGAGAGCAATTCCCCTCGCGGTGGGCTCCAAATATGTAAGGCTGACTTATAGTTCGAAGGGAATTGGGTCGAGAATAGGCGGGACGCGAGACGTGTTGTTTTCGATACGAAAACAGAGGTAACGAGGAAAAGTCTGTAAGGCTGCTGCTTAGAGGATCGTTTCGTGCTTTGAGCGGGGAATCAGAGTCTTGGATTCTGCCATAGTACGAGGGTACAGGTGCAGTATATAAGTGTTTGCGAACCGAACGATTGAACCGAGACTTGAGTAGGTAGCATGTGGAACTTGAAAATAAGTCGGCGAGACAAGGGGATGGAGGAATGCGAGCATATGGTAGAGTGACGGAATAGATTAAAAGGAATGTAACCACGTAACTCGGACACGAAGAGTTATGTTCTTCGCGTCGGTGAGTCACGTGGTCGGTGTTGAACACGTTGTTATGAGACACGGTCGGTGCGTAAAGGATATGTTATCCTTACAAGACAGCTTGAACCCAATGACGCTTTGTGGCAGTTGGCCGCTTTCATAGAGCGTCTGGAAGAGTGGAGATCCCTCGAACTCCGAGATTTCGGGGAATCCCAAACCGGAGAGACCGTCAGGGGGGAAATCGTCCTTGCTGAACTCTGGCGAATATGCGTATGCAGCGCCGATAGTCTGATCATCGGCCTGACAAACCAGATTAGTAGAGAGACAATCAAAACCAGGGATAACTAACTTCGTAACCCCCAACAAAAACGTCATCTACGTATTCCTCGCCTGCTGTCTCTCCAGAGCCGGACATGAGCACGAACGGCTGACCAGTATCTTTGGAAGACGACGAGGCAGCAGGGTCATATTGCGTATGTCCATCACAGCTTACATCGCATTGGATAGATGGAAGAACTGCGTGAATACTGCTGTCAACATACAAAAGACGAAATATAAGTCTAAGAAAACTCACAGAGGTCTGAACTGCCAGTGTCGAATAACACTTCAGAATGTCAGAGTCAGACCATATCACATTGCAAAATCGATGAAACGAACTTGTGAACGTTTGAGGGGGCGTGCCCACCTCGATATCGCCGTACCAAAGGTCTGCATCGTAGTTCGTAAGGGACACGTTTCCGTTCGTGGTCCGCTTTGCCACCGGGCGAACGTTATAGCGACCATTCAGCGGTGGCGAGACCCAGTGTTCCGTTCGTAAGCTCCCATAGTGGCACTGTACTTACTAGTTCACGTCAGGCTGATGAATTTGGTGAACGAAAGAGTCTCAAACATACCGAGATACAAATTGCAGCTGTTCCTGCACAGTCCTCGAATCGAAGACTTTGGAGCCGTTAGCAGCGGATAGTCTTGAGTTAAGGGCAATGCGATGTGTGCGGCCTATGTTAGAACGAGTGCTAGACGGAGGAGTGGCTGACCCGACAACTGCTTCGACGAAAAGTGCACAGATGGTGGCAGTAGTAAACTTCATGTTGTAGGTGTGTCAGGTTGCTGGTGGAAGGCAAGAGAGGAATGGGCGACGAGCCCAGGTTTTAATGTGCGTGTCGAAGAAGCCACCGTCATCACGTCTGATCATGAATGCAAGCTTTCAGTTTGGACAGAGAGCAGTCTCAGACTGCAAAACGATCACGATCGAAATGCTTTGTCATCAGTAGAAAGTTTAAAAGCTTAAAGTTTGTCAGCTAAGCTGGCTCATTCCGATGAGACCATCATCCGACATATCATGCAGGCAGGTGACCCTTCTGTGTTTGACTGCATGTGTGTAAGTAAGTACATGCAGTTGACGTTAACGATATATGTGATTGGACCTGCATGCTTTCGGACCTGCAAATACTGGGTTCACATGACTCGGAGACGTGATCTTCATTGTCTTTCATGCATCCTTTATTCTAAACGTCAAATTAGCGATTGGCGGAGACTTACCAACACGTGTAATTTGTATTTTGAATATGGGTCGAACCCCTGCAGGGAATGAAAAAACGTGTGCCGTGGCCCTCGTCCTTGGATTTGCCGCTTCAATCGAGGGTAGCGCAGACTAGAACACTCTTACTTCAAGCAGCACCACAAGATCTAGACCAGTCCGTACGTACCTGAGATATCACGATTATCAAGCCCGTTTAGAATTCCTGTCGACAACTCCACAAAGCGGTTGAGGCACGAGAACCGCGAACCGCTAGGGTTTACACCCACATCACTTCTAAAACCCGCACTCACTGAAATTAAAAACTCGACAAGTTAGATGAATATGACTATTTCCATTGGGGGGCTTGATCCGTGAAGCCCTTCGCGATGTTATGTAACTCAATTGTCGTAAGTAAGCAGAAACAACTTGACGGAAAAAGTTTGCTACTGCTCAAATGGCCTTTGAGGGAGTTATCTTGCAAAAATGTTATGCGGATGAGCGTGAGGGAAAGGAAAAAGTGGTGGATTTGGAAGGAAGGGCTGTGGCAATATTCAGAATGGAGGGGAAGGTGCAGTGGCGTCATGCATCATGAAGAGCTTGCTCGCCGTGACAATTAGAAAATTTTCCAGGATGACTGGTGGAGAGCGCTGCTGCATGCATGGCCGGTCCGAATACAGTTTCGCTCGCACTGCGAAGAAGATATTTGATTGTTTAGTATGATTCGAAAGACTGTATGCATCTATAACGACAAAGTATGGAGGTGATGGCGTACGTGGTGTTGTCGGCGGCGTGGGCATAGATGCGTTTGTGCATATGTGTGGTCGGCAGTGCTTGGCGTGCGAGTAAAGAGTCGTAGCAGAAAGTGGAGTCGGTTTCCAGCTGATTGCGATTGATCACGTGATTGTTTGGTCTGAATCAGTGTACCACCAACCGCGCTCAACTCAAAAACTAGTACTACTCGTGAGCTAAATTTGCCGGTTACAACCATTTGGGCAAAGGTCCTGGTATTATACCTGCTCAAAATGAACTCGCCTTTCATTATCACCCCTATCGTTAAATCAGATGCCTTCCTGATCAACCACCAACATGGAAATCGCAGACAGTGAAAAATCGAACATTCCCCAAGACTCCAAGAGGACAGTGTATCGTAACTCGAGCGGCAATAATTGAAGCAGAGATGTTTCTGAAAGGAACAATCTTTGTCCAATATCGGTGAACTTTCTTACATTTGACGTCCCGTAACACGGCGAAGTCAAGTGAAAATCAGGTCAAGTTGTAATGCGGCCTTTCCCTACTATTTCATAACTTGACAATCACCAGATCCCTCTAAACGGCGTAATGGCTCAAAGTCTCGTACAATGCTACCGCGCCATGGCCTTGGTAAGGGCACCCGCGGTGTTACACCTGCAATGCATCTCTGTATGTCACTTGTACCCTTCTTAACAAAAGGGACAAAACATGTGTCAAAAGAATCATTTCGTACATCGACGGGCGGGCAATGTAGGTGTTTGTGAAACATGCTGCATTCCACCCCGGAAAGGCCTTTCGTTTCTATTTTCCAGATCTAATCTCTACAGATACATAGCCGCTGTCCTCCCCGAGGGTGCAAAGAATGGTATATAAGTCATGTCGATTCAGCCATATGCCTTAACTGAACATTGTACCCCCAACTTTCTGATACTTTCATTCTCAAACTCGTTTCTGCGCAATGGCCTTTGTCAAAAAGCTCAACTTTGAATGCAACGACCTCGGCTTAAACGTCGACCTTCTTCTCACTTTCGACGATCAGCCTATCGGTGATCTGTACAAGAAGTATTACCCATCGGCTTTTGCGTACGTATATCCCTTTATTCTTCATCTTTTCGTCTTTGTTGTCGTGCGCGCTCACTGATGTAACTTTTCGAATAGGGTCAGGAAATTTGGGGCCGACGGTGGGTGAATACTATCAATACTTTTGAGCTATCTAAATAAGCAGCGTCATTGGCAGGCTTCTACCGCTCCCCAGTTGTATATCGATCACAGTAGGAGGTATTCAAAGCTTATGTGGAGAGTTATTTACAATGCACCCCTCAGACTTGCGTTCACCAAGGTCATTGTTGACGATGTCATCCAAAGCGCTTCGACCGAGATCCCCATTAATGTGAGAGTCTGATAAAATCACGGATTGATTGTCGATTGATGGAGACTGCTGCTTAGGTTGGGCAATCTACCGTCTTAACCCTGGCAGAAGATGTATACCATTTCTCCGTAAGTACGCCCAACTTGCCTTTCTCGATATCAGTTTGCGAAAACAAGCTTAGGATCCCAAAACCGACGCTTCCGTGCCGAAGAACAATATTCAATGTACAAACAACGCTCCATTCAACGAGGATATAGGTGTTGGTACGTATAATTTGCTATCTTGAAATTCATTGCGCTACAACATATTGTCCAGGCTTCATTGTGAGGGAAGGAGAAGCAGCCAAGACGACTCTGGTTTGGCGCGGCGTAGAGCACGGGCAGAAGTTGAACGCACAGTTCACTCCAATCCTACGCGGGTATATTGGCACGCAGTACAAGGAGAATAGCTTGATCAAGGGCCAGATCGAGACCAAATATTGCGTCTTCAAACAAGATCTCGCTAAACTCGAAGACAACTCTACGTGGGTCATCAAGTATGATTCCCTCACTGGAGTCATCAGCATCGATAGGAAGTGAGATCCAAGATCTATCATTGATCTCTTTGTGTACTTGTGACTCGGAATCTATATTCAAATGTTGGCTGCTATCATGTACTTGCTTGAATACGTTTGTGCTGATACAATTTTTCTGTTCCACGACGCCACGACATGCGTGACACCTTCGAGAACTAGCACCACCGACCAGGCAGAACTCGTAAAATCAAGTCGACGCATGATCAATTTGAAAATCTGTATCACTTATGATATCTGACATAAATCTGATTGATGTCGTGCCTAGAGCGCCGTCGTTGCTGAGGTGGACTGGGGCCAAGATGGGCACGAGGTAGAGGAAGACATCCTTGTTTGAGGAGGCGGTCATCATATTACAATTGGCCATTCCGACGGAAAAAATCAATCGCATAGATTCGTGGAAATGGGAAGGAGAGTTTAAGGGTATTGATCCGAACCCGTCGAGGTTGATCTCGTGTAAGAAGTCCTCACCCTTGGCAGTGACATCGCCGAAGAACCGCTGAGCAATGTCCGAGGTTTTTCTTCAAAGACATGGTAAAAGAGTTCTCGGTATAGCTTGACGTTGTTTGGTCGAATTAAGTGAGTGTGGGCTGCACCGGCGGTTACCTAGAGAGCGAAAGGAAAGGCTTCACGAAAGGAAGTCGATTGTGGTCATGTGAAGTCACACCCGATCTCGGCTATGCATAACGGTCAAGCTTCAAGATTCGAGGTCCGTAGTACGAAAAAAGGTATACATGCACTTCAGGTATTCATCCAACAGTTATATCAAACAAGTTCTGCAAATCCTACCCTCGTATTTCTGTAATCAAATACCGAATACGTGTTCTGGAGAAAGACGTCGCCGACGATCGTGAAATCTGCGGTATAACAAGCATGAGCACTAACATCAAGTTAACGATAACACAGGCTGTACACACCCATTTCTGAAGATGCAGCGATCCCAGCTAAGCAGTCACTCGAAAGAATGTCTGGCCCAAGATTGAACGTCTGCGGAGAAACTGGGAAGGCATGTCCGCCAAATATGAATGTAGGAACGGTGGAATTGATGATATTGCATGGAACTGCGCAGATGCAGACGTTTGATCAATTTGATGACGAAGAGATGGGTAATATGCTTACTTGTCCAGTATGTGTCCTCGCCTTCCGTGTGGGCTGTGGCTCCGGGTATGTTCGCGTAGTAAGCTTGTGCGATTGCATCAGACGTGATGACGAGAGTGGTCCCGGTGTCGATGATCGCAGGAGCGGCGTGCGACTCGATGACATCCTGTCCCAACCTCGAAATGCCATCCATCACTACCTGCCAGTAACCTTTCTGCGTCACAGGAATATACGTAAGCGTGTCGGAGCGGTATAGGCTGGTATTTGTTCCTCCGATGAGCATTTCGCTAGCTCCTGGAGTAGTAGACAGCTTGAACCCAATGACGCCTTGTGGCAGTTGCCCGCTTTCATAGAGCGTCTGGAAGAGTGGAGATCCCTCGAACTCCGAGATTTCGGGGAATCCCAAACCGGAGAGACCGTCAGGAGGAAAATCGTCCTTGCTGAACTCTGGCGAATATGCGTATGCGGCGCCGATAGTCTGATCATCGGCCTGACAAACCAGATTAGTAGAGAGACAATCAAAACCAGGGATAACTAACTTCGTAACCCCCAACAAAAACGTCATCTACGTATTCCGCCTGCTGTCTCTCCAGAGCCGTACATGAGCACGAACGGCTGACCAGTATCTTTGGAAGACGACGAGGCAGCAGGGTCATATTGCGTATGTCCATCACAGCTTACATCGCATTGGATAGATGGAAGAACTGCGTGAATACTGCTGTCAACATACAAAAGACGAAAGATAAGTCTAAGAAAACTCACAGAGGTCTGAACTGCCAGTGTCGAATAACACTTCAGAATATCAGAGTCAGGGCGTATCACATTGCAGAATCGATGAAACGAACTTGTGAACGTTTGAGGGGGCGTGCCCACCTCGATATCGCCGTACCAAAGGTCTGCATCGTAGTTCGTAAGGGACACGTTTCCATTCGTGGTCCGCTTTGCCACCGAGCGAGCGTTATAGCGACCATTCAGCGGATGGCGAGACCCAGTGTTCCGTTCGTAAGCCCCCATAGTGGCGCTGTACTTACTAGTTCACGTCAGGCTGATGAATTTGGTGAATGAGAATAAAAGAGTCCCAAACATACCGAGATACAAATTGCAGCTGTTCCCGCACAGTCCTCGAATCGAAGACTTTGGAGCCGTTAGCAGCGGATAGTCTTGAGTTAAGGGCAATGCGATGTGTGCGGCCTATGTTAGAACGAGCGCTAGATGGAGGAGTGGCTGACCCGACAACTGCTTCGACGAAAAGTGCACAGATGGTGGCAGTAGTAGTAAACTTCATCTTGTAGGTGTGTCAGGTTGTTGGTGGAAGGTAAGAGAGGAATGGGCGACGAGCCCAGGTTTTAATGTGCGTGTCGAAGAAGCCATCGTCATCACGTCTGATCATGAATGCAAGCTTTCAGTTTGGACCAATGGACTCGGACAGAGAGTATCTCAGACTGCAAAACGATCACGATCGAAATGCTTTGTCATCAGTAGAAAGTTTAAAAGCTTAAAGTTTGTCAGCTAAGCTGGCTCATTCCGATGAGACCATAGTCCGACATATCATGCAGGCAGGTGACCCTTCCGTTTGACTGCATGTGTGTAAGTAAGTACATGCAGTCGGCACCATTCTGGAGTAGGCGGCTCGAACTTGTGGCGGACTTTGTTAAGTATATATATACGAATTGAATTAATTGAGCACTGGCCGCAAGATTCATAGATATGACGCGATTTACAGTGTACACTTTGGTATGATTCTACTTTTTCTTCTTCATAACTTTTTTGGGAGTGCTTCTCGAGGCATCGTCAGTAGTAACCTGAGAATTCGGAGGCGGTGGATTTGCAAGTGCAAGCGCGGAAGGGTGGTACTGTAGGAGGAATTTCTGGTACAAATTAATGATGATGTCTGCTCCATGGGGCAATCGCGAGTCAGCGATCTTCTTGACCAGCACAGGGATATTCTGGATAACGTTGACAGACGCGATGTGCTGGAGCAGTACTTCTACTTGCATCTGCAGGATTGCGGGATACCTGATACCGCGAAGCTGGTTAATACTGCGCTATGACCTGATCAAAAGTGAACCAACTTGGATGTCAATGAAGAAGAAAGTTCTTGAAGAATATTTCCTGCATCCAGACTACTGCGTATTACACAGAAAGCTTGGTCACGAAGACTGTCAAGTCGAACCTGACAATTGTGTATTAGTATACGTGGAGAGCACCAGGTAAGTGTACTCAAACCTTGGACGCCAAACGATACATCGACTTCGGTGAGCAAGGCCACATGTTATGGTTAGGGGCCTCTACGTCAACTCCGAGTGGTCCCTGGGACTTGAGTCGGGAGAAGACGATCTTGTCCGTATACAGATACAGCAAGAGCGCCTTCAATCTGTGCATATACAAAATCAAAGGCCCGCCACCATTGTGATGTGACAAGTATGTACTTACGTCCTGAATGCTGTGTCTCGCACCAGTATGTTCCGGCAGTTGATAACTTGTGATTTATGATGAATCGGGGCAGAGGCAGTAGACGTCGCTGCTTGTGGTAGACTAGCTATGGTGTCTATTTCAGACCTAATATCCGCAACAATCAGTATGTCGTCGTCGTCATCGTCGTCATCGTCTGATTCGCTGAGGACGGCAGTGTCTTCGCTGAGGGGCATCTGACCAGCTTTTTCCTCTTCTTCATCATCAAGATCGCTGTCAGATGCGTATCCATAGTCATCAAGCGCTATGCCATCCTCGAATGCTGAGCTACCGTCGAAGTCAACAAACGTGGTGTCAGGTGATCCCGCTCTGGACGATACTGTCAACTCCGATAAGCAAGATCGCCACCTTCGTGTACGAAAAACAGCTTACTTTCGGCAAAAAAATTACAGCGCGCTGTTAGAACAACATCGTTGGCGGATAGGGCTTGGAGTCGGGTGACTCTACGCTGATGTGCTGAGCGGCCTGAAAATAGGTGGAACTTCGTATCAATGAGCTCTTGGCCGAGCAATAATTTCATCAAAAGCGCTTCAACGAGCGCTCGATGATCCGTCATAATAGAATGCTTGAGAGTTGTGGGCTCGAGCGTACATGTGAAGAAGTCCAAGAACCAATGCTTTTATATTCACTCTGGATGCTAATGTATCTGTGCGTACGGCATGACCACCGTGTTGCCGCCTTCTGCGTGAATCTGCGACCGATGTGCGGCACCTTCGAAGCCACGTCAACACAATTAATATTGTGGTAAGAGCGAAGCTCGGGGGATCCGCCCATGGTCGATTGGGGTAGTACGTAGGTCCAAGCAGCCAATGTCACTGAATCCTTGATTGTCGTTGCTACAAAAACATTCACACCTAAATTCGAAGTATCGCGTGACGAGTGGATCTATGTTAAGACATCAATGCAGAAAATGCGTGTAGGGATACCACATACGAATGCTTCCCTGCAGATGGACCCTAAGTAGACCCTTATGCGAATCTGGAGGGTGATTCGGAATCAGCGTGTCTTAAATTGATACATAGATAACGCTTCATTCGAAATCTGCGCGAAGGTCTTCCAGTGGCAATTGCGAACTGATTGGGAAGTTGTAAGGGTCTAGGCTGGAAAGTCAAAGTACATTTCCTTCCTAGAATCTGTGCAAGTGACTATGTGCAAGTGACTAGCCGTGTGTTCGCATATCACCGGGGCGGGAAGAGTTTGAAGCCCATCATTTCGGCAGTTTCTTTCAACTTCTAACGTCGCGTAGTGAGTACTCTGTATTCAGTAATGAGTGTGTCAATAAGCATGTAGAGGCTCACTGCGGGTAGCAGGCCGGGTGCAGACCAAGTACCGATAGGCACTCTAATCAGAGTCTAGACCTTCGTTACGTTACCGACTGTACAGCTCGACGGGTCAATTGGCTCCATATTTTGGATTGTTCATCTCAAATATAGTCTCCCGTGCTCTTGCTTACTAAGTGTCGTTAGTGTAACTAACTAAGGTTCTGCAAAATAGACTTGTGCCGTTGTACGACAGGCGAGTGAATCAGTCTATTTTGCGCACAGATCTGAGTCAGATGAGACTGAGTATCTGACTTAGATAGTTGGAGACTAGGTGCGAACAACATCGACACGAGTTTCGTCAGTTGGGGTGGGGTTTTCCGGTCGTGGCCTGCTTCGGCTTTTGCCGGGTCACGCTGACAAGAATATCCGCTGAGTTCGGCGGCAATTGAGATCATTGTCGGGCGAAGCGAAAAGAGGTCGAATGCACGCGGGATGGAGAGCGCGAAAACATCGACCAGCGGATGAGAGCCAGCATGAAACCTCGAGTGTGAGGCATGAGTTTTTGAGGAGTTTTCTAAAGCACGACACAACCCACAATGAGCAAGTGCTTACACAAAGTCGTGCAGAAAACACCGACACCCCAACTGGCGAAGACTTGCGAAATAACGCGAGCGCATGAGTGCGAGTGAGAAAATATTCATTGTCTAACGATATCTACGTTCGTATGAGTCCATTGAAGCTCTAACAAGAGAGAAACGTGAGTCCTGCAGTGAACTGGAAGTAAAAGTGGGGATGATGGAGTCAATGCGTCGCCAGTAGTCCATAAACGATCTCGATTTCCAGCGACCCTGGGCAGCTACAATATCCGGTGGGTTCCCGCGGAGTAGCAGTTCAGTAGCCCCCCCGATGCGGAAGCAATGACCTGTAAGTGTGTCCAACCCCGACGCTCTCCATACGTCATTACATCTCGTTATGAACCAAGGCCTGGTGAGTGGTGCCCAACCCGAGTCTGTTTCAAATGCGAAGAGCGGGGCGAAGGATGGTACTGAAGAGTTGGCTGACAAGTGGTGCATGAGAGCGTCGTAGGGATTTGTGGGATCGTCGATCCTCGTTATAGACACTGCGTCACCTTCTCCTTGTGTGGTTTTAGACCACGGAATGCGCAGGGAGGCGAACTTGACACCGCCGTCGGTTGCGCGATGAGTGATTGGTGCGGAGCGTGATACGTGGCGAGAGGCGTCGAAGCCGTGAAGGGAAGGAATGATAAGTTCACCGAGTCTGTGAAACGAGTCAGTGAACGGTCAACAAGGACCATGCGAGTGTCGCACCTGCAGCAAGACCAAAAAGCGATACTGGCTACGCCATAAACAGCGGCGTCGAAAGAGTTGGAGAGGTCAAGATGACGGAAGAGCATGTGCATGTGGTCCAGAGAGACTGGAGGTCTGCGGGGACGCTTAGAAGTGTCTGGGACCACTTTAGCCAGACCTTGTTTAGCCCTGCGAACTATAGCGTGACCATGCCACTGCGCGCCGTTGAGTTGATGCCAGAAGTGAAGTCCCGCGAGCCAGTTGTCTGCGGTCGTTTCTGCTACGCGACCGGCCCAAGAAGATATGAATGCTGCTATAATGTATTCTGATGCTGGAAGGCGACGGTCCTCGGGAATAGAGATGGAGTCGCAGAATTGGTGAAACCTTAGGAGGCCTGCTCCATAGTTCTCCCTAGTCTTTGGCTCTACTGAAATTAAGAGGACGTCGAGGAGGCGTGATGCTGTCGCGAGTGGAAGATCGTTCAGAAGATTCGAATGGAATGAAGTTGAATGAGGCGCAGACCAGAGGCGAACCCTGTCGCGTGCAAGAACGTGAGGACGGAAGGTAGACGGTGCGATGATATTAGCTGGTTTAGGTTTACGGGGCTTAGGGATCTTGTGAGCAGCGGTGGGCGGCACTCCGATTTCGGGTGGCTTCTTCAAAGCGTTCCGAAGACGGACCAAGGCTGTCACCATGTCAGCGTCGGCTGACTCTGACGAAGGGGCGTCAGACATGAGGAAGGATGAAGGGTTCCAGCTCTGGGGGCAGCTGGATTATGGGTAGACGAGTGCTCGCTGGACCCGTCTCGCCACGAGAAACGGGGTCTGCCTTGTTCGTGAGCGACTCGACGTAAGTCAAATGATAAAGCATGTTAGAGTCCATTGCAATGGCCTCCACGCGGCGGATGCAAGAGTTAACCTGGAAGTTCCTGCTCCGACCGTGCTTGAAGGCCCCAATGATTCCTTGGTTGTCTGAGTGGATCAGGACAGCCCGATCCTTCCAGCCGAAGGTGAGTAGTGTGATCACCGCCAGCTCGACGGCGATGGCCTCGAGCCATCCGATGTCACGTCCTTCTCCTTTCCAGCCCGCTGTGATACGCCATGCGCTCCACTTCTCGCCCAGGACGAGGCCAATACCCCAGTCTGTTGAGGCGTCGACCCAAAGGTCTATGTCTTGAGGTGGACCTCTGGGCGTGAGGTGACGTGCAGGAGGTGGTCGAGATAGCGTGGATCTCCACCACTTCAGGTCTGAGAGCACTGATGGCGGTGGCTTTCTGCGCGTGAAACGAGAGTCTGGTGGGAACTGGGAAATGAAGCGGCAGAGGTTGGACAGGTATGCCCTACCGTGAGGAATGACGAAGGCGACATGTGATAGTGTTCCGTTAATGCTCATGGCGTCCTTGTACGACATGAATGGTGACGTGGACAGAGCTAGCAGAACGCTCTCCAGCTTAGCGAGGTATTTGAGACGTTTGGGCTCAGGCAGAGACACCGACCGCTCGATGAGGTCCCAGAGGAAGCCAAGGTACGTGAAGATGGTGTCGAAGTCGGCGCACTTCTCTGGGTGCCATGGTACGCCCAGAGGGCTCGTTGCTGTGAACACGTCTAAGAGGTCGAATAGGTACTCGTACGGTGTGAAGAGGCCATTTGCGTCGATGACGCCGCCCGCTACGGGGAAACGAAAGATGGAGTGGTCGTCGACCCATTTTTTTATGGGAGTGATGTCCATACAGTGGAGAATGTCTACAGTAGCGTCTGCTATGTGGCCTTGAACGCCACCGGCGGTCGTGAGGCCGAAAGGAAAATTATGATCAACCCAAAACGAACCGTCAAAACCGACAACTAGAAACCTCTTGTGCGGCGGCCATACAGGCACGGTGCGATAGGCGGCTTCTATGTCAAGCGTTGCAGCTTGCGACCCGAGCGGAGCGGTAGCCACCTGTTGGCTGGTAAGTATGTGCTATGACATAATACCGTGCGTCCTTCGACGCGAAAAAGAGTTGATGGCGCGCTACGGGGCCTCACACGAGATAAAGAGCTCAGCGAGGCTCAAACGAGTGCCTCGCTGGCAAAGAAAGAGGCGGGCGACACCGCACAACGGAAGAGGCGGACGACACCGCGCAACGTAAAGAGGCGGACGACACCGCACAAGTAAAGAGCTTAGCTGGGCGCATATATGCGCCCAGCTTCGCAAGAGAAGGGGAGAAGAGGCGGGCGACACCGCACGAGGCAAACGAAGACACTTACGATCTCTGCTACTTGTGCTGCTGTGCCCCAGGCGGTTGGGAAGTCGTCAGCGTCGAGGTGCTTGTTGACTGAATATCCATCTTCCTTGTTGATGTATGAGAGGTCCCTAATGATGCGAAATTTTCCGGGCGAGCCGGCTTTCTCCACTAGGCCAAGCGGGGAGGAGACAAAGAAGCCCCCCAGTTTGGCTTCTACTTGAGCTGCTGAAAACGGTCCTGACATGCGATTGAGTGTGACTTCTTCTTCTAGGTATGAACGGATGACGTCTGGGTTATCTAAAGCTGATTTGTGGTTAGGTGGAGTGTACGAGCGGGTGAGAACTGGCATGTTGCCAATGGGAAAACCGTGTCTGATGTTATGCGCGAGGTCAGGGTATTGAGATGTAAGGTTGAACTTGAGTAAGAGTCTCTCGAAGGCGTCAGCACTGTACGGTGTGACGACGCGGTGCAGGATGTCATCAGCACAGTTTGGCTGAAGCGGCGTGTGATTTGCTGCCGCAGACGGAGCAGACGTGGATGATGTCTGCTCCGTGCTTGCCCGGGATGCAACGCCCGATGTTGTGTGAGATGCAGACGATGGCGGAGGATGACTTGAGAATGATCTTGTCCTGCCATACGCAGACGAGCGGAGCGTTCTTGGCTGAGTGTGTATAGGTACAGTCACTGGCTTTGTGGCCGTTCCGACCGCAGAGGAGGCAAAGGGGTCCGTCGGAGGAGGCCCCTTTGCCCCTTCGAAAGGGCTTTCCATCAGAGGACGATGGGGCTGGGGCGTCTGATCTTGGTTTGACTGCGCTCTGGTACGGATGGTAACGGTTCCCATTGCCGCCGCTAGAGCCTTCGAGGCGGGATGCTAAAGCGGTGAGCCTATTGAGCTCTCTGTTGGCGTTAGCAGCTGCCTCGTCGGACTTATCCCTCGAGATCTTCGTCAGCGTGTCGTTCCAACGACGTTCGTAAGCTGCTTCAGTCAAGAAGGACTTGGTGTTGAAAAATATGCGGCGAGTCTCGATGTCGAACGTGAGCACAGCCGTGAAGTTCTCTTCAAACCTCTTGCGGGAGAGACAGAACAGTCGGTGCTTCCTGAACTTCTCCTTGATGGCTGCGCCTGCGATGTGGTTAAGTAGCTCCATGAAGTTTTCGTAAGCTTCGTAGAACTGCGCAGGAGACAAGGATGATTCCGGAGGGAAGCCCGAGGCGTCCATTACCGACTTCTTGGGATCGTCTAGAACGAGACCCTTTTTCATAATGATGCACGAGGGATCATTATGAATCTTCTCCATGGCTTCTGCCGTTAAGAGCGTGAGAGGCACGTGCATTTTTGAGTCTGCAAGATTAATGATCACGCGTGGGATTTCAAAAATGTCGTCTATGGATGAAACCATCTTGATCTCATCGTCATTGTATGCGAGTTGTTTGACCGTAGATGTGGTGCTGGACACCGCTGGGGGTGCAGAAGTAGGAGCTTGTACGTCCTGATGACGTTCCACCATGAGAGAGTCGAAGGCTGATCGAGAATGCGGTGTAAGCGCGTTAACCGCCCTATATGCGTTGATTAATGGGGTATTGGTGTCAATAGGCCCCGGATCAGGCAAGGAACGCGGGTCGAGGCTCGGGACATCGAGCATAAGCTCGTCATCGGATACAGTACCCGAAGTCGTGTCTCTCTGATCTGCACGTTCGCTGTTACGAGCTGTACGCGCGTCATTTTCTCTCTGGATCAGATCCCTCGGGGATAATTCCCGTCGGGACCTTGGCCTACCGAGGCTTTCTGCGATTCTGTCGACGTCTACGACATCCGCGTCAGTGTTTGGGACGAGCGCTGCAGTACTTTTTCCGCCAACGCCCCCTGGCAAACCAGAACGAGACACGATATTGGTCATGTCTAGTAACGGCCAGATCTGTACGGAATAACAATAAGGTGTCGAGTTCTCACTTAAGAAAAACGAGAGAGTGAGCGCGTAAAGAAAGCGAGATGAAAGACGCGTGTATCGGGACGCGTCTTAGTTACGCGATCACTCGATTAGTAAGCACTAGTTTGAGCTAAATGTTCTCAGGTTCACGTGTAGCTCAAACTGCACCCTTCTTAAGAGGTTTGACAGTGAGTACGGCCCTACCAGTCGTCCTTTCTTAATAGGCCCATTCCACATCATGGTTAATTGACATACTATGGATAGTTGACTGCACAATGACAAGAGCTGGCGATATGAATTACCAGAACTTGGTGGAGGTTATCACCCTCCAAATTGCATTCGTAGTCTCGAACCAGCTCTCCGTGGGCAAAGGGTAGTGGTGAATCGCCCACATTTTTGATGTTTTAATACGTTTTTCGAACTATACTTCTTTCCACCCCCCATTTTACTCGTCAGGTACCTGGCTCAGGCACTGCTACATGTGAAGGGGGAATGCTGGGTATTGGCGCTATTTTGCGAGGCGCCAGCGGTGGGGGTGTGCTGGACATTTCGCGGTATTCAAGTTCGCCATCTGGCTAAGGAGGGGTCGGTTCTCTGTTGGCGCGTTTGCAAGCGCCCGAGGATGGTACTGCAGTAGCATTTTCTGGTACAAATCAATTGGGACATGTACATTCGAAACTCGCTTAACGAGCGCGTCTACGTCCAGATATCCTGGACGATTGGCATGTATCGACATCGCATATGAGCGCTTCCCACCACAAGTAGGTCTTTATGAGAATCTGGAGGATGAGCCACTGGCAGCGTGTCTGGAATTGGGTAACACCTCCCTCGTCTTCACGCGTGCAGCGTGCGTGGGCCATATTGTCAGAAAGTGCGGGATTCGGTTGGTCTGTGTGAAGTCTACGCAGATTCTGTGACAAAGTCTGGGAGAGACGTCTGCAGACAGCTGCAGACTGCCAGTGGTTGTTCGGAAAGTGCCGGGTGCACGGTAAGTTCGGGCAGTCCGCCGCTGAATCGTTAATTATTTGTAATCCCGCCTACCATCATATCCCGCGGTCTTAGTTCCCGCCTTTCACTCCTGCCCGCCGCCTTGATTCCCGCCTTTACATTTCCCGCCTCCTCCGCATTTGCCTATATCCTGCCCGCCAACACCATTGTATGCTCTACGGCTGTCAAGTGTTGAGGTTAAAGTCGATGAGAGCTGTGGTTGATTGCATTGTCCAAGTTGTGGTGTTGCCGTCTCGCTGTGGCACAACCTGTCAGAGTGATGGCAACGGCAATGCAGGTAAGCCGATGTGGCGAGGGTAAGTGCCCCATAGTGTCGTACTGCAGCAAAGAGGGTGCTGATATATATGGTGCAGGGACTGCTACAGATGGAGCCGACATCCGGCGATGACATTTTTGTGCTCCCCTGAGAGGCAGATAGACCATTGACCACCCGGAACTTTCCGACGAAGCGCCCTAGACGTGTCCCCCAGGTCGCTGAGTGCGCAGGCTTCACACGGACTGGCCATTTTCTACATGAGGTCCTCGCCATCCTTGCTAACGCTGTGCGTTGTGTTGTGATGTGGCTGCGTGTCGCTGGAGAGCGCATGTGTACCGTATCCGGGCGTGTGAGAGGATTGACGATGTGGATATCTCCATGGATGTTGATGAAGGCAATGCAGCCTTGAAGCATCTTACTATTCACTCAGAACATCGGATGCGTACATGCGCCCGAAGTACCTTCTTGAACTCATTGCAAAAACTGTGCCTGGTTTGCCTAACCTTGTACGATCCTTTAGTTTTCGTAAAATCGGTCACTTGCTGGTTTATGATGTTCTCACTGGGAGTGCGTTCACCATACACTCAAAATCGGTTCAACACCACTCAGCGCACCAGGCCTTTGGCTGAGGCTCTATGGCTGCCGAGCTTACAACCCCTGGCTGAGCCAGAACGTGCCCCTTCCTGTGGCAATAAGCTCGTATGTATTGTAATCGCTCCCTACCGCATCTTTCGCATCGGGTATCATTTCTCACATGCATCCTCCTCCACCTTAGGAAGGCGCGGGTGACTCCCATCACAGCATATGTTCCCCGCGCATCTATGACAATCATGATTTTTTTAACGGCCTCGCGCCTAGATAACCAAATTTCCTTTTCTTTCCAAGAATTTTTTCGGCACGTCCTATCCTCTTTTCATTGATATTTGCAACGGCCGCGTCGAGGCAAAGTGGCTTTTTATCACGCGGGCGTACTTGGTCTGCTACTTCTGCGCTTGCATTCTCGTTCCTGTTCTTGTTGTTTTGTCCAGACATCATAATCATAGGCTATGTCTATGGCCAATCATCTACATACACTCGCGTTATCGTTGTGTAACAATTAATCGTAGGTGACAACTAACAAGAGAACTTTCTATTCGAATGGCTTTTCATCCGCAGATTAATGAAAAGTGCACAATAAGCCAGTGACTCGGATCACCAACTTCGAGGGGAGTGATGATCCTCTTTGATGGTATATTTTTCCACTCCATTCCAATATCCACATCATACAAAATGTCGGCTCGTACAGCGGAAAAACGTGCAGTATGCAAAGAGCGGTGGCGCTCCCGCAAATACTGGGGTATCTTTGGAACAGCGACCAGGCGATAGCCAAAGACATGGGGGTAACGGAGTAGCACCAACGCTGCTTCTCGGCATAGTTTTGAGATCAATCCGAAGGTGATGAGATCAAAGCGGGGGAGATAACGGGCGATCTCTAGCCAAAGCTCAAGAGGAAGCGGTGGATAGATGATGTTGGGTGGCACATCATGGCTACCATCAGCTCCCGGAGCGGGCAATGTCTTTAGAATGCTCAAGCGCCACAAGTGCTTGCTAACTTCTAGGATACGCTTGAAGAGTGCGGGTTCAATGCGATGGCCAAGACGGGCGAGAGCAGTGATGCCCGGCGTAGAAGGTGTTTCCGTGTAGAATGATGGTAAAAATTGGAGGGCGTCCGTATGGCTGAATGTCATCGTGTGTGCGTCTTTGACGACTTTGACGACTACACAATGGAAGACGGAAAACGCGATTCCAAAGTAAAAACCAGGATTATCCTTCTGCTGCGAAATCGCGTTGATCAGGCGTGACACAGAGGCCTGTAGGCAACTCTCGTCGTTCAAATATGTTGCGATGCAAACAACAGTGTCTTCGCGAACCCATGTGAACTCCTTTCTTTTCGGCTCGCGGTGGTAAACGCACATCATATCGCCAAACATCTGGGGAACGAACGTAATGCTGGCCATGAAGAATGCAATCGACCATTGAATGTCCGTGAGTTGCTTGTGGTCATTGACAAGCTCAATCTCGTATAGTTCTCTTCCAACGTCTGAGTTACGCATGCACTGCCCGACCATGATCTCTAGCAATGAGACCCGAGCATGCTCGTTTTGACACAGGATGTCACTGATGGCGAGCAGGTCGCTCAAAGCCACCTGAGACCCAGTGCACCTCAAAGACTGGTACGTCGCGAGCTCAGAATTGTCGACGGTCGGTGGTGCTGGCTTCTTGTACTTGTGCTCGGGGGGGCACTGTAATGCGCAAGCTGTGTGACCGTAATGATCTGCGGAAACGGATTCGGTAGTATAAGTCTCATCGTCTGGAAGGCATCCGGTAACGGATTGGATAAAAACTTCATCGTCTGGAAGGCATTCCAAGGTAAAAAACGGAAACCCCTCTATGTGGAAGATATTGCGATCAAGATCGATCTCGTAATACCAGAGCCAATCGCTTGACGGCCGCTTCGGGGAGGGGGACTCGAATTCGTCGCCATTTTCTATCCATAATAGACAATCCGAAGGGCTCTTCAACCCGTCCAGCATCTCTCCAAACTCCTGCCGATAGATCGCGATGCCATTGGGCTGTCGTATCAACTGAAGGACCTGTAAGCCAAGGCCTTCTGGATAACCATCAGAATAGTGGTGTGATTCGAAATACATGTTCCGATAGCGGATCACGTAGAGCCCGTTAGTTCCCATGCCTGCAGGTACACCAAAGAGACCTGGACGATGCTCTCAAGCGTCAACTTAAGTTGGTAGTCGGTGTACGGGAATAAAATTTGAGCTTACCCATGAACGATTTTTAAGTCGAGTTATAGGATTATGTAAGTCCGACACGCCGCTGAGTGAACATTATAGTATATCAAGTCCCCTCAAAAACAACATAAATTGCAAATGCAGTGGTAGAGAGCGAATCTATCTTACAGATACGGCTCAAACCAAATGACCAGAGGGGGATGCTGAACATCATGGAAAAGCGTGTAGCCCCAGGGAAGATTGGGAGGCGATCGCCTTCTTCATCCTTGAAGTCTTGTGCGTAAAGCGTAGTTGCGAAAGCTGTCGAGCTAAGTGCGACTGCCAGCCTTATCGATGTACGAGTTGCGAGGACCTGTACACTTGGTGAGCAAAATGATGGATTGTCTGCAACGGAATATATTTACCGGCAGTAACAATTCCTCTGACCTCCAGACACCCATAGAAGATGGCTGTGAGAACGTTCTTCGACAATCCCAATTTGTCACCGTGCAGCTCGTTGTACCATATTGTCAACACTGCGATACTGATGCTGGCCAACAGAGCCTGAGTGCCGTACCACAGCAATAGCAGCAAGCAGATTGTCTCATCACCCAGCGCATATCAGCTGCGCTGTCCATAGAAATTCGTCCACAGGATTCGGAAGAGAGGGCTTGTTCTTGCGTTTCCCCTCCGGATCCTCGATCTAGTTCGCAACGTTGAATAAGTGCAACCATATCCACAAAACAGCATGACAATCATGGGTGGGGTCATGCCTGGGAGTCGCAGGCAACGCGAATATGGTCTGAAATGTGTAATTGAGGAAGGGTCAAGACGCGCAATGGTTATCACATACGACAGGCATCAGAGTGGTTCTGGTATCATTTTTTGTAAAGAGGAAGACCGTCTCGAGATGACGAGCGATACCATCAGCGCGAACTAGTAGAGCTTGAGATCAAACAGTGAGTATATTTGAATGGCCGGTTTGAATGCTGTTTCGATGCCTTTGTACTCTGAATCATGAATGTGCGCGCTTAGATGGCAAATGACATGCCGGGAGTACAAGGAACTCGAAGAGTGGTTCTAGAAGTCACGGAAGAACGTGACGCGAAATATGAATAAATTCAATCAATTATCCCAGAACTCCTCCCGCCCATGGCTTCTGGTTGGGAAGATATGGTGATACTAATCCGAGTCATACCACCGTGACGAATTAGTTCTCTGATCTGATGCTGTGGCTATGCATTCGTGAGAACAAGCTTTCGGAGTGCCCCCGAAGCCTCATAGCTGGAGAGCCTGGGACTCCGAGCAGAGTCGACAAGGATTCATAAACATTGAACTTATACGGGCACCTACGTCCCTCCCGGTAGATAACCGAAATTTCAAGTGCGTTCTGCGTAGTGTTTGATGCACTGTGCTCACATTGCTCTATGGCTATAGTCAGTCAACGATTCCGGGTGACATCGTCATAGTACTGATACTATGCTCACTATTCAGGGAAGCCACGATCACCTATCATATTCTGCAGAGCTTGAAGCACTTTCCAGACCATCACAGTGCAGCACATCGAGTATTGATGGAGTTGTACTGTGGAAGGTCATGAGGTGAGTAGGCACTCGAGAGAAGTTCGAGTAGTCGAATGATGCTTAACTTGAATTACCTCTAGGTGAGTATTTACCGTGACCTAGTGACAGCCATACTTTCCAGAATGGCATCGAAGCTCAATGTGAAGTTGCGCTGGCTTGCAAGGACAGGACATATGTATGAATGACCATAGAAAGGAACAAACACCTACTTACCTTGTGGTGAAACCTTTCGGACATGGACATGGACCTTTGCCAGTGGTCGGTCCGAATGATGACGAACCTGGCGAGGAAGACGAGCTAGGGGACATTGAAAATCAGGATAGCCGAAGGGAAGATTGGAGTCCAGCCTGGAAGCACGCATCCTTCCTAGAATCTGTGCACTCCAAGTTCTCCAACTAGCGTACTTACACTGATCACTGGAGTGATCATATATCAAGAGATACATAGTAAGAGTTTGAGGCCCATCCACGCGTTTCTTCCAAGGTTCAAGGTTAACAAACATTGCGTAGTTAGTAGACTAGCGTATCATATATCGTACTAATTGTACCAACAGAAATTGGCTCTCGCAGCACCAGATCGACTTGGTATGCACATACTCACAACCCCTATACCCATGATTCAGATACATGTCTCCGCCGTACCACAGGATAAGCACTTGACCGACCTGAACACCTTAATAACTCATTATTGATGACGTTCGGTGACACCCAACGGACCCCCGAGTGAATTATGTCGGTCTATTATTTCACTGAACCTATGAAGGCAATCTAAAAATCACGACCGGGATGCTGATTAATCACCAAGCTAGTAGCAGGACCGAGCTCGACCGGTCAATTGGCTCCATGTCTCGGGTCGTTCATTTCAAGTATGATCCACAGTAGGCTCGCGTACTCAGATCATTCGAGAAGGCAGGCGAGACAGACATCGACTGCCATCCTTCTTGAATGGTTGGAGTACGACCCTGTCTGTCTTTCTTCATAGGTCAATCGGTATTCCGAATCATCACCAAACTGACAAGAGTTGAGGATGTGGATTACCAGGACTTCGTAGGGAATCTTGCGTTATCATCAGTCTGTGAGTTACATTAATAGTCTCGAACCAGATCGCCGCGGGCAAAGGGGAGTGCAGTGGTTAATCGTCTGACAAGGCCCGATGTGTCGACAAGCCACTGTATTACGCACTCACACTTCGTTGTGTGAGGCGGCTGGTCACGAGTTTACAATCGCGCGCAAAGAAGCTCGAGCAGGCTCATCCAGATGATGAGTCTATCAGTAATGTCAACCATCACACAGGAAGGTGATCCTTCCGTGTTTAACTGGCTGGGTGTACGTGCTGTCATCGTTCTTCCGTAGTTGCCTGTGGCTCGCAATTGCGACGATTTGCATGCAGTAAGAAGGGAAATACTGTATTCCAGGCATACAAATCAAACAGAAATTGTAGACATAATCCACACAATCCAAATGACACCCTGTGACACCTTGTTCATGTAGTACTTCGACGAAAGAATGAAAGAACGAAAGATGCCGCTATTAATATATATAAGGCCTCTTCTTCCTGTAACGTGTTGGAGTAGTGGTCTTCGGCGCTGGTGGTGGGGGAGTATCGTCCGGTGGCGGGGAAGTGTCGTCCATGAATGGCGCCGGTGGCGGGGAAGTATCGTTCATGAATGACGCTGGTGGTGGGGGAGTGCTAGGTATTCCACGACATGAAAGTCCACCATCTGACCGAGGCGACTCCCTCTCAGTTGGCGCTTCTGCAAGCGCAAGCGCCTGAGGATGGTACTGCAGCAGCATTTTCCGGTACAAATCAATCATAATGTCAGCACCATGGGGTATTTGCGAGTCAGCGATCCTCCTGGCCAGCGAAGGCATATTTTGGATGACGTCGACGGACGCAATGTGCTGGAGTAGGATGTCTACTTGCATCTGCAGGATTGCGGGATACCTGATACCGCGAAGCCAGTTAATACTGCGCTATGCCCTGATCAAAAAGCGAACCAACTTGGATGTCAATGAAGAAGAAAGTTCTTGAAGAATATTTCCTGCATTTAGACTACTGCGTATTGCATAGAAAGCTTGGTCACGAAGACTGTCAAGTCGAACCTGACAATTGTGTATTTAGTATACCTGGAGAGCACCAGGAAAAGTTACTCGAACCTTGCACGCTAAACGATACATCGACTTTGGTGAGCAAGGCCACAATGTGCTAGGGTCGGGGGCCTCCACATTGGCTCTGGGCTGTCCCTGAGACTTGAGTGGGGAGAAGATGATCTTGTTGGTATACAAATACAGCAAGAGCGCTTTCCACCTGCATACACAAAATCAAAGGCCTGCCACCAATATGACAGCATCTTACTTACGTCCTGAAGGCTGTGTCTCGTACCAGTATGTTCCGGCAGTTGACAACTGATAGTTTATGTTGAATTGGGGCAGAAGTGATAGGCATCGGAGCTTGTGATGCGCTGGCTAAGATGCGATCACCATCTGTTGAGTCGATTTCGGACCTAGCATCCGCTACGAAAAGTAAATCATCGTCGTCATCGTCATCTGATTCACTTGTGTTTCCTTGCAAGAGACGTCAGAATCTACGTTGCTGATCTTCATTTGAATTACTTACCCTTGTGGACGACAGTTTCGTCGCTGTCCGGCGTTTGAATAGCTTCTTTCTCTTCTTCCTCTTCAAGATCGCTGTCAGAATCGTAACCATAATCGTCAAGAGCCACGCCATCCTCGTATGCCGAGCCACCGTCGAAATCGACAAACGTGGCATCAGGTGATCCCGTTCCAGACAATACTGTCAACGCTGATAAGCGAGCTCACTACCTTCACAGGGAAAAATTAACTTACATTCGGCGAAAAATTCGGAGCGTGCTGTCAGAACAATGTCGTTGGCAGACAAGGCTTGGAGCCGAGTGACTTTACGTGGATGTGCTGAACGGCCTGAAAATAGGTGGAACTTCGTATCAACGAGCTCGTAGCCAAGTAATGATTTCATCAAGAGCGCTTCAACGAGCGCTTGATGATTCGACATCGTGGAGTGCTAGAGGGTTGTGGCCTCGAGTTTACATGTGATGAATTGTTTTTATACTCACTCACTCTGGGCGCCAATGTATGTGGGCGCATGACATGACCCATTTGCCTTCTGCGACACCTTCGAAGCCATGCGCCAATACGATAAGGGGCCTCGAGGATTTGTCCCTGCTCGATTGGGATGGGTTGAATGGCTGGGGTTATCGTAACATTTGATTGCTGTCCTGAGTCCTGACGGAAGCATTTTGGGACATGTCTATTCGAAATTCGCTTGAGGAGCGCGTCTACGTCCGTCGTCCAGCTATCAATCCAGACGATCGCATGTATCGTATGAGCGCTTCCCATAGGTCTTCATGATGAATCAACGTGTCTGTGGATAGATAATGCTCCTTCATCTTCATGCGTGCGGTGTGCGCGTGAAGGTCCGCCGGTATGTAAAGGTCCAGCCTGAAAGCGCGCGTCCTTCCTAGAATCTGTGGACGTCCAAGTTCTCCAACTAGCACGCTTGCACTATACACTGGAGTGACAGATGAGGATGAAGACATGGTAAGAGCTTGCGGCCCATCCGCGCGTTTCTTTGAAACAACGCGTCCAACAAAATTGTAGCCTAGAGTCTAGACCCCGACAGCCGGTTGGAAAAGCAGCACAGCCACAGCTTTGTGCCTTTTCCACTAACCAACCACAGGCAACCCATTCGTAAGGCTAGAGGTGCGGTTTCAAGAATTTTCAAGTCTGGGTCAATATTAATCCCATCTATGGTACAGATGGGAGCGACTTCCCAAAACGTTCAGTCGAGACTACCAATCGGCTGAGTCGGGTCTCCTATCGTGCGAGCATGGTTCTAGAATCACGAAAATGAGTGTATAACATAGTTACCACACAATCCTTTGGGCCGCACTCAAACCCCCACATTTTTACTTCATACCAGCGGAGCGATAGTTGAAGTCCTCATGAATGTTTTCAATCCTCGCATTCTTGATGCCAGCATCCGCGATGTGACAGGGTGTCTATCCGATACTCAAAAGGCTGATGTTCTGCTCCACGCCTTGCAGCATTTACCGCCCGAAGGGTACGTGTCCTCCAATTACCCCACTTATAAAAATATAGATTTGATGGTGTATCACAAAGGTCCCGAATTGTCATGGAGAACGCTGTTCAATCGTTTCTCCAGGTCTCAGGTGTTCCACCAGCAGATGTTGCAAGAGGTCTTCTGTTACGTGCCAAAACTCGCTTGGCAGCTGGGTACCGTACTTCCGCACAACAAGGTCAAGTTTGCTCATACCCTTACTAAGGCCTAAGGTTCCTTGCAAGGTGCTGACATCACTGTCTTTCAGATTTGCTGTCCGTGCTATGTTCCGATCCCGCAAATCAAGATGTTAAGGCTATAATACAATCTGAACATTTGCGACAAGAAATGGTACGTTTATCATTTTATATGATGGCCCTTTAGTAAACACTGTCAAGCTTGTTAGGGAACCCGATGGTCCGCCTCGTTTTTCGGCTGAAGTCTGGAGAGAAATTGCTCTCTGTCTTCCCAAGCGTGATCTGAAGTCTCTTTTATTAGTTCCGCATGCACTTTCTCGCATCGCAAGTCAGCTTATTTTCCGCGAGATCGATTTACATTTCACGGCGTCGCCGGATCTCTCCAGAGTTGAGAACAGATACAGGGGTGTCCATGGCGGCCACGAGGAGCAGGAGCTCGACGCCTGGCACTACCAGCGAAGTGCAGACATTCTTACCCGCATTCTCGTGGATCCCGTATTTGCCTTGCAGGTCAGGAGCTTAAGCGTATATGCCGTTGTTTCCGACGCGTCACATACGTTGGCTTTCCAGACTGGTGTGTGGTCATTCTTCAATGCTACTATGTCTCAATCCCTCCTAGGAATGTTAATAAATTCTTTGCCTAAGCTCTGCAACCTTCGCAGTGCGCATTGCTCAGGCAACAAGGAATTAATCACCCGCATGCTTGAAACGATGTGTGCCTCGAACCATCGTCTGTACTGCCTGTCTATTAAGTGTGTTGTTTAGCTTCCCTTTTTCCCCAACCCGGTCTAAATGTTCCCGTTCTACATAGCCCCGTTAATCGTTCAGGGGACATTGACATCCCCCCGTTCAAGCACATCACACATTTTTCCATCAGCGCCGAGGGAGGGAGTGGCACATCTACCCATAAATTCATATCTCAGAGTCATGACAACTTGCGCTCGCTGGTTATCAAGAACACAAACTGGACATTCCCGACGGATGCCATCTCCGTCCGCCACTTGACGACCATCGAGTTCGAAGGCTGTTTTTCCGTAGATAGCCAGGTCTTTTCAGAGATCTTGTCAACTGGCCACCAGCTAGAGTCACTAACGTTGTCAGGTATTCTGGAGTGCACTCCATCAGCGACGTTCCGCATGTATCGGTCCTCGCTTCCGTTCCTGAGGCACTTTGCTCTCAAGATTGTCAGTCTGCATCGACATGTCACGGACCGGGACCTCGTGCCTGCTATCTCGGAATTCTTGAGAGATCGCAAACATCTTCACTCGTTCCACCTCATCATGCCCAGTGCAGACCATCGTCGCATTGGCTTTGACGCGTCTGCTTGGGGTGTACTACCTTCTCTATCAAACCTCCGCAGTCTTTGTATAACTTATCCCAGAGATCTTTCTCCTTCGCTAGCAGGGTGGCTGATTCCGCGGAGTGTTCGTGCGCTCACTATGGAGATCACGGTACCGCCTGCAGAGGACCTTCTTGTTTTCATGAACGTGAGTTGGGGATGCCCGTCATTGAAAAGAAGTGCCAGCAGCATTGATATGTTCCATTATAGCAATTGCGTCCCGGAATCCCACCCCTTCTCACGTTTGTTGGTATGATAAACTTCCCGATACGCTCCGTCATCAGCGTGATCGAGCACGGCTTCTCTAACGTACAGATTGTGCGTATCGACGAGAGTGTCTGGAGCGTCATTCGCTTGGATGACGGGTCAATAGAGATCGAGCAATGGCCATATCGAAGGATCAAGTTTCACGCGGCGGCGTGGTTGGAGTCCCTCCGGTGTGAAGATGCAATGCGGCATTTGGCCTGATAAAAACGAGGGAGAGGTTTAAAAACATTTGAATGTAATTTTTCTATGGTTCAACCTCCTTGATACTCCGCTTATTGGATGACTTTCTGTAGGCACAAAATGTGAGGAATAGCATAGAATAAATCGCTTTGGACGGAGTGCCGCTGTGCGCACCTGCTGATAACATCGTGGTCTAGTGTGACAGTGGCTAGAAACCCCACGCTATGGACGAACTCTCGCCAACTAGTATCAGGGGAAGACAAGTTCGCGAAATTACGACACCCTCCAAACTGCGTGGACATGCGACAATGCTTTCAATGTGGGTAGGCGCTATTAATGACGCGCCAACTGTTAGTAAAGAGGCACAGGCACCCAACTGCCGCAGCAGATTGCGCGCTGCTGTCCTTCGCAAGGACAGGAGTTCTCATGTCGCTGCACTGTCTCCACTGAATCTTGCTGATGCAATAAGGCTCCCTTGCGACTACAATTAATGATCTTTTGGCGTCATTAAGCTTGTGACACGCTGTGTTCATTACTTCCAATTTCCTTATTCGAATAAAAGGCATCAGATGCAGGGTACACAATGCTCACACCACGATGTTTGCGTGCTCACCACAGGTTCTATTTTTAGCAGTGACGCCATCAAGCAAGCCGTAGATCATCATCATCACCTCGTGGTCGGTGGTCGGTGGCAACAAAACTCAGCAGGCGCAAATTCATGAGAATAGCCATGTTCACCGGAGCGCCGTCGTTGCATCCCATCCACTGTGGTCGAACCTAGTGGACTGTGGCGCGTCTATAGTAGCCTCGTTGTCTACAACGAGGTTATTGCATTTGAAGCTGTGGTCACGACCTTGAATTACTTCAAAAGACTGAACGCCGTTACAAACCCAGCAATTTCCGTCACCATTCAATGGACACTGACGATTTCGCTCCTGACAATAGCGTCCGTAATGCCACTTATTTCCCGTAGGTTTGCCTACCTCCACGAAATCACTATAGCTGACGGCCAGGATACAGACAACCAAACTGCATGCCTTATCCTCAAGTAGATAACATGTTTCCACCGTAAGTGCGTGCATTCTACGTACCTGTAGCACATCTGAAAATGAACTCAGAGCTCCATTTGGGCCCCCTGCCGCACAGCATCCAGAGCCCACACCAAGTACCCAGTCTACGCTCGATCGTGAGGCAACTGGCCCTTGTCGCCCCACTAACGATCAATCGTCTCAGCAGTAAGAAAACCTGTGGTCTCTAGTGCACGTGCTGAAAAATGGCTTAGATTGTTGCAGCGAGTCGTCGACATTCTTCAAAATTCCAACATCGTGGAAAAGGGAGCGAACGATGAGCGATCGCGATTCTGGACGGTATACCAAAAGGTTGCAGCACAACACGACAATGAGTTTTTGGAGCACTATGATGGCGACATGGATATCGTCTTGATTTTTGTAAGCCGCGAGCTCCTACGTTAACTACTAGCCAGTCTGATGACTAGTCTTTAGTCTGGCCTATTCTCTGCAGTGAATACAGCCTTCATCACCACTATGGGCCCTAGCGACGCTACCACTACAGATGCTTTACTGACACAAATCATCACACTCATGGTAATGAATAGCCATGGAACCCCCATCACGGGTAATTATCCGCTTCCCGTCCCACCTGCATATTCCGCCGGGCAAGTATGGTTCCAAACTCTGGCTTATGCCAGTCTTTCCTTCAGCCTTCTTGCGGCCTTCGGCGCCGTTATGGGCAAGCAGTGGCTTCGCTTCTACAAGCTTCGGCGATTCGGGCGTGGATCCCTCGAGGATCAGGGCAAGAACAGGCAGCAAAAGTTCGACGGCCTTGAGGCATGGCATTTGGATGCTGTGCTGCAAACATTCCCGGTCCTTTTAGAACTTTCATTATTGCTCTTCAGCGTCTCCCTCTCCTCGTACGTGTGGACGCAACAACCAACCATCACATCCATCATCATTGCGGCCACGGTACTTGGCTTCCTCTTCTACTCGTGCACCCTCTTTGCATCCCTTTTATCCCCATTCTGTCCCTTCCAAACGCCCGCTACCTTATTACTTCGCATGGCTGGTGCATTTATGTGGGCAGGAAGCATGTTTATTAAAAAGAACGACAAAGACTTGCACTCGCTAGGCGCGAGCTTGCGCTCTTTCCTCCGCGGCATCACAACATCCATCTCGAGGCTCGTACAACGACTACTCAATCCCAAGCCTTCCAATGACCATGGGACGGAATCTGCCATACTGTGGGTGCTTGCGACATCCACAGACCCAGACGACATTACAACCGCAGCCTCGCTCATTCCCACTATTACATGGTCACCAAACTCAGACATCGTGTCTCATCGTCAGCGGCTCCGAGACACATTTTTAGGCTGTTTCGACGCTGGGGGACGACTCCGGCCCCCAGCAGGAGATAGAGCAGTCGCTTGTGGGCGAGCTTTAAACCACTTGTGTATTGTTCTGCCAAATGAAGATGATTCCAATGCTCGAAATACTTCCAAGCAGTCGAAAATTTGGCATCAATGGCGCAGCGTCATTCTTCCACAAAGCTTTGACCAGTGCAAAGCCCTTGTCTGTCAACTGCCAACGTTATTTGGCCGGGAGAGGGAGAAATGTCAGGCAGATGCACGCACCGCATTGCGCATGATGATTGCTGCTTCTGGGGACGGATTCATCCCTCCAGACCACGACTCAATCATTTGGCGTGGTCAATTCACGTGGGACGGCGATCATCGCAAAGCAGCTGATTTCGATTGGCTGGTCGACTACCTCGTGTTTTGCTCCCAGGATCACACGGCAATGGGTGATGCTTTATTAGCGTTGAGCGCTATGAAGGGACTTGGCACCCGTGATCGATCATCTGCTTACCTACACGCACTCATAACTGCCCTGGAATCACACACTCCTCGTCTTCGTAATGCGGCTTTACGAGCTGTTTCGGACTCTCGACTGGCACTCGCCGACATTGATGCCATACAGGACGAGAATATTCGCCATCTACTCCTTACGAAATTTTCCCCTGCTCTTCTGACGGCCATTTGCCCTCAGACATCTACTCGCGCTGCTAGTCATCCCGAAGATGAACCCGTGGCCAACTTCAACTATTGGCGAGATCATGCATACCTACGGCTCATTATAGCTCTTACTTCCAACGTGGAATGGTGTAAACGCCTAGTCGTTGATCGACATATCGGATACTGCATTTCCATCTTAAATAACCTCGACGAGCAGTCGCCCGCCCCCTTCCATCTCGCTGCAATATTCGGGCAACTCCGCTCTTCGAGTCCAGACGCAGCTGGAGCTGCGTTTGAGGCAGTTACAGACGAGCAGCTCCCATCCCTTGTCAAGTTAGCCTGGCAGGCTGCATTGGACTTGAAGCTCTATGATGAAGCCGAATGTATCAACGATTTCCCGGCTGTTATCAAGTGCACGGAACCGATGGATATTACAGCCCCCGACCTTGAGGATATCCGTAGAAATGTCGGGCTGGTGATGGAGAAGCTGAAAAAGCAAAACAAGTATCCTCAAATTACGTCTAGTATCCAGGGCTATTATACTGAGTTGACCAGATTGACCAAGACTTAACTTATCTTTTCCGTAAATCTGGGCTGGTGCCCTTAGATCTAAGTTACTTACATCATTATCACGCTCCATTGTAATAGCACGTATGTGAGACGTTCTTATCTGATTCGCCTTGTTTTCTGTAGCTCAGATTTAATAAACTCAGGCTCCGTCTCCGAGCCTTGATAGTATGCTCAGACCAACGTCCAAACCCACCTTCCAAACTCGGCTATATTCATAATGTTGGAAGGGCGGCGCTTTCAATCAGTTGTGAGATAGAACACACTTCGTCGTGACGAAAGTATCTGGATCCTGTATCATTTCCGCTGAGGGTCGCCGCAGTGCTTGACAATATGAATGCTACTATGACAAAATGGGCTTATCCACTTATCCAGTGCCAGTCGTGACACAGCTCAGACTGCGCAATTCACCTCATCAACGGCATATTCTTCTGGAAACAGGTTCATCTGATCAACCCTGGCACGCTCTATCTTAGGAGAGTTGTTACTAAATCTTTAGAGTTGCTCCACTTCTGCGACGACAGGTCGGGAATAGCGTAACGATCTCAACATCAAGCCTCGAGGCAAAATCATAATGATCTCGTGATGGGCTGACGGCCCGGGTAGGTTTGGCTCGTTCAGTGACAGGAGGTTGTAAAAACTCACCATCAAAGCGAGTAGGAGACACGCTGATGCTGCATCTGCATATGCGTTTTATGAGTTTGATGTCGGTGGCCGTATGTCATCCACCGATGCACTATTAAGGATGCTTGTACCTTGCCACGAGACCAGGCGTGGTGGATTCAGGTAGATTCATGTATGAGCACCACGAGGCCCATCTAGCCTAGACTTGAGAAGGCTAGGCCTTTCTGAAATGAAAGATGAATCCGCAGCTTCCATGATGCTGATATGAATCAAAGAAGCACTGGGGCTGACACTGCAGGAACACAGTGGTTTAATATCACATCACAATACAGTTGCTCAGCGAACTACTCACGCGCACGTACGGCTCTGTGGGAGATGCAAGAGTAGAAAAGGTAATTAATAAATCTGATCTGTCCAGATCGGCGGGATCTGATGATAAAAGACAGGAGGTCGGATGCAACATCAGGGTGCAACACATTCAATTGAGCGATGAGACAAGGCGAATTATGTTACCAGCGTTTCGACGAGCTCCACACCAGACAATGGATGTGTTGCGATCCAAGCCCTTCGATAGGCTGACAGTCCATGATTCGAGAACATTCGAAAAAAATATCAAGCCAACACTTAGCCGTCTGCGTCTTTTGCGTTGAATGGAGGGTAAACGTACCGTTTTCAAAGAGGAATTTATAGATCAAATGGTGAGGGCTCGCAAACTTCTTCTGGAGGTCCACAGTTGCTGATTATGATCAATAAACAATAGAGATCCCAACACTCGGGGCTCTATGAGCGGAGATGGCCCAGCGGAGATGAAAGAAAATTTTGAAGAGACGGGGGGTTAATGTGTAGTACTAGCGATGTAGTCACGGTATCGCCGCGTGCGAGAATGTGGGATAGTTTCACTGTATGCCGAAGGTGGTATCGAATCGTAGAATACATTGCTCGTGTCTCGCTTTAGGAAGTACAGAGTATTGTACTGGTCGGCATAAGAAGAAGAGAGGTATGTGCTCACTTCTGGCATGTGCGGCATCATGATAACATGGACTCACGTTCAAAATTCGTGGCCGGCCTTGATAACGAGTACTATCCGAAGCGCTCAGACCGTATGAGCAACAACAGGCAAAGAAGTCGATGAATATCCATTTGGCGTCTCTTCGAGGGGACTGAGCATCAAGAAGACAATCTCAGGCTGTCGGCGACGTCGCAGCATTACATGATGTTCTTGGCAAAACATAAACAAGTTTTAGCACGTGACGTAGGTGGGAGTGAATGTTTGTTTGTATTAGGATCTAAAGCTATCGGCTTCTTTAGAGGGAAATATTACTACTTCAAGTTCAACTGACTCAAAATCTGACTCAACTTGACTCAAACCCAGGGCACCGTCTTCACGTAGTGACTCCTATCAAAATTTCAAATCATTCGGTACAGCATCTCCTTTCCTACATATGCCGGACACGACCCCCTAGTTCCTGTCCACTATTACCCTCTGCATATTGCAGACATATATCTAATATGTCAACTCACCTGCGCTCGGAGGATTCTCAGCTCATCAGTGATCTGCACCGGCTCTCAAAAAAGTCGCCCAAGCTTGTACGCTCAACGGTGTACAATGCGCCGTCAGATCCCTCCATCTCTATTCGAAGCTGGAAGATGAACGAGTTCAAGTACTATGACGTTCCGTCGCCCTTTCCAACGCTAGCCAGAGGGTTGTTCAGCCGTGAACTTCCCTGTGGAGACGACCCTGAAGGGGAGCCAAAGTACCAAATCGTAGCTCGAGGATATGATAAGTTTTTCAACATCGGAGAGGTCCCGTGGACCGATGTGAGTCGTCTTCATCCCAAACTGCCCACCGTAGCCTCATTGTGATTCGTTCACAGTGGTCAACACTTTCCTTACATACGGGACCCACGTATACGCTGTCGCTGAAATCTAATGGATGCATCATATTCATCGCCCCCATTTCTCCTTCGAAGCTGATCGTCACGTCCAAACACGCACTGGGACCGATGCAAGGGGTCCCAGAAACTCATTCCGAGGTTGGCCATCGGTGGCTCAAGAAGCACTTAGTGGAAAAGGGTAAAACTGAGGAACAACTGGCGTCGAAATTGTGGGAGAAGAACTGGACAACAATCGCCGAGGTATGTAATCTAGCAAATGCAGGCAAAAGTTCTGCAGTGAACTGTTACCCCGTAGCTTTGCGATGACAGCTTTGAGGAGCATGTGCTTCCTTATCCCGCCGAGAAGTCGGGTCTCCACCTCCACGGAATAAACGAGACTTTGAGGGAATTTCATACCATGCCTACGGAAACGGTTAACGCATTCGCAGAAGAATGGGGATTTATCAAGACGCCTACCATCACCCTGAACTCAATTGCCGAAGTGAAATCCTTCACTGACGATATCGCAAAAACTGGGGAATGGAATGGTGAAGCGCTCGAAGGATTCGTGGTCCGTACGCACATCGTCGATTCAAAAAAGGGGTCTACCACTCGCAATAGCCGTCCTCCGTACCCAACCGGATCTTCCTTCTTTTTCAAAGTCAAGTTCGACGAACCGTACATGATGTATCGCGACTGGCGGGAAGTTACCAAAATTTTGTTATCGACAAAAGGATCACTGAACGACGCCAAACTTCCAAAGTCGAAGATGAAGCGGAAGGAGACTCATCTTTATGTCGATTGGGTGAAGAAGGAAATAAGGCATAATCCTAGCGCGTTTTTGGAGTATTCTCAAGGCAAAGGCATCATTGCTACTCGCGAGAGATTCTTGAAATGGATGGAGACCGACGATGGGAAGAATGGATTAGTCGTGGAGGATGAGGCGCCGCTTACCACCAAGGAGTTCGGGAAAACCATAATTGTGCCTGTCGCTATTCCCGGGTGTGGTAAGCGCTCAATTTCTGTCTCATGGCTTTCCGTATTCAATATTCCTGTTTCACAGGCAAGACCGCCGTTTCCGTTGCGCTTACTTCTCTATTCAATATCGGACACACCCAGAGTGACGATATACAAGCGAAAAAATCCGCTCCCGTGTTCATCAGGAATGTTATCAACCTCTTGAAGGACCACGATATTGTCATAGCGGACAAGTATGGATCATGCTTGATCTCATGATCGTCCTCATGCTAATCTGCTCTAGGAACAACCACCTTAGGCAACATCGTGACTCACTACGCGAAGCCGTTGCCAAAATGAACCCTCCAGTTCGTCTCCTCGCGTTGAATTGGTCGCTCGATCGACCTCAAGCGACAATCCATCGCATATGCGGTGATAGAGTTTTTGCGCGCGGTGATAAGCACCAGACTCTTCGTGCTGATACCCTGGCCAAGGCGCATGAATACGTCATATGGCAATTCATCCGTAATTCAGAGGAGCTTGCCGACGAAGAGGTAGACGTGAGCATAGAAATGGACCTCGAGGATACCCTTGAGCAAGCCGTAGACCGTGCTGTCACTGCGTGTGTCAGCATCCTTGGTCTTCGACAGCCAAGTGCAGAAGAGATTGACGAGGCCGTGCACAAGGCCCGTAACTACGTGCCTCAGACACAAAAGCCTCAAGAAAAGAAGAAAAAGAAAGATGAACCATCCACGCCACGCTATTTCGGCCTCCTTCCCGAAGTCAATCTCATTGATGTGATCGGGAAACAAATGGAAGGGGCATCAGACGTACCAGAAAACGGAAAAGCGTTTTGGAATGCTCTCGTTGCCGATCATCGTGTCACTTTGCGCCCCCATATCACGGTAGTGCACAACAAATCTCTCCCCGATGCTATTGAACTTTGGGAGCGATGCTCTCAGCTCCACAGAATGGCACTTCCTCCCTGGTTCACCTTCACTCTTGGACATTTGGTCTGGAACAAACGAATTATGGCCATCACTGTGGATGACTTCGAGCTCGACATTCCGCCAGACAACCTCTCTTCCTTAGGTCAGGAAGGAGGTGAATTCGTGTCGAAACTGTCGGAGGAAGTCCGGAATGGTTTGCACATAACGGTTGGAACAAGCGATTCTGAGATACCCCCTTTTGAAGCGAAGGCTCTTGTGGAGGCATGGCGCTTTGGGAAGAGATCGGGGATTGGCTCACTTGAACTTGAAGGGCTAACAGCGCGGGGCAGAATCAAAGGACTCTTCAGCTGAAGTTAATGTGGTCTTGTTAACGTTCTTTAAATGATGGCCTCATAACCATACAACATTAATGTACATCACCTCTCATCATCCCCTCTCATCAACCTCACTCATCAACTCGCCAGAAATTTGTATCAATATTAATAGCAAGTCAATACCTAGTACAAGACCCAGGGTTCCCAAATCAACAACAACCTATCACGATTTCACGGAACTCTCCGCATTCGCACCTTGGCGTCAAACACACAACTGGAAATGCCGATTACGGAGTCACAGAGGCGCTCAAGACCATGCTTGTCGCAAATAAGTTTAAGCGCAAAGTTTTTCGACCTTCTTGCCGCGCTGACTGAAGAACGGCCCCGCACCCACGCGCTGCAATTCTGAGAAATCGAAGACTGCTAGCGCTTCAAATTCGTTACGTCGTCGAAGGCGGAAGGCCAAGTTGGTTTGTTCCCCGTTCTTGAATCTTGACGTTCTTCAACCGTACGGACCCGGTATGGATACCATTGATCCAGGATCTTCGAGGCTGTGGCCAGTGTCCCTCGTATCGTGATGGTGGTGAGTGACTATAATATCTATCACAGGTACTTATCATAGCCTTTTCCGGGTTTTGTTACGGGCGATTCTGCCCACAACAAGCCCGACTCGTTTTCCGTGGAGATCCTTGGAGCCAGTTCCCACAATGTCCAATTAAACACTTCCATTCTGTGGCAGTTCTCAATGGGCGTCATGAACGTGAAACGAAGATGCATTGCCTTGTGATTATTTTGGACTCTGTGAAATCTCATGTGCATAGTTCATCGCACAATGTCCGCTCGAACGGTGAACGTCCAACTTGTTAGGAAGTGACTGGACCTTCAGGGCCCAGAGTTGTCAGGTGAAAGTACTTTTTTGTGCTAAACTCTCCAACTCCCCTAAAACTGTCACCCTGAGACGATATCGATTCCTTTTCGAACCTGGGCGTTATTGACATGTTCTTAGCCACACTCAAGTCATGTCATTCGCTCTAGATATCGGAGGGAACCGTCAAAAAGAATGGTACATTGTTTTCATTCTTCTACCAGAATTTTGAAGAACGGATGAGTACTGATCATCCCTTAACACAGTTCAGTGGTATAAATGTATTTTGAACATTAGCTGTTCGAATTAGGACTGAGGTAAGTCAGCCCAGTAATGAAGAGCGTCAATGGCCCTATCACGCACTCAAAGAAGCCTTTGATGCTCCCGAAGCAATTATCTTCGATCGCCAATTTAAGGCACCATTTGCTGTTGGAGCAAAGGAGCGATCGGTTGCGTATTGGGTGGCCAGGAGGTACACAACCCCAATGACGAGCCTGCCCGAATTATTCTCATCGCACGTACATCAGCGGTGGTTCCGTGATTAAATCGTTCATCGTAACAAATCACGGAAGTCTCGAAGCAGGAAGACATCGAGCGCAATGTACAATTAAATCGGACTGACGTACGGTGGATTTTTCATTTACACCCGCGGTTAACTGTCATACTGGCTTCATACCGCGAGATGTACAGGTCGATACGGCGTACTCATAACACAGAAGGGTACGCTGTTGGTGTTACACGCGCAGGGTATGCGCCAGACATGAAGGGACTGGCTTGGAGGGAGCCACCATCTGTTGAACATGGATCCGAGAAGAGGTGAAGTTTATCGAAGAGGTGTGACTTGGGCCAGTGATATCCCAGTGTCAATGTCAGGCGCTCTGATTATCTTGGCAGACTAATTGTCGTCCATTCAAATGACTTGCTTGGCTGGCACTACGGTTAGTGACAATTTGGCCATGCACCACGGACAACATCCAGAAGTAAGTATCATCATGCTAAATGACAGTTTTCCCTTATTTCGGGTTCGGCCAACATATCAGATACTTGAACGATAAATTTAGTTTCAAACGTCCGCGTCAACCCTCAAGCCCTAGAATGTAGAATTATGTATGTAGGTATGACCTTCTGGAATATTGGACTGCGGTACAATTGAAGCAACCCCAGGAATTTACTTAAAAAGATAAGGTGTGAAATAGCGAATATTTATTTTTCACATGACATCCGATCATGACGATTTTCGCTGCGCAGCGCATCTTCGAACGTGTTGTCGACCAGTCTGCTGGATGCGCAGCTTTCTTCTCTGCTGCGGATGACTCGACAACGGGTCTGTTCTAGATATAAATCAGGTAATGTTATTTATAGATTCATGATGACAAGGGTCGTGGGGTTCTAGCGTGGAGTGCTGACACAGGCGCTGACTCCAAGGTCGGTTTCGACATGGAAGATACCTCTGGAGAAGAATTCAACAGCTAGCCATGGACATCCATGGATCCGTATGTCGTATCATGCCTCTTTTTACCTCCATCAAGCTATCGTCCGGCTCAACGAATAATTGTGAGCGCTGTCCTGTCTGAATGTAGGTATTCACTTGTCGTACTACGATATTTTGGGACATTGATGTTCTGTACAATATTCCACTTCGGATCGTTCACATAGGCCTCTGCTCAGAGATTGGGTGAGAGTTCATTTAATTCAGTTATTTTCCTTATTGAAATTCAAATAGGAACTTCTATCAAGCTTATTCGTTACCTTGCCGCTGCCGTCGCTATTCAATATTCATTACTGGGGTATAAGGATGGAACCGTTTTAGCACTAAATATCTCAGACCCATCCCCTCTCCTCTCTGAAGGCTGCCCACCATGCAAGATCTGCCCATAGAAGTTGTCAGCACCGTTCTTCAGAACGTGTCCGCGACAGAGGATCTTCTGCATTTACGCAGCTTGAACTGGACATACAAAGAGCTGGTCACTCCCCGTGTGTTCAGCACCCTTCACATAAAAAATAGCATCCAGAGTGCACAAAACTGCCACCAGATCATCGGTTCCCCAAGCCTTGCCACCCATATTCGAGAAGTCGTCTACGATTCTCGCGACAACGAATGTTTCCGGCTTCCACCCGACATCGTAGGCAAGTTGCTCTTCCTTTGCTCACGTATTATGGAGTCTAATTTGGCCCTGTACATGCAGATTCTCGCGATGCGGTTGAGGTCAGCGAGCTTGAAGAAGCACTGACCGAGGCATTTTGCGGTTTAACTGCACTTCCGAGGATTGACCGTGTCGTGCTCAACTTCTGGCCGTCATTTCTCTCCCAGTCGGGGAGGGAAGTTCATGAGACGCCATTCTGGTTCACAAACAGGCAGCACATCCTCCTTCACGCCATCCATCACGGCATGAAGACATCTCGTATGTCCACATTGTCTCTCAAGAACGTGATTCTGCCTGCCACATGTTACGACTTCGTTTCGTCCCTCACGGACTCACCACTGTCACATTTATCAATATCCGTTGTGTCCAACGCCGATGTCAGTGCCTGGTCAGGTTCCAAGAACGTCAACGGATCACTTGGCGCACTTTTACCCTCCTCCAACTCCACCTTGAAATCACTTGTATTGTGCAGCCCCCAGGGCCCCTACCACAGCCTCACAACTCGGCTTTCTTCATTCCATTATCCATCTCTCGAATCGCTTGTACTTGAAAACATCGTTTTTGATCAGATGCCCTCCGCCGATGGCGTTGAGGAGTTTGTCCTTCGTCACAAGGATACTTTGCATCGACTTGAACTGCAATCATGTGCATGCCACATACCAAGCTCATCAACTGATGACAGGCGGTGGTCGACCATTTTGCAACGATGGGCTACCGAGCTCACTAGCTTGAGGGAGATCGTCGTTAATAACGACGGTCTCAGATATGTCCTTCTCGATGCTGATCGGGGCTACATTCCCAATGGAGAGATCAGCACCACGGTGTTTGAGGATGATTCGTCAAGCTTGCAGATGTTCAAAGATACTATTGCGGCTGACCGAGCTGTAGAGTAATTGATTTCGATGCATCCTCATGATACCCGGGCCGAAGTCTTTATGTAAATCAGACTGTACTTGTATGCATACGCAGTGTATTCGAATTCCTTATACCCATTTCCAATCAAGCACGACATGTTTACTCACAAAATTCTGCCATGGACCAATCTAAAGCCCACAAGATTACGAATATGATTCGACGTTCCTATAGACCGATCTTAAGACATCTTTGATTCGTTCTGTGGGTTCCACGCTGGTGCTGGTGCTTATCATTCCTGACTGCTAAGCCTCGACCTTTTTCCAACAACATTTGAATTCTGCAACCATACATGTGCTCGGCGAACCTAGTTATGCATAGGGTGTGTATATGAGTGGCTTAGTAATAATCTGTTAGAGGGTTAAATTTAAACTATGATGCGACGACGACGATCCAATCAATCATGTTTGCCAGTTCTTGGTCTGTCGAAGTTCTTCCGGGTCCGCAGCCAGCACTGGAAGTCCTACGATGATCAATATTCCGACCATTGTCCGAATCAGCGCAAGTGGTCCCTGCAAGCGTCACAAGTGACTGCAATGGAATTGGGTCAAATGGGGCTCCTTAAGTATCTAATTGTATAGGCGTATAAGGTTCTCCGCATCATGCTCATGGTAAGCATATTTTGGTTCAGCGGTCCTTCGCATTTAGTGTACTACTGCTAACTTCTTGTATCTTGTACCCGATGATCGCCTGGAAGATACCGTGATATATCTCTCATCGATGATCGCACATCGTCGAATCCATTCTCTCACCCGTCCCAGACGGACCTGCTACTGAATACAGCAAGGCGAGATGAAAACAAAAGGCCGCTCTTACTTACCGTATCACTCGCAACGCATCGCCTCCTTGCGCCAACAACAAGATCTTATACCCTTTCTCTTTCACCGCATTGTCTTTGGAGCGGCGACCATCGCATCTTTCGCCTTCTCGAGCTTAGTTATCCCAGTACTGATGCCCTCAGTCGTATTCCCCTCCATCATCCGCACTATGACCAAGCATCCGGAGTATCATCCTACCCGGGCAGTTATTTGTTACTCGGGTATATCGTTGAAGTTCTGCCTACATTACCTACAGGAGAGGAATAATTAATAATGAAGGAACGATGGTATTCCTTCTATCAAGATATGACTACGGCTAAGGGACAATGGGAACGGGAAGACGATGATAGGCAAATCGACGCCGCCCCTCTGCAAGTTGTCTGACAGGGGCGCTTGAATGGTGGATGGCGGCAGGGCGATAAATATATTAGTCGTGCGATGCCAACTTGTAGTATCAGCTACTAGTTCCCTGCCCAGCTGCAGACCATCTCACCGTTCGCAACTTCGCATAGCCAATGGATTGGGAGACTGATCAGATCTCGCTGTGATTATGACTTCCGTTTGGTCGATGCGGCTATTCGCCCGCTGCACCGCAACACTTATCTTACGCTCCCATTCGAGTATCGATTTACTTACCATGTGCCACTAACGCAGGATGTGAACTCGTCCAAAGGTCTAAAATTTTAAATGCGCATCGGCCCCGAGGACGCACGTATCAAATGCGAGAAGGAGATAGATGACCTCGCTCTTCTATCGTAGATGTGCTACGTATGACTCTTAAGAATCACAATACTAAAAAAACAAACAGTGTCTCTGGAGCAAAGAAACCAATACACAACAGGAGAAAAAAAAAGACCTTCGCCTATGCATTCACCTATGTAAACAAGCCATTAAAGTCCTCATGAATTTCCAGCTATAGCCTGCGCGCCCTGCTTCAGGATTTGTTGAATGTCTGGGTTGTCGGCACTACAAGGACCAGTGAGTTGGGATGTTTATTTATGTTATAATGGAGTGCGCACATGGAGTAACCATCGTTAGGCGACGCCGTCGTTGGGGTGTTGGTTGTGTCTAACTGGATGGTGGCGCTTGATTCGACAATGCCGCTCGAGCCCCACTACAACGAGCGTCAATCAAATGCAAATGCATCATTGTGACAGGAAGTATTGACCTGATACTGCATGATGCCTGCCAATCCAGCGCTGTTGCCCACTGCAATAGAGTTTAGCGTGGTTGGGCATGGTCACTCTGTATTCACATACTCTGCAAAAACGAGGTGTAACCCTGTTCTTGTTGCGTGGTATTAGCAAAACTTGTCGTCGCTGCAAGATTAAGAACATGAGTACACCACTGCCGACTGTTGAACTGCGACAACACTACCTGTATTTGATGTGTAAGGGGCATAACTCATGTTGAACGGGACGAAGCTGTTCAAATTGGTTTGGGTGACTAGACCAAATCCGTTGAGGACAAGAGGCTTCCCGACGCTGAACGGAATATAAGTCAGTCATCAGCTGAGCCACGGACTTTAACTCACGCGGCAGCAGACTGAGCCGATTGATTAATCCACGCAAGACTCGAAGCGATTTTGTTTGCAACGGGGTCAAGATTTGGGTCATCGGGACCGTACGATTCCTGATCTGGAAATACCTGGAAGGAACCGAAGCCTATGTTAGGGATGTTAAGGATGTCCTGGCTGTCGACCCCAGATGAGCCATCCGTTGTGGAGCCGATCGAGCTGGAGACTTCTCGTGTTGCTGAAAAATGATAAGAAACTCTGCAGCTCGATGACATAGATCAAGGTACCTGTGGACACCCAGCGACCCCTTATCATTATCCCGTCTTCCTTCAATGTTCCTGCACGCTTAGCGGCTGCCCTGTTTAGGCGTCGCGACTCAGCGCGCTGCCTTATGATCTGCTCTTTTGTCAAAGGAGTGGCTCTCTTGCGCTTCTTGCCAGGTGCGGGAGAGGGCGTAGCTGAAGCTGTTGGTGTAACGGGGTATAACTTCGCACAGTCTGTGCATTGCAACCCAGATGTTCTGCAAACAATTGAGAATTACGACCCAAAAGCGATACCGTATGATACCTACCCAGCGGAGACGATGTGGTTGGGATCGAGAGAGGCAATAAATGCAGCCATCAGAGCATGCCACTTCGTGATGGTTTGTGTGGTACATGTTGCACTAGTGGGCATGGTCGAGTTGCATCTGTTGTATGGTGAGTCATTTGTTCCAAGGCTGTAGACACCTCGGGGTGGATTACCTGGCGTCATTTGCAAGCTCCCAGCTGAAGACAGCAGGGCTATCGAAATAGCGCAATACGATCTGCTTGACGTAGTTCTGGAAGGCAGACAAGATATTGGCGTCCGTGTAAAAATCGTCGTGATTCTGAAGTGCGAACTGGCGGACATAGAGATCCATACCGCCTGTAAGAATGAGGATTTGTCCAAGGTTTGATTGGACACTGAGTGTAGTGTTTGACTTACCATAGTCATTGGAAAGAGTGTTACGCGGCGTAGCGACCGACGAAAGCACCAGGGGTGTACCGCCGCCGGACGTCGTTGCGTTAGGTACTGGATTCCAGTTGTTCGTCAGCGACATGATAACATATAGTCCTTGTTGTTCCGCCATTTGAACCACAGTATCAAGCTTCTGGAGTCCAGTCGGTCCATCGTTGATTGTGGTAGTGCCGTTTTGTACCAACTGAAACCACGTCCCACCCTCCGGAATGGTTTCCACGTCTGTCAATCAAGCCACTATAATCGCGAACCTCGCCAGACAGGTAATGAACAAACCATTAAATGCCCAAATCCTGATGACCTTGATACCCGTATCGGAGATGTTCTTCAGGACATTCCAGATATCATCGTTCGTTTCCAACGTCGGTAACCAGTACAAGTTCGTCCCAATGAATCTGAGTGAGCTATGGTGCAATGTGTTTGCTTACCATATGCCGATAAAAGTAATTGCTCTTACCTTCCGTTGGCGGAAAATCCATCCTTACTAGAGCTCACGAAGGAGTTGTTACCTCTCTTTGCGATCGTCGTTGAGGGAGCTGCAGCCAGGCATGACCAGACAGAAGCTAAAAGCCAAATGTACAGAAAGAGGTACATGGCAACTGGGGCTCACGAAAAAACGGAGGGAGCAGGAGGCAAGAAGTCGCCCGGGCGTCCACTCAAAGTTATTAAAACTCTCTACAAGGTGGGTGGGTTGCACATGGGGGCGGCAAGGCACGGCATGCCTGTTGCAAGCGCACAAATGAAAAAGAGCCTGTTCGCTTCCACTCGGGCGTTAATCAGGGTTCTCTCAGCAGAACACGGATTGACACATTCTTCGGCAGAACCGGGGGCTATGACATACGTTCTGTAGTGAGCAACGGATGGCTGGAATGCATGTTCCTGTGCAGGGGGAAACAGTGAGCACAAGGACGTGTTATGGTATTGAGACATACACAAAAGACTCAGGCGTCTTCTAAATGGCGCGCAGTTGCTTCTAGCCCTATCTTCATGTACAAGTAAGTCATGACCTTGGCCCATGGTGCACTGTTAAGTATATCAGTCGATACAATGCCGTAAAAATTAAAAACGGAGCTGAACGTGACAACAGAGTAATACATAGAAAATTCCATATGATCTGATGGCCTACCGTCACCAACTTTAAGCATGTGTGCAGCACGGATTCCTGATCGTCGGACTCTGAGATGTGTTATGCTCATAAGCAATGTCACAGAGCAATAAAGGGTGGGGACAGTAACATAAATGCCACCTAAGATTTGCATTCCAACTTTTGTTTCACACAATTAGCCACGCCGACAGTAAATTCAACGTCTCCAACCCACAGGCCGCCGTCAAGGTTTTCGACATTTCGAGCCGTGCTGTAGCCTAGAGCACTGAGCGTTTCAGATGCGCTCTAGACTACCCTCCAAATCTGCTGCAGGACATTGGTCTCCCGATGTACCAGCTCGATACCAGCTTTTGTCAAACTTATGGCCCAGTGAGTATCACGAAAGGCGTTCTATGAGGAATACTCACACTGGCAGCTCTCAACTGAGTCTAGACTCTCGTGGTTCTCTTTGACGCTGAACGTTTCAGGAGGGTGATTTATTATTGTGAATCATCCAATCCCATCGATTTCTCCGATGATGCTGTGTTCTTGCATAAAAATTCTCCCTTTCATTTTCCCATGGGTCACCCATGGCCAGCTTCTCAAAGCGCTTCTTCATGACAGCACAATCATTGAACAGGCGCTGTGACATTTGGTGATCTCGATTCAGAACGTGTACGCATGTTCAACTGTGCAAGCCATGTGCATGACGAAGTGCCTTGAGAAGTGGATGAGGATGGCAGAGAGAATTTGTAGAGGGAGGCTTGTAAGTCAGATCATTGCGTGGGTGGACACATTGAACGGGCATAGAAGCGGAAGGGAGCTGCAGATGCAATGGGTGGTACAGATATTTACGCCAGGGCAGCTACATAGTAGCAAAGCGGAGCTGGGGAGAACCTGTCGTCGACTGTGGGCACCGGCGGAGGGAAGTCATGCAACACATCAAGGGACAAAGGCACACCGACTCGCACGCAGCATCACCACTTCTCTGATCTTTAACCATCGCGTGGTCACCGGGAATGACTTCGGACCGTGGCACACGATCAAGGGCTCGCTCGAAATCACGGTGCAACACACGGCTTCCGATATTGCTGTGGTCATCTAATCAGCCACCCGAAGACAGATCATGATTTCATGCCCGGTCCTCCCAAAGAACCCAAAACAATTAATTGATATGTGAGCACCGCAGTATGCCCTCGCATACCTACAGATGATGAGGGATGAGTATTTAATTGCTAGACTGCTTGTTGGAAACACCCATTCCCTCCTCTTCGTCCTTCGTCAGATTGCCCGAGTGTGCCAAAATCGGACTTTCATCGCTCTTTGAAATCGGGTGATGTGCCGACGTGCCGTGCTCGTTATCATACCTTCAAACGTTGCCGCTGCAACAAACTCTGGATAAAATACAAAGTTTTTGTGAGCAACTTGTGGGGGATGCTTCAGGTATACACTACACGAAAGCCGATGTAAATTTACGTAGTGAAGTTGTGACCGTAGTAAAATTACGGCGTGACAAACTAGGATCAACAGGAAGTTCTTTGTTCCTGGGCGTCAACCAACATCAGGCCAACGCAAGGCATACGAATGCCTGTGCTTGATACTTCCGCACTCTTACCGCACTCGTTTTAGAACAGTCGCTCAGTTCGTTCCGCACATTCGATGCTTCTCTGTCTTCGCTCTTGGCAATGCGCTGTGTTCATTTTGGTGTCACTGCTCTCGTCACTTATCTCAGTTGATGCCTGTAAGTGTGTTTTAGGCCTTCTCGGTGCCGCGGTAGGTACTGACAGAAGTTCATCAGATTTTGTAGTCAATCAGCCAGGAACTTCTACAACGTGGAAGAATGGCTCCCCCTTTCCCGTTACATGGACTCTGGGATTGGAAGATGGCATAGATACCTTCGATATCGAGATAACACGGCTTAGTCGGGTTGGAATCTATTTTGTGGCAAAAGGACGTAAGCGCCACCACTACTCCTCTTAGGACACCTTCGAAAGAAGCTAACCTTCTTCCAGTGCCTATTACTATGAGTAGCCTCAATGTCGTACTTGAAGACGTACCAGCAGGCGACGACTACTTCCTCATTTGCATGAACTCCACCGTTGGCAGAACCTACTCTGTTTCCTCCCGCTTTTCAGTTGCAGACGCCAATGCCACAGGGAGCAACCCGAGTCCCGCTTCAGCCCCAACAGTGACCGTTAGTGGTATTCCAAACCCCCTCTCACACTTCGCGCAAACATTTGCGGCCACTACCAATGGTGTTGCACGCTCGGGATGGGCCGGTATCCGGAACCAGGTCACAGCCATTACTGTGGCCGTGGGAGCTGTACTGATTGGGGGCGTTATGACGCTCTACTGATTTCTTTCTTTTAAACTCGTTTACAGACTACTCTTCTACGTTCCCGATTTTACGGATATTATTTATTTAAAATTATTGTAGGCAATTGACCTGACGTCGGACCATCTCACGTAAAAACATTTCATCTAGATATGCACTTCACGCTACCTTATGTAGTGGGTCTTGTAGTGATCTTTGTAGGGGCTCTGTGCTGGGAATTTCAATCATTGGTGTAGATCGTATGCATATTATCCTCTACAGGATCTCATGGCCGCGATTTGATAAGTGGTATCGCCCAATAAAAATGTATATATACGCGACTCATTCGCGCAAGAAGCACGTTATCCCAAAATACACCAAGTGGCCAACTCTTATCATACATGCTAATACATAGGCTTGTACTTATTCTTACAGTCATTCACGGCGGGGGTGGGGCATAGAGGATATACAGCGGATTTCTGGATAAGAATGTAAGTAAAGCAAAATCAACTGTTGGCGAGGTAACACCCACCTTAACGCACCTACAGGTCTGAGGGATCGGGGTTGCGACGCCAGTCAAGATACCACCTGGGCTCCCCCTCCAAACTGGTGAACTTGAGGGCAAACGCCTTCTCACTTTCATGCACCACTCTTTCTGGAGCGTCAAAGTTGCAGTAGAAAGACATGACTATAATGGGTTTGCCCTCCCTACGGCCATACACGGGAATTAGTCGAGTCGACTCCCCGAAGATCTTGCGTATGACACCGATGATGAAGATGCGATTCCAAGCATGGTTGATCCCCTCGCTCCGAGTGTAATCCTGAGAGAGCTCAGGATGGAGGGGGCTCTGTTCTTGCACGAAGGCTTCGAGCTTCGCAAAGTCCACGGGATAACCAAACCAGAATAAAAGTGGTCTAGGTTTCTGCGAATGGGGAGGATGAGACACATCCGGGAGCGTGTCAAGGGAGTCAAAGCTATGCAGCTGGCGCAAATCCTAATGAGGATTGCGTTTTGTGAGCATAAATTTGTGAGTATACAAGGATACGATGAACATACCATGGTGCGTCGTGCGACAACCCCAGGTGTGACCTCGAAAGGGATGGTTGACGTGGCCATAGAATTTACAAATCTGGGGTAGTTGGTCCCCGTATTAAATACAAGGTGGCAGATAAGCTTTCGACAATGGGGGATATATAGCTGCGGATGCGGACGTCATGTTGAATACTTTACGCCTTACGTCGAATTATTTCACCCCCCGCCATGACGCATGACGAACGACCGTCTCACTCTTGGAGCGTAGCGGGCCTGGGCCGCCTGGAACGAGGATCACTGCACTCTAGGTCGACCCACTCGCACGTGACATAATCGTGATTCACGTATCTCTTCAAAACATGACGAGTCATGAGAGTGCATAACAATATTTAAAACCTGCGGTCTGAGATCTGATGCCTGAGGCGATAACAACGAAGCCAAAAGCAAACAGACCCGAGAAGCAGCACTGATAAGAATGGCCACTCTGAAGTGGGCCGAAAAGTTTGAAGGGAACTTTATAGTCAGTCACAATCCAGACCTACGAAGGATGGAACCCATTGCACCGATTGAGAAACCTTCATGAATTTGTGAGTCAACGCCGGTTGGAACTTAAAGTAAGCGAACCTTGCCAATCCCACCATTAACTGTCGTTCGAAGATATCGTTCTCCGGCTCGGAACAACCGACGTAATCGCCATTTGCGTGGACTGGAATGGGGTGTGATTCACCAGGAAAGGTACAGGCAGATAGCCATTGACCAGGCAAATATGACTGCAGAATATGCGGGATTAATGAGGACCGACATTTGTGCAGTGAACTGACCAAGACGCTACCATAAGAAGGATCACCGTTCGGAAGAGCGGCGAGCGGCTTGGATGTACCTAGATAAGTTTGGTTTGGCAACATGTCAATGTCACAACTGTGGTATGAGTATGGTCACCGTAATACTCGGATTTATACGGCCCCTTCGATAGTGGTTCACTTACCAATTCTTCTCAACTAGCCCCGAAGCCCGGGCCTGCACGACCTTTGGCAAGAGTTTGTGTAACAAAAGTGTTGTGACAGCAATGCACGAACCTGGATATCCCATAGTCCTGCTTGCATAGAAAACATCAATCACTTCTCATATAAAAAATGCGCAAGCTCACACAGCTGGCAAAGACCACTTTGATAGCACTTGTTCGGCAGAACACGATTGCCTAATGGCAGTCTGCTCACTGGACATTGTTGGATCCCAGTTGAATAATGGCAGAAGCTACATTTGAGTGATAGATGAATATCGGGAGTAAACAACGTACATGAAAGTGGATGGGTCGCTTCAAGTCCAAGATGGGCCCGTCTACATCATCATATTTGTAATCAGCGCTGCATACATTGCAAGTTGGATCTAGATCGGGATCGTCTGCTCCTTCCAAAGCCCCGAATCATCCAACATGCCTGAGATCACTATTCTCAAGCGACCGAGGGAGGAAGCTGTGATAACTCAGCGGATGTTCTTCAAAAAGACTGCCCGGGGAAAAGTTATCAAAGGTATCTCGCAGGTTCATCTCCTCACGATGCTTCACTTGTTCATGGCTGTTTCAACCTAGTTCTACGCGAACGGTACCTTCGAAACGATATATCTTGCGGTGTTGACGGCTGTAGGGCATGCGATGCAACAGCGCAGACCGTCCTTCCGCGTTCTGGGGATACCACCCACAAAAACTTCCCCGCTGGGCACTATATCCTGCCTGATACCAATGTGTTTCTTGCACAGGTATGCACATGAATACGAGGTCGTGTGCAGCACTGATACCTTACAGATGGACTTGATCGAATCAAATTATTTCACGCCCCCCATCATCATCCTACAGACCGTTATGGAGGAAGTTCGTCACCGGTCATTACCCTTGTATAGTCGCCTCAAGGCTCTCACAACAACTGACGAGCGGAAAGTATGGGTGTTTTATAATGAGTTCAGGTCGTGAGTCGTCTTCAAATGCATTTATATTGTCGAGTTTCTCTCTGTTGCGGTTGTCAATTTGTTTCTTCACTACTCCCGGGCCCTCTTCTGAACCAAGCCCCAGTCCTTGATCTGTTTCACCATCTTTCAATCTTAGCATTAACCTGGAGTATTACAAAATGCCCTCATTACTGATATATGCGTCATAGAGAGACTGCCATCGTGCGAGAACAAGACGAGACGCCAAATGACCGGAATGATAGAGGTCAGTGATAAACAGATTTAAATCGTTGAGTATACCAACAAAATTTACGTAGGCATCAGGAAAGCTGCAGAATGGTACAACGCGCATCTAACACTGGCACACCCTCCGATCCGAGGGCAACCAAATTCAACGCTACCCAACGTTGTATTGATCACAGACGACTTTGCAAATCGTCAAAAAGCAAACAACGAGAAAATTCCAACCATTTCAGGTATGTACATTCTGTCATACAATCTGTCTCGCTTTCTCAAACAGGTCCTGAAGTTCGCAGTTATGTGGAGGGCATGAAAAATTCGGATCAACTTCTCGATTTACTTTCGGCGACTGGCTCAGACGAACTGGAGCCCACCAGAGTTGTTGCAGGGCGTACCGCGCTATATGCTGATGTACGATGAAAATGCCCTTGCGATTTCTTGATACTTATATCGCTTTGCAGTATCTTCCTATGTCCACCCTCTTGGCTGGTGTCAAAGCCGGTCAACTCCATCAAGGTCACTTCAACGTTAACCAATATAACTACCTCGAGGTTTGCTACGAATGCCTTCACTCTTACCAGTGCTCATTTTTTTCAGGGTACCGTTCCTGTCCATACGTTCACGAAACCTGTCCTTCTAGTGGGCAGGGAAAATATGAACCGGGCAGTTCAGGGGGACGTCGTGGTGGTCGAAGTCTTCGACGAAAAAGAATGGAAAGCACCGGCTGATGAGGTTATTGACCAGGATGGCAAGTCGACTTGATTACACTGGTCTACTGAGCTAATGTTTCTCCCCAGCGACACTTAAAAACGACGACGCAGAGGACTCGGAAGAAGAGGGCGATGACCTGATGGTGCATGAGCATGAATCCAAGGCTCTTCGCGCCCAACATGCGAAAAAGGCTCCTACAGAGAAGCAGCCGACCGGTCGAGTCGTCGGCATCATAAAGCGCAACTGGAGAGCGTACGTTCATCTCCTACTTTTAAGTTCAAAAGATTCACGCGTGTTTGACATAGATATGTTTGTCACATCGACTCTACAAGTCTCACCTCAAGTAATGCTACATCACTTGGGCTTCAAACAGTGTTTGCTACTCCAGTCTCGAGACTTCTACCTCGCATCCGTCTACGTACGCGCCAGGCGCCGTCACTCATTGGAAATAAAATCTTGGTAACAATCGACCGGTGGGAAATCACTTCACGTTATCCGGAGGGTCATTTTGTCCGTACGCTTGGAAAGGCAGAAAGCAAAGAGGCCGAGCAAGAGAGTCTCTTGTTGGAGTTTGAGGTTCCATATAGGCCCTTCGGAAAGGCGATTCTCGACTGTCTGCCGCCAGAAGGCGAACAATGGGTTGTCCCGCCTAAGAGTGCTGCGAGTTCGGAATGGAGAGACCGTACAGACTTGAGAGATCTCATTGTCTGCAGTATAGATCCCCCAGGTAATGCTTGTTGGACACTGCATTAAACGGGCACACTGACTTCTTGGATCAGGCTGTCAGGACATTGATGATGCCTTGCACGCACGCCGTTTGACGAATGGCAACATCGAAGCTGGCGTTCGTGAGTTTTCCTTTCTTCTGTTCTCTGAGCTTACCTCACTTATGATCGGCAGATATCGCCGATGTGTCTCACTTTGTCCACCCGGACACTGCAATGGATAATGAGGCTTCTGCTCGTGGATCTACGGTCTACCTTGTCGACAAGCGCATTGACATGTTGCCAGCGCTTCTTGGGACGAACCTGTGCTCCCTCAGACCGCATGTTGAGCGATTAGCGTTCTCAGTCATCTGGGTCAGTCAATTTCATATGATGTGCTTACGATGATATTTGACTGAACTTGTGATAGGAAATGACCGAAGATGCTGAAATAGTAGATGTCCGTTTCACAAAATCTGTTATCGCATCCAAAGCTGCATTCGAATACGGAGAGGCGCAACTTCGGAAAGATGACCCGTAAGCGAGACATCTCTCAACTTCCTTTTTATATACATCTGACGACTCGATTGTAGAAAACTCAATGACACACTCACGCAAAGTATCCGACTACTGAACTCTCTCGCGCAGAAACTGAAAGCTAAGCGGATGGCGGCTGGCGCGCTCAACCTCGCGTCGCCTGAGGTCAAGATTCACCTCGACAGCTCCGAGTCGTCCGATCCGGTAGATGTGGAACAAAAGGCGTTACATGAGACGAACTCTCTGGTTGAAGAATTCATGTTGCTGGCCAATACTAGCGTAGCGAGAAAGACGCAAGAATCTTTCCCGCAAACATCTGTACTGAGGTATGCTTCTCTTGTCTGCTATATGCACTTTCTCAGCCTTTCACAGACGGCATCTGCCTCCACCACCCACAAACTTTGAGAAATTGCAAGACATCTTGCAAAAGCGAAAGGGACTCAAACTTGACGTCTCCAGCTCAGGTGCACTAGCAGATTCTCTTGACAAATGCTTGGTGCGTTGCTCTCTGTTGTCTGTATGACTCCGTTGATTGTTCAACTGCCATAGGATCCAAAAGAACCCGCTTTCAATACATTGGTGCGCATCATGGCGACGAGGTGTATGCTGTCTGCGGAATATTTCAGTTCCGGCAGTGTCTCTCGAGATACGTTCGGGCATTACGGTCTTGCAAGCCCAATTTATACACATTTTACCAGTCCTATTCGTCGCTTCGCGGGTATGTGTCCTGTACAACACTCGTCACATTCCTTGTATTTACATTTACATTTCTTAGATATCCTTGTGCACCGCCAGCTCGCTGCCGCTATTGGATATACACCACTGCATCCAACTCTTCACTCCAAAATGCACGTTGAGCGCATCATGGAGGTTGTCAATAGGCGTCACCGGATGGCACAGATGGCTGGTCGCGCTAGTGTCGAGTTCTACGTCGGACTGGCTCTAAAAGGCCGAAATGAGAGGGAAAAGGAGGTGACCGAGGATGCCTTTGTTATTAGGACGTTCCGGAATGGTCTCGGGGTGTTCGTGTCCAAGTAAGTTGTCATTCATTGAAGGTGTCCGAAACTGACTTTAGCGTTCCTTAGACTTGGACTCGAGGGTCTGGTGATGTTCAAGCGGGACACGCAGTTTGATGCGGAGAACTACACCATCAGTGTCCCTTCTTCTGATATTGGGCGACCGGATGTGACGATATCCGTTTTCGACAAGGTGACTGTGAGGATCGAGGTTGAGAAGGATAAGAATACTCAGAGAGGGCGGGTTAAGATGACGCTTGTCAGCCCCGTGGATTCAAGGGCATTGTAAATGTATGAATTGATATCAAGTTGATATCTTCCTTGGTTATCTGTCGCTATTGCGCGCAAGTTTGGTGGATCAATCATGTATATGCATGGCGTCCATACGAATTGCTTCTGCGGGATCAAACATTGTCTTTCATCATGCGTATCGTATGAAAATACGGGCGCGTGCAAAGAGGACCACAAGGAAACATTGCTGGCTGACTCAGCCAAAGTGTCACAAATTATCGATCTTGAAGCTGCCGCCGTACTATCATGATGACGGTTCTCATTCACCTTGCATGCTGCCACCATATGGAACGCTGGTAGATCCAATCAATTGCGAAAATTGTTCCATCGATGCTCTGCAGATGCCAAACTCCGTGTTGTCCGGTGGCACGAGGTGGTAGCGGCATTAAAGGTTTTACGAAAAGAACACTCGGGAAGGCACTTTGGACATAATAGTATTTGGCCTAGACTCTCAGCAAAGGATCTGTCCGGACAGGCGCCAGACTGGTTTTTTGTTGAAGTATTCGCCACTCCCATCTCAACTTGAACAACCATGCCAAGTCTTAAGAACAAAAACAAGGCTATAACAAATGGCAAGACGAAATATCTGAACGCCTCATCCAATCAGTCAAAGGATTCAGCCACAATCTCATGTTTGACCTTGGAGGATGAAACGACACGTTGCAACCAGCCAGCAACAGAAGGCTTCCCGCACCCTGAGCGCCGCTGCAAGGTCCACCAAGCCCAGTACCTCACGATGTACAAGAAGTACATGAATGCTTCCAAGGACGTTGACAACATCAGATCTGGGGGAGAGATTCCGACGAAGGAGCAAATTCAGCTTTACACAGATCTGCACGCGACGCTTGAGAAAGCTTGTTGGGTACGCAAGTATCTCGAGAGTATTCGCGTGGAGAGGACTGGTAGAAATATCCACCAAAGGCGCTTCTTCTTAAAAGGTGTGCCCTCTGGGTCTGCTGCACCATGTAATACATTTGCTAACACGAGTATGTACAGTTGATTATGGACACAAGATTCGTTTGGAGGTCCTCGCTAAGGAAATGGCGAAAGCTGTCGAGATACTCAACAGTCTTCAAGCTCGGGTGTTGGATCTTCGCACTGCTAACAATGTTGGTTGCGACTGGATGAAACCGGTTCGACTTTTACCAAGCACATTCGGTGACGCGAAAAGAGTATTTGCAGTTGCAATCATCGAGGCAGCTCGACAAACAATTCCAAGCCATGGATCGGAGACATCTGCGCGGACTCTTTCTACGCCAGCGGATGTGGATCTAATTGATCTGGAGCACCGAGCGTAAGTCTCACCGTACCCTAGTGATTGGTTGACATAATGACAAAGACTTGTAATTTGATATTTCCAGACAAAAGGCTCGGCGACTGCATGCTTTCGAAATATTCACGGGGCTTGGATCACAAGTCCTTCATGACAAAACGGGTTTGAACACCTCTGATCCAACCCTTCGATCTGTGTTATCTGTTATGCAGAATATCTTCCAACAGTACGCACGGCGGATCATTCTTCACGAACCAGATCTCTTCTTCAAGTCCCTTGACAAGGTCTCCTTCACGGATCTCATCCTGGACGATGATTTCTCTGATGAGGACATGGCTAAATTTGTACTCCTATTTCAACAGACGTTAGGTTTGGGATTGGAGTTGTTCAAAGATGCAGTACTTGATGCCCTTGTGATGTCGAAGGGTGGCACCGCCGATAATGCCGATGATCTGAGTAAGTGGCACGCGTATGACAAAACGCCCCGTCTTATGTTTGTTCAGGTCGCCGACACCAGGTGCTTGGGGGATGGATCTATGATTGTGCCTACACGCACACAATCCCTAATGAAGCTTGGTGGGCAAGTGTCCTTTTTTACCCTCATGCGTGCTCGTGTTGACCATGACACAATCAATCAGCACATACTCCAGTGCCTGAAGCCGCCTGCCAACGTCGAGAATCAGTTTGTACGTCTATGCAACAATTTCGACGACATAATCAATTTTCTGTCATTTGGAGCAATTGGAATGATACCACCTCCGACGTTCTGCAGCACATGGAACAACGGGATTGATGCTGTTGCATACCGAAATCATCTTTCTCTCTCTGGGGTCGTTGTTGCCGACATGGTGTCATATTCGAAGCCTCCCTATATGACTGGCTCTATGGCCACCCGACATCGAGGCAGGACGCCAGGATGCATCGTCTGGGTTGAGATAGAAATGAGGGGATATATGTTCGGCGCTCTCAGAAATGAATCTGACGCATTCAATGATGCTTTCCTTCGAGAGCTTTCTGCGCGACCCGATCTCTTTCAGGTGATAACACGGTCTGAGACGGATCCAGGGCGAGAGATTGAAGTTTTCGGTGCTGGTCCCGCAGGCGTCTTGCCAGCGATACGGCATCGGGAATTTGAAGCTCCCCTAGCTCCCTTTGCACATCGTCCAACAGGATCTGGCGAATGGGTGGTCACAAGGTCCGCACTAGATATTTTGTACGGCACCCACGTTAAGATGCCACGCGGACCTAAACGACCATTCCCTGGATATCTCCGGACGATGGGCAGTGGACAAAGTCCTGGCTGGTTCTTCCGCTTCAAGAAGTTCCCAGTGAAGTACATCGTGATCCTGGATACGGTTCCGAATCGGGACCATTCAATCCTTGCTAAGAATGTCGCATGGGCGGCGCTTTGTGCGCGGGGGTATGGAGAAGGTGGGATTGGGACGTGGAAGTATGCGAGAGCCTCAGACAAGCTTTTTCAAAAGCGGGCGGAAGAACTTCATGCATGGATGCCAGAAGGCTGGGGTGGTTGGCAGGCTACCATGAAGAAGCTTAAGGAGTCTCGTTATCTTGTTCACCTTCGAAAGTACAAGTTACTGATACTTCTCGGCTTCTGCATCTTATGGTACTTTCGCTCATCGATCCTCCGGTACCGTATTGGCTAATCGTTACCGTTGGTACTTACATAGTTGCATCTCTCCCGGCTATCTCATCAGCTGTATCATGTACGTTTATAGTCATCCAGCCAAAAATCTCCAGACACTTTGAGCGCGAAGTCATCAAGCATCTGCCGCCGAATCTATTCGCTCCCAACTCTTACTCCCTACCGTGTGTTCTGCATTTTCTGCGCGAGCCCTCGCTCTTTATAATACTCATGGACTCCGTGATCCATCTCATGCTGAGCTAGCTACTATACACAACGGTGACCAAGTGAATTTAAGGTGCAAATACGTTTAAATTTCGCCACTGAAGCGAGGTCAAAGAATGTGTGAATTTTCTGACGCGGGCCATTGCCGCCGGGTCTGCCTTTCGTCATGCAACGGACAAGCAAGATGTCTGTCCCACCTAGTGTTATATCCCAATTGTCCTCTGGAGCTTGGAGAACCGTCACGCGAGCTGGTAATGTGGTAAATCTTATTCATTAGCTATGTGCTGATACAAAGGTAAAACTGGTGAGAACCATATATTGAAGTCATTTATGATTTTACCCTTCGGGCGAATCCAGAGACAAATTAAGTCAGATCTGCTTCAAGTTGGACAAGCGCCTACTAGCCTTGTGCTTAAACTATCTGTGATTAACCGCTATTACCATCTCAATGCCGGGTCCTAAGAAGAACAAGGGCAAGGGCAAGGGGAATGGAAAGAAGAAGACACCCAACGGCTCATCCAGCCAGTCAAAGGCTGCAGACCCAACCCCATGTTTGACCTTGGAGGAGGACGAAATGACGCGTTGCAACCGGCCAGCGACAGAAGGCTTCGAGCGCTGTGAGGTTCACCAAGCCCAGTACTGCACAATGTACAAGAAGTACAAGGACGCTTCAAAGGTCGTTGATGACATCAAATCTGGGAGGGAGATCCCGACGAAGGAGCAAATTCAGCGTTACACAGATTCCCATGCGACGCTTGAGAAGGCCCGTTGGTTGCGCAAGTATCTCGAGAGCATCCGTGTGGAGAGGACGGGTAGGAATATCCACCAAAAGCGCTTCTTCTTGAAAGGTGAGCCCTCTTCTCCTGCATCATGCATTCGTGCATACGCCAACACGAGTGTGTACAGTTGATGATGGACACAAGATCCGTCTGAAGGTCCTCGCCAAGGAAATGGTGAAAGCTGTTGAGGCCCTTAATGCTCTTCAAGCCCGGGCGTTGGATCTCTATATTGCCAACAATCCTGGTTGCGAGTGGACAAAACCGGTTGAATCTCCAAAGAGCTTTGGTGACGAGCCAATCTCCACGGAGGAAATCGTTGACAAGGCAGCACAACAATCACTTCCAAACGATAGGTCGAAGATGTCTGCAAGGCCGCTCCCCGCTATGAAATCTACGGAGTCTTCTGCACCAGAGGATGATGATTTAATTGATCTAGAGCACCGAGCGTAAGTCTCGCCATAATACATATACATTCCGTAACAATTGATTGATGTAATGATGGCGACTGGCAATTCGCTCTCTTCAGGCAAAAAGCTCGGCTACTCTATGCTTTTGAAGTTATCACGGAGCCTGAATCTACCGCACGAGTTCTTCTCGATGCGGCAGGGTTGGACGCCTCTCATCCGACCCAAAAAAGTGGACTATTGATTGTGCAGAATATCTTGCAACAGTTCGCACGGCGGGTCATCTTTAACGAGCCGAATCTCTTCTTCAAGTCCCTTGACAAGGTCTCCTTCAAGGATCTCTTCCTGGACGATGATTTCTCTATGGAGGACGCGGCTAAATTTGTAATGCTGTTTGAAAGGCGATTGGGTATTGGATTGATGTGGTTCAAAGATGCGGTGCTTGAAGCCCTTGTGATGTCAAAGGGTGGTACCGCCGCTAATGTTGGTGATCTGAGTAAGTGGCATGACGTATGGTAAAATGCACTGTCTTACGCTACGCAGGTAGAAGACACCAGATACTTGGGGGATGGATCTACAACTGTGCCCACACGCACACGATCCCTAATGAAGCTTGGTGGGCAAGTGTCCTTTTTACTCCCCGCGTGGGCTGGCGCTGACCATGACATGATCAATCAGCACATATGCAGGAGTCTAGAGCCGCCTGCCAACATCGAGAATCGGTTTGTACGTCTATGCAATAACTTCGATGACATGATCAATTTTCTGTCATTTGGAGCAATTGGAATGATACCGCCGCCGACGTTCTGCAGCGAAAAGAACGGCAGGATGGATGCTGTCGCATCCCGGAATCATCTTTCCCTCTCTGGCGTCGTTGTTGCCGATATGGTGTCAAGTTCGAAGCTTCCCTATATGACTGGCCCTATTCCTACCCAACGTCGAGGCCGGACGCCAGGATGCATCGTCTGGGTTGAGGTAGAAACGAGGGGATATATGTTCGGCGCTCTCAGAAATGAGTCTGACGCATTCAATGATGCTTTCCTTCGAGAGCTTTCCGCGCGACCCAATCTCTTCCAGGTGATAACACGGTCTGAGACGGATCCAGGGCGTGACATTGAAGTTTTTGGTGCTGGTCCCGCAGGCATATTGCCAGCGATGCGGCATCGGATATTTGAAGCTCCCCTAGCTCCCTTTGCACATCGTCCAACAGGCTCTGGCGAGTGGGTGGTCACAAGGTCTGCAGTTGATATTTTGTATGGCACCGACGTTGAGATGCCAGGCGGCGCGCCAAAAATGTCGTTCCGTGGATATCTCCAGGCGCTGAACAGTGGACAAGGTGCTGGCTGGTTTTTCCACTTCAAGAAGTTTACAGTGAAGTACATCGTGATCCTGGATACGGTCCCGAATCGGGATCATTCAATCTTGGCTAGGAATGTCGCATGGGCCGCGCTTCGTGCGCGGGGTTATGGCAAAGGCGAATATGAGGGACAGAAGTATGCGAGAGCTTCTGACGAGCTTTTTCAGAAGCGTGCAGCAGAACTTCTTGCGTGGATGCCAAATAGCAGTTGGCAAGCTACAAAGATGGAGAATAACGCCGATGAAGCGGTGGAGCCCGTATACAAGGAGTACAAGAAGTACAAGAAGTAATGGGAGAGGGCGACAGAACGGGGAGGGGAGGAGATGGAGATGGAGATGGGACCAGAGGAGAAAGTAAAGAAATGGGAAAGAACCAGATGCAAAGAGGAACTCCTGCCAGGGAAGTGTTCATTAATGCTGTGAGCTGAGTCTGATCGATCTGATCATCCACTATATATCCTGCTATCGTGTGTCGTTATATCGCTTGTATCATATGCATTACCAGTACTAGTATGATGGGTTTACACGGCCAGTCAACGTTCAAGTCCTGCAAATATGGCGTCAAAAACCTTACCGGTATCACTGCACTTTGAGGGTTAATAATGGGTTGGGGTTATGTAGGGAAGATGTCAAATAACAGTTGTATTTTCGAGAAATAATCAGAAGATAAACGCGCAACCACTATTCCACGTTTTGTCCAAGCAAACACGTCATAAACACCCAATAAAGCCATCTGTTTTCCTCGAATAACGACCATTGGTTATTTGCCTCGATCTAGATAGGATTCGCCATAATATATACATCCAATTGATAAACCAAACCGCGCGCTGCTCCGGCTTCAAATTTGCCCCCCTCCTACTGCGCATACAGCCAATTCAAGCCCTCGGATGGTACAACATGCCTCCGTTTAAACCCCCTGTCAACCACACGACACCCCAAAGCACATCCGCTGGACCACGATTGGCACCTGGTGTGAGGAAACGAAAGCCGGACGGTGCATCAAACACGACTGCAGCAAAACGAGCACGTCAAGTGGAAGCCACACGATCGAATGTACTGCGGGACTCACCATTTCTCGATCCATTTCATCCTGCAGCAGCACCATACACTTTTGAGCCCGAGATGAGTGTAGCAGAGTCCGAAGAGCTTACCAGACAATTGCAGCACCAAGAGCTTGCGACTGCAACAGAAGGATCGAGAGAGATGGGAAGACCGGGAGATGGTTTTGAGTTAGGAGATGCTGCGGATGCTGACGAGGACGAGTACGATTCGGACGCACCCATAGACCCAATTCTTCGCAACGATAGTCAGCATAGGCAGCACGAACAACAAGACTTCATACCTGCTTCAGAAGACAATAGAAAGCAGCCCAGTAGCTCCTCTCTAATGTCTCCCATATCCTTGACACGCCCTCGACCACAGGTAAATCCAGCCCAGCCATTCATTCCGTCAGGGCGAACATCAACTGCAGCAGCCTCTCGTGCCCCATCTGCAACTCCGTCTCGACCAACATCGGCAGTGCCATCTATGCGGGGGTCCACACCACTTTCTGATGCGTTCGGCAGCCGTCGTACCTTGGCCACTCCAGCAAGTAGCGTCTTCAAACCAACGCAGCGTCGGCACCCAGTGCAACCTTCAAAGACATCTCAGGCAACTGCGAACCAGTCATTTCGAACACCTGACTTACCTCTAGCTCGGAGAGCTGGCTTTTCAACAGCAAGTGACTCTGTGCAGCGCCATCCAGGAGGTCCTCCAAAACAAGCATCTGCAAATACTGCTGCGAGAGCTCCCAGTACTGCATTCTCCGATAAATTGGCCGATCTCGATGCTCTTGTCCAGAATCTTGCGAGCAGCATGGAGCGATTAACGGTGCAATCTAGAACTTCCGCAGGACTCGAAACTCAACTTCACTCCGTAGTCGAGCAGAATGAAGTCTTGCGAGAGATGGTCAAGGAACATCGTGCCGAGATCGATGAGCTCAAGAGTACTGTTAACGCGCAGGGTACCTCATTGGACGAACTTCTCACTTTGATCAATGACCATCGCAGCTTGGATACTCTCGGTCCATCCACCAAATCTGTCGACAAGGCAACAAAAGCTGTGCGCGACAATGTTTTCAATGTGAGTGTCGCTGGCACGTTCCATAGTATATGCACTCACTGTTTTTTCAGGCTGCTGTCAGACACACATTTCTGCACGCCATGGGTATATCAGATTCAAAACAGGCTGCAACACTGGAGCCACTCGAGCAAGATACCTTCTGGCTAGAATGTGCGACACGAGGAGCGGCAGTTCTCCGCCCCAACTTTGGGGGTTCATGGACAGAAAACGTCGACTGGAGGGAAGATATGATCCGATATGTTCGACTAAAGGCCTGCGAGGTGTATGGTCAGCTGCGCGAAGAGCATCTGAATAAAAAGAGCAATGCCGACATCACAAGACAGTTGAAGGAAGTCTTCGAAAACACGAGGGATGCCATTAAGAAGGGAGGGAAAGGGTCAGATGCCGTGGAAGCAAGGAATCGGAAACAGCGACAGCATGCTAGAAAAACTCGTGTAAGTGGCACAATACTTTGGCTTGAATCACTGAAACAGATGTGATGTAGAAAAACAATGAGCGTGCGGATAGAGAAGTGCGTAAGGAAACGAACACCGACAGTCCAGAGTGGGACTGGTTTTACCAAGCCTGCTATCAGTCTACTGACGAGTCGGATTCTGGTGGCGGAACAACCATGCGATCATTAGAATTTGATTCAGATACAGAAGACGCACCTCGCGCACCCAAGAAATCTGGAAAGTCGAAGAATCCAGACGCCACCTGGACCTCTCGGCCTCCGACATATCGAGATGCACTGGTAAGCCAAAACTCCCGCTCGACACCATCCAACACTGATTATATGCAAGATCAATGAAAAAATTGACCTTATGAATACCCTGGTCAGCAATAGACGTGCGGAACGGGGTGGAAGGAATTTCAGCGTCCCTGTTGTTAGAGGTGAACCGCGTGAAAAGGACCTCCCTCGGCCTGGCAACAATAAACCAAAGATTCTGCGAACGTTCGTCAGCGCAGAGTGGCTTGCTGATCATCAAGAACAAGACACACCTACTCGGATTTGCTGGTTAAATCAATCAGAGCAGAACATTCAAGGCCAATTTGCTGACGACGGAGATCAAGCACGCAACTTAACTATGGGCACAAACGGTAAATTGTTTTGATACTATTGAAGACTGGCACTTACCCGCATACGCTACAAGACACAGACTTTGACAGTGCGTGCTAATCATACTTGAAACCTGACTCTGACACTTCAGCTTCAATCTAGCGATATATGAATAGCTTTTGAACTCGGACTTAGCTTCAAAATGACCCGCAGACGCACAAGACAATAATGGCGTTCAGAGTAAGGTTTTGAAAGTTTTGAAAGCTATGAAACACGTGGGTAAACTTTTCAGAACCTCACGGAATGTCGGCAGGCGCAAGCTGAGTCTGAAATCAAACTTCATGCTACACGCGCAGGTATGCCTGCAGACCGTCCGCAAGTACGCCGTTCAGAACGGCTCAACGCACGCCTCAAGACTAGTCACCGACCACCAATGACTACCCAAAGACCCCCCCGTTCTAGGGGCAAGGGTACTTCAACTCGCGGCACCAGGGGACGAGGGCAAGCCACTGCCACTGCCTCTACTGCTGGTGCATCTGATCTCACCACATCTGACAATGTCCCCGGTGATGCTGTAGTGGCTACATCCTCTGGCGTCAAGATCCGATGGGACAACAACAGCAACCGCACTAATACCCTCGTGCAATTCCTCACCACCCATCCTGGCGACTGTCGTGTTTTGTTCAACGAAGGAGGAAAGAAGCCGGATAACGAACCTCCCCCGTCTGGGAGCGACAAGAGCAAGATCTCTGCGGTGATCGCCCGTTGTGTATTTGAGAAGGATGAAGAGTATCAAGACTTATATGTTGACGAGCCGGGCAAGTTCACGCAGGCCGTGGGCAATCGTTTGAATTAGTGCGCCCTTTACCCCTCTTCATATGCCTTCGCTAACGCTAATTTTTAGCCTCAAGAACAAATACAAGAAGTACAATGGTCGTTTTAACCAGACTGGCGCGGGTGTTGACCCGCTTCAGCATGACGCTGAAAATAATCTACTCCGTACGTTTTATTTTTCAATCTGATTTCACTTAGTAACTGATCTTCAAATCATAGAACAAGTCATCTCGGAATTCCCGTGGTACGAAGCGCTCCACGAGCTTTGGAAGAACAACCCGTCATTCGCCCCGAAGACGTTCTCGTCCGCTCCGGGAATCGATCGCGCAGCTGACATGATGTCACTTACCTCAAAGCGCAAGGGCAAAGCCAAAGCCCTCCCCCCTTCTGATCACATCGACTCCATTGATGAGTCGATGGAGGTCGACTTCGACGACAATTCCCTCGGCCCCAACCCCCCAGCTGCTCACCCTTCCCCCGCTGTAAATGCCCCTCCCGCCGTCAACGCTCCCCCCGCCGTCAATGCTCCCCCCGCCGTCGATGCTCCTCCTGGTGTAAATACTGCCCCTGCCGTTAACGCTCCCCCCACCATAAATGCCCCTCCCGCCGTCAACGCTCCCCCCGCCGTCAATGCCCCCCCCGCTGCCATTAACACTCCCCCCGCCGTTAATGCCTCCCCTGCCAATAGTGACTTCGACTACGTGATGGACGAGCAGTCACAGGACGAGCAGCCACAGGGGGAGCAGCCTGCCCGTGCCTCTGCCAAGCGCCCCTTCTCATCCCCCTCACCACCCCCTACACCCCCACCCACCTCTCGTGGGACCTTCAAGTCCCACGCAGATCGCGCCATCAACCGTGGGTCCATCCGTTCACCCCAGTCGCCTCCGTCTGTTGCATCATCTTCGGCATCATCATCTGGACGCGGGTCCTCATCACACCGGTCAGTAACTTCGTCTGCACGCCGACAGGGCGGCTCGCACAAGGCTGGCCAGTCATCCCTTTCCACTCAAGTCCAATCTGATGTTCAGGGCCAAGTCAAGTCCCTCGCTGAAGGGATCAATTATATCTACACCGCGAAGGCAGCCCAGTCAGAATATAAAATCGCGAAGGTCAACTCGCACCGTCAGCAGCTGGAGCTCGATTTTCAATGCGAGCAAGCCGAGATCGACCGTAGCGAGGCTGCCGTCGTCCACCAACGTGCGCAAGAAGCGAAGTCGCTCGAGCTTCAACTTCTCGAAGCTCAAGCCAAGGTCCATGCGGAGAAGAAGGCTGCCCTTCAGCTCGAGATCGAGCTTCTGAAATTGAAGGGGGGGGTGTCTGATTAATCATTGCATGTATTTCCCTTGTTGTATCTGATCTTGTAGCATTTTGTGTGTTCCGTTTCTCGTCTTGCATCATCTCAGACACTTATGGTAGTATGTCACATATGTTTACATGCCTTCCTATATGTTTGTACATGCCTCCTATGTCACCAATTCACTAGTCTTGTTGTCCTCATCCTGTTCCCTGTAAGCCACTACCCCAATAAGTACCTCATCAACTTTGCACGAGCTTCTTGGCCAGGGGTGCCTGCATATGAGGTATCTCCCACCTCATCATTGTCCAGGTCTTCTTGCTCTGCAGGTGGCATAAGATCTAACCCCTCCCCAATGGCCCAATTCTCAGTGCCATTGCCACGTTGTTCTTCAAACCGAATGATCATATTGTGCAGAATAAGGCAGCACATGATCCAATAGGAGTGGTATTTGAGTTGCTCTTCATTCTGCAGTGGGTGTCGGAGCTCTCGGAGAGACTGGAAACGGCCCTTAAGGGCAGCAAATGTATGCTCTACCCTCACACGAACCTAAAGAAATGTGAATACGAACCAGGCAAAATAAAATAAAATAAAATAAAATAAAATAAAATACATACCTTGGAAAGGACAGTGTTAAATGCCTTCTGGTCAGAGGTCAAGGCCCCATTAATAGGCTTCTTGAATGGGGGGATACACCATGGCTCTAGGGGATAAGCACTATCAGCCCAAATCCAATGGTTATTGCCCAGAAGTGTTTGATGATTCTGGTAAACATGGGTGGAGCGGAATGCATATGCATCATGGGCACTACCAGTGTGGCCAAGAGAATAATCGACTATAGTGAGATTATGGACCATAATGACCGCCTAAAAATTAGAAAAATCAGCCGCAAATAAACAGCATAAAAAATAAAACACACCTGGCAGTTGAGGGAAAATTGAGACTTCCTGCTATAAAAAGCGTCTCCAAAGATACTTGGCCTTTGGTAAAGATTGAACAATGATCCATCAACAGCCAGAATACCATTCTCCCACTCTGGGCAACCCGTGGTTTTGAGAACATAGGCTCGGGCACGTGCGACTTCGATGGAGTTGAGAGCGGGGAAGGACATAAAATGATCATGCTCTTCAAGCAGGGCAGTCATGACACGATTAGTGCAGTTGGTGACTGACCCAACGGAGACGCCTGCCCACTGGGCAACATCTTCAGGAGAAATCGCATTGCCATAGTGGCCGACCCGATTAAGAAAAATAGCGAGCTGGATTGCAACTGGAAGTTGGGGATTGTTGGATTCATTATGGAAAACAGCGTGATCACTAATTTGATCGAGGATATCGTCGAAAATGTCAGGGGCAACACGTAGCTTCTTTTGGAATAATTCGGGGCGGTGAATGCTGAAATGGTCAAGGAGTTGGATCTGTGGTGCTCGCATAGGGGCCTCGTCTGGACGGTGAAGAACGCGTGCCTCCTCCACCTCATCCCGAAGAGCGGAAAGGGAGCCAATGGCACGGATGAAATGCTGATGAATCTGGATTGAATCCGACATGTTGGAACCACCGGAGCCATCAGGAGAGTTGTCAGACAGATAGGGGGACATAGGGGAGATTGGTGATGGGGTCCTGATAACAGAATCCTCAGACATAGAAGAATCAGACTCAGAGACTTCACCATCAGCCATGGCATGCTCAGCCCAGGCCTTGGCTACATCTAGAGTAGCAGTATCTAATTGATTAAGCAGTTGTTCACGTTGAGATTGGCGAGGCATTGTGGTTCAGCGCTGGTATCTTATCATCCGACTCAGATCAATCTGCGCAAAATTTGGTCGGAGCTTGAAATTTACATGTCACGTGACTCAGTCGGCTACGGACTTCGTCGAAATCAAGTGTTTGCGTGTTTTGAGCGGAGTTTAAAATTTGCTTATCAAACAATTTTCCGAACAATTCAAAACATATTCTGAACATGTTTCAACGTGTTTCAGAACATTCAAAACCTTACTCTGAATACCCTTAATATGATACTCTAGCACGGCTTCCACTTGCAGTTTTTCGACCAGATTTTCTCTTCCCACCGCATCCAATCAACAGTTATTCCTTGTCGTCCCAATTAAACTCCCCATCCACCTCTGTAGCATCCTAATTCATGGTTAATGATGTAAATTAAGTTCGTAGTAGGAAACTCACATGGTTATGAGCTATCGTCACCCAATACTCAGCGTCGGACACCGTGATCGGGATCAGTATTAGTTGACCCGACAATAGTTTGATATCGACAACCTCCATGTCGCGGAAAGTATTGGCATACCAGACTTGAGCACCAAGGTCAACAGCCCTAGCAACATGTATTATTGAACTTCGTGATCAATGAATCATTTGACGCACCATATATCCCACGGAAAGACAGGAACATTATCATCACTTACGAAACGACGAACAATTGCAACGGTCCGTGACAGTTTCTCTCGCTGTTCATAGTCAATATCGGTCTTCAAGATCCATTGTATCTCGACTGGGATTCGGCCATAGATATACGCATAACGGGCTGATTGTCCCCGAGGTTGTGTCGCAGCTCCATAGCGAAGGGTCTCCACAAAGACGTGTGAGAATGAGGTAACGACACCCATGAAACAGGCACCGCGATCCGCTAGAACAACATCAGCGTGAATAGGAATGTTGAGTTCTTGCCATTCTTCTTGCAAATGTCGTAGGACCAATCCATATAGGGCCATGTCAACAGTCTGAAGCCTTATAATCTTGTGATAGCGAGGATATGTCACGGAACGGTCTTCTCGGAATCGTGCGAGATATTCGAGCAAGGTTCCACGAGGTGGACGTGATCCACCTTTCAGCGACGATTGAAGGAGTTCGACGGAGTCTCTATCGTTATCATCGAGCTCTGGGAGCCGATGAAAAACATTCAACTATGTAAGAATCAGCCAATGTAGTATGTACTAGTAGCGAAGTGGCCCAGACTTACGAGGTCATGAACTAAGACCCACTTCCACCATTTTCGCATCATCGTACACTCGAGTTCTCCACCCTTGTGGTTGTTGTGGTTGGTCCGGCCGAGGAATCCGTTGTTCCGTTCATACGGAAATGCCCACGTGGCATAGCATGGTCCAAACTGCAGCATTTGACGCTGAAAGTGCTGGGCGAAGTGGAAATATGGGGTCAAATGAACACCCAAATTCGCCCAGTTCTGGCACGCTCGCGATAGGGCTGCACAGCCTCTCTCGACTTCATGAGGGCTGATTGAGCGTGAGGACAGGATTCGTATGGCAGCCGAGAATTCGAGCATGGTTGAGTAATGTCGACGAATTGACCGGTCTGTAGTGAAGGAATCCACAAGGTCGAGTTGCTCCTGGTTGGGATCGGGTGATTCGGACAACAAAATCTCCAAGCACCGTTGACGCAAGACTTTATCAGTCTTCGCCTGCGCAGCTGCATCCTTTGTGCCCGACCTCGATTTAGGCGCCTCGATATCAGGTAGAATACCGTCAACTTGCCAAGCGACGAAAAGCCCCACAAATAGGACACTGATATGAAGACGCCACTGGTCTGCTTTCGATGAAGAAGACGTGACCTTTAAAGAACTATTAGACTCGTAGTTGAACATGTGAATGAGCACTTACTGATGGAGGTAAGCGAGCCACTGATACCGGCCATATAATTCGAGAGAAAAATTCCTCTAGTCGGTCTAGAGGGTACCAGTCGTTACAAGGGATGGGATTCAGCATGCCAGATCGAAGAAGGATAACCTTTGTTAGGTGCTTGACCATGCCTAGACACATGTAGTCAAGAGATCGCTACTCAAATCAGAAGATAGACTACTTACAAAGGTAGACACAGTGCATAAACTCCACGACGGAGTTGAGGGATGTCAGCCAGCCCGGAAGGCTATTAAGTCCAGACCAAGACACTCCACGGCGCTCAAAGATTTCTTTCTTATCTGATTCATCCGCTGTGCGAGCACGGTACGCATATTTGATGTAGCGCCAAGGGTCTCGTAACTTGAAACCTGTGAACGAATCAGACAACGACCGTCCACCACAACAACTTGAATTTACCTTCTGGTTTGAATCCTCGTGGGTCTGCAAGGTAATATGATGGTGTATCGCATTGAGGACACATGAAAACCTTCGAAGAGAAGGATGCGAGTCCCTCTATCTTACGACTAGCGGGTAGATCAGATACTTCGGAATTCATCACAGAGTGAACGGGGAACGTATTTTCATGTCCGTAGACACGAAATTCTTTTCCTGACACAGCAAGATAGTCAGTTGAAAGATCGCAGATAGTTGAACAAGTACGAACCGGCATATAGTCGAGTCATCTCGTGAATAAATTTGTCCATGATCTTGTTGAGTTGTTCGAGATTCGGTTCGTGAGGTCCAGGGATTACCATGATGAGGAAGGTCTCCTCGATCAAGTATCGTACTCCTCGGGGATTGTTGCAACATGTCATGTACAGAGCTCCGGTAGAATGATTACCACGTTTGACAGATTGGAACCTATAAATATGGATGAGGGATACGAGCTTGCGGGGCATACTAGTAGCGAGAACACTTACCAGTCTAAGTTGATCTGCCACACGAGTCCGCATGGCAAAGACACGAAGCGTTGCTGTATATGATTGACATCTTCATCATACACTCGGGAAATGGCTTCGTCATGACATACACGCTGCAGGCCGGCTTGGATCGCGCGCCAACCCCATGCATCGTGGATGTCGTGAATTGGGTGCCACACGTCCGGGAAGGCATTCATACCCTCCTCGAATATTGGTGGCACCCGCGCTGGTTCATCTCCCTCCTTTCTCCACTCCTGCAGCTGCTCATATTTCCCGGGTCGAAGGAGCCAGTGTTGGATAGCCCGTTGTGGCGAGACGTAAGGAAGAACTTTGGTTGGTTTGCGTTTGTGCTTGCCGCTGGCAAGACGTTTCGTAGTGTAGAGTATTCCGTCGCATTCTTCTTCGTCACATCGCTCGTTGAGATCTTCGTTGTAAAGGCTTGATGAATCATGAACTCGCCAGCAGGTTGGACATAGGAAAAGGTATGTTATGATGGAATTGAGATTGACGCCAAGACGATGTTCGATAGTGGGCAGTGTTCTAGCCATGTCGTCGAGTCCGTCAAATTCAACCTCCGGAGCTTGATTGCGAGCGGATGACAGTGCACGAGCGACACCATCTACAATGAGGCGAGCAACATCATGTGTCGCCCCCTTGAATGCAGTGGCGATATAGGCCCGCACGTAGGCATTCCTAATTGCAGAATGTTCTTCGAAGGCAGGGGGCTCGTCAAATAAATCTGTGTCGTCGTCGGCAGGCTGTGAATCGTCGTCATCCCCACCAACACCGAACACATTGACGACATCAAAAGCTGGATCATCTACAAGATCAAAATCATCATCGTCGGAGCGCTCGTCATCACGATCTTCCTCTACTAGCTCTTCGGCTTGGCCATATGGCAACAGCAACCTGTAGGCATCATCTTCGTCATCTGAGCTAAAAAGCCTGCCGGCACCGCCGTCAGACTCGAAATCATCAGCTCCCTCCATTGGATCGTCATTGTATAAGTCTAGGTGAGGTTCATTGTCGAACCAAGGTTCTTGATGATTATTAGTGGCATGCAGTTTGTATATAGCTAGTTGAACTCACCTGGTGGGCCTGGTTCAGAATCGCTCGAGTGAGATTGCGGCGAGCCAACGGCAGGTACGTGTCGTGGATTTTCCCGCTCCTCTACTGCAACATGTTTGCCATCGCGCCGATCAGCCTCAATGTGCCTCTGCCGAGTTCGTTTGGCCTGCAAAAGTCGACCACCGTTAGCAAGGGAGCAACGGCTGCATTCGCACCACATATGATCTTTCGACATCTTGCTAGCTCGCAACGATGGGCTCAGAGCCTTCGTCCACGCCACAAGGCTCGTTGTTCCAGCTAGAAAGGGATGAGGCGATGGCTGCGAAGGAAGGAGTACTCTGGAGATTGGCCAGAGGTAACGTCGTTGTGTGAGGCAACGTCGCTGTGTGATCGCAGACAGTCTGTCGTGTGCGCCATCATCGTGAGACAAGACGATGAGCGCCCACGGCATACTGCGAGCGCCCACGGCGTATATGTAGGGACTTAGCGTTAACGTTTTTCTAGATCTAAAGCAATTGCAGTTAGCTATTAGTCGGGCGGATACACGCTGGAAACACGAGTGTGAAGCTACATCGGGAAAATTTCGTGATTACATGATATTTTCCTAAAATATTGGCTACTGTTATTTACCCTCAAAGTGCAGTGTATGCTTCTCTCAATTTAATTGTTCTACTTGATGCAAATAGTAAAGATAACGCACATGTAAGCCGCAAAAATGATGCTCGTTCAACTTACTTTTCTATCGCATAGCCTAGTGGTGTTTGTCCATCAACATCTCCCCCCGTCTCAACTATTTTGTGATCAGGGGTGCGCAAGATCCACGTTGTGACGACTGCAACATGTCAGCACAGCCGAAGGCAAAGGAGGATTCCTTCGTAGTGTTGCTCTTCAAAGTTGCTCAGCGTTTCAGTGGTCATACTCCATTTGCACTGCTCCAGACATATTGCGATATGAAGAGTAAACAAAGCAAGGCTGATGAAGGAATGGGATGCATAGTATGTTGCGCAGTTATAGGTGAATTCCACAGAGTCGTTTGACCGTCGAACTGCATCGACCACACCAGTGGGAATCTTTCCCTCAAAGACTGACCTCTACGTTCTTCCTCCCTGGTATATATACATACATTGGATGGCTGATGTTTACAGTACGGCATATTCGATGTTCTCCAGCAACATGTGAATCATGGACTGGCCGGCATCCATTGCTCAGGCAAGCTGAAGGGGAATAATTATTCCTTCACAAGGTTGCCTAAATTTGTTTCAATTTAATGATACTTTCGTTGTCGACGGTTGTTCCTGATCAGTCCCTGGGTATATACTCAGAGCTTCCATGCCGTGCGTTTGTTGATACAATGTCTCAAGTCAGCCATATTTACATAGTACAAATGAGCGCACACCACAAACTCGTAAATACTCAGACAATGCCTGCTAAACGTTGCAAATCATACACAACAAAAACCGAGTGCTACGACTTCGCAGGCTCCATATCCCATGATTCATCCGGCAATGAACCCACAGCCGGAATCTTTGCCCGAAGATCGGACATCTGTGCCGCACTGATGCTATAAAATTGCATCACCTCAATGATTTTATCCAACGCGTCGCGATCCGCGCGTGTCAGGAGGGTCAATTTCCTATCATACTCCTGAATCCGAGTATGAACTTCTCTGCCCATTTCTGACTCGAGGTAGGAAGCGACCGCGAGTTTGATGGCCCTACGAGTGAGTTCCTGGTTTTCTGATACGAGATAAAGTGTCTGTAACACGAGTGTTAAGTGGACGATATAGGACATGAAGCGCTGAAGCACTGCGTGGCTGAGGAAGAAGTGTCGATATTCTTTCGTTCCAGGGTAAATAGCGGCACGTACGATATCTGGTATACGTCGTGAGCCCATACGGCGAGTACAACACCTGCCGCGATCGGCACTACAATGGGAGCCGCAGGTCCCGCCAGGGCGGCCATGATGCCCGCAATAGTACCCACCATGGAAAGCCCAATAGCACTATGAACATTTGATGAGATGACAATCCATCACATAAAAGACCGGCCTACACAGTCCTGCTGGGATCAGCCGTAGGTCCAACTTCTAGCGTATCGACCATTTTCACCATCATTTCCCTGAACTCTTGGCTGCGCAAGTACTATTCAATCACGCCAGATCAGACGGGTCAACAACAAAGAAGATAACCATTACATGATGAGGGTCATAGAAATTCCACACTGCAACGATGTCAATGTGAAGCACATTTAGACAATCCCACGTCTTGCGGTTCTTGAATGTAGTGCTTGATGCAAGCGCCTTCCAGTATTCTGTAAAACATGACAGTTCAAATAGTGCTCAGTAGTTATCAACACGAAATCGAGACACACTTGTCTTCCCAACCCTGATACTGCGTAAATCGCGAGAGAAGAGTAAAGCAAGCAAAGCTTACTCGATCGATGCATTTATTTTGAGTCCAGTATCCACTCGCTGGGCGATGGAGGCCATCACCGCGGCCTCGGGCGCAAGGTGCTGACGGACGGAGTTTTCAGTCATTCGGATCAGACGGGCCAGTGTTTCTTTGTGACATTCTTCGGCTGTGCTCGTATACTTCAGAGGCACACATAAAGCGGACAGACCATTAAAACCTACTAGAGATGACAGCGTGGGGGATGTCGGGCCCAGCAAATTCCTCTAGGGGTCCGATACAGATATTCTGTAGCTCGGCTTCTGCTTTGTTCTTGGTGAGTTCCTTGATTGTCTCGTCGTTTGATCCCACGAGAGCGTCCAGAGTACGCTCTGTGCGGTCGAGAAGCATATCATATTTAGTGAGGACGACGACGACGGGAACTGTGACCAAGAATGGGCTCCAACATAGCATAGAGATGGTCATTGATTGACTTACTATTTCCTAGCGTTCCATCACGTTTCAATGACAGGAATTCCTCCGTGCCCGTTTCCAGTAAACGCCCGCCTGCGCGGGGTATTTCAAAGCAAAGCCTTCCGTGTATTTGGTCAGCCCACTATCACGGAATCATCAAGACACTGGCAGAAGCCTACCAAACAGCATGCAGCTGATGTTCCAAAGCGGACATGTTTCTCCGACGTTGAATGAAATCTCGTACTATTTGGAGGTTGTCTACTTCTCCTGGCTCAAAACCTTTGCTATCGTGGAGAACAAATCTGCCATTCTGTTGCGAGATGAACTCGGTGTCGATTTCAGCCTTGCCCGGCATTTCATGCGAAGTAAGCTACGGAGACAATATCAGCTACTCTCTGTGTTTTAGTGTTATCAACAGCCCACCGTTTTTTCCACTCCGAATGCTTGGTTGATTAGGGATGACTTGCCGACACCGGTCTATTGGAATCACGATGTCAACGGTGGCTTGAGATATCAGTGACAGCCAGATACCTTTCCTATTACTAGAATTCGGAACCTTGGAAGCCTTTGGCGTCAACCTGAAGAATTGCACTTGACGATCATCCTGACTCACCGAGGGCAAATTCGGCTGATTTCGTCGGTGGTGGGCTGGAGCTCGGAGTTTTTACCGGAAGAAGACGCTACCTGCGCAACCTGCTGATCTACGACTTAGACGGGCTCCGATGCGATACATGGATCCTTACTTCTGTTGTGTTCCCAGAAAGTTCGACAACGATCCTAATCTTTTTATGAAACTTAATGTATTCTGCGCGTGAAAGGTTGAGTTTGTGAGAGATCAAGGCGAGAGTGCGATGATTATTGTTTCACCTTGTCTCTCACTTGCACCATAAATGCGAAAGATTTCTTCTGGTTCGAAAGCAATGTCTTCTTCATCATGCTTCAGTCCAAACCATCTCTTGTACCCAACACGTAAGTGAAATGTCTCCCCAACAGAAAGTTTCCTATGATAAACGCAATAACAACTCAGGTCACCGGGCACATTGTGCGGGGTCGAGTCCTTACATCGGTGGAGAAAAGGTCAGTCGTAATGACTTTCCTGTGCCATATTTGATTGGCGTGGGCAACTCGGACTTGCCTAGAAGTCAATGGAGACACCTATTCGATATATTCAGTAGGATCGATTTTTCCACCAATACGGGAATTGAGTACCAGAAATATAGAGAGGGCAGGGAACCGTTGATGTGTCAAAGACCATGCTGACTTGGGCTGGGAAAGACTCCCCTTCATCACGGTAGATTTATATGGAGGTTGAGTACAGGGCCTAGGCTGGCACGCGTCAGCTGCGCCGAAGGGAGGTATCCTCGTGTAGCACCCAGGCTAGCCATTCACACCCATCGCTTGGCTGACATCTTCAGTTGGTAGATGGAAAACATGTGGGTCGGGTTGAGGTGTGCGCCATATATAGAAAATGGAGTATATTTCCAGGTATTATCCGTTTATTACATATGGAGTGACCACCCGGTACCCAATGTTCAGCCTGATCACGAGCCCGGTCGCGTCCATATTGAAAAAGTCGCTCGAAATTCGGCACAGAACTGGACAATGGACTGGAGCTAACCGCCTCGATCCACTTATGTAGTAGACGTGTCACTGTTGCCCACTCTTATGTATCCTTGCGTCGCTTCCAAATGGTCAAAGCCACATCAACGCGAGGCATCCTGACTCCTCGTGTATGCCTCATGTGATATACAGCTGCATATGCCCATGGCCGCCGCATCGCCCACTGAATCTAGATGCTGGCGTTAAATTGAGCATTTAGTACTGGCGCCAAGTCGACACACTGCAGTGGTTATAAGCCTGCGTCAACGCTTCCTCATCACAGAGCCTACCTTTACACATGGATCCTTCGGTAATAAGACAGAGAATCAATCGCTTTCGAATCCTCGTTATAGGAAGAGCGAATGCAGGAAAAACCACCATCCTCCAGGAGGTCTGCAACGCGCTGGGAAAAAGGTGCGCATCACCATGATGCTAGTAGGAGGCTGGTAGTGATGACTGGCCCATCGATATCAAACCGATCCCGATGTGCTCTTAGTTGACGACATGAATTGACGTGCTCTCAGCATAACGAGGATGAAATGGTATTCCAAAACAACACGGGGTCCTCACGATTTACGCGGAGTCGAAATGTCAACAATATTATGTAACTCAGTTACCTTGGCAAATATTGACTTTGGGCTCAACGGTACCGTAGACCAAGAGCCAGAACTACTACTTGTAGTTGCAACTCAGCATATGTATGAGATGGAGTGGAAGCCTCCTCAACTTGACGTCTCCTGCCCTCCGGAACTTGTCCTAACAAACAATCTGGACGTGGATCCTGATTTCGCAAATAATTTCACTCGTTGTGCCAGGTGGTACGCCTTTCAGTCAACCACTTTGAGCACCATTCAAACGTCACAACACTAAAGGTGTGCAGATGGATCCAGCTTCCTCGTCCAGTGCGAAAACAGGTCATTCCAGCTGTTTAATATGTGAGCATCGCTGTCGTCCGAGTCAAGATTCTACAATCTCAGATATAATTTAAATCCTCAAGTTCAGACGTTCAAGGTCAGCCGCATTGCGCATGACCTAGCTTTTTCACCTATCAAAGTTTCCCGAAGGCACACAGTTCTCCGTTCACCATCAGCGCACATTCTCGCAGTCCTCAGCAGCCGTCAATTTTGCTTGGTATCCTGGGGCATCACCCAACAACGCTCCGTCGTACTGTTTCGTCGCTTCTGTGCGTGACTGTCCAGTGAAGCTTCTTGATGCTTCCGATGGAAGGGTAGTGCACCTACTGTTTATGTCCGTTTTCGCCTGACCGCTCGTCGACCCCACCAGCTGAGAGCCTCGTACCCGATTATTGATCATCGCGAGAGGTTCATCGCTCCTCATAGTCTCGCGTTCAACTTGACGGCAGACAAGTAAGCCTGTCACGAACCTCCGTTCATATTCAATGATCATCGTTAATATCCTCCACATCAAGACTATACTGCGGTTTCGAAGATGCCGTCGAGATCTTCGACATTCAACAACCTGGGGAAGGCGATCGCCTTCCGACTACGCCTTCTAAGAAAAGCAAGGATGGCCTCAAAGGTAAGATGTTAAATTTACTACCCCGGATGTATGCTGACCCAATTTTAGGCATCATATCCAGCATAGCTTTTTCCTCCTCTTACGACTACTACGCGATCGGCAGCCTAACGCCTTCCTCACAAGCGATGGATAATATTGCTTTGTATTCCGAGTCGAATAAGGCGGCTATCATGCCTATAGGAGGCGCAGATGTTCGATCCGGAGTCACGCAGGTATGTCGTCTGAAGAATGTGTGGTGATGTCAAGCTCATTCCCTACAGCTGAAGTTCAATCCGATGAAACCGCATATTCTGTATGCTGCATTTCGTCGACACAATGCAATATATGCCTGGGACCTTCGCAGTGATACATCTGTACCTGTGAAAGTCTTCAGGTCGTCATTTGATTCTCACAAAACCTTAACCAATCAGAAAATCGAATTTGACGTAGATTATGCTGGGAGATGGTTAAGCGTCGGTGACCAGGTACATTCCTTTCCCAGATGTATGTCGTTCAGGATTCCTGGCTAAAAGTCTGGCTATAGAATGGATGCGTTTCGTTGTTTGATGTGGGAGAATCGGACGAATTCGATTCTGACCAGTCATCAGCGATGAATATCGACCAAAAGATGACTTTCAACGCACACGGAGGCAAGTATACTAAACGATCCTCATCCCTTCGTAACTAATCTTTGCGAACGAAGATGTGGTCGGCTGCGTGGCATTTCAGCCCTTGCATTCCAACCTTCTGTCAGCATCAGGCTCACGGCATTTTGATAAGGGCATGGAGGATAGTGATTCCGATAGTTCCGACGGGGGGCATTCAACAGACCAAGAATCGGATTCTGAGAGCCAGAATATGATCAAAGTGTCAAGGCGCCGACCACTTCCATACGTCAAGGACTCTTCTTTGAAGATGTGGTCATTCGACCCCACGCGGACTGTACATCACGCTTGATTGATATTTGCTTCGGAGCGCCCGAATGTCATCGGATGTACATGTTCGTCTCTGGTCCTTTCGAGCTGAGTGAGTATGACTTATGTCGGCCTATATGAATAAGTCGCAGCTGAAACTTCTCAGTACTTTGGAAACCCTCGCGTCCTAAAAAGCATTATCACGGGACACATGAGATGTCGTTGCGGAGCGCTCACGGTCAAGATTATTCACAGATTACTAGTGAGCGGTGGGTTCTCGTTCGATACTAGAAAGGTTGTCGAGTCGGCGGCGGTTGGAAGTTTGAAGATCGCTATAGCCCACCAGGCTCAAATTGACCGTGTCTTATTAAGCAACTGACTGTAATCTGACCCTTCAATGTCCTTAGCTCCACGTCACTGATCGACCACCTTCGTTGACTCAGGACGCAAATATTCTCATGCAACACACGCGGCAGCCATTTTAATGCTTACGTAACACAAGCTTCTTCACTAGAATCGCAGGTTTGAACTACTTATCTTCTTTTGATAATGTTGCCTCAGGATGTGCTTGATTCATTCGCGTATGCCCCGACTGATACAACCAATGAAAACGACTACAGTGGGGCATACAACAAACTTATCTTCACCGCGTTCTTTTTGGATCCCTATAAGATGGTCCCATTCTATCCCCTTACAGACGATTATCCTGCACCTAAAAAAGTCACTCTCGTCGTCCTTACAATGCAGTGGCAGCCCCTGCTCTTCCTCCAATTCCATTTCCCCGATCATGTCAACCTCCTGTCGACTAGGATTGCGGTAGACAACAAGACGAGGCAAATATTTCGTAGCCTTTGCCCCACAGCTGTGACACCCAAGCTTCATGGCGTCAGTGCCATGGGACAAAAGTTTGCTTTTTATTCCATGGAGACGAGCAGTGGCCGTGTATTCCCTGATCGTGTTCCAACAGCTGGTGACAGCCCGGAGGTGGACACTGTTCCAGCAAATAGGTGGGAGTTCGACATCACGACAGACGCTGGGCATCGACAGTTTATGGCGGTTGTAAACGATATCAAAGGGATGGATGCGAGAACTCATTGAATTCACTGCACGTCGCGTCTGACGCATTCTGACTGGTCTAGAGGAATCGCGAATCATGGCATGCATGGTTGCACAAGGTCTTGTGTACTACACAGTAATCGCGCCATGTGAAGCTTCCTTGGCAGAGAAAGCCTTCATACGAAGGAAGGACTATCTTCCTTCGACAGGTCTGGTTAGGAGACTAGAAGATAGCAGAGCCCATAATAATGAGTTTGTAGCACCCTGTTATGACTCCGAGCTTGCTCGGTTCGCAAAACCACAAAGATAAAAAATCCGAACACCCTCGGGATGTTCGCTTCAGTTCGCTTCAAGGTATAGTTGACGGCATCGCCAACCTGTATATAACCTCACCACAACCATCAGTACCTATTCCCCCCCATTCTTTCTGTGTCGCCTTCCCTCGTCCTCATCACTATTAGCTTACTCTCTTGTCGTTGTTAGACTTCGTATTATTATTTAGCTAGATTTTTGATGTATTGTACCCTGCGCGCAATATATTAATGCTGTTGCTCCGCTACAATTGTTGTGAGATGGGCCTTATGTTGGTGCCTGGCGAATGATTAGTTGCAAAACGTTGATGGCGGTCAAGACTCTGATCACAGTAAAGTGATGAAAATTTATTGATTTTTATCCTATGAATTAACTACAGAACAATGACTTTGGTTGTTAAAAATTGAATTCGCGAGTCCAGACCGCATGAAGCCTTGTTATGTTCAAAAAAACATGTATCTAACCTTTGATATACAATAGAGTAGATGAGGAATCATAAGGGTTGTATAGGTAGGGGTAGTGTACAGGGAAATATATGAAAAAATGAGTAGAAGCAAGGTACCGCGGCTGGCCATGGAATACGTGCCAGAGTAACGAGAAATTGCCAGCGGTCGAGGAGAGATCATCAGGCGGCGAAGAAAACAGGCGGCCGTGCGAGAGTAACAAGAAGGCGCAGGAGACCGAAGTGAGCAACAAGAGAGTGCGGTAAATCGTGGCGGCAGCGTCAGGTTAGCGGGAGCACGAGGAAGGTCCTGGTTGGGCGCGGGGCGACAGCAGGATGGGTCTTGGTTAGGTGAGTCGGTGTGGGTAATGAGAGGTCGCAAGAAGTTGCCGCCATCGAAGGCACAGGAGGTTGCCCAAGGGCGCGGGTGGCAGCGGGAGGGTTCGATGGCAGTTGCAGGAGGTTGTTGGGGTGGCGCTTGGAGGCGGGGAGCGAAGGGATGTCGTGGTCGACAGCGGCAGGGATAGGGTTTGAGTGTACACGTGTACACACGCACATGGTCGAGAGGGCTCAGGGTGGGTGATGATAGCGAAAGGGAGGTTGTCATCACAGTCAACAATGAGGGGGAAAAGAAAAGATCAGCAAGGCGAGAATAGAATATTCAACTTACGTTGGCGCCGACGTCCTTGGGGTCTTTTCCAGGGCTAAAGAGACCGACTGCTCGGACTTTTTTCCAGAGGCAATTAAGGGAACCGAGCTAGCTCGGAGTCATAACAGGGTGCTCGACACTCCATAATCTACGATATGTAAGGACCAGTCGGTTTATATTTTGATTCAAACAAGCTACCTTATTTAGACATTGACGTTTATACTTTATACTAGTTAAGTTATGATCCTTTGTACTGCTCGGTCTCGACCCTCGGCCGTCGAGACGGCTATTCAAGATGAACCCACTAGCTTGAGGCACTAGAACGATTGACATCAAATTAAAGCCACGACTTATGTAAAGTTCATTACCGTCAAAAGCAATCGACATGATCTGTCGTGACTAAAGATGCTCAACGTCAGTTTATGGGACGAGTCCGCAGACCGAATGAGTTTGCTGGCCAGGGTACAATGAGCCCAGTGAGTGCTGAAATATGTATCGTAACAAAGTAATATTCGCCATGAATCGCTAAACAACATTGTTACGAAATCAGTAATTCCTGATCATTTACCTGTGTCAATTCCGTTGTGCTCGGCGGCGTAAGTTCAAACTGGACAGCCTGCCATCAGCTGCGGCAGTAAGAGGTCATTTAATACAAGTTGGTAAAGTGGACCATGTTAACACACCTGATGAATGCTACTGATTCCAGCAGCGTTGCCGCTCCTTCGTTCTTTCAAGTCGCGGTATTCAACGCATACGTCATTGTTGGACCAGTGGTGTTGGGTGCGCTTATCGACGCCTGCCTCTTCGGTTGTCTCATCATCCAGACCTATGTATATTATGCGAATTTCGCCAACGATCATCGAGCGATAAAGCTCACGGTCAGTGAAACTAGCATGAAAATACGAATCACTGACTTGACGTTGTCTTCCCAGGTAGCAGCAGTCTTGTAAGTGGTTTATGTGCTATTGATCCCTACCCAGACTAGCTAAATTGTACAGCGCAACGCAAATTGCCCATGTGATCTGTGTGTCGGCGACGCTGTGGTACATTGCTGTCAGCGCATACGACGACTCTTTAAAACTCCAGACACTCCCTTTAGGAGCAGACGCAACCATCCTCTTCACCGGAATTACAGGGGCGCTCGTTGAAGTGAGATTCCTCATCAAATTTGATAGTGACACTCACCTCCACGTAGTCGTACTTCGCATTTCGACTTTGGAAGCTTTCGAAAAGACTTCCTCTTGTCATTCTCTCGCTCGTACTGTGTGCAGTAGCTCAGGTTATTTCGATTGTGGTCACAGCGAAAGCTGTCAACATGACAAGTGTTGCAGCATTCGAAATCGATCAAAACGTGTTGATCACGCTTTCGCTCACTTCGCGCGTGCTCTGTGACCTGATACTCACCCTGTCCATTGCGTGGTACGTGAGGAAGCAGCGGTCAGGATTTGCAAGGCAAGCTACGTTTCTTCCAATTCGTTCCGTTGTGACAATTTTGCAGGACGACGAGCATGATTGATCGTTTGGTCCTATGGACTATAGGTTAGCCCTGTGCTCATTCTAGCAGATATAGCTCACGTCCGTTCAATCACCCCGCAGAAACCGGCCTAATAACCAGGTATGTGGAAAGTTGACTCTCCCGACATGTTTAGACTAACGTTATGTTGAGCCTGGTCGCGGTCCTTGTCGTGAGCTTCGTGAGATATCCTTTCTTGGATGTGCAGTGCCAAACTGACCGTGAAAGAGTAGTTTTTAGCAATGAAGCAAAATTGTGAGTGAGCTAGATTTCCTCTCCTTCGTCGCGAAGTGAAGCTTTCTCAGATATATGGATTGGGATATATGGAACCCTTGCGACCGGTCTGTGTCCCCAAAAGCACATTCGAAACAATTGCCTAATCTTTGCCTCAGTGAACGCGAACTCGTTGCTTGCATCGTGAGATTTCATGATTGATTTGACGACGTGCTCATGCGGTTGCAGGCTAAACGGCAGGTTAATGCTTCGAAGCATGGTGAATGAAAGCTTATATATGAACACTTTGAGTACTAGTTCAGGTGGGGAGCGTAGCCAATCACAGGTCCGTAGATGTGCCATCTTGCGATGCGGTTTCCTAAAGTCATGTGAAGCCTGTTGTGATCAATGTCACACAAACAGCCAGAAATCCCCCAGACGGTTTCAAATACCATGATCATGATGAAGGTGAAGTTTAGGTTCGAGAAACCAGAGCACAACAACCGCAATTCATGTGTTTTATGATGAAGCTAGTGTAATGTCAATCAACTGCCATTCGCCAATTTTTGTGCACGTACGAAACACCGGAGTCAAGACTGCACTGAATCCATTCTGAAAGCACTAGACGTTAGTCGCCAGTAATACTAATAGCTGACTCGTGACGTATTCCGACTGTAGAATCGACAGTCAAAAAATCAAAAGCTGTCTATATGACAAGGTAACAAAATTATGGTAACTCGAGTAGTCAGACTCACCGTAAGGATCACTTCGATGATGAGTATCAGTGACTACTCGGTCTCAAGCCTGGTCGATCGGCCCTTCGAGTCGGTCACCGGTTCCATTCGGGCTGAGTCTGAATCTGCGGGCGGTGGCGGGCCGTCTGCAGGTGGGAATAATGATCAAAATCTTACTTGGCAGTGACTTTGACTCGGAGGCAACTGAGTACTGCCTGCAAGTAGCACTCACGAAGGAGAGACCTGACATCCTGTAGTACCAGCTATTTCGACACTGGATTCAAGAGCATGTTCGTTTTTTTTACTTGTGCCATCTCGTCTGTCTTACTGAATAAAAGCTCAGATATATGTTTAAGCAATTATAGTATCGCAAATATGTTCTCAGCTGAATGACATCTCATCCCTACTCATTCTGACACGGGCCACTGGTTCACATGTATCTCAGAATAGAGATCCGAAGGGTAGCACCTGATTCTGCATGTGACCACCGGGCACCTACTGATACCATCCCACTCCCGCCAAAGCTCAAGCTTATGGTCCCCTGAAAAACATTGGCCATGACGAACACCGAAGACCTTAACCTCCGCGAAATCGACGCCTGCTTATTCGACGTATTCGGTACCGTGCTCGACTGGCACAGCACAGTCACTCGTCAAGTGTCCATCCTCAGCAAAGGGCTACTTCTCAAAGGTACCACATACCTTACGTTCAACTCAAATTCTCTTGGTTTAATCGCATTTGAATCAGGCTCGCAGGACGCAATCGATTTCGCAGAAGAATGGCGAGCCGGATATTTTGCTCACATGCAAGTCCATCACTCGTTCATCTTGGCTTCTGGGTAGTGACATGCCCATTCATACAGAAAAGTAGTAGCGCAGGGCGGGGAAGGTATTCTCAACATGGACCTTATGCATCGGGAGGTAAGTAGCTCGTAGTCAAGCATGCACATATCCTACATCTCATGACAACGTTGCAGATACTGGATAATATGCTCACTACGCCACGCTGGTCTCGTCTTGGAGAGATATGGGGAGAATCGGACCGTGAAGAGCTCACCATGATCTGGCACAACTTGAACGGTGGGATCCTCTGGAAAGCGACAAATGCATTCGACTAACAGCCTCTTTGAAACTGTAGTGTACCAGGATACAATCCCTGGTCTAACAGAGCTCAAAAACCATGTCTACATCCTCGCTTTATCTAACGGAAACCTCAGGCTACTTCTCGACTCGGTGATTGAGTCGCACTAGTATGCGTCGTACCTTTATATTAACCAAGACTATAGGCAAAGAACCAAGATCTTCCCTGGGATGGTATCTTCTCGGCCGAAATGTTCGGGTCGTATAAGCCGTACGTCTCTATCCGACTCTGACAACTGTCTTTCACATTCTCATGCCCTAACATTCGAGCAGCGACAAGAAGGTCTATCAATCCGCGGCATACCACCTTTCTTTGCCTCCTCACAAGATAGCCATGGTCACTGCGCACAAATGGGACCTCATCGGTGCCGCTAGCTTCGGTTTCAAGACGATTTACGTGCCACGACCTACTGAAGATCCGCGCGATGTAAGGGAGAATATGCGCAACAAGAAGGATGGCGGTGAGGCGGACCTTGTCGTTCAGGACTTTCAAGAGCTGGCGAGGCTGATACGCGAAGCTCGACAAAGTTGATGAAAGGTGGTGAGGCCTTCAATTGATACATACTTTTCAGGTTGTTGAGAAACTATTACATCTTGCGGAATAACTTCCATAAGAGCCGATCCAGAGGTGCTTACCCATGACCCTCCAAGTGAAATCACCGGTTGTATGTGCAGCCAGATTAGACTGTCGCTGTCGCTTCCATTTTGATTCCTAGCCGCTGACTTGTCGGCGAATCGTTGCACTTCTTGTATCTTGTTGTCAGACACATACATCTTGGCTATCGCACTTGCGCACAAAAGTTCGAATACCTTGGCCTGTGTTGTTTGCAAAAGAGCGCAAGTGCATACATAAGTTAAGTCGGTAGAACACATCAAAACACTATTGTACAGGTAACACAGTGACACGATAGCAGAACATATCAGGTGATCAGACTCAGCTCACAATGCATCCCCATCCCCTTTCGCTTTGCTTTCCTTCCGTTCTTTCTGGTTCTTTTCCTTCTCCTTCTCCTTCTCCTTTCGTTCCATTCCCATCCCCTCCCGTTCCTTCATCTTTGCCTTGATCGTCACCGTCTGTTCCTTCACTTTCAATTTCAATTTCAATTTCACCTTCATCATCCTCTGCCGTTCCTTCACCTTCATCATCCCATCCCGCACATACACCTTCACTTTCATCGCCCCCTCCCGTTTCTTGACCTTGACCACCTCCCGTGTCTTTTTTTATGGCGGTAATTATTGAAACCCTGAAAGTTGTTGAGTAATTCACCCATCTTTGGAGACATAACGCACTTTTCAGGACAATCGGCTGGGTATGTAATTATAATTGGAAATACCCTGCATGACATTCCGTCGGTGCATTTCAATACAATACCATGGCGGTATGCATCCACTCCCTCCCCTTCACATTCTTGGATCACCTCTGGCCTACCTGCACTTCCACCTTCATCGATATCATTGACATCATCTATGTCAATCTTCGTAGCCTGCCAACGCCAGTTCTCTGGCGTCCATGCGAGAATTTCTTCTGCCCGCTTCTGAAAAAGCTCGTCAGAAGCTTTCGCATACTTCAACACCCCATATTCCCCTTCGCCATACCCCCGTGCACGAAGCGCTGCCCATGCAACATTCCTAGCCAAGATCGAATGATGCCGATTTGGAACCGTATCCAGGATCACGAGGTACTTCACTGGGAACTTCTTGTAGCGGAAGAACCAGCCTTTATTTTTTCCGCCGTTCAGTATCTGAAGATATCCGGAGAACGGGTAATTTGGCCGGCCAGGTATCTCACAATGAGTTCCATACAATACATCAACTGCAGATCTTGAAACCACCCACTCGCCAGAGCCGGTTGGGCGGTTTGTAGAGAGCGCTGGGGGAGCTTCAAAGTGCCGCGTTCGCATGACCGGCAAGATGTCTGTGGGAAAGGTTTCGACGTCGCGCCCGGGATCTGTTTCAGATCGTGTTACTACCTGGAAGAGGTCGGGTCGCGCGCGAAGCTCTCGTAGGAAAGCCTCGTTGAATGGGTCAGGCTCATTTCTGAGGGCGCCAAACATATATCCCCTCGCCTCTACCTCACACCAGACGATACATCCCGCCATCCTGGCTCGACGTGTGGTTTGAATAGGGCCAGTCATGTGCGGGGGCATCGGGCCTGACACCATGTCAGTGATAACGACACCAGAGAGAGAAAGATGTTTCCGGGACACGATAGCATCAACCCCATGGTACTGTTTGCTGCAAAACGTCGAAGGTGGCAACATGCCAATTGCCCCAAAAGACAGGAAGTTGACCATGTCGTCGAAGTTGTTGCATAAACGGACAAAACGGTTCTCCACGTCGGCGGGTGGCTGCAATATATACAAAAGATACTGATTAATCATGAGTGTTCAGCACTAGTACACAGGAAGGTCGAAGAGACTTGCCCACCAAGCTTCATTAGGGATCGTGCATGTGTGGGCACAGTTGTAGATCCACCCCCCGAGCATTTTATGCCGGCTACCTGAACAACATGAGATGGTGCGTTTACAATAAGCGTGCCACTTACTCAGACTGCCGAGATTAGCGTTGTTGCCTCCCTTCTTCGACATCACAAGGGCATCAAGTACTGCATCTTTGAACCACATCAATCCAAAACCTAATCGAAAATGTTCGAATAAGAATAGGAATTTAAGCGCGTCCTCAATAGAGAAGTCATCGTCAAGGATGAGATCCTTGAAGGATACCTTGTCGAGGGACTTGAAGAAGAGGTCCGGCTCGTGAAAGATGATCCGTCGTGCGTACTGTCGAAGGATATCACATACAACAGATGGGTCGGGCTTACAAGTCGAATCGGAGTCGTCCAAGATAAAATCAGGTTCTGTCAACTTTTCGAAGACATGCAGTACCCAAGCTTTCTTGCTGAAAATAACGAATCAAGAGTCGCCGTCACATCGAAACCCATCTCCAAGGAAAATCTTGTGAGACTTACGCTCGGTGCTCCAGATCAATTAGGTCCTCGTCCGCTGGCGCAGAAGATCTCGTATATTTCGTAGCGGGAACCGTCCGCGCAGAGTTCTTTGGATCGTTGGAAAGTGTTCGTTGAGCTTCTTCGACGATAGCCTCTGTGGAAATTACTTCGACTGTGTCATCAAAGTCTCCTTGCGATTGCATTGGTTTCACCCAGTCGCAACTAGGATTGTTAGCAACGTGGAGATCTAACGCCCGGGCTTGAAGATCGTTGAGAGTATCAACAGCTTTCACCATGTCCTTGGCGAGGTTCTTCAAACGAGTCTTGTGTCCATCATCGACTGTAGACAGACATTGGTGTTGGTGAATATAGTGGGGAACTTCAATATAGGCCTACCTTTCAAGAAGAAGCGCCTTTGGTGGATACTCCTCCCAGTCCTCTCCACGCGAATACTCTCGAGATACTTGCGCACCCAACGGGCCTTGTCAAGTGTCGCATGGGAATCCGTGTAACGTTGAATTTGCTCCTTCGTCGGGAGCTTCCTCCCAGATTTGATGTCGTCGACAACCTCGGAAGCATCCTTGTACTTCTTGCACATCGTACGGTACTGAGCTTGGTGAACCTCACAGCGTTCGAAGCCTTTTGTCGCTGGCTGGTCGCAACGCGTCATTTCGTCCTCCTCCAAGGTCGAACATTGGGTTGGGTCTACATCTTTTGACTGGCTGGATGAGCCACGGTTAGGGGTCTTCTTCTTGCCATTCCCTCTGCCTTTTCCCTTGTTCTTCGGCTTAGTATGTCCCGTCATCGGGATGGGAATGGTGGTGAATCCAGGAGCACAACCCTGACCAGCGCCTGTCCAGATAGATCTAGCTAAATTTGTCTCTGGATTCGCCCGAGCCTGACATCAGGTAAACGACCCGAAAATGATAAATCATTAGAAGGCTTTATCTGATCTAAAATATGCACAATAATCATCACATTTGTACCCCTCATGAGCAAGCTTTGAATACTTGGACTTAGTTGGATAGAAACCGTCAAATGCACAACCGTGACAGCTTAGTCACAATCACTTGCCAGCTTGTCACCGAAATTGCACATATTGCAACACCCATCAGACGTGGCAATACAATATTAAGTTGTTGAGACCAACCGCCGTCGCCTACTCGAGAACCAGCTGCAATATACTATAATTCTGCCCTACCTTGGTGGTGGCATGTAGCCTTTGACTGCTTTTACTTCCTCCGCAATCTCTGAACTAATGACAGTGTCAGATAATCTTTTATATGGTTGGACTGTGTTGGACCATAACTGCCAATGGTCCAACGGTGCCAAGTGTATTCAACGCAGTATCGAGCTCTGCCGACGAGGTTGCCTTATGCAAGCAGAGCTTGTCATTGTACTCTCGACAAGAACCCCCTCGGTGTCGACCTTAGGTATGCGGTTGCAATTCCTGCTTGCATTGCTCCGACCTACCAAGTGCACAATCTGGGCGACGAATGGCAGTGGATTACCATCTTCCCCAACCTCGACGAGGTCCGATAAGTGTATGCACGATGAGATTTGAATTTTATACACCCCAACATATAAATTAATGACAGTGTGAGTTAAACTATTATATGGTTGGATTGTGTTGGACTATAACGGACGATAGTCCAATGGTGCCGGGTGTATCCAACGCAGTATCGAGCTCTGCCGACGTGGTTGCCTTATGCAGGCAGAGCTTGTCATTGTATTCTCAACAAGAACCCCCTTGGCGTCGACCTTAGGTATGTGGTTGTGATCCCTGATTGAGATACGACAAACGTACACGAAAATAGTTCCTTGTTGCATGTTCCCCATTCTCTCTCTAAATGCTGCAATCTTCCAAAGCCAGACATTTTTGGATGGGGACCTCTTTTATTCCCATGGTGCGGAGACATGGCAGCGTAGTGCTATCCGTCGGATAGCCGCTGAGCTGTGGTCATCATATGCAATGCAATCGAGTCTATTTTTCTCCGC